GCCAAGTAGATATTCACGGAGAAATGCCGTACCAGAGCAGTTGGCACGACGGGGCCATTATAAACAAGATCGTCAATGGTGCACGACCTCAGCGTCCGCCCGACGCTGCGCGTCTTGGGCTATCTGACACCATCTGGTGTATCATGGGGAAGTGCTGGAACGGAGTTCCTTCCACAAGACCATCCATACTGGAGGTGATCTCCGACTTGGAACATGAGTGGAGCTCGTGGTTCCGCTCACACAGACCCACGGATGCAGAGAAGGAGGCGGGGGCAGCAACTACCGGGTCTCAGGCGATGCAAAACACGTCTGGTATGTTCTTGGGCCCTACCAGCAATGTGTTCGCCGTGAACCAGGTATGTCATGAGGTCTCTGTGGTCTGCAGTTTGCTTAGGGTATCTCTACTTGCTGTAGTTCGTCGGCGGGCGACCTTCACAGGGCCTTCCGGGCTTTTTGTCGAACCATGTCCCCGTTCTCGACGTGCGTCACCATGACGCAGATATTGTCGCCCAGCTCCCGGACCACAACACCGTGGAGTACCTCATCAACCATTATTTCGAATGCTGCAACTGGATCTACCGCTTCGTCCATGAACCAACCATTCGCGATGCGTGGTGGCGGTTCAGAAACGGCCAGTCTATGACCCGCGTCGAGCTCGCCACTGTTTGTGTCGTTATCGCCATCGCTATCCAATATCTCCCTCTGAGTCGTCACAAACTCTTCTCCGCCCTCCGCGGCAGTGCAATCGAATTGGGAAACACTTGCTTTAAGTTGTCCCGCGATCTTCTCGAGCGTCACCGCGAGATCACGCCGACACACACGCTCGAGTTTGTCGAGCTCCTTTTGGCGCAGACCCACTATCTCATTGTCTTCGAGACGCGCCTTGAGGAGGTCTGCATTATGTGCGGCGAGCTGCTCACTATCGCTACCGCTATGGGCCTGCACTGCGATCCTCAGAACGTCTTGCCGGTCGAGCTGGCTGAACGTCGCCGCTGGGCGTGGTGGAACCTTATACTCATCGAGCGCTGGCAGGCCTTCTGTCTTGGCCGGCTTAACCACAACGGCTCTGATCACTTTGACGTCCAGCTGCCTGCGGAGAATCCGAACCCCTTCGGCTCGGACAGGCTCTTTCTGCCGCACTTCGCCCTCTTCAAGCTCATGCACATCTCCGCAGCGACCTTGGACGAGGCGACGGCGAAACTCCAGGTCACCTGGTCGGTCCTGCAGCAGAAGGATAAGCTGTTGACTGACTGGTTCGCCGAGCTCCCTCATGAAATGCTCCAGGAAGGTCAAGAATTGATCGACGGCCTCGCCAGCCTACACCCAGTTGTTCGCCGTCCCGCTGTCCAGGGCACGATCTTGCGCTTCATGTACAACTCCCTCCGCTTCACGCTCCACCGTCCCTGGATCCTCTTGCCGACGAGCTTGGATGTCGCGAGACAATGCGCATCGGAGCTGCTCCGTTTGATGGCGAAGGTGAAGGCCTCGCACACGCCGGCCCACTTCATGTGTGGCCCCTTCCAAACGGAAGTGGCCGCAACGTTTCTCTCCCAGCGAAGTTCATCATAAGATGTCAGCCGACTTGAACGTAACATCCATTGGCTGCTATTTCGGCGCGCGTCCGCGCCTATTGTGGCTATGGCGGGTCATAGCTTGCGCTGTCGCTGTCGCTGGGATCTACTGTGGCTCTGGGAGCCTAATATATTGGCTATGTAGCCGCGAGTGGATGCAATGGCCCCGGAATACTTTTTCTGACTCTGCCATCTGGGACAACAATGTAAGATATAACTCATCGTAGTCACTCATTGTATGTACACGTCACTAGGAGATACAACACGAGACACTATCGCTCCGCTCCTGTGGAACATCGGATTCATGAGAGTCGGAGAGTAGACTCATTCGTGGTCATCATGTTGCTTGCGGTGTCGCTTGCAGTAGACCATCTCAAGATGCGGCTTTCATGGTATGCGATGGAAAATCACCGTGTCTGATTCGCAGGACAACTCCAGTGCTTGCTTGGGTATCAGTGACATCCGTTGACTCCAAAGGTACGAGAAATTCCGCATAGCAGCGGAGGATATGTTCGCATCGAACGCAGTCTCGGCGAAGAGGGCTTTTAGGAGAGCATCGCCGCATCCAGCGCGTCCCATTGACTGATCGCCAAAGAGCGCAGCGAAGCCCGTGAAACGGACGGTTAACGTGAGAGTCGAGACGCACATCAATGTATGAGTCGCCAATTTCGCGACGAGAGGCATATCAGTAAATCCAAGGCTGCTGGAACATCTCGTGCCACCAGCTGACTTGACTCGGAGTCAAGGAGTCGGGCCTTCAGGCCTTCAGGACTCTGGGTCATTGTAGTAATAGTTGACATTGACTTGAGTGTATGGTTTGCGCTCACTCCGATTCAAGAGCCATAAATGGAGAATATAACTTGGTGAGTTCTTCCTAGGTTCGGACTCGGATCCAACTGTTGAGGAGGGACCGTGACGCGCGCGCTTGTGACGACGCGGACACGTGACTGACGGACGACTGTAACGGACGCCGCGCGTAGTGTAAAGCTACCTCAGTCGAGTACCACGAGGACGCGACTGAGGTAAGCTCGTCTGGCTCTGTATTACTGGGACATACCATGGCACTGATACTGTACTACTAGACTGTATAACATAACCTTAACAGGAACAATCCTTGCCCGAGATCTGACTCAATAGTAATAATCATGCGCCACACGCCACAGCAGGTAACTTACTTGAGTCATGTAGCCGCTAGTGTAACCTACTCAAATGCGCCGGTTTTTTTTTTTGCCAGAACGGGTGCAGACCGACTGCAGGAAGTCATAGCCCCATCAGCCTCATGACCTCTTCAGCTTCAAGTTCAACGCGTAGTAACGGCGGCGCGATCCCCCCATTTACACTCTGCGAGCTATTCTGCCAAGTCAGGCCAACCAGGAATGGATGCGACGGACTCGGGGACACCGTTTGGACCGCTGTTGCTCACAGTCCATGATGTGAGTGCACGTTCGTATTACTACATAGTCCTCTCTACTTCCATGCAAAGCTAGACAGGGGTGTTGCAGCTAACGCGCTGACGGCAGGCTATTTTTGAAGTCGTGCTGGTCTGTTCAGCTGGGTACATCCTGGCGCGAAAGGGCATCTTAGACAAACCAACACAAGGTCGGTCACTCCAGTGTCACTCTGACAAAGACCGATTTCGACGGCAGGCGCTGACGACCATATGCTTGCCAGCAAATCAATCGTGTCAACGTATCATTCTTCACGCCGGCGCTGTTGCTCTCCAAAGCAGCGTTCTTCCTCTTACCAAGTGAGCGCGGTACCTCGCAGACACAAGTGTGTTCTTCCAATACTCATCCTTTGACTACCGGCGAAACTGCGCGAGCTATGAATTATATCCATTTTATTCGCCCTAACGACCGTCGCTTCGATAACTTTCGCACAGTTCTTGGGATGGTTGCTCAGAGAAATCCAGAGGTACGTCCACTTGGCTCTACATCGCCGCTCATATCCCGAATGACTGACGGTTTCTATCTGCAATCCTTACATTTGATGCATGTGGCGTACAATTGACATCCTGCTTGTCATGGTGCCACAGGGCCTTCGCAACGGCCGCAGGAATGTTCATGAATTCAAACACGCTGCCCATAGCCCTCATGCAAAGCCTGGTGATTACCGTCCCAGAGATTTGAAGTGGGGCGCGGGCGATAGTGGCGAGGAGATGCTTGGCCGGGCGCTGACATATGTACCTCGACCTCCATCCGGGGCTTGGGATGATGGAATGTAATCTCCGTCCGCGCAGAAGCCGTGTTTCCTGTGCTGAGAGCCACGATTCTCTCGCAGGTCCGTTGGAGTTACGGGGTACGTCTTCTGTCCAAAGCGGATCCCGAAGTCGCCGGAGAAACTTCGTCGGAGCCTGTCCACAAGCCGGTCGCGGAGCCTGTGGAAACGGTCTACTCAGACTCTGCTGAGCCGCCGCCAGAAGGCGGCTCGGATGACACGCCGGTGGCCATAACCAATGACAGAGAGGCAGGACAGACTTCTTCCTCAAACTATGTGCCCCTGCAACGTTGACGAGCCCAATGCGTCACCCCGCGACGAGGAGTCCGACGACGATGTGGGCAATCTCCCGCTCGCCCGGCGCCTCCACACGGAGCCTACGTCTTCGATATGGCAGTCGCGCCGTCGACGCTTGGACAATCGTCTTCGCGAACTGTGGAAGGTCTTCTGCGAACGCATGAAGTTGCCATTTTGGGCAGCGCTGGCCGCCCTCGTGGTCGCGTGTATCTCCCCGCTCCAGCGGACACTGGCACATATTGAGTGCATCCGAGGCGCGCTGGACATGGCGGGCGATTGCTCTCCTCCACTGACGCTCGTCGTGCAGGGCGCGTACTTTTACACGCCAGCCACGGTGGCGGTGACGGACACGCGCGCCTGCCTGTTCGCAAGCCAGCGCCAACGCGCCTCGCGGGCTCAAATTCAGCGCGCACTTCCAGGACCCGGTCCTCTCGGAATTTCTTTTGATAAGGACTTACGGGGACGAAGGCGCTCTAGAGGAGAGACGGGGAACGGGGAACGACGGCCGGGAGGGAGCAAGATAGTCAGCAGTGCGGTGCTGTCGCGATGGATCCTCGCGCCGGCCGTGCTGCTGCCGCTGTTCATGTAGGCGACGAAGGAGAACTGGCAGCCGGTCTTCGAAGAGTGAGTGTGGCTCGAGCTTATCTTATTATGGACGTTCGCCGCTAACCGCCGCCTTCTTCATAACCATCGTCCCACTTCTGTGGCCCCTGCCTGCTTCGCGCGATGCCCGCCGTGCGCTTCTTTATTCGCCGTGCCGTGCCGGTCCCCCTCCCAGCCCGGTGGTCGTCGTGCACAACGTCCTGCTGCTCACTTCGCCGCCCGCGCAGATAACGCAGACTGCCTCGGATGGACGCGTTCGAGCGCCTGCTAAGCCGAACGGTGTTCTGGAGTTACTGCGTCGTGACGCCCTCAAGCATGATCGCGGTTGTGGTCGTAGGTTTGTTATTGACGAAGCTCTGATGCAGACGGGCCGCGACCTACACTTCAGTCCCATAGAGCCCCATGGCACCTCGCTGTCACAGCTGTGCCTTCCGCCAGGGCTGATGCTACGCAAAGGACGTGCATCGTGCCGCCGGGTACATTGACATGGGAGATGCGCGTCTGGCGTTGGTGCCTCAGGCCTCATCGACATCGGTGAATCCCTGATGTGACCTCAAGAGTTGGATGCCCCCGCCATTGTTGTTGTGTGATCCGAATGAGGATCGGGTGAGCGAGACTCGTCTGGACTCTCGAGCGTGCTTTCTACGGCTCTGTGGATGTGTGGTGAGAGTTCGAACTGTGGTACGATGGGTGCGGTTATGGCTGGTGTTGTCAGTAATACTTCTGGGAGACTTGTAAATGAGAGTCGTCCACACCCGTGGTCATTTGCAGGCGATGCTGGTGTGGCCAGCTTCGAACTTGCACACATACAATGCCGGACTGGCAAGCGGCGGCAGCTGCAACGTGTGTCACTCGCGGAAGCCCGTAAGCGCCGTAAGCGCACCACGCGTTACTTGCCACACCGATCAAGCGCCCGACTTAAGGCTTACGATGCACAATAGAGTTCGGCTGGAATGGCAATAACCCGGCCTCCTCCCTGCCCGGCCGTGCAGCGGAGGTGCGGCCGGTCGTTGAGGGTGCGGTATGAGTGGCTGCGGCAGGCGGCGGGCGGCGGAGGCATATCGAGGCAGGGGTACTGTAACGGGATCGGGAGGATAAAGAGTTCTTGCAATCGCGATGTTGGCTGGGGACCGTCCGCGGGGAGCGTGCTTGGGTGCGCGGAAGCTTAATATAGTAGTCTAGGGAGGCTTTAGTCGGGCTTACAAATATACTATTAATCCCCAGTCGGCCCAGGCGCGCAGCTCTCTCACTTCCTCCCATCTCGTGTGGCGTCGTCCCCTACGAGAGCTGCCTCTGCCTCGAGTCACCTCACCCTCGAGCTAGTGTGGCCACCGCATCCGGCCACTAACCTCGCCAGCGTACACCGCTCCTGCGTCTTCACCCACTAAGCTGTGCAGGCGCTGTGCAACAGGCGGACTAGAAGCCGCCCACTGTCTGTGACCACCCCTCGTACTCCTCGGTCCCGGCGCGAAGTCCTCTTCTCTTTACCACTACATCCTCGCCAACGCCATGTCTGACGACGGCAACGGGAACTCACTACAGAACGGCGGCAGCAAGGCGGCCCAGCGCGCCCGTAGGGTGCTGAACTGCGGGCCCTGCCGCAAGAACAAGCTCAAGTGCGATAGGTGTGTCGCTGCGTCAGCTTCTCTTCGCCGCCCTCGCTTACCGAGTCCTCGCTCTGCAGGAAGCGACCCTGCTCGTCGTGTCAACTGCGAAGTTCGTCGTTCTCGCTCGCTGATGTCATGTTGAAGCTGACGACACGTGTCGAACCATTTGCAGAGAGCGAGACCGCTTGCCGCTACGAGGACGAAGGGTATGGCGGCAACGGCCAGTGGCGTTTCGTTGGACCTCAGGGAGAGACCATGGATGTCTACGAGCCTGAACCCGCCAGCGATCCTGAGTCTGACCGGGCTGATAACGTACCCGTCGAGCAATCGTGCCTAATTGGTGGCGTTGTACCTGATGCAAAGTAAGCACCGCCATGCGATTCTGTCGTCACTGTCAGCTCATGTTGTTGCAGCATGAACACCGATCTACTCAACGAGGTCGCACAGGTTCGGCACCAGCTGGAGGCGTTGGAGCGCCAACTGAAACAAGGCAATCAAGGCGCTTCTCATCCAGCGGTGGCTTCGCTGCGCGCAGCTACCCAGGAAAACCCATCCGACATAGACATGGCACCAGTTACTTTCGATGCGCCGCCTCAGGCGGTACAAAACATGTCTGGGATGTTCTTGGGCCCTACCAGCGATGTGTTCGCCGTGAACCAGGTATGTCGTGATGTCACTGTGGCGTGCAGTTTGCTTAGGGTATCTCTACGTGCTGTAGTTCGTCGGCGGGCGACCTTCGCAGGGCCTTCCGAGCTTTTTGTCGAACCATGTCCCCGTCCTCGACGTGCGTCACCACGACGCAGATCTTGTCGCACAGCTCCCCGATCACAACACCGTGGAGTACCTCATCAACCATTACTTCGAATACTGCAACTGGATCTACCGCTTCGTTCATGAGCCAACCATTCGCGATGCGTGGCGGCGGTTTAGGAACGGCCAGTCCATGACCCGCGTCGAGCTCGCCACTGTTTGCGTCGTTATCGCAATCACTATCCGGTATCTTCCTCTCGATCACAAACTCTTCTCCCTCCTCCGCGGCGGTGCGATCGAATTGGGAAACACCTACTTTAGGGTATCCTGCGATCTTCTCGAGCGTCACCGCGAGATCACGCCGACGCACAGGACTTACACGCTCGAGCTGGTCGAGCTCGTTTTGGCGCAGACGCACTACCTCATTTTCTCAGAGAAGCGCCGCGAGGAGGTCTGGATTCTGTGCGGCGAGCTGCTCACCATTACTACCGCTATGGGTCTGCACCGCGATCCCCAGAACGTCTTGCCGGTCGAGCTCGCTGAGCGGCGCCGCTGGGCATGGTGGAACCTTATGCTCGTCGAGCGCTGGCACGCCTTCTCTCTGGGTCGGCCCATCCGTATTGCCTCTGACCACTTCGACGTCAAGCTGCCAGCACACAACCCGAACTCCGTCGGCTCGGACAGGATCCACCTGCCGAATATCGCCCTCTTCAAGCTTATGTACATCTCCGCGGCGACTTCGGACGAGGCGATGGCGAACATCAGGGTCACCTTGCCGATCCTGCAGCAGAGGGATAAGCTGTTGACTGACTGGTTTGACGAGCTCCCTAAGGAGGTGTTCCAGGATGGCCAGGAGTTGACCAACAACCTTGTCAGCCCGATGCCGGCTGTTCGCCGTCTCGCTGTCCAGGGCACGATCTTGCGCGGCTTGTACAACTACATCCGCTTCACCCTTCATCGTCCCAACATCCTCTTGCCGATGAGCTTGGACATCGGAATTCACTGCGCGTCGGACCTGATCGGCCTGATGGCGCAGGCGCACGACTCGAACACACCGGGTCACTTCATCTGGGGCCCCTGCCAGACGTTCTCGGTCGCGATGTTCTTCTCCCTGCAAATCATCATCAACCCATCCAGTCCCGCGCGCACCTGTACCAGGAGCAGATCAAGAAGGCGATCACGCTGTTCAAGCCGGACTGCTGCCTGCCGGGCATCGCGGACGGTGCGATCACGATCCTCGGCACGCTTGCGCCGTTATTCGAGAGCGACCTGCTCGCGAACCCGACGCCGGAGGTGACGCGCGAGAAGGAAGAGATTCTGCACCTGGTGAACAACATGACGTACCCGCACAGAGAGCTGCCCGACTTCAACGCGTTCGCGGGCGAGACGTACGAGGGCATGGACGTGCCGTTCGCGCAGCGCGGGTGGTCGGCCGCGTCGTCGCCCGCCCGCGCGAGTTCCGTCGCGTCGTCTGCCAGCAGCACGCGGCCCACGCTGTCGCAGGCTGGATCGTCGGGCTACCAGGCGAACGGGTACGTGGAGCCGACCCCGACGTACGCTTCGGCTTCCTGGGACCAGCAGCAGGGATACCCGAGGAACCCGCCATCCGACTCGGGCCACTCGCACTTGTCGCACTCGCCGCCCGCGCTCTCGCCTGGTGCGTCCTCCGAGTCGAGCAACCCGTCGAGTCCCGACTTCAGGGCGCACGTCCCGCAGTACGCGCTGAGCCAACAGGCCGTCACCCCGCCCGACACGACTGGGTTGGGCTATACTGAGTACCAAAGTCAAGTGAACATCCAGGACGAGAAGATGTTCGCTCCGAATACGTACTACGACTTCCCGGGCGCGCCGGGCCCGACGATGCAATACGGCGTGGACCCGAACGGGAACGGGATCCGCGTGAACAACGTCAACGTCAACTCGTTCTATTGAAGATGCTCTCACTGTCTATGATCCATGGTTTCGTCATGCTCTCCACCTCGTCTCTCTCGTCTCGTGTCCGTCGCTCTCGCTATCTACTACTCGTTGTACTATTAATACGTTGAGGTCGTTGCTCGGGCAGTGCTCAGGGCCGTTCTTCGTGCTCGTAGAGTTGGCCGTGAGTGCAGCGGCTCGGCAACGATGCATTGGTGAGCCGTCCCCTCCCGCCCGTCTTCGCGCTCCCTGCTCACAGCGCCCCGCAGGTGTCTGGTCCTTGGGCGAAAATGTGCACTATGGGCTCGAGTACTGTATGCTGTCATTGTGCTCTGAATGTTGGATGTGTTCGTATGCCGCGCGCTCTGGCGTGTGCGTTGTAACTGCAGTACGGTTCCGTGGAGGACAATTAATTGGTTATTTACAGAATGCCGCCCCCCTCGGCGGGGCTCTCGTCAGCGTCAGCGTCAGCCGCGGCATGCACGCCAATCGCCTGCATCCTCTGCATGTCGCCATCGCGGAACCGTCTGGACCGCCATTGAATCGGTGGTCCTATACAGAGCCGCACATGGGAACGCTAAATGGCTTCTTACGCCCGATGTTGCCCCAATTGCCTGCGCAGTGTCCTGGGAGGGGACTCGTTCGCAGTACGGAAGCGCAATCTATCAGGGGAATCTCGTTAGCCCATGCATGTGCCTCGCTACGTCCGAAGGTCTGTCTACCCGTTTATTTCGTAACTGCCCGTTATAGATCAGTGCAAGAAACCAACATGTGGGTGGACCGCGGTGCGCGTTTCTGCATATATCTCTTGGTTCTCAGACTGAGATTTGTATTGCTTTGGCAGTTTGGCATACTGGGTTTGCGCTGTGACCCTCGGCGTTGCGGACCCGTGAATGTACCGTGAGGGCAATTGTGTTATGTTGATATCCCTTGTTGCGTCGCTGACGGTGGCGGATGTATGTTGATCATGCTGCATTTCGTATGAGACCATGGTCGCGGGCTGAATGTCGCAGGGCTCGCTTGCATTGCTGTCAAGGTTTGCGCTCACAACCATGGCATGTTACTGTTCGTGAGACTGTGCCTCGCATTTGTCTCCTGCGCCTTGCTCGCCGATGCACAAGACTCCGTCGGGCAGCCGTCCGCCACAGAGACCGTCTGGGTGACCGACGTGGTCACGTCGTCTATCCTTGACGCGCCGGCGACAGTGCCCACAGGCTCCGCGGTCCTTGAGGCTGCCGCTTCTGTTACGTCCCTGCTGCTGGCGCCCCAGGCTTCGTCCTGCCGTCGCCCCTTGCGGGTAGTGCGACCCCGTCGACGGACCCTCTCGTCGTGCCGATAACCATCCCAAGCCCGACGACCGTCACAGACATCGCGACCGACACGCTGACAGCGACGTTGACAGAACCTCCTGTCACCGTGACCGTCCCCGCGGCATCCGTGACCGTAACGGCTGTGGTAACGATCTCGCCCATGCCCCCGCCCGCCGCACTACAGACGGCGTGGATCGCCCCCGCGCAAATGACGAACCTCTCCGCCTTCAACATCACCTACTTCCCCTCGGGGCAGAAGAACGTGCAGATCCTGCCCGGTGTCCCCGCGGACCCTGGCCTGGCCCCGCTCGCCTTCCTCGCAGACGCCGCATCCGCCAGCGCCCCTGCGACCTCCGCGGACTCGCCGCAAAGCACGATCGCGGCCGCGGTGATGCAGCTGTTCTACCCCCAGGACTCGATCGATCCTGGAAACCCGGACACGCCCCAGGGCGGCGCGGACTTCTACGCCACGCCGCTGGACCTGCGCGGCGCGCGGGGCGTGGCCCTCGAGTACAGCGTGTTCTTCCCGGGCGACTTTGACTGGGTCCAGGGCGGGAAGCTCCCGGGCATCTATGGCGGCAAGGTAGGCTGCTCTGGCGGCGATGCCGCCGTGACGTGCTTCAGCACACGGCTCATGTGGAGGCCAGACGGCGCGGGGGAGCTGTATCTGGTATGTCTGCACGTTGCGATCCTCGGACGTCGAGCTCACATCGGTCGGTGCGCCAGTACGCCCCGAAGGACAAGCAGACGAAGGCGCTCTGCTCGACGCCGCCACAGTCCGTCTGCGACGCTGCGTACGGCCTCTCTGTCGGCCGGGGCTCCTTCTACTTCGCTGCTGGCAACTGGACTCGGGTAAGGCAGACGGTGACATTGAACACGCCCGGTGCGCAGGACGGCGGATTCCTTCTGGAGGTGAATGGCCAACCTGTCATCGATCGTTCGGATGTCTTCTATCGGGACGCTGTTGCACCTTCCAAGGGTGACGGCAGTGCGAACGATAGTGGCGCCGATGGCTCTTCTGGGTCCAGCTCTGGTGGTCTCTTGGGGGGTCTACTTGGAGGGCCTCTGCGTATCGCTCTGTGGCCTGACAGCAACTTCCTGATGTCGCGCGATGACACGGACGACGCGGTGCCGGCGTCGCCTGCACCAGGAGGCACGATGCGCACAGCTGACCCTACCATACCTGTGGAGCTAGTCACGACCTTGCTGCCGAACACAACGACGGTGCAGAGTACGTCGACCACTACAAGGCTCAGTACCACGGATCCTGGTCCCTTGCTGCAGTTCGTCACGGCGTTCGAGACGAGCACGGCTGTTGCGTATCCCACCGCGTTACCCGGGAAGAGCTTGTTCGGGATCAAGGAGGTGCAACAGGCGGAGCCCGTCGGCTTCACGGGTCTGTTCTTCAGGTGCGTATCTTGGGTATCCCTCAGCGTTGCGTGGAGGCTGATGAGCGTGTAGCACTTTCTTCGGGGGCCATGAGCAGGAGTATGCTAGTCCGAGGGATCAGTATGCGTGGTTTAGCAACTTCTCAATGACTATCGTCGCTTGACTAGTCTGGCCCTGGCGTTGTGGGCCCTCTTGAGTACGATGATTGCAGCTCTCGGTCCTGGCCTGCGATTTCTGTAGGCAGTTGATCATCTACAGCCAATACTGAGACAACACACGTACCGGAGCGAGCACATACTGAGTACTGATTCGTAGCTGCATTCCAGCTGCACACCCAGGTACTCACTATACACTTGCAACCCATTGCATGAGCGGCGGCGGGAACCTACTGTCAAGACGTCGTCTCCGGAAGGTTCGGATGGTGGTCAATGTTTTGTTTGCGTATCGCCATTGACAGCGAGAGACGACGTGCCGTTGCCAGTAGCCATGGGTTCACCACTCACATGTACATGCAATAGATCACAGTCATGTTTAAAAACAATGTCTAGTCTTGCATGGTGCTGAGTCTGTTTGCACGCTGCCCGCTTCGAATCCGAGCAAGCGATGTAACCGGTGGCTTGTACTTATGTAGTAAGTTGTACATGGCCGGCGTCTTCCGGAGCACTGATTTATTGATCTCAGCGCTCCTGCGCGCGAGACTGCTAATTGAGGAGGACGGCTGAGATGAACCCGCGCCCTCTACTTTCAGCGTCCTCTCCATCTCACCAGCTTCAGTCTTGGGCCCAGGGTACGGAAGCGCGACGATATCCTTTTGTCTGGCTGTGAAGGCGCACCGCAAAGGCGTGGTGGTTCCATACACTTCGAGCAGCACGGATCTACACATCGGCCTCATCTCACAGCCTCAGACCGTCAGAGTGTCTGCTCGAGTCATTCGCAGGGCTGGCGAGGACGCAGCTGCTGACCAGAACTGCCATCACGGTGCGTGTATCGTCGGGCATCGCCCTGTTGTGCTGCTGCCCATTCCGGGATCGTCGCGCAGCCATCCACGATTGGACCGCAGTGACACGCAGGGTCTTCCCGTCCCCAGAACTGCCCCTTCCAGCGCATATCTCGTGACGGCGCGAAGATGCAGTATACGCCCGTTATTCCGCCCGCTCCTGGCTCCCATTCCGCCTCCCCCAGGCAGCCCCCACACCTCCCCGCCCTCTCCCCCCACAGCCCGCAAGCCATGCCGCCCTGGGCCTCCCCCCATCAGTTCCCCGTCTTCGTGGGGCCACAGATGATGGGCGGCCCGCCCGGGTCCTACTTCATCCCCCCCGTCGCGCTGCCCCCGCAGCAGGCCCCGAACTCCCCGGTCGCGCCAGTCGGAAGCGGCGGTTTTTCAGCCGACTGGACAGGCTTTCCTACGAGTGCCTCCGCCGCCAACTCCCCGTACATGCAAGCGGGCTCGCCAGGTGCTCACACGCAGTCTTTCCCGCCACAGTCCGCGCCCGGGACGGGATACAATGCCTTCCAACAACCGCTGCCGCCTGGCTACGGAGGGCCGCCTCCCGGGATGCATCCAGCGATGTGGAATATGATGGGGATGGGCATGCCTATGGGGACGCCGTTTATTATGCCACAGGGCTGGCCAGGTACGCCGTTCATGCACCCTGGGGCCGGAGGCCTCCCGCCCCAGGCTGCCCCCGCCCCGCCCCCCAGTGCCCCCAGGCCCCGCCGCAAAACGCACGCGTGCCGCCGATGTACGCGAACCAGTTCGACAAGATCGACAAGTTTGCAGAGGGGCCACATTGTGAGCGATCGTACAGTTTCGCCACGCACTCGCTGACCACGCGATCGCGCAGATGGCCCTGTCCTGACGCCGCTCATGGTGAAGAAAGTGCGGGCGCGGCCAGAGCTGAACCCGCTCCTCACGCCGCCGCCCGAGGAAGGCACCCACGACTTCATCAAATGGAACATGCTCTTCTCGACCGCGCAGTGCCAGCGCTCGTGCGACCCCTCCCACCGCTCGTGGTCGAACGGCCGGAACGCGCCCGCCACCTGGCCGCGCGTCACGTCCCTCCGCCTCGTGTCGCGCGCGATCCCCGCGCCCATCGAGGTGCCCGCGGCGAGCGCGGAGGCCGGCGTGACGTGCGGGGACGTCATCGAGGCGATCTGCAACTACATGAACGGCCGCCTGACGCAGCAGCAGTACAACACCGCGTCCGACGCGCAGAAGCGCGTGCTCTCCGAGGCGTACTACCACAACCGCTCGACCGCGCAGGGCGTGCCCGGCGGCCGCCTCCCGCAGACGCTCCTCCGCTTCGACTGGCTCGGCCAGGACACGATGTACGGCGGGTGCGAGGCGAACGAGCAGCTCGTAAGGGACCTGTGCGGCGGGCTGCCGTGCGTGTACGAGCTCAAGACCGTGCGGCGCTACCCGATGTCGGAGCAGGAGATCGAGGAGCATGAGCGGAGGGAGGCGGAGGCGGAGTCGCGGCGCAGCAGGAGCCGGAGGAGATCGCGTGCGACGTCCCGGGCGACGTCCGTCGCTACCTCTCGGGTCGCGAGCGAGCAGCCAGAAGAGGATGAATATTGAGAATTCCCCTTGGTGCGTCGTTGCATCAGGCACGACTGTACGACATCTGTAGACCACGACCCTGTTCATCTTCATTGTAGATACCTTTCGTTGCAGTCTACGTTATTTCTGCGCTTCGCGTCTATAGGCTTTGCTTTGGCTTGCTCGCTTTTCTTTGGAACACAATGCGCTACTGTACGATATCCCGACTGCTGGATACCTCGCTCTCCTGTTCCGTCTCTCGGCTGTCGTGTCGCAAACGCTCTTGTATCGCATATCGTCTTCCCCGGCCCACTCCAAAATGTAGCTGACTGTACCATAGCAATCCAAGTTTAGTTGTCTTTACTAGAGGAACTGAGGCCGGCCTCTGCCATCTTGATCGCAATGTGTAGTAGCATTAACAAGCGCGTCGAGTACAATGACAGTCATGCAGAGCACGACCTCAGAAGTATTGCGAGAACAGCCGTACCACAAACGCGGCGAGCACAGCGAGGAACGCCCAGAACAGCATCAGCAGCGACGAGTTGACCACGACCGGGCCCTTCGCCGCCGCCTCCTTGAGCGCGCTCTCCAGGCCCTTCGCCATCGCCTCCATCCCAAAGTACTCCGCCGCCCGCTTCTTCGCGCGCGCAGCCAACGCCTGCCGCTCCTCCGCCGAGAAGCCCACGATCTCCGCCAGCGCGTCCGCCCAGACGTCCGGCTCGGGCGCGCGCAGCCAGCCGGTGCGCTCCTCCGGCGGGCCGTCGACGACGCTCTCCGTGGGGCCGCCGCCGTTGCACGCGAGTACGGGCAGGCCGCAGACCATCGCCTCCACGGGCCCGATCCCGAAGTGCTCGTTCATGGGCGTGTAGAGGAGCGCGAGCGTGGAGGGCGCGGAGAGGAGCGCGGACCGCTGCGCGGTGGTGAAGTTGAGGAGAAAGAGGACGTCGGGCGCGGCGGGGGTCGTGTTGAAGGGCGGGACGGTGATGCGCGAGGCGGAGGGGGTGATGATGTTGAAGGAGAGGGAGTGCGCTTTGGCACGGTCGATGAGCGCGACGAGCGTCATCATGTTGTCCTCGAGCCGGGGGTCGTAGCCGCCTGGTGTTACTTGAGCATTACCGGAGTTGGAGGAGAAGGCGGCGACTTACCGGCGACGACTAGCCGCATCTTGCTTGAGGAAGGAGAAGTCGCGTCGCTGGCGAGCTTCTTCCGGAGGAGCGCGAACGCGTCGACGGCCAGCGCGGCATTCTTCTTCTGCTCGAATCTGTTCAGCGATAGCAGCGTTGGGTGGTCTCTACTCTTCGGCGCAGCTCAGTGCAGTACGAGGTCCTTAGGCAGTGGAGGACGTACGAAGCAATGTCTAGGATATCTTGGTCCTGGGTATCGAATGAGGTAGCCTCGTAGGCGGACAAGTTGATGCCGGGATATACGACCTTGGGCGTTGACGGGATAGAGGCGAAGTGCATCTTAAAGACTCGAGCGGTGAACTTTGAGTTGGCGAGTATCACGTCGGCTTGTCCTGCAGCGCGAACTTAAGTATGCGACCACAAGCGTTGCATGACTACTCACTCGTCGTGAACTCCTCGAGCCAGTCCATGGGCAAGCGATACACGCGTTTCAGCAGACTCCCTCTCCGCCGACCCTTCCCCTCCACATACGCGCCATCCGCGAGAAGCTTGTCGGGGAAGTGGCAATAGAACACCGCTCGTGTACGCCCCAGAGCGCGCAGCAACGGCACACACGTCGACAACTGGTCGACGAAGTACACGTCGTACTTCGGTGTGGTCGACCGGAGCAGGTGGGTCGTGAGGTGCAGCTGGCGAGCATGCGAGAGTAGTATGTGGAATTTGCCGCGGAATGAGCGGGGGAAGGGCGGGGTGATGTTATGACTTTCAATGTTCCTGGACGGGCACGGTAAGGCGCGCGTAGCATGAGATGCTACGGGAACATACCGTCGCGTGTTTCGTCGAAACAATGGTTCGGATCGTGGTGTGACGTGTATATGTCGACTTCATGCCCGAGCTTCTGTAGGCCCAGGGCAGCGTCAACCACAAGTCGTTCCGCGCCGCCTGCGTCAAGCGCATGAGGTCTGCACCTGCTTGACTATGTCATAGCTCTACGCACCTATACCTAAATCAGGGTGAACAAACGCGATACGTAGTTTCGCAGACATAGCGAGATCGTCTAGCGTTTAGTCCAGGGCTTCAAGGTTGAGCACAGTTGAGCACAATGGCTTCATCGAGGTGAGAGGAGGAGGAGGAGGAGGAGGAGGAGGAGTAGGAGGAGGGGATAGAGGGATGCGTATTAGGACAAGGTCACGGTCACGTGCCTATGTTGACGTGTTCGCGATCAAGCGCCCAGCGTGCCGTAGGCTTGGGCGCTAAATCGCGATTCTCCTCTCTTCGACCATGATGCTCATTGAGACATCTCTTGCCCTCCAAGCTCGTCTTTGACCTGGAGTCGGGGGTGATTCATACATTATTCTTACAATTGAAGTGTGCAGAACGATTGCATACATTCGATGTCTAATTTCACTTTTGTATGATACAATGTACTAAGTAATCTGATGCAGCCTACCAATTTCGACGTACTACCTTAGCGTACAATGGAGAAGGGAAGCATGACAACAACCAGGTGAGTAGTCTCTTTCGACCGAACCTTAGTCGACCTGCTGATGTATGTGTGATAGTGCTAGTGCCTTGGCTAGTGCATCCCAATATCACCACTGTCCTCGCCCCTCTATGACGGCTACGTACTACTTCGCCGGTGCTGGGGCGGATGATAGACATCCAGTTTTGTTCGTAGTGAAAGTCTTTCCTTCATTTTGCAGCGCAGACGTCGAGAAGAGCGGACGCCTCATATGTGAGTGCAACAGTATCTGACGCTGAGTCGCCTTCTCAGAATGCACAAAGCGCAGGCGTGAATTGGTTGGAGTCACGACCTTCTCATTGAGTCTCATTTGATGTTGCAGTCATTGTTAACCCTTCAAACAGTGCGAAGTCAAATTGAGGTCTGCGAACGCATCGCTTCGGGTAGGAACGATGACCCATGACAAGCAGGTCCATGTTTCTCTGTTCAAGTTGAAGAGCGGGTAGTACTATCGCCCAAAAGGTGAGCGTCGTCTTTGGCTATATTCAACTAGCTGGAATGTTGAGATCCGAGGACTAGCAGAAAGGGGATGCATATCACATCCCTACCACGTACTTGTGCATGGCACGCGGAGTGCTGAATACATGAGATGCATGGTCCGATGGCTCTCTAGCCCCTTGCCATTCGAAATGATGTTCTCATACTTTTAGATATCCTCCGTTCGGGTGTGCTTATATCGCCGTGATCGCTTGTCTGTTCGCTCGGACGAGAGACGCTCAGAGTGCGCGAATAGGCGGCCAGGCTCATTCTGCACAGCGCTTAACAGAAGAACGGAGTTCGTGAGTACGCCCTAAGTAATTCTTTCATGACAACTGTTGATCCATCGGACCGAACACAGCGTCATCAAGCGTTACCGTAACATCGCCTAGCCTCCCAGTCCAGACTGCAGCTGCTCACAGATGTGGCAACCTATCTTCCTCGAAATTGCTCAGCTGTGCCTTCAGGTTGTCTGACTTTATCGAACCCAAAGTTGCGCATTTCATCATACCGACTGGGGGGGCTCGTATATCATATGCCGCACTGGTCAACCTCGGGCACGGGGCATGGACAACCTCAGTCATGACCGAGTGGAGTGTCAGTGAAGCCCGCAGATACGAGGTCTGAAGTGATTCCTCTTGCTTTTTGTCGCGTCAAGTGATTGCTGACACTGCGATGCCATGGGTGCTTGGTTAACAAGTGTGAGAGCTGGTGATTGACTACAGCTTCTGTTGTGAACTTTACAGGCGCTCTATGCAGACGACACGATTCCGACAGTTCTACCGGAGCAATTTGTGCTTCTGATACACGATCCGGCCTAGGTATGCTGAGGTCTCGAAGACGAGCGAAGGCACGTGTGTTTGATTGTGCTTCTCTCGAACACTGACTACTCCTCGTGAAACAGGGGCAGAACTTCGACTTCTATCCTGAGGCGTATTCCCACCTCTGGTAGTACTTCATGGCAATCGACAGGAGCGCGAACTGATCATGTCAGCGTGCTCCGTTGGTCAGTTTAGCCAGCGACGCGCAAGGAGTTTCAACATGAAATCCCAACAAAATAACGCCAATAGCAGAGCCCTGGAATGCACTCTAGGCCTACTCGGGGTATACTCGCAGACCGAGCAATTCAAACCTCATGGAACCTCGGAATGGATGCTCGCGACATCCATCGAATGCCCCGCCACGGTCATTTCCGATAGTGACGTGAAGCTCGACAACATGGCACGAATGTCAATGCTCGCTGCTGCCTATGCCCAACTGTACCACGCTTCTTCTGATTGATATGTCGCCGTCCAGCATGCTTGATAATCAGCGACCGAAAGTCAGATGCTGTTCGCCTTGGACAGTACTTATGCAATTCCAAGGCCCGGGTGGATTGTCGGTCCAAGGATAAAATGATCGACGCGCAGCCGTCGCACCCTCGTGTCTCTGCTCCCGTAGTCATAAGTAGGGCCTTCCTTTCTATTTTCTTCGTGTTTGCACACCACTGTCTTCAGCGCTGCCATGACTTCCGCAACAGAAGCGAAACAGGGCTACTCGGAAGACCACCTCCCACAATTCACGCCCATGCCATGGTGAGTACTCTACGTTTACACAGTACTGATACTCATCACGTCGCAGGTCCTTGAGCGAGATTCGCGCAGCTATTCCTGCACACCTCCACGTGCGAAATACGCGGACGGGTTTGTTGTACTTGGGTCGCGACCTAGCTATGGCAGCACTCGCATGGAGAATCGCCGTCTACATCGATCCCACCTTCCGCAGCACCTACATAACACACCACCTTACTCATCGCGGAGCTGAGACTATGCGATGGTGCGCGTGGCTTGCGTAGTATGTAAGTTAAACTCTCTGTCTCAACACGAGGCCTCACATGCCCGAAGTTGGTGGTTCCAGGGACTGATCTTTACCGGGATCTGGGTTATCGGCCACGAAGTAAGTTCCGACTGTTCGGGCTCCATTACACTCACCCTATAAGGTGCTATTCGCAGTGTGGTCATGGCGCGTTCTCTGCCAACAAGCGCGTGTGCGACATAGTCGGATATGTGCGTCGTGCCTCTGCCACAAAGATGATCGACTGTCAGCTTACAACGGCAACGTTCAAAGATAACACACACGCTCCTCTGGACGCCATACTTCAGCTGGCAGATTTCGCACCACCGTCATCACAGCAACCATGCGTCCATGGAACGTGACGAGGTGTACATCCCCAAGACCCGCAGCGATCTCGGCATCCCGAAGGAGGGAGAAGTCGAGTTCGACTACGAAGACTATTTCGGGGACACGCCTGTTTACACGCTATTCATGCTGATTCGCCAGCAGCTTCTCGCGTTCCCCGCGTACCTGCGTGAGTCTAAGATCTGGTGATCGACGTCCGCGATTGACGAACTGACCTGTCAATCAGTCTTCAACGTGTCTGGCCGAAAGGATTACCCAAAAGGGACGAACCACTTTGATCGTACGTCAACGCTGTCCATGGCCTGAGGGCAAGCCGCTGACATCGGTTTCGCAGCAAAATCCGTACTGTTTACTGAGAGGCAGCGCAATGCCGTGATACTTTCAAATATTGGTATTGCATCCATGGCCTGGGTCCTCGCGGTGGTTAGCAGGATCTGGGGTGCCTCGGAAGTCATTAAGTACTACGGCATTCCGTGGCTGTTGGTCACTCACTGGTCCGTACAATCCATCTCGTGTTGGCGAGACCACGGCTGAATAGATAGCACTGTTGACAGGTTCATAATGATCACCTACCTCCACCACACCGATATGGAGCTCCCACACTATCGCAACGGTCAATGGAACTTCCAGCGTGGGGCTGCAGCGACCGTTGACCGCAACTTCCTGGGCTGGCAAGGCCGGTTCTTCCTCCACGATGTCGCCCACTTTCATGTCATTCACCATTTCTTCCCGATGATACCCTTCTGTCAGTGGCTCACAATTTCCGTTCATCATACTCACCTCATGAATGATATCAGACAACGGCGCTGAGGCCACAGATTATCTGAAAGCGTTCATAGGTGATCATTACCGGTACTCCGATAAACCGGTCTTCCAGGCGCTTTGGGAGACCTACAACAATTGTCAATTCGTCGAGGACAAGGTCAGTACTCACCCGCGAAACGTTGTGTATCAGCGACCGCGCTCACATCGGCTCGGCTAGGCGACATTCTGTTCTATCGGGACCGCACAGGGAAAGCGAGGGTCCGACCTGCTAGCCCTTTCCGGGCGGAGACTTCGGATAGCGACCTTGCCCAACAGACTGGGAACTCCTTTTGACGGCGCGCGCTGCGCACGGACGTCCCCGCAGAAGTGCGGCAGCTGTACGAGGAGGGGATTGTGGCGTCCGTTCCTGCGAGCCGAGCTACCACGAGGCACGCCCTCTCACACCGCTGAGAAGTGCCTCTTTCTCCCGTGAGCGTTTGTAGAATAGATAGACTTCCGGTGTGCTATTAATGACCAAGGGGGATATGTTCCGTGATAATTGACTTCCTGCGTCTGCTTCCTCTCCCACCTCGGTTCGACTCGGCTTACCCATCCGATGGTCGCTTCCCTCTCGTACATACTTAGTCAGTTGTCGTGAGGACAGCGTGATTCCTAGATGCAGGGTTTTTGTTATTGGGGCCGTCAACGTTTCAACGGCGTGAGCGGGAGTCTAGACGTTTGTATGTAATGGTCGTCGTACCCTAAGCTACTATATCTTGACTAGTAGTACTGTGCGTTCTCGACGGATGATGACGCGGACGTCCAGCAACCACGGCACGGTCATGACATGATGGATCTGATTTTTTGCTCAAGCTTCAAGATCCAGCTGGCTGGGCCGTGATACAAAACCCACCCGAGTCAAATTCCTTCAGGTACGAACATCGAATGCCATGTATGTATACAAAACGATATTATCAACGTACAATTTGCAAAACCGAGGCACTGTTACACGTCATGCAGAATCCATACAATGAGCACAGCAACAAGGTGTTTGGGAAAGCCGGAGAACGCGGAAGCGGGAATGTATCGAAGACGGGGAGCGAAGACGCTGAGGAGGCGAGACTCAATGGCCAGAGCCACGAGGCTTAATACTGGGAAAGACTAAGGACGAAGATATTGGAGGCTGCGTAGCCTAGCCTCTGCTTGGCGTAGTGGTCTTTCCGAGACATATCCTTGAAGTAGACGAACTCTCGGAGCCAATCTGCCATTGACGCGTAAGCGGCCGTGTGGGAGGTATGAAGACTTCGCAGTAGACGCACCTGCTCTGCGCAGCCGCTGAGGCGCGGTGGGTTGCGCACTGTAGTATGCTGACCATCCGCCGGTGTTGCCTGCTCCGCCGGCAGCTGCGTATCGCTTGATAGCATCCTGATTTCGGACGTGGAGTTTGCTGAGTTCATCATCCGTAACCATCGTATCGGAGTACCTGCGAGCACGGTCAGCACATGGCCCTAGCTTCGAGGCTTTGGGAGGACGCACTCTCTCCATAGTGTGGTGCAGACGTCGTTCAGGGTAACACCTGCGGGATTCTTCACAACCGTGCACCATGGGCTGATCTCCGTGATGATTATGAGGGTATCGATGCGGGGGAGTGTGGCGGGCTCGTCTTTCGCGGTGAATGGGAGATCGCGGTCTCGGGATTCGAAGTTGAAACCGCCCGTCTGACCTGTGCAAAACGCCATGCTGAGAGGCAATACGAACGGATGCTCTCGAGTGCACGTACCTGTGGACAGGTTGAACGAGAGCTGGAAGCTGCCCTGCTCTCCTGCTAGGATTGGGTGTAGCTCAAGGGAGACATTCTCGAGGAGATAGAGGTCCGTCTGCGTGAGGACTGGTCCAACTGCAGGGGGATATGTCTCAATGAAGGGAGTCAGGCAGATGCCGCTTTACGCACAAGAATTGCCCGGGGCCCATTTGGGAACCGCAACCCAATCGTGCGCACTCATCTCTGATAGTGTCGACTACAGTGATCTCGCCCGGTAAGTTCTGCACGTAAGCTGCTGTACAGAGGAGGGGATGGCCGTGATACTGCAAGTTTCAAGCGCCGCTGCTTAACGCAAGTGACAATAGGTTGTCGGGCTCGAGTCAGGAGAAGTTGGGCAAAGCTGCCTCAAGGCGGTGGCTCTGCGGTCGTTTCCCGCTCGAGGCAGCGGCGCCTGCGCATCGATTGCTAGATCGCATGACTGATCTGTCTGGTATGGCTGTGCCGTACAATAGTAGATACGACTCGAAGGCGATGGGACAGCCATGACGGCTCTCAGGTTCCATAGGGCGTGTGCTGTTGAGAGGAAGAGTTGGCTGTACCAGTTGGTACCAGGCTCGGCAAAGACACGAAGACGGTAGGGGAGATTAGATTAGATCCGCTCAGATCAGTAACTCGATCATGCACGGCACACACTTGCGTTCACCTGTCTGCAGTACCACCACTTGCTTGATCATTCTCATCTGTACACCTTACTATCCAAATAACGTCGCCTCGCTACCAAATGGCCCCAAAAGGAGGGAACGCAAAGAAAGAGTCGGGTCGGGCCAAGAAGGCCGAGAACGAGGCGCAGAAGCAGCAGGCAGCTGAGGCAGAGAGGGTGCGCTACACATTGCGAGTTCCATACGATTATACCTGACAAGATTTGTAGGAGCGCAAGGTTGCAGAGAAGTGGTCAGATGGTTCGAAGTCAAACAAGAAGAACGAGGACAAGGAGGCCAAGCGTCAGGCAGAGTTGGTTCGGAAAGCGGAGAAGGCAAGGCTACTAGCAGAGGAGGAGGCATCTGTGGCAACGAAGAAGGTCGCGCCCAAGGCAGGAGCGAAGAAAGCAGGTTCCAAGGCAGCCAAGCCTGCTGGTCCTGGTGCGATCGCTGCCGGGGGCGTGCTCGCGGATGCGCCAGAGAAGGAGAAGGAGAAGGAGGTCTCAGCGGAGCCCGAGTCGTTCGCTGCAACCGGCCTTGACAATGCCCTCGATCTATTGGAGGTGGTCACGGCGAAGATGGACAAGGCCAGTGTTGGCCAGCGTGCCGCAGGACTTGAACAGCATCCGGAGGTACGTCTCAGAGCCCGCTCTGTGTGAAGGTGAAGGATCATAGTAACACTCACTTCCTTCATAGCGGAGGTTCAAAGCCGCATTTGAAGCTTACAAGGAGCGTGAGCTGCCGAACGCTCGATCCGACGTATGTTCACTGTTCTTATTACGATTGATGAAGCTCACTCACCGGTATTGCAGCATCCAGGATTGCGTCTACAGCAGTACCATGTAAGCTTGCTATGACTCAGTCCTTCGCGTCGCACGCCCAGAGCTAATCGCATCTCTTGACAGGATCTACTCTACAAGCAATTCCAGAAGTCGCCCGAGAACCCGTAGGTTGCTGCATTCGTGACGTTCCATCCGTTGCTGATGGTCGTATATCAGCTTCAACCAAGTTACGGTGTCATACGATGCCTCAAAGGATGAGAAAGTCGAGGCACTGAAGAAGAAGACTACCGCGGTCGAGAACAGGCTGAAGTCACCCTGATGACTTCGTCGTTCTGTCCATCGCTGCGCATCGAATGTGCGAAAGAAGATTGACACCGCTCTTGGCCTCCCCCACTGTAGATCTATCGCATGCTAAGGTGTAAGAGGTGTGTAGTATCATGAATATGTACAGTATGGATGTACGCGCGGCACTGCGAGAATCGCCTCGTTGTATTTGAGCTGTGCATCATGACTGCAGCCAAGACACACGTTCGTATAGCAACACACGAACACATTCCGAGCATTCATGCATACGGCACAGGCTGCACTGCGTTCTGCTGCTTGTTCTGTCAGCCTGTTTCTCGCTGTGGGTCCCGCCACCAACCCGCCACAGCGCAGGACCGGATTACATAAGCGGAGTTTTTCCATTAAATCGTCTGCGATCCATGTCCCTCGTCACTCCTCCCCACCACCACGCCTCACCATCACTCTACCTTTACTCTTACGCGATTTGACATAACTGTGATGGCCTCGACGCCTCCAGGACGTTCGCCGTCTCCTCCTTCTCTCACCAGCAATTCTGGATCACCTAGCCCGCGGCGCACGAATACGCTGGTGATTACACAGCTACCAGCGACATTCTTCGAGCCAGTCGTGCTTGAGGCGCTGCAGCACCACTTCGCCACGTACGGACCCATCTACGCATGGGCACCCTTGAAATCTTTCTACAGGATAATATTAGTGTACCGCTCGGAGGACGACGCAGAACACGCGAAGGAGAGCTGCGACCATCTCATCGTCGGGTCAATAGACGACAGGTGGGCCCCACTTCATACTTGTTACATTCCTACACGCACTGATTGCGTCTGCAGTCCCGCCGTGACGCTGAGAGTTTTCCGCGCCGACCCGACGACAATCCTGACACCATCCGGCAGTGGCGAGGGTAACATGTATCTTCGGCCTCCAGAGCAGGAGAAGAACTTCCTCATCTCTCCCCCGGGTTCGCCACCCGTTGGATGGGAACCTATTCGAGAGGAGCCGCCCAATCCGACGCCGCTGGCGGATGACCTCATGACTGCGCTGAAGAGGCTGCAGATACAGGAGGAGAGCCGACATAGAGGACCGGGCCCGGCAGTCCTGCTCGAGCCGGAAGATGGCGTCGGCATCAGCGTGTATGTGGAAGACTGCGGCGATGGCGAGGGGGCCAGGTGCAGGAGGAGCGGGAGATGATTGGGTGTATGGGGAGACAGCTCCGGCGCGGGCGAGATGGACGCCTGCGCCAACAGCGTTGCCTCCCATGCCGATCCGTGCTTAAACGTATTGTGAGTGAGATGATCCTCCTAGTTTTTTGTTTGTTGCGAGAAAGTCCGCGTTTTCTATGATGATACCTTTTACAGACCTGTACCGACATCCTTTTGGATTATGCGGATTACTTCATATTGCTTTTCATCTGAGATACTCTGGCGCTTTCTACTCCGCTTCTATGACCTTAACTAACGCTTGTGTCCAGACTCCTCGCATTCGCCATGCACTCCGCGTTGTTATATGACTGTGAGTAGTCTTCCGATCGCATTCACGAGATGAGAACCTATCAGACCTGTTCTGACTTCCGCATGGAGAACAACCATATTATTGCCATGGATTCCTTCTGAAAATTCTTAGTTCCTGTCTGACCGTGTCGGCAACCATACTGACTCGCCGTTGCTTCAGCAGGACTATCCCCGGATTACACTGTACAGACTACGTTGCCCAGCTTGCCGTTGTCGACATTCACGCTCTATGCTCTGATGCATCTGTACCATACACACTCATGGACTATGTACTTACATACCCAGGTAATAGATGATTCCCTTAATGAGGCTGTATGATTCGCTTGCACGCGGTCTCTGTTACGATGTATGCTCATGCTGGCAATGTATTGCTCGATCGCGACCTGAGCTTGTGAAGAGCATCAGGCTGAGGATGGGTGAACAGTGTTGAGATGCACGGTGCGAGGAGGCGACGCAGAGTGAGTCAGTCGTCCTTTATATCGATGCCTGGTATTGACTGTAACAAGCTGTTGTGACTGGGCCATGACAATCCTTGTTTGGCTTCCTGAGCGCTTAAGCTATGTGCAGCGCGGATGGGCGTCTAAGAACAATGAGCAGCGGTCGGCGAGCGGTGAGGACAATAACGAGCACCGGCAAGCGACAACAACAGAAACAACACGGCAACCATGGCAATTATTCTCATATTCCATTTCAAGCGCACGGCTCATTGAACCGTGCCCTCCGTGCTCCCCCCTCTCCATCTTACGACCACTACCGCCTCTCTTTCCTCGGACGAGCTCGACATGTTTTCGAGCCTTCTCACCTTGATTCCACTCCTTTGGACCTCATCTGTTGGTATGTGCAGGAGTACTTGGTGATGGGGTATCGCTCACTAGACTCAATTATTAGCTGCGCAATCTGTTTCGGTCGTTTGCGTTGCAGGTCAATGCCTGGAAGGATATACCAATATCACTCGTGAGTCGTTGCGCTCTATCCCTGCTCGACGATATGCTCATCACTTGCAGTGGGAGCGACCTTGTCAGCGTCGGGGTCCTCGACCAGCTTGCAACTCCTCCCGGGGAGTATACCTCCACGACCAACCCCGAACTTCTTCATAACCTTTTGACGTCCTCCAGCGCCGCACTCTCCGCCAGTGCTGGCTTCTCCGTCAATAAGACTGTCTCGCTACCGCTGGACATCACCCTCCAGCCCGGCGCCGCCGTGTATTCCGGTGCCAACTACTCTGGCCAATCCTCTTTCAACGCCCTCCCGACAATGTCTCTACGAACAGCACGAAGCAACTCTCGGCAGGCTCTGTGGCACTCGCGTCAGATGTCTGGATGTCAGTATCCGGCGCGTCGTCCAGCGACCGCATCATACTCTGGAGCTCTATCCCAGATGTCTCGCAGCTCCCTTCGAGCTCCCTGGGCAGCTCGCTCACGCTACTCGACATGCAATCGACGGCGTGTTCGTCTCCCTGTTCATCTGGAGGCATCTGCTCTTCATCCGGCAATTGTATCTGCCAGAGCGGTTTCACGGGATCGTCTTGCGAGTCTTGCGCGACCGGCCATTTCGGACCTAGCTGCGAGCCTGTCCGACGGGCTGTCTGGACTGCGACGACGGCATCTCTGGTACAGGGAAGTGCCTCAAGTTCAACGTGACCGACGCGCCCTCGACTTGCAACTGCATCAACGGCGTTTGCAACTCGAAGGGCCAGTGCACTTGCAACGCAGGCTGGACGACGTCATCCAATGGTACCGCGTGCTCGACCTGCGCGAAGGGCTACTTCTTGGACTCGAGCGGCAACTGCGAAGGTAAGTCGACTGTCCTTGTCTACGGCACTCAAGAGCTGACAAGATGGGAATAGTTTGTGCACTGGGCTGCGAAGAGTGCGCCAGTGGTACCGGAGACTGCATCACATGCGAGTCTGGATTCACTCAGAGCTCAAACGATGCTACACAGTGCCTCGCAACTCCGCAGAAGACTTCTAGCGGTACGCAGTGCCCCGACGGCAGCTTCAGCAACGGCGCTTCCTGCGAACAGTGCTCGTCTCTCTGTCAGACGTGCAATGGGGCAACGTCTAATGATTGCATCATCTGCGCCACTGGCTCATACTCGTTCAATGGAAGCTGTGTCACCGCAAGCAGCTCTGGCGTCTGCGAGAACTCGAACATGATCGCCAACAACAACAAGCATGAATGTGACAGTGAGTGTGCACGATCTTGAACATGATTGATGTAGGCTAACAGAGGACAGGTTGCCCGGCCAAATGCACGACCTGCGAGATCCCGAACTTCACGACTGCATCGACGACCAACCAGGCACAGTGCACGGGTTGCATCGCCGGCAATGTACTCTCAAATGGGTCATGCATTGAGAGTTGTCCGTCGGGTACTTTTCTTAACCCGAAGGATAACTTGACATGTACTGGTAAGTGGATCGAATCGACATCGCCTGTCATTGACTAACGATAATCTTACAGCATGCGATTCGTCTTGCAGCACCTGTGCAGGATCGGCAGACTTTGTCTGACATGCGCAAAACCAGCTGCTTCGAAGGCACTTGCACGTCTTCTGCCCGTCTAACCCGTAAGCTCTCGGAGCTGCCTTGCCTGCCACCCGACTGCGCGACCTGCTCTGGGACCTCGTTCAACCAGTGCTCAAGTGCCCTCCGATCGGCCGGTCCTCAACAAGGTCGATGCCTACCTACGTGTCGCAATCGCAGTTCTTCGACACCGCGTCGTCCTCTGTCAATCTGCGACTCCAGCTGCTCGAGCTGCTCTAGCTCGGGACCGAACAGCTGTCTGGCATGCTCGAGTTCAAGTCAGATCCTGCGCGGAGGCACGTGCGTTTCTGCTGACTGTAGCAATTCCAGTAGCGTCGTCTCAGGACTGGGCTATGCCTCTCCGATCTCGTCGTCACAGCCGCATCTGGGTCGACCGCCGCGCCTCTCCCCACCATAACGGGCATCAACTCGAACACGAGCACCACCACGAGGACCTCGCTGACATGGTGGCAGATCCTGCTCATGACGCTCGGCTGCGCCTTCATCTTCCTCGTCATCGTCGTGCTCTGGCGTCGGCGCATGCGCAGGAAGCGCGCTCAGGCGACGAAGGCGTTCGCCGCGGCGAAAGGCTCAACATCCGCGCGGCTGGCGCATGCGCCTCCTGCGCTTCGGCGAGCGGCTCTTCGGGCACCGCAGCCTAACCCGGCGTGGGTGGTCCCGGATGAGGAGCGCGATATCAAGCTCGAGCGGATGCGCGCTACGGATGACGATAGGCACTTCAGGACGACGGAGAAACGCGGAGGGTACTCGCGCCAAGGATCTCGCCAGCCGTCGCCACTGCCGTCTCTGCGCGATTATAGAGACGATGAATGGGATGCTCGCAAGAACCAGCGTGGATCGCTGGCGACGATGTCGAACGACTCGTTGTATACCCATATCACGGGGCAGCCGCGCCGTACTCCCGAGCCTCGCCAGCCCGCCCGAAATGCCCGCGAACTCTTACCCTCTCGGTTCTCGGACACTACGTTGGGGTCGCACGATGTTCGCAGGCTGGAGAAGGACAGGGCCGAGCGGGATAGATCGCCGACGCCCGCGCAGGAGTACGCACGGTCCTGGATGGCGCAGGACGAGGATACGGGCCGAGGATCGTACTGGCTCAAACCTTCGAACACTGGAAGCTCGAAGAACCCGTTCCGGCGTTGAGGTGACTGTGCTTGACGTTAAGACCCTTTCATGTTAATTTGTTTCTCATTTGCTTCGCATTGCATGGACCATACGGATGACATCTGACACTTTGCGACGACGTCTCGCGCACGACTATTCCCGCCTCATTGTAGTATACTTACGCTGTCATGTCATCACACTGTAGCCTTAATGTACGCCCATTCGATAGCAATGGAGGTATATACGATAGAACTGCACTAATAGATATCGGATCCGTGAGATTAAAAACGGTCATACAGAGCGGACATCGTGGCGGTGAAATGTGCGTGTACGACGTGCAGAGACATTAATGACATGTCCCGAAAGCTGGCTCAGCAGCTGCACCCTGATGCATTTTGGCCATCTAGACTCTTGCCTGGGGTGACGGTGCCGGCCTTCGAACCGTTTGCCGGGGCTGGCGGGGCAGAGTCAACACTGTATCACCGCAGGTCAGTTATATGAGCAGCATATCTGTTGGGAGGTGCAACGTGCCTATCTTTGATTTGTCTTGACATGACAATGAAGGCTTCCTCGACGTTCGCAGCGGTCTTCGCTGACGTTTCGATGAAGGGTATTTGTATCTGGTTTGCAAACTCCTGCAGCGAGGCAGTACTGTATCAGCTCTGGCGGCATTGTACATGAATGAGATACGGTACCTGGGCTGTGTTGTATTCGACGGCCTTCTTCTCCACCAGGTCGGATTTGTTGCCAATAAGAAGCTTCTTGACGGTTTCTGACGCGTACCGCTCGATTTCCGTCAGCCAGCCCTTGACGTTGTCAAATGACTCTTGATAGTGCGCGGTAATTAGGATACCTCGTAGGCAAGCTGAACGGATAACGCACCAGTGTCGGTGACATCGTACACGACCACGATACCATGTGCTCCTCTGTAATATGCAGCTGCAATCGTGCGGAACCGCTCCTGACCTGATAATATGAATGGACTCGGCATGGCTTCGAACTCAGATGGAGGGAGGTACCGCACCCGCTGTGTCCCACTGTCGAGTACGAACGTGTCGTTAGCAGTCCGTCAAGGAACCCCTGACAGCGTGAAGGCCAGCACACGTCGTAAATCACTGGCGCACGCTTACAGATCACCAGCAGAGTAACCATACGTCTGCTCTCGTATGCCACTACAGCGACCGGGTGCGTGCACGGCGCGTCCTGACCTGCCTCGAGGTCGCTAGAAGAATGGACACTCACAATCTGTAGCTTCACTGTCTTCCCCTCCAACTCAATGGTGCGAATCTTAAAGTCGACACCAATCGTACTCAAGTAGCTGTCTGTGAAGTTGTCCTCCGCGAATCGTAATAGCAAACATGACTGTGACAGAGGGCCAGGCTCAGTGACTGTCGCTGAATTTGACTGTGTACGCGCTTCACCTTCCCAACACCCGAGTCCCCGATAAGCAGCAGCTTGAACAGATAGTCGTAACCGTCAGGCATGTCGATCTATGAGCGAGTGATGGTTAGGAAACAGAGAATTGGTAGTGTGGATGGTCGGCCGACGCGATCTAGAGACTGAACGGGGGTAGAGGTGGTGCAGATCTAGCGAAAATTGGAGTGCGGCGGTGTTGAGCTGGTCACACAGCGTTGCTGTGTTGTGGGCGCCGCTTTTGGTCTCTTATACAGTCTTGGACACAGAGTAAAGCGCATCAAAATTATGTCCAAGTCTGCAACAATCCGGTCGGCAACGCTCTGGCAGTGCACGGCAGCCTGAAGCGTCGGGTGCAACGGCTCGACAAGCGCTGGAGGCACGTGGCCGTGGCCGTATAGACGCCGGCATGTACAGTCAAAGACGCAACACAAACCCTCCTCCTCGATCACTATCCAATACAACGCACAAGTCACTCTTCTCTTGCATCTGGTTGCCTTCGTATTGGAACAATCTTACGACTTGAATGGCACTTCGAGACGTTTTCCAGGCACGAGAGGCCTAACAATCCTTCGTCAGCCACCAGGAATTATTTCAGGCCAAGGAAGACTTCGGTGACGACCTCGTCCATTGCCCACGAATCGTCCTAAACGTGAATCATGAGTACGCAAGGAACCACCTCTTCCGACTACTACGACAATGATCCCGAGTTCCTCAAGGCTCTGAACGAAGTGGTCATAGACGTTGAGGCCGAGCAGACTGAGAGTATTTCCACGTCTCGCAGTGCTCATAGTGAGCAAGTAACTCCCGCTAGACTTCAGTCTTCGAAACGAGCACGTACACCCGACAGCGATGAAGAAGGCGCGGATCTTCATGGAGTGCTCAGCTCGGTCAACAATGGTGGCGACAATACGACATATCTGGACAGTCATACATATGGAGCGTCTCGTTTCGGACAGTTTGGCGAATACATGGCAAGGAAGCGAGCCAAGCTACAAGTCCAAAACGCCGAGATGGATGAAGAGGAGGATGACGCGGCGCCGAGGACATTCAGAGGGCTGCAGATCTACGTGAGTCTCTCACCAGTCTGGTGCTACCCAAGAGCTGACTGGCGACTCATGTAGATCAATGGTTGGACCGAGCCGTCCGTTCAAGACTTACGAGAACTCATCATCAAGCATGGAGGGATATACCATGCTTATTTGGACAAGAAGGGCTTGGTGTGCGTAATGCGTTTACATCCCTTATGTCGCTGTACTGACTGGGCAATCTCTAGCACGCACATCATAACGTGCTCCTTGACCCCCGCGAAAGTGCGTGAATTCAAGCATATGAAAGTCGTACGACCGGAATGGCTAGTCGATAGCGCGGAGGCGGGTCAGCTGCTACCCTGGCAAGAGTATGTGTTCAGACCTGGAGAGCGTGTAGAGGCTTCGCAGGGAAGAAAGGTCGGCCAGCGATCACTGTTCGATGGGTTCGCTTCTCAAGCAGTCCCTATTGAACGTGAACCTGGCAGATCCTCGTCTGAACAAGTCGGCACAGTTCCCGCTGCCGCTGAGATTGAGCAACCGGTGCCAGGGCCATCTCGGATGACAGCACAAGTTACACCTCCTAGTACTCCCCCTCGCACGCCGAGGAGCAAGAACAGTGACGGTTCTCCTCGACCACTCTACTCGACCGACCCCTCGACACCCGAACAAGCCGCCCGTGTCCCAGGCTATGCCGCGCACAAGTCGAACATCGCCGCCCAGCGGGCTATGGCTGACCCGGTCTGGCGGGCCGCGCATACCTCAGCTGCTCCCGACTTCATCGAGGGTTACTACAAGAATTCGCGTTTGCATCATCTGTCCACGTGGAAAGCAGAACTGAAGAACCTCGTTTCGGATGCGCAGGAGCGCGTCGAGGACGGCGCTGCGTCTACGTGGGGGCGCATGCCGGACAGCAATGACAGCGCTGTAAGCAAGATCGTCCAAGAGAACATTGATGGCAAAACTCGAGGCGATGATCTCAGCAGCGATGTCAGCATGAAGGGCGCACAGCTTGTTATGCGGTCGCCGGGCAAGGGGAAAGGGAAGGCTAAGGCGACCGCCGATGAAGAGCGGGTCATCATGCACTGCGATTTCGACAGTTTCTTCGTCTCAGCGGGCTTGCTCGACCGACCCCATCTACGTGGCAAGCCAGTGGTCGTCTGCCATTCACAAGGAAGTCAAGGAGGGGCATCTAGCACTAGCGAGATCGCTAGTGCTAGTTATGAGGCGAGGGAGTTTGGTATTGGGAGTGGGATGAGGTAGGCTCTAACATGCACTCTGCAATGCGGGTCACTCAGTTGACGTTGCTCAGCTTGCAGCAAGCCCGGAAGCTATGTCCCACGGTCTTGACAATTCCTTACGAATTTCAGAGGTGAGAAGCCACGTAAACATCGCAAGAACGAAGTGTTAACAATCGTGCTAGATACAAGCAGCTGTCGCTACAATTCTACACCATTCTTATGGCGCATGCGGATGACTTGCAAGCTGTCTCTGTGGATGAAGCATTGATAGACGTCACCAGTAGCGTGAGCAGGATCAACACCAAGCTCGCGCAGAGCCAGGACCCAGATTCGTCACCCGCCGATCCTGCGAAAGACTTCGCTGAAGCTATCCGCGCACAAGTGAAGAAGGTGACTGGATGCGAAGGCACGTTATTCCCCTACAATTGTTCCGAGTGCATAACTCACTGTCCTGTAGTTAGCATCGGCATCGCACATAACATCATGCTCGCCCGTGTAGCCTCTCGTCGAGCAAAGCCAGCTGGTTCCTACCACATTCTTCCTCACAACGCGCAAGAGCTGCTGGCCCCATTGGACATCGACGACCTGCACGGATTCGGGAGTTCAGCCCGCCAAAAAGCGCTGGAGAAGCTCGGTGTGACCATCCTTGGCGAACTTGCGAAGCGGAGCAAGGGCACCCTATGTGAGGCTTTGGGCAAGGGAACCGGCGAGACGTTGTACAACGCAATACGCGGCGTTGACCATCGCAAGCTCGAGTCTGACAAGCCTCGGAAGTCCGTTTCCTGCGACATAAACGTGAGAGATCTTGCTTGCTTCGCATTGGACTGCGTACTCATGCAGCCGGGTCAGTACGGGATACGGTTCGAGAACAATGCACAAGCAGAGGCCTTCATCTTCCAGATGGCAGAGGAGGTTGCTCGTCGGCTCGACAGCATCGACATGCGGGGGCGGTCGTTGACATTGAAGATCATGAAGCGAGACCCCAGCGCACCCGTCGAAGCACCCAAGGTACCTTCATCAACTAGGCGAGTCTCCAACTCAGTGTCTAACATAATGTCTCCGTAGTTCATGGGTCATGGAATATGTGAATCATTCAACAAGCAAACACCGTTGATCGCTCCCGGTGGACATGCAACGAGCGACGCCAAGATTATCGGAGAACATGCCTGGAGGTTACTCAAGGGCTTCAATTTCGACCCCAAGGAACTTCGCGGTATCAGTATACAGATACAGAAGCTGGAGAAGGGCCCCGCGGCTGCGGTCTCAGGTCCTGGGCAAGCTGTACTCTCCTTCAAGGCGAAAACGGCTAAAGCCACTGTCGAGCCCGAGCCGTCATCTACCAAGCCAGAGGCCAAGCGTGATGGTCAGCAAGCCGCTCAGCCCGAAATCGTCGTACAACCGCCATCGCAGGATGACGACGTCCAGATAGTCGAACCACCTCCTAGACCCGCTATTCCTGCTGTCGCGGTTGACCTTCCGTCGTTCTCTCAGGTCGACATGTCGGTGTTCGACGCCTTACCGGACGACGTGCGGAAGGAGCTTGAGACGGAGTACAACCGTCGATCCACCACACCTGCCGCCGAAGCTGGTCCGTCGCGCAGTCGCTCAGCCTCCGTAGCTGAGGGATTGAAGTTGAAGATCACTGTGAAGGGTACAAATGTCAAGCATATCACGAGGCAGCTCGCACCTCGGAATAGGACCGGCATGTCCCCAACCAAGAGCATGTTGTTCGCGAAGCGAGACGGGCCCTCCGGCGTCAACGTATCGGAACGGGAGCTGCGAAAGCTCGACATCGACCCGGAAGTTTTCGTGATGTTACCTGCGGACCTGCAGCGAGAACAGTTGATCGCGGCGCGCCACGCGAAGGCACCGGGCGCGGCCGTGTTCAACGAGCGAAAGGTGCTCAAGCCAAAGAGTCGCTCGAAATCTCCGTCGGTGCCGTACTACCGGCCACCCCCACCCAAAGCGAAGTATATCGAGCCACCATTTTTGAAGCAGCAAGGCAAGGGCGAGAAGCTCTACTTCACCGAGACCGACGACGTGCAACAGGTGATCGAGGCGTGGGTGGGGGGATTCAGGGAATACCCACCGAACCAGAGAGACGTCGACTACTTCGCGAAGTATCTCGTTCAATGCGTCGATTCCTCGAGATCAAGCGACGCGGGCGTCGAGAAGGCCATTGCGGTTGTTCGATGGTGGCTGGTACTACTGCGCAGGTACTTCGCCGTATGGGAGCATGTGCCAGATGCGACAAAGGATGGTCCTCGACAGGTCACTTCGGAAATGGTTGGCCGCGCTTGGTGGAAGGCTTTCCGAGAAGTCAAAGCAAAGATGGATCTAGTCGCGAGGAAGAAGTATGGCGGATGTTTGTCGATGAGATAGTTCGTCGTATTCTACTATGCGAGCCATGTCGAAGAAGGCGATTCACTTGCCTGTAGGCCGACTCGGACGACGGAGGGAACCCGCTGTCTTTATCCAAACCTAATCACCTGCCTCTTTGGGCATATATAATGAGATGAAGATCGGCCACAATGCACCTCTCTGCAATCACCTCGCATCCCATCCTCCAACTTAGGACCATCCGAGACCTGAAATTATGACGGATCAATCGCAGCCTCATAACACTTCGCACTCTCATGATTTCGAGGTCGCGAATAAGGCTTTCTATGATAAACAGGCTCAGGAATACGATGAACGGCCTGATGCCCAGATACTGGCGCGGAGACTCGCAAGTGCGATGCGCCAGAGATATCCGAACCTCTTTGATGAAGACACGACGACATTGATGGATTACGCATGCGGCCCCGGTACGATGACTTGCTGCATGGATTTATACAGGGACTGATAAACCAATGTATACCTGCAGGTCTTGTCTCGCGGGAGCTATGCCCGTATGTTCAGTCGATAGTCGGCGTCGACATCAGCCAGGGAATGGTTGATCAGTTCAACCTTCGAGCCTCCAATCAAGGGCTTACTCCCGACGAGATGAAAGCCGTGTGCGTTGATCTCAGGCGAGAAGACCATGGACTGCACGGAATGAAGTTCGACGTCATCGTGGTAAGCAGAAGGATATTCGCCGTGCTTCGTCATTACGTTGCTTACATTCAACGACCAGTGTTCAATGGCATATCATCACTTCTCGTCTGTTGAAGACGTACACGCCTTCTCACATCCTTCCTTCGGCCTGGCGGCTCTCTCCTGGTGGCGGACATCGATCGGAGTACTCTCCAGACAGATATATTCCCTCCGCAACACGACGGTCATAGCCATGAACACATCGTCGCCCACCAAAGAGGCTTTGGCGAAGAGGATATCAGAGAAGTTTTCGGGTCTGCTGGCCTCGAGTTCAAGGAGTTCGGCGTCGTGACATCGGGGAAGATGCACGGCAGAGACGTCAATTTCTTCGTTGCGCGTGGAATTAGGGCGGCCACGGCATAGTGTCGCTTTCCGACGGAGGGTCGAGACCATTCATTTGCAGTGGCTCCAAGCACCGTTTCTTGCTCGTCCCAGTTATTCTCGGGCCATAGTTGAAAAAGGATGCTTGATGCGTGCGCCGGGAATCGAACCCGAGGCAGGGCCATGGGAAGACCCTATGTTACCATTACACCACACACGCTGGCGACGTGGCGCCCGGCGTTGCACATCCGTAGGGCAGTCTAGAGTCCAGCGCCCAGGGCCACAGTGACACAATTTGAATCCCAGAATTAGACTCGCGATGTCTATGCACTGTGCGGTGAAGACGAGCTCTTATCTTCCTTGCCACCCTTCAGTCATCCACAGCCAGCAGTGGAACCTAGCAAAATGACTGTTGTGGCCAAGGACCTTGTGCAGCCAGCCGTACTGACAATCGCAGGCTCGGACTCGAGCGGAGGAGCTGGCATTCAAGTAGAGCACCGCTCGTTTTCTGATCGGAAGCGTCAGACATTCATACGAGATCTGGTGTCTGTAGGCTGATCTCAAAACATACACTGCACTCGGATGCTACGGTGCCAGTGTTATAACCGCGTTGACGGCTCAAAACACGACTGGTGTACAGGGAGTGCACCCATGTCCTCCAGAATTTGTGAAACAGCAGGTACGCTGAGCAATATCAATAATCATATTGTGCACCATCTCTCATACTTTGGACGCAGCTCCAATCTGTGCTGGACGACATAGAACTCCAAGCGATCAAGACTGGAATGCTACACGATGCTAGCATCACTCATGTCATTGCCGAAACGCTGAGGGCGCACTATGGTGATGCTATACCGCACCTCGTAGTCGATCCAGTGTGCGTCTCAACGTCCGGCCACACACTGCTGCAGCATGAAGCAATCGCGACCATGGTCTCAGAGCTCTTCCCGCTCGCCGCGCTCATCACACCAAACAAATCCGAAGCCGAGCTGCTTCTCTCGCACTGTGGTTCGCCTTCTAAACTGGAAAATGTAGATGATATGCTTCCTGCCGCCAAAACGCTGCTTTCGACCGGTTGCAAGGCCGTCCTTCTCAAAGGTGGACACATTACGGCGACTATGAACGAGGTGAAGAGAATATCAGAGGCACACCCGGAAATACAGGTCATCCGCGAAGGGCTCCTGGGCGAGAACATGGAGATTCTGCAGATATCAGAAGAAGACACATCTTCCAATGCCCTGGTGATTGACGTCCTCCAAGAGGCGACTTTGACTACCTTATTTGTCCGCCCTCGTCTCGAGTCGAAGAGTACCCACGGCACGGGCTGCACGCTCTCTTCCGCACTTGCGTGCGCATTGGGTCGCGGGAAAAATCGTGAGTGACGTACCGAATTTCCGTGCCTCGGACCATTTGACAACGGTGGCAAATAATAGTCGTCGAGGCAACGCGCATGGCCACGGTCTACACTCACCTCGGGATCGAGACCGCTAAACCTATAGGGCAAGGACATGGTCCACTCAACCATATGCACCCAATCGTCATACGTAGCGTGCCACAGTACGCTCATTTTGTCTCGTAACGAGGAATCCGTCCTGAGTTTATGTCCAGGCCTACGCCGAGTGTCCCACATCCTCTCACCCGGGTTCTGATCGAATCGTGTCGGGATATTTGGAAGGGATACGTTGAGCACGAGTTCGTAAAGCAGCTGGCGCAAGGTACACTGGCAAAGGAATGCTTCCTGCACTTCATAAAGTGCGCAGCATGTCTCCACGCGTCGGCAAGGTTCTAACCTGACCGCATTCACACCAAGGCAGGACTACCTTTACTTGAAGTACTACGCGAGGGCCTACGCGTAAGTTCTTCGCGAACAGAAGTGCTAGTAGAGAACGTTGACGGTGGCTATAATAGACTGCTCGCCGCAAAGTCTTCGACGTTCCCGTCGATTCAGGCTGCCACAGCGACGATCATCAATGTCATCAACGAAGTCTCGATGCACCGTTCGTACTGCGCACAATGGGGCATCACCGAGGAAGAGCTGAGGTTGACCCCGGAATCGCCTGCGACCACCGCGTACGGCGCGTTCATCCTCGACACCGGATTACAAGGTGAGACCCGCTGCATCGTTTCGTCTGCCTCTCGTTTCCGACCTATGCGTGGACCTAGGTGATGCCTCCCGGCTAGTAATGGCACTGGCCGCCTGCCTACTCGGGTACGGCGAGGTCGGCCTCTGGCTCAAAAAACAGGCTGCAAGGCCGGACACCTGGGTCAAGCTGGAGGATAACCCGTACCGAAAGTGGATTGACGACTACTCCGGGGCGGACTACCAGAAGGCCGTCAAGCTCGGGCTAGGTATGCGATTCTCCGTGTTGCTGGTCGTGCTTCCGCTGACTGTGATGTAGATACGATTGAGGCCATGGCTGTGGCTGACCCTCCGTCGCCGGTACGGTTCCAGGAATGGCAGAGCGCCTGGGAGCGGTGCGTGCGATTGGAGAGGGGGTTCTGGGACATGTCGATGGGCATTCTCTGAGGTGACTTAGGATAGGGGAGGTGCGTTTAGATGTGGCCATTGAATACTTGCAATGTACAGGTAAATCTGAAAGCTGAGTACGTGCTGACGACAGCAAGGGAAATGCACGATGAAGTTGAGGTTATCATTGTATCAACACGCGCCCTCAGGCAGATGCCCAAGGTAGGGAAGTTCGGAACATTGTGCGGTGCCGACTATGTGAATTCTGCGGTGGGACTGGCCTGCGCGCCGCGCGGTGCGCAGAGAGGCCGCAATGACTTTCTCGCCCTCGTGAGGGCTGGCAGAGGTTCAAGCTAAGTAGCTGTTGTTATTCACTGTTGTTGTTGGGTTATGTGCAATGGTGGGATTGCTGATAATGGCGTCGGACGCCAATTGGTGACGCATTTTCAGCGCAATAATGTTGCTAAGCGCACCGCTAAAGGTCACCGGCACCGGTCACCTCAATGCACACGAATTCATATCATGATGTCGCATGCAAGTAGACATAATACACTGCGTCATTACATGCGTTGTTGCAGCCCACATATTTCATGAGTACATGTACAAACGTGTGGGCCACTATGGTACTCCTAACCAACAATCTTCAATCTCTCAGGCTCATTCGCCATGCGCTGTGACAAGTTAAGCCCCGATACGTAGGTTACGCATATCTTGCGAACATTCTTCCGTAACCTCGTTGACAGAGGGACTGCCTGAAGGGAGCTGCAAACCCCAGACATTGTGCAAGTCGGTAGCCACATCCGCAATGGACGGTCTGTTGACACGCAATTGGTCCCAACAGGATTCCATGATGGACCAAATGATGTCGGATGGCCCTGAGCAATCGTCGCTGGCGGCGGGACGTTGGGGCCGTAGACCGCTGACGATCTTGAATACAACGGTGCCCTTGTTGTCAAATTGATAGAATGGTACCTTCCCGGTGAACACCTAGAGGACCTTAGCTGATTGACTCGATGGGTAAACGTAACAAACATACCTCCCACATGACCATGGAGTATGCATATACATCGCTATATTTGGACGCTGTTGCGCTATGCAACCCAAAGCCTTCTGGGTTAAGCAACTCCGGTGACATCCAGCGTAGCGTGGACTCGAATTTGGTCATGCAACTGACAGTGTTCAGTGTGTCGCAACCGTAGAGCGCAGCGGATAACCCGAAATCTGTGAGACAAGCCCGATGCTGCCTGTCTACCAAGATGTTTGGCTTTTCCATAATCAGTGCATTTCGGTCATATTGCATGATAGTGATTGACTTACCCCTTTTAGGTCCCCGTGGACGATACCGACCTCGTCTGAATGGAGGTATTCGAGTCCACGGGCGACATCCAGGAGCTAGTGAAGATCAGACCGAACGCCAGGCTCGAAGTCAGCGGACAATTATTCGGTAATTTTGAGCATGACTCACCAGCTGTGGGCGACTTGCACTGGGATTGTTTTTCAGAAACTTGAGAATGTCCCCGTCTGGCATCCACAGACATATCATACTTATATCGAAGTGTTGACGGTCAATTCCATAAAAGGGCGCGATGTTCGGATGCGTGAGACGCCTCCAAAGTGTTGCTTCTTTAGCGATTTTCTAAAAACGAGAGCAGGCTATCAGACATATTCCTCGTGGCAAAACATGTGCACAAACCTTCATCAATGCATCAAGGGGATCGTGTTGGGTCATCCTGACAGCCTTGATACCGACTGTCTTCCCATTCCATTGTCCGAGATAAATGTCGGCGCATCCTCCCTTCTCGTCCGGTCGGTTCGGATGACCATCCAAAGTCACGGAGTTTGTTGGAAGTACCAATGATACTGGAATGTCGCTATGTTCTATGCACAATTTGCGAAGCGCATGGAAGACGGTCGTATAAAGATGGGTTTGGGGATTGATATTAACCAATACCTATAATATGGCACGACACTCTTGAGTGGACATCCCAGTGAGCACATTGAGTTAAACTCACAGCGTCTAGAAGATTTATGACTATGCCATGGTGACCAGTCTTCGCAAACTCCTTCATCACCCGGATACATTGCGCCGAAGACATTGCTGCTTGGATGATCTCCAGAATTTTGGCATGGTCATGCGTTGACTCCCGGCCACCGAAGTGCCCAGTCTTCAACAACGACTGAATAAGGTTCTGACACGCCTCTCGGTTGCTGTCGATGTATTCGTCAAGTGATCGGCTTGTACGTGATTCCAATCGGTCATCTGCGTCCTGCGATCCTATATGAGTTTGCCGTCGTACAACTCGAGACATTGACCGGCGGTGTTGAGCGAGGTACGTACCAATTCGTTTGCAAGAGCGTCATCCCAACCATCCTTTAAGTCTGCGCCATCATATGTGCCGCTGGGAGTAGTGTGGTACTGCATGGCTTTGTCAAGGCATTCTTCGTCATCGACATTAGAAGCAGTGCTGGGTGCTGAGCCTCGTGTATTGCCACTGCGTCTCTGAGAGAGTTTTGCGGCCATTTGTCGTAGCGACGAATAGGGCATGTCCATTCGTTCGACTGTCATCCCATTCGGACCAAGGCTAGTGTTGAGCATCGTCACTTGCTCGCAATAAGCAAGAGCTTGGACGAAGCAGACGAAGATAACGTTGCTTTCGATAGCGACATTATCAAGATGGAGTCGCCTGATGGATGAAGAAGTACGCAGGTGCTTGTAAATTCCCTTGTTGACCTGAAGGCCGTCTGTGTCGCCCCAAATAGCGTCACGCAGCACAAGGTCACGAAGGCGGGGTAGATTTGGCAGTAACGTCTTGGTGGCCTCGAAGAAGTGAGGGATAGGTCCCCTGCTCGTGTAGTCGCCATTGCGAGTGCCGTATATTGTCAGCCGTTCGATGTTCTGGAACTGTCTATGTGTACGGGTAAGCACGTCAAGAGCGTCGATATCCCACGTGGTTCGAAGCTTGATGCTCTTGAATAAATGGTGTCGACTGGGGCCACACCATGTCTTACACACAATTGAACAGGTGCGGAGGTGATCGCGAGCCGTGGCCGCAATAATGTCGATGATGTACTCCCATATCTCCACAGGAGCGCTGTCTATGCCGGCCATGGTCATGGCCTGCAGTGTAGAGACCTTGGAATCGTCAGCGGCATTGCACAAAAGTATGACAGTTGCTCCATACCTGCGCCATTGATAGCCCAGAACGCAGTCACTTCGTAGGGTTGGATGTTATGAGAGGTCTAAACAGACTGATGAGTGTTTGGGGGCACAGGAGGGATACTTCAACAGAGCTGGTGAAGCATCTACTTATATCTCCAGCACGCGGCACATAGCAACTTGCCATGACCTGCGAAGATGTTTTGAAGTATAACAAAAGCCCTGACCCGAATCACACAGACTCCGTCAATGCAGTCAGGGAAGTGGCTGAACCCATGAGGCATGCCGTACATCAGCATCCCAGCTCTGATGTAGATAGGCCCTTAGAAAAGTGTTTCATGTGCGTTCCCAACTCATTCGTGCGGCTTCCCTGATGATGATGGAGACGAATAGAAAGCAACGGGACCTGAAAGAGAATAAGAACACATAGATGAGAGCAAAGCCTGTATGAAAACTGACATGGCTTGTCTGTAGGAAGGCCGCAAGCCATTTAGGACATGCACTAGAAATTGACTCAGTTAGCTCTGGATTGTGAGACAAGGTAACACAATGGCAGCTCTTCATCACACGATAGCAGCACAAGACATACCGTACACGCATATGTTTGTAGTCTGAAGCGAGGCTGGTATCCACGACAGCCGTACGGTCGATGAATGTCATCACCAACGCGAACATCAAGGGCGATGGGCAGACTACAGCATGTTGCCAACGCCTCAGCGTTCTGTGGCATAATTAAGTCAATTGAACCATTCTTCATCGATACAAGACATCATCGGACGTAACTTATCACTTGTCTGCGAGCAGTCACTTTGGAACCAAACGGATGTTTTCGCATGCCGAAGTTAACAGCGCCTCGCGAAGCAGTCTTGTTTGTGACTATCGCAGTACCTTGCTACGCACGCTTCGACGGGGCGATGATGATGAACTGTGATAGCACAGGCCACCTGCTTGTTCTGCGGCGGCGATCTGGCGGTTGAGTCGATATACAGCCAGAGAAGAGACCTACACTCGGGCAAATCATACTGAAAGCGGATGCAGCACTTCGGAGAGAACATGGTTTCTGCGATGCACGAGACGCACACGCTCAAGGCCATGGCAATGGCAGTCTTGACATCCCGCGGTCGCCTGTAACTGTTCAAGCCTAAGCACTGGTCCGCAAGTCTCGTCAACTCTCCGCTCGTTGCACGTACCATTCAATAGGAAGAAGACCGGGAAGACCGGGCTAAGTGATGTTTGTCTCCAGACATGCCGGGACATCCTCGAACGGTTCGTGTGGCTCGAGAAATGATCCTGGGACATGCCATCGACCCTGCCTGAGACCACGAAGGCGGTGTGACATACGTGAGCATCGAAGATACACGGAATTCACAAGCAGACGCGAAAACAACAGACACAACAGCAGGGGGCGATGCGCTACATCGCCAGATAGATGATAACGATTTCTCATTCCGAAACCTCGGACAACGGCGAGGAAGCGTCACTTGCAGCGCCGACTGACTCCGTTTCCAGCGCGATTTCTACCTTGGGACCCGCTCCGCGTACAGCGGCCACGACAGCCTTCTCTTTCTTTGACTTCGACTTGCCCTTACGCGCGCTCGGGCAGAGATCTTTATTGAGTTCACAGCTGTCGCACCGCGGTCCGACAGGGAGGCATATTGTCTGTGGACGCATCATTAACGGCGAAGTTAGACGACACGCTCATAACCTTACCTGGCCGAAGCCTACTAGAAGGGCATTGATCTCCGGATGCAGTTCCAGAGGCAGCCACGATTGGAGGTTAAGACTGATCGCGCGGTCAGCACTAGACCAGACGACGGGTGTGAAGGGGCACTTGCCGTGTCTCCTCGGGGGTCTTGGTAGGCGGCTTGTGCCAACCCAACCTGTTAGTGATACGATGAACATGTACGTCAACTCCTATGCCCGCGTTTCTACATACTGTGTAAGCGACGCAGCGGAGGTAGTCAGGACTGTTGCTCACAGCTTCCATGCGTCTTGAAGGCAGAGGAATGCCATCTTCGGACCCACGCCCGGTAGAGAGCAGAGTTCGTCCACCGTCTTGGGAACATCCGAGTTGAAGTCGTCGCGAAGCCGTTGAGTGGCTTGTTTGAGGTACCTGCAGACTAGTCAGCCACAAGTGTGGGCGTCGTGGAGGCGCGACTCACTGTGTCTTGCGTCGCCAGAAACCAACCTTGCAAATGGCCTCGGAGATGGCAGAGGCGTCTGCTTTCAGGACAGCGTCTACGCTGAGACTACCCCCAACGGCCTCGCGTAATTTGCCGACGGCGGCAAAGGTGGTTTCGTCCTTCGTCTGCGAGGACAGCATGAGCGAGACGAGCGTAGCGAACCGCTGATTCTAGAAAGCCATCAGTAGCAATAACATGGGACGCGCATCAAAGCTCACCTGCGGAATAGTCTCCTCGAGCTGGGCCCTGTTACATCCCATCGTGTCGACAGGGGCCACAATGCGGGAGCGCATATCCTTGATGGTACTGTACGCCTCCGACCATCGTGCAGGTGCAGGGTGCGGTGTCTCCAGTGCTTGCTGGATGGGTTTCTGCTTCTTAGGAGACGCACTGCCTTCCTTCTTCACTCGAACAGTCGTTTTACGTTTCGCCCCTTTGGACAAGACAGTTGGGCCAACTTGAAGTGTCGTCTCCTCGATGGCTTCAACTGTGACCAAGGTAGAATGGTCGTCACCAGGATCCCGCGGTACATCGCTCTCGACTTTTATCCGCTTCGACCGCCGCAAGACCGTATGACTGCTCTCGGACGTTGAAGTGAGTGGCGAAACAGAGCAGCCGTGCAGGAGCTCACTGGCATGCGACTCTGAGGCGATCGGGGAAGCACTTCTTTTCATGAAGGATAAGCCCAGTCTAAAGGGTTTCAACAGAGGTACGTGGTGGGGAAAATACGCCAGTTTCCTTAGGCACTGAGGCCTGAGGTTGCACTGAGGTAACCGAGTTACTGAGAAGTGAACAGCAGTTGAAGCCGGAGGACTCGGAGGTGGGCCAGTGGCCGGCCCGGATTTGCGCGGGAAGATAGGCGCTCGGTGTACCCAAGCTCGCTCCGAGTTGGACACAAGTTGGACACCCCGACATTCGGGAGCAGCATTAAGTTTGGTATACATATGTACATACGGGCTTGAACGTCTCTATAGTGTTCTCGGATCATACGAACTTAGCAGTGAGCTGCATATCCCTTTCAGATGAAGATTATGAAAGAGCAACGAAAAGTTGCAGTGGCCAATCCTCGGAGATCTAGTACTTAGTAGTAGCTTAGTATGTAGTAGATGGTCTCGGTACTAGTGTGCCGGGTACATTTCTATCGGCAGTCCGAGTTATTCGATAGTCCGCTCGCCAAGGCTGGCAATGATTCCATCCGAGGGTGATTGCAAACACCACTCGTCTTCCAGTTGAGCAATCACGTCCGTCATCGACGGTCTCGCGGAAGGGTCTGCCCTCCAACACTGTTCCATGATAGACCAGACGGTGTCGGATAGCCCGAGGGAGGTGGCTTCCATCGGGCGCTGAGGTCTTTCACCGTTGATGATTCTGCGTATGACGCTCCCGTCACTGCGAACGTTTGGAAACGGTATCTTCCGCGTGAATACCTAAGGAATTCGAAACGCTCAATACATCTTGTACTGAATCCGAATGTTGTGACATACCTCCCATATCACCATAGAGTACGAATATACATCGCTCTCCCTTGATGGTACTGCGCTTTCTCCGGGGTCGTGTATTTCTGGAGCCATCCAACGAAGTGTTGACTTGAAATGGCTCGCCTGCGCGATCGTGTCTAGCGTGCCGCTATTATATATGATGGTTGAGAGGCCGAAATCCGTGAGACAGGCGCGGTTATGTTCGTCCACCAAGACATTGGCCTTGCATCCGATCAGTGTCTCACACGTAGTATGGTAAGGTCGGCTTGACTTACTCCTTCAAGGTCTCCGTGTATAATACCGACATGGTCAGAATGTAGATACTCGAGTGCGCGAGCAACATCCAGGAGCTGAAGTAGGTCATGACCGTCAATGTAAGCAGAGTCTGTCTGACGTATCAATATGACCTCACCAACTGTGAGCAACTTGCGTTCGGATTCTTGTTCAAGAATTCGATGATATTCCCATTCGGCATCCACTTGCAAATCATATTTATGTTGAAGTGTTCACAATCAAGACCATAGAAGGGTGCAATGTTCGGATGTACAAGACGTTTCCAGACTGTTGCTTCTTTGGTAATGGTCTGACATTGAAATGGGAGGACATCGTCGGAGTCAACGAAAGCCTTTTCTTGTGATCATAGTGCACGTACCTTCACCAACGTCTCGAGGGAGTCGCGCCTATACACATTGATGGCCTTGATACAGACAACCTGCTTCTTCCACTGTCCGAGGTAGATATCCGCGTATCCTCCACACTCTATTCGATCACCCCAGAAGACGCCGGAATCGTAAGGCAGGATTAAAGAATCAGGTATATCACCGTATTGTACGCATAACTCGCGGAGCGTGTGAAACAGAGTCGTGGCCAAGCGGGATTGGGGCGCGATTCTGTATAGTACCTGGACGCGCGTTGTCATTTTCATTCGGTTCTCGTACAAGCCTGAGGGCGACCAAAGAATTTCACTCACAGCGTCTAAGATGTTCACAGCTGACTGATGGCACCCAGCCTGTGCGAACTTTTTGACGACCTGGATGCCTTGTTTCGAAGACAACACTGCTAGGAGAGTTCCCAATATATTGTCCTTGTCGTAGGTTGCGCCGTCCAACTCTGGAAGGGATGTGTCGCTCTTCAGCAGCTCGATGAAATGTTGACCTGCTTCATTATCGAAGACTTCCTGCAGCGGCTGCATTGGTCGCTCGAGCACCACAGAGTCATACTCATCCTACAGTTTCGCTTGTCATGAGCATAACTTATCCCTGGTAGATAAGGCGCAGTGTACGTACCGTAGTTATCATGCCATCCTCGGTCGCGAGATTAGTATGGCTCTGGATTACGTTCCCAAGGCGCTCTTCGTCGCTTTCACTAGACTCACCGTCGAAAGACGGCCGCCTTGAACTGCCAATACGTCCGTCAGAGAGCTCTTCGAGGATCTCTCGCAGTGACTTCGTGCCGATCGCCACCTTTTTGAAAAACATGCCACTGGGACCGACATGAGTGTCCGAAAACGTGACTTGCTTGCAGTAGGCTAGAGCTTGGACGAAACGGGCGAACACGATGTTACTGGAGATACGGACGTTGTCGAGGTGGAGCTGTCTGATGGATGAGGAGGTACGGAGGCACCTGAAGACGTCTTTGTTGACTTCAAGGCCACTCATGACGCCCCAGTCGGCATCGCGCAGGACCAGGTCTCTGAGGCATGGTAGAAATGGCAACAGCTTCTCGGCGAATGTGAACAAGTGAGGGATAGGACCTCTGTAACCATTGAAGCCACCATGCCATGTATCGTGAGGCGCTCCACGACTTGAAGATCAATATCGATATTGGCACGCTCGGCCAAGGTCTCGGTGTCCTCTTCGTTTCGCAGCGTGATGCTTTTTAACAGGCGGTATTGACTCCTGGCAGACCATGCTCTACACACTAGCGAGCAGGCGTGGAGGTTGTGCGCGCCGTTACTGCGATAATGTCGATGATGTGTTCCCATATTTCGACAGGTATGTCTATACCAGCAGGAGGTTTGTATCCTTGAATAAGAAAACATGGCTATCAGAGAAAACTTCGACTGAAACAGAACACATCATACGCACCTGAACCATGCGAGTGGCGCCACAGTGCAGAATATGGAGCTACGGAGATGGTCGCAAGAGCGTGTCTCGCAAGGCTCGGGCTGCGCTGTGTGCGTTGACTATCAGTACTGGGTAGACGACCGAGTACCAAGAGTGGGAGCAAACGTACAGGGTCTCGCTATTCATGCTACTATACTGGCAATATAAGTCACCTACTCGTGGCTGTGTCCATAGCATAGGCAACGTCCTGGCGTGGGAATCGTGTGTGTGTGTGAATCCCGTTTATTGTCATATGAGGGCGAACCCTATGTAGACCCGGGGGATATTACTGTACACAGGCCCACAATCAGTCCAACTGTGCCTCAGAGCACTGAAAGGAGTCTGAGGCTGACGGGCAGGTGCACACAAGGTCACACATCAGCGCTCAGCATTCGGAGGCATCGCCACGGATGCGATTGATAACCACTGTCAGCCAGGACGCAATACACAATAGCATCATGACACGTACCACAGCGAGTTGGGAGTCTATTGACGCACATTCTCAGTAGTTGAACCGCATGTGACTGTTTACCCACAAACCGTGACAACGGCAGATAACAAAAGAGAATAAGGTCGCAACGACGTAGTGATCGGATGTTCACTCGCCCCCTGTATGGCATCGCAGAAGTTGACCCGATGCGTACACAAGCCAACGTCTGAGTCGCGGTCAACTGGCCCTGTCGACAGAACTACACCCCTCACCCTCGCCTGTACTATTGCGACTCCGTGTCGTATCACGTCTCACCTTCACTTCTCCCTGCAGTTCTACCTCGAGCATTGGCCGGGAAGAGGCGTGCACTCTCTTAGACGCTGCCATCCTCGGACCCTCTTTGCGTCGGAGCGTTGCACTCGAGCCGCTGGGGCAGAGACCATCATTGAGCTCGCAACAATCGCATCGCGGACTAACCGGGAGGCATGTGGTCTTGCACAACAAGGTTAGCATTACCGGTGGAGATCAACCCGTAGACTGAAACGAACCTGCCCAAAACCGACAAGTAATCCAGTGAATGTTGGACGCAAATCTTCTGGAAGCCAGCATTCGAGGTTCAGCCTGTCCATGAAAGCATACTGAGTTCATATGTGATCGTGGTTCATTGCTCCAATCATACCGAGTCTCCTCCGGCGTCTTGGTAGGTGGGGTATGCCATCCTAGCCTGTTTGTGACACGATGAACATGTACATCTACACCGACTCCGGCGTTTCTGTCGAGAAAATATTAAACCCCCTTGTCGCTGATGTTCGGTTTGCCAGCTTACATCTTCCACCCAACGTGAAGCGCCAGAATCGCCATCTTGGGACCAACACCAGGGAGCGAGCAGAGTTCGTCGACAGTTTTGGGTATGTCGCCGCCGAACTCGTCGCTCAACCGCCGTGCAGTGCGTTTGATATAACTGAAAAAATAATCAATCCGAGTCGTCGTGGAAGCCAACTCAAAGCACGACCTACTCCGTTTTGCGACGCCAGAACCCGACTTTGCATATTGCCTCTGAGATGACGTCGGCGTCAGTTGCGACTACGGCATTGGCGCTCAAGCTTCCACCGACTGCTTCGCGCAGCTTGCGAACGGCGGCAGATGTGACCTCATCTTTCGTTTGGGATGAGAGCATCAATGACACCAACGTTGCGAAGCGTTGGTTCTGGTGCAGTCGTTCGTAAGCAACCGACAGAGGAGATCATGTAAACGCTGACCTTTGGTATCGTCTCCCCTAGTTTCGCGGCACCGGCCCCCATGGTATCAACCGGTGCGACGATGCGTGAGCGCATCGCTTTGATCCTGTCGTATGCTTCACGCCACATAGGTGGGACAGACAGAGTAGATACTTGTCCGTAAAGGTTGGCTTTTGATCTCTTGCGCGGTGAGGACGCGTCTGTGAGAGGCTTGCGACCTTTGCTGGGCCCCGGACTGGTGGACTGTAATGAGGGCAATGCCATGTCATGAATCACCGTTGCTCCATCGAATCCGCCAATCTTTTCGTTTCTTTCGAGAGCCTCGCCCTCAATGGTCTCTTCCACTTTAGCCACTGCATCAGCCCCAGTCCTGAGGCGTTTTGAACGTCTCGGAGAGCACTCGGTCTCTGCATCTTCCAATAGGTCCTGAGGGGTAGAGAACTCGAACAGAGTAACCGCTGGGTGGTAAGTACTCGTTCTACGTGTTAGCTCGGGCTGGGGCGAGGAGCTGCGTTTCCTGGGGACTGACATGGCGACACAGGCAACGCGCAGTCGATGTGGTTTCAGAGGTAGCGAATGAGCGCCCACCACCGATCGGCGATGAGCGGACTTTGTGGGTCCACAGCGCTAATCCGTAAACGGCATGTGCCTACGTTTGATATACACTCCGCGCAGATTAATGCTTTCCGATTCTGAGATTCACCTGAGACTTGTACGATAGTGGCCGGGTCCCTTTCGTGGCGAAACATTGCATCAGCTGTGTCCTGTTGTATACAGAGAGAAAACAGGAGTGTCTCAGTAAGAAGGATGCCAATGAACGAGGCCTACTTTTAGTACATTTTTTAAGCAGCGGTCTTGCCTACGTGACTTCCTCAGCTCGGTCATACTAGCAAGTCCGGGAACCAAGGATGAGTCCGGTCTACCCATTTCAGCCGTCCAACGTCAAAGGAAAGAATCTGTTCTGAAGACGCGGGAAGGGCTTCCAGTTGCCTGCATACGCGGGCCAAGTCCTGGAAGAACTAGAGACGTGTCAGAAACGGGGGCACTGATATGTTGACAACGCTGACCACTCGTCGGTCCTCTGCCCAGATGCCTGCAAATCCTATTGAATTACCGAGGCCATCGAGGACGTTGCCTGCGAACGCAAAAGACTGCGCGGGCGAGTAGTGCGTGTCCTGCGGGGAAGACATGAGCATGGTTGGATCTTGCCGCGAGGTCCCTTACCAGAAGCATCTGCTCAACCCCAGGTGTGAAGAGCCTCAGATCAGGCAAGGGCATAGCAGGCGCGAGGTCCTCATATTCAGGCTTGAACGCCCACTTGTATCGGCGCACAAAGTTGAGCGCTGTGCGTTGATAGGGGAGGGTGCATTGCTTATACGTGATCTACGAAGTGTTCAGGCAACTCTGCATACATGATCGCGGGGGGAGTGGAATATACCGTGCACATCGCGGCCGACATTGCTTGAAGAGCAGTGAGGAAGCCAAGCTGGATGTTCATCTCCTCGTGTGCTTCATTGCATCGCATCAGACATTCAATGAAACTGGATGACAATGAACTCACGTTGCGTCGTGACGCTCATCACTTGATCAATGCACTCTAGGTGCGCTTCTAGGATGCGGGACAAGTACCAGTATGCAATGGGCACCTCTTCTCTGGCGTGTAGGTCTTGCTGGAGTCCAGACAAGATGATCTCCCTAGCGGCCGCCAAACGCCGCATCACGGCTATGTTGGGCATGAGGTCCACGAAGGCTTGACCTCTTCCCCCTGGTCACCTGAAATCAGCATCGTGAAAGGAGAATAGGTGTTTGTACGACCTACGGAGGGCTCACAGTAGGGGATAAGTTGCAGGAAGAAATCGTAGACTTCGTGCCATTGCAATGCAGCCTTCATGAAATAACGACGCCGCCTAGGGGGGTTGTGAGAGTTCGCCCGCAAGTCGTCTGCCATGTACTGCGGATGCTGTCAGCAATCGGTACTCCATCGACACAACCTAAGGTAGATCAACCTTGCAGATACGATTCTCGATCTCCCTCTTCACCCACATCGCAGAACTGTCGTCGCGAATGCAGATCTTCAGCAGGACGGTGTCGTACGAGCACCCCACAGACTCCTCGAAGAAGTGGTCAACCAACCACATCGGTGGTAATCGTCCTATGACGGTACCCCTATCATAGACGGCGGACTAGAGTTGCGTCAGCCAAAATCCTGATCATCCGTGTCTCGCTAACCTGTGTCAAGGAACGTAAGTACGCCGGATGGAGGTTCTTTCGTGGCGACCAGATCCGTAAGCAACCTGCGATCTAATCGAAGTAAGAGTCTGAAATGGAGCCATCACGAACCATCACTTCACCTCCCAAGTAGAGATACATGGAGCGTCGAGCAAGTAGCTCAGCTCTTCCCAGCCATCCAGGAGTCGGGATAGAGTATCCCAGGCTTGTTCTTGGGGCGGCAAATCAATGATACGGACCGGCATGAAACATGCTAGTCTGCGGCTGATGTGTGGGTCGAACACAAACGCTGCAGAAGAGTTCGGTGCGGGCGCTGCAATACGCTGAGAGCGGATTTTTTGCAGCAGAGTGCGGGCGTTAGTAGTGAGTCTTCGGAGCTCTGCTATGCTCAACGGCGGCGTGAGCTTGAGTAGCTGCAAGACTGCCTACAGATTCATCAGGATTTCCCGTGAATTAATTGCGACATTCCACACCTTGCGGAGAAGCAGTCTATCGTACAGGAGTTGAGTGTCTTGAGTGGACAGACGCGAACGTTGCAACCATGTACAAGCGTCATCGATCTTTCTCAAGACAAAGTCTGCCGAGATCCCCTCGAGTATGGAGACTTCGCTTTTTTCGCCCAACCAGTCCTCTATCTGTCAGAGGAAGTAAGGACCGCAGGGCAAGAGCGTTCGCAAAGGCTGACATCAAAGACTTTGCCTTTCGACAGCTCCCTCCACGCGAGATCACAGCTCTTCAGTAGTGCCATTGCACTTGCCCGCATTACGACAGTGAGAAGCTCCTGTGGGCGCCGCGGGTCTCGCGGATATCGATACTGCTGGTGCCCGATGAAGTCTGGGTTGAGGTCGTCCAGATGGTGAACATAGAGTAGGGTATAGACCGTTTGCGTCAGACTGGTGCCTGCGTGCCATTCCATCTGATGCAGCGAGCGTAAAATACATGAACGTAGGTAACGGTCAGGTGGAGTGCGAATCACCTCGCATGCGAAGGCCCTGTCTAGGATCCAACATATCTCCTGCGGCAACATGGGTGCCAAGGGGTCGAATCGCGGACGCCGTTGCGGCTCTGTTATCATCCCGCTGTCCATACGTGGTTCTCCGATCTTCGTTGTTCAGTAAACATCAGACCTTGCCGAGCATATGCACCCGCACCTCAAACGCGCTCATTGCATCCAGGAGAGAGAACGTTTTTGTCATGACTAGCACCTCTGGTTCCATGTCTACCGCCCCGTACTCTGTTTCAGCACTCACACGGAGCGATTGTGCACTCACCATTTGCTGCCTCCGCGAACAGCTCCGTCACGTCTTCATAGTCATTCCCGCCCGGTAAGTCCACGTCCATGGCGTCCATCTGAGCAATTGAAGTTTGATTGTGCCTTCGGGACCATAAACAACAGAGCCAGAGTCGCCAGTTATCAGTGCGCGTGGTCGAACTCGGGCGGAAGGCAAGGAGTACGGGTGGGCGTCTACCGCGATCGCGCAGGGAAACGCGTTCCGGTCGACGCGTCTCGCGAGCTCCGAGTTCGTCAACCTGCATGTCACTTCTTGCCTCCGTCCGGCCATGCTACCGTGCAGTTCGCGCAAGTCTTCAAGCCTGCCTGCAGACACATGGGAGCTATGGAGCTAGGTCCAACAGCACCGTACACGCGCTGCCAACCTCGACGAAAGTGATCTTCTCTGGCATCCAGCCCACTGGAATACCGCATGTGCGAACCGATGGACAGGCCTTGCATTGTCTGCGCTCACACTCGCAATCTTGTAGCTAGGTAACTATCTGGGGGCACTCCTGAACTGGGTCAAGCTGCAGCGCGATGCGCATCCAGACGACAAACTGCTGTTCTCCATCGTCGGGTGGCATGCCCTGACACTGCCGCAAGACCCCAAAATGCTAAGCGCCTCTCGGAGAGAGATGCTGGCAGTTCTTCTCGCCATAGGACTCAACCCAGAGCGTTCTGTTATCTTTTATCAGGAGGATGTATGTGAGCAATGATCTTCTCCCTCCGGTCCATGTCTCGAAACCGCTCTGCAGAACCCACATCATACCCAGTTGGCATGGGTCTTCAACTGCATTACGCCCATGGGAAAGCTGAAGCGTATGACTACATGGAAGGTATGTCCTCAACGCACATTTCAAAGTGCAATAATATACCGGTTGAAAAGTCAAGGCTGGCGACATCGCGTAATGCGAAAGATGAGTCGGAAGTGGACGAGTCTCACCTGAACGCAGGACTGTTCACCTATCCCGTACTACAAGCTGCAGACATTCTGCTCTACAAGTGCGCAGACCGTTAGGTTCATCAGAGACGAATCTCACCCAAGACAGAGCTACTCATGTGCCCGTAGGTGAAGACCAGCAACAACACATAGAACTGTGCCGGGACATCGCGGAGACCTTCAATCGCACATACAAGGGGTCATCCCCTCTGTTCCCTCTCCCGGAATGTATGATTAGTACGTGCGCTGCTGCATAATCGGAGCTACGCTGTTCTGACGTAAATTTAGCCCCGACGCCAAGGGTGCTATCGCTGAAGGACCCATCGTCCAAGATGTCGAAGTCAGCGCCGGACGAAAAGTCGCGCATCCTGCTGACGGATACTGCCGAGCAGATCAAGGCCAAGGTCCGAGGCGCGGTCACCGACCCAACCGTCGGTGTCACGTACGATCCGCAGAGCCGACCCGGTGCTGCAAACCTCTTGACAATTCTGGCTGCGTGCACTGGTGAGGACGTTATGCAGGTCGCGGCGCGGTACCATGACAAGGGCCATGGGTTCCTCAAGGCCGATGTGACGGAAGCGGTCGAGGACATGCTTAGAGGACCTCGCGCCGAGTTCGAACGCTTGAAGGGAGAAACGGCATATCTCGCGTCGGTCGCTGCTGCCGGAGCAGAGAAGGCAAGGGCACTGTCAGAACCTACATTGAGAGAGGTACGATCGAGCCTCGGCTTGATTTAGATACACTACAGACCGGTATACATTCTGGAGCGCTGTACGCGCGAGGAGTCATAATGAGGCAGGAGTCATAACGGGGCCGAACACATTAACAACAATTCGCACGTTTCTGTCCATATATCAGCACTGAGGTACTCTGAGCGAGGAAAAAGACCTGCGACACACCTGAACATGAACTCATAGCCTCCTCTGTACGAACCACCCCTCCCATCCCTCTCTACCTCCGATCGCTTTCCCGGGCTCCAGTGCGAAGTCCTTCTCAGCGCCGACCTGGTCCAAAATGGCTGCAACCATGATGGCGGCGGCCTGCGGGGCCCAATTCTTCGCGACGCACGTCAACTTGCCTGTGCCGAAGGCAAGGAGAGTCTTCCGCTGCTGCTCCGTGGAGCGCTGCAGATGATGGCGAGATGGGTCAAACTCTCTGCGAGAGTTGGCCCACAGGCTATCACATTGCAGCGCCTCCACGTCCGCGGCGAAAGTTATGTATCGAGTGAAAAGGCGAGGGCAAAATCTGGAGAGTATGGATGAGGTCGTGACCGGCACGACGCGCGAGATGCGCCGAGTCGGAGGGTACAAGCGCAGGACTTCTTGCATAAATGCGTCCGCGCTGAAACTGTCATAGCAGAGGTCAGTCTCTCTACATCACAATCAGCGTGAAGAGCTGGCATCCAACCTATCGTCAGTGCATTGGCGGTATCTCTCAGTCGTGGGCTGCTGCAGGAGGGCGGAGAAGAGCGGGATAGCCTGGGTGTTATCGTGCCCCAGGGCCGTGGCAACTGCCACGACCCTCCACATCGTCTCGTATGTGGGGATGATAATCTCCATTGGGTTTGTCATATTGGGCAGCCAACAGCGCAGGCGCATGTTGACTTCCTCTAGAAGATCCGGACGGTAGGTGGATGTCTTCGACAGGGCCCACAGCTCGTTGATCCCGCCAGTGACCAGATCGATGTCGTCCACTGCGATGGCGGACTCGTCCACGTATTCTTCCAATAGACCTACGAGGATCACATACATGACGAGTCGTCGTACCAGGGTGTCGAAAGGGATGGAACCGCGGTCGCACAGTTGAACGGTTACTGTACCTTTGGCGATGTCAGCGAGGCGGGACCAGGGGAGATTGCGCGGAGAAATGAGGTTTATGGCAAATCTGGTGGGCAATCACACATCGAATGGTGAGGTTGATCGGGGTTCTCAACCACATACCTAGTGAATGCGCCATGAGCGGCAAGGTCGCCATTCACGAAAGTCGAATCAATCCCGAATGCTGGCTTCAGGCGGGCATTGGCAAGCGCTCGGCTTTGCAATTGGGCAGTGAGGGAGACGGGAGGGGATAGAAGGTGTTCGATGTCATCGAGGCTGGTCAGCCTCACAAGATCATTGCGTCTCCGTGAACAGTAGTTGTAGTAACAAGCATAGGACGTGCATAGAAGGGCGAAGGCGACATAGGCATAGTACGGGGACATGGTGGATTGGATCATATTGGACACCCACTTCGCTCGTCTTGGTCGTGGTTTTTATGGCTTCTGAGGGCGGTACGTGGGAATTCTGTTCGGCTCTGTCGAAGGCCATGGGTTGCGCCGCAGTGCTTTCAATCACGAAGCGCAGCAATGTGGTCTAGCGTGCCGGTCAGGAAACCAGCGCAGAGGCTTTCATCTGTCACCTGTCGAACCAGTGCATTCGCTCCTTTCGAGAAGATGTCAACGTTTGTCAATGAATGAGTCATTTCCGTCACCTGCTGCCCAATACAAGGAGTCCTGTGGGAGGAACCCCATCCACAAGGCGCGGGGATGTCGGCGTTCGAGACTGGCATACATGCATGCCGTCCCCAATTTCATGGTTCTACGGACAGCCTCAGTCTCGGATGCGCAGTGGCGTCGAACCTAGTATGAACCAACGTTCGGGGCGCATATAGTGCGTGGCACACAATACTCTAATACAGTTGTCAGTGCCTGGTACTGATTCGTGTGCAGAGCGCACAGCCCAGAAGCGTCCCTGTACTTGGAATCAGCAACTGCGCGGGGCGATGTGGAGGAACACTCACTGTCAGTCATCTTGCACCCCGCCGGCTCCATTATACGGCTGGAATTGGATGCACGTTTTGACCACTCATGATAGGAATAATACCTCCACGATGTAACCGCGGACTACGTAGAATGGCCGCAGTATCCAGTGTATAGCCCCGAGTCGCCGTCGCCAGTTTCGAGCACGTACCACGACCGCCGCGTGTAAGTAGTCTGACGTGACGGCAAGATGAATGAGTCCGGTATCTGATGCGGCCGTAGCAGTCCGCGATCCCTTCAATTGGAAAGAATTGATGGGCGATAGCCTGAGGGCAATTGCAACCTGAGGGTAGCTGCTGAGCTATGTAGTGCACAGTGGAAAGGCTCGACCGTGCACGGTCGCAATGGTTTTGCGGTCTGTGATCAGCGTGGTGTGGTCATATAGCGATAAACCAGCTCACCGAACATCGCCGTTTGGCTCAGTGGCTGTAGTGGCTCTATATGGGAATGCGAGGCGGTTCGCTTCAGCGGCTAAATTCATTTGTGCGCTGGTTCAAGGCCCGTCCCCTCCGGAAAACTTGGTGCCTGTTAGGTTCCCTCTCGGAAGAAAGGACAACCTTCAGAGTAAACTGACCTCAGTGGGCCAGGGAAGCAATTCCGCAACCCAGAGGTTGGGCCGAGTTAGTCTTGGGAGACAAGGACAGTCGTCAGTTCGCGCGGTGGATCGTGCCTCTCGCAAACTCTTTTGTCATTTTTTTCCGCATATGTTGGCAAGTCTGGTACATGGCTTGCTCGAACTTCTGAATCTCATGCAGAGAATTGCAGCAATATGTTTCTTTCAACTCCGTACGACTACCCCAGCCGCGATGCGTGCACGCCAGCGTGATGCTCAATACGATGGTTTTGTTCACCGTGGTTCCACATTTTGTACACACGACCAGTACAGACGATATACAACACAAGGCAACACAACCAGCCAGAGTACAAAGCCTCAGTGCGACAGTATTACATGAAGGTTCAGCTGTACAAATCCACAGCGTCCAATACAAAACCAGGTAATCACGAGCGGGTCTGGTCTTTCCGTTGCCAGAGTCGTTCTATGCCAGAGGATCAGACTTGCTTGTTGCCAGGAAATTCCATGCCAGTGAGCGAAGAGGGTGCGCCTATGTCGCCTAGAATCGCGGGGCTTCCTGCCGGGGGCGACAAGATCGTAGCGTGCGGAGACAGAGACGGCGCATGGGGCGACAGGATCTGCACGCGAGGAGACAGAGTCATGGGGCGCGGAGACACAGAGATGGTCGACAGCGCCCGCGGAGAGAGGGTCGGCGAAGGAGGCGTCCAGATCGAGCCTGGTCCAGTCCCAGCTACAGCCTGAGTGTTCCGCCAGCATCCCGTCTGCGCGCACTTCTCCGCGGCCTCGATAAGCTGCGTGTACACTGCATGGCTGAACCCGATGCATTGCAGACCGATGCACGCCACGCGGAGCGCGCCTGCGCTGTAGAGCTGACCGGTTTCGTATACGTTCTGGGGAGCGGTGTTCTTCCGTGCGAAGATTGTCTGCTTCACGAGGGCTTGCGTTGTCTTGAGCCACGCATGCGGCCTGAGCAGGCGAGCCGAGGTAGGGAAGACAGGACGTACCTCGGATGTCAGGTTACCCCATTCCGCAGGAGAGAGCTCGTCCAGCCAGAACGCCTTGTAGAGACCAGTGTAGTACCAATATCCGTTCTTATTGAAGAAACAATCTGTGCAGCCATGAGCGAGGGTAAGACTGATATGGATGCGCATACAGACCGGTGGTCTTGTTCAGCTGCGAGCTCAAATCGACAGCGGCCCACCGGTGGGCAGTGGTCGCCCGCGGATTCGTTGTGCACTTGAACAGAGGTGTCAGGAAGTAGCCGTGCTCCTCTCGTTCCGTGGACCAGAACGTGGTGTTCTCTTGCAATAGGCGGTATCCTCCCATCCTGAATCACGGACCACAGGAAACCTTAGAAATTAGTAGACAACGAACAACGAAAGCCTACTGTTGCCGCAATGCCTAATCCAAGCTATGGTCAAGGGGTGACCTAGTAAGCGGTGAGGTGCTTACAACGGGCAAAGTAGTCACAAAGTCTTGAAAGGTATACTGGGGCGGGATGACGATTGGTTTCAGGACGTCCGCTGGCACGTCGGGAGTGAGCGGAAGGGCGGCGAGTATGGCATTTCTTGCGCCGAATCTCTCATCAGGGGGCGCAGTTACTGAGGCGGGCTTGGGGCATGAAGTCAGCAGAGCAGCACAGTGACGTTCGCGCCTCTAGCGTACTTGCGGCTTTCCATCCTCTACGGAACCGCTTGCGAGGCTACCATGATCGACGCGAGCGCACGAAGTCGAAGGGTTCGCCGGCGGGACGTTGCCTGGTGCCGTCGTTGGGACCGGTCGCCCGTCGTTCGGATGGCCTAAATTGACTTCGACGTTCGGCGCAGGCATGACCAGGCGCAAGATCCTGTGCAATGCGACTTGCCAGTCCGACGGACGAGCCTATTGGCGTAGTCAGCCAACGAACGCTTGCAAGATCTGCAGCGTACCGGCGCGATACCCGTCCGCACAGTTGCATCCAATTGTTCACCAGTTATCTGAGCTTTGAGCTGTTGGTTCTCGCGTTCCAACCGTCGAAACATCTCTGCCAGACTTCCGACTTCGACCTGCACCTTGACGTACTCCCTCTCTCGTGCAGCGCGATCCGCCCTGCCGCCTGGTTGAGACGCGCTTTGTCGACCGGTCATGAAGCTTAGTTGAGTCTCCAGGTCGGCCTTCTCTTGTTCGAGGAGGAGGATAGTCGCGGTCTTCTGCCGGATCGAGGTGCAAGCTTCCGCTAGGTGTTGCACAACCGCGTCTCTGGCAGAAAGAGCATCGTTCAAGCGCAACCTTTCGAGATAGACTTCTGCAGTCGTAACCACAGTATCCTTTTCATCTTGCGGATCTACCATTGTGACCTGCTGGACGCATATACACAGATAGAGTGGTTATCAGGCGGAGTGAACGTCATGTGAAACGCATTGTTAGAACTGACCGCGTTGCCATTGGTGTCACCGTAGACCCTTCTACATGTTGCATCCTTACAGTTTGAGAGCAATCAACAGGTCTTCCAAGCGTCATGGATGTTGAGGGCAGCTGGCAAGTGATGACGGACCACGGCACGGTAGCGGGTGACACGATCACGTGTGCATAGAGTGGTGCCTACTTATTACATAACTTAGCGGGCGGTAGTACCGCCGCCCGCGTTGGTACGCGTACCAATTAAATGCATTGGTTGCTACTGCACGACTTACTCACTCTTGTCTCAGATTCGGCTCTCTCGCAGGCTGTGCAGGGCACCCGCATTCGCGGTGTATAAGTATCATTATCTTCATCGCTGAGAGTCAACGATACATTGCTGCCCTATGAGTCTCTCAACCGTAGACCTGGACGTCCTGACCGCCATCATCGCTCTCCTTTCTCCCAGCGATGCACGGTCCTTATCCCTGACGACGCGAGCCCTCTATCCTGCAGCCCAGCGACACGCGCTCTCCACCGTAGTCCTCGACAAGCCATCCAAGCTCTCTCGTGCTCACGAATACCTTCTTGCGGACGTCCCTAACCGGTCACACTACATCCGTAAACTCACAGTGACCCATCAAGCACTGAATTCACCGAGCGATGACAATGTCGACGACCCACTGTCGGCTTTCTTCGTGCAATCAGCTCGACTCCTGGCTGACTTGCTGGAGAGCACACAGTTGCTGACAACAATATCAGTCGCCTCCATGGAGCAGATCATTCGCGCGGAGCCTCGCGTCTGGAACGCTCTGACCGCCCTCAGTTTCCTCACAAACGTCGAGTTGAAGGATGCCCATGCGGGCGTCCTCAGTCGTCTAGGGGAATTCCGAGGCCCTCTTCGCAAGCTCGAGTTTTGCGGCTCCCCGGATTCTTACATGCTTCCTGGCAAGCTACCTTTTTCCCAGCTCGTGAAGGCGTGGTGCGCATATCCACGTCTCCAGCACATCGGCCTCGACTACGTCCCCAAGGTAGACTATGACCGAGAACGGCTGTCATCGTGTACTCCGTGCCAGACCGTGCTTAACCTGGACGTCTCGCACAGCGAATTACCACTATCCGGTATGACCGACATGTTGCCAAACCTACGATCTCTCTCGATCCTCAATACGAAGGATTACTCCGAAGACAACGCCGGGAAATGCTGGAGTCGTTTGGCACGATTGGACTTCCGCACACAGCACGGGCCGAGCGATAGCCAACATCATTGGGTTATAACATCCCGCACGCGGCAGCTTGTCCTCCTCCACAGCGTCGAGACGGATCCGAACAGATACTGGAATTTTCGACATTTCTACGCTAGCACCGTGGAAGATGCACAACCTGTCGCTCTTTGCTTATCGACTTGTCCGTCGGTGGGCGAAGATTTCTGGACAGGCCTGGTACGCGAAGGAAGAAGGCTGAGATGTCTCGATATTAGGTTACGTGCAGGCTGGAAGTGTCACAAGGATGTGAGCGAGTGGCTGGTACGTCTTCGTCAAATCAGGCCCCTGGACTTGTTGACTTACCAACATGCTTTAAGGACAAGGTCCCTCGGTTCTGGACAGATTCCGACCTCCTGTACGTCCGTATCTTCATCCGCGAGACAGATTTCCTCTCCCGCATGAACACCTCCATTCCTTTTCGAGAGGATGATGCCGCTGCGATGGCATATGTGAAGCAAACCGTCTCTGCTCATCTACTCGCCTGCGTGCCGACGGTCCGTTTGATTGCTATCAAGTTAATGAATGAAACGTCCTGGTGGCGGGCGCAGCAGGGCGGCGAGGGTGGCCCGAGGCATCTGGTACCAATCTCGAGTGACGTCGGTCACCATGTGGAAACATACCTGTATTCGGAGGAATTTGAGCAGTCAATGGTGTTTGACGGTGAGTGCACGACGATGAGCGGGCACTTATACTAATTTTAGCTGCAGAGTCTCTGTTTGACCGTCACTGAGCAAAGATGGGAGCAAGATTTAGACCTGGAAGCGGGACGTCTGCATATTTACGTACGAGCGGGCTATGCACGAAAACTCGTGTCACCAAAACATGTTGTCAGTCATGGTTCTGTGGACATGTATGAGCTGAAGGGTGTACCGAGAGTGATTCATACATATTAGATCGTCCTTCGTCTCTCTCGACCACAGTGCTCTGCCTGGTGTGTGTATCACTGGTCATACCTCTGGCAGGCCTGCACTAAGGTATATTGCGGAGTTGAGATAACTTGTGCGCACATCTGTGAGCTGGGCGTACGAAACGCGAGAGTTACACCCGATGAATATGGGCATTGGCGATCGTCGAGAGCAATGAATACAATGCAGAGCAAATCGTCACGACCCGACCACGGCATACAAGTATGCACTGTTCTATTTTCGCCTGCGCACTCTGCGACTGTCGGCTGTACAGAGCAAACACGTCAGGAGAACATCCCTGTGCAGCATGAAGTCGCACATACCAGCGGACTTGGCCTTCTTCGGCGTGCCCTTTCCTCTCTTCTTCTTCGCCTCCACATTCGTGAGCCTCTGCGCCTCCGTCGGATCTGTGATCCTGATTTCTCGTCGGGACATGCGATTGAACATGCCGAAGGTCATTTGCGGCGGGTAGTATTCGACCATAGAGGGGCCGCGGAGGCGCGCACGGAAGTACTTCGCACCAGTCCGAACGCTTGTCGGGTTATATGAGGTCTGGAATACGGCGCATCGGAGGCGAGTGAGGGCAGCCAGCCGCGATGGGTTGACGGCGGAGGCAACGGCGGCCATGAGTGCTGCCAACAAGTCGTGAGCAGGAGCGTGACGGCGCTACGATCGCGCGGGTGCGCGCAGAAGCGCCCACACGCGCAAATTATCGACCATACTGGCTACGGTGGCACTGACTGCCAGACTCTCATGTCGGCCTGTCTCGCTGGCCTATCTCGCAACTGCACTCTGTTTCTGGACTTCTAGGGCAGTGCAGCACCGGAGCTTAAGCCGAATCCCAGTTTGCACTGGGCGGTATGAACAGACTCGGCTACACGATATGTTTTCGCTGTCACCATGACCTTCTCCGACCTAGCTCTGTTGTACAGAGGGTATTCAGCCGAGGCCACAGTGTTAGAGCCTCCAAAGACAGACTGCCTACAAGACCCGCAGCGTTTCCGCATGCGTCTCACTTCGGTTCCCCGCCATCCAAGAAACCACAGCACCACCCCCTCAGTCACATCTCGTCTCGCCTGGCAGCGTCGAGGGCCACCTCGCAGACCGTGTCAAGCAATGGGTCGGCGAGAAACGCTTGGCGTACAGGCTGGAGAGTTTTGGATTTGCGCAGGACGACATCGGACGAATGCTCGCCTGCTTCGCCGCTGCCGTGAAGAAGAACATGGTCATTTCTGCTCTCGACTACGACGACGAACAGTTGGCACGGATCGCGGACGACCTCTCGCAGCCTGCGATCGAGAAGTCCGACATGCTCGACAGGTGGTTGACGAGGCTGCTCTTCGAGTGGGCGCACAACTCGGCAGGGCAGGCCGCGCTCGAGGACGTTGTCGCCCCTCTCACCATCACAAAGCTCTCCGAGTTGTTCGAAGCTGCGGACTTGTCCAAGCCCGCCTCGGTCTTCTCTATCACGCGTTCTTCCCATCCGCGTAAGATCGTCATGCACGTTGGTCCGACCAACAGCGGGAAGACACATAACGCTCTCAGGGCGTTGGCCGCGGCGAGGACGGGTGCATATGCTGGGCCTTTGCGATTGCTGGCCCACGAAATCTGGGAACGGTTGAACAAGGGTCAAATCATTCCAGCTGGTGCGGAGGTCAACAAGGAAGAGGTGGACGAGGACCCCTCGAGCACCTTTGATGTCGGTTCCCAGCCAGTCATTCGGAAAAGCGGCGACGGGAGGTACGCGAGGGCGTGCAATCTGGTCACGGGCGATGAGCAGAAGATTGTCGATGAACACGCAACTCTTCTGAGCTGTACCGTGGAGATGATACCTACCTCGCAAAGATACGATGTCGCGGTCATCGACGAAATCCAGCTGCTAGGCGACACTGAGCGCGGCGGCGCCTGGCTTCGCGCCCTGCTTGGTGTGAATGCCGCGGAGGTGCATCTCTGTGGCGAGGAGACAGCTGTCCCACTCGTTCAAAGACTGCTCCAAGACACTGGTGACGAAGTGGTGGTCAACCGTTACCAGCGCCTCACCCCCCTCCGAGTGGAGACCGAAAGCCTCCACGGCGATCTGAGCAAGGTCAAGAAGGGTGATTGCGTTGTAGCTTTTTCTCGGAAACAAATCTTCGCCCTCAAGCAGCGAATCGAGGAGTCGACCGGAATGCAGTGTGCGGTCGCATACGGCCGTCTGCCTCCGGAGATACGCAGCGAACAGGCTGCCTTGTTTAACCAGCAAGGTAGTGGGTATGACGTGTTGGTGGGTAGTGACGCCATCGGAATGGGTCTGAACCTGTGTGTTTTTAGTCGTTGTCTATGCAGCGAGAAGCTAATGTCTCGACTCAGGAAGATCAAACGCATCGTACTCGAAGCAGCTAGCAAATGGGATGGTGTCCGACGAAGGCCACTATCAATCTCTCAAATAAAGCAAATTTCTGGTCGCGCAGGACGGTACGGTCTGCACGGTGATGAGAATCTTGGCGGCTTCGTCACGACACTGCACCAAACTGACCTGGCCGATGTTCGCCGTGCCATCGCGGCGCCGATCACGCACCTCAAGCAGGCTCGCATCTCACCGCTTGGGCATGTCTTCGAGGCGGTGGCCACTGCGCTCCCGCAAGACGCTGCGGCGATAACAATCGTGGACGTGCTGTACTACGCGGCGAAGCTGCCCCCCACTTGCGAGCTCGAGGACGTGCGCAAACTGCGCTTCAGACTCGACTTCTTGGGCGACCTACAGGCGGACCTGACTATGAATGACCAGGTTCTCCTCCAGCTCGCGCCCGTGCCCGTCTCTGATGTGGCTGCCCAAACGGCCTTCCGCGCCTTGTCGCGCATGTACTGCGACGACTTCCATGTCGGCTTGAAGGATGTCCTGCGGGAAGCGGACCTTCTCGAGGACTTCGAATCCGCAGTGCGCGCCGTAACGGAGAACGACTCAGCCGCCGACCAGCAAAATGCGCTCCAGACGTTGGAGTCGGTGCACAAAATCATCGTCGTGTACTTGTGGCTGTCCTACCGTGCTCCGGTCGCGTTTATTGAACAGGACGAGGCGTTCAAGTTGAGAGACATCGCAGAGCAGAGCATGCAGAAATGCCTGGAGCTTCTCAGCGCTGTCAAGGGCAAAGTATCGCGTCCGAAACGTCTCGTGCGCGGAGACGCAGTCAAGTACAAGCCCGGAAGTACCGTCCGCGATGAGGCCCTTCAGAAGCGAGCCGAGCGTCTCGAGCATGGCAATAGTCGTAAGCCAACATTCTTCACTATATGTCCATAGGATTGATCCCATATCGCAGTGCGGGATCCATACGGTCTGAAGCCAGCAAGCCGCGACGGGCGCAAGTAGGCTGAAGTGACGGAACCACGTGAGCGCGTCACGGCATCGGCCGTGGTTGGCTTTGCCCGTCTCGCGCCCCGCAGAACGCGCCCGCCTCCTCTCTCTACCATACTATTCGTTTAATCCGTCCTCCGCGCTCCCAGACAGGCTGGTCCGACGTCTACCGCACTCAAAACTACCCTATTCTACCGGCCTCATCCCCCGTGCAAAATGCCTTCCCTCAAGTCTTCGTTCCTCGCCGTATTGCTCCTCGCGCCCTTGGTCCATTCCTCTCCCGTCATACCCACCGCACTCCCGGCGCACACGCCCTGGCGGCTCCGCAACGACCCTGAAACCCTCCTCGGGCGGCGCTACGTCGTGCAGAACCACGCCCCCGCCGCCGCTCCGGACAGCGCGGACAACGAGGACCCGCCGCCCCCGCGCTCGCACGCGCAGCACCAAACCAAATCGTCCAAACGCAGCGCGCGCTTCGCAAAGTACCTCGCCGAACGCGCCGCCACGAACGAGCGCATCCAGACGCCCGGCGGGACGGTGGTGAACGACGTGTCGAACGTCGGCTCGGGTTCGTCGGGCACGAAGGTTACGAAGGCTGGGGATACCGAGCTGGAGGAGATGCCCTCGTCGTACAGCCCGTACAACACGGCGGTGACGATTGTCCCGAGGCCGAGCGGGACGGCGCACGCGAAGGCGGCTGACAAGGCGAAGAACAAGAGCACTACGACGCACGGGAAGGCTGTCTAGGCGGGAGGAGGGCGCGGATCGCAGTGACTCTGGGAGTTCAGCGGACGGCGCGTTTCGGACGTGACATACATAGAGCATACACTACACAGGTCCCATTCGTACATGTAGCTATAGTCCTGATAATCACACCACTTGGAACGGTTCTTGCGCCGTAGCGAGAGCACGGTACTGATCCCGGTGCGCGACTGTGATGAAGCCCTTATGCGGGGCGACATTCTGCGCAGGGGCTAAGTTACCCGCCGGGAGGGAGGCACCGTTGAACCATGTTGAGACTGGAACTGAGGCGTGAGGGTCGCAGAGGGAGCGATGTTCCATGCGGGCGGGCAGCATACATGCCCGCATATAGCCCATTGAGCACGGCGCACTCCCGAGCCCAGACGTCAAACGTCCTAGGACCGAGAAGCTAGCACGTCTCTGCCATCCTATGAGGGTCGACAGGCATCGACCCATCCAACGAACCCATCTCGCCCAGCGTCCGCGCAAAGAGGTCGTTGAAGCCCATCTGCAGCCCCATCGTCTCCAGCGCGGCCTGGAAGTTCTGGTCGGTCGCGTCGATGTCTGCTAGCCACTCCTCCATGCGGTTCGTGCCCCCGATGAGGATGCTCCGGAGGCGCGTGCGGTCGGTCTGGTTACGGACGGCGTCCCGCCGACACTGCCCGGGCCTACACTGTTCGTTCCGCCGCCTGTGTTCGGGCTGGAAGAGGTGTCGACATCGACGCCTGCATGTGCGACGGAGTCCCATGCTTGGCCCCACAGGACGGTGAGCCATCCTTTGTCAAGATCGTCTAGCCATTGGAGGAGTTGGGGGAGCGTGTCGACGTCGGGTCTGTAGCCCGCGATAGACTCCAGGACTTCGCCCGTCAGCCGGAGAAGGAGAGACGTGCGCAAGGACGCGGATGGACCCGCGGGCGGTATCTGGAGGACGAGCGCGAGGAGTGGGTGCACCGCAGTCAGGTAGGAAGCGAGGGTGGGCAGCGTAGACGAGGGATGTGAGCTGCAACATGGTAAGTGGTGGGATGTGGGATGTGGAGGAGGGCGTACCGCTTTTTGTAATTGCGGGTGATTTCGAGGAGGTGGTCTTCGAGGTAGTCGACGAGCTTGCGCTCCTGGCTGGGCGAGAGTCTGTGGGCTGTGAACGTTGCAGAGCCATCACTGTCCAAGTGGTCGTTCAAGTTGTGTGTGTGGATAGACTCTGTCGACTCAAAGGTGGGATAATGGATCTCTGCAGCATTCTCCATTCTGGTGAGATATACAGTTCACAGTGAGCCTGAGTTTAGGTCGTGGCCTTCGCAGTGCCAGTAGCCAGATGTGCGAGCGAGCGATGTAAGGAGTGTCTCGAGCGAGACGCCCTACCCTCCCTAGTCGCGTAGCGCGCCGCGCGGGACGGAGTAATGAAACGCGTGACGTCATGCCAGAATGCCTCTTCTCCCGCAACCTGTTCCCGGATCCCTTGCGCAATGTGAGCAACTTAGCAGTAGATTGGCCTCTACAGCGGCCAGATCAAGCGGAACGAGTCCAAAGACTCAACATCAATTGGCAGAGTCGATAAGCAGGTCTAGTACTAGCACTAGGAGTAAGTGTAGCATACTTGCAGTACGCATAGTACGAGCTCCCCTCAGAACTAGTCCTGACACAAAAACAGTATCCTTCATGATGTCAGTCCATGCTAGGACATCTCAAGTATGCTTTCCAGTGATCAGAATATCCTCGGTGTCGCACTCAGGCTCTGCCTCCCAACCCGCCCTCCGTCTCGACTGGCGTGCAGCGCGTCACTGACGCGTCTGGTGTATCTGGAGTCCTGAACGGGGAGTGGTCTGATGGGTACAACAGTGCCTCGCATTAGACATGAATCCACTTGCTTGATAGCTCGTGTCTGAACCGTCTGTATAGGGCATTTCAGACGGGTTTGGACGGGATTAAACAGTCCAGCGGATTTGCTGATTAGTACTGCAACTCGTCTGCTCACTTTGGACATTGGACAAAATCTAACGCGAAGAATACAGGGATAAGCACAGATAATGTGCAGAATGATGAATGTACCTATCGAGCGACCTCCGAGTTCGTTACGACCCCCTGCAGCTCACCGTATAGACTGCGTCGATGTCACGGTGTCAGCGGACATTGAGGAAGTGCACCCCTGGCTGGAAGAAGATCGTCAAAAATATACTGATGTCCTGGAATGTAAGAATAGCATCGAAACTGCCTACCGGTACCGTTCTAGGAGCACTGCACGATGCTCCGTGGTGTGAAGGCCCGCAACCCTGAGGAGGTGGGTGAACACGCAGCAAACCTCAGGCTTCACTGACATGAAGAGTCTGGATGGTCTTTAAGTGCCCTATAATTCTTGTCATGGCTGTCAGAAGTATGTGTCGTGAGATTAGACAGTCGCGGAGGTGAAGCTTGTGAGTGAGAGAGCCTGAAGGACCACGTCCAGAGTCCACACAAGATTCCATTTCTGGGTTATTGCTCTGTCACGTGAGCAAGAATGATCATACCACTTGCCCGGGCAGTGGCTGCTTAAAGCCCGCTTCAGCTTAGCTCTCATCTGGCACTGGTGTTGACACTGACAGCAGTCACTGTCTTACTGTCTTTCATCACAAAACAAGTCGAGGGCTACTGGGTATCCTACAGCACTACCTATGCCTAGAGTTCCCTCTGTGTCGCCGGCGACCGGTAACCCCACGCCCTCTCACTTCATCCATACCCTCGACAGTCACTTCGTCGACAATGCCGGGAGAACAATCTTGCTGAGAGGGGTCAACCTTTCCGGCGATAACAAAGCACCAGTTGATTGCCCCTCATATATCCTCAACGGTTTCTGGGAGACTGGAGAGAACGGCGACTATGACTTTCTTGGCAGACCATTGAATCTCGAGGACGGCTCAGCCGACGTACACCTTGCGCGATTGAGAGGGTGGGGCTTCAATATGCTGAGATATGTTGTCACTTGGGAAGCATTAGAGCATGCTGGGCCGTGAGTGAGCTTCCTGCTGCGCATTTGGACCCGCGTCTCAATGATCGACCAGCGGCAAATACGACTATGAATTCATGGATTACACCGTCCGCGTCCTGCGGAAATGCAAAGACCATGGATTCAAGGTGTACATGGATCCACATCAAGACATTGTCAGTGACCATCGGTTGCACCGTGCCCTTCACTCAAATATCTTCTATTTAGTGGTCACGCTTCTCCGGAGGCTCTGGCGCACCATACTGGACACTTCCTGCGTGTGGATTTGATCCCCGGCACTTCAGTCCAACGCAATCGGCTATCGTTCATGCCGAGTACCCCAGCCCCTCGTCTCCAAAGCCTGTCGAATTGCCAGCGATGATTTGGAGTACGAATTATGGGCGTCTCGCATCACAGACGCTCTTCACGCTCTTCTTTGCGGGCAGGCAGTACGCCCCGCAATGCATCCTTGACGGACAAAACATACAGGAGTATCTTCAGTCACACTATGTCGCGGCATTCGGTGCGCTGGCCGACCGGATCCGCGACGCGGGTGACCTGCTCGACGAATGCGTGATCGGTTGGGACAGTATGAACGAGCCGTACGAGGGTTTCTGCGGGTACGATGACCTGAACACGGTACCAACGAAGCAGACGTCCACACTCAAGAAGGGCACGTACCCTACGCCCGCACAGTCGCTCCGCTTGGGCATGGGCCAGGCGCAGACGGTAGACAAGTGGAAATTCGGCAGCATGGGCCCCTCGCGCGATGGCTCGGAGACCGTTGACCCCAAAGGCGTTGCTGTGTGGATCAGCCCGGAGAGCGAGCCGAACGGCGTGCATCCGCACTGGGGCTGGCGGCGGGACCCGCGTGGCAGCTGGGCACATGCATATGGGCTCTCCATGGAGTGTGGGACGTCGATTCTGGCGAGGTCCTCCAGCCGAACTACTTCAGCACACCGGACAGCGAGCGCGTTCCGCACTTCATCCAAACGCACTGGCTCGAACATTGGCAAACGTTTTCCGCACGCATACGCCAGTCACATCCAGAGGCGATTATGTTCGTCGCGCCTCCCGTGTTCGCACAACCCCCGTCCATCGCCGATGAGCAGCTCAAAGGGCGCTGCTGCTACTCCGCTCACTACTACGATGGACTCACGCTCGTGAGCAGACACTGGAACTGGTTCAACGCCGATGCGCTGGGCCTCCTCAGAGGGAAGTACTCCTCGACGCTGCCTGCAGTCCGGATCGGCGAGAGCGCGATCCGGAAATGCATCCAGGAACAGCTGGGCGTGCTGAAGGCCGACGCGCCCATCCTCGGCCCGTACCCGACGATCATCGGCGAGATCGGCATCCCGTACGACATGGACAGCAAGAAGGCGTACGGCTACACGGACGACGGGAAGTACAAGGGCGACTACTCCAGCCAGCAGAAGGCCCTGGACGCGAGCCTGAACGCCGCGGACGGGCCGAACGCGCTGAACTACACCATCTGGAACTACTGCCCGGACAACTCGCACATGTGGGGCGACGGGTGGAACATGGAGGACCTGAGCCTCTGGAGCCCGGACGACCTGCGCTCGCGTGAGGGCCCAAAGATGGAGCTGAGCGACGCGTCGTCCGCGGTGCTCTTAAAGAAGGGGCCGAACGTCTCCGCGCGCAGCGCCGCGGCCTCGTCGCTGTCCTTGGCCACGCTGGCTGCTGGCTCAGAGGATGAGACCCTGCGGGTCAGCTATGAAGCGGCGGCCTTGCGTTGGGAGAACGCGTTTGACTTCCTGACGGACGGTGCACGGGCGGTCAAGGCGTTCTGCCGCCCATACCCCGTCGCCGTCGTCGGCGTGCCGAAGGACATCCAGTTCAACATCGCCAAGGCAGAGTTCACGCTCACCGTCCGTGTCCGACCAGAAGATGCCCCCTCGCCGGAGCGTCTGGGCGCGCGGTCTGAGCTGGCCACGGAGATATATGTCCCTCTCGTTCACTACGCCGGCGACAAGCTTGTGTCCCGCTACGCAGAGCAGACCTGCGACACACCGAGCACCCTCACGAGCGACGACGCCCTGTCCAAGGAGCCGACTCCGTTCGCATCGCGGAATGCGTCGACCGCAAACCTGTCAGTGCAGGCGTCATCGACGTCTACCTACGACCGGCTGTTCTCCCCCTCGGCTATACCCTTAGCGCTTTCGGTCGAGGCATCTGCTGGTCGCTGGGATGTCGACGGTCAGACATTACAGTGGTGGTACCCGGTACCGGGTGATGGCGAAGCAGATCGTGAGTATACTATCACAATTCGGCGGGCTGGCGGTGCGATCAAGACTGCTGAGGAGGTGCAAAGTACGCGTAGTCTGTGGGACGATTGTTGCTCCTTCTTGAAGAGGTGTTGTGTTGTGATGTGAGTCCTGCCGCCATTGTTGCTATCGCTTTGCGTCCGGATTGGAACGATTGTCATTTTGTACTATATCATCCTGGATTGTAACAGATACTGCGAACACACGGACCTTTTGATCATTCGTTACTAACATGTCCTCGGCGTGCGCGGTCTCGGAGGTAGTGGACAGTGTTATAGGAGCATGCGGAGCCGCAGATGATTGTGTACTGCATAACGGCTGAAATATGATCTCAGCATGTAAGGTATGTAAGTATATAAAGTTGACCGTGACAGGTCAGAGCCTCGGTGCAGAATTCAGAGCAACATGACAGGTTCGAAGGCGATGTATACACTACGAAGGTAGATCCAGGAGCAGGCTAATATGTACATGATAGTTCTGGCAATCAGCATACGATACGTATAAATGAAGATACTGTCATCATAGTCATCAAGGTGCTTGGACATGGGCTTCAATCTCTGATCGCCATACGTTACCATCGTGAACGATGGAGACAAGCCATAGGTCTTGCAAACGTATTCCTGGCCCGTGGTCGTTGATAGCCCACCGCTGGTTACTACGACCTGATGGTCGTGTATGACGCTACTCACCGCAATCAGCACGTCGTCTCTACATACACAAATGAGGTGACCCACCCGCGTAATATACTGTACAAATGTTCTAATCTGCCGGCAGACAGCCCATGCCAAACGGCCTCGACTGATAAACAAGCCATTCTCTTGGACGACGATATAACGGCCGCTCCGATCATAGCCCGGCCACTGCGGAAAACTATGTTATAAATCGCCACTGAGCGATATGGAGCCTACGCACAGTCATGACATGGTGGATTTGGCGAACGCCTGTGCGCTCCAGGACGCGATCCTCACTGGCGTCGAGCTGAGCATTGTAGCTCAGTACGTCGCACACGCGAATACCAAGGGAGCCGCGGACCTCAAATTGGACTACGTCGGATCGTCGAGCGTGAGGGGGCCGTGGTGTCTGCGGGACACGTACGCGGGGTGTCTCGAGCGGAGGCAGGGGCGGCAGCAGCAGATCCGGCGATGTCGGAAGACTCCCGGTGAACGCCGTGGACGGAGATGGTGTCGCTCTATGGAAATAGAGGGTATCAGGCCACCGATGAAAATGGGTGATGACATAACAACTCACGGTGACAAAGACAGCAAGCTGTAGTTGGGCGAGCTACTTGGCGCACGCAGATTTGGCTGAGGATAAGCCTGCGCGGCCTCCGGGCACGGAGGCGGAATCCATCCACCGCCGCCGAATGCGAAAAGTTGACTAGCTGAGTGCTCGGAAGGACTATAGATTGCATACGGTTGCTGAGTATTCTGGTCAGGTGTCAGTTGGAGAACAATAAGCCAACAATTGTGACGATGCTCACTTGGTATGCAGGGACCTCCTCGAAGCCACGGAGGTCCCAAGGGAACTCGGCATGAGGGTCATAACCAATTGCTAGCTGGTTATTGCTTTGCGAGCCCCACATCCCGAGGGACAGCGTAGTTGTCTACATTGGACGGATGACTGGTCACCTCTTATGTATTGGGCGGATGCGAGGGACAGGCGTGCGGGGGGCGGTGCGATGAGTCGATGTGCGGAACTCTAGAGAGGAACTTGTGCCGGTACACGCATCGCTGAGTCCAGCAATGCCGACAGAGGTTAGTGTTGCGGTCTGCCCCAGCGGACTGTGTCCACGAGCCCAACACGAGGGAGAGACGCGTTGACACATTCACTTTCGAAGACACAGCCGACTACAGTAGCAGATTCGCTGCGGGTAATGGGAATCCGGAGCCTCGGACGTCATCTCGATGCGTGCGGGGGCAGCGGAATGACATATCTGCTGTGCTCCCAAACGTGGAGGGTGAAGTTATACGAGCCTAGCCATGACCTTTTCTGGCAATAACCAGATTCTACCCGCACGATAGCCGATGGCAAGAAAGTGAGTGAAGCGTTAATTCAATGCCAGGTTAGTAGAAGTGAGCGAGGAGATCACAGCTTATCTGTAAATGCTGTGCAATGGGCTTCTGCGATGACTGCGCGCTTAGCATGCGGCTGCTTTGAGCTTGTCTTGGACCTTGTTAAAGCTTTGTCAAGTCTGCGGATAGAGGGAAGCTGCTATGATAGTTCTGAGTACAAAGGCGATCCGGACAATGACACCAGAAATGACGAGCAGACACGAAAGACCAACACAAAATCACCGACATACCATCGGGAAAATGACACGGAGCGGTGCGACTTCGCGCGATTGGCGCTAGCAGAATGGTATCTCGTGCCACACCCCGGACTGACCCCGGGTGCGTACACAGCCAGCTTCGTTATAGAATGTACGCCGAAATAGCGTGGCTGCACCGGTGAGGTCGCTCATGTTGGGGCGGGCCGCGGCCACATTAAGCTAAATTGAGGCCGGGCAATCGATGGAGCCCGTAGTCGTTCCTCAAATCTGACACAAGTCAAGTAAGCAGACAAATCTAGGCAAAGATCGCGAAGGCGTACACAGAGCTCTGCGGGTGCGCGTCCGTTGTATGTCCGCAACATATGCCACTCGGGGTTGTGCAACCAGTAGGACCGCACGGGCAACTCGAACCGCAGTTGGGAGATGATGGTACCCATAAACGCTAACAGAGTTCAACATATCGCGCCATCAAGGGTCACGGAGGTGATGAACCACCCATAGTTGAGATCTGAGGACTCATCAGAGATCGTCAACACAAAACAATCTTATGGGAGCCACTCACCCGCTGACTGACATCGACTCATGGCCAGACACATCAGACCCTTGCAAGTATGAGTTTTTCGAGGATATCCAGCTCCGTGTGGCCGCGACGACGATGCCGGCATCAGTCGGTGCTCCGTGTGCTTTCAAGGCCCTGTGTGTCCCCAGACGCAGAATTGGTCAGTTGGCTGGGCACACGCAGGGCACGCGATTCTCTGAACAGCAAATTAAGCAAGAAATTCTGATCAGAACGACACAAGCATTTGGCGGTGCTGAACAACTGCGTATGGTACGTACGCACGCTTCGTCGTGGCTGTACGAGATTGAAGCTGGATAGACGCGCGCCTTCGAAGAGGAGGTTAGTACGGAGGAGACGCCCGGGGTCTGTCGTGGCGCTCGTAACGAGCATTCGGTGAGGGAAGCACCGGGTTGACACCCGGAACATACAGTTGGCCTGGCCGCAGTGATCGAGTTATTAGTGGGCTGATGGAATGTCGTCGCTGTTACCACGGAAAGGGTTCTCAGTATGCCATCCGTTTTGCAAAGGAACAATTGCCTGCAGCAGACAATTGGCCAGAATTGACGATGGGAGCACAGGTATTAACGTGAACGTACACGAGGTTTCCTTCCAAATAGTGGTTCGTACAATCATGAGAATCAACTAGATGTGTTCTCGGAGCTGTCAGAGTGGCGGGGCGCTGCCTCCGCGATGGAGTCGTCCGGATGCGTGGACGTAGGTGCTGGCGACGGTGAGGACGGTGGCCGTGCCAACTGAATGCGGGGTAATTGCAGCGGGGTGCCTTCGAATTCGGCCCAGCCACCGCGCAAGCCGATCTCAACCACACGTTCCAGTATTCGCGCGAGCTCATCGTTTCTGCCAGTCCGCAATCAGCGAGGACTATTCGAAAAGACCTCACGCGAGACACACCGCTGCTTCTCTTCCTCCCATCGCTCCTCGAACATCCTCTGCAACGACTCTGTCCGCTCTGACAACGTCCCGATTCTATTCTCTAGCTCTTCCAATTGGTCGTCCACTTTATCTCTTCGTTTGGTTTGATTTCGAGAGGACCGCCATGTTTCAGCCATGATCAATGCTGCTGCTACACCGAAGAGGAATCCTTCCGCGAGCGCGTTAGCACCGTTCTCTATTGCCCTGGGTTACAAGTCTTTCATGGCGATACCTCAAAAGCAGAGCGTCGGACGTACCTCGTCTCAGAAAGAGGTCGGACATGCTTGGCAGGTTCACCCAGGAGGTTCGTTCGCAGTCGGACTTCGGTCTTATACATCTGCTGCGCGAGGTTCACGCAGAACGTCCTGAACGTCTCATGCCTACGCGTACGCAACACCTGAGCCTATCCAGACAGGAACAAGACGAATAAGGCGTACTGCTTAGCCTGCGTCTTGAGCTGGTTGCTAATGGGCTTGGCTAGAGTCTGCGCAAGGATGAGCGTAACAGCGTCATGGTGGTAGGAGTCGAACCCGGACTTACTCGGATGACCAAAGTCGCGATCTTTGCCGAGGCCATGGTGAATATTCGGTAGTGGTAGTCAATGGCACTGAACCAGGAAGCACAATGGGCTCTTGGAGGTCGATTATAGGAGAGTATATAGCACGGTCAATAGGGAGATCTAGGGAAGCATGTTCAAGGTTGCGGGTGGCCGGTAGCCGGCTGCACCCAACGCGTACGTACGATCAGCGCGATGCCGGAGGAACTCGTCACCCCGCTCATACTCTCAGGAAGCGCAAGCTTCGACTGAACCATAAAATCACCATCTAGTTAGCAGAACCAGGAACTGTTGTACCATGAAGCTTGTCCACAATCATTTGCATGAAGTACATGGTGTGCAGACCTCAATTTGACCGATCACAACTGCTCGTCGTACAATCGTCGTACATGTACCGCAGCGCCAAATCAGATGCGCATGCCGATGAAGAAAACCTCACGTTGTCTCCCTGTGTATGTACGGGCCAATTGAGGGTTGTATGGGTCTAACCCGTGTCATGATAGCTCCGTCCACCTCTGACAGCGCAAGGCATTGGCAGGGTTGTGTGGTCTTCTGAGTACACGATGCTTCATCGACAATCGGGGCATCATTCACAATGTGGACGCATATGTGTGCAACGTCCGCAGAAGACGTCACCAAAGATCATGCATTATGCCGCATAGCTAGAGTTATCGTCGAGAACCGATCGATGGGATAGGTATGCCCAACCCTAGAAGTCCTTGCCGCCAGGTGAATCTGAGTCACAGCGTCCACATCGACGCCGTAGCGTTATCATATGCAACTGATAGTGGTGTACAGAAAACACAAGCTACTTCACGGCAGCGTCAGAGATCTTGTGAAGCAACACGGGTAGGCTGACACTCACCAACGGACGGAGGCAGCTACAGCTCATCGCCCCGCTTGACCCTCATTCGCGGAGGGTCCTGCACATCTACGTGTTTCACCCCATCCAGCTCGTTCAGGGAAGCAAGTATCTCCCCTTGCGAGTGTGGCCAGTTCGCGCGAGGTGCGCTCAGCAGCTGCACATCCCGTAACTGACCTACCATCCCGAGGTGGGTGAGTGACGGATGGACAGCGAGGCGCTCCGGGTTCGCCATGAAGCGAGACGAAGGCGAAACGGTCACAGCAAGGTAAACATTGTCGTCGTGGTTGAGGAGGTGCTGCGAGGACATGGCGGTCAGAAAGAGAGTTTGTTCTGAGTTGCCCGATCAGCCGCTCCTGCTCTTCACGGGAGGACTGATCGCAAGTCCTGCGCAGAACACTCTCGGGCCCTCTCGTTATGCAGCCTTATTTGACCCTGTCGTGCGATGCGAGCTCGTCCGATTCCCGCATCGTGGATCCAAGTTACGGAAGAGAAGGAGGCAATGTTACTACGGCACAGCTACAACGCCACTGAGGTCTTGGGAGTTTCTTGACTTTGCCATCCTCGCCCTTTGTCTTCCACTCCATCCCACTCCAGTCAATAGATCGCTGGCCACATTTGATGGACCCCGGACCTGTTTCCAAGGTCTACGCCAACCAAGTAGGCGGCCACCCAGGCGTCGCTACGACCGAGGACGGCTCTCTGCTCATTAAACCCTCTCTCCCCCGTGAAGTCGCCTTCTACCAAGCACTCGCGACCGATGCACGCTGCGCTAATTTGCGGGACTTCGTCCCCGAATTTTACGGTACCCTGAAGCTAGAGGGCAGGGTGGCGAATGAAGGTGGTGGGCTCATGAACGCCATCACGCCAGTGGAGGAGGTCCCGGAGGGCGAGAAAGATGAGTACGCGACCGACACGGGCTCAGCGACGTCAGCGTCCTGACATGCGAATCCTTTACAGTCCATTGTGCTCGAGAATCTCGCGTATACGTTCTTGAAGCCAAACATCCTCGACATCAAACTAGGCACTGTGCTGTTTGACGAGGACGCCACCCCGGAGAAACGAGCACGGATGGAGAAGGTCGCTGAAGAGACGACCTCCAAGGAAACCGGGATGCGTCTCACAGGATTCCAAGTAAGGCGTCTTTGGGGAATCTGCGGCTATCCCAGCTGACATGCATACTCAGGTTTATGATCTCGCCGCAGACAAGCCGGTGATAACCACCAAGGCTTATGGCAAGTCTATCAAGCCAGCCGATCTCCCAGACGGCATTGCACGATTCTTCCCGCTAGCAGCACCCCCGTCGCCACCCAACGAGTCCGCGCAACTGACACCCAGCGCGGGTGCAGCACATGGGACTGGGCTACCACCCGAGTTATTGCAAACGATCCTTGCCGGCATATTGTCTGAAGTCGAGGATATCTACGGCACCATGGAAGACATCGAGCTGCGGATGGTCGGCGGGAGCCTGCTGCTGGTCTACGAGGCTGACTGGGACCGCGCGCGAGAAGGGCTCCGACTGTTGCGCGAGGCAGAGCAGCGTGCGGAACGTGAGGTCGAACAAGGGCAGGAGCAGGACGAAGATGAGGACGAGGATGGGGAAGAAGATGACGATGAGAATGCTGTGGGCCCGCCGTTCGTGGTGAAGCTCATTGACTTTGCACATGCCAAGTTGGTACCAGGTCGCGGGCCGGACGAGGGAGTTCTGCATGGCCTACGGACGGTGATCGACTTGTTGAAGGGTAGGATGGCGCAGGTGGAGGCAGTATCTGTAACCACGCTTACCTCGACGTGATTGAAGGTGGCCTTCGTAGACAGTCACCTGGAATATATAGCATACAACACACGACAGCAGAGATACAGCATTGAGGACTACTACTCGACTTAACCTTGCATGAGCCACGGCTTATTGGTCATCGTCCATGTATCCAGGGTTTTCCAGAAGTGTGCGACCACGGACTTGTCGATGTGTCGTCTGTGCTGATCGATCTACACGCCGTACGAGGTTGAGAAATGCTTGATAGCTAGCGCGACTGGTGCCTCACCTTCAGCTCAGTGACGTTCCAGTCCTTGATCTTAGGGTTCGGAGGGTCGTTCGCCCAGGCCATGTAGAATCCTTTCACTATCAAATCTCCATCAGCGTTATCATCCATTTAGGTCGCAAAGTCAACTTACCATGATGGAAAAGCGTCTTAGGCTCGTTCCACTTGTACGGCTTGAATTGCCACGCCTGACCAGTCGTCATGACGCATACCACACGGTCCCATGCATCGGCACCGAACTTCGCCAATGCCTCCGTCCCATCGACGACGAAGTATCTACAATCGTATCAACACTCCGATTGACTCTGACAAACGATTTGGGTGCGCTCACCGAGCGTGTGTCTGTGTCTCGCGGCCAGAAGGGTCTATCGTTGTCCGCTTCCGATAAATGGGTATCATGTCTTCGGGGCGAGCGTTGCCCTCCGCTGCCGCACGCGCGCGCGCTTCCTGCGATGGCTCGAAAACGGCGTCTTGTAGGAAGCGCTTGACGTTGTGCATGGTGATGAGGGCTGTTGGTGAGGATGAGATGATGATGATTGGGTATTGGTTCTCTGTAAGAACTCGTCAACCGGGACATTCAAGAGCCGATGACAAGTAGGCGCACTGGGTTTTCGGGCTTGCATTTTGGGGTCTATGATGGAGTCAATCCAGAATCACTGAAAGTCACGTATTATCGTCATACCTGGTGTTGACGGTGCAGACGTCGCTGGTGTGCCACCCTTGCTCGCCTCCCGAAGCTTCTTGAGCTTGTCTGACATTGCTTGACTAATTGTAGAGAAATTCTGCGGTAGACATGTGAGACGTAGAATAACCAGTGAGTAGAACCGCGGATACGGACATTCGTCTTGATCCCTCGCAGGACGCTCGTTCTGTCTCGGAGCTCAATCTCGCTCGCCTTGATCTTCTTAACGACCTCGATGTCCGCCGTGTCAGCAACATACCGTCGCTTCGATGGACTGGACTGGTCGGCACTTCGTGATGAGAAGGGTGCTGTTGGTAAAGCGGTTGTGCCCTTTAGTTGCGGTGGTGTCCCTGGCGGAGTTGTCGACTCGGCTGCTAATCCATCAGTTTGCTGAATAAGATACATATACAGAATACTCACTTGCTAGCGGTACAACCCATCGAGCTCTTGAGTCTTTCCTTCCAACCAATCCACTACGACCTTCCGCTCCGTTACACTCACGAAACCCACTTTAGCCCCATGCTCCCTCACTTGCTTCAAATATTCCGGCACGGAAGACTGCCGAAACAACCATGCTAGGTACACCGCCTCTAGTGTATAGAAGTTTTGTGGTGATGCGGGAGGGTTTGAGGACGGCGCAGTTGGTTTGCGCAACCTGGTCAGAGTGGACTTTGGTAAGGAAGTCGATGGCGAGAGAACGATGTGCGTGGCAGAAGTAGGCGAGCTAGTAGGGTTTGAGCTGCCACTATATGTGATGTCCGTCCCCGCTCTGATTGCGTCGCGCAGAGCCAGGAGGGGATCGGTCGAGGTGTTCATGTTAGGCCTGGCAAGTTCGTAGCAAGTGTTTGCCGCTACGGGCGACGCGGATTAACGCTTCGAACTTCCGACCTGTGGTGATACCGCTAGTATGTAGGCGAAGACCTAGTGACGACGCGGGTGGTCGGGCGAAAGAATAAGGACTGGGACACGGCGGATGTGGGCAAGGCGCGTCACGTTCGAGTTCGAGGGAGGCTCTACTGAACGCCCGGATCTACCGGAACTTATACCCGTGGCGCATGGGCGGCTATGTGCTGTGTGGCACGCTCGCCCTTTGCCAGTGAAGCCCGAATTTTAATGCTACTGTAACAATTAACGTCAGCGTGGGGAACCGGGAGTTTGAGCTGGTGCAGTCTCTTCCGCTCATTGAAGTAGGACCACGCATAATGTTCCGAATCAACCTCACGAAGTACAAAGGTTGAAGATCAGCGTCGTAAAAAAATGTCCAGCGCATATTCGATATCGACTGTCCAGTATCAGACAAAACCAAAATGTTCACGAACAGCAAGCAAAGCTCAACAATCTCAGCACGCTCGCGCCCTCTGCTCCGCATCACGGCAGATGGCACTAGCCTTCTCAATGGCTTGCATCCAGACCTGGCAATCCCGAGCAGAGGACGCACGCAGAGCTATGGCGTCTCCACCGCGCGGATAGGCTATCGAGATTTGGAACGCAAGGTCATCTATGGAGAAAACATCAGCTTGAGCTCCACAACTTGGACCAAGTCCGTACCTCTTCTCCCTGGCACCTCCTGCACTCGTACTTCAGAGAGCGGGATGGGCTATAGTGGCCGTGTTTGATGAGTAATCTATCCAGTGGCTGAAAGTAGAATGACAACATACTGTCCGGTAAAGCTGCTTCGCGGGATCTTGCGTGAGCACCAAGATGTCGCTACACAGGAACGCGCGTAGTTTGCGTCCGCTCTTCGCTTTCATGAGCACGCTCTCCTTCAGCAGTTTCCGGGGCCCCATGTGACGTGTTGGCGCGGTCAAGTCCAGCCGACTAGTCCGCGGGTCAGTGGGTCACATACAGTGTACTTGGTCAGGGAGAATTGACAGACCCTTGCCCGATCCAGAGATCCTTTGAGATAGTCCGCAGACGTTCTTGGCCCTCTTGCTCTCGGATGGTTTCGTTGATATGCGCTAGAATCCTCTCTGCCATGTCAAGGGCATGCTCTATGTGTCTGCGGTCTTCCGTCGCTTCTGTGTAATGAAGCACCTACAGGAAAACAATGATAACACATCATATCCGGAGACCTATGCCATATACGACTTACCTGGCGTATCAGCAGGGGATAGCGAGTAATACGTTGCACTGTGGTCGTGAATCAGTCGACTAGCAAAACCCAAGAGCACCGGCACACTTACTGGGAACGAGCAGGTAGCTAGACAAGTCCAGGTTACGGGCAGTGGGGTCATCTCTCAGACGCTGGGCATAATGGGTGAGACATGCAGATGTCAATAGACATGGCAGCGCACACACCTGCAGAAGCTGTGCCAACTCAGGCTTTCTCTCGCGTTCAGATTGCAAGACCCTGGCAGCATACGCCTGGTTGACGCAGTACTCCTGCGTATGTATTTATTCAGATCTTGATCACCGTCTGCGCGGAAATACATACCACATAGACACCCATTTCTGACATGTTCCTGCGGAGAATGTCGCCGAGTTTGTCGATGTAAAGCCGGCATTCCTTTTGTCTCTCTTCCAACACACTCAAGAATGTCTGTTCCTTGACTTAGATCCCAGCCACGCATTGCATACAACAATGACCGCACCGTATTGATAAGTAAAATGTCTTCCACGTTGGCGAAGATGACTTTGACAGCTTTGTCTTCTAGTACTGACATTAAGTTGGCGTAGAAGTGCTGCGGGCAGTGTGTGGGTTGTAAAGTTGCAGTAGGGTTTGGAACGTATTGCGTACCTCCACAATCAGCTGCAAGTCTCGGACGTACGCAGCTTCGGTGAGGATGAATTCGAACATCGCCTGCCACCCACGCAGAAGTCAATCAATAGGTGACATAAAGCAGCAGTTACCCTACATACCTCTTGTCGACGTCGTTCCTTCGTCGGTATGTCTTCCAGGACCGACTTATCGACAAGACTTGCCCACGTCTATGCACGTATGAACTTCCATCTCCCCAGAACATGATGAAGGAAACTAACCGAGCCAAACGCGCTGTCGACCTCCGCGCCAGCCGCGCTATTATCCCTGGATATGGGTGCTGAAATGACAGGCATCGTCCGCGCCTCTCCATCATTCGCAGGCGTCTTGCGACCAAAGATACTCAGGAAGTGTAGACCACTTCTACTTTCGGCTTCAGTCGAGGCGCTTCGCGCAATGTAGCTTGGTGATGTCGGGCTAGCAACAGGCCCGCTGATGCTACTGTCCATCGACACCATCGACAGACGATTCATATTAGGGTTCGCCTGCCGGTAAGCTTCATACCGTTCGAAGGCATCGTCCAAACGTAGGGAGCTATCAGCATCTCCCGACACATCGAGGTCTGCGGAGGTGCCCCTGGAGTGAGCACCAGCAGAGACGCGATCCGGGACAGCAGGCGGTGGGCGCCGCTTGCGCTCCTTCCTGGGTCGTACGGGCCTTGGCGGAGGCTTCACTCCTCTTTAATGATGAAGCCGGCGGCCTCCAAGACACGCTGATGTTCCAGGGCGCGTGCCTTCCGTTCTGCAGCTCGTGCCTCTTCAGTCACATCTTCTTCGGTGTCATCTGCGTCAGACTCGGAGAAAGAGAGGTACTCAGACTCAGTATCAGATGAATCGTCTTCCTGATTGTCCACCGCATCCTCCTCGTGTACGGGCTCAGTTGATGGAATGCCCCCGCTGAAGTCCCCAATAAGGTCTTGAGGCGGATCTTCTCCGGCCGTAGGAGGTTGTGGTAATGGCTTGTCCACCACGGGTACCGATACGAAATTGGGCGCTGCTGCAGCGACGAGCGAGATTTGTCATTTCCAAACGCAAACGATGTGATACATATGTAAGAAACACAAGAAAAACTTCAGCCTGCCAGCAACTTCAACAACAGATGCAAGGAGGACGGACTGGCCGACTAACCCTCAATGATCTCTAGGTATCCGGCAGGAACGATAAACACAACTCCTTCCCGCTCAGCCTTCCACCAGTCGGCTTCGTTTCGATCCACGATGGATAGCTCATCGCCTTCTGAGAAGGGTAATTCTTCAGGGCTATTGCCTTCGTACGCGTACAGAGCACGAGCTTTGACTGACGCGAAGCATGAGCCGAGATCCAACTTGAAGGGTGAGAATAGACTCGACATACCTGACTCTATCCTTTGGACGTACGTCTTTGGGAAGAACCCGGCCCTACCATCCCGGAGAAGAGTACCATACCACCAGTCGCCACCAGTCTTAGAGGGGTTAGCTTTGATCATTAGATTTTCTGCAAACGCTATGGACGACATGAGGTCAACTCAAAGCGCACATCTGACTGGTGAACTCACAGAGATCTTCAGGTCTTTGCCCTTCATAGGGGTACAAGGAGCGGACACGGTATTCTGGGGCGCGTTTTGTCAGTCCTGCCCACGATCTGGCATCACGGCGAATAATAGCCTACCAGTTGATTTGTCGACGTCTGCCATAGCATCATTCTCAGCGGCGTCGACCTGAATTGCCGGAACGGGCGTAGCAGGCTCTTCCTCCTCAGCCATGGAAGGCAAGCGCGACATGTCGGGTGGCGCTGACCCAGCTCCGCGGCGAGTCCCGCATACCAGTCTACCGAGTCCCTATTGCTCGACCGCGCGCTCATAGTCGGCGGTTCAGGAAGTCCGGACAATGAGTCGTATCGACTGGGCGGAGAAGCTGCTGCCGGTGACTCCGGAGGCGAGGGCGCCCTCGGGGCAGAGCTAATATGCACCGGGGGTTCTGCGCCGCCCAAGACCTTGCCAGAAAGTGCCGATGCACTGCGATCGTTAGTCTGCGCCTTCCTCAGTCTAGCACCGGCTTGAATGGCACCAAGTAGAGCGCTCCGATCTCCAGACGGTGCAGGCGCTGCAACTGCTGGGGGCGGAGGTGCGACCGGGGCCATGGGCGGCGGCGGCGGTGCTGCAGGTGCACCATCAGCAACTGGTGCTGGTGGCGCTGAAGATGGCGGCGGAGGTGCGGGAGGAGGGGCAGGAGACGATGTCTGCGGAGGTGCTGCAGTTTTTGGCGACGATACAGAAGCGCCCGCGGACTCGGGACGAGACGGCGGCAAGATGCTACCAAATAACTGCTGAGCCAGCTTATTGCGAGTATCACGAGAGGAGTCAATCTCGTCATCACTGCTATCGTCGTCGTCCTTTCCTGAATGTCGTCCCAGTCCTCATCGTCCTCTGCAGGTGCCGTGTGATACGATGTCTTCACTGCAGGAGGTGCAGGACTCTTTGAGGATGGGGGCACAGACGGGGCGCGAGGGGGTGCAGGCGGCGACGCAGCTTGGTTCTTGAAGAAGGGTTGGTGCTACCATTGGCAGCTGGTGTAGTCGGCGTCCCGCACTGCCAGGGCTAGGACCGTCCTTCATGATGCGGCTAAAGGGATTGGTAGCCGACCTATCTGCTGCTGGTGTGGTAGGAGCTGGTGGTGCAGGCGGCGGAGGCGGGGGCGGCGGTGCGACTGCAGCAGGGGCCTCGGCGACAAAAGGCGCAGGCGGTGGCGGCGCAGGTGGGGAAGACGTCGCGGAAGGGGGCGCGGCCTTCGCTTCAAAGGCACGACGACGTGCTTGGTAGTCCTCTTCAGCACGTCGGCCTCTTCCTCTTCCCTCTCCAGCTGCGCAGACGCTCCAGCCGCTCGCGCTGCTTCCTTACAGCTGCCTCTCGTGCCTTGATAAGGGCCTCCTCTGGGTCCTCCTGAGAACAGCGGGTGCCGCAGGGGCGGGCGGAGCAGGAGATGCCACGGGGGGTGTCGGAACTGGCGCTGTACGAGGAGCAGGAGGCTTGGGAGCGGTGCTTTTCTCGGTGGCGGCGGAGCCGGTGCCCTACTCTTGACCGGAGGAGGCGTCGGCTTGGGCGTCGGAGTCTGGGCTGAAGCAGTCGGTATAGGCGGCGCAGGAGGTGGTGCGTAGTGCTTGGTGTCGGCGGGGCAGGTGACGGGTCCCCTTCAATGCCTTCTCGTTCTCGAGACGCTCTCTGCGCGTCCGCTCTCGTTCTTCAGCCGCCTTCTCTGCCGCGCGTGCCTTCTCTTCGGCTTCCCTCTTCTCCAGGACAAGCCTGTCCTCGACGCTGGTGTCGAGCTTGGGCGACGTAGAGCCCGCAGGCGCGACGCCTAGGGCGGCCATGCGCTCCTGCATACGACGTTGTGCTTCTGCGCGAATGAAAGCCTTGCGTTCCTCATCCGACATATTTTTGAGGTTCGGTGCGGGCGATTTTGTAGGCATCGGGGCGGCGGTGGCGGCTTCGCGATGACGCTCGGGGAGGGGCGGAGGGCGGTGCAGGAGGCGGGGAACGCGCAGCAGCAGCAGCCGGGCTCCTGGGACGGTCATAGTCACGCCGATCACGATCGTAGTCGCGGTCGCGGTCATAGTCCCTGTCCCTATCCCTGTTGCGCGAGTAAGGCCTGTTGTCGTAGTCGCGGTCTCGTTCGTGGTCCCTGTCCCGATTCCGAGAGTACGGGCGGTCCCTGTCGTCATCGTATCGTGGTGAGTACCGGTCATCCCTATCGTCGTAGCGGCCGAACCGCTCGTTACGCCTATCCCTATCCCTCGCCCACTCCCTCTTTTCTCTTGCGCGCCGCTCCTCGCGATCCTTGATCTTCCTCTCCACCTCAGGGATACGCTCGTGCATGAGCTTCAAGAGCTCCCGTTCAAGGCGACGTCTTTCCTCGTCCTTCGCTTGACTTCTCTGCCCACGCGACACGTAGTCCAAGTCGTCCTTCACCCTATTCACGCGATAGCGAAGGTCCTCCATCTCCCTGTCGAGGGCCTCGTCTTCTGCCGTCCTCGAAGCGCTCTCCTCCGTGGCGCGGTCGAGCATCTTTGCCGTGTTCTCCAGCTGCCGCTTCATCTCGTCCAAATCTGACGCCGGGTTATCCAAATCCGACGTCGTCCGCACCGCGCTGCGGTCGACATGGCGCGAACGGGGCTGGTAGAAGCCGCCGGGCGGGCTCTCGTCAGTGTACTTGTACACTGTTGCATCCTGCCTACCGCCTGCACCAGCGGCGCCTGTGCTGTTGAAAGATCGTTCCTTCAGCCTCGACACGGGTGAATCAATGGCGGACGGAGAACGGGCGCGAGTATCGTTCTTCAAGATGTCCTTGAGCAATGTTACTGACGCATCAAGGTCTCTGTGAGACGGCGGCACCATCTCCTGGGGCAACTCGTCAGGAATGTCATTACCGTTCAACCCTGCAGTATGAATGAGTTTCCGCAGCGGTGGTAAAACGGGCGGACGTACGTCGGTAAATAAGTCCCATGGCAACGTGGAACTCTGCCAGATTTAGTTTGCCTCGGTTGTCGACATCCGCAAGTGCCCTGCACTATCGTCAGCAATCTCCATAGATGAAAGTGTGTATTGTGCGGCATGGTACGGGATTGAGCGCGACGCAACAGACTGAGGTGCCACGACCACACAACTTCAGCACAATCCGCAGTCCAAGGATGCACCAGCACTGCTTCAAATTCGACTTCGTGCCAGGCGCCAGTGCGTCAAATTGCCCACATCCCGTCCACACACCCCCAGTTTTATGGAAAATAGATGAATGCGAGCACGTACCAAATCTTTGCAAGATCATTCCTGTCCAGTCCACTCTGCCCGAACACCTCCAGCGCAGTCTCTCCGCCGATGAAGCCAGTCCCCTGCATGTCCCAAGCTCGGAAGATCTGATCATATTGCTTCTTCTCGGCCTTGCTGAGAGCCCAGGGCACCCTCGGCGCCGCATTTCCACGCTGTACCTGATTGTGCTGCTGGAAGTTCTGCTGGAGGGACATGCCCCCAAGCTGGGCGGACGGCAGCTGGGGCGCGCCGGCAGGGTTGTAAGGCATCGTCGGATTGATAGGCATGAACGTCGTCGACATCATCTGCAGCCGTGGGTCGACGAAGCCCGTCATCTGCGGTACCAGCGGACGTAGCCCACCGCCAGCACCGGGGTACCCTGTGGCTGAGCTTGCAAGGGCGACGCCGCCGGGAAGCGGCCAGTCGGTTGCGACTGCAGTCCAAGGAATCCACTGTTCTGTGGGCCAGCATTCTGCTGGAACTGTGAGGGGATCGGAGGCACAGGTGGGGGCGGAGGCGGGGCGCGCTGCTGGAAGCCGCTGGCACCCTGGAAGCCCGTCTGCTGGGGAAGCAACGACCCTTGCTGTCCAGGAAATCCGGTTTGCTGAGGCTGTTGGAAACCAGGCGCGCCTGGAAAGCCAGTTTGCTGGGGCTGTTGAAAGCCTGGGGGTCGTTGACCTGGAAAGCCGATGGGCTGCGGTGCGATGCCACCGTTAGGCTGGAATCCTTGCTGGAACTGTTGTGGATTGTACCCCGTTTGCATGGGATACTGATAGCCTGGTTGGCCCCATTGCGCCATGAGCGTCGGGAGTCGGCGTCGTGGAGGTCGTGGATGGTAAGAGCGAAGCGGAGTGATTGGGCGACTCCGGCCCTGTTCAGTAGTGGGCGTCTGTTCACGCGATGCGTCACATCGCTTGCACACTTCACACTTGCTTCACACAAAACAGAACTTCGGCTAGTACTAGTAGTAGCACTGCTATTGAGGCAGTCTAAGACATTTATCTAATATACATTCGGCTCACTGCACATCATGCATGGACGGCACGTTCTACAAGGCAATGGGCCAAAGGGCAATCGTGGTCGCGGTGATGCTCGGGTACTGCACGACATGCTGGCTGCGCACACGATAGCGTACGCTGTACCAGATCATTCATACCAGAGTACGCTTGAGATAGGGAAGTACTGGCACTTGGTCGCTGAGGCAGCTCGTGATGGGTCCTATCGTGAGGGATCATCCCTGCCCTATTTAAGCCTATGCACAAGGGATTGAAGATTCTGCTCGCGATCCTTTACATCATCGATTGAGCGAGCGTCCGCCCCAAGCGGCAAGCCTACACTTCAGCACATCACTTTACTTCATCGACTGGCAACTTACCTCCTGGCATGCCATGGGCTTCGACTTGGAATGCGACATACGTACGAGAAGAGTCAAACAGGATACATCGCAGTGAGATAGCTTGCGCGGGAGGCCCTCTCAACAACCTGCTCAGAGCCTTTGCAAGCATTGAGACAGACGGTAACATGGCTAGGCTGAAAACATCATAGAATAGCATCGCTGAAATTACTGTACTTGCTAATAACCTGCATAGAGCCAACAAAAAATACGAGGGGATATACGCACCTTACGCATACCACGACAACATTGTGATGAACAGTACACAGCTGTAGAGGCGTGAATCAGTCTTCGTCAAACCAAAAACGGATGTATGACGGTGTATCAGAGAACCGCGTCTCGACAGGCGCAACTCCCCTTACAGGGAGCGCTCTCAGACGGCACTTCCTAATTGCATTCGGTTTGGAATCATCCCGTATAACGAAGAGCCTCGCATAAACTATAGACAGCTACTCACATTGTACTACGTTGAGGTGACTTCTTCATTAGAATGTCGAATCGCCTGCTTGCAACGGGTAAAAGACCGTCATCCGACTAGTCACGCAGACTGTGATAGAGGGTGGTCAGAAAACATTCAAGGCGTTGGTAGGATGATAAGATTCAGAGGTGCAAAATATTTGGCTGTATGCTCTGCCTTCTCGTCACAGCTCCTCGAGCTACGACTGGGGCGGCAGCGATCTCATCACTATAAAAGATGAATGGATGAACCTCACCTTCAACAGCACCTACGCCGAGCCAGCAATGGAACCTGAGGAAAGTGCACGAAGGATGCGCGTCGACCGCGGCGAAGAGGGATAGCGCCTACGACGTACTGCAGCGAGAGAATTTTATATCCGGCAGATGCCGAGCCGCGACGCGGTGCATGTGACTCCCCATTGACGCGTTGTGTCGGGACTCGCCACAGCCGCGGCTACCACTGCAACTAGGTGTAACTCTCCGTACTTCTCTGCATATGTGACGGTCCTTACCAAATTACTTACACACAGATAATTGCTGTATACATCCGCCCAAAACAGTGCCATGTCTGAACCCAAAAGGTTCGTCTGCTATTTTCCTCGCATTCAGGTGGACCTACTTACGCTACAAGATGGCTCGCAGCAGCCTTTACATCACCTCAATTGACGACCAGACCTATCATTCCATTGTCGTACTTCTCTCCTGACGGCACAGCTACTTTCAGGCTGAAGTCTGCCACCGGTCCCTCCATGGGCTGGCACCCCGAAGTGCGAGGACCTCAGCCTAGGACATCTAGCTCAGCTCAGTGAGTACGGACCTGTTACAGGAATCAGCAGCCGCGCATGGCGAGCCTATTTGAGCCACGCTGCATGAAGACGAAGGGACTTGAGACACCTGCGGCTACATACGATTCCAGGCATCAAAGGTCAAGCCTGATCGGTAAAGCCCCCCCTAAATCTGACTCCTTCTGGTCGCTCATCCCACCTGCTGCGTAGCGTTGGTTCTTATGCCGAGCATTTGCTGCTGTATAACAAGGATGCCTGTCGCGCTGGGCAGCGACATTGTTCCACGAATTATGTGATGCGACAAGTCAAGTGGTCCCCGGCTTCGATAGGCGATGGCTTAGTGCACTGTGACTCACTGCATGGTGTCTGCGAATGAGTCGACGATGTACTTCAAGTTAGGCCAGTCGGGCAAACGAACACTCTGACTTTCTGACACGTTTCACGGTGACATGCGAAAGCTTTCTAAACAATTCCAGAGTGCTGAGTCATTCAAGACAATATTATTGGACACTGCGCTGAAGGACAGCGTGAGACCATGAGAGGTGCGTATCGGAGGAGGTGAGCGTAGACCCTTCGCGAAACTTAGTAACATCATGATGTTCGGACCGCTGTCAGACATAGCGCAATCGCTGATTTGAACGACCGGGGATCTCTTGTCACGGGTCCGTCGTAACTGACTTGACGCAGGTCTACATTCGTAAGCTCTCCGTGATCAGAATAGGACAGACGATGCGAAGAAACGCTATAAGAGCACCAATGTTCCGAGACAGCCACATTCACAGACCTTCAGCGAGATAACAACAACATGAGCAAGCGCATCATTACCTACCGGCGTGTGGGCGACCTCGACATCAAGCTCGATGTCTCCGTGCCACCGTCGGCTGCCACAGGCAGCGTGTTGCCAGCGGTGATTTACTTCCATGGGGGCGGCTTGTTGTCGGGCAGCCGTACGGAAGAAGATGTATTCACCCCAGTCTGGTTAAAAAGTAAGTTGTAATCTTCCCTATGACTTGTGTGAACAGTGCACTTATGCCATGCATTCGTCTCAGGGTCTACGCTCCAACGAGGGCTCATCTACATCGCAGCAGACTACCGCCTCTCACCTCCCTCCACGGCTCTCGACATCATCGAGGACGTCAAGGCACTCTTCGCCTTCCTAGCGCGCCCGACGTTCTCCGAGCAACACTTGCCCAATGGCATATCGCTAGACGCTACACGCCTCGCAGTCGCAGGATTCTCTGGCGGAGGCTATGTCGCGCGAGTGGCAGGCATCTACGCAGAGCCTAAACCGAAGGCCGTGTTGTCCATGTTCGGCATGGGAGGCGATTTCCTGTCCGATCACTGGCTCGCGGTGAAGGATACGTACCTCAGGTTCCCCGGCGCGGACCAGATCACGGACGTATCCGTAGCCCACCTCCTCGACCCTTCGATCGCTGCTGTAGCAGAGATGCCGCTGAAAGTGCGGAGCGACGGGACGTTGTCGGATGACGAGAACCGTTGGTATCTCTTCACGCACGCATGGCACAAGGGTAACCTTCTCGACTTCGTTCTCGGCGAGCCCATATCCGCCACCCTGCGCGGCCTCCCGTACGCTGACCGCCTCGCGGCAATCCCTCCTCGTCTGCGTCCGGCGATCCTAGAAGACCAAATCAACGCTGCGTTCCCACCGACGTACTTCGTACACGGAGCGATCGACCACTGCGTCTTAGCCTCCGAGTCTGAGAAGACGTACCAGCGGCTGCGGGAGCTGGGAGTCACGGCCGAGCTGGACATCGTCCCGGATGCTGATCATGGTCTCGTCACGAGGACTAACCCGCCGCTGCCAGCACCCGGATCCGACGAAGCACAGGAGAGGGGGATGGATTTCGTCGCGCAGGAACTGCGCAAGTGACACGACATGTAGGAATAGACTACGCTTGTACTTACCATTGATATGTGCTTCAACTCGACGACCCGAATTGAGGACCAGGCAAAGCTCTCTCTCTGATTTTCATCGACGTGGGCGAGGTGCGCGAATTACAATATCGTGTCTGCGAAAATGAAGGTCAAAGGATACTTGGCGGGCTGAGAGTACAGGTTTCAAATGTGGCATACCTTGCGCCGCCCACGGAATGTTCCAATGCACGACAGTGACCCCCATGTGCTGTGGAAGGTCGCACCAAATCGCCTCGCATTCTCTCTCGTCATCGTGCTGAACCATCTGCCAACAGCTCTGGCACATCAAATGTTGCTCTTTCCGTTCATCGAGTCCTACGTTGTCCAAGAAGGAAAGGTCCGTGATCAACCCCTCCTTTACGATGTTCATAGCCATGACTTTGAGAGCGGCTTTACAAGTCTTCTCTTGTCTGCATCCATCGCTGATACGAATGGTGGGCGCAAAGAACCATTTGAATCTCTTCTCCCTGAGCGCTGCCAGTAGGTTCGCCCTACCATCGAGGCACCGTATGATATCCTCGGAAGACAACCGTTCCACTGTGCCATTTTTGCGGGGTACGCCGTGAAGCAGCAAGTTGTTCGGGAGAAGTCCGCAGATGTAGAGTGCTGTGGGCAGTACGGTACCGATTTGCGTGAGACGCGCCAAGTTAACAGCTTCGATGGCGTCCGCGTCAACAAATGACATGGATCGACTACCTCGACTTCGGAGGGCATAACATTCCACAAATGATGCCACGAAGCAGCTCTTGAGACGTGTTATGGCACCTGCGAAGATGTGCTCCATCTGGTACTTGTGGCCCAGCCGTATCAAACATGCGATAGTTGAGAATGGAATGCAGCTTCTTGCTCCGAAGTACATGCTACGACACAGCGCGGATACACCCGAGTAAATGCTTGATTGACACTGCTCCCATATGATTCACGCACCTGCACCCATCGTACAACGCGGCCAATAAAACCTCTACATCTCCGGCTATGTCATGCAACTGCACGACAACACAGCCATCCCGCATGTCCGGCGAGGTCTGGGGAAGCTTGAATAGGTCGCGAAAGACGACAGAGTGCCGAGACAGAACGCTCGTATGAACGCGGAATGAGTTATCCCCAACTTGAAGGATCACATTGCCGTCATCGAACCAGTACGTCGGTGATTTCTCCGTTGAGGTCGTCGTTTCGGGCTGGTCCTCATGAGACGGCATCTCCAGTTGTGACAGGCAGTCCGGGTTGTGACCGGACGCGAGTGCTGCCAGCCTCACGCTTCACCGTGACTGACAGTGGCAAAGGACAAGCCAGGTAGCGACGAGGGCTGGGAGCGAGCTAGGCGAGCCGAGTTGACGATGTCGCGGTGGGAGTCAGTAGTAGTCCGTCGTGATGTTTGGGACTCGAACGGCCTGGCAGTGAGAGAAAATCCATCAAGAGTAATAATCCCTCCTCCCGCTCCTCCTTGCGTGAGATCGGATCTGATCGTGATCGCAACGCGACTTCACTCTTTTTCTTCGAAATCTTTAACAAAGCACACTTTGACAAGTTGTGCTGTGCACAGCGGTCAATGAGCAGCATCCTCTGATGTTTTCAATACTCAAAAGCCTCGAAATATAGGTGAGCGTTCGCAATCGTTGCAGCCTAGCGTTTATAATAGGTACATGAAATATGTGCAAGGTGACGGAGTCGAGATGCTACAATACATTCGATGTGTGAAGAGTGGTGGATGGAGGAAAAGTACTATCAGAAATGCGACATCCTAGTCCAAGACAACCAGTCCGTCAAAGCTCTTGCTCGAAACGGCCTTCTGCATAACACTCAATGGGTCAAAGTCATCCTGCCCAACCACCTCTTCCTGCTGAGGCTTGGCGTCAACCTCTATCGCGACGTCATCGACGTCCGCTTCACCCATGAACACCTTGAGCAGAGCAGGAGAGAATCCATTCATGAGAGCGACGCCCTTCCGATCAGCCGTCACTGGGATCGCTGGCATCCCCGCTTCGTTGTGCTGCGCGAGATCCCAATAGACGATCCGCGGGACCTCGTATCCAGCTTCTTTGTACGCGCGCTCAATCGCATCGTGGTTTGTCTCCCACTTTGTAGTTACGCCCCGACTCCTGTGAGCATCTGCGGCTGTCGTTTCAGTGGCCTCGTCAAACTGCATGTCCGAGAAAACGAAAAGAATCTTGATCATGTCCTCTGGCTTGACCTTGTTTGCGATAGCGAGAGGCAAGAGCAGATCCACAAAGACGGCATGGAGATTGGTGTTCATGTCCCAGTGCGAATGTTCCATTTCCCGTAATGCGCGTACGAGGCCGACACGTTCAACATCGACGGTCTGGAACTGGGGACATCTGGAGAACGTGATGAAGCCGCCAGAGAACGGGGGCTTCGCGAGCTGCGCGGTGATGAGCGACAGAGCGAGGGCCACTTGGATGGGCTGGCCCGCCATCGAGGCAGAGACGTCGCACACAGCGAGCGCGCTGTCGAGCCTGCCTGCCTCCCGTAGACGATTCACGAGCGATGTCCATTGAGCCTCGAGAACACGGATTTGCATCTGTTTTATCTTGCGCTTGAGTTCCTGCAATGCCGGTGGTCCCCAGACGTGGTCGCATTCCACGGCTTGCACGGCCTTCACGATCTCGTGCGGCATCAGCGTCGCCCCGCTAATCTTCTTCTTACCGCTCTCGACTTTGTACATGTACCCTTCGAGGCCCTCCGGGTCGTGCTTGTAGAAGTGCACGGTGTTGATCTTCATACACAGCGCGGGCACACGCGAGTAGTTGATCTCCTTCCAGCGCCCTGCCGACATCAACGGTTCGGGCACAACGAGCGTGCGTCGGAGGGGCGTTAGCACCCAACGTTGGTAGTATGAGCGTAAGATGTGCGTCTCGAGTACAGCCAGGGGCGCGTCGCGGGACACTTGGATGCGAAGGTTCGCTGAGAGGCCCGCGTCATGCAGCAGCAAACCAATCGCGGTACTAAGGTTGGTGACGCGGTCATGGGAGCCCTGGGGCGTCGGTGCCCACTTCCCTGCGAGCGACAGCCGCTTCGACAGCACCCACCACTCGTCCGAACCGTGTTTCACGTTCTCCATCTGTTGGAGAAGGGCCAAGTCTTGAACAAGCTTCTCTGCGAAGAGACGTGCCACCATCACGTAGAGAGCACGAAACCGGGGCTCCTGGAGCTTGGCCTCGAGGCGCTCGAAGTTCGCCTGGTTACGCTCTGACCTTGTAGGTTCATCTCCTCCAGGTCGCCTCAGGACTCGTCGGAGCTCCCTGCGATCACGGGCAACACGCGTGGCGTCGTGAGAGGGATGTGACGTCTTATCGAACTCATCGAGCTGGCGCTGAATATCTTCGACGACAAGGGGTGGACGACGGGGGTATGCAGAAACGTTGCGGGCTCAGTCCTGGGCGACAGCTCGTCGAGCTCAGCGAGAGCAACGATGTTCAGGAGATCTTTCCAATAACCATGCGACAGTCCCTCGGTCCGATACGGACGCGTGCACAGCGGTTCGACGAGACGCGGCAGGTTGACAACAGCGGTCCGTGGATGATTCTCGTACAACCACCCGTACGCCCTGACGTATTGGTTTAACACATTGTATGAGTGAGGCATGATCGAGGCTAGTTGTGACGACTTACTGATAGAAGACCTCCCTCTCACCCTTGCCATCGTGGATGCTTCGCAAGTGCCAGATGATGCGCAACGTAAGCTGCGGGTCGTGCTCCCATGCTGCTTCGAGGTACCGCGAGATATTCGTCCCATGCGCGCGTGGCCGCAGTGCCTGGAAGGCATCCAGGGTAGGTGATTGCGTAGACGAGTACGCAGGCGCGCCGTTCTCCGTGACCGTATGCTGCGCTGTCGCTAGGAGCGCATCCATGAAAGGACTCCGGGGATCGGGAACTACCTCAGGCTCAGGTACAGCCACGACGTGCTCCTTCGCAGGTAAGAGGATGTCGAGGAAATCCGGAGAATAGAGCTCAGGGATGGTAGGTAGCGTGACATTCTGAGACGATGCTAGTGCAGGAGGGGGAGATACATTCCGATGCGTGCTGAGGAGGCGCACCCGAGTGCAATAATCGGACTGCGCGTGCAGACGTACTTTCCCTGCGCGATGCCATACGTTTAGTGCTCGACAAGGGCGCATCCTTCAATATGCGATTCCACGGCCCCTCCGGAGTCTGGCTGAGCAGTCGGATGCCAACTTGAACCGTTGACCTCCGCCCGCCGTCTTGCACAGGTAGCAGTGTCTACTGGAAGCCTTGATCACAAGCAGATGGCAAGTAAGGATACACTAACACCGTGCGCTGCACACGATGCGGTTCACGGCTCACAACACGGAGTTGAGATGGAAGTATGTATGTAGGTTTTGTGATGCGGACTCATTGCGGAGGACTCGGACACTCGCGGCGTCTCGCGCGCCCGGGCGGCCCCAGTTGCGCGGTCACGTGCACGGACGGTACACGGTGGAGCGCGGAGCTGGGAGCCAATCACAAAGCTCAAATGTCGACGCGGTGGATCCGGAGACACCGCGTTTTCCCTTAAGATGTAGGAATATAGCAATATAGGATATAGGATAGGATATAGAGAATGCACTAGTATGCGGCGGTGGCATGTGAATGTTTGAATAAGCACAAGTGTCCGACGTGGGGCTCGGTTCGAGCGAGCAAGTCAAATCGCGAGGATGAGCTACTCTGAAAGACACGATATCATTACACGATGGGTCATATTTTGGGGTATCAGCATTGTACAGATTGCGAGATGTAGCGAACAGTCCACCCATAATTTACCGTATGCACCGAGTCAATCAACCACAACGAGCCCATCGAAGCTCTTGTTTGAGACGGCCTTCTTCATTATACTGAGCGGGTCGAACTCCGAGTCTGACTCCCCTTTCACCTTCTCCCATCCATCCTCAACCTCCTCTGCAGCCTCTTCAGCGTTGGCGTCGCCCACGAACACCTTCATCAGAGCAGGCGAGAACCCGTTCATGAGGGCGACACCCTTACGGTTGGCCGTCACAGGGACCGCCGCCATCCCCGGACCACGGTGCGCTGCGAGATCCCAGTAGACGATCCGCGGAACCTCGTACCCAGCCTCTGCGTACGCCCGCTCAATGGCGTCGTGGTTGGTCTCCCACGCAGTGGCGTCCGCTTCCGTGGCTTCGTCAAACTGCATGTCTGAGAACACGAAGAGCGTCTTGATCATGTCCTCCTGCTTGACCTTGTTTCTTACAGCGAGGGGGAGCAGGAGGTCCACGAAGACGGCATGGAGGTCCGTGTTCATGGCCCACTCCGACCGCACCATCTCTCCTAGCGTGCGTGCGAGGCCGTTGCGCTCGACGTCGACGGTCAGAAACTGGGGAGATTTCGAGAACGTGATGAAGCCGCCAGAGAAGGGGGGCCTAGCGAGCTGCGCTGTGACGAGCGAGAGGGCGAGAGCGACTTGGATGGGCTGGGCCGCCATCGAGCCGGAGACGTCGCATACAGCGAGTGCGCTGTCGAGGCTGCCCGCCTCACGCAGACGCTGTACGAGTGACGTCCACTGTGCCTCAAGGACGCGCATCTGCATCTGCCTGACCTTGCGCTCGAGTTTCTGCAATCCCGGCTGCGTCCTGGTAGACTCGCGCTCCACGGCTTGCACGGCCTTCACGATCTCGTGCGGCATCAGCGTCGCACCGTTCATCGTCTTCTTGCCGCTCTCGACCTTGACCATGTAGGCCTCGAAGCCGTCCGGATCATGCTTGTAGAAGCGCACCGCGTTTGTTTTCATGCACCACGAAGCCACGCGCGTATAGTCAATTTCCTTCCAGCGCCCAGCCGACATCAGCGGCTCGGGCACAGCGAGCGTGCGCCGGAGGGGCGTCAGCACCCAACGTTGGTAGTACGAGCGTAGGATGTGTGTTTCGAGCGCAGGCAGCGGCGTATCGCGTGACACAGCGACACGTAAGTCTGAGAACACACCGGCGTCGTGCAGGAGCAGACAGATCGCAGTGCTGAGGTTCGTGACGCGGTCATGGGAGCCCTGCGGTGTCGGAGCCCATTTTCCTATCAGTGACAGCCGTTTTGACAGAACCCACCACTCTTCGGAGCCGTGCTTCACCTCTTCCATCTGCCTGAGGATCGACACGTCCTGCGTGAGCTTCTCCGCGAAGAGGCGAGCTACCATCACGTAGAGTGCGCGAAACTCTGGCTCCATGAGTTTGGTCTCGAGGCGCGCGTGGTTCGCATGCGCCCGCCCAGATTTTGTGACGTCGATTCCCTGAGCATTCGTACGTCGCACCGCGCGCCGAACCGCCTCACGACCACGGGGCGCATGCAGGAACGTCGCAGGCTCATCCCTTGGCTGTAGCTCGTCAACCTCCGCGAGGGCGACGATGTTGAGGAGATCTTTCCAGCAGCCGTGTGGCATGCCCCCACGACGCGCTTTCGGACCTTTCGGATGCGTGCACAGGGGTTCAATTAGCCGCGGCAGGTTCGTGATAGCAGTTCGCGGATGCTTGGCGTACAACCATCCGAAAGCCCTGTTGTAAGTCTGATGAGCAAGCGGTCGGAGAATAGTCAAGGTAGACGAAGGCTTACTGGTAGAAGACTTCCCTCTCGCCCTTGCCATCGTGGATGCTTCGTAGGTGCCATATGATGCGCAGCGTGAGTTGCGGGTCATCCTCCCATGATGCGTCAAGATATCGTGGGATGCTCGGCCCATGCGCGTACGGTCGCAACGCCTGGAAGGCATCCAGGGTGGGTGAGAGCGTGGATGAGAACGCCGGCGCACCGTTTTCCGTGAAGGTCTGATGGGCTGTCGCCTGAAGCGCATCCATCATAGGATTGCGCGCCTCAGGGACCGTCGTGGGTGCGGGCTCATGCACCACATTTTGCTGGACGGGCAAGATGATGTCTAGAAAGTCTGGAGAGTAAAGCTCTGGGATGACGGGTAAAGTGACATTCTGGGACGACGCTGTCGCTGGAGGGGTGTCCATCTTTTTGCGTGTAAAGGGACCCGGTTGTAGATGTGTTACACGGGTGCTGGACATGTTCCTGCTCGGTTGTGCGCATTTATGTATGTCAGTGTTCGACGTCGGTGGCGCTGCATCGCCTTCAGTCGCCACGGCTCCTCGATCGTTGACTCATCGGCTCGTCTTGTTGACTCGACTCACTCGATGCATCACCGTAACAGAACGCTGGAGCCTGAGGCTGTGAGGTTCTGGACTGAGTACTATTGGTCGTATCGTGTCTTGGGGTCTAACAGTCGGCCTGAATCGTCGGCGATCTCGGGTCATGACGAATTCGATGAACATTGGATGGACTGAATAAGTAAACAAGGACTCACCTATACTACATGCCGCACACGGACGGTCTGAATGACTTCTAATACTAGTATGACCACCGTCGGGAGCTAAGTAAGATCCGACAACGAGCGGGAAGTGCAACTCGGGGCCAACTCGAGACCGTCCGATCCTCGTCCTCAACGGAACACTGATAGCGGGACCGCCGAAGTTAGGCCTCAGGCTACCCCCGAGAACCACGGTGGAACTCCAAGGTGATGTGCCGGGTAGAGAGTGATGCTTTGCGTGGATGCACCGATTGTCAATTTGATAGGCCGAAGGGGTGCTGATAACGGAGAGTACAGCTGAAGGAAGACAGAGGGATGTCCGTTGAGGTAAAATCGTGTACTCAGAAATGGACGACGCACCACGCTACAGAGGCGCAATCACACTGACGAGCTATGGCTTGAGATGGCGGCTGTGGCCCGTCGTCGCCCCTGTCAGTGTCAACAGGTGCAATGCTGTCTCTTGTCCCTCCAGAATACACCTACAAGCCACGTGGCCACGTATGCCTCGTAACTCCCAAGCTGCAGGACCGAACACGATGATCTGTTGTGTCCACTGGTAGGTTTGTCGAAACACTGTTGTCCGGCTTGACAGGACGATGTCTTGAGTCTATCGCCTGGGTTACCGCTCCCTCATTTCCCTCAACACATGCCACTGAAGTGAGTTCAGAATCAACACATGCCACTGAAGTTCTGAACTCACAATCACCGGGGGCAAACCACTTATTTCGGGCCCCGAACACTTTGAGAAAGCGTACATACACACTGTTCAGATCAGTGTTCACTGCAACACACTGACTCAAACACGGCTCCATGGGAAATGTTATGTTACGTAATCGAGGACCGGTTATCGATTTTTGGACGGGCGCATAAACGCAGTCTACACACCTTGTCTCCGGACGTCCACGTCGTCCAGCCCGTCGCTGAAGCATTCACTTGCTTCTCCTCTCACTGTCGGCTGTAAAGCTCCTGCATCCACATGGCGTCCGCACCCTCTCAGCAGTACGCATGTAGGTGGACCTCCCATGGTACTCTAGTTCGAAGCTGACGACCTCCCCAGTCCGCGCGCAGAAAGCTCTCGGCCTTGTGGGCGGGACGCCCAACTACGAGCCTCTGGACCATTTTCAGGCTCCCGATGTACCTGCACGCACGTTCCAGTACAGTGCTGACGGTCGTCTGTTCGCGTACGCAGTGCCCTCCGGCGTACGCATCTTTCAAGCCGAGAGCGCGCAACTGTTGCAAGAGTTGCCGCTGCCAAACATCGTGGAGCTCAAGTTCTCGCCCCGTGGCACATACCTTAGCACCTGGGAGCGACCGATCAAGCTCGAGGATGGTGCACAGCACAAGAACCTCCGCGTGTTCTCCGCGTCAACAGGCGAGGAGCTCGTCGCGTTCACGCAGAAGTCGCTGGAGGGCTGGGACTTGCAGTACACCCTTTCGGAGTCTCATGCAGTCCGGCTGGTTGGGCAGGAGGTACAGGTGTTCCACCCGGCAAATTGGGCCGCCGGTGTGGTCGACAAGCTCAAGGTGGAAGGTGCGACGTCGGTCGTGCTGAGCCCTGGGCTTAACCCTTCGGTGGCTGTTTTTGCCGCCGAAAAAAAGGTGCGTAGATCGTCCGCACAGTGTAGTCACCTTAATCACACGCTTGTGCAGGGCGCACCCGCAAGCGTGAAGATATACAGCTTGACGGGTCTCGCCGGGCCTCCCACGTGTCAGAAGACGTTCTTCAAGGCTGATAAGTCTACGATCAAGTGGAACAACCTTGGTACGCAGGTGCTTGTGCTCACGCAGACGGAAGTCGATCAAGCGAACAAGAGCTACTATGGCGAGACTGGCGGCTTCTACCTGTTGAGTGCTGCGGGCAACTTTGACTGCCGCATTACGCTCGACAAAGAAGGCCCCATCCATGACTTTGCATGGAGCCCAAACTCCAAGGAGTTTGGCGTCATCTACGGCTGTAAGCTTCTCCATTGAAGGCTTGTTCTGAGGTAACCTTGATTTGTTTAGATATGCCGGCAAAGGCTATGCTGTTCGATCAACGTGCACGGTCGCTCCACGACTTCGGCACCGCGTTCACCAACTTCATCTCCTTCAACCCTCAGGGGCGCCTCATCGCCCTGGCTGGATTTGGTAACCTCGCGGGCAAGGCAGACATCTACGACCGCCGATCACTCACCAGGGTCACGAGTATCGATGCCTCGAACTCTTCGCACTGTGAATGGTCTCCATGCGGGCGGTTCCTCCTCACTGCGACGCTCTCGCCTCGACTGCGGGTAGACAACGTCGTCAAGGTCTGGCACTGCACAGGCCCCTTGCTGCACGTCCATCCTATCGACGAGTTGTACCAGGCGTCGTGGAGGCCGATACCAGTCGACGCGCTCCCACCCTTCCCCCAAGTGATCCCTCCCTGTCCTGCTCCGGCGCCGAGTGTCGAGGCCCATGCTGCTGTCGCAAAACCCGCCCCAGCGAGAGTCGCCGGTGCTTACCGTCCGCCCGGCGCGCGTGGACTGGAGGCGAGCTTAGTGTATAGCCGCGACGAATCAGGCTCGGCGAGTCCTGGTGCGCCGTCTACGCCAAACGGCCGGTACAGCCGCAGTCCAGCGCCCGGGCGCATCAAAGGCAATGGTCGCAGACACGTACCAGGCGCGCCGACCTCACCCTCGCCTATTCGCAGTCCTCCTGCAGACTCAGAGAAGCGCGGGCGGAAGAAGAAAGGGAAGAAGGATGCTGCTGCGGGGGCAGCGGCAACGGCAAATGGCGCGGAGTCACCGCGGCCGTCTATTGAGATTCAGGTAAATGGTACAACAAATGGAGCTGCGAGCCCTGTCAATGAGTCGGTGCCGCCTACTCCGGGTCTTGACGCAAATGGATTGGACCCGATGGCGAAGAAGGTCCGTAACCTGAACAAAAAGGTGAGCTCGCCGTCGGGCCTCGTCGTTTCTGCAGGCTGATGGTTGTACTGCAGCTGAAGGCCATTGAGGAGTTGAAGGAGAAGCAGAAGAAGGGCGAGCGGTTGGAGGCGACGCAGCTGAAGAAGATTGAGACGGAGGCAGAAATCCGGAAGGAGCTTACAGGCTTGGATGTCACCTCATAGTCTGCGCCTTCGTCTCCATCGCGCTTTCGATCTTTGTTCTTGCGGCTGTGTGCGGCGCCTTCATTGCATTTAGAGTATAACACTCACTCTATCTATTCTTGTTCATCGTGGACCAGGGCATCCGGGGAATACAAACAAGCTGAACAAACCTGGAGGTGTTACCGGTGTGTGGGACGCACCGTCGTGCTGTAACGTTATCGGTAGGCACATTGTGTTTGTATACTGACGTTTCTGGCAGATCATTCGCTCAGCCCCGCGTCAATGTAGGGCCGTGCATCCTTCGACCATACGGACACTGCCCAACTCGGTATCGGAACTGGCACACTGTTGAAGCGCACGACGGATGACCATCCCTCCAGCGGCAGCCCATTGGCGTGCCAGAACTTTATGTCACTCTGCCCAAACTCTACCCGTTGCCGACGTATCCGTGAGCACTGCGCGGACTTCTTTGACATCCTTTCGCCCGCCAAGCAGCTGCAGTAGGTCGTATACGCAAGCCTCAACCGGGTGTGACAACTCCTGTCATTGTGCCGCTCGCGAAATCATAGAATAGACCAACAATGGACACGCTCATTGGGACCAATGAGTGCGCCTGTGAACCGATCTATGGTTGCCCGCGGCCGGCGTGCCTTGGCGATTGTCCCGCGTTCTGTGCCTCAGTGCAACCTACAGTAAAGTACCGACGATCGCCGCTACATCCAACGTCCGGAACAGAGTCGGTATAGCGCCGATACATACCTGGTAGCGCTGCTCTCACCCGGTGTCATGGACTGTGAGCTGAATTTCGACCAGAGCGATACGCTGGGCAGACCTCCATGAATGGAAAGCCTTTGCTAAGGGAGCCTGAGGGGTGTTTGTATAAAGGAATTACACCGCAAATACACCGCCCTAGGCCTCTCCGACTCCAAAGTAGCCATGACTGCCGCCCCACCTCATGGCGAGGGCCGCGTTGCACGCACCACATAGTAGATGGCAGTGACTGGAGCTGCAATAGTGAGTAAGTACTCCGAACCGGAGACTAACCAACGGAGTACTATGTACTTATCGGCCTCTCGAGCTTGGATGTTACTTACATGTACATGCGAACTGAGCTGCCATATAAATACTGTGACGAGCGCAGTTCTCCAATTTACAGTCAGATTACTACACAGGTAGATATCCAGTACCTCCAGCAATTTGCTGGTGTTGTCTACGAGACAATCCGTTCAGAGAGACCGAGCACGTCGGAGGGTGGCCGAGATCCCCGCCCGATACCGCAGTACTGCTAGTGAGCGCTTGAGTTTCTCACTCCTGGCGCGTCGTAGCGTCTGGCACAATGTGGCTGAACCCCTCTCTTCCACCAGCTTTCTCCTCCTGAGTCGTGAATCTCTGCCTTTTCTTCTGGGCTCCAGCACCGCCGCGCCGTTCATGATTATGGATTGCAAAACGCTTCTAGTGTGCATGAAGGTCCGCATATCAGGCTTTCAAGTAGCACGGGCGGGACCGCACCATGCCGTGCTTCATTGCGGAGCACTCAACCAGGCTCCTCTCCACCCGCTTTGGGGGTTGGGGCGGAGGGACTTAGTTCCAAGAACGCGAACACAACCTGTCGCCCTCCACCGCCACCTGTACGTTTCGGGACATGACAAGCTAGAATCAAGGATGAGCTTACCGTGTTCGTATTCTTGCCGGCCCCTTTACCCCCGAAGGCGGATGGGAAGGAGCCTGAGTCTCAGATCTCGCCTGTTGTCAGCATTAACTTCGCTGCTTGAACTAGCCCGCCGTATTCCCGGTCGTTGCTCGACGCCCGCACATGATGCTTCGGGATGATATATAGCAGGTGGGAGTGTCGCGCTGGTCGCGCACCTTCCCCCAGTGAACTGCACCTGTTAACAACCATGATGGACTATTTCGACTTCAACAACCAGGAGTGGTCAACGGACGACGAGGTAGAGGGAAAGACTGGTTTGCAGACCCCGGTACGTCCAGTGGTCAAGTGCAAGACTGTTCCAATGGCTCACAGACTTCAGATAGGCACGCCTATTGAGAAGTCAGTGGCGGGCGACATCTCGAAAGACACAACGATGTCGGTCTCGTATGCCTTCCATCCCTACACGTCCTTTGATAACCTCGCCCCGGCCTTGGTCCTCATCTCGCAGGATGAGGTTTTCTTCTACGTACATCACCACCAGGTCCTCGCCGCGTCCGATAACGGTTTTGCCATGCTCCTCCCGTTCGAGCTTTCGCTGGACAGCCACCCTCCGATCGTCGTGATGATACCCGAGCCTGCGGATGTCCTCAACATCATTCTTCACACCGTCTACGGACTGTCCGCGATGGAGTACAAGCCATCCTTCGAGACTATCGCCGCAACACTCAACGCGCTCCCGCGGTACGGCCTCGTGCTGAAACGATACGTCGGCGCGGGCACACCCCTGTACGACCTCGTTGCCGCGTGTGCCTCACTACGCCCGATCGATACCTACGCCCTCGCGGCGGCCCACGACCTACCCGACGTTGCGATGGCTGCGTCTGCCCACCTCCTCTCCTTCCGGCTCTCGGGGCTCACGGACGATCTCGCGACGCGCATCGGCTCGGTATACCTCAAAAAGCTGTTCTTCCTGCACTTCGGCCGCATCGAGGCCCTGAAGCACCTGTTGTTGAATCCGCCGAGCACCCACCAAGATACCCCGGAGTGCTCGGCAGCGCAGCAGCGAGGCCTGACGCGCGCGTGGGCGTTGAGTGCGGCTCATATCATGTGGGAAGCTGGCCCTAGTAGGTACCCAATCAACGAGAAAGGACACACCGACTGACACCAGGCGCGCAGATTTCTCCACGCATTTGCTGCAGGCCGCGTTGCTGCCCCTCCAAAAGGAGCTGACATGCCCCAAGTGCACATTGGTCCTTCGCGATCGGATAGCAAGCCTAGTGATCGGTTGGGCAGGTGTAAAGGTACGGAAGACATTGACCTCTGTGCTGTAGCTTCACCGACCTTGTTCGCCAGAGGACCATATAGCCCAAGTGGTCCGTGGCTGTAGTGATGGACTAGTTGGGACGAGAGCGGGTTGCGCTCATACTTATGCTGCTGTATTTGTTATTGTAGTACTATCTCGCTTGTTGTAAAATAGTCATCGCGGCACTCGGATGCCCATACCATGGTATACTGTCAGGGAGATTACCCCGGGATGCTTGAATTGCCTTTCTGAAAGTATGTTGCTGTGGCGCCGGAGTTGCGCCGGAGGGTGTGGAATGGTGCAGGAGGCGCCCCGGTACTAACAGGTGGAGTCCTGGAGGACACAGAAGAAACGGGAGATCACTTATCGGCCCGGCATTGTTCGCGCCAGTAGCAAGCCAGTAGTAGCGTAGAATGCGGGATGTGTATCCATGACAAGTAGCCCGTCGAAACTCTTTCGTGAGTTGGGCCGCAACGGGTCGTACTTGTCCTCAAGGACCTACTTCGCAGTTCGCTTACGCTTCGTCAGCGCTGTCAATACTGTTCGGGTCAGGGATGGTTTCCCAAGTACGGGCACATGTGTCCATCTCACATGCGCTCTTGCTAGGGTCGACTCACCAAGCAAGGAATGCGTAGGGGCTGACGTCGATGATCCCACAAAGACACGTACCGCTGTCACATCTATGGCCTTATCAAACAGCGTGTCTGGGGTACGAATAGTGTCTTGATCATGTCTTCTTGCGGTACCTGATACTCAACAGGAGCTAAGTTATCAGTAACCAGTGTTCTTTACGACTCATGATCTCACCACCGTTGTGTTCATCGAGCAACAAGTATGAGCATCCGTGGGCGTGATGAGTAGTTTACAACATCGAGCGTAGTAGAGTATTAAATACACAGGCATCGTCAGCAGTCCAAGGGCAGCGCATCCCCAGAGTCACGCTCGCTACCCCTAGTCTTAGAGTACGCGTCTCAAGCTAGATGGTCCTCTGGTACGTGACATCAGCTAAGATACAAGCACACGAATCAACGGCTCACTCACCTTCACACACGCCCAGCCGACTACCAAGCGCGCTATACGATCGCGGAGGGCCAATCGACACTCGGAACACGTCAGCTCCTTTTGGAGGGGCAGCAACGCAGCCTGCAGCAAATACGTCGATAGATCTGCCCCCCGGCGTCTGTCAGCATGCACCTTCTTCTCCGAATCATTACTTACTGGGCCCAGCCTCCCACATGATATGGGCAGCCACCAACGCCCACGAGCGCGTCAGGCACTGCTGCTGCGCTGCTGAGCACTCCGGGGTATCTGGATGGGTGCTGGGCGGGTGGAGCAGCAGGTGCTTCAAAGCCTCGATGCGGCCGAAGTGCAGGAAGAACAGCTTCTTGAGGTACACCGAGCCGATGCGCATCGCAAGCTCGTCAGAGATCATGGTGAGTGGGAACGGGAGGAGGTGCGCGGAGGCGGCCGTCGCGACATCGGGGAGGTCGTGCGCCGCCGCGAGCGCGTAGGTGTCGATCGAGCGCAGTGGCGCGCACGCGACGACGAGGTCGTACAGGGGCATTTTCACACTGGCGTATCGCTTCGGCTCGAGGCCGTACCGCGCCAGGGCGTCAAGTGCAGTGGAGATCGTCTCGAAAGAGGGCTGGTACTCCTTGGCGGACAGCCCGTAGACGGTGGTCAGGATGATGTTGAGTATCTCTGCGGGCTCGGGTATCACGACGGTCGGGGGTGGCCGTCCGGGGAGAACTCAGAAGGGAGGAGCATGGCGAAGCCGTTGTTGGATGCGGCGAGGACCTTGTGGTGATGCACGTAGAAGAAAACCTGATCGGGTGAGACGAGAATGATGTCTGGGACGAGGTCATCGAAGGAGGTATACGGATGGAAGGCATGTGAGACCGACACCGTTACGTGGCCCGAGGAGCTGCCCGTCGCGGGCCTCTCCATGGGTGTGCCGACCTGACGCCTGTGAGTCGCTGTCGAGGGGGCAACTTGCGTGGTAATAATGGACTCACCGGAGTTTGCGCAATGGGCTCTGTCCCTGCCTCGTCGTCTGTTGCCCATTCTGCGGGTAGCTTCATGTTGAAGTCGAAGTAATCCATTCTGGGTGTATTCAGGGGCAAAGGTGGTTCACTGAGGGGAAAGTAGTGTGTCAAACGCAGCGCTCCCCACCTGCTATATATCATCCCCCGCGTATCATGTGCGTGGAGTATGTATGTGGACGACGCGCCTCGTAGTGCACAGGGATTGGCGAGCAACTTCCGGGAACACGGCTGGCGGGATCAAGTAGCGAAGTCTAGCTGATAGCGGGTCAGTCCTATGCAATGGAGTCCAATGGGAGGAAGGCTAAGTGAGTACAGTCCGGCGCGTGCTAACAGCTTGATATTCGGCTATTTATGCATACCAACCAGCCGCCTCCGGCGCACGTCGGCGGGGTTGTCTTACGAGGGACAGGTAATGCAGCGCGAGTCGATACACTGGGACGTACGTTTGGGTGAGAGACGGCGTACTTATCATTCCGGCTGAACTCCAGCCCATAGGGTCCCATGCACCCAAGGAGGCGGCCAGTGGTCCTTCACGCCGAACGTCGGGGCGATATTCCATGATGACGCTGTAGTCTTCGACGCTCTATTTCGGACACCACGACTTTGCGCACATCCCGCACGAGCTGCGTGAGCGAGATGCCGACCTGGCCATGCTTGATAACGAATGATCATGGGTGTAGCTGCGGTTATAGGCTGCACAGAGGTAAAGGATGGGTTCTTGTCGGGAGAATCAGCAGATAGAACCCTTGCGTGGAGTCCTTTAGCACGACGTGACGAACTTGGGATCGATGACGCTGAAAGGTAGTGCAAGTCTGCAAGCAGACCGCAGGGACCCATTGGGCACCTCGTAGTCGGGTTGAGGGTGGCACAAGTTGAAACAACCGCATCGCATGCAATGCCAAAGCCGCAGCAGTACTATCTGGTCTCGTGGCAGAGAATCTACATTGTCGAACCACAGCCGCAGTGTACGCAGCTCTGAGTGAGAACACGTACCGCACACTGGCGGTATCCGTGCCCCGGGGACCCCATGTTCTGAATCTGGCGACGCATCAGTAAGCAGTAGTCGCGTCAGCCACCACTCACTTGCCATAATGGACCTGGTCATCGCCGCACCGCGAGGATCCTCCCCCTCTCATAGCGTGCAAGTACTGTCCGACGCGGACGTTGGATGATTGCAGAGTTGCCAAGCCGAGCAGGTCGATGTCCGTTTATGGAGATGCCTCGATCGGAGCGCCGGCTGGCCGCTGACAGTGCTGCGATCTGTACGTTACGGCTGCCTGCGTCCGGTTTCGCCTGCCACGCATCTCACTGCCTCTGGGTCCATACATATCTATTGCATACCTTAGGTCGCCCATGACTTCTCCTCCATCATAGCTTTCTATGTGGGCCTTTTCTCGGTACAAGGACTATACGCCCCTTTGGACAGACATCGCCTCGCTCAAGCAAGCCAACCGCGCACATGCACTGCGGATACTAGCCGTTCTCCTCGTCATCCTGGTCTCACTGTGGTACAATGGGTATTTAATTTCAAAATTAGCGAAGAAATGGCCAACGCCTTTGGACAATTATCAGCACCTGTGAGCAGGTCGTCGGTCAGCGTAGTGCAAGCTAATGTTATGCAGTAATCCTAATCCACTCCTTAACGGCGAGTTTCACCAGTCGCTCAAGCCTCCAAGTCACGACGACACCGCCGTGGTGTCTTGCATGTACACCGACTCTTATGCCACCGCCATCGCGACGCTCGGACACTCCCTCGACCGTGTCAACAGCACCGCGACGCGTCTCCTCTTCTACCTTCCGGAGCACATCTCCCCCGAGGCCCTCTGTATCGCGACTGCGACTGGCTTCACCCCGCACCCCGTCTCGCGCATCGCCCCGCCGCACAATGGCGAAGGCACGAACAAACGGTTCCTCGACGCCTACTCCAAGCTGAACCTTTGGACGCTCAACGACGCGGGCTACAACGCCGTCGTGCACCTCGACGCGGACACGCTTGTCCTCCGCAACTTCGACGAGCTCTTCGCACTGCCCTACCGCTTCGGCGCCGTTCCGGACGTCTACGTAGGCTCGCACGGCTTCGCGCTCGAGTTCAACACCGGCGTCATCTCCGCGCGCCCGGACACGGCTGTGTTCCGCGACATGATGGAGAAGATGCAGACGCTGTCGTACGACGGCACGCAGGCGGACCAGGCATTCCTCAACCAGTACTATGCTGCGTCCGCAGTCCGCCTGCCGTACGCGTACAACGCGAACCTGGCGATCAAGAAGCGCAAGCCTGCGATGTGGGAGGACCTGTGGAAACGCGCACGGATTGTCCACTATACGCTCGTGAAGCCGTTCCTCGCGGAGGCGGACAACTCGGGCGAGACCGTCGTGCCGATGGAGGCTATGGAGGACAACATCCGGGCGCGCATGGGCGAGTTCGACGGTGTGTTCAAGGAAGAGCTGCTCGAGTGGCTAGGGCAATGGAAGGAGACGTATGCGAAGTATGGAGACAGGCTAAGGGAGTGCCAGAGGAAGGCGGGGGAGATGTAGGGTTTGGTGAGTCTCTTAGGTCGGCTTCGAGCTGGTGATCGTGAGAGCTGAGCATGTATATGCAGTAGCACTTCGCTTCGCTTCCCAGGATCGCTCATAAGCTCGTGGAGCGGGCCTTATGGCTTGGAACTTCATTCAATCTTCGTGGTGGTGCCGGGCATGACTAGATCAGGATAGAGCGGGACGGACGCTTCTTGTCGGTGTGTGCACATGATATTATTATTACTCAATCATGCGCTGTTGTGATTGCATCGAGTACAGCATGTATTATTCGCAATGATCTATGTATGTTCCCAGGCATTCTCAACCAACGAACTCTGTCGGTCCCTTTGTGTAGCGTTGGACCTAGTGATCAGTCACGAACACGTGTACAATTGGGTGCGTTTCCTTGATATCCATTGCTCTTGAAGTCCTTGAATAAAGCTGCGTTCGCACAGCGGTTCGACAAACTTGTTTTAGGCGCAACTAAATGCAAGGAACCTCGACCTGCGTGACCACGCCCGCTGTCAGCCCAGCATCAATACCAAACATAAGATACGCCATTGATCCCGGTCAGTACTCAGATTGCTGTATGCGAGCGAAACGACTGAATGCAGACGCGCCTTCGAATGGCGATGCAGTGATCGCGGGGGATTTTCGGTCCGTATCTCGTCCCAAACCAGCAACACTTATTGGACAAGATATCGGATCAGTCGAACTTTCCATTTCTGGACACCGACGCCAGCACAACGCCGACCACGGTCCAGGCCCAGCATGGGATGCTCCCACCGAATATTACCGTTGCCCGAAATTATCGGGAAGACATGTCTGGGCGAAGGGTGTTCTCTTGGAGAAAGAGTATATTCTGCAAAACATCCTGTTTGGCCCAGGTCCAAGCGAGGAATTAATGGAAAGTCTCAACGAGAATGTAAGTATTTCTGCACAACACGCGTGGTTTGGCCAAAATCAGAGCTGCGCGGTGCGCTATGCCCTTATCTGTATCCATCTGTATCTGATCTATATGGTCCATCAAGCTTTTGCTTCACCGTTGCAGCGCTGTGGCTGCAATCCATTGTTCTCGCCAGCATTCCGCATAGAAGCCGGCCGGCCACGATGGCCTGTTGAATATGCAGCCGTGGCCTGGGAGCAAGTGTGGCTCCCTTTGTCTGCAACCACAGTTGACCTGGGCCACCTGTGCTTTCTCTCGACCGCCACACCCCCCTAGCCCCTGCACCCTGCTCGCCACTTGTGATCAGTCTCTGTCGAGCTATGTACCCCTCTTCCAAGTCACGCAGGCACGATGAGTGCTCTCCCGTGGGGCCTACCTCACTCCCGGACGAGACTACCACCTTCCCGCTGAATACAGGCAGGGAGGTTTTCGGCTTCCTTTGGACGCGTCGACGCGCGAACTTCCAACCACGACTCAGTCGTGCTCAGGCTCCCATCAGCCCAGTGTCTGGCATCGAGGCCACACGCGAATCCAGTGGGACTGCACCGCAACCTCCGGCCATCGCGGCCGTGTCTGCCGCCTCCTCTTCGACACACATCGCCCCGCCCCCGGAGCTCTGCAGCGACGATGAGCGCTGTCCTGAGGAGTATACTCCTCCGAGCTTGCCGGACGAGACTGCCGCCCTCGCATCAAATCCAGAGGATCATAACGTTCTTGGCTTCCTCACAACTCGCCTACGCTCCACTTCCAGTTCACGGTCTACTTCTACTTCTGCCTCCGTGCCTGTGCCGGACGTCGAGGCTGTCCGCAACTCGAATGAGTCTTCAAACCAATTACCGGGCGTCGTGGCCGCCCGGACCACTTCACCCTCGGGATACTCCTCCCCTCGCTCTATCGAGTCGCAACGATCTGTGGCCTCGCCTCCGTGCTCATGGGACAAAGACATTGAGGAGTTTGCTTCACAGCCTGGTCGCCCTCCTACTTCCATCGCGTCTGCCATTGACGAAGCCTCACCCGTCCAATCAGTCTACGAAAGCGGCAGCAGCAGAGGAAGTTGGATGAAGTATGTCTACTTCCACTCTCATTCGCCACACCGTCCATGAGCTCACGCCACTCTTGACCAAGTGATTTCAGCTGCTACGAACCTGCAGTGGAGAGGCTCAACTCCGACGATGGGGGCGTACACTCGCCTCGCGCTGTATGCGCCGCCCCAACCCCTGAATTCGAATTAGTGGCATACCCAACGTGCGACAAGTACGAACTATGCGACTATCGCACGCCAGAAGAGCGTGCCTCTGACCCAATCTCGGCGTTCTCACTGGAAGGCTGGCTTTTAGTATGGGACTGCTACTGGCGACGCGTCATCGACGCGGAGGTCACCAAGGAAGAGATCGCTGTCGCTGAATCCCTTTGCACTGAAATACGGGGCCTGTGGTTCGCGCAAGCGATGGCGGCCACGACTTTGGCGGAAGAACAAACAGCGCACGGTTGCCTCGAAGACCTGGCGGAATTGCCCTACTACGTGGACATCCACGAGGGCGACGAGATCTGGGCAGAAGACTTCAACGCTGGATACGAGTCTTCGGCGAGCGAGGCTGAGTATAGCGGCTCCGATGCTGACGCTTGGAAACATTTGGGGCGACGCTACACCCTAGACCTTCCCTCGCCAAGCGAAGCGAGCGACTTTTTCGTCGAAGATGTGCCCCCAGCCTCCTTCAAAATAAACCCTCCCTTTGAGATATTGAGTGAGTTTTTGGTCTATTTCTCTGTTTGGTCACTGGGTTCTGACGAGCCTGATCTGGGAGAAGGTGACACCGAGGAGGAGCCCAACAAAGTCGTCAAGGAAGTCCATGAGGACTGCGCGGACATCAGAGACGCTGACGAGAGAGACCGAGCGGAATTCAAGGGACGTATCATCTCGATCTATAATCAGTACAAGCGCAAGTGGTACACCCTTCACGGCACCATCGGAGAGGGCGGGTGCGCGCGCATCTTCCACGCAACAGACGACAACGGCAGGTCATTTGCGGTCAAAGTCACGCATAAAATGCACGCCTTCAGGTCGCCGGTGAGCAGGAAACTGCTCCTTCAGGAGCTTGCCGTCATGGGTGCGGCGAGGGCGCAGCGATGCAAGCGGCTGCAAGGAGTGGTCGAGAGTTGGGAGACCGGGGAGAACGTCTTTTTCCTCATGGTACGTTTTTGTGGGTGCCCCTTCCTTCGCAGTCCTGACAGTATCTCGTATTAGGATGTTATGCACGGTGATCTCAGGAGGACGCTTAGCCATAGAACAAGGGAGAAGGAGACCTGGGATGAGAAAAATTACTGCGCTGAGATGGTAGGCACTCAACCACCCGAACACTTCTCACGATGCTTACAGCTTTGGGCTTCGCTTGTATAGGTCTATGCAGTCTACCTCCTGCACGGCGCAGGAGTCATTCATAGAGACATTAAACCGGATAATTTCCTGATGAACGAGAACGGACAATGCGTTCTTGCTGATTTTGGCCTGGCTTTCTACCCCAAGAACACCAGAGGTGTACCCTTCGAATGCAGAACCACCCGCGGGTACTACGGGACGCCGGGATACCTATCCCCGGAACAAGAACGCAGGCAAGATTACAATTTCAAGATTGACATCTGGCAACTTGGCTGCGTCTGGGTCGAGATGTTCGCCTGTCTCTCCGGCCCCTGGATGTATCAACATCCAGAGGTGTTCTCCTTGGACGACGACGAAGCACGCTCAGTGTTGCGCGACAGTGTACGCAAGCTCTGCAAAGATCCGAGGGATCCGGTAGATTTGCTGCAGCGAGTACGTGTGTGGCGGCGAACAACTGTCTTTTCCGCTTTTCCTGATCACACTGTTGCAGATGACCGAGATCAACCCTCGAGACCGGCCGACGGCTCGACAAATTATGGAACACAGCTTTTTCGAAGGCATCGATTGGCATGACATAGCAGACGACAAGTCTTATCGTACGTCGGCAGCTGGCTGCTATTCATACATTGTAGACTGACTACTACTCGCCGCGCGATCAGACTCCTTCCGCCCGGATCCTGTCATCCCCGATACGGAACGTGTAACCAGCTTTGACTTCGCCACTTTCCATCAAGGCGTCGGTTCAGAGTTCAAGGAATATGGACGCGACTATGCAGGTGATCTGGTCGCGCCCAAGGGAGTACGAGAGAGAATCGATATGTGGAAGACACATCGGAACGCATTTGCTTGGCCGCGTCGTAAATCCTAGTTCAATCTTCGGCCGGTGTCCACTGGTTCGGAACTGGGTTCACGATGAGCCCACTGTGACGTTCTCTCATTATTCCTTCTTCCTTATAGGGATCCTCTCTTCATGTCCGGCTTGATCTTCTGCTCTCCAGCAGACTGAGGACACTGCCGCTTACCCACAATTACTACAATGCAGTACCGTTATGGTCGCTTGCCGCCAGTTTTGTCTTGTATACACTCATGTCGCCCTTGACCGTACCCATCGTGCTACCTGCTCCCCACGTTTTGCTTTGTTGCTGTGTTCTTGTTGCTACTCTACTTGGTCAATTGTTGTGGTTTTCTTCTAGTCGTATACATGCTACATGTACAAGGAGACGTGTTCCGCTGCATCAGTGGTCTCGTCCTCGGCAATACTGATGCTCACGCCCCTCTTACCGTACCGCTCTCATAGGCACTTCGTGCGACTCGTGGATCAGAACACGACAGCTATGTGATGCTATTAACGTCAGATGTAAGTAATACAATGCAACCAATGAACCAACAACTGGATGAGAGACTTCTGTGTAGAGAGAGAATGCCGAGCTGCGACGAAAATGCGACAATTATGCAAGTGGGGTATGGTGTTACACTGTGTACGAGGGTCCGTTGTGAAGTGCGTGCACTGAGAGAATTTCTGGGCCGTCTAGCGCCATCAGTGCGGCATATTCTATGCAGGTAGATCGACAGCCACCGTCCTGGAGAGCGCGCTGGGGACGTAGGTCTGCCCTGCCATGCAGGGGCTGCGCCGCCTGCGCATGGGTCTTCCGCAATTCCTGCTGAGTAGAATGCATGCCACGAGTCTTCCTCTAGCCTCGTGGTAACCGAACTCCGGTAGCAGCATGACGGGCTGGATACCGGGTGGGACGACGACAGCCTCAATAGGAGCGACAGGCTGAGATGCCGAAGGAGACAGTGAAGAAGTGACTGACTCGGGAAGGGCGGGCGGTGGTATGCGCGTACGAGAGGCAATCGAAGGAGAGGAAGGGGTCGAACGCGGCGGAGGGCTCACTATTTCGATGATCGGCTGGTCTGCGAATGGATCCTCTGCGTAGGTGCTCAGCAGTGGGTGCCGCAATGGAGGCCGGGGGGCTGGTCTACGCATGCGCGGAGTAGAGACAGCTTGTGGTGTCGGCGCAGAGCCCGTGCGGCCGCCGGAGATGAAGAAGTGGGTGGGCTTGCCATGAGGGTTGACGGAGACGTTCGGGAGTTTAGTGAACGATGACGCCTGCGCCGATGAGATCGAAGAATTGACAACGAAAGCAGGACCAAATGGCCCATGAACGGGGTGGCTGCGGTGCGACTGGATGGCCATTGCGAGACGGTTGAAGACACGGCGCAGGCGGTGCTGGACAATGCGCGAGGACAGTGAGTATGCGGTCCATTGAGTACTAGGGATCAAAGGACAATACCTAGCTGGGATCTCACAGGGGGATGTTGACGCACACAGCGGGCGAGCAGAAGATAAATAGAGACGAATGGTAAGGAGAGAACACGGAGAACAATGGAGGCGAACGAGAACAATGGTGCACTGTTGTCGCGTCGACGCGCTGGCACCTGCTGGCACCCGTGATCGTGGCTTGTTCTCTCCCATCACCATCAACGGCCCACATTATTGTTCAATGTTCTCTCCGAGCTCGCCGAGTTGCTTGCAGTATAACCGTCCCCTTTCTGGGCGACATGCGCGCGGAAATACGATATAACAACGGTCTCTTCCTCAAGGCGACTCCGACTGGCGAGGCGTGTGGTCGAGAACTCGATGGACTCTGAGGCTGCATCTGGTGCGGCGTGTCACATCCTCAGAGCCACCAGCAGTGCTCCCGGCTATTTCATACTATGTAACGATGCGCTCAGTGCACCGTCGAACACGCCGGGATTAGGGAGCGAGAGCTAAAGGAATCAAGCTTCAAGTTCCATGAACAGCAGTGCTCGCCCGTCAGACTTTGAATTTGGACGAAGGTCTCGCTGTGACAGGAATCATAACACCGGTGCGCTGATGATAGCTCTGCTAGCTGAAGCGATTTGTGGGTTATATCTTTGCATGTAAGCACTCTGATGATTGGTGACACCTATGAAGTTGGGCTATCCGTGGACTATGGTCAAGTGTAGCATATCTCCACCGGCTCACCGCCTTTCCCAGTCGCGTCGGTGCGTCACAACCATCATTGCTTGATTGACGTGGACACCCACTGTATAACTTATGTATGTCCCTTTGCGTGGAGGTGCCCGCACGAAACCTAGTGAGTCTCACAACTGTTCCGGACCACTGTGATGACATGTCAGCTGATCCCGTCAATGATCCTAGGATGCACGGCTCCTTTCCACTCTATACCTCGACCGAGGTGAGATAATAATACTGGCACTTGACGATCAGGTCTTTCTCGCATTGCAACGCCGCTCAATTCGCAACAGTACTATCGCGGCCCACAAATCCGCTTACGCGAATGAATTTTGTCAATGGCAGTACCTTTGTGCCTTCTAGTGCCGTATGTCTCACAGCACGGCCGTTTAACCTCCCTGCCGAAGCCTTTAAGCCTCAAGCTTGACTTCATAAAGGACCCACACTTGGTCGTGTCACGGCCTGGTCAAGACGAAAGTTGTACTGCACGTACAGTCGTGTGATGCTTGCTTCGCGAATCATCGGTCAACGCTGAGCTCCTCGTCTACGGTCGAAAGCATCTAATCAAGGTACCCAGTCGCGCTAGAGGTGTGCAGAGTGTCTTACAGTCGAAGCCTTTAGTGCTATTCTTGCCTGTGCATCTCAAGAGATCGGGCGCAATGCATACATACCGAGAAAGAAGGCAGCGAAGAGACAGCGTCACATGGCAGTCGTGTTCACGAGGACTGTAAGCACAAGCAACAAGGCAGGGGCTCCCACGAAGCGGGCCAGACTTACTGCGGATGACACGAGTATCAGGAATCTCAGGAATATAGCGTCGTATATGCAATGGTTTGCCCAGACTGCAGACATTAGCTGACGTTCCTGAATTTGGTAGGCACATGGGCATTCCGTGCAAACATGCTACTTTTTCCTTGACCGTGACCTTGCAGGGTCCGTTATGACAGGCTATATCTCACATCAAAACTAAGCTGTTGCGCTCATCAGCCCATGATTTACGTTGGAGGTACGACAGCGGGCGTCCTCCGGTCACACACTCGTGTTTCATCACATCACTGTAGAAACCCCATCGCTGGACTTACGGCACTCACCTTAGCAGACATTGCGGCGAGTCGTCGGAGGTCATCGGCGACACGAAGGTCAATATAGCTTAATGAGGCCACTGTGAGCCCGAAAGTTGTCCCACTCCCGCAGAGCTAATCTGCACGACTCTTCCTGCATGGCATATACTGTCACCGTGGTGCGTCAGTCTTGGTTCTCTGGTGGTCACCGGCATGACTCATGGTCCTCGCAACAAGGGCTGTCCTCTACAATCTCGTGCCTGGCACGGCTTGCCGTAACGAAACCTATAACACCGCTTGCCGATCGTCGGTGACATGTTTGACTCGATCGCTGGCAGCTTGGGAAGTCGTACGGTATCGAACAAACGAGGTGCATCCCATGACAAATTGTCGACGCGAACGGCGCATTTAGTCTTCATGGAGTCCACTCGTCCTGCTTTGTTGCCCCTTGACCTGCACCCCCTAGTGCTAGCGACTAACTGGGTCACAGCATGAGGCCTGCCGTTCTTTACGTGACACTCCCGGCCGTTCTGTCCCTAGTAGGGACGAGCTATGCTCAGCCTCAGCTACTAAGCAGAGATGTGTCCACAGTTTGCGAGGAGATTGCAGCGGCAATTTCCTCAGAGTCTGACATTTACTATCCATGTACGCATTGATTCGTCATTGCCCTCAACTTCGACTGACAAACCGTTCAATACAGCTACTCTGCAGTATACCGCCGCGAACTTTCATTGGCTGTCCTCCAGCACTCAGCAATCAACTTGCACTGTGGAGCCCGGCAATGTCGAGGATGTGGGCGCTGTGGTCAGTTGTCCGCGCATCGGGACGGCTATCTGAGTTCTGATGACAGTGAATAGCTGAAAGTTCTAGGCGAAAACCAGACACCCTTTGGCGTAGGTCACTTCGATGAGCACGTCGTTGTCTCATCTCAGCATCTCAACAGATCAAGGGCGGCGGACATACGGCCAACCCGGGTTCTCATCAACGCCCGGGGTCGAGGTCGCGATGTCGCGCTTCACGAGCGTGACTTACGACGACTCGACGGGAATCGCGAGTATCGGCGCGGGAACATCTGGGACGATGTGTATTCTGCGCTGGAACCTTATTCTGTGAACGTAGTCGGCGGACGCGTGACCGGTGTCGGCGTCGCTGGGTTCACGCTTGGTGGAGGTTAGTCGGAATGTTCGAGACTTATATCAGTTCTTGACACGTATTGCAGGTTTCTCTTTCAAGACGAATGAGTATGGCTTGACCATCGATACGGTCAAAGGGTTCGAATTGGTCTTGTCTAACGGCACAGCTACGAATGTGACTGCTTCGACGAACCCCGACCTATTCTTTGCTCTGAAGGTGATTAAATATATCACGTTGGAGGCTGACAGTGCTAACTGCCTTGTACAGGGTGGCTTCAACAACTTTGTAGCATCTCTTCCCTCGAACTCCGACGTTGACTCATGCGGTAATCCAGGGCATTGTCACGACCTTCTACCTGGAAGCCTACACACAGAGCCAAGTTTGGGTACGCAGCCTCACCCAATTTCACGCGTCACATATTATATCCTGATTTCTTGACAGGGCGGTGCCATTCTGATCTCGGGGACACCAAGTGAAGTCGTAGTGGCCACTCAGAACTTCTACGACAACGTGACCGACCCAAAAGCTGCGATTCTCACCACCATCAACAATGAGATAGGTATTGTAAGTTGCTCATATGTTTAGCCCTTCCTCTTATACGGGCAACTCACGACAATTCTGGACTGCGTAGCCGATCACTGAGCTCACCCTTTTCTATAATGCACCGACCCCGCCGGCTGGCATGTTCGACGAATTCTTGGCTATCCCAGCAATCTCCACGGACATCTCAACGCGCTCATACTTGTCGCTTGTCACGTCCACACCTGCTAACGCGACACAAACCGAGCGGTAAGCTTGAAACACGTCGGAGGCTATGTCCGAAACGTGACAATATCAATGGCTTTATATAGCGGTTACTTCCATTCGGTGTCTCTCTTCAACCTGACCATCCCGCTTCTTAACGCGATTGTCAACGAGACCACGGTTTGTCCCAACCTTGAGTCTCGACCTGACGATCCACTAATCGGAGGTCTCTACTTAGTACTGGGCGGAAACATTAGCTCTCCAAGTCCCCGGTCTGTTCGTCAGCTACGATGTCGAGCCGTTCCTCCCGACCTATCTGTCGCACGGATCGGACTCTGCGTGGCCTCCCAGCCGTGCCACAGGGCTGCTGCCCCTGAACATCTACTACTCATGGTGGTACCCAGAGAGCGATGCCCTCGTCAACCGAGTCATGCTCCAAAGCGCAGAGTACCTCACACAGTTTGCCGTGTCGCAGGGCCAAGACGTAGCGGACGTGTCGTTGTATCCAAACTACGCGATATGGAACACCACTGTGGAACGGTTGTACGGCGGTAACCTGGCGAGGCTGCAGAGTATCAAGGCGGAATACGACCCTAACAACGTCATGGCACTTGCAGGTGGATGGAAGTTCTAGGGCAAGGCAAAACACGCTCAATAGCTTTCGTTGATATTGAGTAACGGACGAATTTATTGAGTCATGATACATCTGATGTTAGGTTGTTGGAAGCGCTTCTTTAGTACGGAGACTTCACGGAGACTGATCTTCCGCAAAGAAGACGACAGTGGCCGTGACACTGCTTCTGTGGACGGCGTCAGGACAAGTTGTAAGCATGCGTAGATGCACGCACTTTGTCATGCTGGGTCCTTGTCCTGCGATGGCTTCGGAACCTGTGCCCCTGTTCAGAGCATTGCGCAGCAAGTGTGTCGCCACGTTCCGGTCCTCGCTCCGGTATGACCGTGCGCCATCCACCAGCGGTGCCACCAGGAAGTCATTCGGAGACGCTACGTGTTTTCTTCCGCTTCCACCTCGTTGGCGCCACTGCTCGTCAAGCCACATACCAACCAAGCCCACTGCTTCCTCGCTCGTCAGACGATCCCACATCCCGCGCGTACCCATGATGAGGAAGTCGCCTGGCTGCACAGTCGTAGAGGTCACCTCCGGCTCTGCAGTGAGATACGGAGGCGTTTTGACGTCGGGAGGAGTCGGCCCGCCGATGGATGCTTCTTGCATTCGCCTGCGAGTGTCTCCGTCCCACTTGTACATGGCATCACCAAAGGAGCGCGTGGGGCCTCCGCTCAGGACGCGGCCATTGTACACGACTGCCTCTCCTGGATGACGCGCGTTGAGACGGTACTCTTCGGCGAGATTGCTGCTGTCTTGTTCTACGGACAGGACGCGAACCTGATAGACCACCTCGCCGTCTTTGTTGCGCGTGCGTCGGCCGAGGACAGCGCGCGAGTCGCCTGTCAGTGCGATGTGAAGATTCCTGCTGTAAGAGTCGTAGAAGCTGAGTAGCGCGGATGATCCTGAGTGGGCAGGAGCTAGCATGTCAACTCCAGCGCTGGGTGCGGGGTCGAAGAGGGCCCTGTCGACTGAGCCATATACGATGTCTCGGTCAAGGCACTTGAAAGTATCTTTGAGTGTTTGATCGATGTCACCGGGAGAAGGAGTAGGCGGGCGGTCTCGCGACGCACTGGCTTCGTACAGTCGTGAGTAGAGGTCAGCCAGAGCGCCTGAGACCGCAATGACGATATTGTCGCGTAGCCACGCGCTGGTAGAGTGGCCGTTGCGTCCTTCCAGCACAGCGAGTACGGACCAATACCCAGACGGAACGGGCAGCACTGCTTCAGTATTCATGCTCTCCGGAGTGTCAGTGCTCGTAGATGTCAGTCTCAACACATCTCACTCTGGATTGTATGTATTGAACGTACCTAGCGATCTGTGCGTTGTCGTAGCGATGAATTCCCGTCTGCCCACCTGGCAACTGGGAACTCTCCAAAAGACGCAAAGACGTGGGCTGTCCATCACTCACTTCGCCTACTGCACGCTCGTAGTACGAGTACGAACAGTGCGAAGTGGAGCTGTCAGTGAGTGACGACAGGTCGCCACGGCTTCTCCTGCTTGTTTGTCCATCATCGCCGTCCATGTGCACTGGCGAAGAGGTCAAAATAAGAGAGGCTAGACCGACTAGGCCTGCGAGAGCCCAGCCTGTCCTGTGCGTACTTGCATTGGCGGAAAAGCGACGTGCCGTCTGCGAGTGTAAACCTCTCGTGGCTGTTGACGGAACGATGCAGTGATATTGACGCAGCATGGTGGACTCGGAGGCCCACTGGTGCAAGCCTTCCGCAACAACATTGCAATATTGCCTGTTTCACGAAATTATGCCTAGAGGTTGAGTAGAATCTATGGGGTCGAGTACAGATCATGAGATACTTACTTCAACACAGTGGGGTGAACTCAGATAGCAGCAAGGATGAACGAATGTGATACACTGTCACTTAGACTCGGACTGTCACAATTCGACGTAAGTTAAGTGGCTTGCCGGAGTCGAGTCGGTGGCGGACGCCACATCAAATCGGAGATGCGATCGGAGATTTATGTGGCTGAGAATCACAAGCTTGTCGAGGCCTCCTGTGGCTAAATCGTCCTCATCCAACTCCTTCCAACTCATTGTCTAACTGTCGGCGGTGCTGTCTTGACCTGGAAATGGGAAAATGTTATGAGTCCCAGAGGTAGTCCATACACAACTCAAGATTATCTGGACGGTAATAAAGACAGCCCAGGCGATGTCTATTATTCTAGGTCTCGATACGAGCTCCGGCCTCGGCCCTTGGGGGTTGGGGTGCTCTCCCCAACAACTCAGGTTCATAGCGCTGCGGTCATTTGGAATGGCTGTATAAAATCACTGGAGAAGTGGCATCGTCGGTTGTGGGCCGCCCTCTCTCTCTCCGACGCGCGAGATGTCTTCCGCGGTCTCCACACGTATTGCACCTCAGGTGTACGCCAAAGTCTCTCTCAACCCAGACCGGTCTGAGGAGGAGCCTGCTGACTCAATATTCCCGACAACTACGTCCAGTGGGTCCTCAAGAACCAGAAGGAGTTGCCCCCTATCACATGGCAGACGATCTGGGGCGAGCTGAGCTATCTCAGTTTGGGCATCCTGACCATCACGCCTGTCATAGCCATCTGGGGTATCCTTAACGTCAAGCTTCGTTGGGAGACAGCGGTGTGGAGTATCATATACTATTTTGTGACCGGCCTAGGTAACAAACATGCGGCTTGCGGGTAGATTTTGAGCTCATTCTGTTATTCCAGGTATCACGGCGGGTTACCATCGCCTTTGGGCGCACCGCTCGTATAATGCCTCGAAGCCTCTTCAGTACGCCCTTGCCATGGCGGGTGCCGGAGCCGTGCAGGGGTCGATCAAATGGTGGTCCCGTGGCCACCGTGCTCACCATCGCTACACGGACACGGACCTCGACCCTTACGACGCTAACAAAGGCTTCTGGTGGTCGCATGTCGGTTGGATGCTTGTGAAGCCGAGGCGCAAGCCTGGCGTCGCCGACGTCAGCGATCTCAGCAAGAACGCTGTCGTCAGGTGGCAGCACCGCTGGTACTTACACCTTATCCTCGGCATGGGCTTCATCTTCCCGACGGCTGTAGCTGGCTTTGGGTGGGGTGACTGGGCGGGGGATATTTCTATGCTGCCGCAGCGCGCCTGGTCTTAGTGCATCATGTAAGCCTCGCGTTCAAGTTGACATCCTTTCCTGAACTGACCGTAAAACATTTCGGCAGTCGACGTTCTGCGTTAACTCCCTCGCACACTGGCTCGGCGAGACACCGTTCGATGACAAGCACACGCCGCGCGACCACATGATTACCGCGTTCGTGACAAATGGCGAGGGATACCACAACTTCCATCACCAGTTCCCGGTGGACTACCGCAACGCCATTAAGTGGTACCAGTATGACCCGACCAAGTGGTTCATCTGGGTCTGCTCCGTGCTCGGCCTTGCGAGCCACCTGAAAACGTTCCCCGACAACGAAGTGAAGAAGGGCCAGTTGACCATGCAACTGAAGCGTCTGAGGGAGACGCAGGACAGCTTGAAGTTTGCTCCGGATCCTAATGACTTGCCTGTAATCAGCTGGGATAGTTGTCAGTCTTCCGCTTTCCGGTGTTGACGGTGCAATGGCTCACGCGGATATCTAGACCAGGAGCAGGCTCAAAGAGAGCATTGGTCGTCATCGGAGGCTTCATCCACGACGTTTCTTCATTCATTGACGAGCACCCCGGTGGTCGGCATCTGGTACTCAAGAACATCGGGAAGGATGGGACGACGGCCTTCTTCGGCGGTGTCTACGACCACTCCAACGCTGCACACAACGTGAGCTCGTCTGACGTTTGCATGGCAGTAGATTCACTGATGATCGTCAAAATCACTAGTTGTTGTCCATGATGCGCGTAGGCGTCTTGTACGGCGGTGTGCAGCACGGGTTGGACGACAAGAACATCCCGCCTTCCCAACGTTTGCGGATCGCACAGTACAATGAACTGTCCTCTTCGGGTAGCGCGTCTTCTACAGCGTGCTCGGATGTTGATGAAGAGAGCATGCTGGGCTAGGCTATTAGTCACAGAGCCAGTCTGCTCGTATAGATGTACACATATTGTTAGATGAATATACTCGCCCCTCTTCATGGAATGTCATGCCACTACTACTTAGTGTGCTAGATGGAACACTTGGTCGGATTCACTCACTGGCTCGGGAGTAGCTGTGGCGAATGAACATTGCGATACAAACTCCGCCTCAATCTGAGATCCTCATCTGAGTCGCGCCCACGGCGGCGTTCGGTCGACACTTCGACCTTTGTCTTCATCGCCTCCGGCGCGCACGAGTACTTGCTCTCTAAACTCCCTATTCATCGTGCGGTGCCCCGTAACCCAAAATCCGTGCTTGAAAGATGACTAACACTCCATCAGGGTCTAAGCGTCCGTACGAGGGGACCCATGACCGTGACTACGAATCTCACAAGCGGCCGAGGGGGAGAGAGGACGCGCGGGACTGGAAGGATGTTCACTTGAAGTCGCCGCCGAAACCGTCCTTGCATGGGAGTAGAGACGTATCGACCGACGTGATGCCAACAGGCGATCATCGAGACACGACTATCGCCCTCGTAGCCGGGAGCATGATCATCGACGGGCACCCAGCGACTACGGCCGGGATAGAGATAGAGACAGGGACAGGGACAGGCGAGATGATCGTGATAGGTATCGCGACAGGGACCACTACCCTGCTCGTAGAGATGAACTCCGTAGAGAAGACCCTCGTCGGAGAACGCGGTCCCCACCCCGGAATAGCAGGCGGAATGGGTCAGTCAACGGGCACGCTCAGTCCAACGGACACGCTCATCCAAAGGATGATTCCGAAAGAGAAGAAGGCGAGTGAGTATCGCATGTTCTCTCCCCTTGTGTCTGTGCTCAATCACGACCTGTGCTGCGCAAGAATCTCGCCTCGACACACGCCGCCGCCGAAGGCCCCTTCGCACGACAGCCACCCGCCGGCTAGGGCACCAGCTCAACCGCCACTATCTGCGTCAGCGCAGCCTGCGCCGGAGCCAGAGACGGAGCTGGATCTTACAACGAGTCCGTGTCCGTAGAGGAGACTCTCGCTGCGCGTCGAGCGAAGCGTCAAGCTATTCTGGCCAAATATGCGGGGACTACGAGCGCTGCGCTCAGTCAAGGCGTTTCTCCAAGTCCTGGACCTAGCAGTGCGGTCGAGCCGCCTCCCACGAGTCCTCTTTCTAACAATGCGTCTCAGTCTCACAGCCCTCGTGCGACTCCCGCTCTCACTGATGTTGACCGGAGTGCAAGCGTCAGTGGAATGAGTGGAATGATAAGTGGGTATGCTGCGTCTCATTTGATTCGTATTAGTGAACTCCAGTGTTCTAGGCAAACGGGATTCTGTTTCGGCGTCCCCAACGCCGGGCACATTTTCTCTGGCCAAAGACCAAGGCGATGGGCAAGTGAAGGGGCAAGTACAAGATGGCCCTCACGAGCAGATCTCCGCAGCCGACTATGATCCAAGTCTGGATCGTCGAGAAGACGAGAAACGGGTACTCGGGGTCAAAGACAAACCGACGGAGGATATACAAGTTCTGGAAGAAGTAGAAGAAGAGGAAGAGGACGATGTGGACGACATGTTTGCCATCGCTACAACCGACAAGAAGCCTAAGAAGGTTAGGAAGCTCGTCGTGAGTATCATGACAATGTGTGCTGTATATCACCTCACACCATTGCAGAAGAGACCGGCGGCCCCAGCATTGATCACAACGACACTGGATTCCGCTGCAGACGCAGAAGGCTATTATCAGGTCATCTTGGGTGAACAGCTCGATGGTGGTCGTTATCAAGTATTCTCTCACCTTGGGAAGGGCATGTTCGCCAACGTTGTCAGAGCGCGTGTCTTGGACGGCGAACCGGGCGAAGCTGGCAAGGAGGTAGCGATCAAGATTGTTCGCTGCCAAGAGTCTATGTACGTCATCAGCCTTTGTCGTTCGATTGAAGCTCACAACTGTCCACTTAGGTACAAAGCTGGCTTGAAGGAGGCCCAGATTTTGAACAAGTTGAAACTAGCTGACCTCGAAGATAAGAAACACGTCGTCCGCCTTGAGAGGACGTTCGAGCATCGCGGGCATCTATGCTTGGTTTTCGAGTCTCTCAGGTATGTGACTCAAGTCTTCGGGCCTACCGCCATCTCATCATAGTTAAGCATGAACCTGCGTGATGTCGTCAAGCGCTTTGGCAAGGACGTCGGCCTGAACCTCAAGGCCGTGCGTGCGTACGCACACCAGTTGTTCCTTGCTATGAGTCTCTTGCGGAAGTGCAATATCATGCATGCTGATATCAAACCCGATAACATCCTGGTATGTTCGCATGATGGACACCGCGTACACGGGTGGTTAATATTGTCTCGTCCAGGTGAACGACCAGAAGACGCTTTTGAAGCTTTGTGACCTGGGCTCCGCCTCGGATGCTTCCGAGAACGAGATCACGCCCTATCTTGTCAGTCGGTTTTACCGGGCGCCGGAGATCAGTAAGGATGCATTCCCTCACGGTATAATGGTCATCTGCTAATGTCCACGAACAGTCCTCGGTGTTCCGTATGACCCCGCATTGGACATATGGTCTATCGGGTGCACGCTCTACGAGCTGTACACGGGCAAGATCCTATTTCCCGGACGCTCCAACAACCAGATGCTGCTTCTCATGATGGAGTTGAAAGGCAGGTTTAACTCCAAAATGATAAAGAGGGCGCGATTTGGGAGCATGTACTTCGATGAGCTAGGCGCCTTTCAAAGTATCGAGACGGAGCGAGTTACGGGTTCTGTAAGTTGCTGTCTTCCGACTTACCACGGAGGGTGACTTATTCTTGGCTAGGACGTCATTCGTCAAGTACACATCACCGCACCCACGAGAGATCTCAGGCAACGTCTCATGCCGCCTGCATCTGTGAAGATGAAGGACGATGAAGGGAAGCTGTTGACTTCCTTCATTGACCTCTTAGACAAGTGCTTGGCCCTCGATCCGACGAAGAGAATATCCCCCAAGGAAGCGTTGGTGCATCCTTTCATAAGAGGGTAAAATTCCTGTGCAGATCTGCAGACGAAGAACCGTAGGGTATCATTATCTCTGATCAGTTAGTACCAGTAATTACTATTCAACCGTGTATCCACAGCTCCTTCCCGCAGGTGACCATAGCTGTGCCCCTATGAGAAACATGGTACGACGTCGACGTTATCATTCTAAGGTCAGCTGAGGTGGTCTTTCCTCCAGGGGGAATCGGGCAGATGTGCGGTGATGACTCATCAGCTTGCTCTTGTCCCGTCGCCATTCCGACTTACTATATATTGGGGCGCGCACAGGACCTTTCCCTGCACCGCTAACGTGCGCGATCTCATTGTCTAGCATGCCGCTGCCTGAGGGACCGCTTCCTTCTTTTGACGAACTACCCAGCTTCCGCAATTTCCCTGGGTGTGCCTGGGATGTTTGGGGCAAGGACGATGAACTGGGAACCATTAATCTGCTGACCAAGGATGTCGTGAAGGAGGCAGCAAAGGAAATCAAGTCTGTGCAGATGGAGATGAGTATGGAGACTCGCTGACAGACTGCATTCAGGCTCGGCAAGACCATTTGTCTGAACTGGTATGGGCTCTCGTTATGTGACGCTGGCACCGGACATTAACACAGGACGTGCTCCCGGATAGGCCAATCAACTACCCGAAGAAGGTCTGTCATAGTTAGCTTACAGATTGACGATGTTCTCAAAGATGTGCTCCTTCAGCCTTTGTTCAACCGTCAGCCACCGAATATTCAGATGTGGAGGAAGGGCGAGGGCGAGGGCATTGCAGTGCATGACGACGCTATACACATTGTAAGGTTGACAAGTTGTGATATTGCTCCAATCCACTAATGCATACGTACCATTATATCTAGAACACTCAATCTGGTTCGCAGTGGGATGGTTTACGTCACTTCGGTCTTCTGGAACATCGTATATTTTACAACAAGTATGCTCTGCTGCGTCTCCGAGTGTCATTCCTGACCAGTCTGCAGCACTCCAGCCGACTTCTTCGAGACAGGTAGCCTGGTCAAAGACTATCCTGATAAGGTAGACAAGGACTTCATCAAATACGGTATCCACAGTGAGTCGAAGAGGTATCATACTGTTCCTTCCACTGACTGCTTCAAGACTGGGCACAGCACGGTATCTGTGGGCGTGGAGTTCTCCTGGACCTCGTGCGCTACTTCACCGCTTCTGGGGACCCCCTGCCCTACGACCCATGGACGACGCACGGGATTCCGGCCTCGGTATTAGAAGATTGCGCCAAGAAACAAGGCGTGACCTTCAAGCAGGGCGATATCCTCTTAATCAGAATTGGCTTCATGCAGAGGTATCTGAGTTCCACGCAAGAGGAACGGGACTCTCTGGCCGATAAAGAGGAAACTATGTAAGGGCCGCAACATGGTCGTACGAGGACTTCGACGTTGATTCCTCGCAGGGCCGGCATAGACCAGGGGGATGAGTCGAAACGTTTCCTCTGGTAAGTACTAATAGCTTCACGCCTCGATCCGTGTCCAGAGACTACATCGATTGTAGGAACAACCATTTCGCTGCTGTAGCGTCTGACCAGCCCGCCATCGAGGTAAAACACAAGTTACTTAGCACATGACGTCGTCATATTGACAGGCATTATCCAGCGCTGGCCTCCACCGTACCCGCATCACCTGCACCAGGTAATGCTTAGCATTACTCTCTATTCATCTTTGCTCATCTTCGCCGTAAACATAGACTTTGCTCGCGTACGTATCCTCTCTCCTACAGTCACTTTGAGCGCAGTTGATGGTTGAAATTTGATATAGTTTATGGGGTATGCCAATCGGTAAGCCTCCTAGGGAAGCGTATAAACGACGATCACAGTGGACTCATTGATGTTCTTAGGCGAGTTCTTTGATCTGGAGGCACTGGCCAACGCTTGCGCCGAGGCAGGGCGATACACGTTCTTCTTCACCTCTTGGCCTCTGAATATGTGAGTCGTTCACGTTCACCGCTCGCTTTGTCGCTAGAATTCATTGAACATCCTTAGACTGGGCGGTGTTGCAAGCCCGCCGAATGCTGCTGTAAGTCGAGCGATGTTCATTGCAGCTGCCCTTCTGAAGTTCCGCGCAGGCCTACCTGTGAGAAGCCAGGGGTACGGGTCCGTCAAATGTATGTAACAGTAGCGAACGCCAATATAGCCAAGACAAGATAATAGCGCAGCCATCGCTTTTGTATTCGCCAACCTGTGTGCTTTTTGTTTCGATGTCGGCACATCGAGTGCTCTATTGTTTCTGGGTATACAGATACCTCTCGCCGAGATATGGGTACTGCAGGCTTCAACGTTCATGACTGGTGTGTCGAGTCGTACGTCGACAACCGCCTCGGACGCAGACCAGCCGTCTTCAGAGGCGGCAGCCCGTCCTCGTCCTCATCGTCACTCGTAGCTGCGCTGTCGTTGCTATCCCTACTCTCGGCATCCGCAACTGCGCCGTACGAAGGCGCCTGCGCGCGACCGTCGGAGTGTGATTGGGCTCTGGGACGAGACCGCTCGAGGGGTTTGTCCGGGATCTGCGTGTTTTGTTGGGACAACTATGAAGTTAGCAGTGGGAGAGGAACGTACCGGAAGACGAGCGCAGTATGCCAGGAACGTCGAACAGGCAGCCATGATGAACACGACGCGCAGGGCGGTCGCGTACGAGTCGCGCGCTGCGCTTTGTAAGTCAGGCGGCAGGGTCGCGATGAGGGTCGCGGAGTGGCGGATCTTCGTAATGAGCTATAAGGAACTGCTTGAGAAGGATTACCGGGTTAGCAAAGCGGATACGAGTACTGACCTCCTCCGCGTCAGGAGTGTGGATCCGTTTGTGCAATTCAGAGTTCAGGATGCTCTGGAAGACGGCCGCAGAGACGGCGACGCCTCCTACTTGACCTGGTATTCCCGACTTAAAGAAGATCATCGATTCAATCCCCAAGTATGTACGCACCTAAGCCTCGGAATACCTGACCAAAACCGGTACCGACGGCTATTTGCGACTCTTTGACAAAGCATGCACATAAGAACGAGGCCTCAACGGAGTCAAGTGATCCACATACCGGGCAAGTGGGCCAGGAGCGCGACTGGTTGTTCGATGGTCATGCACAGAACACATGCTGATCTATCGACGTCACTCACTGAGCATAGTTTGCAGAACCACCGCATTACCGAAGCCCATCGGGATCTATGAATATTAATCCGTATATCATCTAAGAATCAATGTTTCAAACGACTACTCACGATGCTGAACCACAATTGAAACGACGGTGAATCAACTCGCATCAGACTGAGCAGGATAGCGGCCGTAAAGGGGAACAGTCCGAAGATGAGGTTGAGCCTTTTGTATCTCCCTGTGCGATGCATCATCCATCTGAGAGGCCTCAGTATTAGATCTGCAAACTGAACGATTCGCTACATACCCGGCGAACAACGACCCGAACGAGATCGAGAACGCATTCGGAATCAAATGCGCCCCTAAGATGGCACAACAACGTCAGATTCTACGATCAACGGACACAGCACAGATGGAGCCATACCAGCTTCGCTCGCGCTCGTGAGCATGACCGTCTGGAACCACGTCGGGAAGTTGTAGTTGACCATGAAGTTGCACGTCGCGACGAGGAAGTTGCTGATCCCCACGAGTATCGGAATTCTCTGCTTCAGAAGCGCGGGGGCGAGGACGGGCTCGACGGCGATGCGCAGTTCGAAGACGACGAAAGCGATCGCGAAGACGCCTGCCAGAATTACGGGTACGAAGACGGATGGCGAGGACCACTAGTGGAGAGATGTTATGACAGACCTCAGGAAGAAGGAACGCACTTACCGGCTGCTCTTCACTGTAGCGCGTACTGAGGAAGATGAGTAGCGACAGGACCTGTTCCCACCGGTGAGCCTGCAGTGAGTCTCAAGGAAGTGTGTCACACATACAGCCCCCAGCAAGGTCAAGGTTCCGCCGTAATCGATCCGCTTCAACACCTCTTTCTTGCTTCGGGAGACTTCTCCCTGAAGAATACAATATGCACGTGAATGTGAATGTATGCGTCGGAATCCAATTGATGAACTTACTGCAGTAACATAACGAAGGTTGATGGAGGTCAATACGGCCGATACCAAGAAGAGAGGCAGTTGGAGTAAGAAAGCCCAGCGCCAGCCAAGCCTGTACGTCAGCATTTACTATGCGATTCAATGTCTGGCCTGGATGCTGTCATACCTATCGCTAATGTAGCCACCTAGCGGACCTCCTAGTCCCATCCCAAGCTTTGTAGACCTAGTGAGCGCATATAATGCACGCAAGCGAGAAAACTTACACTACTAAACACAGAAGCTAGACCTTGCGTGAGTCCACGGCTCTGTCGAGGCAAAATCAATGAGATGCATGGATATATGCGCACAATCTGCTGCGAGACATACCCTGAGACTATACATGTCGCTCGTGATTATCCTTCAGGTGGATGTACGGTCAGACGGCGCCCATGCTGTGTAAAACTGTTCTGACATACGTCGCAGTGGTGAAGATACCTCCTCCACTATGGCGTACCGTTTGCTGAAAAAATAACCTCTATATATATTGTAGTCAGTCAAATATATCAAACAGCGAGTGATGGTATCTATAACAAACCGAGTGAAGTCTGCATACTATATGAATCAAACGGCGCGCAATATATCTATAACTCGACTCAGCAATATATATATAACTTTGAGTCGACACTTTCATATATATAACTTTCGGGGACCGGCCCGGAGCCGGGGCCGGTATGCCCGCGCCTACAAGCACGGCGCTCCGCTGCGCCCGGGAGGGTATACGATTTCACACTGTGCCTAGCAAATACGAGTTGAGACTCGTACAAACGCGCGTCGGGAGCTCAGAAATGAATCCCGACACGAAATATGATTTGTGCGCATCGAGCGACACGCTCAATGCGGCCGACGACGCGCTTGACCCCTTCAGCGTCGACACGAGCCCGTGTTGATGGCGAGCGCCCTGAGCGCTAGCGCCCAATGCGGTGCTCTCGACCGCCACCACCACCTCGCCCGCGACCTCGACTTGGGCAGCCACCGCGACTGCCTGACCGACCAGCAAGGCGCGCGTCCTGTCCTAACGGGCAGGCACGCACGAATCCGCGACTGGCTAGCTGAACTACCGCCAGTTCAGCTAGCGGCGCGTGAAGACGCTTCAAGCGGTACCAGACCGTCCTCTAGCAGCCCACTCCTCGACTCGGACCCTCTGCGTCTCGACTCTGACAACCCCATATTGACAACCCGCGGCTCTGGCAACACGCGACCAAGCCGCGCAACCCAGGACTTGCACCACGCATGTGCAAGTCCAGCGCCGAGCGATAGGACCACCCAGAACGGAAGGAACGAGGAGCGAGGAGGCTGCAAGGAGAATCCGAAGGAGCAGGGGAATGCGAAAGAGGAGGAGGAGGAAGGGTGCGGCGCGAGTAGAGAAAGCGAGCAGAAAGGCTCGAAGACCAGAGGTACGCCCTTGTTGCATGTACCCCGCTCGCCGCTGCCCGTTCCAGTGCCCGCACCAGCAGGTGTATCGACGAACGAGAAGCTCGTCGTGCGCTCTGCTGGTCACGAAGATGGGATTTCTGCATCTCGGGACGACTCACATGTCGTACCCACTACCCTGCATGGCAACACGGCGGATGCGCAGAACTGCGTGTCCGACGTGCCCATCCTCTCGCTAGTGCCCTCACCAGCCCGCGTATCGACAACCAACGAGGTACTACGGGACGACCTCCAGACCGTACCCTCCACTTCGCAAGGCGATACGGCGGACGCGCAGTGCTGCACGTCCGGCGTGTCCCACTCATCTGCGATCGACCGTCGCGTAGTGGGTACGCTGAGCCATTCGCTCGACGTACACACTACCGACCAGCCCAGAGGCTCGAGGAGTGAAGGCACGCCCTCAATGGAGGTACCTACCTCGACGCCTACTGTTTTGCCAGTGCCCAAGCCCCCGCGCGTATCGACGAACATGGAGCTCGTCGTGCGCGTTGCTGGCCACGAAGACGGCATGTTATCCGCCTCCCGGGATGACGTTGCAGTTGTACCCGCTGCAAAACACGGCGACACGTCGGATGCGCCTCGCTGCACGTCTGACGTGCCCCGTCCTTCTGCGACCCACTGCACAGAGGGTACGTCGAGCTTGTCACTCGATGTACACACTGTCGACGAGCACAACAACGCGTCTGGCGTACTCGAGGAAGTACCCAGCGTGTCATTCGATCCTACACATGGGATCGACGCGGTCGAGGCACACTTCACGACAGTGACCCCGGTACGCATGTCACCAGCTTCAGTGCCCATGTCGGAAGGCCACACCACGAACAATGAGTTCGTTGTGTGCCTCCCCGACGTCAAGAACAGGGCGTTGGACTGGTGCAGTAGCACGACCATTGTGCCTGCTGTTCTCACTTCGCGAGACGGCGTGTCCGGAGAGTCTCTTGGCTATCCCAGGCTGCCTCCCTCTACCCTGCTACCATTGCAGACTGCGGATACGTCGAGCCCGTCGCTCGATGTACCCGCCACTGCTATCTCTGTCTCGCATACCAGCGTATCCGGAGAGCCTCATAGCTCTACCGGGATACCCAATTCACAACCCATATCGGCGCATACGTGCCCAGTACCCGCACCTGCAAACGGTACAACGAATAACGAGGTCGTTGTACCCACGATCAGCGATACTTCCGGGGTACGGGAACCATGCGATGGCCTGGTATCGATTCCCGCGGCTACTCTGAACCTACGTAGGTCAGATACAGTCGATCAGCGCGAGCGCAAAAGCTCGACAAAGCCCAGTACATCCATCTCACAGGATGTACTGGCTTCTTCGGGTTCGACAGGCCTGTCAACGAATTTGGCGACCCAGTCAACCGAAGCCTCATCGAGACGATGTGAGGTGCGGACCGATTACAAGCCCACGGTCTCACGTTCGTACGAGCGGTACAAGACCCCCGCACGACGCGCCAACGACCTTGCCCGCCATACACACGAGGGGCCGACCTCGAGTGTACGTGACGCCTTGACAACCAAGCCCGTCAGGCTGACGATCGACGAACCAAAGAAGCACATTACTTCCGGATCGTCGGAAGTACTGACTCCTTCGTTGTTGACCGCCAAGCCCGCATCAACGACATTCAAGTCTAGCCTCAACTCAGCTACGTCGAGCCATCCTGCATCGAGTACTCGCCGCACGCATGGTGGGTCGATCTCGCGCGTGCGAGATACAACTGCAGAAGTCCCCGATTCAACAAGGACTTCCATATGGCCAAACCAGACTGCGACGGGGAGTGAACGGCGATGTTCACCCACCGTTGTATCCTCAATTTTCAAATGCTCGCGACTCCGAAGCCAGGGCATCCTGCACGTACAAGGGTACGACTTCGCGCGCGTGTGAAGCAAGCTCCGTGGAGGTCATCCAGGCTGGTCATCGGGAAAGTACGAGCACACCGAGTGCTGTAGACACTTGGAATGCCTCTGTTTCCTGCACAACAAGCCTGGCGGCCTCATCCACATCATGGATGACCAGGCACCTCGCATGCCGAAGAAGAGCAGCCATACGATGGTTGAGGCGTTCACGAAGTGGTGGGGCAACCACTCTTCGTTCAAAGCAGGCTCCATTGACCGTACGGGCTTCCCGACGTTCACAGTCAACCACTTCACCGGCCCTGTCACCTATTCGTCGGAAAACTTCCTGGAATGCAATCTTGAGGCACTGAACCCTGACTTCGTCTCGCTCCTCCGAGGCACGAGCACCAGTGAAGGACCTTCGGCGGATGGTTCCGGATCATCGAACCCCTTCGTTCGCAGCCTGTACTCCGGCAAGGCGATCACGACACAGGCACACCCATGCGATGCGGACAATGTTGTACAACAGTGACGAGGGTGGTAGCGGCGGCGGCAAAATGACAGGTGGCAGCGGGACCAGTCGCGGTGGTGACGGCAAGCCAGTTGATGCTAAGTCTCGGGTTTCCGAGTCTTGAATCTCGAAAAAGGTACCCGTACCGGTCCCTTCCCCCTCCTCCATCTTAGTTTTTACACCAACAACAGGATCCATAGTGACCGACGAGGTCACCACATTCCCATGTAATGGTGCGGAGGTAAGAGTTCCGGGTACTTCACAGAGTACACCGGTGGGAGTCCTATGCTTCGCAGCATCGTGCACATCGAGCCATCTATTGCTCAGTGTACCCGATGCTTGAGGTATGTAACGTACGTTTGATGTTTGCGATGTGTAGTGACTTGATTACTGTGCATATTATGGTATGATTACTTCGTATGCACCTCGCATCTCGTAGAACTCACTCGAACTTACGACAATATACTTAGTGCTTTCGAGCATTAACTCGAGCAGGTCTCAGCGCGAGCATTTAGAGCATCACGCAAATGTATATAAGGACGAAGAGTTGAACAAAGGAGGACACACTTTGCTGGCCAAACATCTCTCCCTCTCATCTCTCTCACTTCTTTCTCTCTCTAACTCGCCCTCTCGTTGATAACTACTGTAACCGTATAGTAGTTAGTAATCAACAACACTTACTCTCTCACGACCCTAGACGGACTGATCACCCGTCTCGACTGAAGTGTTACCTTGAGCGATGAACCCTAATAGCCAAACCTGTACAGGACAGTCCCCGTTGGACCTCGTCTTGTTACACGATGCGCCCGCAGTACTCGACAGTACATTGCATACGAGCAAGGGCACATCCTTGCACGTACAGTGGTCGGCATTGATGATTACGGGATGAGTATCGCCGCCATGTTGAGGTGGACGCGAGATGTCCGAGGTAGGAGTTGTCGAACACGACGAGATCAGTACATCCAGCGACTCGGGTGTACTGTATCTCGTTGACTGCTCGATAGCTTGCTCAGCAGTCATAAAGGAGGGCGTACCGCGCACGCTCGAGGTTGGTTCCTCGTGCGTGCGGCGTGTGTAATACGACGTGGAAGTGCTCGACGTGTGCGCGTCGAGGTCGTAATTGCGCCTGCGTGGGTCATCGTCATCGAGACGGCCCGTAACCATCGACACCGCATGCTCGCGCAGGTCGGTCTTGTCGGACCTGACGCGAGCCTGGCATGTCGCCAAGGTCGATGCGGGCAGTGATGTCGACGAGCTGATCGACGAGCTTCTGAACACGTCAATCACGTCATCGTCACGCATGTTGGCCTCGCTGTGTGCAGTGAGCGAGTGGCTCGTTGTACTCGACGATGATGTCTTGATAGAGTAGGAGGACGCACCAGTCATGCACATGCCTGGCTGCATGCCGACTGCGTCGCTTTGACGGAGCGTTGTCCCAGCTGGTCTGTGCGTCGGACGACCTGTGACCTGTCTGGCTGCTTAGTCTTCGACGAGGCTGGATAGCTTGAGGAAGCCAGTACATCCAGCAATGTGGATGTACTGTGCATCTTCTTGCATTGATGCTCGCACAGACCGATCTTACACTGTGTCGGAGCAGTGACGGATCTTGTTATTGACGAACCCATTGACGTGCTTCTGGGCGCGTCGCCGTGAACGTCACATCGAGGGCTGGCCTTACTTGCCGAGCACGTCATGATGGTGATGACGGACGTGCAGGTGGACGAGTCGATCGTGCATGATTGCACACCGACCGTGTCACTAGACATGGTCTCCAACGTCAAGGTCATGTCGTATACACTGAGCGAGGGGCTCCACGTCGAAGGTCATATCTTGACGATGGAGGTGGAGATGGACACATCGACCGTGCTTGATCGTGCATCGACAGTGTCGCTGGGCGTAGGAGACTTCATGGACATGGCAGACGTGGGTGTGGCGATCAACGTGCTTCTCTGCACGTCGATCAGAGACCTCCGCATCGTACCTGCATGTCTCGTGTCATAAGACTCGAAAATAAACCCGTGGGGTGTCCCTTCCCCCTCCTCTGTCATTGAAGAAGTGAGATTGGTACTATGTACGTCGAGTGAGCTGTTGCTCAACGTACCCAGTATGGAATATGCAGCGAGCACATTAGAGAGTGCATCGCGCATGTTATCAGGCTCATCAGCGGGTAGTACGTCGAGCCTCGAGCTCGGTGTACTCTCCTCGCGAGAAGCAGGTGTCGTAGTAGGATTGAAAGATGCGTCGGTCGTGCTGGGTAGCACACCGAACACGTCGTGCGTCGTGACGGCGCTGGGCTCGTTAACCAGGCCGTCGAGTGGATTCAGCAGCTCCGTAAGCCTTAAGGTCGCCAACACTGGGTGCAGCGAGCTCGGTGCTCGTTGTACCATGCGTCGGTGTGGACACCGGACACGTCTGCATCAAGACGGAAGCTTGAGGGGTCGCGGCGAGCACGCTTGTGGATGTGTCGCGCACGCCCCGGAAGTCGGCCGTGAGCACATCGAGCGGAGGGCTCGACGTGCACAGAGCACGAAAGGGCATAGAGGAAGAATAGGACGGTCCGGCAGAACCAAGAAGTTCCCCAGGCGCATCACTATATGAGTTATGGATATGGTGGAGGGCGGCGAGCACAGACTTGCGTGCTTCCTGCACATCCACAAGAAAGTCCTGGGGGACACATCGAGCGACGAGCTCGGCGTATCCGCTGCGTGCGGTGGCACAAGAAAAGGGGGAGACGGCCTGGTAGAACTCGGAGACTCTCCAGACGTGTTGTCTCGCGAAGTGGGGGCAGCAGGCACAATGGCCGTGCTGCTGCATGGGCCCAGCATCCCGTTCTTGACAACGGAGAGGCACACAATGCACTCATTGGTCGTTGTGTTGCCTTCCGACGCGGGCACTGCGGCTGGTGACGTGTGTACCGGGTGCACGGTCGTGAGGCGCACCACGGAACCATCACTTGCGCATGAGGGGTCGACGAGCGCGCCGGGTACGTTCGCCAGTACACCGGGCGGGGAGTTGCTCTCGTCCACAGTGTGTACATCGAGCTGTATGCTCGACGTACCCTCCGTGCGGCGGTTCATAGGAAGATGGGGCACGTCGGACGTGCAGCGATCGTCCGACGTGTTGCCATGCGAAACGTTGGGTACGACCATGAGGTCGTCCCGGAAGATGGAAACACCGTCTTCGTGGCCAGCAGCACGTACCACGGGCTTCTTGCTCATTGGTACCTCTGCTGGCGCAGACAGTAGCAAGTAAACGGACACGTCAGACGTGCAGCGCTGTGCGTCCGCCGTGTTGCCGTGTGTAACAGCGGGCACAACACATGGGTCGTCCTGGAAAGAGGAATTGCCATCGTCGTGGCCAGCAGAGCGCACGACGAGCTTCGTGTTCGTCGATACGCCTGCTGGCACGGGCACTAGGAGCGGGAACGGCGAGGCAGGGACGGTCAGTGAGGGCGTACGGTCGCGTACCTGCATTTTGCGAGCCTTCGTGCTCGTTTTTCTTGCTCGCCCCGCGCCCTCCCCCCTCCTCTCTCTTCCTCCCCTTCTCCTCTTCCTCCTTCCGCTTCCCTCGCGCCGCAGTCTCGACGTTGTGCGTGGTCTTGTTGCCCGACGCTGGACTTGCACGCGCGTCGTGCGAGTCCTAGGCCGCGTGGCCGTGTTGCGTGTCGCCAGGGCCGCAGGGATCCTGATTGAGGTCGCCAGATCCGACAGAGGATGTGAGAGGGTCAAATGGAGAAGCGCGGAAGCTAGGGAGAAGGGCAGGAGGGGAAGGACTCGTCGATCTTGGGTCGCCAGAGGGGTTGTCGCGTGCTGCTAGCTAAACAGTTGCTGGTGACTCAAGCTCGCGTGTCCTTTGGAATGTGACGCGAGCGTATTGCTCTGCGGTTGGGCGGTTGTGGTGGCTGCCCGAGTCGTGGTCATGGTCGAGCCGGTGGTGGCAGCTGGTGGCGGTCGAGAGAAGCGTGTTGGGCGCTAGCGCCGGGACTGCTCAGCGGCGCACGCTCGTGCGTGCAACACTGCCGGGCACGGTGTCGGGTGCAGTCTGCGCGTCGTGGACGGCACTGTCCTACGGTGAGCTTGCAAATGGTCACGAGAGGAAAAGTGGTCGCTGTGCTTGAAGGCACGGAACCAGCCCCGGCGGCCCCGGGCCGGTCGCCGAAAGTTATATATATATATGAAAGTGTCGACCCCATGTTTGAAATATATATATTGAGTCGTGTTGTATATATGTTGAGTGTCGTTTGATTGATATAGTACTCGCTTTGTTATAGATACTAGTGCTCGATGTTTGATATATCTTGTTGACTTTGATATATATAGTGTTTATTTTTTCAGCAAACGGTACGCCATACTCCACCCAGACCAGAAAGCTGGAAATCGATGTCATTTCGCGCCAACTATTTAGAGAGCGTGAGCACTCACAAATCTTGCGGCGATGAGCCATTCCATGTTACCAGAGAACCCACATGCTGCTGTGCCCACAGCCGCGAAGTAGACGGCCATTTGGTTGGCGTCTCTACGACCCATTACATTGCATAGACGTCCGTACAATGGCGTGAATGTACAGGTCGCGAGAAGATACCTGATAACCATTCCCCGTCAATTGAAAGTGAGTCGGAATTGTCGTGAAGACGTACGAGGTGCCAAGCCAATGTGCTTGATGCGACTTATTGAACTCGGAAGAGATGGAGGGGAGCACTCAAGCCAAATTTTAGATACCTCATTACAGGGCCATACTCGAGCAATTTACTCACAGGTAGCAACAAGGGTGGCTGTAGGTCATCAGCAATGGATAGATGATTCCTCGAGGGCGAAATACGTACTATTCAAAGACTATACAGACATGCAGCGGTAGCTCATGCTAAGTAAACATGTCCTTGGCAGGGCACGGGGAAGTGTACACACGGAAAGAAAGGTCGCTGTCCATATACCAGCTAATATGCCATACCGCGTTGGGCGTGAAATCTCCAGAGGTCCTTCTCGTTTATTATCCTTTGTATGTGGTGGTGGCAGGACTGCCCCCATTGCCGCACCGGGCTGACCAGCTACCGACTCGATGAGGGGTTCCCTCTCCCCAGCGGATTCGGACATGACGGTATGCTTGTAAGTTATTCTGCTGCACTCCTAGGTCGTAGGTCGTGTACAGAGCCGAGAACGTTGTGCTTTTCGTAGATTTGCGCAATGCAGGGATAGAGGTATAATCAGATGAAAGTCATGAAACAGGGTGAAACTAGGACTGGACCTGAAACCGAGCACAGAGTAAAAGTGTATATATAGTGGTCGCGTCCGCCGATGGAGCCGGGGAGCGCTAAGCATAAAGAATGGCGTGCCAAATGTGGCTTCAGCCCATCACCGAATCTGAAGTAGAAGTAAGTAGGGTAAGTTACTTAGTGATGAATAGTTACACATAAGGTATATGTATATATACAATCCTCGACTCAGGAAAAGGTCTAGAAGATCCCTTGCGCGGAAATGGCACGAGCGATGCCATCCATCAGACCAGTGAGAGCTTGAAGAAAGATGATGTGATGATAGAGTAGGGAAGAAGGGGCACAACAGGGAATTCAGAGTCATGAGTAGAAGTAAATGGAGCACAACAAAGGTAACAAGAACTCGATTACCGGAGTCCTATAGCCTCACCGCCGATACGTCGTCCTAACGGGGCGAGATATTTGTCGACTTCGCAGCTCATAGGTCTCAGCAGCTTGTGCAGCGCGGGTCCCAGACGGGGGCGTGTATGGCGTCTTCTTCAACTGCTCCTGCCTACGCACCTTCTCTTCCCTCGCTCGCGTCCCAGGCACAGGGATTGGATCCGTCTCCGAGCCTAAGGAGATAGTGCGGCCCAACGCACCCGGTGGGACGGGAGTCGCAGGAAGTGGTCTGTTCATTGGTCTGATGGATGGTCGCGCAGACGAGCGTTGCGCGTGAGGTAGGTCTGACGTACGGTGTGCGGGCTTCGAGGCTTCTTCATAAAGGTCTGCGTCACGCATCGGAAGCTGCATTCCGTGGTCGCGGTTCGAGGCTGACGTGTTCGGACCAAATAGCCCGGAGCCGCCTAGGAGTGTCCGTTGTGCGCGCTCGTCGTCACTCTCGAGTCCTTCCTCGACCGCCTCGAACGTGTGCCTAGCGCTTGCGTTGGCCACACTCGTCGTGTAGGTACTCAGCGCGAGTAAGTCTTCAACATGTCTGTCGTCGTCGTCGCCCTCTTGAGTTTCAACAATTGTGCGCAATTGCCCTCCGTCGCCGTGGTCCACCGTCTTCCGGGAAGAACCTTGCACGTCCCCTTCGTACGACAAATCTCGTTCATCCTGTCGCTCACCAGATGAGCCCGCCGCTGCAGCGTCATCCCTAGCGACAGTTCTTGGATCCGCTGGCTTCTTGGCTTGTGTGCTGCGAGGAACCTCTGCGCTAGAAAAGACGCCAGACACCGAAGCCCTAGACACGGCGCCGATCCTCTTGCGCTTGCCAGCGCGCTCAGCACCAGCTAGCGCAACCGCGGCAGCCACCCAGGGAGCTGGAGCAGGTATGCGTCGCTTAGGTGCCTCTTGAGGCCATAGTTCCTCCTCCACGTCTAATCGCTTGGCAAGGGGCCGTTGCTGCGTACGCGATGGACCAGGAGCTGCAGCCTCTTCGTCCGCCATCTCTTCCTCTTCTCGGGCCACCTGCGTCGGACCACCCCAGGTACTTGGCGGAGCAGGAAGCTGGCGTGCTTGAGAGGCAGCGCCGACCAGAGTGGCTTGAGAACTCATCGGCACCTGCGAGGGCCCGGGTTTGGCCGGTCGTGAGGCAGCCCCACGCTGAGCAGTCTGAGAGATTGGTTTGGTAGGCACGCGGGTCTTCTGCGCGAGATGCGTGTTTGGTCGCCGGCTGGGTGAAAGGGGCCGCGAAGAGCGTTGGGCGCCGGAGGGTCCTGCATCTTCGGGTCCCGGTCGAGCGTCGCCGCCGAACAGACGGTCCGGGCTACGGAAGAGTGGGTCAATCATCTCACCGATAAAATCAAGATGGAATCGTACTCTACGTTGAATGGCTCGATCCGCATGTCGTCCTCTTCAGCACTGGACACTTCGAACGGGATGTCCTCTCGCGAGGTGGCGAGCAATGAACGCCGCGTTGACCGAGGCCCGTAAGGGGACGGCCGAGGCTGCTGCGAAGCTCGCGCCTGCTCGACAGACGACAGTCGTCGCTGGGCTACGTCCGTATGTCTTGCCCTCTTGCGAGGAGGCGGAGAAACGCTCTCGCTCTGCCGCCTCTGAATAGCAGGCTCAGACTGGCGTTGGCGAGGAGGCCGTACGTTCTGTCCGCTCCCTCTCGGCTGGTTCTGAGCCTGTTCTTGCACCGCATTGACGTCGCCTTCTCCTTCGACTCGGTCTCCCTCGTCCGACCCAGAGCCAGGGTCATCAACCTGGGGACCCCCCGATTTGTAGTACCGACTGCGCTCATACAGACCCTTACCATCTCGGCGGGGCGGATTGTCTGCGACTAGCCTGTCAATGACGGGGTCGAACTTATCCTTGCGCTTGTTGTAACGCTCTCGCCAGGACCACATCGTGTGACGAGTTGCCCATTCTCTGTGTCTGAACTGTGCGTTGCCGGTCAGCGACCGCAGAGTCGGCACAAATGGAGCACGCACCTCCTTGGCAGATTCCACGAGCCGTCTGTAGATCTCTTTTCCTCCACGTCCGCCTTCGGCCGCGTCCGGTACAACGAAGGCGAGGTATTCAGCCAAGTGCCGATCATCTTCAGCAGTGAAGGCAACACGGCTGCAACAATTTAGTGGAGATCGACCCTTGTACTAAGAAGAACAGCACCTGGCACCTGTGGGCTGTCCGCCCATGCCCTTTCGTATGGGTGTGTGTAGGTTCTCCACGTATTTCTTCGAGTTGATGCAAATTTCGACAAACGCCACCTCTTCGACCCAGACGGTGCGCGAGTCCCAATATATTCGTCGAAGGTGGTCGACCCCCACGTACTGGACAATGATTGTATCGGCTTCCTCCTCTTCGTCCGCGAGTTCCCCGCCATGAGCCTACGGTCCTACATCGGAATGATGATGAGTGGCAAACAAATGGTGATAGCGCACCAGAATTTTATTTGCCAACGCCTCGGCCTGACCCTCCGTGAGGGCGCCAAAACCTACTTTATACAAGTAGAATCGCGCGGGTCTTCCGTCGATCCGAAAGAGTGCCTCATCTGCTACATGCTGGATCCCAGATCAGAACCAAGCTGTTGCGCACGCAACTCGACTTCGACTCACCGGACGCGCTGAATTGGGCCTTTGCCTGCGGGCCTGCGCGGGAGCAGGAGGGTCGGAGTGTTCGGGTTCACTGCCTTCGTCGTCCACATCTGGCGACCTGTGCACTGAACGCGCCATGACGAGGAGTCTTATGCAGCCAGCGCCACCGTAACAAGGGCGGAAGTGGGCGCAGGCGGCGGAACGCGAGTCGACGCGTTGGTAGACAACGCCCATGTGATCGGGTCGCTGGACCAACTCAGATCAGCTGAATCGAATCGCGCCCGGGTGGACCGAATCCCGACGCAGAGATGTTTCCTCAGCCCATCAAGACCATCACAGCGACGACCAAGCAAAACATGAGATCCGTGGAGATAGCATCCCGAGCGCAAGAGAAAAACATCAAATATTGTGCCTTTCTTTATCGTGGGCCTGTAAATTTCCCGTTCATGCCCCCAGATTGCGAGGCCCAGCATGACTGCCTACACGGAGACCTGGGTTGCTGGCCCCCATTCCACTAACTTCTATACGCGCACTTACGAAGCGACATCTCCTATTTATGTGCTCGTAGCCGTCCACGGAGCTGCGGAACATTCTGGTCGATATACGCGTGCCCACTCGTCTTTCGCCGAGCGAGGCATCACTGTCTTCTCATATGACCAGCGCGGGTACGGGCGTACGGCACTAGACGCAGAGCACAAGAGTGGGAACAGCACATATGGTAAGACGTGCTGGGCCAACCAGTTAGAGGACTTGGACTGGGCGGTGCAGTATGTGCACCAACGTTATACGAAATTGCCTATTTTCCTAGTGGGCTCGTCCATGGTGCGTTCAGAAGTTGCTACACACTGAGTATTGCGCACTGCAGATTGACAGAGGTGTCCAGGCAGGAACTTTGTGCCTTAGCTTTGTGACGCGACCGGGGCCGCCACAGAGACGGGCGTCCATCGCTCTACTGTCGGGGATCATCGCTTCTGCGCCCACATTTCTATTGACCGAACGCCCGTCATGGCCCGTCTATTTGACGGTGAAGGCTCTCCGCTTGTTGGTTCCCAATATGTTGTTGCCCATGAAGCACGATCCCGAGGTAAGTCACAGTGGAACGCGCTTCCCATGTGCCTTCTTGTTGGGCTGGATATTGAACTCAAATGCTTTCAGAAACTCTCGAGTAATGAAGAGACCAACAAGGCTTACCTGGAAGACCCTCTTGTCGGAGCCCCTGGTAGTATGCTCTCAGTCTATGATCTTGTCAACGAAGTCAGTGAAATCTGTCCGAACCCGAAGCTGATCATGCCACTCACATTTCTCACTCCAGGGTGAACAGCTACTGAGGATATATTACAAAGATTTTCCCAGTCAACTTCCGGTAAGCGACACTATACATCTCACGCGACGCAAATCACGAATATCCTATATAGCTGCTCGTTCTGCAAGGAACGGCTGATCAGGTATGAAATGCTGAGGCTTAGGTGGGCAGTACTGGTGCTCATATTCGCGGTAGTTATCAGACCCTGCGGCGACACAGTCATTCTTCGAGAAGCTAGCGGCTGAGCAAAAGAAGCTTGTTGTATATCCTGTGCGTTCTCAAACTCGACACTCGGTCGCACTGGCGTCTGAATGGCTTGACTTCTTCTCGTGTAGGGCGCACGACACGAGTTGCACAACGAACCTGTGCAGGATCAATTGCTAGAAGAATGTGTCGACTTCATCAGACGCACTACTAACGAACCTCGCGGCGTACTCGGCGATGCGTAGTCTCCCTTAGGCGCGCCCTTGTTACGGCCTTGCAGTTATAGTGTGAAGAGCCGGAAGCCTGCTGAGGGCGGTTGGCAGTGTGGCCTAGCAGTGCCAGCGACCACACCCCAACCCCGCGAGTCTTCCGGCGCTACATGACAGTGGACTTTGCTTTGTGTTGTTTTCTTGCTACCGTACTCCGTCAGTTTGAACCGTTGTTACAGTCTTCTCTTTGCGAGTATACATGTCGTGTGTGGGCGGCCGCGGCGAATTACACTGAAAGCCATCGCCGGATATTTGCATGAATTTGTGCAGATCCGAGTCAGAGGAGGCACTATAGTAATCGGGTAATTTGATTGAAATCTGAAAGCCGTTTGAATGTTGACGCATTGGCGAATTGCAGACACCCACCGCGACTCGGATGCCCACAGTACACAGTCAAGCTCGGCCATCACATTTCGAGTCAACATGTACTGTTCTGAGCTGTACATCTGCGCAATGGGACGAAACATATAATGACACTGCCCTCGATCCCAACGTTCTTGCAAACGATGTGCTGGTCATGATAGGTCCAAATGGGTGCTATCACCAGGACCTCGTCGCTGCTAGTGACTATGATTATCGTCTCGACAAACTTCTGATCGGAATGCTGGAGTATTCTCCCACTGCTGCCGGAAAACATTATGTTGTTATTGCCCTTCACATTGCCCGTGGCAATGGCGCAGAAGCCGTTGTCTGCCTAGCGAAAGCGTGGATGCAGTCGCTTTTTCTTCGAAGTGAGTCATGGCTTGGTCATGGCGTTGCCTCGGCTCTGCTTGACATCGTTGACTACATAATTCTCAACGCTTTAGTGATGGCCCTCGCTATTGAGGGCACTCGGGTCAAGGCCAGCGGTAGCCAAACACCGACGGGCCCGTACCAGATGCAGATCGAGTCCAATACTCGATCCGACCAGGAAGCTTTGAGAGAAAATGTCTGCAGCTGCGCTTCGACCATCCATCTTACCCGGTGCTGACTTTCTACTTAGCTCCGACACCGTGAACAATACCGTTGTGCGATCACACGTGCCTTCGACGCCGCGCGGACTTTAGAGCTTATGCGCAACCACGACATACACCCCCACCTCCATATCAGGATATGGCTGCGGTGCACATCATCCCATTTGCGCTTAATGACTTTCGCGATGACAACAGCCATGAAATGTGCGTGTCATCGTGAATCTTTGTGTCCTCTTCCGCCGTCTGCTAAACTGCAAATCATCAGTACGGAGCTGCGAAGACTTGGGATATGCTACGAGCTTGGACATCCATCGACATAGATAGGCTAGCAGGATCAAAGATCAACACGCCTGCAAACGGTGTTTACATGTCGACTTTCGAACATTACCTCTTTAGCAGGTTCCGATTCTATCTCGATAAAGACGCTGTCAGTCCTCCTCACCTCAACAATGTACGGACACTGACTGAGATCCTTGACACACAAGTTCCCAGATGTGCCGAACAAGTATGCAGCGCGAATCCTCGCTCAAGGCTATGTGTTCAATAATGGCCAAGACTCCGCCGACGTCGAGTTTCGGGCACTGCCCGGGATTGAAGCCCCGGATCCTGAGTTCCTCCGAGTTCATGGCGCGTTCGCCCAGGTACTCCACCTCTGTGGTGCTGCCGACTTTATGGATCGATATTACCGATTTGACGACGATGGCGGTAACTTGCCTGAGCATCCAACAGAAGATATTGGTGCACGGCTCAATGCGAGGCTGGCCGGACTTGCGTCGTAGAGGTCCACGGTGCACTCTCCGTTTTTGACATTGTTCTGGAGTAGTCTACAGGGCGAACTGAATCTAATGTAACTTACTATTATCATATTAGTACACAACAGCCCGCTGCGTCTCCGAGTCAGCCGCTGGCTCGTCCTCGGCAGTAGTGGGGCCAACCCTCTGAGCGTATTTTTCATATGAATCATGTGTCGTCGGGCTAGCTGTTCTCACAAACAGCATACACTGTACATACTAGCAGCGACGTGTGTTGTCAATGCAAGAGTACATTGATTCCGCAAGGAGTCTATCCAGTGGTCCCGGGTGGAATGCAGCTTGGCACCTCTCGATGATGGCCGGACTACGGATGCATCGCATTTATTTCTGTATTCTTGACTTCTATTGAGACGAGCAAATGCATCCGCGAAGCTTCTGTGCAAACAGAAGACAGCCGATGGCCATTGTTTGGTGACCTCCGCCATTGTTATCGTACAGCGACGCGACCATGTGACCGCGTCCTAATGAGCAATAGAACTGGTTCGTCTATCGGGACCGAGCCAGATTATTGTGCGCGTGACGCCCACGCGGTGATGCGAGGATGGAGGTGGCTCACTTCTCAAGTTGTTGTTCTCGGACACCGTCCACCACCCACCTGCCGACGTCGGCCGCGATGAGCAGGCGACAATCTCGTATATCAATCGACACAAGACAGAATGACACCCTCCTCGAGTTCGAGAACTGTGCGTCTCCCTTAGATTCGTTCCAACCGCGGTACTGACCGCAAGGTTCAACTTCGCCCGCGACAGTCAAGAAGAAGTTTCTGCTTGCCAACAAGCACATCACTAAGTGAGGACTACGGGACTGTGTTTCGATGACACACGCTGAACGGTCTGCTCTATCCAGATTGAACTCAACACTGAGCGTCCGCATTGAGGAACTCAACGCCCAGATATCCACGCTTTACGTCGAGAACCTCCGGCTCCGCGCATCCGAGATTGCGCTGGCCTCGCAACTCAAGAAAGAGCGGGAGAAATCCAGAAAGATAATCACCGACACTGAGGCTGCAGTGAGTCGCACATTCTGTTGCGTTGACCTTACCCTTTCCCTGTGCACCGACATTGCTCCGCCAGACACATAGCTTCATCAAACACCTCTCCCACATCCGCAAGACCTTCCACGTCCCGCACGGGAGACCATCCGACTCTGAAGACTCGCAACCACCGCCACCCCGAGCCAAACGACCTGTCATCAACCCTGATGCATCGCCCGCGCCGAACCGCCTCGCTAAGGCACCGACTGTCCCTGGTATAGTCGAAGACGACGAGACCAACGTGTCCTCACCAGAAGACCCTGACGCAGACGTTGAGGAGGAGGACCCTCCGCCGGTGAAGCGGAAGAAGGCCAAGTCGCGGCCATCTGATTCTCGACTACCCTTGCCCACTCAGGCCATACCTCCACTACCAGACGCGGACGTGCGACAGATCGAATTTGAGGAACAGCTCAACAAGGTTGGCAAACGGAAGCCGACGAGGAGACAGAGTGGGCTCTCACAAGCGTGTCGATCACTACCGTCACGCCGAGTGGCTTCAGCACCGAACTCATGCCGCCGCGACCGCCGAGTCCCGCCTTTGGGTCGCCGATCAGGAGAGCAGTAGGACTCGCGGAGGAGGCGGACGAGCGACGGGCTGTGAATGGCGACGAGGATGATGATGATGATGAAGTGGAGGTGATACTGCAGGGCGTGACCAAACGCGATAAAGAAAAGGAGCGGAAGAGGGAGCGGACGGTAGAGAAGGATCGAGACAAAGAGAGACATTCTTCGAGCAACAGTGAGCGGACAAAGGAGCGAGAGCGTAAGCGGACGCGCGATGCCGATGACCCTGCGCCGGTGGCGGGGGCAGCAAGTCGAGGCTCAAGGATGTCACCAACTCACACCCAACTACCCTACGCTTCTGGAAATCGATGATGGTACGCATCTCTTTACATTGTTCGATGGATCCTTCGTCTGTTCCACTCTCATGTTCATTTTACTTATCTGCGGTGATCTGCATAGATCGGGAGCGCCAACCTACACCGGACGATGATGTACCGTTGGCCAGCACGTCGAGTCAAACGAACTCTGCCACTCGCGCACGCGATGGTGTGGCTACCCCCGCACCGAAGCCTCGTTCGCACCCCGCCCCTGTCCTTCCTGCCTCTCGAGCTTCCAGCCCTCAACCACCTCCTGCTCCCCCAGAAGCAGAAGCCCCCGGTGGCCGTGAAAAGCGTGTGAGGAAGAGCGTGAACTACGCAGAGCCCAAACTCAACACGTGAGTTCAAACTTAGGCAGGGTGGACTGAATGTCGAAGCTGACCACATGCGAACCACAGGAAAATGAGGAAGCCGGACCCACAGCCTCTGACCAGCACTAAGCGCATGTCTACTTCCTCTATGGAGGGTATCCGATCACGGGCTTCCTCGGCGGAAGCACCATCGGAAGCACCGTCTGCAATCGGCGACGAACTACCCTCTGGCACGGCGCAAGTTCCCGTAGTGTCCGGCGCTACTGTCAAGAGAAAGAAGTCCCGAGTGTACGTGCTTCCAGACGACGGCGAAGAGAGCGAGGGCACGCAGGCGGACGCCGAGTTCGGTAACCTCGCGAGCTGGGTGAATGTCGACGGCAGGCGACGCAGCATCCAGAGCGCCTCAAGTAGTCGGCGTGTCGAGGGCGACGATGCACGAAGACATAGCATGGCTGTTTAGCCTTGACGGGTGGGGTCTCCTCCACCCTCAACCAACCACCCCACCTCGCCGCACCTCCTTGCCTCCTCGTGCAGCCGGCGTTTTCACGCTGGCGTTGACGACCCACTATGATCTATGATTACGACTATGACACGGGCTTATGGACTCATCGTTATTTTATGCGTGCGGGACTACAGCGTTGGGTATACGTCTCCCCATCAGACTCCTCTCGTCCTCACTGCTCCTGGTGCATATACTATGGTTGATTACTACTTCATCTCTTCCCTATTCACGTCATGAATCCCGACGAATTCCAGTCCAAATCAGCAAGTAGACTATTGTATCACCTGTATATCGCCGTCATCGTTTAGTCCCGCTGTGTGGTTTGTTGTCTGTTACAGCATCAATCTCAATTGAATCCTCGCACCTGCCACACTGTGCGTGCCGTCTTAATAAGATGTCGTATTGGTTGTAAACGACGACGGAATTCTCCACCGAGTAGTGCTCAGTCTGCAAAGTTGACCCGTTCCGTGGTCGTGCTGAGGGTTCTGCAGGTTGCCGCCATGAATTCGGCTGTCCGTGTCAGCGGTTGGTGCATCTTGTTTCCTGCTTTCGCCCGCTTGCGTGCATTCGCCTTCTCTCGTTTGCCTTCGCAGCTTCTGAGGCAAGAGCTGCCTTGACTTGTTTCTGTAGACCGTTAAATCTCCTCTGCCAAATGCTGAGACGGAGACTTACTAGTTTGTCCTTCGACTTGGACTTTTTGTGTGAAGCAGGGGCAGGGGCAGTCTTGGAGTCTCACTCGATTTCAGTCCCGCGTTTCAATGCGGCCATGCTTTGGGATTTACTCACCCCAGCCAGCTGTGTGTGCCGTTCGACTTTCTTCTTGGAGATGTCTTCCTGCGTAGCGGCAACTGACTGGGCTAGCTTCAGAGCATCATCCTGTTGAGTAGGCACGATGTTATTGAGTTGGATCCAAGTTCTTCATGTAGAGTCTAGACAGACCATCCTAACTTACCTTAGAGTCGATGAATTGCTTCGGCTGTTTATCCTTGCGCGCCATGTACGCGAGTTGTACACAAGAAGTAAGAAAGACTAGCTATGTCACATTTATTTTAGAGTCTTTCTGGTATCCTTCAGGTGTGCATGTGCAGAAGAGTGATGAACCAGTGTTGAGTGCTTGAGCGGTGAGTACAGCATGAATCTCGATCCAGGCCGAGGGAACGTACGTGTTCACACGCGTGTCTTATTTGGTGATCAACGCGTTGTGGGCGCGCCCAGTCGCAGTTCGTTCCTCTCGTCAACTCGCCGTGGTCTTGTTTTGCGTCTGGCTTTTCTTGACTGCCTTCGCTCAAACTCATAGATAATTGAATACACAGTACGCTGTCTTCTCAACACTGCCCGCCAATACTGGCAACGTCCACGAACGGCGACGACACATGACCTCCTCTTCCTCCTCCTCGAGCTCTTCCTCCACGGAAGATCGCGTGGACTTTGCTGAGCGCATATCCAAGGCGCGATTGGATTACTCAAACCTACCAGAGCAGTTATGCCCGTCCTCGCGTCCAGCATCGCCTCAAGTCAGTTCACGAGCAGAGGACCTCAAGCAAGCGATCATGGACGCGGTCACGATGGCCAACAGCAACCCCACCCACCCAAAGTGGAGTCATCTGACACATATGGTCAGGCTTCACTGCACGCGGAGAGGCTACGTCGGCGCAGGGGAAGGAGTCAGGATCGGGGATGTGCAGAAGGCGGATATCCCGTCGGTCGAATGGGTGCTACCAGAGACGGAGGAGGGTGGGACCGCTATGTGAAGCGGTGGGGTAGGAAGTTCAACTCCCGTGATCGTACATCGAAGTATTTCCAGCCTGGCGAGGAGGAGGACCTAGAGGATCCTGTCCGCACGCCTGCCAAGAAGGCTGATATCATCAGGGAGAAAGTCAAAACATGGCAGGCAAACGTTGTTTCCGTGGAAGATGATCAGCCACCAATTCAACAAGATGAACCGTCAATGTCGACAACCGCAGTGAACAAGGGCAAACTCAAGGATATGGCCAGCCAGGGCACTCTGTCACAAGGCTCCTCGGGTTTGCGGTAGTGAAGCGGCCCACAGTCACGACGAAGAAACCAGGCAAGGACAGTCGCAAGGCTGCCCTCGCTGCTGCAGACCCACCCGACGCTCGCCAATCTCCGCGGACGTGCGGATGTCTTCCTCGTTGCCACAGTCAGTAGCTTCAGCTCCTGTGGTTGAGTTGCAGCCATCTGCGCCGATCAGTTCTGAATCGAATGCCGTGATCACCGAAGTTTCTGAGATGGTGGGTACACCCATCACATACTGAACCAATATCGTCTCTGACAATGAATGAACTACAGTCATTTCTTCCACCATCCTTCCCGTCTCAGCTGAGGACGTCCACTCCCCCATTAGATAAGGCGAAGGCGAAACCTCCGCCAATCATGCCATCTTCCCCTCTCTCGCCGCCCCCTCCTACTCAACACATCACACTACCTGGTATTTCTGACCAGTCCTCACCCGTCCACAGGGCACAGAAGCGCGGTCGGAGTAACTCTCCACGACATAGCGATGCGATGGATATATCAGCTGAATTGCGCCAAAGTCCTCCTAACAAGAAGGCTCGCACGACTGCACCAGATAGTAGTTCAAGCGCGCCGATTCCACCTCCTTCGACCCCACCTCCGCCTGCATCTTCCGCGAGCAACGATGCAGTCTCGCCTGTCAGGAACTATGGATTAGGTAACGCTCAAGGGCTTCCTATAGAAACTCCCACAACGCCAGAGCGTCAAGCCCTTCCAACCCTCACGGACCTCCTCGCGTCGTCGCGCCGATCGAAAGCACGTCCGCGGCCCCCTCGCGGAAGACGAAGTCCGCCCATCACGCCGCGAAGGGACCACAAACTTCCCGCAGCAGACGCACTGGACGCAGACGCAGATGCAGGCACGGACCGGGAGGCCTCTCCCGCGCGGACGTACTTCTCCTCGCCCGCCTCAGGATCGTCCTCCTCCTCGCCGCGCTTCCGCCCCCGCTCGCCCGTCTCGCCCCTGTTCTCGCAGAACCCGGGCGCGTTCGCCCCCGCGTTCGTGTCTTCGCAGCCGGGCGGCTTCCTCGGCTACGGCAACTCGCAGATGCCCCTCCACGGCGGCGCGCCGGTCACGCGCGCGGGCAGCGGGGTGTTCGGGCTGGGGTACAACTCGCAGTTCGACGTGGAGGGCGGGGTCAGCAGGGCCGCGGAGCTGTTGGACCGCGATGTGGATTATGCGGATTGGCTGCGGGATATACCCGAGGTTGAAGACGAGGCTGCGGCGGTGAAGCAGAGCCAGGACGGAGTCGCGGTGTGAACTTACTTTGACGTGGGGATGGACGACGGCGTGCTGGACCATGTGCGCGTGCGTGCGCTACGCTGAGGTGTGGTCGTGCCTTCTGTGCGATGTGGTCTCTATGATTATGGATTATTTGCATTAGGATTCTGTTCTCGAGTGTACGGATGTTGAGTTGGGGTATCGCGAATGACATACGCGAGCGGGACTACTCCCACACGAATCGCTGTTATGATGGAACGTCTCGAAGCGAGTATGCATGGAGGAATCGCGTGTCCACAGTGGTACTCGCCAGGGTCTGTTACGACAGAAAGAGCAGATGACTTCTTTGCATCCTGATAGGCAGACGTTCTCGATTGAGTGCGTACGAGGGTTTTACGACACGCCGCTCTCGTCAACCCTTCTGATCACGACCCTAACCGCACGAAGCCCAAAGGGGGGACTTCTCTGCTTTTCTCGGTGACGTTTGACTTCGCATTGGTAACCAGGTCCACTACTTATGAACCTTTATGAACCAAGGAACGGGCAGTGCCAAAGCTTGCAACGCCGATCCCTCAGGGAGTGTCGCGCAGGCAAGATGTCCGAGCTCGCGTCAAGTCGTGTTTGGTTCAGTGAGTGTTTGGGTCCAGTTCATGATGCATGACACCGCTCATCATGGATTCACTCAGTCACCGGGACGTCGAAAGGCTTGGGGCGCGCCCTGCTCGAGGAGGTCCTCAGCCGTGGCGAGCGAGCCGTCGCAACCCTGCGCGAACCAGACGTGCTGGAGCCGCTCGCCGAGCGGTACCCCTCGTCCCAGTTACTCGTCTTCCGCCTGGATGTCTCGAGCTATGCAGAGATCGAAGACGCATTTCGAGCGACGGAGGTTCACTTTGGTCGGCTCGACGTAGTGGTGAATAACGCTGGATACGCGGTTGAAGGCGAGATCGAAGCTACTCCTGAGAACGCTGCTCGAGCGCAGATGGAGGTCTGCTTTTGGGGCCCAGCGAACATTACAAAAGAGGCCAGTCAAATACCTCAAGTGGTGATGACGGTGAACTGACCCTTTCCTATGGTGCGGGACACTAAGTCACCGCTACTTTGAGACAAAGTTTCGGTAGGCGCCAGATTTCGCCCGAATCCTTATCCCTCTTGTAGAATTGCTCCAATTAGCATTAGGAACAATCCTACTAGACGGATTTTCCCAACACTCAAAATTGACGAAGTTGGGTGATGGGAATTTGGCCAGGTCACGTGTAGCCACCCAACATGGCAAGTCTCACCTCAGTAGCGCCCACAACCCGGTCACAAAGGGTTACCAGCGCTGGGCCTGGGCCTCTAGGCGCCCACCTTCCGCGGGTGACCACCGTCTCCATAAGAGATTCAGATGCCCGATCTGCTTACAAATGGGCGTTTAGATGCCCAAATGCGGTAGCCAGGCCTAGGCTGGGGTTACCTGGGCGCTGCCCGACCAATTTGGCCACTGTCCCAAGGTAGCGGTGACTTAGTGTCCCGCACCATAGTCGATCCGGTTCTTCAGGGATGTGAATCCCCTTGGGCAAGGCGGCCGTGTTCTGAACATATCCTCGATTTGTGGGTATTCGGGCAATCCCACATTTTCATACTACTGTGCAGCAAAATTTGGTAAGCCCTCGGATAGTAGATACTACGATTGCTGACAACAACGTTGTCACAGCCTTGGAAGCCTTTACAGAGTCGTTCATCAAGGAGATGCTCCCTGAATGGAACATCAAAGGCGTCATCGTCGAGCCGGGAGGCTTCCGTACCGACTGGAACGCGGGATCGCTCGTCCGGTTCCCTGCCCCTCCACAGTACGACACCCCCGAGTCACCAACCGTGCGGTTCAGGAAGATGACCGCACAGACGTACATCGGAGACCCGGCGAAGGCAGCCAAGGCGCTTGTGCAGATAGCGGACATGGACGAGCTGCCGCTGCGGATCCAGCTGGGCACGGAGAGTCTGCTCGTGGTCAGGAACAAGGCGGTGAGAACTATACAGGACGGCGAGAGGTATGCTGAGCTGGCGCATTCGACGAACGTGGACGGGGTCGACAAGGATGCTGTCCTGGAGATGTTCAAGGAAATCAATGCTTGACACGAATACTATCACCGATCCTTCCTCCTCCTGACATAGCTTGAGTACTTATAAAAGCAGTCGGTGAACTGTTGGATTCAGTAGGGCGGGAGGAATACGCGCTCCGCCTACGCGGTTGTGGCGATTCACGTGATGTGTCGCGTTGTGCTCATGACGCATTCGGTGATGCTGCCTGCGCGGGCTACGTCGAGGTGGGCGGTACGCAGCGTCATGCATGTGTTCACTGCCGTTGCCGCGCTCACATGGATCCACAGTCCACAACGTAGCGCGAAATCGCGAGCGTCCTATTGGATGCGGCCTCCGCCCCGACGTGTGCTAAGTTACGATCCACGTACTGCAGCAGCGATCAATCGCGCGGCGTAGCCACCAGGGCATGCGTGGCAGCGCATGCGCGTATATAATATGCCCTCCCGTCCCATCTGTGTGCCAGCTCGCTCACACCTCCGTGTTGTCCCCCTTCGCTACCACAGCCGCATCCTCGTTCACCATGGCCAGCGCACAACTTCTCGACATCACTCGGGAGATCAAGCTCGACCACGACAACGTGCGCGAGCTCTTTGACAGATATAAGACCGCCACAGATCCCAAGACGAAGAAGGCCGTCGCCAACACGCTCATCCGCGAGATGGCCGTCCATTCCGACGCCGAGTACGTCCTCCGCTGCATTCGGTTGGACGACAGCCGTTGATATTGACTCATCGCGTCGTACCAAAAAGAGAGGTCACCGTCTACAACGACTACGCAGCCGTCGGCCTCGGCGACGTCGCGACCCACAACAAGGAGGATCACGCGGAGGTGAAGAAGCTCGTCTACGCCGCCGACTCGCACGGCTTCGGAAAGCCCGACTACGACGACGTCCTCGCGAAGGCAGTCACCGCCTTCGACACCCACGCCCGCGAGGAGGAGACCGACCAGCTGCCAACGCTCCGCCAGAAGCTCTCCCCCGAGGACAACGACGTATGTTTGAATGCGTGCGTTTCGCGGCTCGTGCCGTTGGCTGATCCCGGATCATGTCGCAGCGAATCGTGCGTGCGTTCCTCAAGGCACGCGCGGCGGTCCCCTCGCGCCCGCACCCATGGGCACCGCAGACCGGCGGCATCGCGCAGAAGGCAGTAGGCGCGCAGGGAAAGCTGCACGACAAGGTCGTCGAGACCCTCACCGATCGCGACTTCGTCGACGTCAAGTACACGCATCCCGAGGTCTGAACGGACCACATCGGACAGCGCCCAACCGAGCGTCATATTTTCTATAGCAGTATTTGTACCAGTAGTCTGTGGCAGTTGTACAACAGCACGCACGTTATGAATCACGACCCGGCGGAACAAACACGGAACCGTCGCATGCCTCAAGATCCCTGCAGCTGAGTGCATCGTCGATATCAGTACATGCTGCGCAGTGCATGCGACCCTCGTCTGGGCGAAACATTCCTTCACGGGCACCAACGCTGTCACTTTCTAGGCGCGATTGTCGCACATGGCGAGTGTCATGGACGTCGATCACGTAGGGAGAGAAGGCACAACCGTCACAAGCCCGTAAACTCTAGAGGCACACAATTCGAGTATATAATATAGCTCTGGTCGCCGAAAGTTTCAGCGGCGCCGATGAGCATCTATTTAGACAACCGAGCGAGCACGTACACAGGAAGCTACAATATACGACATAATGACAACAACACGGACGAATAATACAGTATGCAAGTGAGCAAAGCAACAGATAACAATAAGGTAGCGGAAGATAGCAAGTGCGACTGATGCGGGTATCACGGAAGGGAACTGTCCGGAGCATGCAGATGTGGTATATGTCCGTGTAAATGCGAGGGTATCATTTGCGATGCGAGGAAATGAGAGGGTTCAGTCCGGGATGCGCGAGATTGAGAATGTATGCGAGGGAATTGAAGTGGGGGAAACGCGACGGAAGGTTGAGATTGAGAGATTGCTAGGACGCAGCAACGTCTGATAGCAGGCGTCTCCGCAGCGAAGATGCCAGGAGGGCGGGAGTCGTGGCTCACCGCCTGACTCGGAGATGGAACGACGACCAGGCCAGCGCAATTGGATCGGCGACGCGCATCTCGGTTTGCTCCACGCAGTAAGACGAGGCGTGTGGATCCTCTTGTGAGCGGCCTGCGCCACTCACGCCACCCATCTGGAGCCCATGTGCGATGGACAGCCGTGCGGTGAGGCTGGTCGATAGCTCTTTGTATTCCGGGAGGAACCAGGCTGGCGGAGAAGTCAAAGTAAGCGTCTGGATGGCTAATAGCAGACGGCAATCATACTCACCCTCATATTGGGCGTAGTTTGGGTCCCCGAAGAGTTTGTCCCATTCGATTCCAGCGAAAAATTCATGATCTATGATTTCGTCGGTGCTTGGACGGTTAGCAGGATCCGGTTGGGTCATCTGCAGTGGGCCGGTCAGCCGTTGGCGAACCCAGGAGCGTCGGAGAACGCTCGTGTTCAAGAAGACTCACCCATAGAACGAGTTCCAGTGCAGGGTGATCTTCGCCGATCAGCTCGACTACGCTTTCGCGCACGCCTTCCCGGGCCCCCTTTGTTCGGTAGTAGACGATGTGTTTTTCTGGGAAACTGCCGTGTTGGGTCCACGGTTCGTCCAGTCCGGCGAGGAGCTCTACCCAGACGCAGCCGAGCGCCCAGATGTCGACCTTGTAGTTGTATGGTAGGGCACGGCGCTGTTCGGGCGCGAAGTACTCCTCCGTGCCGCATTCTCGCGAGGACATGACGTTCTCAAAGGAGACCTTGCCGGGGACGTCGGCGCGCATCACCAGACCGAAGTCGGCGAGGGTGCACCGGCCGTATTTGTCAAGGAGGAGGTTGTCTGGTTTGATGTCCCGATGCACCACCCCGGCGCCGTGCAGGTGCCAGAGTGAGAAAATCTGGAAGAGAGCACGGCGACGGTCAGCAGCCTGGTTCGTCGCGCTCGAAGACCCGCGAGCACGCACCGACTGCGCCATGTAGAACCTATCTGCGTGATGCTTAACATGCTTCAACTCGAACTTCTTCTGACGATCAGCGCCGTCCAACGCGAGATCACATTGGAGCTCCATGTACTGCCGCAGTGAGCCGCGGTGCAAACCCTGGAAGGCAACGCGTGGCGTTCAGCAAGTGTCATCGATGGAGGGCGATTGCACATACCATGACAAAGTAGACGTTATTCTCGTCTTCCCAACTTTCCACCAGCCCCATCAGCCCCAGATTCAGTCCCCGACGACTCTGTTTCGTTACCCATGCCATGATGTCCATCTCGTCCATCAACATTTGGCGCGCACCCGGCCTCCGGTAGGCGCGTTTCGTGTGGGTAACTTTGATCGCGACGGGCTCCCCGGTGAGATCAGTGGCGTCCAGGACATAGGCGAACCCGCCATGTGCGATGACGCCATTGACCAGGTAACGACTTCCGGTGTGCGGGTTATGGAGAGCGATGATTCGCCGCGGTTTGGGCCTATCTGTGTCGACTGGCGGGACACTGAACTCTTCGTCGTAGTGGTTTGCCGCCGTCCATCCGTGTCGTCGGAGTCCCACTCTCCGTCGGCGTCAGAGAGTTCGCCATCGAAGGATTCGGTGTCGGAAAACTCCAATGACGAATTGCTTGATGTCGACGCGACGGATCCCGTGGACGAGGTAGCGCGAGTTGAGATTGAGGGCTTAGCGGACGTGTCGTCTTCGTCCGTGTCGGCGTGTTGAATGTAGCGGTGCGTAATGGCACGCTCCGCTGGCACGTCCTCGTGGAGGTCCTGTATGTGAGCCGTGGACTTGTTCAACTCCGGAATGTAGCCCTCGGCCTCGCGAGCCACATTACCAACATCGGAGGGGAAGGGTGCATTGAAGGGAAGGAGAGGTTCGAGGGTCTCGGCCTTGGGATGGCTGTGGCACTCGCCGTTCGTAGTCAGCGGGGTGAGGCATTCGATTGGCGGATCGAAGTCGGAGGACGAGGATGAATGGGGGGAGAGTTCAGGGAACGGAAAGGATACCTGCACGCCGACATCGACCTTGTTGTTCTGCTGGCAACCGAGTGTGGTGGGCGACGTCGAGGAGGACTGTGAAGCAAACCGACGCGACGAGTGAGCGGACGCCTCGGATTGTGGCCGTTCGTCGATGGTCAGGTCAAACGGCGCATGGATGTCGTTGAATGGTGGAACAGCATGGGACGTAGACGGTACCGCCCCTTTGTTATTGAGGGGATTTAGGATGAGGTGGTTATGGAATGGGTAGGTTAGAGGGGCACAAGCCACTCCAACGGACGCGACAATGGCCGTGCCCGAGGGGTGTGGCGTTCCTGTGGTAGGGGTAGTATTGAATGTAGACGCGTCGAAACGCGTCGGGGTGGCGTCGGAAGGTGTAGCGGGGGTGTGGCGCGATGCCTGGCGAGCGAAGGCAGCCTTCGCGGACTCCCTCAACGCGTCGAACGCGTTCGGAACCGTGGCGCGAGCAAGAGTCAGTGCCTTTATGGACCACGGAGCCGTGTCCTGGTACTTGAGGGCGAACATGCTTGCGTCGGGCCACGGGATTGGGGAGTGCAGGCAAGTTGCGGTGATGTTGAGAGGGAGGATGAGGGAGGATGAACGGGGCGAACACCGCTTTATGGTGTTCAGCTTGGGCCCTCGCCACCGTGATTCATCTCCGTTTTAGGTAGGCCTGTGGCTGCGTGGACCTCCGGGGCTTCTGAGTAGAATTTCAGCGCTCACGGCGAGGACAAAGCGTGAAGCTGGGGCCGTTTGTCCGTGATGGGCGAGATAAAGATAAGTACTTAGTGTAGCAAGGAGGGGAAAAATGGTTTATTATGCGCGTTGCGTCAGTGAGCGGTAGTTACCTTGTTTAGAGCATCCATTGTGTTTTCGTAGTATGGTCCAAGCATGCTCACTGAGCAGGAAGCAGACATGATTCTACGTTAGGTCGTAAAAAACCCTTACCGACTGTTCTGCGCAGGCCACGGTACCTGCGAGGCTATGAAGCCCGCGCTGCTGCAAGTGCCAGTGCTAAAGCCTAGAACACGAGTTCTGGCGTTGCGCTTCAGTTGCATCGGAGTCCAGATATGGCAGGTACGTTGATCCGAGATCCTTTCTTCAGATCGTGCGGCTGCCAGCGAGGCACTGTCACAGCAGTGCGACCAGTGCTAGATTGCCTAGTCTCTTAGTCTCTTTCACTGTGCCCAGCGAGTTCAACTCGAAAGGACGACTGCAACGCAGACAGTACATCGCTGGATACATCACCATGTTTGTGTATTACCATATGCTATGATTCGACACATATGTCTGATTAGACTCGGACGGCTTCCGACATGGGATTATGACTCACTGCGTATGTAGCAGAAGCAAGATGCCTCTGCAGCACTGCTACGCAGGCTTCGCAAGGATCGCAGGCGTTCTGCCGCCTGTGAGGAATCCTGTCGGCAACGGGCTACAGTCTCGCGAGTCGCAGAAAGCGCGTCGGGCGTCTGTGGAAGCGAGCGATCGCACAAGCGCCGTTTGTTGCTCACGTGATCCGGGGGTTCAACTACGCGCCCTCCCGCCGCCACCGACTCGTCGTGAGCGCATCACGAACTTACTGCCTGAGATTGCCCGCAGGTCTTTGCTGTTGCTGCAGCATTCTGCGGACCCGTTTATTTGCTGTGCTACTGAGTGTCTCGCGGGTCGCGCTCTCCTAGTCAACTCGTTTCGTCGCTTGACGGCGCACTTGGACCCAGTCATGGCTGGGCCGTCTTCCCCTGGCGCGTGCGTATTCTGACCTTACTATCTATCTCTCGGACTGAGGCAGCACTGCTTTGCAGGCGAGTTCCATTTACGGACCAAGATCGGGATTACATGATCAAATATCTTGCGAAGTATACGACGAATCCACAAGGCCGCAGTGGAAACGAGATCTGGAAGACTCTGAAGGATAATGTAAGCACCTGGCTCTTCTTGCTCGACGCGATAACTGGCTCAATGAAATCCTGATGCTACAGAAGAGGCACAAGTGGGACTGGGCCAACCGCCACACTTGGCAGTCATGGAGAAATCACTACGCTAAAGACCGGGAGTTCTTCGACCGCAAAGTACGCAAGTATCAACAGAAGAACCCTACGCTCCAGCCGCTCGCCTCTGATGCTGGTCCGTCATCATCACCGGGTGGAGGCGCGAAGCGTGTACGCGTCGCGTTCACGGCCTCCGATGACGAGCATCTCGCGGAGTACCTCGCGGAGCACAGTCTTACGACTCCGGGTCGCCTTGGTAACAAGCTGTACAAGACATTAGCTGGCGACGTGAGATGCCCATGCTTCGCTTCCTGCACCCACTAATACGTCCCCATGCAGGAGGAGGGCAAATGGCCTTGGGCCTCACGCCACACTTTCCAAAGCTGGCGCGAACGGTACAAGAACCGCCGCGAAACGTTCGACGAATACATCCAGCAACGTCAGCTTGATCGTCCTCCTCGCGCGGTTTTCGAAACACCTACAGGCTCCCGCCAACGACGCCGCAGGGTAAAGAGGGCGTCTTCTGAGCTAGATGAGCCGATCCCAGAAGAGCGCGAAGAGCCAGAGGAGGCTAACGCAAATGAGGCTAAGGTACGGGAGGCGCGGAAGGAGGAAGAGGAAGAGTCGCAGGAGACAGAGATGCAAGAGGCGGAGAGCGTGGCCGGAGAGGAACATGAGGTCGAAGAAGCGATTCGTAGACGAGAGAAGGACGCCTCGCTCAGGCTGAGTAGCACGCCATCCCAGCAAGGCAGCGAGACAGGACAGACCGGAACGAAGCGGAGACGGACTGGCGAATCGGACGATGGTGTTGCAGAGCTGAGCAAGATCAAGCGAAGACGCGTTGAAGACAACGGTGGCACTATAGCACAAAACGAACGCACAACAGAGGCCGATGCTGGCATTCCGACACGAGATGAACGACGGACAGAGATACCTCAGGCGAGAAGTCCGCAAAGAGTGAACGGGAAGCTTCCTGGAGTGCCTCCCCGCGAGGATGACTACACTGGAGACATATTCGATCCTCGCGACTCAAGCGACAACGAGACTGAGGACGAGGAAGACGACCAGCAGCAGGAGCACCCGCCAATCGCAATCAAGCAGGAGGAGGGGGAAGAGGATCAGGAAGATCAGCCCGCTCCTTCAGCTGTCGAGCCGGGGGACCAACGACAGATCGACGTCGACGTCGATGCAATAGCGAGCATAAAGCAAGAACCGTGAGTTCACAGCACCTGTACTTCGTTGTATTTCAAGGGTCTGATATCTGGTCAACTATAGAGTGGAATTCCTTTCACCTGGTGGCGCCCCTTCCCCGACCACGGTCAGTCGCGCTAAAGATTCGTCAGACCGGCTGTACCCCTCTCTACCACCCCCATCTCCGCGTATTACCGATGTCGAAGAATTGTCGCTTCCGGGCCAGTTCCCGACAACGTCCACGCCAGTCCACGTCAGAGGGGCTTCTGTAGTTTCTGAGGCTATCCCTTTGGCTCACGAATTGCTCGAGAAGAAGGCAGACTCCAATGAGGTGTCACAGAACCCCACGCCACCCGCAAGCTCTCCGCCAGGTAGGAAGTTTGCAGTGAGCGTGATTATCCATTCAATTGCTGACCGACAATCTCGCAGTCGAAGACATGGCTCCAGTGAAACATAAGTACGCTCACAAAGCTACCCGGCAACCCGTGATGTCTGATCCACCTGATCGTCCGCGTCCCGGTCCCTCCCCGATGTCAAGATCACCCCTCGTGCGCGTCCTCCTGCTCCCAAAGCTAAACACAGGTACTTGCGGAAGCCATCGGAAGAAATATTCGCCTCTGTCGCCAGTACTCCTGTTATACCTAGTTCTCGGGACGTCACACCTTCCCCGCAGCGTCAGGAGCGGCGGTTCAAACGCCCACGAGAGCCGCCACGTCTTGACGATGGCCCTTATAACCACGTCTTTACCGATGCCATGGGAAGGGTACAGCCTAGCGGCGCCAGACCGACCGGTGTAGCGGTCGATGAGGGTAGCGACCGGGGCGACCGGGACGAGGAAGTGAGAGTCTGGCCACCGCTGAGGGGACGGGACAAGGGAAAGAGGAAAGTACAACAAGAACAGACGAATGCCCGACCACCTATTGCTTCTGACGTGCAGGTGAAGACGGAATCGCAAGAACCCGTAGCCGCCCTGCGCCAGCTACCCGCGCAGTCTGCTAGAACGCACCATCCCTTCAGCCAGCCTACGCAAGATCTAGGAGCATCCCAGGACTCTCAAGCACAATATAGCCAATCGCAGCACCACGTCTTCAGCCAGCCGAGTCAGCGAGTCGTCTCTGCCGAGCGCAGCCAATCAGAGCCTCAGGAGACAGGCACAGAATTCATGCCGTCTTTCAGGTTCCCAAAGGCGCATCTAGACCGTCTAGAGCAAGAATTGACTAGGAATGGCCATCTGTTGCAGACGAGGACGGCTGGCGGCGAGGATCAACATGCGGGCGTCGTGACGAGCACGCCTGTCCGGCGAGACACGGCAAGACATTCTCATCGTAATACTTCGATGTCGGGCCCGTCCAGCGTTGTCCCTGCTCCGCCCGACGAGTTCTCAAGGAATCCGGATCTCGGCCGTAGCGTACACTTCGATCCCGCGCTACCCGACTCCAAAGGCAAGGCAAGGGATTACGGGCCTTCGACACCGTACATCAACGGTAGACGACATACACTCGGGGGCAGTTCCGCACCCCAGACACATTCCGAGGACGACCACGCCGCAGAAGAGCGTATCCGTGTCCGACAGTCCTTGCCTCTGTTGCCCTCTGCTCCCCGCGGTATTCGCTCTGCCGACGACTCTTTCGTTGGCACAGTTTCTACCTCATTCTCCTTCCGACGACCCCGCAGACGAGAGTCTCTCAGCTTCGTCCAGCAGCCAAAACCACGCTCCGCATCGGTCGAGCCGGAGCCTCCGATACAAATCAGTGAGGACGATGAGAGCGTCGTGGTGCACATCGGGGTGGAGACAGCCATACAAACGATGTCCGAAAACCATGGGTTCAACGCGGAGATTGTACGCAGGGCGTGGAGCCAGACCCAGAGCCTACGTAAGACCGACGCTGTGCTACGGCAGATGCGTGAGGCTGCTGAAAAGGCTGCTCTGCAGTTCATGGAAAACCTCCATGATGAAAGCAGTCTCCCCGCTGACCCTGGAGCTGTTGTGCGCGGACGACCTCTGGCATATGGTGGAAGCCCGCGTCGCTCTTCACATAATCGCGAAGCCTCGGTCCTACGTATCACCCCAGCGGAAGCAGACGAGGAGACCAGCTCAGAATACTCGCCTCCGAAACCGACTCGAGCGGGGCAGTACGTGCGTCTGGTCAAAGAGGGCAGACCGTACGAGGCCGTTACTCGGGAGATAAGCTATGCAACTGGCATCTCACCGTCACATACTCCTCAACGGAACGATATCGACAAGGACAGGCGTGGTACTACCAGTCCGGACGCTGCTCTGCAGGGATTCAATACTCCAGATGAGTACAGGCAACCCGATCCTCCTCCTAATATTTCGCGATGGAACGGGTTGGGCTTCGACCCTGCTAAGATTGCAATTGGAAAGAGACTCGGACAGATGTTGGCGAATATCAATGCGTAGTATCATTTTTTGTGTTCCGTCATGTTAATTCCTGTAGGTGCTCGAGCCTATTTCTGATCATTGCTATATGGTTGTATCATCATGGTCACTTCCGATAGACCTGGTTCAGTCAACCAATCTGTTTTGGCTCGCCTACAATGAGGTGATACAATCCTAGAGACGCGCAGTGGCTAGGTGAGAATACGCGCGCGCCAGGAGAATTTGGGTCGAGCGACGATACTAAGTACAAGGTGACCAGGAGAACACAACCCAACGGCACGCTCGAAACCCGACAACGCCACCTGAGAGGCTCCTCCTCAGGCCTCCACAGCTCATGTGAGCAACAAACGGCGCTCCTCCTATCCTCCGCTAGGCGCTCAACACGCTTTTCTGATCAGCCTGCTGCCAGTGCCTTTCTGCGGCTCACGAGCGCGAGGCTGTACTTAGCCTGCTGCCGACGAGACTCCTCACAGGCAGCAAACCGACTGCGATCCTCGCGATGCCCACATCCCAGTGCTGCAGTGGCATCTCGTCTCTGGTCCGCAGTGAGTCACATTTCCATGTCGAGAGTAGTTCGAGTCCGATAACCAGAAAGGCTTGTCCAATCATAGCATACAATACAGAAACATGGAGAAATGTATCCAGCGATATACTGTCTATATTGCTGTCGTCCTTTCGGGTTCAATCGCTGGGGGCAGTACCGTTGAATGGAACCAGGTTCAACCACTGGTTGCACTAGTACTGCTATGACAGTGCCCCGCTGGCAGCCGCACGATCTGAATCTGAAGAAGGGATCTCGGATCAACGTGCCTGCCATATCTGGATTCCGATGCAACCGCTCCTGCAGAGCTCGTGTTCTAGGCTTTAGTGCTTGCAGCGCGAGCTTCATAGCCCCGCAGGTCCCGTGGCCTGCGCAGAACAGTCGGTAAGGGATGTTTCACAGACCTAACGTAGAACCATGTCTGCTTTCTGCTCAGTTAGCATGCTTGGGCCATTCGAGAACACAATGGATACTCAAAACAAGGTAACCACCGCTCACTGATCTCAACGCAACGCGCATAATAAAGCATTCTTTTCCCCTCGTCGCTGCGCTAAGTACTTATCTTTATCTCGTCCATCAGGCTGTGCCGCATGTCACGAGCAAACCGCTTCACGCTTTGTCCTCGAAATGAGCGCTGAAATTCTATATAGAAGCCCCGGAGGTCCACGCAGCCACACCTACCTACCTAAACCGGAGATGAATCACGGTGGCGAGGGCCCAAGCTGAACACCATAAAGCGTCGTCCGCCCCGTTCATCCTCCCCCATCCTTGCTCTCAACCATCACCGCAGACTTGCCCACACTCCCCATCCCGTTGCCCGACGAAATATGTTCGCATTCAAGTTCCAGGGCATGGCTTCGTGGACCCTTAAGGCGCGTACTCTTGCTCGAGCCACGGTTCCGAACGCGTTCGACGCGTTGAGGGAGGCCGCGAGGGCTGCCTTCGCTCGCCAGGCATCGCGCCACACCCCCGCTACGCCTTCCGACGCCACCCCGACGCGTTTCGACGCGTCTTCTATCCCTACCACTCCGACGCCACATCCCTCGGGCACGGCCATTGTCGCGTCCGTTGGACTGGCTTTTCCCCCTCCAACCAACGCAGTCCACAACCTCCTCCTTCACCATATCAAGGGGGCGGTGCCGTCTACGTCCCCTGTCGTCCCACCGTCCAAAGACGTCCATGTGGCCTTTGACCTGACCATTGACGACCAACGGCCACAATGCGACGCGCCGGCGCACTCGTCACATCGGTCTACTTCACGGTCCTCCTCGACGTCGCCCACCCCACTCGGTTGCCACAAGGTAGATGTTGGCGTCCAGGTATCCATCCGTCGCCTGGACACTCCCCCCACTCGTCCTCATCCTCCGACTCCGACCTGCCGGTCGAATGCCTCACTCCGCTGGCTACGAACGGCGAGTGCCATAGCCATCGCAAGGCCGAGGCCCTCAGACCTCTCCTTCCCTTCGAGGCGCCCTTACCCTTCGACATTGATGGTGCACGCGGAGTCGATGAGTATATTCTGGAGTTCGATGAGTGCTCGGCTCGCAGGCAGGACCTCTACGAGGATCTCGCGGAGCGTGCCATTGCTTTCCACTACCTCTGCGCTGATCCGGTCGAGGATGATGACATGCCCACGGCGTTCTCTGGTCCAATCCACGGTTCTTCGTCTACCATCTCTGTGGTGTCGCCAACAAGCAACGCGGCGCTGGAGTTCCCCGAAAGCGAACCTTCCGATGGCGAACATCCCGACATAGACACCGACACCAACAGTTCAGACGACCCAGCGAACCAAACTGTCGACACCGACGACGACGACGACGAGGAGCCACAGATCCCCCTCGTCCTCTATCACCGTTACACCAAGACTCGCTACCGAATCGACGGCATTATCGGATGCGGTGGATTCGCCCGCGTCTTGCAAGCCACGAAAGACTCAGGCGAGTGCGTTGCCATCAAAGTTACGCACAAGAGGGAGGCCTATGCAAAGAGCCCTTACATACACGACTTGCTGTGTCATGAGATGGACACCTTGCGGTGGGCGACTACACACGCATGCCCAGGGTTGACGAAGTTGATCGAGAGCTGGGAGGACGAAGACAATATTTACTTCGTCATGGTACGTTCCCCTGCGTACCTTGCTATGACATCTTCTAACTTGATTTGAACAGGAGCTATGTCGTGCTTCGCTGACGCAATACATGGAGTTCAAATATGAATTGAAGCGTACAGACTTGTCACGAACGCGTCCGGAGTGGCAGAGTATGCCTCTAGAGGAGAAATACTACTGTGCAGAGTCGGTTCGTGTTCACGAGCTAGCTTCGGAGCGACGACCAGATTGCTGACTTCGCTCTCCGTCTTAGATCTTCTCACTATGTCAGCTTCATGACTACGGGGTCGTGCACAGAGACATCAAACCGGACAACCTCCTCCTTGACAAAGACGGTCGATGCACCCTCGCCGACTTCGGCCTGACAGTCTGGGCTTCAACTGCGTCAGTTGAAGATGTTGTGATACAGGACGTCGGCGGGACACTGTTCTACTTCGCACCGGAGCAGCATATGGGCCTCCAGCACAACTACAAGGTCGATATCTGGCAGCTCGGCTGTGTATGGATCGAGATGTTCGCCGGGCTCAAGTATTCCTTCAGTAATTACTTGCCGTCGGGAACACATTACGAGGACAGGCCCATGTGGATGCGGGATAAACTGCGCACCCGCATCAGAGACGACCTCCAGGACCATCCAGCGTTGGATCTTGTACTCGCGGTGAGTATCTTTGCCTCAGGACGGCCCCTGCACACTCCTAACTGACTCCCCTGCCGCAGATGACGGATGTCGATCCTTCCAAGCGCCCCACCGCTCATGAAGTCATGGGACACGAATGGTTCGCTGACGTCGATTGGACGGCAATCATGGCTGGGGTTGCCCCGCTCCGGCGTGAGTCCTCACGTCGCTTACTCGTATATGATGAGAATGCTGATTCCCGACCTCTCTCACAGACTCGTTCCTCCCGGAATTCAGAACCCCGTCGAGCGAGTGTTCGCCGCGATTCTCCACCTTCGAGGCCTTACGGACTTCGCTCATGATGTCCCGCCAACATCGCTCTGAGTCGGACGCTGACTTGGAAGCCCGAAATTTTCAGCTAGGGACGTACGAACTCAACCCATACTCCTTTGTTTGGCCCACCCCTGCCCCGGAAACCCCGACACCTGTGCCTGGTGCACTTGATCCATGGTCTATGCCTGACGAGCTTGCTTCATGGTGACCCTCTCCTTGCCAGTCACTCATCGCCGGAGAAGACTTTCCGTCATATCGCACATTTCGCGGCACCCCCCCGGCCCGACGACTCATCGCGACTCCTCATTCTTCCCTACTCTGTCTCATCCTCATCGCATCTACACTCGCATATGTACCATCTTCGCACATCCCGGACACTTCGCACTTACAACCAAGTCAACTCACATATCATATATCATCTCTGCAATCTTCGGACAGTTTCCCTTCTGCGTCTCAGTCGTACTTGCTATCTTCCGCTATCTTATCGTAACTTACTGCTTTGCTCGCTTGCATACTAGTCGTCTGGCGTTGTCATGGTTCTGTCGTGTTGTACCTTGCCTTTTGGCTTCCTTGTTGGACATCAGCCTCCTAGGTCTGTGCTCGCTTGTGGATATAGATTCGTGCTCATCGGCGCCGCTAAAGCTTCTGGCGAACAGAGCTAACTACATATCACACTGTCCAAGTGAGTGACACCGCGCGCTGAGTGCTTTCAGCTTTTGGACGTTGAGATTGTCACGAGTAAAACGGTACACATGTGACCGCGTATGTCAGGTGCCATACTTGACCTGAGCTAGACCATGCCAATTTGCGATGCCTATTCCCCGACGGGCTTTATGGTCCTTGCATCTCACGCAGTCACCATGTCCGAGGTCTTCGAAACGTCCCGACTGTGTGTGAGAACGCATGGAACTGCCCAGTCATGCATCACACGTGGTCGAGGATGGTCAACTGACCAGACAGTCTGATCTCATTTCTCGCCGACCCCGCGACGATGCAGGGTCCTATGCCAATGCCGCCAACCACAGACTATAAATGAGCACTCTGTGAGGCTTGTCGCGCCGAGTCGTCCTCGTCTCTCAGGCCCTCCTTCGTAGTCGGCGATGCCCCTGGCGTGGCGCTCTGGCCGTGTTCTGCGACGCAGTATGCTTTGCACTTACACTGACCCCAGTGTACTGGATGCGTGTCCTGGCTACACCGCGACGAATGTGTCACGTCGGGTCCAAATCTGACCGCGAGCCTTGTGCTGGCTGGCGAGGCATGTAATGTCTACGGCTCGGACATCGAGGCACTCAGTTTGCAAGTGACATACGAGACCGGTCTGTACTCGACTCCTCCACCTTGCGATGCGTAACTCATGCAGTTCGTGCCCCTAGCCACGCGAATCCATGTCAAGATCACCGACGAAATGAGACGCGTTACGAAGTCCCCGAATCCGTGCTTCCCCGACCCTTGGCAGATCCGTCCGTCGACCCGTCGACTGCTGCGATTCAGTTCAACTACACCACCTCGCCATTCTCTTTCACCATCTATCGCGCGTCCACTGGCGAAGCACTGTTCATACTGCGTCTCATGCGTTGATCTTTGAGCCACAGTACCTCCGCGTGAAGACGGACCTGCCGACGAACCCGAACTTATATGGCCTCGGCGAGCACACGGAGACGTTCCGTCTACCGACAGAGAACCTCACGCGAACTCTTTGGAGCCGCGACGCCTAGGGGTGTAAACGGTACGAACCTTTACGGCAACCACCCAATCTACTTTGAACACCGCCTGAGCGGCACGCACGGCGTGTTTTTCCTCAACTCAATGGCATGGACATCAAGATCGTCACGAACGACGAGGGTCAAGCCTTGAGTATGACGTGATTGGTGGTGTTCTGGACTTCTACTTCCTCGCAGGCAGCGAGACCGATCCGACAGAGGTAGCGAGGCATATGCAGAAGTGGTCGGCACGCCCGCGGAGGTGCCATACTGGAGCTTCGGATTCCATCAGTGCCGCTATGGCTACACAGGTGTGTGTAGAGATAGTTGACTATCAAGGGGCATGGATTTATGTTCTGACAGACTATGTCGAGGTCGCGAATGTATCGTCAACTACACGGACGCCAACATTCCGCTCGAAACGATGTGGACGGACATTGGTATGTCGGCTTTGTTCCTCATGGGTACCGTTCTGACTGAAGCACAATCGCTTTCCAGACTACATGTACAATCGCCGCATATTCACGTGGATCCAGACTACTTCCCCTTGACCAGGATGCGCGAGATCGTCGAGTACTCCACGACCACGATCAGCATTACAGTACGTCGTGTGACTACAGCTGAGCATCTCATTTGTGATTTATGCTCTCGTCCAGTCCTCATGACTGATCCGGCCATTGCATATGCGCCGAGCGAGAACTACGGCACGTATGATCGCGGGTCGGCGCGGATGTGTGGCTGAAGGCAGAGAACGGCAGTTACTTCCTCGGTGTCGTATGGCCTGGTGCGTGATCCATTCTGTGCCTACATTCCCTCCGTTTGACGTGTTCGATCGGTCGATATAGGTGTAACCGTCTTCCCCGGTAAGTTAGGTGGACAGGAACTGTCCAACTGATAGTGATGTTGACGTCACCTTATCTGCAGATTGGTTCAATCCCGCATCCAAGAGTGCGTCTGGACACCGTAAAATCTGGTGGCAGTTTGCTGACGTCCCTACCACAGCTTCTGGACGAATGAGTTCCAGCTGTTCTACAACCCTCAAATGGTATTGACATCGACGGCGCCTGGATCGACATGAACGACCCATCCAGCGTACGTCCAGAATGTTGGATCCCCATTCGCGGATTGGCTCATATCGTGTTACAGTTCTGCGACGTCCCCTGCACGGACCCTTCCACAAGCGATCGACAACGGCGATCCCCGGCCGTACTACTCTTCCACCTGACCCGAATACGCCCATCTTCGGAACGAGTACAGGAAGAGGGCGATGTCGAAGAGGGAATACACTCCGGAGAATTTGGTGAATCCGCCGTACACGATCAACAACGCTGCGGGCGACTTGTCGAATCTCACGGCCTACGTAGGTGTCGTGATGTAAGTGTCATAACGCTCATAATGAGGTCGCGCAGACCACCGCTGTCCATGCAAATGGAATGGTGGAGTACAACACTCGTGAGCGGCTAAAATACCTGCATACTTCATTATTCCGGCTAATGACTTGTTGTAGACAATCTGTTCGGTACCATGATGTCCACAGCCACGCACAACGCCATGCTGGCTCGACGCCCGGGACTACGCACACTTGTTGTCACGCGCAGCACATTCGCCGGTGCGGGGACCAAGGTGCAGAAGTGGTTGGGCGACAACCTCAGCGACTGGGAGCATTACCGTAACTCGATCTCGGGCATTTTGAGCATGGCGAGTGTTTCCACGTGCCTATGGCTGGCGCAGATATCTGCGGGTACGGTGACAACACGACCGAGATATTGTGCGCGAGATGGGCCACTCTTGGGGCGTTCTATCCGTTCATGCGTAACGTGAGTGAACTAAGGTTCGTTGAAGCGGGTCAAGGCTGACGACCATGTTAGCACAACACACTCGGAGCCATTTCCCAGGAGTTCTATCGTTGGCCGACTGTCGCGCAAGCAGCTAGGAACGCGATTGATATGAGGTGAGTGCGCAGCTCTACGATAATTCGATTTGTCTGACATACTGCTATAGATACCGTCTCATTGATTACTTCTATACCGCCTTCCACCAGGCCTCCGTCGACGGCACCCCCATTCTCAATCCACTCTTCTACAAGTACCCTCAGGACAACAAACCTTCGGGATCGACCTCCAGTTCCTCTTCGGCCCGTCCATCCTCGTATCGCCTGTAACAGAGGAGAACGCAACCTCCGTTTCGATTTACCTGCCCGACGACATCTTCTACGACTTCAACACCTTCGAGCCAGTCCGCGGAAACGGGAGCTACGTTGAACTCGATGTCAACCTGACGAGCATCCCGGTGCACATTCGCGGCGGTGCGATCTTGCCCTTGAGGGCTCAGAGCGCGATGACCACCACTGCGCTGAGGCAGCAGGATTCGAGATCGTCGTCGCCCCCGATTTGGACGGCTCCGCTTCAGGTTCGCTCTACTTGGACGACGGTGTCTCCATCACGCCGACGCAACGACCGAAGTCAGCGTCACATACAAAATGGTGCCGTCACGCTCAACGGTACTTATGGGTATGACCCCGGTGTGGGCATCTCGAGGATCGTTCTGCTAATGCAGAAGAGCCAGTGGTGCGGCGCTGAATGGTCTGGATTTGGCGGACTCGGTATCGTATAATCCCAGCACTAGGGTGCTGGAAATTGCGGTCGACGTGCCGTTCAACCAGAACTTCTACATACAAATCGCATAATCGAGAATTGAGTGCTGTGTGTAGTATAGCCGTAGCGTACGATCGCGAAGGCTCTATGCATGTCAAGTCCGCATGGACTGTACTCCGAGTGTCACTCAGTAAGCTGGCTGCAATGTAGCACCAGATACTTACTGTAACATCCGATCGTTCCGAGTCGGTGCGCAATGCGCATGGACGGACGGTGCCACAATTTCCATTTACGGATTGTTGATCGCGAGTGCACGTGATGGCATCGCGTTGAGCGCGTTTGGCGAGTTCAGCAGAAGCGACCGGAGTAACTTTAGTTGAAGTTGACTCTCTCAACAGTTGCTCCCGACGGTCTTCCCGTTTCTCGCGCTGTGACCACTTCCGCTGCGTCTCCTGCACTGAGGCGGGAGGACAAAGTGCAGTATGTCTGCTGCCCTCAATGCTCGGGCAGACACATCGGCACAATCTGCAGGCACCGTCCCGGACCTCTCGCTTTCCTCGTTCGCCTCAGGTTTCTCAACTCCAGGGCGGAAATTCAGGGTACCCTCTGCGTCTTCTCACACAACTGCAACTTCATCCGCACCAATATCTACACCTTCACCGCCTAACGTGCCCTCTCTGAGTAGGAGAAGAGGCGACGAAGCGACGCCCGCGGCCAAGCGTCTTGGTCTGTCGAGCCACGATGAGGATGGCGAAGATGCAGAGGGAGATGTGTTGGATACTCCTGGAAGAGAGAAGAAATGGGAGGATCCTGCAACCACACCCGCTGCTGGGCGTATGAAACGCACCCGGAGCGCAGGAGCCAAAGGTGGCGTAAACCTCACATTGCGAGATCAGGAGAAGGTGAGTGTGCCCAGTCGCTAAATTCTATGAGGGCTCTCTGTGGATTGGCTTCGAGCGCGTGGGCGTAGAGACATCGACGACGGATGTCAAGTCACTCGAATTACATCAAGTGACAGGGAGGACCAAACGAGGGTACCTGCTTCCGTACGTTGACTCGTCCAAGGAGCTGTCTGTGGTACTCAGTAGCTATACCTGTCTTGTCGTGGATCGCATTCATTGTGTGTTGAGAATCGCGATTTGCCACTGGCCGCCTGCATCCCCAGCTATAGGCTATAAGTGTGCGGCCGATGAGTGGCACGTCTAGCACGACCCTGTCCGCATCTTCCCCCTCGACCTCGTCTCCCCTGTCACTGCGGCTCAGTCTAGTATCCTGACATACCCCACAGCATATTGACAGCCTCAAGAAGGAGAACTTCAACATCAAGCTCAAGGTCCACTTCCTCGAAGAGCGACTCGCACAGCTCGCCCCTGACCAGGTAGAAGCCGCGCTCAAGCAGAACATCAACCTCAAGATCGAAGTGCAGCAACGCGGAATGGAGCTGAAGAAGCTACGGAAGCTCGTCCTCGAGCAGCAGCGCGAACTCGAGAAGCTGCAGCGGGGGAACGGCGGTGCCTCGTCGCGTGCGCGCGAGCTAGAGGAGAAACTTGAGGAGCGCGAGCGCGAGATCCGGGAACTGCGCAGGAGACGAGCTGTCGGCCCGGATGACGGCGTCCTCAGAGAAATGGAGGCACGGAACGCAGAGCTGGAGGAGGAGCTGGAGAACGTGCGCGGACTCCTGGAGGAGAACATGGAGGAGATGGAGCGGCTGCGCGAGTTGGTCGAGCGGCGAGACGACGACTCCGCGGACGAGGGCAGGGACGACCGTTGGAGGCGGCGGGTCGAGGAGCTCGAGGACGAGAACGAGGACCTGCGCTCGAGGATCGACGAACTGGAGGAACTGGTGACGCGCGGGAACGACGAGAAGGAGGATCTCGCGGACATGGTGGAGGCGCTCAAGCTCGAGGTCGAGGACTTGCAACGGAGACGGGAAGCGGAGTCGATCGAGCGGAGTCAGAGCCGCGTGCAGATCTTGGAGGAGAGGGAGGAGCGGGAGGCGGTGGAGGAGGGTATGAACACCGTCAGGGACAGGCTAGCAGCTGCGCAGATTGAGCTTCAGCAGAAGGAGGATGATCTTGATCTGAAGGACCGAGAGATCGAGGAGCTCGTGGCGGAGCACAAGCGCATCGTTGAGACGCTTGATGACGAGTGGCGAGGCGAGATGGATGAGTTGCGGGGACAGGTTGAAGAGATCAAGGATGTAAGTTCCTCCCCTTGCCTCATTCAGCACTCCAATAACACTGTGGTCGATATAGGTTGTTGAGCAAAAGGATGCCGAGAACAGGGATCTTCGCATGAGTCTTGCGGAGGTCGAGAACGGCATGGCCGAGCTCCAAGACCAGACAGAGATCGCCGTCAGTCACCTGCAGCAAGAATCCGAGGAGAAGGATGCCGAGATCGAGGCCGCCAATCGGGAAATCGAGAAGCTTGGTCACCAAGTCTACATGCTGGAGGAGGAGAACGAGCGTATCAAGGAGGCGAGTGATAGGCTGAGGGAAGATGAGGCTGTTGAAAGAGAACGTCTCGAGGCGCTAGCTTCTGCTCTGAAAGAGGTGGGAGACTGCATAGGCGCGCCGTGTATAGGCATAATGCTAACGCATTCGGAATGTTTTAGAAAGTGGCTGGTCTCAAATCACAAATCGAGGAGTTGCACGACCTTATCGATGCTCGAGATCACGATGTCTCTGCCTACAGAGCCCGCTCGGAAGAGCTCGCCCAGCATGTCGAGAACCTGGTTGAAGAGGTTCAACGCGAACGCGCCACTCGGGAGCGCCTGGAAGCCGATCTCGACAGAGCCGAGAAAGAGCATGACGTCGCTCTTCGTGCTGAGCAGCGCGCTTTGGAGGCCAAGGAGTCCGCCCTGCAGTCGGCGCTCAATGACCTCGCACGCACGCAGTCTCTCCTCACGCAGCGCGAGACCGACCTTGCGCAGGTGCAATCCGCTCTAGAGACGCTGGAGGCCGAGTCGAAGAAGCTTGGCGAGACGCACACCACCGCTCGATTCTCCCTCCAACTCGAAGTCGACCGATTGAAGCGTGATTTGGAACGGCTCGAGGATGAGTATCTAGAGCTCGGCAAGAACTGGGCGATCGTGAAGGCAAGGGCCGCGAGCGCGACGGCGTCATTGACAAGCTTCACGCGGAGAACCGCGAACTCGCGTCGCAGCTTGCAGCGCAGACACAAGCAAGACTCAATGTTTCCGAGAAGCTCGAGAACAGCCTCGCAAGCTTGAAGGCGGCCGAAGCAGAGGTCCTGCAATGTAGAACCAAAGTCGCCGAGCTGGAGCAAAGGCTAGCAAAGGACCAGCGGTCGCTCCTATCCGCCGAAGCTCAGTATCGCGATCAGCTCACTGAGCGCAACACGCTCCTGTTGACCATCTACCAGTATATGGACAAGATTCTCGGCGTCGACAAGACACCGGTGAGTGCCATCTTCGACGGGGATGCACGCATGATCTGATTCTTGCGCAGAAAAAGAACGGTCAAGCGGAGACGAAGCCCTTCACGAACTTCAGCGTCTTCCACGACAACCTCATCTCGCGCCTCAAGCAACTGAGCGAGATTCAAGGCCTTTTCGACAAGCGTGTCAAGGACGCTGAGTCAAAATACGCCGAGAAACTCAGCGACATGCGCAAGCAGCTCGACTTCCGGTGGAAGCAGATCGACAAGTTCGAGACGAGCCTGAAGACGGTCGTCGAGGCGAAGACGACGTGGCGCAAGAAGCTCAGTGCGAGAGAGGGCGAAGTGGAGGCGCTCAAGACCACCGTCAGCGAGCTTCAAGCGCAGCTGGTTAGCATACGAAAGCCAGGCCAGGGCGACTCTATGGAAGTTCGCTCGCTCGCCGCTCGTGCAAACAACGCAGAGCGGCGCATCACGAACCTGCAGAATCAGCTCGTCCTGTCCGAGGAAAAGCTGACTACGATGAACCAGAAGACGGTCGCTGCAGACTCCAAGTGGGAGGTGCGTGTGAAGGAGTATGAGAGCAGGTTGAGAAAGGCGGAAGAAGCCGTCAAGCGCGAGCGACAGGGCGCGAAGGAGCGCGTGTTCGAGCTGGACACGCAGTTGAAGTTAGTCCTCAGTGTTGTCCTCCCCCCTGTTACGGATATTGATGATCTTCTCCCAGGACGCTGCAACGACAACTGGAGCTCGAGAACAAGCGCAATCAGCGTCTGCAAGAAATCACAGAGACGAATGGGCTCAACACCAAGTCGCCTAGGCTATCGTAACTTCAGGCAGGCAGGACCGCCTATTGGCCTCACTCTATGCTGCGCTTTTGTGTTTACTCACGGATTCGGGTTCGTTTCGATCTCACTTTGTACTGCTTTCCGCATGCTGTCGTTCATAGATACGTATACTCGCAGGGACAGGATATCCGGGTTACTAATTGTACATCTCCGTAGTGTCCATGCATAGTGTATCAAATAATGCTATACCTCCTTCGTTGTTCGTATTCCCTCTCCTTTCTCGCGGCTAAACATTGACTGTACAGCGTCTTCCGGATTAGAAGTTGCCGATGGTCCAGCCTCCGTCTGCCACGATGATCTGTCATTTTCTGTCAGCCGATGTGCTCCTCGTTTGTACAGCTTTACGAGGCGACGCGCCTTGTTGGTCATGTACCCGTTGGATGCAAGAAGCAGGACGATGTCCGCCATCTCATTGGGCTTGCCGAGCCTTCCAATCGGGATTTTGCTCTGTGATCGGTGTGCTCAGTGAGTACCAGTTATCCGGCATCCAAGCAACCACTTACGCGGGCCTCAGGCGTCGGGTTGGACATCATGTTCGTTTCTGGATTGGAGGAAGACGAGGTGAGCGTGGATGGGGGTGCCGGTGGAGGTGGTGGGTGACGTCTACCTTCGATGAGCGCGGGTGCGAGGGCGTTCGTCGTCTTCGCGTTCAGTGTCAGTACATCAGGAGGTATGTCATGCGGCAGAATAGCTTGGGACATACAATCCCTGACTTCGCGTAGCGGAGAGACATCCAGCGGACAAGCCCGTGCAGAGCAGACTTGGACGATGCATAATGAGGGCCGATCACACCGCCGTTACCAGCGGCAACGCTGGGAGACATTGGATGAGTACACTACGTTGAGCTACTGATAACAAGTTGCGCAGAACTGACCTTGACGTGTAGATGACTCGTCCCCATTTCTGCTCCTCCATGTATGGAACACACAGTTGCGTAAGCTTGCAGCGGTGACGGTGAGTGGCCTATTTTCTCCCTCCGACACGAACCTACCAAAAAGTGCGTGCCTGTGTTTGTCCTCCAAGTCTCCTCGAAAACCTCCGGGCTGATATCACGAATGTCCCCATTCGGCCCGATCGTCGGGCCCGCCATGCCATGGTTGCTGAACAGGACATCGGGGTTGCCCAGCGTCTGGACGACCTCGCCGTAGAGCCTCCGCGCGTCGTCGTATCCCGACAAGTTCGCCTGGAATGCGGCGAACTTTGGCTGGGCGTCAGAGGGTGCGAGTGTCTTCAGCTCCGCGATGAGGGTCTCAGCTTTCGCCGCAGAGGATTGTGCGTTGTAGTGCACTGCGATGGAGCAGCCGACACGGGCGAAGGCCTTCGCTGTCGCCTGTCCAATACCTCCCCTGTCGTAGCGGGCGTCAGCTTTCATGTGTGGACTGAGACGGCGGCGACGTACGTGCATCCGGTAATGAGGACCAGTCGGCCCCTCAGAGACGCGCCGACGCCAGCCATATAGAGCGTGTTCTCGGATTCAGCAGTGGTGTTGGTTGTACCTGCACCAGTCGCAGGGGTAGAGCTGCCTGTGTTATGGAGTTTGTCTTTGAGTTTGTTGAACATTATGCGATCCGCCTACCGGTGGTGATAACGTGTGTAGCAGTGGGAGCCCTCTCACGGGCACCTTATATATGCCAGCCAGAGATTCAGATTCATCCGGTATGACGAAACGGACAGTGTCTAGTTTGGCCGAATGATTAGCACATGACGTCGTGGGTACAAGGATAGCAGCAGACGGAGAGCCCTCGGAGGCCGTCAGCAACCTTATAGACAGTGTTGGATATGTGCTCCACCGTTCTCCCTTCTCCTTCGAAATGGGCACTGAAATGGCGAGAGTACTATATAGTCCGTGTGCTCCAAGTCTGTACAAATGGGTCCGTCTACTGCTGCCTGGAAAGCAATCAAGGCTGGCTGCCGTGTTACTAGAGGGGGGCGCGCAACGCAATGGGACTACTGAAGTTTGAAGAGACAATCAGCCCTTCAGTAAATGGCGAACGACGTCAACGTCAGATCCACAGTGACGCTTTGTTGGTATCCCTAAGTCTCGACAAAACCATAGCCCACCTGCCAGATGCGCCCTTCACGGCGGCTTCGCTGACCCGGACCAACGGGAATAATGCGCGAAAAATGCGCGCAAAGACCACTGGATCCCTAATGCGGTCATCCTCGACCGTCAACGTTTCAACCCTGGGAATAATAGAACACTGAGACTTGCGCACGATTTGGGCGGGCGTCCACCCATGGATACAGAGTCGATATCAATGGCCGAGAGTTTGAAGACAGTGATATGCGGGCACTCGCACAGGAAGGTGTCGACAACGCCGCGGAAGGTAGGAATTATGCCTGTCCTGAATGGCCACAACGGCCAAGGAAACGAAAACGTTTTCAGGAGCGGCCACGCCCTCGGATACCGCGCAAATCATCGTCCGTGAACGACAAGGAATCGGGTCCGCTCAAACAAATATTGCAGAGCTGTAGATGTCGTAGTTGCACGAATGGCCGGAGGAGATTCGATGCCGATGTGGGGTCCAATCCTCCGAGAGTCTCCCCCAAGGACAAGGTGACTTCGGTCAATGTGCCAGCACATGCTGCGGCGAAGTCTCCGAAAGCACCGTAATCCCCTGTGAAGCTGTCCACGACAGCATCCGCGACTTCAAGACACTCCAGCCGAATTGGCGCCATCTTCGCCAGCGGTCCCAAACACTGCATGCCGCGACAGCGAACGTGTCCGTGGAGCCTCAATTTCCGCAACTGGGGAAAGCATCCAACCGCCGACGGTATATCCTCGGCCCACTGACCCAACGGCAGGTCCAACTCACAAAGATGCTGCAATGGGGCCAGCATGGCCATGAGGGGCCCAAACCACAGTTCCTCCAACGGAACCGCGCCCACGACCAGTGTGCGTAGCTCGTGGAAACGGCCAATATCGATTGCCAGCGAAAGGTCATGGACTCGTCGGCAAGCTTGGTCGTATATACGAAGATCTTGCAGCCATGGAGCCTTAGAGGGCAGTTCGAGGAGGATTCGTCTGAGCGCGTGAGGCTCGTGAGTATTGGCTTCTTTCGACCCACTGCGTGTATCTTCATAAATGGCCAGTGAGCGAAGGCTTTCCCCTGCAAGACACAGCACGTTTGTGTCGAAGAACGGTGAGACCAAGGGCCGGCACTTGATCTCTTTGATCATCGGGAGGAGTGGGTGGCCCGGATTGGCTTGGAAGAGGAGAGCAAAAACATTGGAATCGAAAGACTCTCTGTGGCGGATGCGAATGCGTTGAACGAGTGCCGCGAAGCGGGCAAACCGCCTCAGCCCTTGGGGCCTCGGAGCCTCGTTGGACTTCTGCGTTACGAGACGAGATTAGAGACACGCATATGATATGTGCGGCAACCATGAAATCCGCACCCATACTATCATCGGACGCTTAGACTCTGGCATGTCGAAGACGTCCCGCGTGAGGGTCAGGCAAAGGGAGAACAGCGGGAGAGGCGACGGTAGCTCTCGCCAAAGCGTGCGGAGTGCGGGCTCCGAGAAAGCCTTCGAGACGCGTGCGCAACATGCGAGGGTTGCCCAATCCTTGTCGACAGCGATACCGACGTCCGCCCAGGAATTGGAGTTCGCGTCTACAAGGTCGCGTTCAGTGTGCGGTCCAAAAAGCTGCAAGATGTGCCAGATGATGTCGTAGTCCTCTAATGCTCGGCGATGCCCCATATTTGCTGACTCTGTGATAACCACAGCAGATGTAGACTCAGACTGGGGATGATCGAGATACTTTGAGGAAAGGCAAAGGAGGATGAGATTGACTCAATCCTCGCTCGTGGTCACCGATTCACCGTGTGGCTCTCGCCTCGCACTAGCGCCCGGGTCAAGGCATTTTTTTTTCTTCTTTTTTTGGTGGAGCGTTGCACCCCGATCTTAGGAACAGTCAAGGCATTTGTTGGAGTGTCCGACTCGCCCGCGCTGTCCAAGCTCAGATCTATGTACTAATAATGTAGTATTACGTAGAATCCAAGTTCGCCTCGGTTACTAGTAGCTACACCGTTACTCTGCTCTCCGTTGCTCAAGCTGTCCCGGTACTACGCCCGTTCAGGCCGATATATCGCCCAAAATGGTTCCCTCAACCACGCATGATTTTCTTCAGCTATGCTCCAGTCACCAGTCCCAGTCACCAGTCTGAGGCTGCGGTACACCAAGCCAAAAATACCTTGAATACAAGTCTCCTCTAATCCCTTTTCCCCTTTGCACAGACACGGAATTCTCGATCGTCCGTCCCTCCTCGCCAGCCCCTCGAGTCTCGATTCAGAAAGCCCCATCCATACCACATTTCACTGCGTCTTCACCGCCCCGTCCCCATTCGCCTTCGCCTTCGTCTTCGCGAACATCAAGGCCGCCTTCTTGCTGTACACAGGGCCCTTCGGCCTCTCCCACTCGTAATCCTCGACGTTCTTACCCGGCTGCGCGCGCATGTACCCCTTCATCGTCTCCGGCACGATGAACGGGAACAGCCTGTACGTCGAATTGGCGGGGAAGTACCCAGGCAGCGTCCGCGCGAGCATCCTGCCGATGATCCCGCCCATCGACCCGTCCGTCTTGTCGTACATGCAGTCCTTGAATCCCCAGGACGTGAGGTTGAACGCTGTTCGGAGGTAAGGCGTGAGCGACGTTCGTGTCAAGTCAATGGATGAGGGCGTACGCGTGAACTCGATTGTCAGGAAACGATCACCGCGCGTGAGCGCGATGGCATCTGCGAGGATCGCTCGAGAGATCGTAAAGCCAGGGCACAGACCAGCACCAGGCATGGCAACCTTGGCTTCCTCCGCTTGCATACCAACCTGTTTTATCTACCTGAATACGACACTGCGAAGCTCAGTGGCCTGACGTACGTATAGCTCGAGGTTCTCTATATGGCCGTACAGCCTCTTCGCAGCCGTCTGAGTAGGCGCCTGTCAATGACAAGTATCCTCTGTAGATGGTATCACTCACATAGATCTTCGGATCCGGGTTCCATTCGTCGAAGTCCTTGTATGCTGCCAGACCATAAATAAGTACTCGCGTCCACCTACAGAGTTTTTGCACTTACGCCGCAGCCCGAGGTACCGTCTGAACTCGTTGAACTATGTATTCCGACATGGGCACTGTCAGCTAACTCATCGCACGTGCACCACTTGAAGCCACTCACGAGCACGTCCCCCACTTCCTTGCCTGCGTGATACCCATGATCTCGATGATGCGCAGGGAGTCCGGGATACCGCGCGCCTTGAACGCTGCCGCGGGTGCTTCTGTCGCACTGAACAAGAGCTCCGCGAGGTCCTCTGCATCGATCCGTCAGAAATGGCGGGAAAGGTGAGAGCGATCTGCTCACTGTCGGAGAAGCGGCCATCAGGACCACGTTCGAGCCTAGCATGAATAGCCATCATGAGCGGTTTCCATACACAGGGGCTATGACTCACTCGTTGAACGTCCTCTTCCTCACGTCCTTCGGCGTCTTCGACATCACGTTTCTTGCAGCCCGCTTAAAATCATCTATCGTACGCTGTAAAGTCACATTCCAAGGTCAGCACCGGAAAGGCGTCCTGCATAAGGTCATATCACCTCATTGTTTGGCTTCCCCTCGTAAATCTTGTCGAAGAAATTCTCCATCCAGCTCGTGTCTTCTCTCGAACTCGTGGCGTGCCAGCGATACATGAGGTTGAACTCCACAGAGATGACGTTGCCCTCGCCCTGCGGAGTCCATGCATGGCTAATCTCGCGCATGGCCTACCAAAACCAGTACAGAGCAACCCGAAATTCAACATCGTCAATATGGCTCACGCTGGCGATTGAAGACACGCACCTGAGGCGGGTTGAGCCTCCACGAGTACCCGTCGCGCGTAAGCCCAAGGATGCCACCGACGTAGTCACCTAGAATGACCTGCGCGAAGAAGGCACTGTTAACGAGCCTCGCGCGATGGAACAGCTCGTCGTCCTGCATCGCCCGCGCCTTCTCGTCGAGCATCACGGGCTCCTTGTAAGTGCCGAACTCATTATCGCTGTATATGCGACCGGCCACATACTGCCGAGACGCAAAGACCTGTCAACGCGAGATGGGCTGAGTGGAAGAGATTGTTACGTTGTGATTGCGGCAGAAGATGACAAGCAGGGCGCATGTCGCTGGCGGCATGAACAACAGCCGCTTGTCGGCGAACACGTCATCCCAAAGTCGACCGGTGCCGTCCTTGCCTAGTGGTAACGGAAAAGTCATATCAACGAACATGAACTTCATGACGAGTGATTGAACTCACGCCTGACGCTGTCAACTTGAGCCTGGGAGGATCCGTACACGGGCTGAGATCGCAATAACTGCTGGCGTCGTTCACCATCCAATTTTGGTGGTTTGTATCGAAGACCGTATGGACGACGAGGTTGGCGAATGCGAAGAATAGCCCCGAGAGTCCGCCTGCATAGGAGAACGTTATGACTAGTACGCCAGGTGGTAGTAAGCGTGCCCACCTGGATGTTCGGTGAACTCGTCCCTCTTCAATAGCTCGTCAAAAACTTGTTCAGCTGAAGGAAGAGACCTGTGCAGCACGGGGTTCCCCGAAGGACGTTGCGAACGTAGGGCAACCGGCCATACCCATGGTCGGCATGTGAACGTTGTAGTTTGAGCCGTCCGTACTCCGGAACGCGTACACCACAGGGTTATCGAGGGTGGATTCAGGTATAGGCGATGCGGCTCCGTTGGGGATACTAGATATCCAAGGGGAGGGTGCGGAAGGTCTCTGTACACTGAACACGCGTAAATAATCAGCCAAAGTCGCCTCGTAAGCATAGATGATACCAACAGAGCCGTATGGCGAGACCTTCGGCCTGACGAGCGAGAACCGAGTCCTCTGGCGCGCGGGAAATGAACGTGAGGACCTTCTCAAGCTTTTCAACTGATGTATGAGAACGTATGCAAGCTCGACAAGATAACAGACTCACGAGAAACTTGCGATCATCGAGGCCAGGCATGCCATCGAGCCCGTTGATCAAGTCGAGGTATGCGGGCTAAGTGAAAGGTCAGCGCTGCGCGTTGAATGCCACAGGTGTGACATACAAGGTCGTTGATCACGAAATGCGGCCCGCGTAGAATCAGCCTCCGTATAAGTGAGAGTACTCGGACGGGAAAGCGACTATGTCCGACATATTCGTGTACTCTGCCTGAGCGTCGGCTCCCCGTGCGTCGGCCTTCTTTAAGAGGTGGTGATCAGGGCGATGTGGAGAGAATCGTTGGACCAAAAGTGCATGTTTATGTACCGCGGCTTTGGGAGAACGTCTGTGTTGGACCAACGCCTGCCAACTAGTCGCGCTGTTCTCGCCCGGTCGGTACCATGTCACGTCGAGATATGGAAGCACAGCTCCGCATTTTTGTGCAGTCACAGAACCGCTTTTCTTCCGAGAGGAGGGTTGTGACAAAAGCGACATTCGGAGAAAGACCGACGTTGGCGTTCATGACACCCAACGACTGGATTCGGACGCGTGTGGCGCGTTGATCGCGGGCGTAGATCTCATCGGCCCCGCGAGATCGCGGTCTCCTCGTCGCCAGTTCTTCAACCTGTGCTCCGCGTATTCAATATTCAGTACTCAGCCTCAGATCCCTGCCGTATAGCGTTTCGGGCCCTCAGCCTGCTCAGGAAGCTTTCTGGGACTCATAGTACCCGCCGCATGTGCTTCGGACCCGTCTCCGATCGCATTCTGGCGTGCACTGACGGGTGTCGACACGAGTCCTGGAGGCTACCTTCGGCACAGATCAACCGTGACGCGTTCCCAACCACCTCGTATTCTCGTGTTTGTCATCGCCTCCATCCGGAAATCATCGGAAATCCTGTCATGTCACGGCGGCCTTCAGGCAGTATGAGATTCCTCATGTCGGAGGAAAGGATTTGACGCTTTGGGCCTGGTAGGACGGTACCGACTCTGGTTTCTGACACGACGATTAGGGCTCATTGGACGAAACCTTGTCACCAGGATATACCTGGACGGGTCTATTGGACAACGCATCTCAGTCTCCATGTGGAGCGACTCCGTCACTGTGCGCTACAGTTCACATCGCCTGGAATGATCGTCCAATGTCATTTTTGCTGCCGATCCGGTCACTGTGTCGCTCGCTGCAACATCACCTCCGTGATGTCGCTGAAATAACATGGAAAGACAGGAACACACTCTCCCCAGCTGAGAACCCATGGCCCAGATGCGCGCGAGTTCGTGTGCGCCGTTTGTTCTGCGATCGAGAGTTATTGCCTGCTGAATCGAGCTCAAGGCATATGGCGGCGGCGACCACCGACTGTCCCGGCTGTTCACGTTAAGAACGGAGTAGGGGAGCCGTGACGAAATTCTCCCCGATCGCGGAGTGTCCCTGGCACGGTACCGCTGAGATCATGAAGTGGTGAGTGGTTCCGGTCATCGGTCGCCGTTCCAACTATAAGTGCGCGACGGTCTGACTGTGGCTTCGAGTTGTCAGAATGTGTTAGGAAGTCGGACCAAGATGGAGCAAGGCGAAACACGTTGCGATACTTTACCTCAAACTTCTCCTTGGACGCGGTCACATGACATGCTTGCGGTGCTAACATCACGGAAAGGCACACCGCTGCCCGCACCAGACTGCAAACATTTATCTAATGTTCGCAGTCATGAGTATACATAGCGTCAATCGGATGCCTCCTTGCGCAGCGTGCTATTAACCTCCACCCTCGACATTATCTCTAAGCCTCGACAAGACCATCCCCCACTTGCCAGATCCACCTTTCAACATCTTCGAACCGATACGAAGCACTGGGAATAATCCGCGAAGAACGTCGGCTAGCGCCACGGGGTCGCGGATGTGTTCATCCTCGACAACAAAAGTCGAAGGCAGTGCTTTGAGTACCGTGCAGGACTTCTGAGTCCCCTCCACGCATACGGCCGAGATCTTGAACACCGTCAGACGAGGGCACTCCCGGAGAAAGTCGAGGATGCCGCGTAAAGAAGGGGTAGAGTGTTTCATGTACGGACTGTGCCAGGAAAGAGTGAATGTCTCGAGGAGTGGCCAGACGCCCCGGAACTTGTGCAGGACATCGTCCGTGAAGGAAAGCTTCTCTGCGAAGGCAATCGTGCATACCCGCAGGTAGCGCAGCGGCAAGAGAGGCCGGAGGACATTGAACACCGGTACAGGGGTGGGGAGGTTAGGATCCTCCTCCTCCTCCTCCTCCTCCTCGTGTGCATATACATCCAAGTTGACTGAGGACAATGTGTCGGCATATGCAGCGAAGAAGTTGTCGAAATGGCTGTGAGTCTCGGTAAAACCATCCATGAGTACAGCGGCAGCTTCAAAACACTCCAGTCGGAGAGGAGGCATCATCTTCACCAGCTGATCCAGGTACGCCATATTGTTACGGTGATGCCCGGCGAACCTCAGCCTTCGGAGCTGAGGGAAACCTCCCTGCATTGATGCATTATCCGGCAACCAAAAGTCCATAGGCAAAGCGAGTTCATGGAGATGATGCAGCTCGGCCAATGCATAGTCATACACGAGTTTCTTGAACCATAAGTCATCCGACCAGAACTTCATGCGTAGCGAACGTAGCTCGCGCGAACGACCAAGGCCCTTCAGGTGAAAAGGATAGTGGATGCTCTGGTCGTGTATGCAAAGGGACTGCAGTCGCGGAGTTCTTGAGGGTAATGCGCTGATGAGTCGTGCGATCGCGCATATCTCGGGAGAATCGTTCCCGCCATTATATGATCCACCGTCATCCTCGAGGACGATGAGCTCGCGGATACTTTGTCCCGCGAGCAACAGTATGATCATATCGAGGTGAGGCGAGACTCTGCACTTGATCTCTTCGACAATCGGGAGTAATGGCTGCCCCGGGTCGGCTCGGGATAGGTGGAAAAGGACTGCAGGGTCTACGTGCTCCGAGCCAGGGATACTAATACGTCGAACAAGTGCTGCGTAGTGAGCGAAACGTTGCAGTTGTTTCTGCGTCGGGTCCTCTTCGGAAACCTAGCAACACGATGCATGTCAGTGTCGCAAGTCGCCGAGGATGGTAGAGCATCCTACCCATAGGCCAGCTTCCTCGTTTACATCATGGTCGCCATACTCTACGCTGCTGGCATTGTCCTTCACCTTGAGGAGGGATGGACCAAGAGAGAGCAACGGGAGTAGCGACGGGAGCTCTCGCCAGAGCAAGCGCAACGACAGTTCGGAGAAAGCTCTCGAAACGCGGGCGCAAGACGCGAGGGTCTTCCATGGCTTTCCGCGAGCAACGTCCAGGTGCGTGGGGACGAACTCTGCACGATTGAGGTGCTCAGGGGGCTGGAGATGCTCCAATATGTATGGTATGAGGTCGTGGTTTGGGAACGCTTGGCGAGGCGCCATCCGAGCGAGAGGAGCCCCAGCAGACGAGGGCGTCAGCCTCAGGAGATGCTGTGGACGCGATAAGAGTCAAGAGGGCGCGTCGCAGCTAGTCGTTCGATGTTAACGCGTTGACTCCTCCTGGCGACGGACACCGCGACAGTCGTCGCCAGCGCGATCATGTGACGGCGCGCCGCCGGCTGGGAGATCATGTCACGGTTGTACGTGCACTCACTCCGAGCTTTGACTGGAACGTCGGGCACCCTTCATATTCGATACAGGTCTATAACTTTTCTCTGCCGCTTTACACTTTCCATCTACATAGCTGTTTCCACGGGCACCTCTGCATCAGTCCAGCTCTGCTTAACATGCTCGACCCTCGCCTGATACCCTTCGAACGGCTCGAGCGTCACGTCTTCCGCATTCCGACAAGCGTCGAACAACAGCTCTTGGAGGGTCTTGATCTCATCCAACACGGGCTTGACGAGCCTATCGCGAAATTCCTGTTCAATTATAGTCTTCTCCGGGGTCTGATCCGTGTCCTCGCTGGCCATCTCCAGCCACACCGTCCCATCAAGGTGCTCCACGAACTCCTCGATGAGATGGTAAGTGGCGAAGTCGGGATGCGTCGGCTCGCCATTGATCAAGCTGCTCTGCACCCATACCGTGAGTATTACTTCTTACATTCACTTGGGTCACAATTGGACTCACCATCTCCTTGTCCCCCAGCACGCGCTCGATAGCCTCGCTGATCCACTCGTGGTACTCAGCCATGTCTCCCTTGCCCTTCTGTCGCCCAGCAAAGACCGCCGCGCAGCTCTCCCAAGTGCACTTATCCTGCGCGTAGAGGTCATGGAAGAGCTTGTCGAGCAGCGAACAGCGGAGTTCTCTGGCTTTGTTCATGCGCTGCTCGGCGGTATAGGTGAGTGCGTCGCGAGAGATGTTGTCCAGGTTGACAGCGCGGAGGTCGGACGGAGACGGGTAGTGGTGCCAGGGACGCCCAGATAGATCGTAGGGTGGGATGGTGTACTGCCATGCCGGCGTAAGCTTCTGGGGTCGTCGTTGGTCGTCATGTCTTGTCCCGAGGGCGTCGAGCGGAAGGTGTTGCTGGCCGTAGGGCTGCTCCAAAAGATGGCGAGTCTATCATAACGGTTCGTCAATTTATACTTGCGGGATGTCTTGGCGGTTGTGGCCCACATAACAAACAAAAGCCGCTTAAACCAATGCGGTATGTACTAACCTCGTTGTGTCAGGCGCAGCGGTCAGCTCTCCGCTCCGGGAGCTACCAATAACCATGGAAACATTCAAGCAGTGGCAAAAACGGTTAGTTCAGCTCGTTTCGGTGTTTCATTGCGACGCTGGCCTTGTTGGTCAATGCGGTCGCTAGCAACGCGTTGAGGAGTGGCTAGTTTCAGAGACGCGTCTCCGCCACAAAGGGCAACGTAGATCATGTGACCGCGTCACAGCAGGCGCACAATCATGCGGCACATCCAAATCGTGCATCTCAACTTGCTCTACTTACGGTCAACTTTAGCCTGTGTATCGTCATGCTGACGAATCCAGAAGATATGCATTGCTTGTGCTGTCAATTGTACTGGCGCGTAAGTTCTCTTACCACTTCTGGCCTTTCAAACTTCGATGACAGTCTGAGCAGGCAGTTCCATCTCCTGTGTGTATCATTGGATTGATCCGCTTTCATAACCTACACTCCATCCAATTATCATTTCCCCTTGCAACCACCAATCCCTCATGCACTCAACATCGCGATGAACTTCGAGCCCAGCGCGTCCGCCGCCATAGGGTTCGCGCCGGACACGACCTCCCTGTCGATCGTGATGCCGCCGAGCTTCTTCCCGGCCGTCGAGATCATCTGCGCGCCTTCTGAAGCGAGCGTGGACTCGACCTTGGGGATCTCGCCGCCCTGCATGTGCTCGACGAGGCGCTCCTCCGCGTCGGACCACGACGTGAGCTGGTAGCCCTCGTACGCGAAGCCGGGCGAGTTCGGTGCATACTTCGTGGACACGAGGGCGAGCGGGCCGTGGCAGATCACGGCTGAACGGGACGTACGACATCAGCAAAGAAGTACTTCAGCAAGACGAGTGCTCGAAGGTTATACGCACCCGTCGGCTTGCGGAGGTTGTGGAAGTGCCACATGATGCGGCCGAGCTCGGGGTTGTCGCCGAGGTCGCGGATGGGCGCGTGCCCGCCGGGGACGAACACGCCCGCGTAGCTCGCGAGCTCGTCGTCGTGAAGGACGCGAACGGGCGCGGGCTGTCGAGGTTGCTCTCCTGCGCCATTTTGTCGAAGAGCGCGTTCTCGTGTCGCCGGCGGAGCCAGTTGCCGTAGTAGACCATGAGCGACTGCGAGAGCGGGTCGATGCTCGGACGCTTGCCAGATGGCGAGGCGAACTATGGTGCGTGAGGAAAGCGGGGTGTCAGTGGTTCGTTGTGGGGACTGACGAAATTTAAGGTGGGCGTACCGTGACGTCGTAGCCGGCCTCGAGGAGCTTCTCGAGAGGCTTCGCGAGCTCGGTCAGGAAGACGCCAGTTTCCTGGTCAGTGGTAGAGCCGTCCTGCTTGTGCACAGGGTACGAGTCGGCGTCTGAGAGGATGATGAGGACTCTTCTGGTGGACATGTTGGTGTGGAGACTGGCTGCGTTCTGAGTGTGTATGCGCGCGTTCGTTAACAGTCGTAAGTCGTGGAGTGTGAATGTGTTCTCGCATTCTGGCCATCGCGGCACTTTATATGTGTTTTTCGGATTGTGGATACCATATTGGGGCTTCTGAGTGGTATCTGGAGTGGGTGGGACGGGTGACGCACCGAGGCATGTCACCAACGGCTGTCCTTGCCACTTGTCCAGCTGCAGTCAGTGTGACACCTGGATCCCCTTCTCATAAGGGTGCTGGGTGTCCCCCTTGTGTCACTGCAATGCTCTGCTAGTAGTGAAGAGTTTCATCGCGAGTAAGGCGAAACAGGGATCCATGGGCAGGGCTATCTGAGTCTTTGAGCTCCAGTGAAGGAGTCGCTCCGCGGTGGCGCCCAAGTCGCGCGGGTCATTCGCGATCACGTGCCATGCCCATCGCGTTCCCCGGGCAGTGGGCACGGCGGAAGCTGATCTGTGATCATGTGCATGAATCCTGAAGACTTATATTGCCAACAACTTAAGCCATCTTCTGAAGACCTCACTTACTCTGTTGCTGAAAGACTGATCCAAGTTGTGGATGGGCTGTAGCATGTATATGAGACATGCGTAGTAGCACCGGGTGGCATGACAGATTTTGAGGGGTTCAAGTTCAGCACAACTTCTCCTCACCGCGGGAGACTGTAGCTGTAGGTTTATGGAGATGTATGTACAGACTGCGTCACATTTACTATCTATATGTGCCCATCCACTGGCCGCAGTGCCCCGAAGATAGTTGACTACCACACACTTGTGTGCGGTTTCGACCCCGGCCCTTTCTTTCCACCATCATCCGTGTCGCACAGGAACCACTTAACTCCCTCAGGCTTCGAATTGTACGCACGCATTGAACTCCTTCCATGCCCTGAATTGCTAAAGAGCTCCCTTGTGTGCGTTGCATGTCAAAAGGGGTGGTCAGCGATGCCGTTGCTAATCCGGATCCACCTCCATTGCACTCGAACTCTTGCCAAGACTCTGGCGGTTTTCTGCAATACCCACATACATACTAAAGTAGGTTCAAATGGATGTAAAATCGCTGCCTCGTCTTGGCCATAGGCCAGCGACTGCTTCCACGGCCGCCGCCGTCTGCTCTCCCATGGAGGTGTCTCCCCACCGATACGTCTTGCATGCCGACTCCAATGCGATTACTCTGTCCGCCATATCGGCACACTGGCTGCAACTTGGACTGAGTCTCTCCTCCTCGTCTGACTGTGCTATGACCCTCACGACCGTATGTGTTGTCGACATCACAAGCAGCGAGCGGCAAAATGTCGGCACTGACCAAGCTGCTCACAACGGCTCGCCGGAATGGCCTGCTCTGCCGCCACCCAGCCATATATAGCCCAACTACCAGCCGACCTACGTCCCTGGCCGACTCGTCAACTACTCTCGGATTACCATCTGGACATTCCTAACAGCCATGACCACCAACGCCCAAGACTCGATCGTCCTCCTCGGCGACTCGATCACCCAGGACGGCTGGTCCCCGTACGGCTTCGCGCAGCGGCTCGCCAGTGAGTATTTTCCATCGCATAAGCCGCCGCACTCTCACAAGCGAGCACCCGCACCGCAGATGCCTACGTCCGCAAGCTGGACGTGATCAACCGCGGCATGTCGGGCTACAACACGGACTGGATCATCCCCATCTTCGAGCAGGTGCGCATCCACCCGCCCATTCGCTCCCCTCTCACCCCTCTCACCCCCTCCCGCGCCAGTCCTTCGCGAAACAGCACGACCAGCAACACCTCCCCAAGGTGCGCCTCCTCACCATCTGGCTCGGCGCGAACGACGCCGCCCTCCCGCCCTCGGGGCAGCACGTCCCGCTCGACCGCTACGCCTCCAACCTCGCCCAGCTCGTGCAGCTCGTCGCCTCCCCGTCGTCCCCGTACCACGCCCCGCACACGAAGCTCCTCCTCATCACGCCCCCGCCGCTCAACTCGCACCAGTGGCGCGTCACCCTCCGCCAGGACGACCCGCCCAAGGAGCTCGACCGCACGTTCGAGGTCACCGCGGAGTACGCCGAGCGCGTGCGCCGCGTGGGCACGGAGGTCGGCGTCCCCGTCGTGGACGTGTGGACGTGCGTGTGGGACGCCGCGGGCCATGTCGAGGAGCGGCTGAGCGAGTACCTGTATGACGGGCTGCACCTCAACGAGAACGGGTATGCCGTGAGTGCTTCCTTGCAGGGCAGTGAGGTGGGATGCTAAAGAGCAGCAGCTCGCGTACGAGGAGATCATCAAGGCGATCAACGACAACTACCCGGAGCTGCACTACGAGAAGCTCCAGCCCGTGTTCAAGCTGTACGTGCTCGCTCTCTCACTCTCCAACACCCTCTGACGCTTCCTTGCAGCTGGGACCATATCAACCCCCAGAATCCAGGAGCAGATCTCCAGAAGCGAAACATCTTCCCAGCATAGCAGCATACTCCTCTCATTGAGCTTAGGCATGAACGCAGAGGGACCCAGCCTCTGTCCTCGAGTAGGATGGATCTCAGTCGGATGTAGCGATATTAAACGAACATGTATTAAAACACCTATCTGCGCAAACGGAACGAACTGATCGAAACGAGAACGAGCGAACAGCTGATGTACAATCCCCATAGACAAGCGAGCCAGCGTCCGACGGGCCTCTAAGTAGCGTGCATATCCGCTGTAAGCTTACATTTCCTTCCGCGGGCCGCCGGGCGCATGCAGGAGGCGTGTGAGATTGGGGGCGAGTTGTGAAGGTTCAAGACACCGGGATCATTTCACCGAGCATACCAGACTGTGAAGAGGGGCATAGGCCGAAACGAGGAGAGAGGATGAAAGGGGACGAAAGGGGGCGGGACACATGAAGAAACGAGGAGAGCTGCATGTTACTCTTGACCGAAGCCAACCGTTTCCCTAGTAAGCACAAACATCGTCAGCAACTACACCCACCAACACCAAACAGAATGACTCACTCCACCGCCAACGTGAGCTTCTGCTCGAGCGTCGCGTAGTCCTTGTACGGCGGGAGGTCGATGCGGTTGAAGCACGTGTGGCTCTTGGGCAGCTGGCTCGGGTCGCCGCTCTTCTCGATCGTGAACCGGCGCGGGCCGTCTGAGCCCTGCAGGTCCTTGAACCCGTTCACGGGGATCCGCGACGTCCCCGTCGCGAACTGCAGCAGCCGCGACTTGCGCTCCGGCGGCCAGCTCCGCACGCACTTCCAGAACCACTGCACGACCTCGTCGTTCACCTCGTACCCGCGGTAGTCCGTGAACTTGCTCCAGTCGTCGCTGTCAGGCAAAGCGCGTGAGCGACGGGTACGGCGGGGAGGAAAGACGGCACGTACACATCGATCTCGGACATACCGCCGATGAGCAGCTCGAGCTCGCGCTCATCGAAGACGTTGATGAGGTCCTGCGGGATGAGCTCGCTGAACCCAGACATGAACGCGTCGAACTGGTCCTTCACACGGCGCGAAATCCTGTACTCCACCACGCAGTTGACATACTCCTTCTTGTTCTCCTCCGTGACGGGCACGTCCGCGCCGCCGGGCTTGAGCTCTACGGTGACCATCTCGCCAAAGCGCTCCTCCGTCGTCGTGAACGTCTCGTCGATCACATCCGTGATGTCGTTCTCGAGCATCCACGTCAGCCCGCGGAACAGCTCCGCATCGACGCTCTCCAGGTCCGCGAGCGTCACCTTCTTGCGGAGGATCATCTTGTAGAACGCGGTGATGAAGTACGCGTCGAGGAACCGCCGGTGGAAGATGCCCAGGCCCAGGCAGCGCCCGATGAACTTGAAGTAGTTCAGGTGCTCCGGGTTCACGCCTGATGCGGGGTTGATCTGGAGGGTATAGTTATCGTGCGCGGAGTACTCGAACAGGCAGTAGAATGGATTGAACATCTCGTGCGAGAGCAGGAAGAAGAATTCTCTGCGACGCTCGTCAGCAGGCAGCAACGGGTACAGTGATTATTGCTCCCACCTCGAGAGACCACCATAATCCAGACCGTCCTCCCCGTCGAACTTGATCATCAGACGCTTCTTCAGGTCGCTCGGCGTCTGCCTCATGATCTCCGCATAGCTGTCCTCGAAGATGTGGTTCCGCCGGACCTTGATCTGGCAGTTGCCCGGCTGCGCCCTCATCGCGGGCTGGCTCCTGAAGTAGATCAGTTTCCTGCGGAAGTCGCGCTTGTACTGCGGCACGTTCGAGTCCAGCGTCGACGGCAGTCGCGGGTCGTCCCACGTCGTTGTTTTCGTGTTGTGGTCCACGAAGTACACCCGCGCTGTCGACGTCAGGCGCATCTCCCACCCGGACGGCAGTGGACCCAGCTGCGAAATGGTCTGCGGCTGCAGTGCCGTGTTCTGCCCTGTCGGGCCCATCACCCGGATGATCGTCTGCCGCCGCGGGTCCACCCACGTCGTCGTGCGTGTGTTGTGGTCGACATAGTATGGCCGGCCCTCGGGCGTGTACCTCTCCTCCCAGCCAGCGGGCAGCGGACCCCCGCCCGAGCTCGTCTGGTGCTGGCTCGCGGCAACAGCAGCAGCAGCCGTGTTGGCCGTCTGCGGACGTGCGGGCGGGGTGCTGGCGTTGCTTGCGGTGTTAGTCGCCTCGAGCATGTCATCGACGAGGATCCGGCGGTTGTGCTGGTCCCGCGCAGCGTTCGTCTGCCCGTCCTGCGCGTGCGTGTTCGCTCTCTGGCTGGACGACGGTCGGTTCCATGTCGTAGTGCGCGTGTTGTGGTCGACATAGTACGTCCGGCCGAGAGGATCGATCCGGCGCTCCCAGTTATCTGGTAGCGGTCCATACTGGTCGACGTGCGGGTTGAAGTTGCGGAGCTGGGCATTGTTGTTGGACGCGGCGTGACCCGCTGCGCCGGGACTGGTTGCAGGCGGCTGCAATTCAGGGGTTCCAGCGGCTGCAGGAGTCGTACCTGTGCTGATCGGACGAGAGGGCGGTAATTGAGTCTGTTCAGGGTCTGGCGCCGCTGCAGGTGGAGGCGCCGTATATGGCTGGGGCATCGCCGCCTGCGCGGATGCCGCCGTCTCGTGGGCACTTGGGGTGCGCGATAGCGAACCCGCTGTAAGGTTGTTAGTACTAGCTGTCGCCGACGAGTTGAGCGATAAGCCTGAGAGTGTCTCGGTGACGCCGTTCACTTGTGAGGGGCCGGGGTTGCTGATGGGCTGGCTGACGTTAGTCGAGAGGTAGAGGATGAGTTTGCCGTGCACGACAAGGTTGTCGTTGGACTTCTTAAGGTCCAGTGTAAGCATCTCTGTGATAGATGGATCAGTACAGTATCACATAAACAAGATGCATCGCATAGCCCCGAAAAGATACGAGCCGTAGCCAATGTCATCGCGATTATACAGCCTTGATCCATACCGTAGGCAATCCAAGCGGCATGTCTGTTCAGTGGGCCCTGTGTCAATCCACCTTGTGGTCACCGGATACCACGTCTCCTGCACCACATGTGGATACCGCCTCCCCGGAGAGCCCACAGTTTGGAGCCAACCATAGTGTGAGACGGAAACGTGGTCAATAGGATGCTCTCATTCGACGCGAAGGCGATCCACGGAGTACTCCTTCGGCGTTTCCATTCCGCCCACGCGCCACGACTTACTCGGATGAGGACGAAGCCTCCCCATTTTACCAACGAGGGTTTGAGCCACGATATGAGCGCCCCGATGCAGGATGACAAACGCTGGCAGGCGGGACGCCGTGAGTGCGCAGGTAAACCGCCCTGCGTAATGTGCCTTCGGTGACTTGGCGGCGCCCGGTAGGCAGGGCATCCACTTGCTCTTCAGAGCCGGGAGTTCGTGTGACAATGGCTGCGACTGTCCCTACGAATGAGATGATACACTCACCATGTCCACCCAGCTCGAGGTCAATCACATCGGCGACACGAATGTTGACTACGCCCAAGAAGCCCTGATCCCGCTTCTTGAACTTGCGTTGGTCAAAGATTTGAACGGCAATGACAGAGGAGTCTTTCGCGAAGCTACGGGAGGTCAGCAGCTGGACGCCCGGGCCAGAAAATGGGACATACATGTCGAAGCTCTCATTCCAGTACGGGTTCAGTGTCTTCTTGATAACGCTGGTGGTGTGCGTCTGCTCCGCATCGACCGTGATGACCGCAAAGGGGTCAGGCAGGCGGAAGACTTCGCGCTTCGACAGACCATCGGCAGCAACAACTGCTGCAAGTCAACTACCACGATCTCGCTCTATCCCCAGGCCTCACTCACCCGTGATCCTGATCTTTTTCCTGCATTCGTGGTCAGACCAGGGTGCGGCTGTGAAATACGAACACTTACGGTTGATTCTGCGCGTTCTGAGCGGCGGACATGGCTCACCAGGAAACCAAGCCTCAGTGGGTTATGGAGATGTGTAGTCGATACGAGAGACGGCAGTGATGGTGTGGAATGGGAGTTATGCAGAAGGTGTCGGGATGAGCTCAGCCACGTCCAGGCTCAGGCTGTGTTCCTGGGAGCCTCGGCATATTCCAATATATCTATTCTTGGTCAGCCCGCGCCATTTTGGTGCTTATCTCGTTCTGACAAGGCCTTGTCAGCAAATCATCGTTGCGCCTATTGCCCTCAGCTGGACTTAAATTTGCCACCCGGCTACTGGTCTCCGCGCCGCGAGCGGTTTCCTCTGGGCTGCCCCCCTGCTGACAAGCCTCGAGCTCGAATGCCGGTAGTCCCCTATACAGCACATGTAGCGTTTGCAGCTGGACGGTCTGTCTTGCTTGCGGAACTGTCATTATTGAAAGTTCCATCCAATGCTTGCCTGCACGCCACAAGCCGCGCACTGTTTTGTGCACGTCTATCCCTCCTCAGTAAGTTCATACACTAAGTAGATCTTCCCCTCAGCTTTCGTTCACCGTCGCCTCCAAGTGCTGGTATCGGTAAATGACAATGGTTTCGGACCCTTCATATGAACCATGTCAATGGTATATCTCCATCACACACAACTCAGGCGATCGTCGGAGCAGCATGCATTCGAGTCAAGATTGAGTCGACCCGGTCACGGTCGCTTCGAAGCTTCGAAATGACTCTTCAGTGAGTTTAATCGCCTGCTCATTGAGATCCTGGTTTCATCAGGAGACCAACTGTCTTGGGTACGCTACCTCTGCTAGACTCACATCATGTCTTCGGAAGAGAGTTCGCTGCTTGGTCACAACGTGTCTGCAGTAGCGGACGAAGCGGCTTTTGAAGATGAGCTGCAGACGATGTGTACAACCGATTCACGAAGGAACAAAAGCACAAGATTGTCGCCGTCGTCTCTTGGACGGCCTTGATACCTCGTATGTCAGACAAATTCGACTGTCAAGGCAGTCTGATGAAGTTTGCGCGCGGTTGACAGTCTTCGTCTCTGAGTCTTTTGTGCCTACGGTACCCGCGGTCGCGAAAGAGTTCAACTCGACGGGAGAGATAATCAAGTGAGCGGTTTCTTCAGAGTATGTGATTATCGCATGGACCAATTGGTTTTCAGTCTTGCCGTGACATTTTCCATGGCATCAGCTGCCATCACCAGCATGGTATGGGCGACATATTCAGGATTTTGTAAGCGGGCCCAGACATAGCACAGAGCGCCATCCTGGTCTAACTCGGACGATTCGCAGACGGTCGCAGGCCCATATACCTGGCTTGCCTGCCACTATTCTGCATCGGCTCTTTAGGCGTGGCGTGGTGCAACTCCGTACCCTCACTGATGTTTTGGCGTGTGCTGCAAGCGGCCGGCACGTCGAGCGGGATCTCCGTCGGTGCCGGCGTGCTCGGCGACATCTACAAAGTCGAAGAGCGAGGCGCCGCAATCGGTCTATTCATGGGCGTAAGTTTTACTGCATAGCATGAACACAGTGCCCGTTACTCAGTGCTCTTAACAGGCCTCGCTGCTCGGCGCAGCATTTGCGCCACTCGCGGGCGGTGTGGCGACACACTACGCGTCATGGCGGATCATGCAATACGCGCTCTTCCTCGTCGGTGCGATCGCGTTGCTCCTGACTCTGGCGTATCTCCCAGAAACCAGCCACCCGGGTACTCGGGGCATCGACGAAGTCTATGAGCGTGGAGATCTGGGACGCGGGAAATTCAGATGGGTCTGGTTGAACCCCTTCCGCAGTCTGGCACTGCTCAAAAGCCCAAACCTGATTTTGATCGTGCGTGGAGTGCTCGGGCATGGATGCGAGAGGCTCCCTTTGTACTGATATAGATCCCTAGACACTAGCCTCAATTGCGGGGCTAATGACTGACTTCAGTGAGCTCATTTGTGACGTCCAAAGCCGTAGTCTTCTGATGCGCTAACCAGCACTGCTGATCCCGTTGCCTTACACAATTGTGGGTACACTCTACAACAACTGCATTACCATCCAATTCAACCTTTTAAACAGGGCAAGCGATACAACATCGACAACGAAGCTCTCGTAGGGGCGTGTTTCATTGCCCTTGGTATGGGCAATATTCTTGGTGCCCCGCTGGCCGGACGACTCTCGGACAGGACGGTCGTCAAATGGCGCAAGCGGCGCGGCGGCGAGTGGGTTCCCGAAGACAGGCTGCGAGCTGGCCTACCCGCGTTGGCGACCCTTGTGCCATTATCCGTTCTCCTCTTCGGTCTCACGGTACAGTACGTCGACGGAAGGTTAGGTATTGCGCTCAACCTGTTGTGGCTCTTCATGAATGGCATCGGTGTAAGTCATTTTGCCAAATAAATGTTCGTCTACTGTACTGAACCGCGAGGAAGGTCGATCTTTCTCTCAGCCCTGTGAACACGTACCTGGTTGACATCGGTCGCTCGCGCAGTGCGGAATTCATGGCCGTGCAGAAGTGAGTAGTGCCGTCCTCATAATCCTTGCCGGCCTCGATGAAGCTCGCTGATAACGCGCCCTCACAGAGCATCTAGGAATCTTGTCGTTGGCATCGCCACCTCAGGGATCCTGCCGTTGATCAACCGTCTGAGTGTATCAGTCACCAACGCCCTCGCAGCCTTCATTGCACTCCTCGGATTCTGGTAGGGCGCATCTCCCTTGTGTGAGGCACAGTTTGCTGACGTTCCGTCCTGCCAGTTGTCTGTGGGTTACGGTTCGCTATGGACAACACATGCGAACATGGGTTGACCTGGGGTCACCGGAGAGCTAGAGTGGATTTGACGGTTTGACCGATCGCTCGATCGCAATAGAGCGCAGTAGGCTTCACTAGCTTCACTGCTAGATACCCATCATCAGTCGTTGCAATCGAGCATTCATGTGCATCTGAAGGCCTGTTAGGCTGAGATATCTACATCGCATGAATAGGAAGTAGTTGCGCGGGCCACGGGAAGCGCTGAGCGCTGAGCAGGCACCTCGATTCTTCAGACTCCCGCCGAGACCTACCCGAGACACAGCATTTGCACAGCTCCTCCCTTAACCAGCTCCTTCTTTACCAGCTCCTCTTTTACATGTCGCGTGTACAGAGCAATCGCACGCAGCCTGCTTCGAGCTGCTAGAGTGCATGCCAGGGCGCAAAAACCCGCTCCAGATATCCCGGATAACTGAACGGGTGCAATCCGCGATCACGACCATTTCATCGAAAGGAGAACACCCGTCTGACCCGCTCGCCCTCGCTATTACCCAGTCGCGGCTTGAGAACAGCCCCATCGAAATGTCGTTCAATGACCTCGTCGTCTTCTTCCAGGCTGCGTCGGGGCTGCCGAAGATGGACGTAGTGGGGAGCGCAGATCCTTACTTCGTCGCCAAGCTTGATGGCAAGCTGCAGTACATGTACGTGGCAACGTGTTCTCTGCGCGTGGACTGGGACTCACAGAGCCGCGGAAATAGATCATCAGTGAAGGAGAACACTCTTTCACCTGTCTGGGACGAGGCGTGGAGGGTCAAGAACGTCCCGCAGGGCGCAGTGTTGGCGGTGGATGTCATGGACAAGGACAGCAACAGCCTGACAGACGGCTATGTCGGCCAGTTCAGCTTGGAGGTCTCATCCGGGGAGAAGGATATCAGGATTGAGGACAAGATGCTGAAGCGGAACAGGGGGACGTTCTCGCTGAAGGTCCGTCCGCATCCACACCGACCAGCGTGCCGCTCATAGAAACCACACCCAGATAGACATCGTGCCCTCGACGGACGCCGGCGCGTGCGAGCACCCATACCAATTCGACGGCCCCATCCGCTACTCGTTGCACTACTCGCCCACCATCGGTCGTCTCACCCGCGCCGACAGCCGCCTCTACGCGACGTGGAAGATCTACATCAAGGGCATCCGCCTCTTCTTCGGCGACGAGGTCCAGCCCTGGAACCGCGACTACAGCAAGGCGCGCTCCATCTTCCAGGGCCCTACCGCGCTCGCCGTGCGCTCTGTCATCCACACGGGCCACCGCATGCTCTACGCGCGGTCCGCCGCAAACACCTTCGGCGTGCTCGAGGCGCCCTCCGACATTCTGCACCTCCTCCACGGCCACGCCGCCCGGGCACGGACGGCGCGAGCGACCGCAATCCGTTCGCGCACCGCATCAAGCCCGCGCTCTACACGTACGTGATCTCCGTGGACGACGACTCGATGCGCTTCTCCGAGACGGGCGCGCGGTTCCTCGTGAACATGGCGTCGAAGCACGCGCTGCACTCAAACTGCGCCGACGCGGTGCGCTATTCGGGCGAGTTTCACCCGCGCCCCGAGGGCGGCTGGGACAAGTTCAGCGACGACACGCGCGACGAGGACGTCCGCTGGGAGCTCGTCATCGACAACAAGTCCGGAACATACTCCCCGAACAACCAGCTCTTCCCGAAGCTCAAGCAGCTCATGGAGTACAACTTCCCGGCGTTCACCGTTGTACCACTTGATTACAGGGACCCGGAGCTTGCGCGCAGCAGTGAAGCGTGTCTGGCGTATGCGACATCGAAGCGCGGTGTCAACCCCGAGGATCTTGAGCCCCGTGTGCCCGAGAAGGAGTCCTTGGTCCAGCGGGCATCCAATCACTTACACAAGCACCGACCCTTCAAAGCGCCAGAGGATGCAGAGCCCGATTCTGAGGTCCAAGGCTCAGCTTGTACTTACGAACACACCGAGTAGAACGTCTATAACACGGAACACCAGATACCTGTCCTATACCTTACCTGTGCTCCGCTGATTCTTGTATCAGTAGCTTACCGCCTACTTACGTCCTGTACTGACCACTTACCTGGGACTGCCTATTTATGACATCTTCCAGCACCGCAAACGAGTGTCAATAACAGAGAAAGCGACGATGCATATCTTCGGATATATCAAGCAGGGTATGCACGATCCCGACGACTATGATAACACTAAGAGCTACAAGTGCGTGCATGGGGGAGACGGATGATAATGTACAGTTCGTTGTCTTTCCAACCTGCGAATAAATGACCGCATAAATCATCACGTCCACGCCGCGCGACCACCACCGCGTATCGAACCGCTCACCATTTTGCCCTTTCGACCTCCGCCGGCCGGCCACGTCGCACAATACATTAGTCTTGTTCCATGTCCGACTCGTCAGACACGTCCATCGCATCTGGGTCCACATCCGCGTCCGCATCAACGTCAATGTCCTCAGGCTCAAACTCGAGAAGGTCCTCCGCCATGACGCAGCACGACAGCTGGGTGCGCACGTACGGCGCGCGCACCGTGCTCGTCTTCCGATTCGCCAGCGGTCGGAACGTGTCTCGGCGGCGCAGCACCATGTTCGCGACAAGCTGCGCGATGGAGCGCATCGCACCCTTGCCGGGCGCAATGCCGCGCTCCATCTTTAGGTCGAGCAGCGCACCGACCTCCTTGCTCCGCTGCTTCTCGCGCTTGCGCGCCCGCCGCGCCTCCGCACGCATGTCCATCGCGACGTGCAAGTCGTGCTTGCGCATGCGCTTCGCGTCGTCGTCGAAGGAGTCATCTGAGGTGTCCATATCCGCATCGATATCGCCGTGCGAGGGAGGCAGGAGGGCCTTGGCTGCTGCGCTCACGCGCTCGGCCAGCTCGGCTTCTGCGCTCCGGGCGGCGCGTTCAGCAGACAGCGCACGGCGGCGGACGGCACGCAACTGGAGGAACTCGTCAACCTCGAGGTTGGTTGACGCTGGGTCCAGCTGGACGTCGAGGAACTGGAGATCGTCGTCGTCTGGCGACGGGGAGCGGGCTAGCGGCGGGTCCACCGATACAGGCTGGAGGAAGAGTCCGAGCCCCTCAGGATCTGCGGGAGCCGAAGAGAGCAGAGACGGCGCGACGGAGAGGATCTCTGACGATCGTTGCGAGGAGTCGTCCGGCAAGGGATCGAGCGGAAGGGTCGGTGAAGAGGCGAAGGTGGACATTCGGCCGATGTATCCGCGCTGGGAGATGCGAGTAGCTGTTGAGGCGGACGGGGAATAGGGGTAATGCACAAGGGGTCGTTGTAAGAATTCCGGAGATCCGAGTATGCGGTGGGGGATAGAGATGTGGACCAAGGGCCGTCTTCAGGTGATATTACAGTGTCAGCGAACGAGCTATCGGAGTCGTCGCCTGTGGGCAGAAGTAAAGCCAACGGGGGTCGTGGCGAGTTCGGTGGTGGAGGATCGCCGTCGATGTTCATTATATCTGTTTCGCGATAACTCGTGTCTTCGTGATCATTGCCGTCCTGCAGAGGCCAAGGCGCCGGCTGTCGAGAATCAAGTCCATCAAGGCCGAGCAAAGCCGGACGCTCTTTGGGGAGGTCGGAAGCATCGAATCCGTAATGTTGAGACGAAGAGAAATCATCTAAGTCTGGCAAGTCCAACGAGAGGGACCTTGGTCTCGGTGACGATGGAGGGGAAAAGTCATCGTCGCGGTCACTGCTGGAAGACCAGTCATGACTGCTCCAACTAGGCGTGCTGTGACTCCGGAAGGACCGTATGGGCGGTATCCCCAAAGCAGAGCCGTGGTGGTACTCAGTCCCTAAAAGAGCGGGATTGTGTGGAGCATGATCGTCCAACTCTAGGTGCATGCTGAGCGGGGAGTGTGGCGCCCAGAAAGCGGTCGGCTCGATCTTCGTGAATCCACCGTCAGACTCCTCCGATAGGCTCGGAAGGCTACCTACGCTGGATTTGTGCTGCGGGAGACATTCCTCGAAGCCAGAATCGCCACGCGACGGTAGTGTATGGGGAGCCACGGTCAGATCCGTAGGGACCGCATTCAAGTCAGTCCACGAGCCTTCGAAACTCCATCCCCGCGAGGTGGGTACTTGGGGATGAGAGATCGACGACTGACCATAGGCAGCAAGACAGTCATGTTCTTTATCCGCGAAAGTCCATCCTGTTGTGGCGCATCTTGATGGGCCGGCATCCCCGCCTTCCAGAGGAAGCGGGGAACCTGATTCGTAGCCATCGAGCGCGAGAGCAGCGTCCGAGTCAATGGGAGGGAGCTCTGAAGTGCCTAGAAGGTGAGTGGGCGGAGGTGATAATGGCGCACGAAAGCCGAACGCGTCGCGCGACATGTTACCCTGAGACCGATTACAAGTGTCGCGCGAGAAGTAGTCTGTCGGGAGGCCTTGAGTGATATCCGGAAGCGGGACAGTCGAGCGCAGCGAAGCGTCCGTCAGCGGTGGAGAAGGGAATGGATGGAATAAAGCGTGTTGTCCGGCGTCTGACGGTACGTTCACTGGCTGCGAGACAACACGGCGTGGCGAGGAGTAACGGCCACGTACAAAGCACGGTGATATGGTGGAGGAAGCGCGTAGATCCTGCGATGTGTCCCACAATAAAGTGGGCGAGATGTCCACCGTTGAAGATGGATTTGCTGGTGGGGAGAGAATATCACTGTGGCGCGTCGCGAGGAAGTTGTCGTCAGCCGGAGAGCACAGAGCCATGTACGTGTTCATTATACTGCCGTTGCCCGTTGCCGACGCTGGCGAGAGACCGTTGTGAGTAATTTTGTCGACATCCGCGCGCGCGGAAAGCACCGCTCGATGCAACATGGCAGACTTACCAATGATCGTCCTACTTCAGCGGGGTGGAGAGCTGGCCGGTCAAAAGGACATGTTCTCGCGCGATGGACCGTAGAAGATGGCTGGAGGAGAGGCGATGCTGCCAGCAGAGCAGGTAGAGATGCTGGACGAGCAGAGGACTTGAGCCAGCACGCTCGACTCTGCATGGCACACTCCGCATGTTACCAAAGCCGCTCGCCAGGCGGGCCGTGACCCCGGCCACCGCCCAATCGGGTGTCCCGCTCCCCCTCATTTCGCCGCCACACACGCGTGCATTTGCCTCCGTCCGCGCACAGTGCGCACCGCCCGCCCTTGCTCTGTGCAGCCTCGCCTGCGCATGCCGGCGCCCGCAGCCAACGTCTCAGTCGTGCCCTGCCCGCGGCACGGTGTTGTCTGGGGTCAGGCCCGCGTATCAGGTTAGATCACTGAGCATCCGAATCAGAACGGTCCGAAGTACAACTGAACGCCTGCAGACGCTCTTGTCGACGGCCGGATACGGCTCCATTTCGTCGCCCTGCTGTCGCGCAGCAACGGCCACAGGTTAGTCCAGTCTTGTCTCGACGCCGCCTTGCAGAGCCCTCCTTCGTCAGCGAATTTTAATTTCACTGCCGCGGCGAAAACTGCACATCGCGCGCAGCACCCCACCTCGCCGGATCCCAATTGGGAGGCATGATAGAAGGCAGTGCAAAACATGCGGACAACTCGAGGCAGCACGCCCGACTGACCCAGAGTGGGTCCACCGCCAGAGTGATCTGGACGATGGGTATCTCCAGTCTATCGACATGACCGCTGACCATCGATACACATGCACAATATAGAAGTCGCTGGGCATACAAAGCCGGCTTCTACTGATCCAGATTTATACCGTGTTCCCCGCCGCCATTGTTTCGTCCATCAGGCTTAGTGTCAACGTGCCGCGTAGTACCTACTCCCCAGTTGCGTGGATTGGGCGATACCAGGGTGTTGTTCGCCACGAATTGGCTGCTTCTGCCGCGTTACGGAGTGATGGAGCATCATGCACCGGCCCTGCTCAGGACGCTCAGATGGTGGGGTAAGTTCACATCCAAACCTTACCGCGTCCATTCTTCGTCGGCACTAGGGAGGCGGTGTCCACAGGGTCCGTGCGGATGACATTGCAGGGAGGTGCTATTCTCGGGTCGCCTACAAGCTAACGCGATAGCTTCTTGAAGTAATATAAAAACGGCGGCTTCAAGTCATGTGAGGTCGCGCTGCGTGTGTATCAGGCAGCCGTAACGGTGAATTGCATCGCTTTGTGAACGGCAACGTACCTTAGCCATACAAACCTCCGGATCAGGACGAGATACAAAGGCCGTGTACCGTAGTTTATCATGTAAAACACGACTCCTTTGGACCTAGTGCAAATCTGTCAACCTACTCTATCCATCCAGCACGAAGATCCGATGGATAACCTCCGGAACACTGGCATCTCATCGTACACGGTTCCGATGGCCTGCAAATGTTCTCAGGTCGAAGGGTCTCAAGGGTCAGAGGACGATCTCGCATTGACAGGAAAATCCGGTGATCGGGCGAAACCAAAGTCGCATGGTCCAACGTGCATATCTAATCCAGCCGCATTTAATGAAGTGACCGCCTGGCCGGCGCGAGCGTGCCATGCGTTCACGCGACAGCACCGAGAATGAGGGCGACCACGATTGAGGACAGCAAGTTCACCTGCCGTACAGCGAAGCCTGCTATCAGCGACCACGGCATGTACCGTGGCAGCGCTGCACGCACGCACCTGGTTGTTCGTAAGGATGTTCAAACCGCTCACGACCTTTACGTCCGCATCCTTGGCGGACTGGGAACTCTCGTCAGTCAGGATACGTTTCGTAGTATTCGAGTAGCGTGTTCGCTGAATGGTGGCTCCCATGAAAGAATCAAGCTGAAGCGAGATGAGCCTTCGTGTTCGTTCCATATTCGCTTGGTGCTCCACTCACTAGAGATCCAAGACCGCCAGCAGCAGTTCCCCACGCAACAAGTGGGAGCAGAATGTCTTGCCAACTCGCTCGGCATGCGCTGCTCTCCACGAAGAGCGAGACAGCGAGCGTAACGCCCATCACGAGTCCTCCACCGAGCGACGCAAGTGTCCCAGTGACAGACATACCTCCATTGGTACCCGGGGGAACCGGCTTCAGTGTGGTGATCAAAATAGGTGGAGACCGAGAAAGGATCCCGAGCTCGGACGCGAGCGTGTCACCAAGACAGCACGCAAAATGGCTGAGACCCGGTCCATTTAGCTCACGAACAATGGATGTGCATAACAGACGCACCCAAGAGCCACGAACAGCAACGACCGACTCCAGCTCGCGGCCACAGGCGGGGTCAAGGGACACCACTCATCCAAGTCATACGGCACCTGCGGGGGCAGCGCGTCCCCCAAAACACTCCCGAGCACCGACCCACGCACAAACAGCGCACTCCACGCCAAAGTCGCGGCAAATGCGGACGCGGAGTTGCACAGCACCTGCGACGCCGACCTATATCCCGCCTCCTGATGGCCCTCCTCGAACTGCACCTTCAGCTGCTTGCCCACTTTCGTCGCGCGTGAGCCGACGAGGTAGAACGTAATCAAGGAGACGCCAAAAGCCCGGAGCGGGACCGCCATCATGGTGAAGCCGACAACAAACGCGGCGATTGCGCCGGAGGGCGAGAGGGAGCGTTTGCGTAGGCCATGGAAGCCGAGGAAGGCGGCGAGGAGCAGGGGGACGAGGGGTACGTCAGTGGGAGTCATGGGGCAAGTGCTTTACAAGATGCTTGGGCTGCGATGTGAGATGAGGCAGAGGCTCGTCGATGTCGTCGGTGAAGACGCGTATGTCAGCGTCTCAGGTGCTCCGAGGAGACTACAAGCGGTTGGCGCTCTCCTTCGCGTGTGGAAGTGATGAATGAAGAAGACAGAGCACATAGGCCATAGTACTCCCCAAGACAAGGATACATCTGAATCGAAAGTGAGACAGTGTCTACTTACAAGTTTCATCGCGTTTGAAGCTGTCGTTCGCAAACAACTTGAAGTACCGCATGAGAGGAATGATCACATGACTGTGCATGCATAGTAAGTACTTATTGAATTTTGAACGCGTCGCGACGCGCTGAGCTCGGGGCTACTGGTATCATCGTCTCGTCAACGTCATAATGGACATACTCAACACCAGCAATTATACATAGACTTTGGCTACCCAGCCGAACCGCACGCGCCGAGGTACTGATCTGAGTTAGATGCTGCGATCACTACGAAGTCGAACGCGGCAGAATCGGACAAGGTCACCGATAAAGAGGTTTCAGCTGCATTGCGGTGATTGGGGAGAGCCTGGGACACCAATAAAATCCACTACGCTGTGCTGCAGTAGCATCCCAAAATTGTTGCCGGCCACCGCCCACTCGTGTTCAAGGGCTACCAGCTCACGTCGTGGAGGCACCTCGTCGGACGCATGCAGGGTGGCGAAATCCCCAAGTTCGAGTATACGCTCGCTTCAAAAGGCGCGCAGATGGTCTCAACGACCGGGAAGAAGCTCGTCGGTATCACGGTCGACAGGGAGGTCGTGTCAGGCGCGAACCCTATGGCGGCGGACGCGCTGGGCTCGAAGTTCATCGCGATGTTGAGTGTGTGAGGGGTCTGGTGGTTGCAAGAAGGGGACTATGATGATTGGATGGAGTGTAGGTTATAACGGCGTAATGACTCCAAGGATACAATAGGGAGATGGGACTGCCTGCCACTCTCATACGCTTTCAGTGTTTGATAATGGCCAGAGTGGTTTAATGACTTACGCATCAGTACCAGTTGGCAGCACAAGCAATGCGTATCTTTTGAATGCGTCAAGATGACGATAGACAGGCTACAAGTTGACAACGAGTAAGTAGAGTAAGTTCGGCGATTTGGATGTGTGCGGCTGCTGTGACACGGTCACATGATCTACGTCGCCCTTTGCGGCGGAGACGCGTCTCTGAAACTAGCCACTCCTCGACGCGTTAGTAGCCACCGCTTTGACCAGCAAAGCGAGCGTAGCAATTGAACACCGGAAGGAACCACCTGGTCATTTCCGCCGCCGCCGCTTCAATATTTCCATGGTGATTGGTGGCTCCGGAACGGTGAGTTGACCGCTTTGTCCGACACAACGAGGTCAGTGCGTACCGCATTAGTTTTAGCGGCTTTTCTTTGTTATGTGGCCTCACCTGCCAAGACGTCCCGAGAGCATAAAAGGACGAACCACTGTGATAGACTCGCCATCTTCTGCAGTGCTCCTACGGACAGCAACACACAACTTGGAACACGGGACAAGACATGGCGACCAACGACTTGAACTCCCAGAGGCTTACGCCGGTATGGAAGTATAGTATCCCACGTTACGACCTATCTGTGCGTCGCTTGCGCCACTACTCGTCTCCGTCTGCCAACCTCCGCGATGTCAACCTGGGCAACATCTCTCGGGACGTACTCACCTACACGGCCGAGCAGCGCATGAACAAAGCCAGAGAGCTCCGCCGCTCACTGCTCGACAAGCTCTTCCACGACCTCTACGCGCAAGACAAGCGCACTTGGAAGAGCTGTGCGGCGGTCTTTGCTGTGCGACAGGAGAGCAAGAGAGGCACGCTTGAATACCACCGGTGGATCGACAAGGCTGTCGAGCGCGTGCTGGCGGGGAGGGAGATGGTGAGTTTGATTTGTAGCTGACGTGAATGCAAGGAAGTGACACTCACGGTATGGGTGCAGAGCAGCTTGATCAATGGAGAACCGACGTATCCCAACTTCGCCACTTACCATCTCGTCGAGGAGTTCGTGGAGCACCTTGGCGGGACGGTGTGGCTGGAGAAGGCCAGTGAAGACTCCACGGACCTGAGCTCGGAGAAGATTAGAAGTGAGCAGGAGTATCGCAACTGCCTCGTCAAATACGTGCTGGTCCAGATCAAGACCCTCCAAGAATTGCTGTTCAACGCTTGTCGGAATGCGGAAGACGCAACACTCGAGCCGTTCGAAGAGTATCAGGCGAGGGTGGAGCATATTAAGCAGCGCTGGAATGATGCAGAGGTGCTCTGGCAGCCACCGTGGAATCAGCCATGCCAGTGCAGACACAGGGTGTAAAACGGCCTAGAGAAAAGTTGGGATTTGGACTTACTGTCTTGTATGTATGTACTTTCACGATGGAAGGGTTGGACAAAGTTCGGAATGAGTGCGTGAAGATCTGAATCTCGGCAGGCCACACGGGCGATCGCGCTGGTGGTAGTCAACCTGCGCCGTTCGGCTTGATTCTGGCGACCGTCTCGACGCGTCGGCGACGAACTACAGCGCATTGCCCGAGACCTATTGCCCTCATCCTCTCTGCAGAACTTTCGCCTCCGTGTGACGGCTATCTGCTCTGCCGTCGCCTGCTCAGATGGCACCTCACCGAGTGTTGGAGACCCACGACATTCTCTTTCACATATTACAGCACTTCGGACCGTCCGCACGCTCCGACCATCCGGACCTCCTCGACGTCGATCCGAGCGTCGCGCCTGGAAAGCAATGGAAGACTCTTGCGCGCTGTGCACGGGTCTCGAAGGCCTTCTCTGAGCCAGCGTCGGCTTACTCTGGCGAGAGCTCCCGTCGCTCCTCCCACTGCTCTCTCTCGGCCTATTACCCCTTGTGCAGGATAGAGTCGCCTCTTGTGAGTATATGCAGAGGTGTAGGGCCTCTGCAGTCCAAACCCGTAACTACGACTCAGAAGAGGACGAGGATTTTTACCTAGATTCAGACGAGGACCTGCTAGTGGACGATTCGGATGAGTCGCACGATTCAGTCAATTTGAACGACGTGAGGCTTAAGTATGGAAATGAATGGGTGAGCCAGACATCATATACCCGTGAACACGATGCTGATGACACTGGCATGTGCACTCTTGTCAGAATTTTGATGGCGTCCCATCACAGAAAGGGCTGCAACGTTTCTCTCAATACGCCACACTTGTTCGACGGATTAGTCTCCCCGAGCTGGAGCGCATCGACACCACCGTCTTCTTTCACCTCTCCCGAGCGAATCCGGGCCACCCACTCCTTCCAATGGTCGTTGAGATCAGGTGCAGAGTCTCGCCTGTCGTTGACATGACGGTGCTGTCGCTCGCGGGGAAAAGTCTCCGCGTACTGGTCATCCTCGAGGATAATCATGCATCGTGGAATCGTAGGGATGACTCTCACGAAGCTTTCGCGGTCAGGCGACTCCTTGGCGCACTACCGTCACGGACTCCGGAACTGCGGACCCTTTGCGTGTACGACCAGGGCAAGCACACGCCTTCGCAATTAACCTGCATTGGTCAGTTACGGGAGCTGCGTTCATTTCGCATGAAGTCGTGGTCAAAAGACCTATGGGTCGGGGCCTTCATGTATACGTTGGCCACGCTAGAGCATCTCCATGATCTCGCTCTGCCCTTGGACAACCGTTGGATCCCGCAAGAGACGCCGATACAGGAAGGCTTTCGCGAGTTGCGTAGGCTGAGGTTCGATGGCTATCGCCACAAAGACTTGTTGTTATTGGATTCTCTGGCGGCGATCATGCCTTCCATCCAATTGGAGCGACTTGATGTCATCGATGCCTTTGTGAATAGCTTCGAGGAGGAACGCAGCTGTTTCGACACATTCGCTGCTGCATGTGCCGATACGCTGACCACGCTCAGATTCGTTCTACATGTAAATCCGGACGAGGAACTCTACACCGTGCTCTCCATCCCCGTGCCGGCATTCAACATCTTCCGACCCCTCGTGCAACTGCATCACCTACAGGTCTGCAGGATCACCTTCTCTGACCATCTCTCCTTCGTGGATGATGACCTGAACAAGATCCAAGGCGTTTGGCCGCACCTGCAAGTGTTCGCTCTTTCGTGGAAACGTTCGCGCGACACGGATACGGCACCTTCCTTCCGCGATGTCATGGATTTTCTCCGACAGTGCCCTCGGCTCGCGGTGTTTAAGCTCTCTGCCGTTGTTATCCTCGGGCAAGTCAGAGCTCGTAGGACAGTCAAGGCTCTGCCCCTGAACTTCGTGGTCAAAGACAAACACATTCGGGACCCCGTCACGTTTGCCGACGCTCTGCGCTCATTATTCCCAAGAGTCCGTGTCGATAACAAGACCTGCGCAGGTGCATCTGGCAAGTGGGCTAGGGTCTTATCGAGACTGAGGGATACGTAGGTCTGGGCCAGGGACTCTGGCGTACTACTACTTTGTACCATCCCGAAGCATGTCGCGATCAACGGCTCGATGACTGCCTAGATGTTGGGGGATAAAATCGTGTCTATCGTGTGACGTTAGTTCCGACAGCATGTAATACGATACAGTGTCCATGGCGTACCGTGGACGATGGAGGCGGGCTGAGAGACGCAGACTCGAGTTGGACTCGAGTCGCCTTCAAGGACCACTACAGCGGTCACGTGCCATATCTCGCCACGTCGCGACGCGTCGACTCAGGCGAGAGTTCGACACCACCACGACGAGCCGCTGTCGGACGCCATACAGTCCAGACTGACGTGGAATCACTCACTTTTTGTTTTACTGCTGCTTGCTATGGTCTTCGCTTTCGCGCCTGAGATGAAGCAGCATCGAGCTTTGGATAACCATGACATCGTGTCCAACATAATGCAACATTTCGGGCCTCCCGCGCGACTCGATTGTACGGATATCACCGACGTCAGCTTGAGGGTTGTTGTTGGAAAGCATTGGAGGGCCCTTGCGTATTGTGCACGCGTCTCAAAAGTCTTCTCTCAGCCAGTGTTGCGTTCCTTTGGTGCGAGCTTCCGTCACTCCTCCCATTGTTCTCTCTCGGTCTGTCCCTGTTCAAGGCCAAGAATTATATCGGGGAGGTTGAAGACGACGATGACGATGACGACATTGAATATCTATGGGTGCGACTTTTTGTAGCCGTATACGTTCCAATGACTAGGATACTGACGTGTCCGTCGCAACAGAGTTCTAACGAGGTCCCGACGGAGCAAGGGCTCGGACGCTTCACAAAAATTCGCAGCGCTCGTGCAGCGCATCAGCATTCCAGAGCACATCGATCCTTCCATCTTCTTCCACTTCTTGCGAGCGACTCCGGGCCAGCCACTCCTCCCCATGGTCGAGGTGATCAGGTGCACTGTCTCACCGTCCCTCGACTTAACCATATTGTCCCTCTCGGGTCATCACCTTCGCGAACTTTTTGTTCGTGAGGATAAAAATGCGTCATGGGACCGCCCGGAAAAGGCCCCTGAGGCTTGTGCTGTCAGACGGCTCCTCAGCGCATTGCCTGCGAGGACTCCGGGCCTACAGTCTCTCTGCGTATATGACAAGGGCATACACAAACTCCAGCACATTCTATGTGTTAGTCAGCTGCGCGAGCTCCGTTCTCTGCGGATGAGGTTTTGGCCGGAGGATGCGTTGGCCAAGTTGGAGCACCTTCAAGACCTCGATCTGCCCTTGGACGACTGGGTGACAGTACAACCCATACCTGAAGGATTTCCTCAGCTGCGGAGCTTGAAGTTTGATGGGCATGACCAGATAGACGTGCTGAGTCTGCCTGAGCTCGCAAAAGCCATGCCCCCCATCCGACACTTGGAGCGTCTTGAGATCGTCGACACTTTCGTGGAAAGTTTCACGGAGGACGACAGCCCCCTTGACGACTTCGTCGGTATATGTGCCGATACCTTGACCTCAGTCAGCTTGGATGTACATCCGGGTGGACCGTGTCCCGAGCTTCCTTTCCCCGTCCCAGCACTGAACATCCTCCGTCCCCTTATGCAGTTGCATCACCTCCAATCCTGCGACATCTCATTCAACGAAAACCTATCCTTCACCGACGGCGACCTGCGCAAGGTCCGAGGGATCTGGCCGCTCCTAAAAGCATTCACTCTTTCCTGGCGGCGCCCGTACGTCGCCGGCTCGGCCCCTTCCTTCCGCGCCATCGTCGACTTTCACTCGGCGTCTTCCGATCTGACGGTGCTCGAGCTCCCAGTTGTGGGCATCAACGGGAAGTGTGTGCGCTGCAAAGATATAAAAGCCCTGCCTCCGAGCTTTGTCATCGAGAACGAATGCATTCGAAATCCCGAGACACTGGCGCAGGCTCTTCGCGCGCTATTCCCGAAGATACGTATCACTAGGGATACCTTGAGAGGTACTTCTGGCGAGTGGGGCATGACCTTATCGAAACTTAGGGATACTAACAAGTATCATTGATCATCGAGCAACATGGTGTAGTTGTTTGTGCGTAGTGCATTGCTGTGTAGATTCACGTTTTGTGCGACCTGCTGCCGGTGCTCGCTGTTCGAACCTTTTTGAATCACGCTGTCCCACTACCAATCGAGACCTAGTTTAAGCATATTTTGACGTTCGTCAACGCGGCTGGAGATTTCCGTCTGGTTGAAAGCTCGGACGCATACTGTCCCATTGCATGCAAGAATATATGTAACATTGCGGCATGTCTCTGGTATCTCCCTCTCGTCGCATCGTCATCAATGCATCACGCCTGGCGAGCGCTGCACCACCGACATCAAGTATGCAAGAACTCTCGTGTCCTGTGCACGCATCCCGACGGATTTTTCTGGACGTGCCCTGGGCCACATGCATGACTTGGCGCTAGTCGCGACCAACTGACGCCGGATAATTGAACGTGTCCTCGAGACGCCACCGAGCTCTCTCCTCCGACTCTGCCTTCGTCGACGGCCGCATCAGCTCCAGATGGCGCCCACCGAGCTCTGAGTAACAACGACATCATCTCCTACATACTGGAGGAATTTCGGCCGCCGCACACCTCAATCATACAGACGAATTCGTCCCCGCCGCGCAGTTGAACGATGCCGTCGGAAAGCAATGGAGGAGTCTCGCGTATTGCGCCCGCATCTCAAGAGCATTCTCCGCACCGGCATTGCGCTTGCTCTGGCGAGAACTCCCGTCGCTGATCCCGTTGCTCTCCCTTGGTCTGTCCCTTGTCGAGGTGGACCCCGACATTACAGGCCCCGCCACGATGAGGACGATGACATATGGGTGCGATGAATTTCGAGAAGTCGGGAGGGCCATACTTGCGGCACTAACATATATCGTGCTAGGTTCAAGTTGCCAGGGAGGGCCGCCCAACCGCAAGGGCTGCAACGTCTCAATCATTTTGCGGCACTCGTTCGACGCGTTAGCCTCCCTGCTTCGGAGGACGTAGATTCCACAGTGTTATTTCACCTATCCCGAGCCAACCTGAATCAGCCGCTTCTTCCGATGGTCGATGGGATCAAGTGCACGGCCTCACCTCAGCTCGATATGATCATACTGTTGCTCGCGGGGCATAGTCTCCGTGAGCTCATAATCACTACTGGGGCACCATGGACCTCGGGGAGTTCCCTCGCGAAGCTCTTGCGTTGGCCGGCTGCTCGGTGCGCTTCCCTCAGTGACACCGGGACTGCAGTCCCTTTGCGTGTACGACACGAGCACAGATGGTCTTAGGAATAAAGTGTATTGGTCGTTTGCGCGAGCTACGTTCGCTACGCCTGGAGTTCCGGTCGTACGAACATTGGTCCAGCGCCTTCTTCCAAGCGTTAGCCAAGCTGGACCATCTCTCCGATCTCGCTTACCCTCGACGACTACAGAACTGGAGACACCCGATGCAGGAAGGTTTCCCTCAGCTACGTAGGCTGAGGTTCGCTGGTCATCGCCATCATGGACATGGCAGCCTTTGGCTCTCTGGCGAAGGTCATGCCTCCTATCCGATTGGAGTACCTTGACGTCGTCCACGCTTTCGCGGACAGCTTCACGGAGGTTCACAGCCATCTTGACGAGTTCTTCACCACATGCGCTGACACATTGTCTACCGTCAAGCTGGGCGTGTATTCGGAGAACGGGCACCGCCGCGGCGCCGCCCCCTTCCCTGTGTTCAATATCCTCCGGCCCCTTGTACGACTGCATTGCCTGCAGGTCTGCACGATCTCCGTCTCGAGGACCCTCGCCTTCACAGATCGTGACCTGCGCAATGTTCGAGGGGTCTGGCCACACCTACAAGTGTTCACTCTTTCCTGGAGCACCCACGTAGCGCAGGCACAGCACCTTCTTTCGACGACATCGTCGACTTCCTCTGGGAGTGCCCTCGGCTCACGATGTTCAAGCTCTCAGCTATATGCATTGATGGGACGCCCCAGTCTTGTACGAACCTCGAGGCCCTACCCCCGAGTCTTGTAGTCGAGGACGCACACATTCGGGACCCTATGGCGTTTGCAGACGTTCTCCGCGGTCTGTTCCCAGCGGTTCGCATTGCAGAGGTTTTGAACAGTGCGCCTAGCAAATGGGGCATAGTCTTGTCGAGACTTAGGGATACCAATAAGCCCACGGATCTTTGAGCGCCGCAGCGTGGTCGCCATTCCTGCATAGTACGACGCTGGTCTTTACTTCACGTTTCTTGCAATCTGCTGTCAGTGCCTGGCTGTTCAAATGTTTCCCGAGTTACTTACGTCCGTTGCACTACTTACGCTGCTTCTAACTTACTAACTGACGCACTTAGCATCATGTGATTGCGTTTATTACTTACTACTTGTCTTGTCGACTAGCAGAATCGTTGGCTACGTCCTGCCATACAATGTTCTACACTCATATTGTTGACCAATGCTGCGCAGCGGAAAGGAGTTTGGGAGAACATCACAGTCATGTCCCGATGCAGTGGCAGCAGCCAGGCCCTGCTGGCTGCCATTCGGACGTCCTGAGACTTCCTCGCGTTGCACTCCCGTTACTTATGCGACATTATTACAGTACTATTAACTCGAAACCTGCCAGTGGGCTAAGCATGTCTTGTCAATCATCGACGGGCTGCCTAGCGGCTCACTAGCGCTCACTGGACATGTTGGCACCTGTCCGAGTCATTATTGCAAAAATTGCAAGAAATCCTGTACATTACATCGCGGCATGTTCCTCCGGGTCGTATCTCCCTCTCGTCGCAATGCATCACTGGCACCAAGTATGCAAGAATCCTCGCGTCTTGTGCACGCCTCACGACGTGTTTTCTGAGCCTGCCCGCGGCGGGCCACATGCATAATCGACTCGGCGCTAGTCGCGACCAACTCCGTATACTAATTAAACGCGTCCTTGTCTCCTCCGACTTCGCCTTCGTCCGACGGCCGTCAGCGCGTCGGCTCTCAGATGGCGCTTCACCGAGCTTTGAGTAACGACGACATCGTCTCCTACATATTGGAGGACTTTCGGGCACCCACACGCCATACAGCCTTCGTCCCCACACACCTGGACGTTGCTCGCGGAAAGCAATGGAAGACCCTCGCATCTTGCGCCCGCGTCTCGAGGGCTTTCTCCGAACCGGCATTGCGCTTGCTATGGCGAGAGCTCCCGTCGCTGCTCCCGTTTCTCTCCCTTGGTCTGTCCCTTGTCGAGGTGAAGCCCGGCATTATTAGCAGCTCTTTCGGCAGTGATATCGATGACCTCGATTCTGACATATTGGACATGCCAAGCTTATGGGTGCGATGGATTCTGATATTTGAGCCGGGGAGGAGGAGGGACACTGACATGCGTCGCGCCAGGTCGCCGAGGAGGGCCCAGCACAGCAAGGGCTGCAACGTCTCGCTCACTTTGCATCGCTCATTCGACGCGTTAGCCTCCCCACTTCGGAGACCGTGGATCCCACTATCTTCTTTTGCCTATCCCGAGCCAACATGAATCAGCCGCTTCTTCCAATGGTCGAGGGGATCAAGTGCATCACCTCGCCTCACCTGGACATGATTATCATGTCGCTCGCGGGGCATAGTCTCCGTGAGCTCATCATTCTCAAGAATGCTCGCGCCCCATCCTACCATGGGGAGGTTTCTCGCGAGTCTCATGCGGTTAATCGGCTTCTCGGTGTGCTTCCCTCGTTGACACCGGGACTACAGTCCCTTTGCGTCTATGACACGGGGGGCATACATGAGCTTTGGAATATAGAGTGTATCGGTCGTTTGCGCGAACTACGTTCGCTGCGCCTGGAGTTCTGGTCGTATGAGTCTTGGCTGGAGCCTTTTATTCACACATTAGCCAAGCTGGACCATCTCTGCCATCTCGCTTTACCCTACGAAGACTACATAGAGGAAGACGCACCACCGATGCGGGAAGGTTTCCCTCAGCTGCGGAGGCTGAGGTTCGCTGGTCATCGCTATGATGACATGGAATACTTTGGCTCTCTGGCAAAGATCATGCCTCCTATCCGATTGGAGTACCTTGACGTCGCGGACGCTTTCGTGGACAACTTCATGGAGGATCACAGCGAATTTGACGACTTCTTCGCCACATATGTGGACACATTGTCCACGGTCAAGCTGGATTTGCAGTCGGACGACGAGGATGACCCAACCGCTCAGTTCCCTGTATTCAACATCCTCCGGCCCCTTATGCGACTGCATTGCCTGCAGGTCTGCAAGATCTCGTTCGCAGAGAAATTCGTCTTCGCAGAGCATGGCCTGCGCAACGTCCGTGGGGTCTGGCCATACCTGCAGGTGTTCACGCTTACCTGGAAACACTCACATAGGGCAGGCGCGGCACCTTCTTTCGACGATATCGTTGACTTCATTTGGGAGTGCCCCCAGCTCATGGTGTTGAAGCTCTCGGCTGTATGCGTCAATGGGAAGCCCAAGTCTTGTATGAAGTTCAATGGCCTACCACCGGATTTCGTAGTCGAGGACGCGCGCATTCGGGACCCTACGTCGTTTGCCAACGTTCTTCGCGAACTATTCCCGGCCATTCGCATTTCAAAGACCTTGAGCGGTACCCCCGGCAAATGGGGCATAGTCTTGTCCAGACTTAGGAGAACCAACAAGTCTAGATCAACGGGTCATTGAGCGCCGCAATGTGGTTCCAATTCCTGCACGGTATGTTAGTCTTCATCTTAAGTTACCGTGATTCGCCGTCATGCATCATGCCTGGCTGTTCAATAGGTTCCAGAGCTACGTCCCGGCTGTCGCGCTACTTACGCTGCTCCTAAATAGTATGATGACAGACATTACCCTGCCTGAGATTCCACCTCCCTCGAGTTACGTGCTTCCCGTGACGTTCGTCGGCCTGCAATGTACTTAGCTTCTGCTGCTCCCACTTACGCGCATAACGTCATATGCATGATTGTGGTTAGAGTTGTGTGACTCTGGGTCAAATAACGTACCACGATTACCGTTTCGACTTAGCCGGCGACGCGGTGCGGGCGGCTTGGTATTCGGTTCCATCGTTAGTATGCACAGTGTGCAAACTGTACTCAGTACGCGGTGGCTCTCTCTTCGTGCGCGTCCACTACTTCATCATTATCACCGTTGCGAGCCTCCTGATTTATACTTGCAGATGACACTCCATCCTGCCTTGCAGACATACGACATCGTGTGGCGTATACTCCAGGAGTTTGGCCCCCTCTCTGGTCGAGGCGATGTGGCAGACAAAAACAAGTTTCACTCTTGGTGTCGAGACAGAAAGGCTCTCGCGTCGTGTGCACGCACCTCAAAATGGTTCTCGCAGCCTGCCTTGTGTCTGCTTTGGCGAGACCTAGATTCGCTCCGCCCGCTATTGTCTCTCCTAGACACCTTACATATTCGTGTCAGGGATAGCGACGACAGATCTATGGGCAATCATGGCATTGACAGGCCATCGGTACGTGATTACTGTAAGCTATCGAACGACGGTACGAATGTACTGACAATATGAAGATCACAGAGCGTCTGACACAGACAAAGCGCGATCGCTTCATGCAGTATGCTCAGCTTATCCAGTGCATAAGTATCCAGCCTCGCGAAATTCTCATGGCTCCCGCCGTCCTCTCCCTGCTCAGTCTTATCAATTCGGGCCAACCTCTTGCACCGATGCTCAGCCAAATCTGGTGCACGCTATCATCGGGTGTGGATGTCGCCTTGGGGTACCTCGTCGGTCCGACGCTCGACACCTTTATCCTTCACGCTCCTACGCATGACTCATTCGGAGACGATGTTGATGGTAGGGCGGAGGCAAGAGCAACATTCGAGCGCATCCTACGCTATCTTCCCGATAGATGTCCCGGACTGCGACATCTCCGCATTGACTACCAGGTGGAAAGCTTGTCGCACTTGGTCGACCTCGGCCGCTTCGCTCACCTCCAAACGTTGCGTATTGACTGCGAGCATGCGGCGCCCCTGATACGGAGTTCTTGCGTGCGCTATCCGCGCTGGAACACCTCGCCCATCTCGTCATGCCGCTCGGGAATTGGGAAGCGCATGCGCAACCGATCTCTCGGGGCTTCTGCAGTTGCGGATCCTAGAGTTGACAGGCTCGAGCAGTCTGCAGCTACACCCAGTTGACCTGCGGCAGGCCATACCTTGCCTCCGGCTGGAGCAACTCAGGATAGCTCGTCCCGCACGGTCTAGTTTGATCCATCTACCACAGTTCCACGACACCTTTGTTCCGTGTCTGCAAAGACATTGACGAGGATCCACTTGTACATGACGGGGGAGGGTGCTACAGACGGCACGGGAGCTGCGTTTAGCGTCTTCCGACCTCTTCTGCAGTTGCGCAGATTGCAGGTCTGCCATGTGTCCCTTCCTGACCACGTCATATTCACCGACGGCGACCTCCGCGATATCAGCGAAGCCTGGCCGCTATTGACCGCCTTCACTGTACTCTGGCGAAGTCAGTGGGACCCTGAGGTGCGCGCACTCACGTGGGGCAGGATCCCCGTGTTCCGGAGCGTTGCGGATTTCATCTGGGAGCACATGGCACTGGGGAGGCTCACCTTGCTGCCGTGATGTGGGCAGTCAAACAGCAATCAAGGCCGCCTGCCGCAACGTGTATCGATTCACGGATGGCCTCTTGGTCGACGACAACAGGATTCGGGACCCGGGCACTGGCAAGGTCTTCTACGTTGTTTCCCTGCCTCCGCCCTGCCAACACGACTTCGCACATGCGTCTGTCCGCTGGAATAAGGTACTGTCCGTGTAACTCCAGACATGGTACCCAGGAGCACCTGGTAGGCGGAGACTCGCGGCAGAGTAGGACTCAGCTGATATTATTGGGTTGAGTACAGTGCTGCCATTGCAGCGTATATCTTGGTAAGACCGCGCGTTATACAAAGGACGTCTAGTATCCAAACGTGAGCCTTCTGATAGGTACGCCATGGACCGACATTCCAAATCTAGCGCTGCCGGCTAGTAGGAGGATCAACTCAAGTGTCCCGGCTGGAATGCTACCTGCCACAAGTTGTACTCGCTCAGCGTCGCCTTCCGGAACATGAGCGTAATGTCCTCATAGTAGTCTTTCCAGTAGTCATAGTTGGCGATGAAGAAATCTGCGCAAGCGTGTTGAGACATTCGCGACGCAGCTTCAAGGACGCGCCCACTCACCGATCTGAGGCTGGAGATAGGAATAGTCGAGGTTGGGTAGGACCCACTGCTCGTACCAGAGTGTATCTGGACCCGCAGATCAGAGACGCAGAAGCATGTGAAGGCGGATAAAGGACAAACATACCGTCGGAGAATGACGTGTTCACCAGCCCTTCCGCGATGTAATAATATGACTGCATGATTCGTTCATATCGCGTCTTATAAACAAGCGCGACATCCAGGGACCCACCTGTATGCACGGAATCTGCGCCGCCAGCGAGACGACCCAGTTGTAGTCCTTCGCAGCCACGAACTGGAAGTCGGTATACTGGTTCAGCGCCGCCGTCGGCGCCGCACTCAGCACCACGCTCTCGCTGAGGCCGAGCCCCGCGGGCGGCGGCGCCGTCGTGACCTGGACGGACGAGAGGGCGTACGCGCCGTCGTTCGCGACGTCGCTCAGAGAGCTGTTCAGCTCCGCGAGCGACTGCGCGCTGAAGGACCGCTCGACGTCGAACGCGAGCAGGCGGATGCAGTACCAGTAGTCCTGCTGGGGATGCGATCAGGATGCTGTATTGCCGGGGTGGGTCCGGCGGTGCTCACCACTTCGTACCACTGGTATCCTGCGGTTATGGACTCGTTCCCCGGCGCTGCTGTCTTCATCGCCTCGATGAACGGGTTGCTCAGGAGCTGCTGCCATATATCCTGGTTGTCCTGGATCAACCGGGCGACGAGATCACGGCTGCAGACGCATATGAGTGTGGGCCCGGTGCGGCTCAGCCGTCGACGTACGGATCCGCGGCGTCCTGTCGCGGAGAGAGCGCCCTCTTCCGCGCGACGGCGTCGATCTTGTGCTGGGGGACGCCGTAGTCGGGGTGGGCGGCGTACTTGCGGAGACGATCGTGGGCGATGCGAGCGCGGGCGGATACCGCTAGCGATGGCACCGCTGCATACAAAGCGAGAACGCCGAGGAACAGGAGCGCAAGGAAGTGCATGGCTGCCTGCTGAACGGGCTGGAACCTCGCGGAATCTCAAGCCTTTATATCGACACTGCTGGACGCTACGCGCCAGGTATACTGTACACGACAGGGACATGACGCGACATGCAGGGTCCTCGGAGCGAAATGTTCGAGCGAAGATGAGAAGAGGGAAGACGTGAGAGTCGCAGGGACTCTGTGCGCCAGGAGCCGCTCGGAAGCGGCTCACACGGGCAGCGCGGCGTCAATTCCAGTTGGGGATGAATCTACGAAGCCCTACCATACTTAGATGCGGGTGAGCCTGGGGAATCCGGAGAAGATGGGATACATACCTGACTGGGATCTTGCAGATAAGCACCGCGGAGCACCTTCCGCTTTCAAGTTGCTGCTGCTGTCCTTGTGCTGTCTCCTCGTGAATACGATAGCTTAGTTCTGGTTGTGGTCAATGTCTGCTCCTGTACGATCCTCCTCCTCCTCCAGGGACGCTCAGTCAGTCCGCGGATAGATGCAGATTCCAGGATAACAGGATCATGATAGCCTCGGGGCGACGTGCGCCTCAGTGCGTTCAATGGCCTTCCCACCTCAAGGCCTCATGCCAGAAGAAGGATGCACCGCACGAACCGACTGGCAGGCACCAAATCACCATATGAGATGTCTTGCCCACCTAGTGCCTGGAGAACTAGAAGTGATAGGCTGCTCACAGGCGTATACATGCAACGCTGGCGACGAGCGAAAGCGCCGCTCCTCTAACAGCACCCTCACCTCTCCCAGCCAAACTCCGAGAAGAGGAGTCGACTCACCTGCTCTGCTGCAACTATTGAACTAAATCGCGCCTCTGAGCCGCATCGCTGCCCGTTCCCTGGGCAGGTGCACGTTCGCGAGCCTCGAAACGCGTCGGCAGCACATGCGTGACAAGCTTGGAATCATCTACCAGTTTCCCTGGGGTGTTCGAGACTCCGAAAGGTTCACGTTCAGATCTCAGAGGTTGCCAGGAGGGTGAGAGGCGGACGGACCGTGAGCGCATTGTCCAAGCCAAATCTGAGCCACTGTGGCTGTCGCAGGGATCTTCGCTTAGACGCCCATACATATCGAGTCCAGCGAGCCTCTTCTCCCTCGTCCCAACCCAACGCCCCCTGGTCTCTCGCGCGTGTTCACGAATATTCAGCTACTCCGATATCTGGGACTGTGGATGTACAACCGCTCTGCAGCAGAATAGCTCCTACGACGCGTGTTTCGTCAACTAGAATTCCATCTCTGCGTAGGCCGCTACCGCCAGTGGCTCGCCCGCAACCGCCATGGAAGTCGACATGTCCGCGCCGACAGACACCTTCCGCGTCACGCGAGCAAAAGGGCGCGCTCGCCCGCGTCCCCGCGCGCGAGCGAGCGACCCAGCGTTCGTACTTAGCCCCTCCGTCTCTTGTCTGCGGGGTTGACACGCCGACAGAAACGGCCCTCGCTCGGCGGCGCGTGCATCGCGATCCCTGCGGCGCGCAGCCGCGGCGGCTCGGAGGACTGGGTCGTGCAGACGCGCGGGCTGAGCATCGACGGCCCGTTGGCGGCGCACCCCGCGAGGCTGGGAGAGGTGCGGGAGGTGGTCGCTCCGGGTGCGGAGGCGGGGAGGGAGGGGGGACAGATGATGGATGCGACGATGGTGCGCGGTGTCTTATACGCGGCGATGTGTGTTCTGGCTGAATCTCCCATGCAGGCGGACGAGGACGTCGCCATGGCGTGTTCACCCCCGCGACCCCGCCTGGGGATCGACGCGCACTCGGAGCCGGCTGTGCTGCCACTCGTAGACTCTGCTCTCCAGGGCCAGGGACTGCCGGCGGCCTCTGCGGCCTCACCCGACGTGCGGATGGCTGCCTCTCAGTCGCACGAAGCAAGCATGCCCTCCCGAAGACAGCGGTTCACCATGGGCCCGCGCGCCGACTGCGAAAAGTGTCGCCTGGGTGTGAAGGGCCACTGGATGCACTTCGATTGAACACACATGGGACTGCGGTCGTTAAATTTGTCGTTGTTGCTGTCGACTCTATGGGACATTGTCTACATCGCTTCCGTACCGTACCTCACGTCTTTGCTAATATGCCCCAATACACATGTGCCATTCGCTTGTATATACTCTGACCGCTAGAGGTCACGATTGATCTGCGACTCGGAACGCACCTGTGTTGGCTGCAACAATACAGTATATGTGAAGAGAAAGAAGATGGGCGAGCGAGGACAGTGCGGGTTACATACGTGCGATCTGAGTCCATTGATTCGGCGGGGATTATCCTTGTGCATGCGAGCCGGGTAAATGTGCACGGCACCGCGTGCTTCGAGGGCTATTTCCGCGCTCGAGCAGGCTTTCTCTCGCTGCCTGTGCGGTGGTGAGAAATGGGAGGCAGGCGGGACGCCGCTGAGGACGGCGGGCTGGAGGAGAAAAGCGCGGCGCGGCTCGTGCGCGAGTGAGGTGAGACGCGCGGGAGGCCCGCCCTTTGTCTCCTTCCACCTCGTGCTCGCGCCCTCGCCGTCGCGTACGCTACTTTCCCGGCTGTAATATTCTCTCCGGCACCGTGGGGCACGTTCCCTGTCACGTACTCTGTAGCCTGGCCACGCCCCGCCATGCCGGCCTTCGATCCTGTCCGCGACGCCGTCCTCAACTCCCCCGTCGTGCCCCCCACGACCACCCGCCCAGGATGCACATCGACCTCCCCACCGGCCCCCCGCGCGCCCCTCGTCCTCCTCCGCGGGCAGCGGCTACCGCACCGACTCCAGCCCCAGCGTGGCCACCCCGCTGACGCGCCGCGCAACCGACCTCTCCGTCCTCCTCAACTCTGATCCCCCTCCCCTGGACACACCGCTGTTCACGCCCACCACGCCCCGTGGACCTGCGACACTCTCGCATATCCTCCACCCCACAGACACCGACCGTGGCACGCCCGAGCGCGAGACGCTCTCGAACTTTGCGCCCCTCCGCAGGCGATCGTCGGGTGTCGAGAGCGGGTATGCGGGCGCGGGCATGCCAGTGCGCGACAACTCGTACTTCTCCTTCCCGGGGGATCCTCGTGGCCTGCCGTAACCGCATCACTGGGCTCCCCGCTCACGGGCCTCGCGCTCCCCGGCTCGCTGCCCACCCCGCACCTGCCGACCCCAGCCCAAGCACTCGTCCAACCGCACACACCATCCACACGCACAGACACCTCGCCCCTCGCCCCCGCGCGCACCCCGCCCGTGAACCGCTCGCCCGTGACGCCGACGCTCTCCAACATCATCTCTCCCAACCCTGCTCCAAGCCTCCGCACCACCTCGCGCCCCTCCTCTTCCCACTCAGTCTCGTCCAGCACTATGCCCTCGCGCCCGTCCACCGCCACCACCCCCGCGTCCCAGCGCAAGGCATCCGCGGCCATGCCCCCGCCTCTCCAGCCCGCGTCCCATCCAGCGACGCCACCGCCACCCAAGCCCGCCTCGCCCCGATCGCCGAGGATCATCGCCCGCCCAGCTCCCCGCCAGGTCCCCGCACCCGCACCCGCACCAGCACCTACTCTCCCGCCCAAGCCCTCCGCGCCCACAGGACTGGCGAGCCTGCCCCCGAAGCCTGAGGTCGACCCGCCGCCCCCGTTCGCCATCAGACGCAGCGCGATACCCTATGCCCCCAAGTTCCGCCGCACGCCTGCGTCCTCCGTGCTCGTGCCGCTCTCGCCCGCGGAGATGGAGCGCTACCGCAACTTCCCGGGCGGTGTGGGCACCATGCTGCTGAGGAAACGCAGACGGGAGGACGGCGGCGAGCTCAAGCGCGAACGGAGCGTGAAGCTGGAAGAGAACGGGGACGAGGAGGAGAGGCGGAAGAGGCGGAGGGTCGGGGACGTCGACGTCGTCGTCGAGCACTGTGAGTTCTGCGTTCCGGTGCGTTGCGCGCATGTTCTGACGATGCGCAGACAACGCTCGCCCGGACGTCGGCGTCTCGCAGCGCCAGGAGTCGCCTATCATCGGCCTCAAGAGCTTCAATAACTGGGTCAAGAGCGTGCTCATCACGCGCTTCGCGCATCCTGCACTGGCAGAAGGCCCCGTCTCGCCCGCGGAGGCAGAAGGCATGGGCCGCGGCCGTGCAGGGGAGCGTCCGGGCGGAGTGAAAGGTCGCGTGCTGGACGTGGGATGCGGCAAGGGCGGAGACCTGACGAAGTGGTCCAAAGCACGGGTCAAGGAGTACGTTGGAGTCGGTGCGTCGTCCCCCGCCTCTCCTCTCAGCGACCACTGACCTGCTGCCCACAGACATCGCCGCCATCTCCGTCGACCAAGCGCGCCTGCGCCACGCATCCCTCCGTAGCGGGCCCCGGTTCGCCGCGAGCTTCTTCGCGCTCGATTGTTACGAGCACCTCCTGCGCGACCGCCTGCCCCCTGCGGCGCTCGCGCGCCCGTTCGACGTCGTCTCGATGCAGTTCTGCATGCACTACGCGTTCGAGAGCGAGCAGAAGGCGCGCTGCATGCTCCAGAACGTCTCTGAGAACCTGCGCCCGGGCGGGACGTTCATCGGCACGATTCCGGATGCGAACCAGCTCCTGTCAGTCGTGCATCCCGTGCTCTAGTATGTGTGCTGTTTGCTGACGACGTGGCTGGGTAGGGAGAGGCTCGGCGCGCTGCCGAAGGACGCGCAGGACCTGTCGTTTGGGAACGACGTGTACACGATCCGGTTCGAGGAGCGCGCGCAGCGCCGGCTCTTCGGCCACCGGTACTGGTTCTTCCTCAAGGACGCCGTCGACGACGTGCCCGAGTACGTCGTCCACTGGGACAACTTCGTGCAGTGCGTCCATCGCGTTCTCCTTGTGTCCGGGGACGGATCGCTGACGGCCTGGGACGCATGCAGGATGGCCGCGGAGTACGGCCTCGGCGTGATCTACAGGCGGGAGTTCCATGAGGTGTTCGAGGAGCACCACGAGCACCCCGAGTTCGCGCCGCTGCTGGAGCGGATGCACGTCGTGGACAAGGACGGGGAGAGCAAGATGGACGAGGACCAGTGGGAGGCGGCGAGTGAGTGCTTTCTTTCTTGAGTGTGATGGGAATGTGTGGCTGACGGGCGGGGCAGATATCTATATTGCGTTCGCGTTTGAGAAGCGGTGAGGGGAGGGATGGGTCTTCGTGGCCCCCTTGTTGGGGCGTGTCCGCGAGGGACTCGATCACGACGCTATGGCACGTCCTCCGTCGACGGACGCGCCACACTGCGCACTCAGAAAATGGCGTGGCCAGGCTATGTCCTGGCTAGCGGGGGTCACTAGCCGTGGCTTCACCATCCCTCGACCATGCACCCTTCGAAGTTCGTCATAATCTGATTCATGTAGAGTTGATTGTTATGCTTTGCTGCTCTCCAGGCTCAACTCGGGTCGCCCCAGGGCTGGGTTTCGTATGCTCGCGTCTGTACGTACTGTTGTACTGTATGTAGCCATAGCGGTATCGCCGATGTCATTGTTTACGGGGCTTCCGTCCCGGGATGACTTGACCGTTGAACGTTGAACAGGAAATGGCTGACATGCGGTCGGTACACGACAGTAACAAGTCGGGAGTCGATTTTCTAGCTGATCCGCCAGCTCACTGCGCTAGACATCCCTTTGCGAAGCCGCCCGAGTGCCACGGAATTCACGTTGAACAACGGACAGACAGGTTCAGATTGCGATTCGACAGTAGATGGGACGTGAGATGGTATGTACTCTACATTAACGGCAACAATACGGCAGTTCGTTAGGGTCCTGCGCTCGGCCCTTGTGACACAACAAGAAAGCACTGGGGAATCGTATCACTGGGCGTCCGTTGTCCCTCCTCAAGCCAGATACATAACCAGCGACGTCGACAACACTGCACCGAGCAGCGCCGCGGGGGACGACGAGAAGCCGAGGCGCGCGCCGGAGGATCCGGGCACGGGGAGGAAGTGCTCTGAGTCGGAGGCCTGCTGCGCTGCGGATTGCTGTGGAACGAACGGGCACTGTGAGTGGGGTGCAACATGTAGAGACGAGGGATGCGGACCTTGAAGGCAGCGAGCCCGATGAGGATGCCCGCGGCGAAGAAGCAGAAGGCGATGATCAGCCAGATGACGCCCCACACTGGCGGACCGTGGTCAGAACCCGGTGGTGGACGTTGTGGAGCGACGCGCACCTTGGGACGGGCAGCACCCGCAGATCTCGGCGAATGCGGACGCGTCGGAGCTGTTCACTTTGCGGTCGATCGTGTCGTCTGCGGGAGGACGAAGGGTGAGGGGAATGAGGACGTGAAGTGCGATAGGTAGGGGAGCGGAGACGTACCGATGATGTCCCAGAGGACGTATAGGCAGGACATCACCCCGATGAACAAGATCTAGAGGATGTCAGACAACAGAGTTGCTGAGGCACATCGGTTCAAAGCACTCACGAGGTATCGCAGGGCGACACCGCCCGCGACGAACCAGAATAAGACGATGAGACCAGCCATTCCAAGGATCAGCACCCATGTTCTGCGTGAGGCCGGCACCCGTCAAACGTGGAGGCGGAACCCGCACTCAAGGACACTTACAGCCAATCTCTCCGCGCCCACCACAGTGTGAACAGGAAGAACGCCGCCAACACGAGCGACGCGACCTTGCTCGCGTTCGTGTCGAATCCGCACGCGATCAGGGCTGCACCGATGAAGCCCGACCCGAGATATCCAGCGGGCAGCGTGAGCCAAGGGATGCCCCCCGACATACGGGTCTCGCCGCCTTCCCTGGCTGGACTCCGTGCGTCAGTCGGTCGATCGGAAGGCTGTAAGGTCGTGCTCACGGTCAAGCTCGATGGAGTGGATACGCGCGCATGTTAGAACTGCGGGTGCATGCTGAGCTGCGCAGAATGGAGAGGAACGAGGAGAAGCGTACCACCCATGAAGGCATGGCTCATCTGGACTCTCCCTCAGCATCTGCGTCATTGCGTGGTTGACGTTCGCGGACTCACCTCATGGAAGCCAACGGTTAGTAGCCTGCCGTCATTCGTCAGTACCTTCGCGGTCGGCAAAAGTAGCTCCAGACTCACTTGAAGGGATAAACTGGACAGGACGGCAAGCAAGCACTTAGGATTCACTCCGTGTCCATACCGAACGACGGTACTCACTTATGGCCGATAGATACGGGACATGCCTGTACGTTCGTGCTCAACGACTTGTTGCACAACACTTCATGACCGAGTCCACCCACCACAGAATCCCAATAGCGATGATATAACACCCAGCCACGATTAGCGTTACTTTCTGCTCCGAACTCGGTCTAAGCGAGTCCTGCACGGTCCGCGCAGTGTGGTAGAACGTATGGCCCGCATCCTCGGGGACGTATGGCATCGTGAGGGGTCGTTACAGTCGTTCGAGCAAAGTGAATAGCACTGAGCGGCGATGAAAGTCTTCAGGAAGAGTCAGAGGTTCGGGAAGCGCGAAGGCAAGCAAGTGAGGGTACGGCCTCACCTTTTCGGTCACCCTCTGTATATGAGAGCTAAGGCGTGTAAGGAGAGCTGCACAGCCAAGCGGCGCAGCAGGCAAACGGGGGACGGACGAAGGGATGAAGGAGCTTCCGGCAAGCAGTGCGTGCGCTGCGCATCCTCAGGCTCCAGTCTGCGCGGGCCAAGCGAAGTCGTCCTGGTGGTCGCATTCAGCAGCCCAAATCGGACAGCTCGCCAAGCGACATAGCGTCACTCAATCATTTACAGACTCAATCAGTCGCAGCTGGCCTCGAGTCAACGAGTCACACTCACACCGGGAGGATTGCATGAAACGAAATAAGATAAAGTATTAACGGTAGGGTACAACATGTGAGACGAGGATGCAGCGAGACATAGCCAGGAGACGTCCGGACAGAACACACAGCGACAGAGACATGAGATACATACAACAACCAGCGTAGCGAACAAAATTACAGCTCGTCGTCGGTGATCTCCTCGCCCCGCTTTTTCCGCGCCATGCGCTCCTTCTTGAGCTTCCGCGCCTCCGCCGCAGTGATCTTCTTCACCTTCTTCGTCTCGATCTTGTTCCCCATCGCGTCGTACTGGTCATCCTCCTCACCGTCCTTCTTGTCAATACGAGCCCCGGAGCCCTGGCCCTCCACCCAGTTGTGGCCGGATGCCTCAAGGCGCCCGTCACGCATCGCCCACACCTCCTTGCAGAGCGACTCGGAGAAGTCGCGGTTGTGCGTGATCACGAGCACACCACCCTCGAACTCCTTCAGCGCCTTGATGAGCGCGGCGAGCGACTCACGGTCGAGGTAGTTCGTCGGCTCGTCCAAACAGATGACGTGCGGGCGACGCCAGGTCGCAGCACCGAGCACAACCTTCACCTTTTGACCACCGGAGAGACCACGCATCGAGTTGTGCGACACGAACTCGGCCTCGAGACCGAAGTCCGCGAAGTGCTTCTCGATCTCGCGACGGACGAGGGGGCGGAGCAGACCGAGGCGCTGCGCCTCACGGGTGTCGACCTCGAGGACCTTCTTCTCGAAACCACGCTTGATGAGTTCGTCACGGGGCAGCCAGATGTTCTCCGACGAGGATAGGGCCTTGAACGACACCTCGTACTCGTACGACTGCTTGAGTTTTTGCGCGCGACGATCTCGTCAATCAAGCGCTTCTGGCCCTCGACGACGACGACACTGCCCTCCTTCATCTTCTGCTGCTCCTCTTCTGAAATCTGTCGGTTCGCCTTCATCATCTCCTCCAAATCCTCACCGGTCTGGTAACGCCACAGCATGTACTCGAGCGGCGTCTTGTCGAGGTGGTTTCGATGTGGTGGAAAGCGTGCTGCGCGACGTAACCGATGACCAAGTTCGGGTGCTTCCAGGTCTCACCGCCTCTATTGGGCTCGAGATCGCCAATGAGCAACTTGACGAGCGTCGACTTGCCGGATCCGTTGGGACCGAGGACGGCGACACGAGAAGAGAGCGAGACTTGGAGCGTGATGTCGTACAGCTGCTGTACGGGCTGCGTCGGGTACTGGTAGCCGACCTTGCGCATCTTGAGAAGCGACTTCTCCTTGGTCTTGACACCCTCGAGAAGGGGCGGGTCGGGCAGCTTGAACTGGTAGTCCTCCTGCGCCTCGAGCGTGTAGTACGAGCGCGCCTCAGGAACCTGCTTCATGAAGGACTCAAGGTTGCCCCTGTACCTCCTGAGCTTGAAGCGGTTGAGATGGAGGACGTCGGTGATGGTGTTGTTGAGGAAGCCAGAGTCGTGCGAGACGATGATGGACGTGCAAGTCGTAAGGCCGGTGAGGTAGTTCTCGAGCCACGCGACGTTGACGACGTCCAAGTGGTTAGTCGGCTCATCCAGGAGCAGAATGTCAGCCTTGAACAGCATCGCGCGCGCGAGAGCAGCTTCATCTTCCAGCCACCAGACAGACTGCCAATCGCCTGCTTCTGCCTCTCGTCGCTGAAGCCGACGGACGCGAGCGTCTCGATAACCTCCTCCTTGCCAGCCTGGATACGCGTGTCGGAAAGGATAATTCAGGATGCGTGTCGGCCTCGCTACCGTCGATATCGTGCTCGACGTAGAAGGTTCGGACCTCATCGGCGACGGGAAGCCCTCAACTTGGCTGTAAACGAGAATAAGCAACGTCACGTATCGCGAGGATGAACCCACCCATTGGTGATGGCACGCATGAGAGTGGACTTGCCGGTACCATTACGACCGCACAGACCATAGCGGTGACCACGCTTGAGACGAGAGTCGCAGTGTTGAGCAGAATCTTAGCACCGTAGGCGAGCGAGAATTGGCAGTTGCAAAGATCCTCGCCCTCCTCCTCATCCTCAGGGACTTCGGTGTCCTCATCCTCCAGAGATGCAGACTTGACAACCCACTCGTTGACGATCACGATGGGCTCAGGCGTCGTCGTGACGAACGCCAGGTAAGGAGCAAGAGATTGCCACTCCGACACGTCGAAGTTCTTCGCGTTGACGAGGTTGGCAGCAAGGTTGCTGGCGTACATGACGTCGATGGAGCCCGCAGAAGGGGCCTCAGCGCCAGCCTTCTTGTATAGACCGAGGAGGGAGTGCGCGAGCTGCTTTTCGTCCGCCTTCTTCAAGGGCGGGAGATCAGAACCGTCGTTGTCGGCGGGGACGTCACCGACTTGACGGAGGGTGGCGACAGCACGGCCAACGACGCTGCGAGCCTCGGGGTCACCGATGGTCGTCTCGACCTTAAGAAGTCCTGGGAGCAGCTTCGGGATGAAGGGACGAACGGTGACAGCGGAGTCTACGAGCTTAGCCATGTTGTCGATGATTCTGCAAATACCATTAGCGATGCGGACAACGTGATCTGGTGGGTTCAGACGTACACGGCGACCCTGCGCTTAGTAGCAGTAGGCTTCTCACTAAGACCACGTGAGAGCAGAGGGACCATGAGTGAGAGCGTAGCGGAGTCTACCTCCGAAACGAATGTGGTGGCCGAGAGGAGGTTGATGGTCTTGGGAACCTCCTCAACGGGGTTGATCAGAGCCTTGATTAGTGCAGGAATGAAGCGTTCTATGTCCTTGTTGGAAACTAGAGCCGTGGTCTTCTCGAGCGAATCCTTCGCAGCCTTCTTCACGTCGGCCTTCGTGTCCCAGATCGCCTCAGCGAGGATGGGGACGATCTCCGGGGTGAGGCGCGCAGTCTGAAGAGGCGCGCTTGTAACCAGCTGGTTGAGGACGGTGAGCGAGCCGGTCTTGACCTGCCACTTGCCGGCCGTCTTGATCTCGTGAAGAAGGGCGGGGAGCACAAGCGCTACACCCCAAGCGTTCATACCCGCAACGTACGCCTTGACTGCCTCGATAGCGGCCGTGCGCACAGCGGGCATCTTGTCGGCGAAGCATTCAAGCAGAGCAGCGTAGAGACCGGAGTCGATGAAAAGGGGCTCGAGGGCCTTCACAGCGTCGGACTTGGCGATCACAGCGACAGCGCTCGCTGCGCCCTCACGCGCCGCGGGCGACTTCTTGTCGCTGAGTGCCTTGATGGCAGCATCGGTGAAGCCGACGGACTGGAGGGCCTTGGGGCCATCCTTTTGGGCGAGCGCAGCGAGGGTCGCTGCTGCAGACTCGCGAGTCGCCTTGTCGGCGACGAAGAGACCGGAAACATCAAACTGGCCGTCTGCGGGTGCGACGGCAGCCTTGAGAGAGCCGGGGGCGGGGGTAGCGGGGGCGTTGGCGGTAACAGCGGGCATTTCGTTAATCTGCATGACCGATGGGACCGTCAGACCTGGCCAGCGAATGCGCGCTCAATACTGCGAGACTCACCTCTGGCGATGGTCAGATCTTGGTGCGTAAAAAGTGCGGTGGATCGCGAGGGACCGTCAAGGACGAGAAGCACTATATTCTAGCTTGGCCGGGGCCTGGGAAAACTGTGAGTAGGGCACGGACGACGGGCTGGAGTGCAGGGAGACGGACCTTCTATATGACAAAAGAAAGAGGAAGCCAGAGAGTGAGGATAGAGTTCGCAGCTGATCAGCCTGTCCTTATATACCACCCCATCTCAGTAGGCGGGGTCTGAAAAAAAGACGCGCCGGCGGCACGTGCCTCCCGCCCAGCCACCGCGAGACACAGCCCAGAGAGATGATATAGATCGCCTGGCCAGTCGCCTGTCGCGCCGCCTCTGCATGTTCCGAGGCGCCACCGATCCAGATTATTCAATGCAATGTGGGGTAGCGCTGCCGCTACCCCACACGCCGCCGAAGTGCACTGGGAACCAACTAGGAACGCGATATATTACCGCATCCGCGACCGGGACTTAGTTAGCTACATGTCAGCTGCAACGCGAAGCACGGCTCTGCCCCCTCATTCCTCCGTCAACTTCGCAAAGCTCAGCGGCGCGAATTGCTGGCGGGAGAAAGTAGAACGAGATCATCAGTCAGCGTGGCTCCGGCGTGCCCATCGATGGGCCGATACAGGGCAGAGAAGACACTCACGTATCCACCAGCTTCATAATGCTTGCTGTTGGCTTCGACCCAGTGCAGACGCAAGGCGTGTAGGAAGGCAGACAGGCCCTGCGCGAGAGGAGCGGTAAGTCAAACAGGCAAGGCCGGGAAGCGCTTCGGCTCCAAGCGGATCCAACGCACCTCCATGATACACAAGATGAACACTGTCAGAACAAACCAGAGTGCCCCCATCAGTACCAGTGCGATCCATCCGAAGATGCCGGGTATGGTGAGCACCCCAGCGAGGGTCATGTTCCACAGCACTTCGGACAGCTGCGCGTGCGCGAGAGAAAGAGCCCACAGACGGAGATATGATGCAGTGTGCGAGATACACCCGAGGCAGAACTCGATGGTGTGGATCACCTGGTGGATCACCACCTCGCTGAAATCGTGGTGCTCCTGTCAAGGCAAGCAATCCGATCAATATTCAATCGACGGGCGGAGAAGGTACACTCACGCCTTCCTCTTCGTTTGCTTCTGCGATGGCCCTGCCGTTTCCCTCCTCTTCACCCTCAAGCTCCGTGTCCGATACAACCCTTGCACCCTCATCGTTGCCTATATTGATATAGCCCTGGTCCTGAATCTTCTTCATCTCCTTCCACTGTAGGTATGGCTTGGTGATAAGCAGCCACGGGACGCAGACGAACGCGATCAGCAGCAGGATCGTTTGAATGGTGTTCTGCCCACGATACAACTGCGTGTCGGGGGTAACGCTGCCCGGCGAGAGGAACATCCCGATGAGCATGTTCAGAAGCGACGGCGGAGGCGTTGGCGACCTTGCCAGTTCACCGACCATTTGTAGATGATGCACACGACGAGATACCGAAGATAGACTGCATGAAAGCATCTGAGGAATAAAGTTGGTCCAAGCTCGCTGCGGCGGTTGAAACGAATGTGATTCGGCACTTGCAGGCAGATAGCGAAGGTCATCTGAATAGAGATCGTATCAGTGTTCGTCCACGTCCAATAGATACAGGACACACATGATCACACCCAGCACGATAGACATCTTCATCTTGTACGAGTTTGTGAAGATCAATGCGTTTTCAGCTCCATGCCAGCCGGATCGATACCTATAGAGTACGTGTGCCCATTGGCTACAGCGGTCCCGTTGGTCCAGTCCCATCCCGAGTCGAAGATGTGCAGCGACTTGGAGAAGATATCGTTGTACATGAGACCGGTGTACATCGAGAAAGCACCCATAAGCAGGATGATGTACCGGCCGCTAAAATGCGCGTTAGTACTTGGTACAGAGGAACAACGAAGGTTTCGCGCACAAGAAGAATGTGCCAAAGATCTATGTTATCGTCAGCAATTGCTGCAACCAAGACCCATAATGGCGCACCTCTCCTAAGTCGGCCTTCGCCAGCTTGCGTTCCGTCAGTATCATCAATGCGGCAGCAATGAACGTGATTGCGCCATGTCCAATATCACCGAACATGACAGCAAACAAGAACGGGAAGGTGATCGTGGCGAAGAGACCCGGGTTAACCTCTTGATACGTCGCAATGCCATAGGCGTCCATAATAGTCTGGAAACCCTCGGTGAACCTGTTCGTACGGATGTACGTCGGCGGCGTCTTGTTCGTGCGAAGTTCGTGCAAAATGGGAGGCACATTGGTCCCGGCTTCCTCCTGTAAAGATGTCAGCAACCCACCCAGCAACAAGGTGCTGTCAGCGTACTGTGGCGTGTCTTAGAGCGAGCTGGATCTGGGGAATATCCCTAGTGGGACACCAGCCTCGGCGATGAGAGTCTTCCTCCGCACATCATAGTTCAGGAAGTTCAGCGTCTCATAGATCGCCTTCTCCTTCTTGACGACGTCTACCCAAGAGGCAATGTTCTCCCCTATCTTGTCAAGTTCCGCCCTACGGCTGGCGCCTGTGTTGTACAGGACAACCTGGAGGTCCTCCAGGCGCGCAGTGACCTCGCGCATAGAGTCCGCACGCTTATCCGCGTTCGCATCGATAGGGTAGAGCGTTGCACCCATCGACTCCGCGACCTTGCGAATCTTGGCGAGCAAGGTATCACCATGAGCAAAGATGATGAAGACATTCTTGCGCGTCTCCTCGCCGGTAACGGGGTCGACGAAGGGCTCAGCAATATCAGTGTGGTTCATGTAGAGATTGCCACGCAGGACACGCCACAGAACACGCTCAAATGTAGGCAAGCGCGAACGCTCAATGGTGCCGGCAACGAACCTGAGGAATACACGCATGAGTACGCTTGATGGGGTGTGATGAGGCGAGTTACGTACTCTAGATCGAACTGGAGGTTGGACGAATACTGTTGCTCACGGTCCTCGTGCTGCAGCAGAGGAGCTGAGCTGTCGTCCAGAGAGGACCGTCCATTCGATCGTAGTTGACAGCCTACACTGAAAGTGTGAATATCCACACATCAAGGTGCACATGAACCCACCTTCTCGAAGAAGACTGCAGTCTCGCGAAGAACATGGCGAGCCTCACGAGCTCCTTCGTGCGCTCGCTCAGAGCTGGTAGCTTTCATTCATCTGAATGAGCCGCGCCTCATGCTCCTGCAGCTTCGTGTCCAGCTCGTCCATCGTCTGCGCAGCACGCGGGCCGACCGTAGGAGCGGCGCAGAGTCGTACAGCGGGCGGATTTGGATCTTCTCCTTCTCTTTCTCGGTCTGAGTCTGGAAGAAACGCACTCGACGAGCCATCTCGTCGACTCGGCGGATCTCGCCCACGAAGGAGCGTTGGAAAGGATTGACATCAGGGTTGAGCTGGTCTGGCTGTCAGTATGCTGTCGTGGCACGGAGAAGGAGACCTCACATCTTTGAACTGGACGTTTCCAAGTTCGCCCAGCTCAGCAATGGTGTCGTGAGCGACTTCGGTTGGCACGATGAGCTGTACCAAGCTCATCGGCTCAGAGCCTGCATTACTGTTGAGCTTTCATACATCATATAGACAAGGGAAAACACGCACGAAAGGGGGACGGGTAGTCGTCCACCATCTCGCTCAAAGCTCGTACTGCTGGAACGGGGGCTGGAACGGGGTGTAGAGGTGGTTGTGACGAACGCAGTCGCCGTCGGCAGCTGTGGTGACGAGGCGTCACATCCGTGACCCGTGTCAGGCGGTTGTGACATGCCATCACACAGGCGCTTAATGCCGAGACGCGATCGAGCTGCAGAAGCTCACTTTTGTCCGTCGCGCCTTGCGGTACTAGTTATGAGTTCGAGCGGGCGCAAAATTCCCCTCCGAGTCTCCAATAACAAAGTATATGTTTGGGACATTGACGGTTGGTGTTCAGTACTTCTTATACTATGGCTCCGTGCTAAGCATAGGGTGTCACCCAGACATCGCGGCCTTGCGTGCGGACCACCATATATGCGGCGTCCTGACAGGCACGCTACCACACCTCTCCCAGCAAAATGTCTTTCTCGGGCCCCCTCTCTTACTTATGCCCGAGGAGGTAGTCCTCCTCGTCGACAAACGTAAGCTCCCACTTCCATCCCGACATTAATTCTAGCTAGACTTCACCAAGCGCCTTTTCTTTCCTGCAGAGCTCGCCGTGCTAGTGGATGACCCCGCCGCACACCGCACACCTTCTCTCGATGCGCTAAAAGCATGGAACACAGAACGCGCTGCCGCTGCACAGCACCAGATCGCGCTTGCAGAAACGAAGGAGGCCTCGGAGAAGGCGGCGACGCTGTCCATGTCGGAGGAAGCGCTCCGCAAGCGGCGGGAGCGCGAGGAGCGCAGAGCGGCTGCAGCGCGTGCCAAAGCCCTAGCAGAGGGTGAGGACGTCGCTGTTCCTGAGCCGGCGGGCCCGGCGTCTGCTGCCGCAGCAGTCCCTTCAGCAGCTGACCAGCGGCCTGACACTCCAAGTGCTCAAGCCACTCCGGCGTACACAGTCACTCTCCCTGGGAGCTCCTCAGCACTCTCGTGGTATGACTCCGAGGGGTGCACATACGAGACCATCGCAGACGCACAGGCTGCAGGAATATGGACTTACCCTGCCGACCTGCACGAGCGTGCAAAATGCCGGGTCTTCAGAGACCTCTGGGAAAAGGGCAACTTCATGGGCGGAGGGATCAGATTTGGCGGTGACTTTCTGGTGTATCCCGGTACGTTACAGTGTCGAGTAAAGTGCAATCTCGGCATGCTCACATCTGGGCAGGGGACCCTATGCGCTATCACTCACATTTCGTCGCCAGCGTTGTCGATTCGCCTGTGTCTACGATCAAACCGATGGAGATCGTAGCGCACGGGCGATTGGGTACTGCGACGAAGAAGGCCCATTTAATCTGTGGCTGGGACGACGAGAAGCAAGAAGTATCATATTTCTCTATCGAATGGGCCGGCTTTGGTTAATGCAGACATCAATGAATCTGCCATTTCTCATGAAGAGACGTGCGATGCATATGCGTGGTCAGTCCGTGACGTATGAGGGTTACAAGATGTACAGATATTCGAATTCAGCGAGCAAAGAAGGGAACATTCTCAGTCACGTTTCCGCCGGGGAGACGACCCGGCGCTACCCATGCTGGTACTTCCACTGACCCGCATCCTAGCAGCAGATCCACTGGGCGGCAGGTGCATCTGCGGGCTTGGCCCTACCACGGGGCTCAGCTCTACGAAGTCGCCTTCCTCCATGCTGTCCACTGCCTCGCTGAACATCCTGCGATGGCCCCTGCTAACGCTACTGGAAACGCCCGGCAGCTTGCTCGCTCCCCTGCCGCCGCCGAGGCTGAGCAGGCGCACGACCCAGTCGTTTAGCCACAGTATGAGGGCAAAGATTGGGAGGCGGATTGGGATGGCTGGATGCGGGTGTCGAATGTCCTCGAGCGTGCTGGAGGAGGCGCTGGGTGGAAGGGAGACGGCGGGGTTGTAGGGGTCGAGAGGGACGGACGGGCGTGCATGGCCATGATGATGTACTGAGGAAGGTGAGGACTCTTCGGATGACGACGCGAGTAATACGTACCGCAGGGAAGACAAGCGCGAATAGTGCTGCGTTGGCGAGGCTACTGCCCCACATGCATAGTGCCGTTGAAGGTAGCCCTGGAGGCCTGTGCTTAATCTGGGGTCCATCTGCCAGTGTACTCCGAGCACGAGAACGCACCGAATGCCCAATAGTATGCCCAACGCTCCTCTAGATGCCTCACTCTTCTCGACAGTGAGAGCCCCCTGGTGATCCATACATGCCTACCCAATGCATGAGCAACGACTTAACCTGCCTGCCTATCACTCACTCAAAGCAATAGTATCTACAGTACCGTCAGCCCAGGTCTCACCATGACACATGCGAGACACGCACTCACGCGTCGACCCAGCAGAAGAAGGTGAACCCCGCGAATGAACCCACCACAGGCACGCGCCCGAGCGCAAGGGAGAGCACGAGCGATGTCATGACCATGATCCCGCCATACGCGGAGGTTGCAAGGGAATTCAGGAGCCCTGTGTACGTTGATGGCGGCGCTGCGCCTGCGCGAGGGCCATGCTGAAGGGTGAAAGTGCGCTTCGCGATCAGGCCGCACCAATTCCTCTAGGAGTCGGTGTTAGCGTCTCAGATGTCGGTGCGTCGCTACACAGCGCATCCGCATAAGCTCCACGCCGGTGGTTCCCCTGCGGCGATGCAAACTGGCATACATACAGACGGCACGGAAGGTGGAAGGACGGGAGGACTTACATTGAGATAGAGGGAGATGCCCACGACCGGGAGGAGCCAGAGCACCTGATACGCCCAGCCGACGTTACGGTGCAGCCAGTAGTGCTCCCCCTGAGCGAGCGGGAAGAGGAGAAGGTCAAACAGGTATATTGACGCGAGCGAGAGCAAATTCAACAGCAGGGACTTGAGCACATTCCCTCGGATCTCGGAGTCGCTGCGATCGGCGGGCGAGGTCAACATCGAGCGCGGGTATGAGCCGGACAACACCGCACCTCGCGACAAGCCTGACGACGGTGTCCCAGCGAAAGGCATCGACGAGTCCCCGCCATGCGCACGAGAATTGCACGCGTATTGTGTCCTGTAGCGGAAGGAAATTCGGGTAGGACGACCTAGACGTATAGAACGTGCTCGCAGAGGGCGAGACGGCATAGCTATGGTCCACGGACGGCGAGATGGGATATGCGCGGTGCGACGACCTCGACATCGCCGCGATCTGGGTCGAGCGAGAAAGAGCGACGATGAAGGTCGTGCGTCCGGCACCTTCGTCACAGTGCGCGGTGAAACGCGGTGTGACACCATGTGACGGCACGCGTATCACGCAAACCTCGCGCACGACGGAGGAGCCCTTCCCAATCTTCTTGTCGCACCTTCCGTTCGCTCTCGCAACTCTCCATCCTGAAGGACCATTCCGACATGTGTCGGTGTTGCGACTCATCGGCGACCGCGAAATGTTCTCGTGTATGCGGACACACGTCCAGTCTCTACAGTGCCAATACCAAGACCCTGCTTTGCGCCAAGTTCCTACCAGACTACCGGAAAGAGGAGTCTGACCTTCGCACTCGACACAATCTCGCAGCGACGATGCGCCGCAGAATAATACGGCAGGACTTCTACGTCCAGAAGCTGACCTTCTGCACACAATTGGTCGGCGGAAGTCCACCTGCGAATGCAACGAATGTCTGCAAGCGCTTCATGAAGTCCATCTGACGGGCACCCACGCAGTACCTGATGCGCGGCCGTCACCAGCGGATGGCTCGACTGGAGCAGACTGGCCGCATTCAGGCTGGCCTGGTTCTCATGACCGATGTGCCGCAGTGCGTGAGTTGTTGTGGTTGCAGCGTGGCAGATTGACGCATATAGACGGGCCTACAGAGGCTGGGCTGGGCCCGTCCGAGCGGCGAGGGCTCTGTGGCCGTGGGGGGCAGCGCAGAGGCGGCCGCGGGCGACATACACGCGTATCTGCTACAGGTCGCTGGCAGCGGAGACGGGGAGAGGCTCGAGGAGACGCGTCCAGACGGGCGTGGAGTACCTTGTCACTGTGAGGTGACGTGACATAATCCCGTTCCTGCGCCGATCGCACAGACGCGCTGCGTGCGTTCATAAGTCCTCGTTCTCCGCCTCAGCCACTCACTTCGCCATATAACACCCTGCATCCCCGTCGCATCTCTTTCTCCATCCTTCGACACGCCATGGCCCCTCCACACACTTTTGAATCAAAGTCCTCCGTAACCGCAAGGCGCAGGCTGTCCAGCGTCGCCACTGCTAGGCGTCCCAATGTCCCCGGATATACCAGTCTGCAGGTCAGTTCCCGCCTCGTCAGCCTGTGGATTGGCTCCCTCATATGCTTCGCATAGCCCATGTGGGCCGGTATCGCAGGAGTCGTGATCAATAACAACACGCAGTACGAAGTTGCAATGTCCATCCACGACTCTGTTTACTGCACGGACTTCGCGTCATCTGTGGTGCCGTACGATGCAACTGACCCCGAGAAGCAGGCTACGGCCATCGAGCAGCACGTCCTCGAGACCCTCCGCAAATTCTCCTCGGACATCTCTGCAAGTTCCTGGGAGCAGGCGTCACTTTGAGTCTCCTGCGTGAGGTGGGTAGTCATCACACCAACGTAATCCGCGAGTGGAGCGCACGAGCCTAATGGATGCTCTCAGGCGCCCAACTTGTGCACCCGCTTGTGGCTGGACCTGGACATTGTCCCTATCGTCTTCAACATCAAACCCTACCACACCGACTCTATTACTCGCCCGAACATCAAGCACCGCATCTCCTCCACCACGGGATCTTACGTTCCCTCAGGGGCGGACACGCCGACGGTCTATTACGACCCCAACCAGCTGCAGGATAACTCCAAGCTCACGACCAATGCGCAGACCAAGCTGCCCATCACGCGCACTGTCGACGAGCAGGCCGACTCCGCTGCACGGAAATGTATCATGTACTTCGGGCCCAACAACAACCCGCGCCTGAGCATCGGACCGCGCAACCAGGTCGCGGTCGACGCGGCGGCAAGATTCGCCTCATTGACGACCTCGACGAGTACCGCAAGACGGTCGGCAAAGGGACGTGGAACGCGGTCATAAAGCTCGCGGATGAGCTCCGCGAGAAGAAGATCAAGTTCGCGTTCTTCTCCTCTACCCCGCAAGGCGGTGAGTGTCGCGCGGAAATCCCCCCGCGTTTCCCCATAGATCCTATTCATGACGGAGATTGATCAGTTGCGCCTTGTCTTTTTATGCTGTCAACCCTGCTCGTGAACTCTACACAACGAATTGAATTGACTTGACGCGTTCCTGGCTTCTCAGGAGGTGTCGCTCTCGTGAGTAGACTTCATTGTCGGCGGGAACTCGTTCCTCCGGCGAGAGAACGGCAAAACAGACGCTGACGGATTCCCCGTTCATTGTAGATGCGTCATGCGCTCGTGCGGTTCTTCAGTGCATTGGACGTCGATGCTGCTTGGTACGTCCCTTGCTCTTTCGGGCCCGCCTACTGTTCAGGGGCTGCGGTTGCTTCTGAATTCTTCTGACGCACGCTCGTCACGCCAGGTATGTGCCGAACCCGTCGCCGGCCGTATTCCGGACGACGAAGAATAACCACAACATCCTGCAAGGCGTCGCGGACCCGAGCTTGCGCTTGACCGCTGAGCAGAAGGAGCAGTTCGACCAATGGATCCTCAAGAACGGCTTGCGTTGGACTGCCGAGGGCGGCCCGCTGGCTAAGGGTGGCGTCGACATCGCGTTTGTTGGTCAGTCCACTCCCTCCCGCTCTCGCCGTTTAGGTTCTGACCTCGTCCTCCAGATGACCCCCAAATGCCCGGCCTCATCCCGCTGATCAAGCGCCTGCGCCCGGACATCCCCATTATCTACCGCTCGCACATCGAGATCCGGAGCGACCTCGTCAGCATAGAGGGCTCGCCGCAGCAGGAGGTGTGGAAGTACCTCTGGAACAACATCCAGCACGCGACCTGTTCATCAGCCACCCCGTGAATAAGTTCGTGCCCAGTGATGTTGCCCCGGAGAAGCTTGCGCTACTGGGCGCTGCCACCGACTGGTCAGTCACTGCCTCGATTCTGGTTTGGCTCAGGGTATGCTGATCTGAGGTATTTGTGTTTGTAGGCTGGATGGCCTGAACAAGCCCCTTGATCCCTGGGACTCACAGTACTACATGGGCGAGTTCCGCTCGCTCTGCGTGAAGGACAAAATGTACGAGCTCGCGTGGCCCAGGCGCGAGTACATCGTCCAGATCGCCCGCTTCGACCCGGCCAAGGGTATCCCGGATGTCATCGACTCGTATGCGCGCTTCCGCCGCATGGCGAAGGGCAAGATCCCCACGGAGGAGATCCCACAGTTGCTGATCTGTGGCCATGGTGCGGTCGACGACCCGGACGCGAGCATCATCTACGACCAGGTGATTAACCTGATCCAGGCAAGTACCATGAGTATGTGTCGGACATCGTGGTCATGCGGTGCCCGCCGAGCGACCAGTGTGAGTCCCGCTTGCTTCATGGAGGGGGGCGTTCTCTGACGGTCTTCCAGTGCTGAACGCGCTCATGGCCAACTCGCGCTTCGCCCTCCAGCTCTCGACGCGCGAGGGCTTCGAGGTGAAGGTCTCCGAGGCGCTGCACACGGGCAAGCCCGTCATCGCGTCGCGCACGGGCGGCATCCCGCTGCAGGTCATCCACGGCAAGAGCGGCTTCGTCACCGAGCCGGGCGACAACGACGCCGTCGCGAAGCACATGTTCGACCTCGTCACGGACGACGAGCTCTACGAGACGATGGCGCTCTACGCGAAGACGCACGTCTCGGACGAGGTCGGCACGGTGGGCAACGCCGCGGCGTGGATGTACCTCGCGGTCATGTACTGCAGCCGCGGCGTGAGGCTGCAGCCGAAGGGCGCGTGGATCAACGACTTGATGCGCGAGGAGACGGGCGAGCCGTACTTGCCTGACGAGCCGAGGCTGCCCCGCGGGGACCTCCACGTCCAGGGTTGAACTTGACTGCCAGCCTGTCAACACGAAGTTTGGAGGTGATAAAAGCATTTCTTGGCAGGACTTTTGTTGTAAGATTCGTAATGCCTGACCAGGCAGTGCTTTGTATACCAAAAGCTGTAGAAGTAGAACTGTCGTCGCTGTCCGCTGGAAGAATCAAAGCTGTGCGCACTGTATACCACTGCGGATGACCTGCGAGGACCCGGAATCGGGACGACGACTGGCGTCAGCTCTATGGCCGTCAGTCTGTGTTCGTCGACTACTATAGGATCGAACGGGATCGATCTTGCAATGGACTCCTCGAGGATGCTGCCAGGCCGTCTCTGGCCTGGGTGATCGGCGGCACTGGTCAAAAGTCTAACGGGCACCTGGGAAAGTCAGGTCAGGAATCGGAGGCAGTCCCGGACGGATACAAGCTCCACCGTTGGCGTTCAACCTGTGGGCCACCTGGTGTTTCGATGATGAAACACCCTCTAGTGGCAGAACATGGCGCGGACGGTGGGCGAGCGTTCCTAAACTTGGCGAGAGGTGAGTTACTAGGGCCCTGTGATCGGTCTGAATCATCGGCGGATGGACGAGAAGTACTTGAGGATCAACGAGCCAGACTGCATTAACCGGTAGCGATCACCTGCCAAGGGCGGTAGACCGACTACTCGAGAACGTACTGACAGGCGTAAGTGTATCCGACCTCTGTAGATATCAATAAACGATTAATCTGCAAAGGGCGGGGGAGACGGAGACGGAGACGTATAGCTTGTCCATGAGGCGGAGTGCATAATGTCAATGAGAGTCCAAGAAGGCACAAGGAAGTACGAGAGCCGACCTAGAAAACAACGTCGACACAGCGAAGATGTGTATGACGATAGATACATCAAAGATGGAGAGCGGGAACGGAAGAGAGGCGAGAGGATGGAGAACGAACCGGAGACAGGTAGGATGATGCAGATGTACGCGGCAGGAGTATGCCTATTGTTGTATCTATACATGCGAAGATATGCGAGGATACCACAGCTACACAGCTAGCGCCGGAGCATATCATGCGCGACGGGGAGGCCAATGCGAGGGTTGTTGACGATGCAAGTGGCAGATTGCGGGCGAGCGACATGAGGGTCGCGGCGCCACAGATGAGATGAGGATGAGATGAGATGAGGAGAAACGCGACACTGAATTTTGCTGTTTTCTTGGATCGAGGGACTTCGGAGATTTGGCCTTGGGAGGCGGCGGCTTGAGGAGAGCGATCGGCATAACGAGCGTGGTCAGCGAAAGACGTACTGCCATGAGAGCATGAGATGTCTTGGTGCATAGCGTGTAGAGGGGTTTGATCGTTCGTTGCGGGTGGACGTGGGTTTCGGTCTTCAGATCATGAGGTGCGACATAGGGGTACAACACGGGCGACGGCGGCATGATGCAAGAAAAACGGTCAGGAGCGGAAGTGAAGTTCAAAGATGTTGGAGTGGGTCGATTGTGCGCGACACCACTCAGTAGGCGACGGGAATGCGAACGACGCCGTCGTAGGTCTCGGTCCTCCCCAGCCGGCCGACCTTCTTGGCCTTGTACGTGACCGTCTTTGTCGGAGGAGGGCAGGGGCTATCACCAATATCCGTGTCGTCGCCATCGCTTTCGTGGTCAGCACTTCCACCTTCGGCTAGCATCTGCAACGCGGAGTTGGTGCCCATACCTCCACGTCGGCCCCGCGCGGCATTCGCGGCTGCAAACAGGTGAGTCGGACCGCCGCTGGGCGCGGTGTTCCTCTTCGGCTGCTGCGAAAGCGCCGAGACTGGCTTGCTGTCGCCGTACGCGTACGACTTGGTCCTTCCGAACTTGCCCTTGCGGAACTGGTCTAGGTCCTCCTTGCGAGACTGAGCGAAGTGGGGGTCGTCCATCCTCACGTAGCCGCTGGGCTGGCAACGAGCCCCCGCGTCCTGGTAGTACTGGCTGTAACCACCCTCGAGGATGTAGATCTCGGGGTAATGGATCTTGGGGTAGACGTGGTTGTTCAACGCACGGTCCTTGGAACGAAGATACTTAGCACTGAAAAGGAATTTGAGCGATCATGTGATTATGTGAAGCAAGACAAGCCACTCACAAAGTCGGCGCTCTCTTAACACTAAACTCACAGTGGAAAACAAGGATCGTCTTCTTGCCCGCGTCGCCGCTAGTGGAAGCGATCGGCCTGACTGTGCTGGCGCCGAGGAGGAACTCCTCGACACCAGCGGTCGTGTTGATGTTAACTGCTCCAGGGATGTGCCCGCCATTGTACTCGTAGTCGAAACGGCAGTCGATTATGTGGTAAGTGGTCAGTTGCGGGTCGAATTTGCCATCGAGAAGGGCATTCATCTACGGCACAATCGATCAGCGATCCCGCACAAAAGCAACGGTGAAGAGATGTCGAGATGACTCACCGTCTTACTAGTAATGCGCATCAACCCGTCCTCCCGGACGCGGTGGCAGGGCAAGATCTTCCCGTGCGCTTCATTATCTCCAAAGCTGCCCAGGCCGTTCAGGTACTTGCTCCTCGGCGTGTCCCTCTCAGTGGGCTCAACCGTAGCCCGGTCTTCGCGGACCTCGGACCTCCTGAGGCCCTTCACCATCGCCTCGCTGTCGCGACGCACCATCGACGTCGCACCCGTGTTCGAGCGGAAGTCCTCCGTGCCATCGCAGCGGCGGATGGTCTTCACCTGCTGGCGCTTCGCGTACGCCTGCGCCGGGGAGCTCATGTCTGCAGAGCTATCGAACGACTGGCCGTCCTCAGACGACATCGACTGCTCCATCATCGACGGGGGGAGCATCGCCGAGAACGCACGTCGCACAGGGGGCATAACATGCCTCGGCAGGTTGGAGGCCGGCACGTTGCTCTCCTTCTCTCCGATGGGGTTCGCCGAACGTGGGCCCGCGACGAGCCCATCTCCAGGCGCGATCAGCGCGCTGAGAGCGGGGCGCCTCGGCCTCTTCTTGTTCGCGTTCAGCTCGAGAGGCGAGCCAAGGCCGCTAAGCATGGGCTTTCTGAGCGCCTGGATGCTGGGCATGCGGTTCAGCTTGTGCACCATCGGGGACGACGGCGCGGGCGACGACTCCATGGCGGCCTCCTGCTCGAGGATTTGATGGGCGAGGCGGGCCGACCCACGCATCGGCGAAGACGAGCGACGTTTCTTGGAGAACGGCTGAGAGGGGCTCTCGACAGGCGTCCCGGGGGAGGTGCCATCCGGCACCGCGAAGCCATCGAAGTCGCACGCGCGCACCTGCGTAAAGTAGTCTTCAAAGGTACTGATCGTCGGCGCAGCGGACGTCGGGACCGCGAGCGGGTTGTTGTTAACGTCGAATGCGGTGATCGTCGGCACGGCGGAGAGCGGACCATCGCTGGGCACCGACGACGACGGAACGTAGACAAATGAAGAGTCGACGTCCATCGCGTCGGATGCCGCGGGGGACGACGGAATGTTCTGAGGCTGGCAGGGAGCCAAGCGTCAGCTACTCCATACGTTGCGATCGAGCCTGAGCGCGAGTGGCTCACTGGCCCGAAACTGAACAACTCACCTCTGGCGCGACGTTCGCGTCCTGACCACCCGTCGCCATCCATTCGAACGGCAGAGCAGCTCGTTGGAGCCGTTTGCTCGCCCCGTTCGTCCCAGTCGACTTGGCGACAGACTGCAGACTCGTTACCGAACCGTTCCCGCCCGAGTTGTTGCTCATGTCCCGACCGAAGAGCCTCGCGTTGCTCGTCATGGCGCGCGGGCGACCCATGAAGGGACGTTGTTTGTCGACGCGCGTCGGGGGCGCGGGCGAAATGTCCATAGGCGCGTAGTCCGGATGATTGTCGCGCTCGCTTTCCGGCGCAAGGTCGAGCGTGTCGCGAGGCGGCGAGTTGAGCGACATGGTCGACGCGAAAGAGAGCTCGAGGTCGTCCGCCTCAGACGAGAGGAAGTCGTCCATTTCGACGCGTGCTGCCGGCTTCATCAGCCTCTCGCTCGCCTTGCGAGACGGCGCGGGGGGTACGTCGAGGAAGGGTTTGTTCGTGGCCGAGGGGTTTGAAAAGCCGAAGAATGACATGTTTTCGATGCCAAAACGGAATCCAATGCGTTTCTTGTTTTTGATCGTATACGGTGCTGCTAACTCTGTTCGGCGGGAAGGCTTCAGTATGCTTGGTATGCGCATGGCGGAGAGATTAAGGATACAACGGCTAGCGATACACAGTGGATGGTACAACGGACGACCGGAGGGTGGTCACCGGATGATGGTGGCGAGTGGGGAGGAAGCAAGACGGAACAGGATACGAACCAAACAGTGTGGCCCCGGACAGAGGTCGTGGCCCGGATGAATCGTTGGTTTAAGTATAGCCGGCTAAGGGTTAAGCAAGGTCAGCGAATATGAGCGAAAATGGACATGGACCGAAACACTGGAAATGTAAGTGATCGAACGGCGGTGCATTGTGCATTGTCCTGGCCGCGAAGCCTGGTTGGCTGGGCGAGGCTCCCAATCCGGTTGGCCATCAGCAGCGACCGCAGTCTAGCGACCACGACCTAGACCGATATGGACGAGATAGTGGCATGCGGACGCTTTGGGCTGGAAACGAAGCGGGAAGAGGGGCGACTTGCCTTGTACGGTGAATGAATGTGTGTACGGAGGAGGCCGCGCCTGTCAGGGAAGAAAAGGGGTGGTAAGGGACCTGCTGGCACTCAGAAGGGTAGAGCAGCTAGCCAAGGAGTCCTTACGCGAAACGAACCAACGAAATAGGGAATCGGCGCAAACGACTTTGTGTACGTCTGTGGGTCCACACCGGGTGCGCAAATAAGCGTCTCGCGGTCACTCCGAGCAGCGCTGGCTGTACTCACGAATGAACGGGGTATGGGGCGTCGCCGGAATGTACAGACCTGGATGTGCTGTCGCGCGTGTCGCAGTACAGATAGTAAAGAGCTAGCAACCCCCCTTGCCGCTTCCTCTCTTATTTGCGCCTTGTTTGGCCTATGTTCGTTTTGGACGCGTCTCTCACGTGGCCGCGACGCGCGCGAGTTCATCATCTTCTCGTGCATCTCCCGCGGCGCGCGCCCGTCCCTGCCACCAGTCTGCCATCGTCGCAGGCAGCGTGGAGCTGCGCCTTGCTTCTGCCCGTCCCTGGCTGCTCCTGACGCAGCTCGATGCCCGCTCCGTCCGCGCTTTGTGCACTCGCCGACGCATCCCATTGGCTGCCGCCCCGCCCGCGTTGCACTCCTCTCGCCGTCCTCGGTAGCCCTTCTCTCGCTGTTCTCTCCGTCCCTCCCCCGTCTTTCTCCTCCTCCCGTCCCTTTCCCGCGCTCCCGCCCCGTGTCCCGCTGCCCTACGCTCATGCGCACCATCGAGACGAGTCTGCCGATACCCACAACTCCGCGTTTTAGCTCGTTCTTGGGTCCACACAGGTCCTTTTTCTTTTTCTTCTCCAATCGCGCGCATTCATCCAGAAAACTCGTCTTCTCAGCGATCATGTCCGACTTGTGTCCGCCTCCCCCGCCCCGAACCCGCTCCAAATCCCCCACCTGTGCATTGCCGGGCGATGCTCCAGCATCCGGACATGCTCCTCTCATTTTGGGGACCGACTTCGTGCACCGGACGACTCGCTACACGCCGTTCTCTGCGGCCCTGCCCAACAAGCGCCCGCGGTCGTCCTCCGCACGCGCTGCCTACCACCCGCCTCCTCCTCATGCTTCGTAAAGTGCGCTGCACGCATCCTTCGACCGTCCGCGTCGCCGCCATCACCCGTCAAGCGTCCAGCTCCACCCCAGCCGCGTACGCCCACCCCCGAGTCTCAGGCATAGCGCACCGCCATGCCCGCGCAGTGCGCTCACATAGCTGCGTCGACAACACACGGCGAGCAACGCACGAGACGGCATACGTACTTCTGTACGACGGTACCCACGCCCGTACCCTCTTGCGGACATCTCGCAGCCGCCGCCGACAGCGATGCCGTCCAATCACACGCGAACAGTATTGGGCAACTCACATGCCAGTCCTGTGTCGGCCGAGTTGCTCGCACGTATCGTGAAGACGGACTTCGGCACGACGACCTCCCGCGGTCTCCTGCCCGCCTGCAGCCATTTCGCAGCAATGGCAGCAGAGACGCTTCTTCCTGCGACGTGCAGGCGACGCGTCCCAATACATCGCAAGTCCCTCTGTGCGAACCTACGTACGTACGCCTACGCTTCTCCCAAGAACCTCGTACTCACTACTCTAGATCTACAGCACTCGGACGACTGCCCGCGCGTCGATCGCTCGTGCGGCGCCGCGTCTCCTCCCGCTCCCCACCGTTCGCAGCCACCGACGAAGCTCACCAGCCGCGAGTCCTCCTGACCCCCGTGTCGTACGGACGGCTACGGCCGCTCTACATGTCCCCCGTCGTTAGCAAAGTCAAGAACCGCCTGAACCTCAAGAAAACGTACCTTCGCCCGGCAGCGCGAGTACCGACGACCTCGACACCGTACACGACGACCCGCACACTCAGCCCGTCGCCAAGGCGCGCTCACTCGGCGAGCGCATCTGCTCTGCTACCACAATGAGGTCAGTACTCGCCCGTTCGACTCAGTCGGAAACGCAACTCACCGATGCCTCCTCTCCCCCGCAGCCCCCGGTTTTATACCTCGCCCGAGGGCTCGTCAGCGCGATGACAGCGGCCAAGTCGCCGTGGCTCTTCCGGGGCGCATCCTGCGCGACGTCCGCGGAAGCGAGCGTGGCGCCGCTTGCATGGACGCCAGCCTCGTCCGTGCCACCGACGCCGGCGTTCGGGCGCATGCTCGATGGCCCGGGCGTGTGGTACGTGCGCGTTGATCGGGCAGGGTCCGTGCACGTTCTCCGTTGACGGACGCTCCGGGACTGGGGGTGCTTGGCGCGACGGGCAGCCTCGCGCGTCGATGCTGCATTCGTCCACCACGCAGCCTGCAAGACGACGGCGCAAGGACGTGCCAGTCGGGCCTACGTCTCTCTCGGGTAGACGATACGCGCAGTGTGCTACGACGCATGCCGCTCGGGGAATGCGATCCGGACGGGCTGCAGCATCGTACGAGATGCGCAGGCGGTCTCCTTCCATTTGCAGGACAGCCTCTCGTCGCGTCCAGCCTGCGAAGCAAGTGTTCCAAGCCGTTCATGCGAGCGAGCACTGGCGGTACGTCTCGCCGCCCGGCCTCTTCCCTCCTCGAGTGACATGCTGCTTCCGTCGACGCATTGCCCTCACCCTGCTCGTCGACGAGACCGTTCCCCGCGCCACGGGGATGAGCGAGGTGAGTGCTGTCGCGGTGTTTCTGGTGCTGATGTTCTGTCGTTCAGTGAGCCGGAGGGTGTGGTGGGACGGCTCGGGGAGGATGCGAGGCGGGAGCTATGGTTCATCGGGAGGATCGCGGGTGCAGAGGGCGTGACACCACGGTGGGAACACGCCGCGCGGCGACGGACGTACGTCGACGTCGGCGCAATGTCTGCGTGCACGACTGACTGTGCACGGAAGAGTCCCCGCTGCGCAGACGACGGTTGCCGTGACGGGCGACTGGCACGTCGTGCGTGTTGCTCGAAGTAGGTACGGAGTCCGTGTATGTAGTCTCGAGGAATAGATATATATCTGTTACTCTACATGGTGGGCACGGACCGCGAGCGACGGTCAGAGCCGTCGCAGCGTCCCCCTGTGGTATCCCTGCGAGTTGGCCAGGTCAAAAAGCACGCCACCTCCGTCCGTGGTGTGTACGCGCAGAGCTACGTCTACAGTTCTCGGGGCCCGGGCAGTGACGCCTTCGATTACCACCGCCTCTCCGCCGTCGGCTACATGAGCATCTTGTCGAGGTACCGAACACGTTCGTTCTGCGGACGTCGGCGAGTGTACGTGAGCAGTCTCGTCTCGGAGGGCCCGCCGAACGACAGCGAGGCGACTGAACGGATTGCGCACCTGCGCACCGCGAACGCTTCTGACCGAGTGGTGCGACACGCCTGCTCGACGGTCACACCGCATCGCATCGTCGGACAAGTCGGAGATGCCACTCACTTGACGGTATCCCACCAGCTGCATCTCGTCGGGGCCTGGGCGACGCGGGGCGAAAAAGCTTGCTGCCAAAGGACTCGAGCTAGAGCTCATGACGGCCAGTCGATCGCTTGAGCTCCGCCGGAGAGAGAAACGCGACTCACCGAGACGAGCCTGGAGAGCTTTGAAATCCAGGAGCGGAATGGCGAGTGCGACATCGCTGTTACTCGGTTGCCGACCCAAACGGCTTCGACATCGGGTCCTTTTCACTGAGCGAATGGATCCCGCGGTGGACGTGGCAAGCAATTGGACCATGGCGACAGAGCCATCGAGGACCATAGATAAGACTTACTGAAGCACAAAACGGGAAAGGGCGGGAGCAACTGGTGCGAGTGTCAAGCGATGTATATGTCGGCGTTCGCGCATTCTCCGCACTACCTGTGCTGGAGACGATGGGTCGATGAGATCAAGCCCGCTCGACGCCGAGCTACCGGTCTCATCCGTTCTGCGAGTATCGATGACAGCTGGGCCTACGACCATTCGAGAATTAGCGGGACCATGAAACAAGCCCCGTGTCCCGCGACTCGCGACCAAATGGACTACGCACCTATACACCACACGTCCGGCCCTCACACCATACGAGCTGCATCTCTTGCGGAAGGCTGTGGAGTCTGCCCTGAGTTGTCGGTGGCATCGAGTTGCATCGTCAGGAGGTGCCGGCGTTTGCTCACGAAACACTGCGCATTACGCCGGTCGAGTTTGCGGAGGCGGGATAGCTAAGTCACCGCTGTTCAGTGTTCAGTCTTTCGAGCTTTGAGCACGGATAAGCGACGCCGTCAAACACGAGCCCTTCATTGTGCGAGATGGTGCGGTGGAGTACACAGGCCATTAGACGGCCCATGCGTCGTGACTCGGATGACAGGACTTAACGAGGACAGTAGTAGAGGCACAGTAGCGCAGGAACAGAGTGAGAGAACATACGAGCAGGCTGGGAGCGGCCGGGTAGTATATACATATCTTCGAGCAGTCTATTCAGACATGTATATGTTGATGTTCTGCGTTCTGCGTACTATCCTCGTTCAAGCCGAGGGATTGTTCAAACACGAGTTGCCGACGTCAAGCCGTACGGCCAGCTTGCGTCAGGAGCGGACCAGTGCAATGTACGGCACTTACTGAGGGTCATTGCGAGCCTATTGGACGAAGGCATGCACGCCGAGGGTCAGCAGTTACTGCGGAGCCTGACGGCGAATACGAGCCTTCCCGTGAGCGTACAGAGGTCCGCGTCGACGCAATACTCACCTCTGTAAACCAGGACTGTAGACAGTTCGCTGTCTCGGCTGTGAATACTCGACCACACGCGACTCTGCTCTCGCGTGTTCTCGAGTTGCTGCGGCTGCTCTACTGCATCCTCGAACGACAGGCAGCGCACATGTTCCGGCACGGAACGACTGACCGGTATCATCACGCTCGTAGGCGGAACCAGATTGCAAGAAATAAGTACCGTTAAAAGGTGTCGCGGACACGGCGGAGGAGGCGCTGCGGGACAGTAAGTAGACTCATCCTCTTTCCATGCTCAAGTCTCTGCAGCGTATGCGTCAGGGGCTTCATTCCCAGCGTATGTACACCGCATCGTAGATGTACGGCTCGGTCTCGGGGAGTGCGATTCAGCTTCGCTGCGCATCTGCCGTGTAACCCAACGACTCGGACAACATGGGGGAGGGCGGAAAGCTCGACTGGCAGCTATGCACCGTGATTCAATGCTCGCACCGCGAGCCGGTCGTCACAGGCGCAGCGTCAGGGACCCTGCACGAGGGCTAGACAATGCGTCGGTAGTCGGCTGCTCGCCGACGTCATCTTCTATGCAGCCCGTCACGTCTTCGAGCTGAACGCCTTCGCGCAGATCAGTGATTTCACAGGCACCCAACAGGGAATTGGACGATCTGAATACCGTCCAAGCAAACGCGGACCGGGTTGTCCGGACCAGTCATTGACCCGTGCGTCGTCGCCGTATCGACACGAGGCTGAGAAGGAAGTGAGCGTACCTTGGTCTGGTCTGCATCTTCTGCGCTCTCTGACGGTTGACGGGAAGCAGGGAGGGCGGCCGAGATGCGGCCATGCAGACAACGCCGCAATGCTTCGCATTGTCTACTGCGCAGTTGCCAACGCAGAATATGCTTCGAGCAGCCACGCAATTCCACGATGTACGTCTCGTTGCGCGCAGGATGCAATGAATCTGCTCGCCGGGATAGCAAGCCTTGCTGTTGCAGCAGCAAGTACATACCTGCAAGCGTCGTGCATTGTCATTCGCGTGCCTGCATGCAATACGCCGCGGTAGCGGGATCGCGCGTGGGTCCTCGATGCGCGCAGGCAATAGTGTGCCCGACCAGAGATAGAAATCGGGTGACAGCCGATGTGACGCCGCGCATATCTCGTATGAGAGTGTCATCCCCGCAAAATGGATCGTTATTGTCCTCGTTGACATTGCTCGAGGATGTGATCGCGCGGGCGCACGTATGTCAGGAGCTGGACCGGCAATGCGATCGGTCCTAGCTGGTACATTCGCGCCAAGCAACCACCTTTGGTCATACTATCCGCGACACGGAAGACGGTGGGATGCCCGTCTGCCGCGGTCTGCCAACACCCGGATCAACATGCAGAACGCACGAAGAACGCATGACGGCACGTATGCATTGCAGCCGATCGTATGCGCGTACACCACAGACAGTAGAATGGTGCCCGACGTCCCGCCAGGGAAGCTCGGGCTACTCGCTGCAGCATTCCTCAGCATTCTTTCTCAAATCACAGCCATAAACCAGGCACGAAAATCCCGGTTTCGTCCTCAAGAGATCGTGACACATGTCACGGGCAAAGGATATCCTTTTCAGACAGAAGTACACACGCAGACTCACCAAAGCTATCTCATTTCCCGCCAATCATCTCCTCACGCCGCGCGCCCCGTCCGAGCCACTCGATCGTAGCTCGTTTGACAGGATCTGTCGAGTTCATGGCTAGCCGGTGTTTGGTAGAACACGGAGTTCAAGTTGAGTATTGACGAGAACGTGGATTGCCTGCCCCGACTCGGCGCGTGTGGTTGCGAGCATGCCTGAACAGTAGCACGCCATAGGCAGTTAATAGCTCAAGCCGACGAAAGCGCGGCGAGTGTTTGACGCAGAGGAATCGCGTGGAGACCGTGCAGAGACAGTTGGAGATAGCTGGTAGTAGCCGACGCCGTTCGTAGTGACATGCACGCAGATGGAGTGGGCCGACAGGGATTGATTGTCAGCCAAGAAGATAGGCCCTAGTCATCGGAGTGCAAACGCATATATGCCGCATCAAGACAAAGGAATCATTTCGGCGAGCGGGCAGGTGAATGGATGGGAGGAGGAGAGCTGTGGCTGAAGCGCTGAAGCTTGATGTCGGGTCCTGGACGCGTCACGACTCGTGCGCGTGACCGTGCCAGATGGAAAGAACTTGATTAGGTACCTCAACTGCATACGCTCCGTTTCTTTGACAGAACCTCGGATGCCTGTCAGACAGCTTGGTTATCGAAGCCGCGCGCGACACAGGTCGTACTGACGTCATGAATAGAACATTTTGTGTCGACAGCGCCTTGACAAACTACACATGAAATGCGCGGCCGTGCGCATTTCCGGGCAGTCTTCGTAGCATATGTTCGCTCGTAAAGCTCGCCGCAAACGACTCGTAGCGATCCGAGTCGTAGCTCCCACCCAAGCTTACGGGTTCCGGATTACCATATCGGGGATACTACCTCCCGCGTCTTGCTTCCACGAGCTCATCGGCCGCTTGTGACAAGGCAATCTGTGACGGAATAACAGTGAGTAATCCATTTCCTCACTCCGTGACTAGTAAGGATGTGGGCCTACTATGTGAGTATTACTGATCATTGAGTTCCGAGTCTGTCATGGACAGTCATGGAAGATTGCTGTATCAGGTAAGTATGAATTGCATGCCATAGTCCAGCTCGGTCGATGTTCGAGCATCATTCATGTTGCTGAGCCATTGGTCTGCCAGTTAGTATCAGCTCATGCACTTGGCAATTCTGTTTTCACTTTGAGATTCATTGTGACTCGTGAGCCACTCTGAAAATGAGTAGTATACCGGAGAAAGTGAGGTCAAGATCAGAATCGCAGCATGAGCATTGTCACACAGTGTTCATGGGACACTGCGGACAACCCGGATTGTGCGAGGCGCTTACATAGGCCTAACATTGCAAGGGCGTGTATATTAGTAAGCCATCAAGTGAACTTCCCTAACATGGGAAGTACATTCCTAGAACATGGCACGATTTCGGAACATAGGAAGAACATAACACTTACATTCCCGATTCTAGGAACATTCAAAATGTTAGGCCGAACAAAGGAATCCCATTCTCTATGTTAGGAGCTCCGACTTAGAGCCGTAAAAATATACACGCCCTTACAATGTAAGTACCATGTGAGCGCTTCGCACAACGCGGTTTGTCCGCAGTGGGAAGCACGATAGACTGACGTGAGACAGGCGCCGGGCACATCGGAGGAGATGAGTGGCGGATTTGATGTGCATTTGTGGCGCTGTTGAGGCGAGCATCAGCCCGGTGAGTGCAAATATGGTGTGAGCTGTTCTGACACGAGTCTGGCACTTGATATGCATGAGCCGAGCACCAGCAACATAAAGGTCAGTGGGCAGATGGGCGAGACACACTACTCTTGACCGTCACTATGCCTCACCCTCCTCCACCGTCGGCGCAGCCTTATCACTGTTCCCCGATCGCGCCGATCTACTGCCCGCTCCTACGTTCAATGTTTGGTGGTGTGGGCCTATGTACAGTCAGTCATTGTCGTTGTGTCTGTATTCATACTCACTGTTTGTGATCTTCTGACAGCAGCTATGTACTGAAACCTCACATCGAGAACGAAGCTCCGCGAGCCACACCCGTCCAACTGTAAGTGGCTTCCCGATATAGTAGTAGTGACTTCGTCTCAGCCTATCACAGCAATGTCGCTCGTCTGTCTCGTACGCAAGTGAGGCTTGACATGACCAAGACCCAGTCCGACTTATCAGGGCACAGGCCAGGCTCCTGGCTTGAAGCCGGGAAGCTCATTAGTACGTCCGTCGCTATGTAGTAAGCAGAGAGGTGTCATGACTGTTGTACTAATGACGGGCTAGATAGGTTGGCCAGGTATCCTCGAGTATCCACAGCCCAGGCGAGCTCACCTCCGCGCCCACACGAATGCGTAGACAGAGGCGCCGACATGTCATCATGGATCTGCGATCATTTGGACAGACGGTTCGACAGGTACGTTGGTCGCATTGTATGGATTATCTACGAATCATTGACTGGTGCGGCTAGATGGGCATGCACCGTGTCAAAATACGAAGCTCGCGCATCGACTGTGCTTTCCGGAAGACACCGTCGTATTGTAGGTCGCATGCCATAGTCTTCATTTCGAGTGTACTGATCCTCCGCACTCAGTTCCATATATACTTGACCGATGAACGTGCATAATCAATGATATTGTATGTGATAACCTGAACCGAACGTGCACTGTCAGTCGCGAAGCTCGCCTGGTTCTGGCGCCACCAGCGCGCATGCAGAGACCCAGGTATCTGATTGGGATATACTTACCGAGTTTACTATCTGAGGCATTCGTTTATTTTGCCGCATCGACCCATGCGAGCCGTGGCCGATGCAGGTGTAAGTATTATGCGACTCACAGTAACACTGGTGAAGTGCAGCTGCCCGAGTCGCGCCGTGATCCGTCACGGTACAAGATGGAGTACGGCAGCGACTGCCTCTGCACGTCACACCGTCACGGAGATTTGCAAGATGACGGGTCGAAGGGCCATTAGTACGTCGTCCCTTCCTATGTTCTTCTGCGCTTTGCGAGCGCGATGGCTCCCTGCTGCCGGGTATTACGATGGGACATAAGGTGAGCAATGACAATACATGCTTACCTTCCTCATTCTGATCTGCGACGGCAGCCACTCTGGTCGACGCAATGCATATCGACTGCTCGTACGTCGCCGCTACTGCAACACCCCCATATCCGGCCCGGTTCGGCCGTGCAAGGCAATGTATATATAGATCGTCTTCCCGCGAGCGGCGCGTCTGCGACGGTGCGTAGACAGCGAGATGCACATGTGCCGACGCCGACTGACACCGGACTGAGCAGGGTTGCTGCCCACGTCCGCCAATCTGTCTGCCAGTCAACAGAGAGCAGCGCGTCAGCGCTGGTCAGGCTATGTGATTGCATCGGTGTCTACAAAGTTCGTGAGCGTAGGTCAGGGTATCAAGACCTTCGTACCTTTGCAGCCTTCGGCCCATCAACGCTAAGGGTATCCGTACTGACCTATACTGTTCGTGAGACCCGGCATGGCAAAGTAGGTATGTATCGGCGTCCGGCGAGCGGCTTCTCGGGCCATGTGCAAGGTGCGTCATTAATTCGACGCTGGTGCTGGCCGGGTGGTTGACATTACAACAGGTTGGCGGCGCCGAGTTCGTGAGTATCGATGAGCAACAAGTCCTTCGTACCTATGGAGGCTTCGAGCTCAAGACCAATGCATGGTAGTATGACCACTCACCAACACTGTTCACGACGTCGGGAACGGCAAAGTAGGTATATATCGACGTCCGGCGAGCGACGTCTGGGTCGTCTGCGAGGTGCGTTTTGAGGTAGGTGCCTGCCGTCCGTGTCCGAGCCCGAGCCCGGGCACGCAGCGCCGCGCGAGCGCTGCTCCGTAGGCTCGTTGGGCAGTGGACCAAGTCAAGTCGTGAGCGTGAACGTCGATGTATATATAGATCGACGCCCGGCGACCGACGTCCCGCGCCATGTCCTCCTAGGTGCGTCAGTGATCTAGCGGGACGTGTGCTTACTTTGTACCGGGAACAGCAATGTCTATATGTATCGACGCCCGGCGAGCGACTTCCTGGGCCGTACACGAGGTAAGTTATCCAGTCAGCCCTGCAGTGAAGTGCCCTCTTGGCTGACGTGAGACTGTGTTGCACGGGCCCCTCGTCATAGTCTTCCGCGCAAGCGCAGCCACTCTGCTGTTGCTGTGTACGACGGTCCAAGTCGGCGGCGCGTCCGAGTCTCGTCACGAACGACGATGTGTATATGGATCGCCGTCCGGCGAGTCGTATTAGATGTAAGCTCATGTCCTGGGTCACTCGCACTGACTACGCCGGCGCGACAGTCTTCCTCGGCACAGGGAGTCCATGCCGCACGACTTCTGGCCTTCGTTCACGACCCACGTTCGCGGGCCGATACGTGGTGAGTTACGTCGTCTGTGCATTCGCATCGCGTGTTCGCTGACGTTGCGTCGGCAGAGTGTCGCAAGCGCGTCATCGTGCGGTGCCGACTTGCTGGGCTGTAAGCCGTGTCTCGCCGTCGCGTGAGTCTTCCCCGCCTTGAGTACGTCGTTTGTGTTCGCTGACTATCTGCGAGGGCGAGCTCGTCGCAGACTCTGGGCACGACGTCACCATGTACTCGGGGTAAGTGAATGTATTGACTCTGTATGTACACGCGGCGACGGACGTACGACGAGGGACAGACGTACCTGGGTAGGGGGAAGGGGCTACGTGTTGCAGTGCGCGAGGGAGAGAAGGGGGGGCTTCTTTTTTTTTTTTGTGTTCATCAGCATGTACATACCGGGCCCCGTTTTGCGCGATGGACGAAAAGTTTTGACCACCGATAACGCGCGAGCTCCCTGCGGGGAGGCGAATCCATGCCCGAAAAAAGTACGTTTTTGGACTTGGGCAAATCGTCGCGTTTTGCGCTCCAGCCAATCCCTGCGCCCACACGTAAAACCCCCACGCCCGCCGTGCGACGATCCCCGCCCCGCGCCCACGCCGCACTCGCACGCCTTCGTACTGGCTGGCAAGAACCGGCGCATCATGGTTTCTGAGCGCCTGGATGCTGGGCATGCGGTTCAGCTTGTGCACCATCGGGGACGACGGCGCGGGCGAGGACTCCATGGCGGCCTCCTGCTCGAGTATGTGGTGGGCGAGACGCGCCGACCCGCGCATCGGCGAAGACGAACGACGCTTCTTGGGGAGGGGCAGGGAAGGGCTCTCAACAGGCGTCCCGGGGGAGGTGTCACCCGGCGCCGCGAAGCCATTGAAGTCGCATGCGCGCACCTGCGCAAAGTAATCCTCGAACGTACTAATTGTCGGCGCAGCGGACGTCGGGACCGCGAGCGGGTTGTTGTTGACGTCGAATGCGGTGATCGTCGGCACGGCGGAGAGCGGACCATCGCTGGGCACCGACGACGACGGAACGTAGACAAATGAAGAGTCGACGTCCATCGCGTCGGATGCCGCGGGGGACGACGGAATGTTCTGAGGCTGGCAGGGAGCCAAGCGTCAGCTACTCCATACGTTGCGATCGAGCCTGAGCGCGAGTGGCTCACTGGCCCGAAACTGAACAACTCACCTCTGGCGCGACGTTCGCGTCCTGACCACCCGTCGCCATCCATTCGAACGGCAGAGCAGCTCGTTGGAGCCGTTTGCTCGCCCCGTTCGTCCCAGTCGACTTGGCGACAGACTGCAGACTCGTTACCGAACCGTTCCCGCCCGAGTTGTTGCTCATGTCCCGACCGAAGAGCCTCGCGTTGCTCGTCATGGCGCGCGGGCGACCCATGAAGGGACGTTGTTTGTCGACGCGCGTCGGGGGCGCGGGCGAAATGTCCATAGGCGCGTAGTCCGGATGATTGTCGCGCTCGCTTTCCGGCGCAAGGTCGAGCGTGTCGCGAGGCGGCGAGTTGAGCGACATGGTCGACGCGAAAGAGAGCTCGAGGTCGTCCGCCTCAGACGAGAGGAAGTCGTCCATTTCGACGCGTGCTGCCGGCTTCATCAGCCTCTCGCTCGCCTTGCGAGACGGCGCGGGGGGTACGTCGAGGAAGGGTTTGTTCGTGGCCGAGGGGTTTGAAAAGCCGAAGAATGACATGTTTTCGATGCCAAAACGGAATCCAATGCGTTTCTTGTTTTTGATCGTATACGGTGCTGCTAACTCTGTTCGGCGGGAAGGCTTCAGTATGCTTGGTATGCGCATGGCGGAGAGATTAAGGATACAACGGCTAGCGATACACAGTGGATGGTACAACGGACGACCGGAGGGTGGTCACCGGATGATGGTGGCGAGTGGGGAGGAAGCAAGACGGAACAGGATACGAACCAAACAGTGTGGCCCCGGACAGAGGTCGTGGCCCGGATGAATCGTTGGTTTAAGTATAGCCGGCTAAGGGTTAAGCAAGGTCAGCGAATATGAGCGAAAATGGACATGGACCGAAACACTGGAAATGTAAGTGATCGAACGGCGGTGCATTGTGCATTGTCCTGGCCGCGAAGCCTGGTTGGCTGGGCGAGGCTCCCAATCCGGTTGGCCATCAGCAGCGACCGCAGTCTAGCGACCACGACCTAGACCGATATGGACGAGATAGTGGCATGCGGACGCTTTGGGCTGGAAACGAAGCGGGAAGAGGGGCGACTTGCCTTGTACGGTGAATGAATGTGTGTACGGAGGAGGCCGCGCCTGTCAGGGAAGAAAAGGGGTGGTAAGGGACCTGCTGGCACTCAGAAGGGTAGAGCAGCTAGCCAAGGAGTCCTTACGCGAAACGAACCAACGAAATAGGGAATCGGCGCAAACGACTTTGTGTACGTCTGTGGGTCCACACCGGGTGCGCAAATAAGCGTCTCGCGGTCACTCCGAGCAGCGCTGGCTGTACTCACGAATGAACGGGGTATGGGGCGTCGCCGGAATGTACAGACCTGGATGTGCTGTCGCGCGTGTCGCAGTACAGATAGTAAAGAGCTAGCAACCCCCCTTGCCGCTTCCTCTCTTATTTGCGCCTTGTTTGGCCTATGTTCGTTTTGGACGCGTCTCTCACGTGGCCGCGACGCGCGCGAGTTCATCATCTTCTCGTGCATCTCCCGCGGCGCGCGCCCGTCCCTGCCACCAGTCTGCCATCGTCGCAGGCAGCGTGGAGCTGCGCCTTGCTTCTGCCCGTCCCTGGCTGCTCCTGACGCAGCTCGATGCCCGCTCCGTCCGCGCTTTGTGCACTCGCCGACGCATCCCATTGGCTGCCGCCCCGCCCGCGTTGCACTCCTCTCGCCGTCCTCGGTAGCCCTTCTCTCGCTGTTCTCTCCGTCCCTCCCCCGTCTTTCTCCTCCTCCCGTCCCTTTCCCGCGCTCCCGCCCCGTGTCCCGCTGCCCTACGCTCATGCGCACCATCGAGACGAGTCTGCCGATACCCACAACTCCGCGTTTTAGCTCGTTCTTGGGTCCACACAGGTCCCTTTTTCTTTTTCTTCTCCAATCGCGCGCATTCATCCAGAAAACTCGTCTTCTCAGCGATCATGTCCGACTTGTGTCCGCCTCCCCCGCCCCGAACCCGCTCCAAATCCCCCACCTGTGCATTGCCGGGCGATGCTCCACCATCCGGACATGCTCCTCTCACTTTTGGGGACCGACTTCGTGCACCGGACGACTCGCTACACGCCGTTCTCTGCGGCCCTGCCCAACAAGCGCCCGCGGTCGTCCTCCGCACGCGCTGCCTACCACCCGCCTCCTCCTCATGCTTCGTAAAGTGCGCTGCACGCATCCTTCGACCGTCCGCGTCGCCGCCATCACCCGTCAAGCGTCCAGCTCCACCCCAGCCGCGCTACGCCCACCCCCGAGTCTCAGGCATAGCGCACCGCCATGCCCGCGCAGTGCGGTCACATAGCTGCGTCGACAACACACGGCGAGCAACGCACGAGACGGCATACGTACTTCTGTACGACGGTACCCACGCCCGTACCCTCTTGCGGACATCTCGCAGCCGCCGCCGACAGCGATGCCGTCCAATCATACGCGAACAGTATTGGGCAACTCACATGCCAGTCCTGTGTCGGCCGAGTTGCTCGCACGTATCGTGAAGACGGACTTCGGCAAGACGACCTCCCGCGGTCTCCTGCCCGCCTGCAGCCATTTCGCAGCAATGGCAGCAGAGACGCTTCTTCCTGCGACGTGCATGCGACGCGTCCCAATACATCGCAAGTCCCTCTGTGCGAACCTACGTACGTACGCCTACACTTCTCCCAAGAACCTCGTACTCACTACTCTAGATCTACAGCACTCGGACGACTGCCCGCGCGTCGATCGCTCGTGCGGCGCCGCGTCTCCTCCCGCTCCCCACCGTTCGCAGCCACCGACGAAGCTCACCAGCCGCGAGTCCTCCTGACCCCCGTGTCGTACGGACGGCTACGGCCGCTCTACATGTCCCCCGTCGTTAGCAAAGTCAAGAACCGCCTGAACCTCAAGAAAACGTACCTTCGCCCGGCAGCGCGAATACCGACGACCTCGACACCGTACACGACGACCCGCACACTCAGCCCGTCGCCAAGGCGCGCTCACTCGGCGAGCGCATCTGCTCTGCTACCACAATGAGGTCAGTACTCGCCCGTTCGACTCAGTCGGAAACGCAACTCACCGATGCCTCCTCTCCCCCGCAGCCCCCGGTTTTATACCTCGCCCGAGGGCTCGTCAGCGCGATGACAGCGGCCAAGTCGCCGTGGCTCTTCCGGGGCGCATCCTGCGCGACGTCCGCGGAAGCGAGCGTGGCGCCGCTTGGCATGGACGCCAGCCTCGTCCGTGCCACCGACGCCGGCGTTCGGGCGCATGCTCGATGGCCCGGGCGTGTGGTACGTGCGCGTTGATCGGGCAGGGTCCGTGCACGTTCTCCGTTGACGGACGCTCCGGGACTGGGGGTGCTTGGCGCGACGGGCAGCCTCGCGCGTCGATGCTGCATTCGTCCACCACGCAGCCTGCAAGACGACGGCGCAAGGACGTGCCAGTCGGGCCTACGTCTCTCTCGGGTAGACGATACGCGCAGTGTGCTACGACGCATGCCGCTCGGGGAATGCGATCCGGACGGGCTGCAGCATCGTACGAGATGCGCAGGCGGTCTCCTTCCATTTGGCAGGACAGCCTCTCGTCGCGTCCAGCCTGCGAAGCAAGTGTTCCAAGCCGTTCATGCGAGCGAGCACTGGCGGTACGTCTCGCCGCCCGGCCTCTTCCCTCCTCGAGTGACATGCTGCTTCCGTCGACGCATTGCCCTCACCCTGCTCGTCGACGAGACCGTTCCCCGCGCCACGGGGATGAGCGAGGTGAGTGCTGTCGCGGTGTTTCTGGTGCTGATGTTCTGTCGTTCAGTGAGCCGGAGGGTGTGGTGGGACGGCTCGGGGAGGATGCGAGGCGGGAGCTATGGTTCATCGGGAGGATCGCGGGTGCAGAGGGCGTGACACCACGGTGGGAACACGCCGCGCGGCGACGGACGTACGTCGACGTCGGCGCAATGTCTGCGTGCACGACTGACTGTGCACGGAAGAGTCCCCGCTGCGCAGACGACGGTTGCCGTGACGGGCGACTGGCACGTCGTGCGTGTTGCTCGAAGTAGGTACGGAGTCCGTGTATGTAGTCTCGAGGAATAGATATATATCTGTTACTCTACATGGTGGGCACGGACCGCGAGCGACGGTCAGAGCCGTCGCAGCGTCCCCCTGTGGTATCCCTGCGAGTTGGCCAGGTCAAAAAGCACGCCACCTCCGTCCGTGGTGTGTACGCGCAGAGCTACGTCTACAGTTCTCGGGGCCCGGGCAGTGACGCCTTCGATTACCACCGCCTCTCCGCCGTCGGCTACATGAGCATCTTGTCGAGGTACCGAACACGTTCGTTCTGCGGACGTCGGCGAGTGTACGTGAGCAGTCTCGTCTCGGAGGGCCCGCCGAACGACAGCGAGGCGACTGAACGGATTGCGCACCTGCGCACCGCGAACGCTTCTGACCGAGTGGTGCGACACGCCTGCTCGACGGTCACACCGCATCGCATCGTCGGACAAGTCGGAGATGCCACTCACTTGACGGTATCCCACCAGCTGCATCTCGTCGGGGCCTGGGCGACGCGGGGCGAAAAAGCTTGCTGCCAAAGGACTCGAGCTAGAGCTCATGACGGCCAGTCGATCGCTTGAGCTCCGCCGGAGAGAGAAACGCGACTCACCGAGACGAGCCTGGAGAGCTTTGAAATCCAGGAGCGGAATGGCGAGTGCGACATCGCTGTTACTCGGTTGCCGACTCAAACGGCTTCGACATCGGGTCCTTTTCACTGAGCGAATGGATCCCGCGGTGAACGTGGCAAGCAATTGGACCATGGCGACAGAGCCATCGAGGACCATAGATAAGACTTACTGAAGCACAAAACGGGGAAGGGCGGGAGTGTCAATAGCGACTGGTAAGAGTTCAAGCGATGTATATGTCGGCGTTCGCGCACTCTCCGCACTACCTTTGCTGGAGACGATGGGTCCACGACATCAAACCAGCTCGCCGCCGAGCGACCGGTCTCATGCGTTCTGCGAGTATCGATGACAGCTGGGCCTACGAGCATTCGATAATGGGCGGGAACATGAAACAAGCCCCGTGTCCCGCGACTCGCGACCAAATGGACTACGCACCTGTACACCACACGTCTGGCCCTCACACCATACGAGCTGCATGTCTTGCGGAAGGCTGTGAAGTCTGCCCTGAGTCGTCGGTGGCATCGAGTTGCATCGTCAGGACGTGCCGGTGTTTGCTCACGAAACACTGCGCATTACGCCGGTCGAGTTTGCGGAGGCGGGATGGCTAACTCACCGTTGTTCAGTGTTCAGTCTTTCGAGCTTTGAGAAGCACGGATAAGCGACGCCGTCAAGTACGAGCCCTTCACTTTGCGAGATGGTGCGGTGGAGTACGCAGGCCATTGGACGGCCTATGCGTCGTGACTCGGATGACAGGATCTAACGGGAACAGTAGAGACACAGAAGCGCAGGAACAGAGTGAGAGAACATACGAGCAGGCTGGGAGCGGCCGGGTAGTATATACATATCTTCGAGCAGTCTATTCAGACATGTATATGTTGATGTTCTGCGTTCTGCGTACTATCCTCGTTCAAGCCGAGGGATTGTTCAAACACGAGTTGCCGACGTCAAGCCGTACGGCCAGGTTGCGTCAGGAGCGGACCAGTGCAATGTACGGCACTTACTGAGGGTCATTGCGAGCCTATTGGACGAAGGCATGCACGCCGAGGGTCAGCAGTTACTGCGGAGCCTGACGGCGAATACGAGCCTTCCCGTGAGCGTACAGAGGTCCGCGTCGACGCAATACTCACCTCTGTAAACCAGGACTGTAGACAGTTCGCTGTCTCGGCTGTGAATACTCGACCACACGCGACTCTGCTCTCGCGTGTTCTCGAGTTGCTGCGGCTGCTCTACTGCATCCTCGAACGACAGGCAGCGCACATGTTCCGGCACGGAACGACTGACCGGTATCATCACGCTCGTAGGCGGAACCAGATTGCAAGAAATAAGTACCGTTAAAAGGTGTCGCGGACACGGCGGAGGAGGCGCTGCGGGACAGTAAGTAGACTCATCCTCTATTCATGCTCAAGTCTCTGCAGCGTATGCGTCAGGGGTTTCATTCCCAGCGTATGTACACCGCATCGTAGATGTAGGGCTCGGTCTCATTCGCGAAGGGGAGTGCAATTCAGCTTCGCTGCGCATCTGCCGTGTAACCCAACGACTCGGACAACATGGGGGAGGGCGGAAAGCTCGACTGGCAGCTATGCACCGTGATTCAACGCTCGCACCGCGAGCCGGTCGTCACAGGCGCAGCGTCAGGGACCCTGCACGAGGGCTAGACAATGCGTCGGTAGTCGGCTGCTCGCCGACGTCATCTTCTATGCAGCCCGTTACGTCTTCGAGCTGAACGCCTTCGCGCAGATCAGTGATTTCACAGGCACCCAACAGGGAATTGGACGATCTGAATACCGTCCAAGCAAACGCGGACCGGGTTGTCCGGACCAGTCATTGACCCGTGCGTCGTCGCCGTATCGACACGAGGCTGAGAAGGAAGTGAGCATACCTTGGTCTGGTCTGCATCTTCTGCGCTCTCTGACGGTTGACGGGAAGCAGGGAGGGCGGCCGAGATGCGGCCATGCAGACAACGCCGCAATGCTTCGCATTGTCTACTGCGCAGTTGCCAACGCAGAATATGCTTCGAGCAGCCACGCAATTCCACGATGTACGTCTCGTTGCGCGCAGGATGCAATGAATCTGCTCGCCGGGATAGCAGCCTTGCTGTTGCAGCAGCAAGTACATACCTGCAAGCGTCGTGCATTGTCATTCGCGTGCCTGCATGCAATACGCCGCGGTAGCGGGATCGCGCGTGGGTCCTCGATGCGCGCAGGCAATAGTGTGCCCGACCAGAGATAGAAATCGGGTGACAGCCGATGTGACGCCGCGCATATCTCGTATGAGAGTGTCATCCCCGCAAAATGGATCGTTATTGTCCTCGTTGACATTGCTCGAGGATGTGATCGCGCGGGCGCACGTATGTCAGGAGCTGGACCGGCAATGCGATCGGTCCTAGCTGGTACATTCGCGCCAAGCAACCACCTTTGGTCATGCTATCCGCGACACGGAAGACGGTGGGATGCCCGTCTGCCGCGGTCTGCCAACACCCGGATCAACATGCAGAACGCACGAAGAACGCATGACGGCACGTATGCATTGCAGCCGATCGTATGCGCGTACACCACAGACAGTAGAATGGTGCCCGACGTCCCGCCAGGGAAGCTCGGGCTACTCGCTGCAGCATTCCTCAGCATTCTTTCTCAAATCACAGCCATAAACCAGGCACGAAAATCCCGGTTTCGTCCTCAAGAGATCGTGACACATGTCACGGGCAAAGGATATCCTTTTCAGACAGAAGTACACACGCAGACTCACCAAAGCTATCTCATTTCCCGCCAATCATCTCCTCACGCCGCGCGCCCCGTCCGAGCCACTCGATCGTAGCTCGTTTGACAGGATCTGTCGAGTTCATGGCTAGCCGGTGTTTGGTAGAACACGGAGTTCAAGTTGAGTATTGACGAGAACGTGGATTGCCTGCCCCGACTCGGCGCATGTGGTTGCGAGCATGCCTGAACAGTAGCGCGCCATAGGCAGTTAGTAGCTCAAGCCGACGAAAGCTGCGGCGAGTGTTTGACGCAGAGGAATCGCGTGGAGACCGTGCAGAGACAGTTGGAGATAGCTGGTAGTAGCCGACGCCGTTCGTAGTGACATGCACGCAGATGGAGTGGGCCGACAGGGATTGATTGTCAGCCAAGAAGATAGGCCCTAGTCATCGGAGTGCAAACGCATATATGCCGCATCAAGACAAAGGAATCATTTCGGCGAGCGGGCAGGTGAATGGATGGGAGGAGGAGAGCTGTGGCTGAAGCGCTGAAGCTTGACGTCGGGTCCTGGACGCGTCACGACTCGTGCGCGTGACCGTGCCAGATGGAAAAGAACTTGATTAGGTACCTCAACTGCATACGCTCCGTTCCTCCTCCTCCTCCTCCTCGGATGCCTGTCAGACAGCTTGGTTATCGAAGCCGCGCGCGACACAGGTCGTACTGACGTCATGAATAGAACATTTTGTGTCGACGGCGCCTTGACAAACTACACATGAAATGCGCGGCCGTGCGCATTTCCGGGCAGTCTTCGTAGCATATGTTCGCTCGTAAAGCTCGCCGCAAACGACTCGTAGCGATCCGAGTCGTAGCTCCCACCCAAGCTTACGGGTTCCGGATTACCATATCGGGGATACTACCTCCCGCGTCTTGCTTCCACGAGCTCATCGGCCGCTTGTGACAAGGCAATCTGTGACGGAATAACAGTGAGTAATCCATTTCCTCACTCCGTGACTAGTAAGGATGTGGGCCTACTATGTGAGTATTACTGATCATTGAGTTCCGAGTCTGTCATGGACAGTCATGGAAGATTGCTGTATCAGGTAAGTATGAATTGCATGCCAGAGTCCAGCTCGGTCGATGTTCGAGCATCATTCATGTTGCTGAGCCATTGGTGTGCCAATTAGTATCAGCTCATGCACTTGGCAATTCTGTTTTCACTTTGAGATTCATTGTGACTCGTGAGCCACTCTGAAAATGAGTAGTATACCGGAGAAAGTGAGATCAAGTGAGCAAGATCAGAATCGCAGCATGAGCGTTGTCACACAGTGTTCATGGGAAGCACGATAGACTGACGTGAGACAGGCGCCGGGCACATCGGAGGAGATGAGTGGCGGATTTGATGTGCATTTGTGGCGCTGTTGAGGCGAGCATCAGCCCGGTGAGTGCAAATATGGTGTGAGCTGTTCTGACACGAGTCTGGCACTTGATATGCATGAGCCGAGCACCAGCAACATAAAGGTCAGTGGGCAGATGGGCGAGACGCACTACTCTTGACCGTCACTATGCCTCACCCTCCTCCACCGTCGGCGCAGCCTTATCACTGTTCCCCGATCGCGCCGATCTACTGCCCGCTCCTACGTTCAATGTTTGGTGGTGTGGGCCTAGTATGTACAGTCAGTCATTGTCGTTGTGTCTGTATTCATACTCACTGTTTGTGATCTTCTGACAGCAGCTATGTACTGAAACCTCACATCGAGAACGAAGCTCCGCGAGCCACACCCGTCCAACTGTAAGTGGCTTCCCGATATAGTAGTAGTGACTTCGTCTCAGCCTATCACAGCAATGTCGCTCGTCTGTCTCGTACGCAAGTGAGGCTTGACATGACCAAGACCCAGTCCGACTTATCAGGGCACAGGCCAGGCTCCTGGCTTGAAGCCGGGAAGCTCATTAGTACGTCCGTCGCTATGTAGTAAGCAGAGAGGTGTCATGACTGTTGTACTAATGACGGGCTAGATAGGTTGGCCAGGTATCCTCGAGTATCCACAGCCCAGGCGAGCTTACCTCCACGCCCACACGAATGCGTAGACAGAGGCGCCGACATGTCATCATGGATCTGCGATCATTTGGACAGACGGTTCGACAGGTACGTTGGTCGCATTGTATGGATTATCTACGAATCATTGACTGGTGCGGCTAGATGGGCATGCACCGTGTCAAAATACGAAGCTTGCGCATCGACTGTGCTTTCCGGAAGACACCGTCGTATTGTAGGTCGCATGCCATAGTCTTCATTTCGAGTGTACTGATCCTCCGCACTCAGTTCCATATATACTTGACCGATGAACGTGCATAATCAATGATATTGTATGTGATAACCTGAACCGAACGTGCACTGTCAGTCGCGAAGCTCGCCTGGTTCTGGCGCCACGAGCGCGCATGCAGAGACCCAGGTATCTGATTGGGATATACTTACCGAGTTTACTATCTGAGGCATTCGTTTATTTTGCCGCATCGTCCCATGCGAGCCGTGGCCGACGCAGGTGTAAGTACTATGCGACTCACAGTAACACTGGTGAAGTGCAGCTGCCCGAGTCGCGCCGTGATCCGTCACGGTACAAGATGGAGTACGGCAGCGACTGCCTCTGCACGTCACACCGTCACGGAGATTTGCAAGATGACGGGTCGAAGGGCCATTAGTACGTCGTCCCTTCCTATGTTCTTCTGCGCTTTGCGAGCGCGATGGCTCCCTGCTGCCGGGTATTACGATGGGACATAAGGTGAGCAATGACAATACATGCTTACCTTCCTCATTCTGATCTGCGACGGCAGCCACTCTGGTCGACGCAATGCATATCGACTGCTCGTACGTCGCCGCTACTGCAACACCCCCATATCCGGCCCGGTTCGGCCGTGCAAGGCAATGTATATATAGATCGTCTTCCCGCGAGCGGCGCGTCTGCGACGGTGCGTAGACAGCGAGATGCACATGTGCCGACGCCGACTGACACCGGACTGAGCAGGGTTGCTGCCCACGTCCGCCAATCTGTCTGCCAGTCAACAGAGAGCAGCGCGTCAGCGCTGGTCAGGCTATGTGATTGCATCGGTGTCTACAAAGTTCGTGAGCGTAGGTCAGGGTATCAAGACCTTCGTACCTTTGCAGCCTTCGGCCCATCAACGCTAAGGGTATCCGTACTGACCTATACTGTTCGTGAGACCCGGCATGGCAAAGTAGGTATGTATCGGCGTCCGGCGAGCGGCTTCTCGGGCCATGTGCAAGGTGCGTCATTAATTCGACGCTGGTGCTGGCCGGGTGGTTGACATTACAACAGGTTGGCGGCGCCGAGTTCGTGAGTATCGATGAGCAACAAGTCCTTCGTACCTATGGAGGCTTCGAGCTCAAGACCAATGCATGGTAGTATGACCACTCACCAACACTGTTCACGACGTCGGGAACGGCAAAGTAGGTATATATCGACGTCCGGCGAGCGACGTCTGGGTCGTCTGCGAGGTGCGTTTTGAGGTAGGTGCCTGCCGTCCGTGTCCGAGCCCGAGCCCGGGCACGCAGCGCCGCGCGAGCGCTGCTCCGTAGGCTCGTTGGGCAGTGGACCAAGTCAAGTCGTGAGCGTGAACGTCGATGTATATATAGATCGACGCCCGGCGACCGACGTCCCGCGCCATGTCCTCCTAGGTGCGTCAGTGATCTAGCGGGACGTGTGCTTACTTTGTACCGGGAACAGCAATGTCTATATGTATCGACGCCCGGCGAGCGACTTCCTGGGCCGTACACGAGGTAAGTTATCCAGTCAGCCCTGCAGTGAAGTGCCCTCTTGGCTGACGTGAGACTGTGTTGCACGGGCCCCTCGTCATAGTCTTCCGCGCAAGCGCAGCCACTCTGCTGTTGCTGTGTACGACGGTCCAAGTCGGCGGCGCGTCCGAGTCTCGTCACGAACGACGATGTGTATATGGATCGCCGTCCGGCGAGTCGTATTAGATGTAAGCTCATGTCCTGGGTCACTCGCACTGACTACGCCGGCGCGACAGTCTTCCTCGGCACAGGGAGTCCATGCCGCACGACTTCTGGCCTTCGTTCACGACCCACGTTCGCGGGCCGATACGTGGTGAGTTACGTCGTCTGTGCATTCGCATCGCGTGTTCGCTGACGTTGCGTCGGCAGAGTGTCGCAAGCGCGTCATCGTGCGGTGCCGACTTGCTGGGCTGTAAGCCGTGTCTCGCCGTCGCGTGAGTCTTCCCCGCCTTGAGTACGTCGTTTGTGTTCGCTGACTATCTGCGAGGGCGAGCTCGTCGCAGACTCTGGGCACGACGTCACCATGTACTCGGGGTAAGTGAATGTATTGACTCTGTATGTACACGCGGCGACGGACGTACGACGAGGGACAGACGTACCTGGGTAGGGGGAAGGGGCTACGTGTTGCAGTGCGCGAGGGAGAGAAGGGGGGGCTTCTTTTTTTTTTTTTGTGTTCATCAGCATGTACATACCGGGCCCCGTTTTGCGCGATGGACGAAAAGTTTTGACCACCGATAACGCGCGAGCTCCCTGCGGGGAGGCGAATCCATGCCCGAAAAAAGTACGTTTTTGGACTTGGGCAAATCGTCGCGTTTTGCGCTCCAGCCAATCCCTGCGCCCACACGTAAAACCCCCACGCCCGCCGTGCGACGATCCCCGCCCCGCGCCCACGCCGCACTCGCACGCCTTCGTACTGGCTGGCAAGAACCGGCGCATCATGGTTTCTGAGCGCCTGGATGCTGGGCATGCGGTTCAGCTTGTGCACCATCGGGGACGACGGCGCGGGCGACGACTCCATGGCGGCCTCCTGCTCGAGTATGTGGTGGGCGAGACGCGCCGACCCGCGCATCGGCGAAGACGAACGACGCTTCTTGGGAGGGCAGGGAAGGGCTCTCGACAGGCGTCCCGGGGGAGGTGTCACCCGGCGCCGCGAAGCCATCGAAGTCGCATGCGCGCACCTGCGCAAAGTAATCCTCGAACGTACTAATTGTCGGCGCAGCGGACGTCGGGACCGCGAGCGGGTTGTTGTTGACGTCGAATGCGGTGATCGTCGGCACGGCGGAGAGCGGACCATCGCTGGGCACCGACGACGACGGAACGTAGACAAATGAAGAGTCGACGTCCATCGCGTCGGATGCCGCAGGGGAGGATGGAATGTTCTGAGGCTGGCAAGAAGCAGAGCGTCAGCCAAAGGATGTCGCGATCGAGCCTGAGCGCGAGTGGCTCACTGGCCCGAAACTGAACAACTCACCTCTGACGCGACGTTCGCGTCCTGACCACCCGTCGCCATCCATTCGAACGGCAGAGCAGCTCGTTGGAGCCGTTTGCTCGCCCCGTTCGTCCCAGTCGACTTCGCGACGGACTGCAGACTCGTCACCGAACCGTTCCCACCCGAGTTATTGCTCATGTCCCGACCGAAGAGCCTCGCGTTGCTCGTCATGGCGCGTGGGCGACCCATGAAGGGACGTTGTTTGTCGACGCGCGTCGGGGGCGCGGGCGAAATGTCCATAGGCGCGTAGTCCGGATGATTGTCGCGCTCGCTTTCCGGCGCAAGGTCGAGCGTGTCGCGAGGCGGCGAGTTGAGCGACATGGTCGACGCGAAAGAGAGCTCGAGGTCGTCCGCCTCAGACGAGAGGAAGTCGTCCATTTCGACGCGTGCAGCCGGCTTCATCAGCCTCTCGCTCGCCTTGCGAGACGGCGCGGGGGGTACGTCGAGGAAGGGTTTGTTCGTGGCCGAGGGGTTTGAAAAGCCGAAGAATGACATGTTTCGATGCCAAAACGGAATCCAATGCGTTTCTTGTTTTTGATCGTATACGGTGCTGCTAACTCTGTTCGGCGGGAAGGCTTCAGTATGCTTGGTATGCGCATGGCGGAGAGATTAAGGATACAACGGCTAGCGATACACAGTGGATGGTACAACGGACGACGGGGGGTCACCGGATGATGTGGCGAGTGGGGAGGAAGCAAGACGGAACAGGATACGAACCAAACAGTGTGGCCCCGGACAGAGGTCGTGGCCCGGATGAATCGTTGGTTTAAGTATAGCCGGCTAAGGGTTAAGCAAGGTCAGCGAATATGAGCGAAAATGGACATGGACCGAAACACTGGAAATGTAAGTGATCGAACGGCGGTGCATTGTGCATTGTCCTGGCCGCGAATCCTGGTTGGCTGGGCGAGGCTCCCAATCCGGTTGGCCATCAGCAGCGACCGCAGTCTAGCGACCACGACCTAGACCGATACGGACGAGATAGTGGCATGCGGACGCTTTGGGCTGGAAACGAAGCGGGAAGAGGGGCGACTTGCCTTGTACGGTGAATGAATGTGTGTACGGAGGAGGCCGCGCCTGTCAGGGAAGAAAAGGGGTGGTAAGGGACCTGCTGGCACTCAGAAGGGTAGAGCAGCTAGCCAAGGAGTCCTTACGCGAAACGAACCAACGAAATAGGGAATCGGCGCAAACGACTTTGTGTACGTCTGTGGGTCCACACCGGGTGCGCAAATAAGCGTCTCGCGGTCCCGAGCAGCGCTGGCTGTACTCACGAATGAACGGGGTATGGGGCGTCGCCGGAATATACAAACCTGGATGTGTTGTCGCGCGTGTCGCAGTAAAGATAGTAAAGAGCTAACAACCCCCCCTTGCCGCTTCCTCTCTTATTTGCACTTTGTTTGGCCTATGTTCGTTTTGGACGCGTCTGTCACGTGACCGCGTTATGATACTTACGCGACGCGCGCGATTTCATCATCTTCTCGTGCATCTCCCGCGGCGCGCGCGCGTTTCTGCCACCGTCGCAGGGCAGGATATATTCTGCACTGATTATTTTGCAACAGAGTGTTCACGACATTCTCATCTCATCCCTTTCTGCGGGTCAGGAACGCACCTAGCGCATGACAGAATCGCATCGACTTCAACAGTGATATCATTCCAGGTACCATTGCCCAGTAGCCACAACCTCATGCTGTATAGCGCAGGCACACATCGTCCAAGGCCTTATCCGGTCGCAAGGTACTTAGCAGGAGCGCAATTTAATGGCCCTACGCCTCAGTGGAATCAAGCAGCTGCCCAATGAGCGCTGAGTATCTGGCCCTGCAACAGAGTTGGGCATCGAAGCGAGCGAGCGAGGGGCAGAGGGCTAGGCTTGCGCTCCAAAAGAGTCAGCTGCACAATGCTTCGCTTGGGCATTACGATGACAACCGACGGAAATACAAGAACCTCGAGATGACAAGGGATTGATTGCCAAATGGCCACTGTGCTGCCGCGAAGCCCTGTGACCACCTCGTGTTCAATGTATAATTTGCGATCTGGCAAATCTACCTCGCTGTGCTTTTGCCCTTTCGAGACATGATGAGTCTAGATTGTATGAACGAACGCGTTCAAGATGCTTTCCAAGACGTAGAGCTGAACATGAGAAGCGAACGCACGATGAGTCATTCAGGATACAGTACATACGCATCATGCAGAGTCCATTGCTTGGTTCGTAGTGGTAGTCCGTGCTGCAGCTGTCACTTGCTTACCCTTGCTTCCTGCCGCTCTGCCCGCTCCAGCGTTGGCACCTGCAGCTGCGACCGTAGCTTGCGCCCGCTTGCCCTGACTTCGCGCCTTCCCCCTCCCGCTACTCTCATCCACACCGTCTCCGATCGTGATGACGACGCTGACGGTCGACTTGCCTCGGACCTGATACGAGATGTCCTCGTCCTCGTCGTCAGGAATCACTTCGTCCTGTACTTGCACCGTCCCGGTCAGCACCTCGGTCCGGATCTCGTCTGGCGCGTGAGGTAGGATGCCGGGTAATGAGAGCGTGAGCTGCATGAGCTGGGGTATGGCAGCGCCCATGGCGCTCAGATGCAAGGTTTTGTACCTTCAAACGATGAAATCAATGAAACTTTCACGCGCGGCGGTAAATGAGATGCAGCTCACCCGTCCTTCATGATGACATCCTTACACCGCCGCAGATACGCGCCAAGCTGCGTCTTGCGTGTGATGCAGATGTAGTTCTTGCCCTCCGTATGGGCCGAACGTGGGCCTGTGGCAGAGACCGAGGCCGGAACCGTAGGAAACGGACGCGGTGGGACGAGTTTGCGAATGGTGTGTCGAGGTTTGGATGGGCCCGCAGACGCGTTCCCATCAGTGTTTGGTGGCTTTTGAACCTGCTGAACATCACTTTGACCAGCTGTTGCCGGTGCCGCCTCTTGCTGTGCGGGTGCGTCGTCGTGTTCTCCCCCGTCTGGTGTCCTGCCAGTGGCACTGTTGTCGGTCATGGTGGCGCGTTCGGAGTCGGTTCTGGGACGTTTGCTCGGTATATCGGCTGGTGTAGAGTCAGTAGGGCGCTTTCGACTGGATGACATTGGGTGCGAGCCTGTGCGAGCGTGCTGCACGGCCTCGAGGCTCGAGGAGTTGTGGAAGTGCAGAGATGGCCGCCGATAAGGTAACGCTATATCGGACCAATCTAAGTTAGGCGGTTACTTACTATGTTATCCTGCTTACAGCTTAGTGTGGAATGAAGGAAATGATCGATATGGAAATTCTCGGAAATTATGTCACTTATCGGTAACTTGCGGCGCGCGATCCCTAAAATTTGGACCCCCAGGCTGTCCACTTCCCTCCTGGCTCCCCGCCTCGTCCCCCTCCTCCCTCGCCCGCTGTACCATAGCCCACCGAAAGCGAACGGCTAGAGTACGCCAAAATGAGTCAGGATCCTGCGGACCAGAATATCCAGATGTGGAAAATCAAGAAGCTCATCAAGAGCCTTGATGCAGCGAGAGGGTGAGCAGTGTCTTACTCGTACACACAAGGATATAGCTCACCAGGAAACTAGAGCTGGAACATCTATGATCAGTCTGATCGTCCCACCAAAGGTACGACTGCTTGTCTGGTGAGTGATCGCGATGTATTGACCCAGTGCATATAGGACCAAATCTCTCGTATATCGGCGATGTTGACACAAGAATACGGTACTGCGTCGAATATCAAGTCGCGAGTCAACAGATTGTCTGTGCTCGCAGCCATTACGAGTACGCAACAGCGTCTGAAGCTGTACAACCGTGTACCACCAAATGGTCTCGTGCTCTTTGTTGGTACGATCTTGACGGACGAGGGGAAGGAAAAGAAGGTCTCTTTCGACTTTGAGCCTCACAAGCCCATCAACACGTATGTCGAATGCTTGGTCATTTTGCTGCCAATCGTAACTCTGTACCAGATCACTATACCTCTGTGACAACAAGTTCCACACTGAGGCACTCCAGGAGCTGCTCGAGTCCGACTCCAAGTTCGGCTTCATCGTCATGGACGGAAACGGCACGCTCTTCGGTACCGTTGCGGGGAACACGCGCGAGGTCATTCACAAATTCACCGTCGACCTCCCAAAGAAGCACGGTCGTGGTGGACAGTCCGCGCTGCGTTTCGCGCGTCTCCGTGACGAGAAGCGGCACAACTACGTCCGCAAGGTCGCCGAGCACGCCGTCCAGCACTTCATCACGAACGACAAGGTGAACGTGACGGGCTTGGTCCTCGCGGGTAGCGCGGATTTCAAGACGGAGCTCAGCCAGAGTGACATGTTCGACCTGAGATTGGCTGCGAAGGTCCTCAAGGTCGTCGATGTCAGTTACGGCGGCGAGAACGGGTTCAACCAGGTAATTGACCACTGGTGAATGCGCGGAGACCCCAACTCTGATCGATCGCGATAGGCAATCGAACTTGCTGCCGAGTCTCTCGCGAACGTGAAATTTGTGCAGGAGAAGAAGCTTATCCAGAAATACTTCGACGAGATTAGTCAGGACACGGGCAAGTACTGCTTCGGTGTGGATGACACCCTGAAGGCCCTCGACCTCGGCGCTGTCGAGACGCTCATTGTCTGGGAGAACCTCGACATCACTCGCTACATCCTCCGAAACGCCGCTGGTGGTACGTGCTGCAACCGCCTCATTGTGTCATCTTCCTGCTCACAGTATACACAGAGGAGATAATCGTCCACGCCAGCAAGGAGCAAGAGAAGGACCGCGAAAAGTTTACGGACAAGTCAACGGCACTGGAGATGGAGCAGGTCTGCGAGCCGCAGTCGCTGCTCGAGTGGTTCGCGGAGAAGTACCGCGAGTTCGGCGCGAACCTCGAGTTCGTCACGAACCGCTCGCAGGAGGGCGCGCAGTTCGTCAAGGGTTTCGGCGGCATCGGCGGGCTCCTCAGGTACAAGGTCGACTTCACGAACCTCCAGACGGTTGACGATGAGGATGAGGACGAGTTCCTGAGCGACGACGAGAATCTCTGACTTTTGTGGCGGCTCCCTAGAGGAGCTCTGCCTGGCTGGGGTACGCCGGGTGGGGCGAAGGGCAGGGGTGTGCAGGGTCGGTGGTCAGGTCCGGTCGAGGAGACGCGCGTTGCAGAGCAGGCAGGTGTTGGGGTTGAGTGGGGTGAGGAGTGCAGCGCAGTGGTTGCGCGAGTCCAGGAGGGACAAGAAGCGATCAAGAGCGGCCAAGAAGTTGCCCTCAGATCATTGTATCAGCAAGTCAAGTCGATATATACGCAGGGGCTTTCCGTCAGCGTGCGTACTTATCTGCGTCCATCTTCTCATCTTGTCTAGTCTAATCAACGCCCACAGCTCTCTCAGCCGTCCAAGAGCTGTATTCGCAAAGTTCCAACCGATGTCTCCAGTATTGCTGTCACTGCTGATTCACTCGGATCTGTATTGCTTTCCATGTAGTATCAGTGTCGTCGCATGCATCGCTAATAAAGCTCGGTGCCAGCCTCAAGGCAATGGTAGCCTACTGCTATCTTTATAACAGTCTCTGTGATATCTGCATCTAGAGTACACGAGGACGAACACCCATCACATAAATTAAGGTAAATATGTTGTCTTCAAACTATTGAGAGCAAACGATACCGCTCTGGTCCACTGCGGAACCCTCTTTCACATTCAATACTCGGGCCGCACATGGGTCTTGACCTTCAGAGGCAATCTGGCTCCCTTCTGCTTCTCCTGCTTCAGGAACGGACGATCCACGAGGCCGGGAATCTTGGAGATCTCTTCCTTTGGCAGCGCGAGCTCGAACTCGAACGAACGGATGAGCGTGAAGAGCAGGGCCTTCATCCTGTGCAGCTGTATTCAGTACCCCGCAGGAAACATGCGAGCCAGGAGATTGTGGACGCACTCGACAAGGGAAAACCGGAAGCCGATGCACGCGCGGGGCCCGCCGAGGAAGGTGAGCATGTTGCCCCACACGCCAGGGATGGCGTGCGCCGCTTCGGGGATGGTGCCGGACAACCACCGCTCCGGCCTACGCGCGCAGGACGCGAAAAAGAACAAGGTGAGTTTCACGTCGAGGCTCGCATGGTAGACGACGTACTTGAACTCCTGGGCGTCCGGGCCCCAGAGGTCCTTCGACTTGTTCATCGCGAGAATCGGGATGCTAATCCGCGTGTTCTTGGGAATCCTATCGGCGTACCAAGCATGAGCACCGGCGCAGGCCTATGAGCCGTCTGTACGCAGGAAACACGCACCGGACGCTATCGCACACATTTCCCTTCCGGTCCACGTACGGTCTCTCCAGGGGTATGACGTCCTCCCTCGCTGACACACGGATCGTCGCCGACACGGGCGCGTACACGCGCATGCTCTCGCGGACGACCGCCTCGAGGTACGGCAGCGCATTGAGCTCGTCCATCGTCGGGCTCTCCGTGGGCACGCCCCAGAGCTCCTCGCGGAGCTGCGTCTGCACGCTCTGGTTCTGCGCGAGCGCGAAGAGGCACCACGCGGTTGCGGTCGAGGTCGTTTCGTGTCCAGCGACGAGGAAGCTGGGTGTAAGGGCGCGTTAGTATGACACCACCGGTAGATACACGGCGCAAGACGCATACGTAGGGACCTCTGTTCAGCGGAATCACAGTCAGCACATTTCCCGGGGACCAAGCAGAGCACAGGACTTACGAGCAAGCATGTCTTCGTCCGACAGCCGCTGACTTTCCGGGATGTCCGTGCTCATGTTCGCCTTGATCAGCAGCGTGAGCAAGTCGCGGTCGTGCATGCCCTTCCCGCCGATCTCCTTCTCGCCCCCGGCCTCCGCAGCCGCGCGCAGGATCGCCGCCTTCTTCTCCGCAATGAGCGCCATCCCGATTCGCCGCGCGACGCGCTGTGCGTCATCCATCCGGTGCGAGACCTGGGTCGGCTATTCCATTCGGGTGGGTGAGTCGGTGTATGCGGGTGGCAGAGGGGAGGAAGGTGCTTACGATCATACGGAAGATGGGGACGTAGTTCCGGAGGACGGACAGGACGGAGAGGCCCGCGCCGGAGATGGCGCGGAACATGACGTCGAACGCGAGGCGGAGCTCGTTCGGCTTGCCCTCCGGGTTGAGCGAGTGCAGGTCGTAGTTGAAGCCTTTCGGCGCCGCGTCAGCGTTCGGAAGGCAGGACGGCCTGGCGCATTCGTGGGACTCACCGGCGAGGCCGATCACGTCGAGGGTCATGTTGTTGAGACCGCTGACGACGTCCAGCTGGGTTACGTTCCCGGCTTTGGCGACCTGCTCGTGCCAGATGTTACGTAGTTGGTGGGCCTTCTCGACGAAGATGTCCGTGAGGGCGCGGATTTGGACTGGTCCAAAGGCCGGGTTCTGTGTAGCGTTAGCTCAAGCTGTTGCCGGTGAAAATTAGTCGCTCACCAGGATTCTCCTCTGTAACATTACCTGTGGTCAGGAACCCAGTGTGAGCTTAGTATATGGCGCATATACTCACCTGCTGCCTATGCTGTTCACCTATATGCGCGTAGACGATGTAGATTAATCGTACGCCACTGGCAAGAGTGTTCACACCGACCTTCCACAACAAGAAGACCTGCAGAATTGTTGAAACACTAAACGTGCATTGAGATGTCTACTTCACGTACCCTTGCCCAGAATCAGACCCAGGTTGAATCTGGCAATCTCGGGTTTTGGATAATCATGCGAGTGGGTGAGGACATGGTTGACAGCTTTCGTATCCAACATGAGTAATGCGTCGGCCTGTCAATGCTCGGTCAATCAGTAAGCCCCATCGCAACGCAGAAACGGCTACACACATTCATGGAGACTTTGTACTTGAGTACATGGCCGTGTCGCTTCGCCCATCGTTCCAACATGACACCTGGTTCTTCGGAGCGCATGTCTCCGAGGTTGCCGTACAGCCAGCTCGAGGATCGGGGCCCTGGCATGTCCCACATGCTCGAGTTGTACCGGTCGATGTATCTTGGGACCACCTTCCAAAGGGCGTAGAGGAGGATTGCCCCGGCCAAGGAGAGGAAAGGGCTAGCAACTGAGAGCGGCGACATGACCACAAAAATATGTGAGGAACAACGAGGAGAATGAGGGATGTCTTGTGGAAAGAAGCGCAGCTCTGGGAACCTGAGGCTCAGACCTGTGGTATATATACGGCGAGCTCACTAAACGCGGATATGTCTCGTTCCCACAAGTCTGACAGCCAGTGATACATATGGGCCCGGCTGTAGTGTCCGTGGCAGTGATGCCGATGCAAAACGCGGCTCTAAGAGAGTGCTGAGCAGCTCGCAGTGCTCGTCCATGCGCAAGCACGGCGCGTCCTTTCCAGCCGAGCCCCCGCCCCCGCCGGGCCGCGCGCCACAGTCATCACCCGCGACTCACCGCGTCTGTGGCCAAATTCAACTTCAGATCTGAGCGCCGATCAATCCGGTGGCGGTGCCAGCTAGCGCCACCGTCCGCCACGGACGCGTCTCCTCCCTGTCGAGTCGCCAAACTGTCAGTACAGTTTGGCGACTCTCTTTCTTGAGCTACAACAATAAACTGGCCTACACCTCGCGTCATTTGTCCAATTACTCATGGGTTGTAACAGGTTGCCACAGGACCGGGATCTTGCCTGAGGCAGATACGCCCTCAGATACGTCGCTCTGCGGTCAGACCAGGGTCAGACGTCCAAAGAGTGAAAGACCAGGAATATGACATAAGAGACTGTACTAGTGAGTAACAATATCATGCCCCGTTTGAACGCGCAAGGCCTCGACGGGGCACCTATTGGCCCTTGGGTCATCACACAATAGCCAGCTGGCAAGCTAATCTTCCTTGATACATGCGTTGTCTGTTCACCGACTTCGTCTCATGACAGGCACTGCGGTGATACGGCCATTGTAAGCTGCTTGAATGCGGCACCGAGTGATCCAGGAGTGATAGCCGTGACGAGGATACATGTATGTCATTATTCCTCGCGCGACCGCGGGCTGATATCCGCTGTGATACACTAAACAGATACATTAATACTTCGGACTACGGATATCAGCGGCGCGAGGCCGTATCGCATCCCCGGAGACCTTCATTCTTCCTCAACAAGCGATATAGCCAGTGCCATCTTCTCCGCCAACAGACGGTGCACGGTCTTTGAGAACGCCACACCGTCCGCACAGCGGATCCATATCTTGCCGTCGGGCTTCGCCTCCTCGCCTTCGATGAAGCCAAATTCTTCCGCGTCGTCCAACAAGTCGGACAGCATCTTGTGGGACGAGAACAGGAAGAGGGAGGCATCGGAATAGCTCTCCGTCTCCGTGAACTCACGTGCGCTGTCGTGCAGGAGCTCGTTCCACTCCGAGATGTACCCGTCCAGTTGGTTCGCATAGTCTGCGAGCAATTTGCTTACCGGCGAGCGATTCACCGCAGGCACGTCGAGAATCAGGAAGTTTCGCGCATTCTCGGCATACATATACTTGACATGATCCATCAACATTGCAACAAGGCTTTCCAGCCCGATGTCCTCCTTGCACAGTTTCCTGCGAGACGTGAGTCGCCGGCAACAATGCATGCGCACGTGTGACTCACAGACAATCGTAGGTTCCGAACCAGAAGACTGTCGACAAAGGATGTAAGTCCGTCGACCCGATCAACGCTGCACGCTCTCACCATACAGGTCTTCTCTGGTCGAGGACTTTTGCGGAGAGTCGTGGTTGCTGACGAATCATCGCATTGCTGCGGGATATCGTCTTCGACGTTCGCGCGATCCGTTGCGTAGATATCACACGCTGCTCCGCATATGCTGCCGCTCACGATCTCTCTGAGCTGGTGATGCTGAAGGACAACGTCAATCTATCATGCATGGGGTGCGGCGTAGATAGGTGCGTACCCATACGTTCTCCTCGTCCACGCTATATGTATCACCGCTGTGGACAGCCATCTGGCTTAGTATAATCCCCGCTGCGAGTATGATCGGGTCTACTCACAAGTGAACCCAGGTATCGAACTTCGCCAGGTCAGGCCAGCTCTCGCGCTTGACCGCCACCGGGAGAATCCCTGTGTGTCGCGGAGGGTCAGCACCTGCCACGCGCGGAGCATCTCTGACCTACCGGATGGCGGTATGGTGTTGTTGACCACCCTCAGCACCGACAGAATGTGCTCGACGGCCCTGTCTTCGCGTGCCACACTCTCGCGGGCCGCGCTGTCCATTTCGGTCCTTGCTTTCTTCCTCAGGGGGCTCAGCCCGGTCGGCGTCTTGGGCGACCCCCCGCTCTCGCGTAGTCGCTTGATATCAGGCATCGCGGTGTTCTCTGGGCCCTCTACTCGGGGGAGGGGAGGGGGGTGATGGGGGTTGGAGGACAAGGTGCGGACGCGGTGAACGCGTCCCGCCCGAGCATTGAACACGCTCGTGACCGCGTACAGGTACCGATGGTTGGCCACGGACAATCGGACCGCATCTCTCGGGTAAGCCCACATGGGCGGACAATGCTGCTTGTATTTTCCGCTAGGACATGTTTGTTTTTGGTTGTCGTGTAGGACAACATTTGTCGCCGTCACGCAGGGTGTGACGCGCAGCCGATGGTATGTTATTTTACTATTTACCGGAATGGTATCTCCTTGTGCCACTGAGAACGGCGGCCATCTACCCTCGTCCTCGTTCAACGGTATGCTGATTGCAGTTATACAGACCAAGTGTGCGTGAACCGGAAACAAAGGACGACAATGACACGGCTTCACATGTACGCAGGAGGCGGTTCACAGTTCAGTCTGACGACACCCTCCGTCTCCGCCGTCAACCGCCTCATCTCCTGACGCAACGCCGCCATCTCTCTCCTCAGCCCCCGCGTAATCTCTGCGTGCGTCAATCGCGAGTTTGCAGGTACACGGACGGCAGTGCTCTCCGTCGCATCTATACGGCCCGGCGCTGGAGCAGCACTACCGGCCGCCGCCCGTTCGGCGCGCAAGCTCGCGACCTGCTGCCGGAGTTCGTCGGCCTCGCGCTCCATGCGCTCATGATCTGGTAAGGGCCTCGGTGTAATCCGTCGACGTTTCTCGTCGAGTCTTCCTCTGTCAGCTAGAGTGACAGGGACCGGGACGCTGAGGACAACGGCATCCTTCGATCCTCGTGCGGCCGGATCAGACAAGGAAACGACCATGCCCGGAGGATTCGGAGTTGTGTCGAATGGCTCGATGTCCCGGCTGTTCCAGCCTTTCACGAACGGCGGCGCTCGCTGCCTTTGGAAGCAAATCACGAGGAAGAGACACAGTGCGAGGAAGGCGACACCACCTACTACACCGCCGGCGATCGCGCCAACGGGTGGGCCTGCTCTCATGTGAGAGGGTTCGGAGTAGATGTAGGTGCCACTCACCGTGGTGAGCTGTATTGACCACCGAGTCGCTACTTGCACTGCTCAAGGCCGAGGCCAATGCGGTCTGGAAACGAGATTACGGTTGTTGAACCTGTGATTATACCATCAAATTCGAGCTTACTGTTGGCGAGTTGTCGATCTGAGTTGTCGGAGTCGTGTCATCGTCGTCAGTGCTACGCCGTACGCTCGTCAATGGCTTCTGAGGGCAGCGCAGTGGCAGTATGGACTCACGTATACATAGCCCAGTCGAACAGCAGAACAGATGCTAGCCCACTGGAATTTTGCGCTGCGGTCACAACCAGCGTGTGCTTCTCATTACTGAGCTCTGTCCTATTGAAGACAGTAACGTTGTACTCGAATTGGTCGACCCATGTTTTAGGAGCGTAGTAGTAGGTGTCGACCAGGATGCCATCTAGTTCGAACGTAGCATTGGTGAACGTTATGTCTCCGACGGCATCGTAGTTGCTGCGGATGCAATATACCCAGATAGCAGTTCCTGGATGGGTCACTCAGTCCAGCTGGCTGAGTGTGATAGAGGAGAGAATTAAAGACAAACCGGTGAAGTTCAATGTGACAGAGGGCTCTGCCAAGGTATTCGAGGTCGTGTCGTGCCATGTACTTTGGAACGCTTCGCCTACACTTGGGTGGAGATCGCATTGACCGCAAGTCGGTCCGTAGTTCCATGCGTTCGAGTACACTGGTTTCTCTCCGGTGACTAGATCGCCCCATTCATCATCGATCGTCCTGTTGGTCGGGACAGCGAATGCGGCCAGCGCAAGAGGAAAGACAAGGAGGACGCCCAGCATGCTCAGGCAGGGTTGTAGGCATGGTATACTAGTTGGCATTTGTATTCGGAGAGGAGAGGCAGGAGAAGGGCGTTATAGACTCGGAGCATCCCCATGTCAAACTGATCTTGTCTACGTCTATGCTCTGGACGTCGCACATCGGCGCTGGAGCTTGACATGCTGTCTGCGGGTATCAGTATAACATAATTGTGACAGTTCGGTATCATCCATCACTCCTTCAAAGCTTCAGGTGGTACCGGACTGTCCAGCTTGAACCGACTCGCACTTAAAGTACATGTCTTTAGTATAACAATGCTTGGGGAATACAATTGCTGACGATCTCAGGTAACCTTGTCACTCGATGAGAACAGTTCTTGAAGTGAGCGACTCAAGAGGCATCAGTGGGACTTAGGTTAGTACGGCGGCTACTTGCAGCATTGACAAGTCATCACATCACGCTGACACTGCTGGATACCATGATATTAGCTTCAACAATTGCAATGCTGAGCGCTGAGGATCTCACGCCGCACTCTGACAGCTCTGACAGCCCTGACTGCCGCAAGCATAGCACTACCTGTCAGCGTTTCAGCGGTGGACAGTGATGACGCTGCGCCTCTGCGTTGCTGCAGCCACCTCCGGAGGACAGCATGGCGATATGCGCGTAAGTCATGCATGTAGGCGTCTCGACGAGTTTGAGTCAGATTTTAGGCTCCAAGGGCCTAAATGATGACATCGTTGTTTGTTTGGTATGTATTGTAATCTGTCGCGCGCAGTTATCAGAAAGGTCGAGAAGTCGAGAAGACGCACAACAGAGGGTGAGTAGAAACTATCTTACTGATCACATACAGCCCGGTGACATGCACGAAACCTAGAAAAGAGATATTACGAAACTTCCCCAAGCTCACATATATGCAGGAGGTGGCTCGCCCCGCCTGACATCGTCCGTCTCTTCCTTCAACTGCGCCATCTCCGCCCGCAGCGTCGCCATCTCCCTCCTTAGCTCTTGCTCAACCTCCGCGCCCGTGAGCCCAGAGGATGCGGACATGGCAGGAACGGATGGTCTGCTCTCCGTTGCGTATGTGCCGCCTGGCGCCGTACTGTTGACAGCCGAGCGCAAGGTCGCAACTTGCTGTCGGAGTTCTGCCGCCTCGCGCTCCAGATGGTCGTGGCCTGAGGATATGGACGGAGTGTGCCTCTCGTTGAGACGTCCGCTGTTAGATGAACTAATAGACACAGGAGCGCTGAGACCTACACCAGCAGCGCCCTTGTGTGATACTAGTGTTCCTCCATGTGAGGTTGGGGGGAGGTCGTGCAAGGAAACCATGCCTCGAGGAATGCGATGCGAAGTCTCAAAGAATGGGTCGATCTCCCGGCTATTTCTTCCATCCACGTATGACGCCGCTCGCTTTCTGCGGAAGCAGACCGCGAGGAGGACACAAATGGTAACGAAAGCAAGACCGCCGATTACACCGCCAGCGATTGCTCCGGCTGGTCCACCTGTTCTAAGATGAGAGAAGTCGACATAGCAGACACAAAAATCACTTACTGTGGTGGGACGTGTTGAGCTCTGCAGCAGCAGTTGGACTGCTCGACGTCGATGCGGTTTGGCTCACAGTCGTCACAGCTGTGGACAGACCTGTCGATCCCGAGCTCATAGTTGACAAAACTGTGGTCTGGGTGGTCGAAGTCGTTGTGCTAGTGTTGCCATCGTCGAAGCTTTGCCGATGTGTTCATCGCTGGTTGAAGAGGGCAATGCGAAGGTATTGTGTACTCACGTGTACATGGCCCAGTCAAACAACAGGGCGGACGACTGGGATCCCTGCACCGTACTCATGACCAGCTTGTGCTCCGTATTGCTGAGGCCCGTTTGACTGAAGACCGAAACGTTGTATACGTATTGACTGGCGGTCGCATCGGGTTCATGGGCATAGCTGCCGGCCACTGCGCCGTCCAACTCGAAGGTAACATTGGTGAATGTTACGATGTCGGCCGCGCTGGCGCTGTTGACAATGATACAATACACCCAGATGTCGGTTCCTGGACAAGTTGTTCAGCCCCAGCTACAGGGAGATGGATACAGCACGAACCAGTGAAGTCCAGCGTCACATAGGGCTGCGTGGGATCCGTAGCATTTGAAGTCGTATCGTGCCATGTACCGTCAAATGCATCGCTCGCACTCGGATGAAGAGCACAGATAGAGCATTCTGGACCAAAGTTCCAGTTGCTCGAGTAACTTGGCTGGATACCGGTGGATGAGTCGCCGTATTGATCATCGATCGTCCTGTTGATCTGACCAGCTAAGGCGTCCAGAGAGAGGAGAAAGGAGACAAAGAGGGCATACTGTGTGTGCAGGCAACTATGTGGGTATGGGGGAAACATCTAGTATGGACGAGGGGCGAAGTAGCCGGTGTCAGTGGAGGAAAACATATATATATATATGCCGTGCACTTGATCTCGCAGTCTATGTACTGCACATTGACAGTTGACATCGAAGCTGATATTTCGCAGGCAGGGCTCCAACAATCAACACCAAGGGATAGAATCGCCCCGGCGACAATCCTGTTTGTCACTCACTAAGCAGGACAACGGCAATATGACACACAACGGAATGCCGAGGCATTAGGGTGGCCTTGACAGCCTGTTCAGACATGACTGAAACACTGGCAAGTCTCGTCCAAAATTCAAGCAAAGCAGACAGGATTCGTGTGTCTGGCGCCCGGTTGACCCATCGGTGGCACTTGAACGGTGAGATGCTCACGCTGTACAGCCCCGTCTGTCAGCGGGATAACCCTGAACTATCTGACCGTCAAACTTACCTTCTGGCACTCACGTCACCTCCGCGTGGGTAGTTCGGGCGAGAACAAAGCCCGTATAGAACTACAGAAGAGTCAACAGTGTCCTCGCCCTAGTCACGATCGAGTGAATAGACAGAGTGGTGAAAACAGAAGACGTGCAAGCATGTCGGCGAAGCCTCGGCTTGCATATTACAGTTCAAACGCATGAAGAACTGCACCGTGCTTGAGAAGTTCATTTACTGTGATTGTCCGTGCTGCGCGGTATACAATATAAGCCTTCGTCTGGCAGGAGAGGACCCACTCGACTTACCTTAAGAGAGTCGTTCAAATGACACGTGCGCTGGCACTCTAGCCCTCCAATAGGGTGAAAGTGTTCTGCAGGATAGGTGCTATGATCCAACTAGATTGCAGCGGAGGTTGCCAATGTTCCGGACGGATTCGGCAGTGACGCGCAGGCCTGATATAAGTGCGCACGATCACTATCTTTGAGGCAGCCTTGATAGTCGCGATGCACCGTCCCGCACACCACTGCAGGTCATCCTTTTGAATTGAGTATCTTTCGGCGCGTCCGTGAATATGAACCCCTCATGAGCGACGAGGACAGCTGCCAGGCTAACGAAACGCGCCGGTGGCAACGCGAACGCGTTCTTTACGCGTATTGACGCGTTTGATTCGCGCGCGCGGCGCTAGTCGCAGTGACTGCAGTTCCCCCGACTGAATGTTCGATGGTGTCTTTTGCCTCTCTGTCCATACGACAAATCTCCTCCTCCTCCTCCTCATGTCTGTGCATGTCTATGTACATTTGGGGATTAATTTGGGCAAATTGCGCGACTACTGGCGGTGGCGTAGTAAGCAACAGCCCCTCCTCCAGCATCGGCGACGATAGCTGCACCATGCACCTCATCTGCTCAACCATTGCTCTGAACCGTTAAGCTGGACACCCATGCACTTGCGCTTGTCATTTCAAGCAGCTTACTGAGCCATGTCTCTGGTGTAGCTTACGCGATGCATGACTGAGGCACCAAGAGCTCAAGTCGGCCATGGAAGTTGGTACTAGGATGACTGACTGACGCATTTATTGAGATAGACTGGAGTAGCCAGGTACGAATATAAGAGCGTCGTCGATACGATGCAATCTCTGTCAACAGACCTCGCACCCAGCCAAAGAGCAGCCAATTTCACAGACACGACAGGCAAGACGAACATCCTGCTCTTCGGTGCCACTGGTATTGCATTATCCCCCATTTTACTACTCGACGATCCCTGACACCATTACTACAGGATATGTCGGAGGTGCTCTATTGAGCCGCCTTCTGAAGCGCCCGAAGGCAGATACCTTCGAGATCGTTACGCCCATACGCGCTCTCTCGAAGGCGAAAGTTCTCGAGAAGCTAGGCGCGAAACGCGAGGTAGCCTCTCTTAGCGAGCATGACAAAATAGCTGCACTCGCCTCGCAAGCGGATGTCATTTTTAACCTAGTCAGTTGTAGTTTGCCGTTTGCCACAAACCCTGACTTAAACTAACGCACCGAATCCTGCACAGGCGAACGCGGACAACGTACCCGCCATGAAAGCGGTATTGAGAGGAATGCGAACAGCGCACGAGACCACTGGCCAACTGCCTGTCCTCATCCACACTGCATGTGTATTCATAGCGTGCGCGTAGTCCTACATAGAACTGACAGCTACTTCTAGTCTGGCACGGGAGAAATAATCGAGTTTGCGAATGGGGAATACGCCACTGACACCGTCTACTCCGACTTGAACATCGAGCAGATGAAATCAATCCCACCGGAAGCCCACCATCGCAACGTCGACCTGGCGGTGATCGGTGCAGATGAGGAAGGTACGATCAGTTTGCTATTCATTGGGCGATGGCGTCGGAAATTACTGACGGTACTGCTCAGGCTACGCACGGACGTACCTCATCTCGCCGGGAATGGTGTACGGCATTGCATCAGCTCTCATTCACGACGCCGGCATCGCGAAGCGGTTCTCCATCCAGATCCCGGGGCTCGTGAAGCCAGCCTTGGCCAGGCGGCGCGGTGGAATGGTCGGCCCTGGCAAGGCAGTTTGGCCACATGCTCACGTTGACGATGGTGCGTACCCGCGGTACCCCTCGCAGTCGTGCTCACAAGTACTTACTGACATGCCCACTTGCGTCTAAAGTGGCCGACATGTCCATCACGCTCTTCGATGCGATCTCCAAGAACCCACAGAGCGTCGGACACGGCTGGGAGGGCTATTACTTCGTTGAGAACGGGCACGTCAGTCGGTACGAGATCGGAAAGGCTATTGGCCAGGCGCTAGTAGACCTTGGACTCGCGAAGGACGCTGAGCCTACGTCATTTACTAACGAAGAGCTCGAGAACTACTGGGCGTCAGTGGTACGTCCCCTGCTCCCCTGCTTCTCAGAGTGTTATCGACTGACCATCACGGGCACAGTCTACTGGCAGCTTCTTAAGCGGGACGACGTGTCGCACCCGCGCGGACCGGGCGCGCTCAATCGGGTGGAAGTCCCAGAGCGCTGACGTGCTCGCGACAGTCAAGCCCGAGTCAAGCTGCAGTGGAAGATGGCGCAGGAGAAAGGCGAGGTTGACTTCACATTTGAGAGGGGCCTTGCCGAGTTGTGAATTAAACAGTGACATGTCCACCGCCGTTCGAGGCGTGCAGAAGAGGTAGTCATGATATAGCATAATAATGTAGTAGTTGACTGTTTGAATGAGACTCGTGCAGATGCTCCCAATGAACACGGTTGTTCGCGCGGCTCAGATGAAAACGGTGTCGTTACAGACATAGTTCGCGTGGGTGAGGAGATGGGGAGTGTCAGGCGAAGCAACCCGCCCTCTGCGCATGCGTGATTTTGATCCTCAAATTCTGCGCGTTTCGTCCACGGTTGTACAGTGCACATGTTCCAACAGCCAGTAAAGAATAATTGCACGCATCATACTGGTGCGTGGCCTTTCATAGGGCTTTCTGGGTCAACCATCGCGATATCATCGCCTGCGCTTCCGCCGGTTTGTCATGGGGGACGTATCAAAGCCAATACACGTCAGCACTGGTTCGCTGCGCGATTCGAGAGTAATACTCATCATATGTCCCGCGCCCGCTATTGTCGCGAATGTAAACGGCCCCACCGTCTTCGTCTCGCCGGCCACGTCCTCGCCGACATCCCACCCCCTCCATGCCTCTGCCGTCCACGCCTCCGCGCCTTCCCACTCGAGCTTGTCGACCCACATCCGGTTCGCGACCCAGTTGCACTGCCAGTCATACGTGCCCGCATAGATCAGCATCCGTACACCGCGCGCGAGTAGGCCCGCGACGTGGTACTGAGACGGTACAGCCCACTTGTCCAGATGCGCGCGGAAGCCCGCCCCGACCGCGCTGCTACATGCGGTGAAGTTATATGGAGAGGAGACGCCAAGGAGGGCGCGAATGGAGGGATCATCAAGGAAGGACTTGATGACGGCATTTTCGGCATAACAAAGGCTTGTGCCTTCGCAGGGCTACGAGGGGTGACATGCGTGAGAAGTGTGATGAGTTCATATGGATGACACGCACCTTCGAGATGTCGTACGGGTTGCGTCCTGCATGTGAAGACCAATATCACTTCCCTGCCAGATTTCTCGCGTGTCAGACTCACCACTAGCCCAGTAACCCGTACTCAGCTCGGAGTCGCAGAAGTTCACAGCGGCGTTGCAGTCAATAGCGTCGAATTGGTCGATACAATTGGCGTACATCGCTTTCTGGCAACGCGGTAGCTAGCGCGATACAATAGATAATCATTGCTACAGCTTCTACATGCTGTAGAAAGGACGTACCGCCATCTTCATCCGCACGCAGGTGCTGATCTTCTGGAAGGGTGCAGCTAGGGCTGCTGTGCCGCACTCTATTTCATATCGTCCAGGATATAATCTTGGATGTGTCCTTCACCACATACTCTGCATTAGTTCGTATAGGGAGTGCGTACGTTGAGATATCCGTGATGCCATTGCCAATGATCACGCTCTGTAGATTGATTGTCTCGCGTCCCTCTGCCTGCGCGATACGGTTCTGGTCATAGATGTAACTCGCAAACGCGGGGAGATATCGTCCACCGTATGACTCGCCAGCGAGATGCAGAGGGCGTCCAGCGAACTCGGTGAACGTCTGGAAGAAGATGGTGATGAAGGCATGCACGTTCCGAGCGGCGTCCTCAGTGGTCTCGATCGTCTCGCCGTAATCTGCGTACGAGAAGCCGACGCCGACCCTAAGCGATTAACCTCGTCAGCATGTGTGCAAGATTGCAATATAAACGGCCTACGGTTGGTCGAGGAAGAATATGTTAGCTTCCGCGTTCCACGAGTACGGGTTCCAAATCGTTCGATTATGGGAGGTGCCTGTCATATCGATTTTGCAAGGCCCTATATCGCGGTCATAACCAGTTGCATATTCCTCGCCGCAGAATGAACTGACCTAGCTCCATGAGGAGGCCCATGGACGAAGAACAGCCCGGTCCACCGTTAATCCACATCATGACATCGTCTGGTCGCGATTCTGTATCAGTGAGAGTTCAACAGCCATCGAGATTACTTGGACCTGTTTCTGGCTCCCTCCTGCTCTCAAAGAAGTAAAAGAACAGGTGCTTCGCGCCATGATCGACGTCCAAATAGCCGGTGTATACGCTGCCACCATTGGTTAGCCTCATGCTCAACCAGCGGTCAAACAAATCGGATGTCGTACTTCACAGTAGGGTCGCAAAATTCGGTTTTCTTGACGCGCACTGCGTAGCCCGGCAAGCTTGCATGGGCGAGCTCTTTGAACGTATCCTTTGCTCCGAGGGCTGACAGTCGCAAGCTTGATTCAAGGTCACTAATCCCGACCGTTATCTGCTCCTTGAGAGCGTGAACACCAGCCAGAAAGACACTGGCAGCACAGAAAGCTGTTGTCCATAGCTGCAACACCATGTTGTTCGAGAGCAGCGTATCTCGGTGTACAGTTCGCCAGGCCTAGGGGGATTCAAGGTCGCTCACACGCGAACTTCTTTCAAGTTGTCGCGGGACGCGGGCGCGACGGCGCGCCGCTTATCACGTGGGTCGCGTTGTGTTCGGGCGGCTCCGGGCTTGCTCGCCAGACGCTGCAGACCGTGGAGCTGCCACTGCGAACTTGAATGCGATGTGCTCCCTGTCTGACGGTGGTCTGACGCAGCTCGATGCCCCGCCGCCGCCATGTCCATCCGCACTTTGTGCACTCGCCAACGCATCCCATTGGCTGCCGCCCGCCGTCGACCACCTCGCGACACATCGTGTTTGCCCAATGTTTGCCCTCTGCGCGCCGCCGACGCAACACGTCCGATGCGTGCTCTGTCGCATCCTCTCGTTGTGCTCGGCTGCCCTGCTCTTGCTGTCTTCTCTCCGTCCCTCTCCCGTCTTTCTCCTCCTCCCGTCCCTTCCACGCGCTCCGGCCCCGCGTCCCGCTGCGCTACGCTCATGCGCCCGGCCGAGACGTGTCCGTCGACACCCCCAACACCGCCCGTTGCCTGTTTCTCGAGCACACACAGGTCAGTTTTTGTTCTTCTTCAATCGCGCGCATTCATCCAGCAAACTCGTCTCCCCGGCTTTCATCTCAGACTTGACTCCGCCTTCCCCCGCGCCCAATGCGCCCTCTGCACCCCTCAAATGTCCTACCACAAATGAAGCTCTGGCATCCTATCGTGCACCTCCAAGTCGTGTGGAGTGATTCCGTACGCGGGACGGCCCGCTACACGTCGTTCAGTGCGACGCTACCCAAGAGCGCCCGCCAGTCTCTGCCACGCTCTACGCGTCTCCTACAAGCTTTCTGTCCCTCTAGTCGGCACCCACTGTGCGTCCTTTGACGGTTCCCGCCGCCCCCATCGCTCGCTGTGCGGTATGGACACTCCGAGCCGTCGTACGCTCACCCTCCAATCTCATACCCACGCGACGCGCTGTATCGACTCCCATCGATACCGCACAGAACACTGCCGTTCACGCGCCTCTACACTCTTGGGGATGTCTCGCAATCGCTGCCGACGACGACCGACATTCCACCTCTCCAGTCACACGCGAACAGCAACGCCCCTTACTCGCACGCGGGACGCCACACGATGCGCACAAGCGCGGCGACTGCCTGCGGTCTTTTATCTGCCCGCCCTCACGCTCCTCGCAGCGACGGCAGAGTGCTCTAATTGTCTCCTTCGGCATTCGTACACCTCTACGACGGTACACGCGCCCCTTACGGACATCTCGCATTCACTGCCGACGACGACCGACATTCCGCTCGCGCGAGGCACACTGGGTAGCCTGCATGTGATCATCGTCACTCCTCCCCGCTTACCCGTATCGGAAACACGGCACACAACGCGCGCAAGCGTTCTGCGCGGTGACCGCCCGCGATCTCCTGCCCGCCCGCTGACTTCTCGCAGCCACGGACCGCAGTGCGCAGCGACGCGCAAGGTGCACGCCCGGATACATCGCAAGTCGCCCTGTGTGACCCTACGTACGTACGCCCACGACCCGTCCCGCGCCCCTCTCCCCAAGCACAAGCGATCTGTACTCACTACTCTAGACATACAGCACATGGTCCCCTCAATCGTGCAGCGCGTCGTTGCTGCCCGCTCCCCACGATCCGCAGCCATCGACGAGGCTCGTCAGCTGCAAGTCCTTCCGGACGAAGACTTCCGCAGGGACGCCCTACAGCAGGTCACCCGTCGTCAGCGAACTCCAGGACCGCCTCAACCTCAAGAAAACGTACCTTCGCCCATCAGCGCGAGAACCGACGACCTCGACACCGTACACGACAACCAGACCACGCAGCCCGTCGCCATGGCGCGCTCACTCGGCGAGCACATCCGCTCCGCTATGGTAATGAAGTCAGTACTCGCCCATGCGACGCGGTCGGAAATGCAACTCACCGATGCCTCCTCTCACCCACAGGCCCTCGCTTATATACCTCGCTGGAGAGTGCGATGGCAGCGGCCGGGGCGCCGTGGGTCTTCCGGGCATATCCTGCGCGATGTCCGCGGAAGCGAGCGTGGTGCCACTTGGCATGGACGAGGCTGGCGTCCATGCCACCGACGCCGACGTTCGGGCCCGTGCTCGATGGCCCGGGCATGCGGTACGTGCGCGTTGATCGGGCAGGGTCCGTGCACGTTCTTCTTTGACGGACGTTCCGGGACTGAGGGTGCTTTGCGGGACGAGCAGCCTCGCGCGTCATGGTGAGTTGATTCGGATTCGTCCACTGCGCAGCACGACGGCGGAAGTATGGCCGGTATGGCCTGCGTCTCTCAGGTGGACGATACGCGTGGCGTCCTGCGGCCCACGGGAGTGCGATCCGGGCGATGCGGCCTGCAGCATCGTACGAGATGCGCAGGCGGTGTTCTTCCATTCGGCACGGCAGCCTCTCGTCGCGTCCAGCCTGCGAAGCAAGTCTTCTGAGCCGTTCATGCAAGCGAGCTCTGGCGGTACGTCTCGCCGCCCGGCCTCTTTCCTCCTCGGATGTGACATGCTGCTTCCGTTGACGCATCGCCCTCAGCCTGCTCGTCGACGAGACCATCCTCTGCGCCACGGGGATGAGCGAGGTGAGTGCTGTCGCGGTGTTTCTGGTGCTAATGTTCTGTCGTTTAGTGAGCTGGAGGGTGTGGTGGGACGGCTCGGGGAGTATGCGAGGCGGGAGCTGTGTTTCATCGGGAGGATGGCGGGTGCAGACGCAGAGGGCATGACACCACGGTGGGAACACGCCGCGCGGCGACGCACATACGTCGACGTCGGCACAATGTCTGCGTGCACGACTGCCTGTGCACGGTTCAATCCCTGCTGTGCAGAAGACGCTTGCCGTGACGGACGACTGGCGCGTCGTGCACGTTGCTCGAAGTAGGTACGGTGACCGTGTATGTAGTCTCGAGGAATAGATATATTCTGAGCTATTCTACATGGTGGACATGGACCACGAGCGACGTCAGAGCCGTCGCCGCGTCCCCCTGTGGTATCCCTGCGAGTTGGCCAGTCAAAAAAGCACGACACCTCCGTCTGTGGTGTGTACGCGCGGAAGTAGCTACCAAAGGAATGTCTGCAGTTCTCGGGGCACAGGCAGTGACGCCTTCGATGACCACCGCCTCTCGCCCCTGCCAATCCCTTCGCCACTGAGCATCACGTCGAGCTGCTGAACTCGTTCGTTATGCGGACGTCGGCGTGAGCAATCTCGTCTCGGAGGGCGCGCCGGACGACAGCTAGTCGACTGAGTGTATTACGCACCCGTGCACCGTGAACGCTTCTGACCGAGTGGTGCGACAAAACCTGCTCGATGGGAACAGTGCATGGCATCGTCGTACAAGACTGAGATGTCACTCACTTGATGGTATTCCACCAGCTGCATGCATCTCGTCGGGGCCTGCCAGTGGGTGACGCGGTGCGAAACAGCTTGCTACCAAAGGACTCAAGCTAGAGCTCATGACGGCCAGTCGATCGCTTGAGCTCCGCCGGTGTGAGAAAAGCGACTCACCGAGACGACAGCCTGGAGAGGTTTGAAATCCAGGGACTGACGTGAGCGGGATGGCGAGTCCGGCATCGCCGTCAGTCGGGGACTCGCACGCTCGACTCAAACCGCTTTGAATCCGGGTCCTCTTCATTGTGCGAATGAGTCCCGCGGTGCCAGTGGACGCAAGCAATTGGTGATGGACCACGGCGACAGAGCCATCGAGGAGCATAGAAAACACTTGCTGAAGCACAGAGCGCGGAAGGGCGGGAGTGTCAATAGCGACCGGTAGGGTTTCGAGCGATGTATACGTCGGCGTTCGCGCATTCTCCGCACTACCTTCGCTGGAGATGATGGGTCTACGAGATCGAACAGGCTCGACGCCGAGCGACCGATCTCATTCGTTCTGCGAGTCTCGACGACAGCTGGGCTACGAGGATTCAAGAATTAGCTCAACCATGAAACAGGCCCCGTGTCCCACGACTCGCGACCAAAGAGACTACGCACCTATACACCAAGCATCCGGCGTTCACATCATACGAGCTACATGTCTTGCGGAAGCTGTGGAATCTGCCCCGAGTCGCCGGTCACATTGGATTCCATCGTCAGCAAGGCTTGAGGTGCCGGTGTTTGCTCACGAAACACTGCGCATCACGCCGATCGAGTTTGCAGAGGCGAGATGGCTAACTCACCGCTGTTCAAGGTTCAGTCTTCCGAGCTTTGAAGAGCACGAATAAGCGACGCCGTCAAGGACGAGCCTTCACTTTGCGAATTGGTGCGGTGGAGTACGCAGGCCATTGGACGGCCTATGCGTCGTGACTCGGGTGACAGCACCTAATGGGAACAGTGGAGATGCAGAAGCGCAGGAACAGAGCGAGAGGACGTACGAGCAGGCTGGGAGCGGCCGAGTAGTATATACCATATTTTCGAGCAGTCTATACAGACATGTATATGTTGATGTTCTGCGTGCTGCGTACCATCCTCGTTTAAGCCGAGGGGTTCAAACACGAGTTGCCGATGTCAAGCCGTACGGCCAGGTTGCGCCAGGAGCGGGACAGTGCAACGTACGGCACTTACTGAGGACATTCAGGGTCATTGCGAGCCTATTGGGCGAAGACATGCACGCTGAGGGTCAACACTTACTGCGGAGCCTGACGGCGAATGCGAGCCTTCCCGTAAGCGTACAGAGGTCCGCGTCGACGCAATACTCACCTCTGTAGATCGGGACTGCGGACAGTTCGCTGTTCCACGCCTCTCGGCTTTGAATACTCGACCACACGCGACTCTGCTCTCGCATGTTCTCGAGTTGCTGCGGCTGCTCTACCGCATACTTATATATCCTCGGATGACACGCAGTGTGCATGTCCCAGGACGGAACGACTGTCCGGTGTCGTCATGCTCGTAGGTGAACCCAATCGATTCAGAGTGCAAGAAATCAGTACCATTAGAAGGTGTCACGGACACGGCGGAGGAGGCGCTGCGGGACAGTAAGTAGACTCATGCTCAAGTCTCTGCGGCGTATGCGCCAGGGGCTTCATTCCCAGCGCATGCACACCGCATCGTAGATGTAGGGCTCGGTCTCATTCGCGAAGGGGAGTGCAATTCAGCTTCGCTGCACATCTCCCGTGTGACCCGACGAGTCGGACAACGCGGAAAGCTCGACTGGGAGCTATGCACCGTGATTCAACGCTCGCACTGGCACCGCAAACCGGTCGTCATAGGCGCAGCGTCAGGGACTCTGCACGATGGCTAGACAATGCGTCCGAGGTAGTCGGCTGCTCGCCGACGTCATCTTCTGTGCAGCCCGTCACATCTTCGAGTTGAACGCCTTCGCGCAGATCAGTGATTTCACAGGTACCCAACAGGATATTGGACGATCTGAATGCCGTCCAAGCAAACGCGGACCGGGGCTCTGGAACATATGCATATCCGTGCCACGGAACAGTTGCTACTGGACCCTATTCGGAGTCCGGACCAGTCATTGACTCGTGCGTCGTCGCCGTCATCAACACGAGGCTGAGATGGAAGTGACCGTATCTTGGCCTGTTCTGCATCTTCTGCGCTCTCTGACGGTTGACGGGAAGCAGGGTTGGGCAGCCGAGATGCGGCCATGCAGACAACGCCGCAATGCTTCGCATTGTTTACTGCGCATTGGCCAACGCAGAAGTATGCGTCGAGCAGCCATGCAATTGCACGACGTACGTCTCATTACGCGCGGGACACAATGAATCTGCTCGCCGGGATAGCAAGCCTTGCTATTACAGCAGCAAGTGTATACCTGCACGCGTCATGCATGGCAATTCGCGTGCCTGTATGCAATACGCCGCGGTAGCGGGATCGCGCGTGGGTCTTCGATGCACGTAGTCAATAGTATGCCCGACTAGAGATAGAAATCGGGTGAGAGCCGATGTGACGCCGCGCATGTCTCGCATAAAATACTGATCCCCGCAGGATGGACCGTTTTTGTCCCCGTTGACATTGCTGGAGGATGTGATCACGCGGGCGCACGATATGCCAGGAGCTGGACCGGCAATGTGATCGGTCCTAGCTGGTACATTCGCGCCAAATAGCCACCTCTGGTCATACTATCCGCAACACGAGAGACGGTGGGATGCCCGTCTGCCGCGCTCTGCCAGCGCTCGGATCAACGTGGAGAACGCATGACGGTACGTATGCATTGCAGCCGATTGTACAGCAGACAGTAGAATGGTGCCCGACGTCCCGCCAGGGAAGATCGGGCTACTCGCTGCAGCATTCTCGCTCGAGTCATGACCAAATGTATTCCAGGCACGTAAATCCCTTTTCCGTCCTCAAGGTATCATGACCCATGTCACAGGCAAAAGATATCCTTTTCAGAAACAGGCACGTAGACTCACCGAGGTTATATGATTCCCGGCCAACCATCTCCTCACGCCGCGCGCCCCGTCCGAGCCACTCGATTGTAGCTCGTTTGACAGGATCTGTCGAGTTCATGGCTAGCCGGTGTTTGGTATGTAGAACGTGGATTGACTGCCCCGACTCGGCGCATGTGGTTGCAAGTGTGCCTGGACAGCAGGGCGCAATACGCAGTTAGTAGCTCAAGCCGATGAAAGTGAGGTGAGTGTTTGACGCAGAGGTATCGCGCAAAGACCGTGCAGAGACGGTTGAAGATAACTAGTAGCCGACGCCGTTAGTAGGACATGCACGCAGACGGAGCTGGCCCACAGAGATTGATTGTCTGCCCGAAAGATGGGCCCCAGTCGTTGGACTGCAGACGCATATATGCCGACAAGACGAAGGAACCAATGTCGGCGAGCGGGCAGGTGAATGGATGGGAAGAGGAAAGCTGTGGCTGAAGCGCTGAAGCTTGACGTCGGGTCCTGGACGCGTCACGACTCGTGACCGTGCCAGAAACGAACTTGGTTATGTACCTCAACTGCATACGCTCCGTTTCCTGTCGTGCGTCTTTGACAGAACCTCGGATGCCTGTCAGACAGCTTGGTTATCAAAGCCGCGCGCGACACAGGTTGTACTGACGTCATGATCATCGGAACGTTTCTGTGTCGACAGCGCCATGTAGGATTTGACAAACTACACATGAAATGCGCGGCCGTGCGCATTTCCGGGCAGTTTTTATAGCATATGCTGGCTCGTAAAGCTCCCCGCAAACGACTCGGACTCGTAGCCAACCGAGTCGTCCCACCCAAGCTTACGGGTTCCGGATTACCATATCGGGGATACTACCTCCCGTGTCTTGCTTCCACGAGCTCACCGGGTGATTGTAACAAGGCAATCTGTGACGGAATAACAGTGAGTAATCCACTTCCTCACTCCGTAACTAGTAATGATGTGGGCCTACTGTGCGAATGTTACTGATGATTGAGTTCCGAGTCTGTCACGGACAGTCATGGCAGAATGCTGTATCAGGTAAGTATCAATTGCATGCCAGTCCAGCTCGGTCAACTTCTGAGCAATGTCAACAAAGTGATGTTGCTGAGCCATTGGTCTGCCTGTTGATCTCAGCTTCAAGTTGTCCACTCAACAAAGCTGTTTTCACCTTTGAGAATCATTCTGAGTCGCTCTGAGAATGAGCAGTACACCCAAGGAAGTGAGTAAGATCAGAATCACAGCATGAGCAATGTCACATAGTGTTCATGGGAAGCACAATAGACTGACGTGAAACAGGCGCCGGGCACATCAGAGGAGATGAGTGGCGGATTTGATGTGCATTTGTGGCACTGTTGAGGCGAGCATCATTCCGGTGAGTGCAAATATGGTATGAGCTGTTCTGACACATGAGTTTGGCACTTGATATGCATGAGCCGAGGCTCCGAGCACCAGCAACATAAAGGTCAGTGGGCAGAGAGGCAAGACACACTACTCTTGACCGTCATTATGCCTCGCCCCCCTTCGTCGACGTAGCCTCCCCGAGTCCCCGATTGCGCCGATCTCTTGCCCGCTCCTACCTTCAATGTTCAGTGGTGTGGGCCTATGTACAGTCAGTATATCTCGCAATTGTTGTCGTTGCATCTGTGTTCATACTCACTGTTTGTGATTCTTCAACAGCGGTTGTGTACTTAAACCTCACATCGAGAGCGAAGATCCGCGAGCCACACCCGCCCGACTGTAAGTAACTTCCCGATATAGTATTGACTTCATCTCAGCCATTCACAGCGATCATCAGGAAAACTACATGTTGCTTCAGCCGCCTTAGGCGGCTTTCCGTGGCTTTGCATCCGTCTTAGCTGACTGACCTGTCTTAGGGTACTTAGCTCCGGACAGCCACTAGGATGGCTGAGGAGCAGCTAAGCGCATCAAGCCGCGCAAAGCCAAATAAGTGTTAGTGTAAGTAGATACTATGACAAAGTATCCTAAGCTATCCTAAGCAGTTTCCTCGCGAACATCGACCTGGAGTGCCCGGACCCTGACCGTCGAAGCCGTATAGCAAGCTCATGACAACGCCGGTACGCTGCAGCCACTTCCGCTCGCCGGACGCAATGAACTGGTCGATGATGCACTGCGCGTTTTGCAAAGCCACCGAACTGCGCCCCCAGATGGTCAGTGTGTCGGGCAAGACGAACAAGTAACCCAGCTCGAAGCCGAGCGTGCCAAACTCGGAGAGCAATGAGCTGCAGATGACGAAGCGCGCCTGGCCGGACCCCAGCGCGTTCAGTGGGACGTACTGCTGCTCGTTCTCCTGGTCGAGGATGACGGCGTGGCGCTGCGAGGGTACCGCGCTCGACGTCTTGGCCGGACGTACGTTTACCTTCTCGAGGGCGAGAGCCCCGAAGGCAGGGCCTCAGTGGTTGCCCAGTTGCTGTTCTGCCCCTCCTCCACAGTCTTCCCTCGGTGTTCAGGATACGTGTGGGGTTGCGTTGAGGCGTGAATCCTTCAAGATAGGTGGATATGGCCTTCCCGATGCGCTTCAAGGTCTCCTCCGTCGAGCCGGTGGTCCGCGCGGGGAGCGTCTTCTCTGCCAGTTCCTTTGGGGACGGGAAGATGCGGAGTGCCGCTTTTGCTCGTCGGAACGTAGTCCTTTGCGCCACTCGCCGCCTTCTCTATCGTGCCCCAGACCCACTTCTTGCGGTCCTCCACGTCATTCTCGGTGAACGTCTCGCGCTCGACCAGGTACTTGGAGTACTGGGTAGCGGTGTGGGCTACCTCTCGATGGCCTTGTACATGCGCGGCTGCGTGAAGCTGGGCTGGTCCGACTTGTTGGTGGCCGTGGCGACGGTAGCAGACGATGTCGATGACGATGTCCTTCTTCCACTTCGCGCGCGAGTCGGCCGTAAGTTGGCGGACGAAGTTGACCGCCTCGACGTTGTCGCCGTTGACGTGGAAGATGGGCGCGTCAGTGGCCTTCGCGATGTCGGACAGGTGCCGCGTCAAACGAGCGAACCGCGGGTGGGTCGTGAAACCGATGTGGTTGTTCACGATGAGATGGATAGTTCCACTCGTGCCGTAGTGGGGAAGGTTGTAGAAGCCAGGCAGGTGGACGAGCGAGGTGGGCGAGCGAGCGGGCTGGCGGACGGGCTGGTGAGAAGGACGAGAAGACGGGCGAGCATCGCACTCACCTGTACTAGCCCTGTCGGAGCCCACCTCCCCCAACTCTGTGTTGCGCTCGCTTCCCTGTCGCGTTTTGCGTGTGCTTCGACGCTACTTACCGCAGTGTTGAGTTGACGTCGAGTCGTCGACGTGGAGGCTGCAGCTCGCGAGAACTCGGAGAAGTGCTAAGCGCCTCGGGTACGAGACATCACGTGCCCTTGCTCTGACTCGTTGAGTCGCTAAGTCCCTCTCCCTGGGAGTCCCTTCGCGTTCGCCGCCCATCAGCCCTCTTTCCTGCCCACGCTCGCCTGTCCGCAGCCCATCTCCAGGAAACTCAGGCGGGCGCATCCACAAGAGATGTGGCGGGTCCATCTGCCTGCTGCGCCCAAAAATTGCGCGGCCCACGAAGGTAACGACTCCGAGCTCCAGGGACGCGTCATCGCTGGACTCGGAGGCTCGTGAAGGATATCAAGGCAAACTGGAGGCCGTAGCCGGCGAGGATACAAGCACCTCAGGTGAGAGTGCCCGCACTTGTCTGGCTTCCTCTATCGCCACTTTCTTGTCCTGTTCCCGCTCAACTTCTCCTCTACGTCTGCGCTGGCGACGTTGATGCATCCACGTCGTCTCATTCGTCGTGTCTACGCCCTCCTGGCTGCACGAATCGTCCTCATTCCATGCCACTCTCGCGCTCTTCGAAGGCTGCTCAGGGTGATCCGGGACGCACTGTCCGCCAGAATACAACTCTGCCGTGGTCTCGCTACACATACTCTCGCCGATATTGCGTACACGTAGCTGGGTCTGGGGCTGGTCAATTGGGATTGAGGTGTCGGTGAGACTACTATCCTAGTATGCCGTATTGGACCGTGCAGGTTCGAAGCTGACGATCACCCCCTGCTCACCGCACCCATCGCCGGGTGATCCGCAGATGCTCGCCCAAGTGGATGAGGTCTGCTCGCCCAAGTGTATCTCCCCACTGGATGTATTTTGGAATGGCAAGTCGCGAACTGAAGATGTACATGGGTGCAATCAAGGACAAAGGTGAGTACGAAGCAGGCTGAAATGACACCCCAGGAGACGCAAGAAAACAGAAGGCAAATGATGCGGACGATGCCAATACACAGCACCCACGTGTAGCCGAGACACGCGCAATGCAGCGCCGGGCGACACGGTCGTTGAACGCGGCGGGACGACGAGGGCCAATGCGCCGCACGCTGATACGACAAGCCCAGGTCCTGCGGGGCCCAACCCAATGAGTATCGCAGCGCCGAAGGAGCGTGCGTCAGGCCTCCGCTGAAAGAACTGCCTGGTGAGTTGTGATTTTAGTCGACGTCCGCTCATGTTCGCTGACTCGGACTAGCAAAAGTCCTTTCGTAGATCAGCCCGCCGCCACATTCAATATGGGTCGATCCTGGACAGTGGCCTGACCGGCCTGTTACATCATCGCATCGTGTGCCGCAGTGCAGCACAACTCGACGGTACTGATGCACAATGTACGGATCCTATTTCTACCCAGTAGTGTCAGTTTCGGCCGAGCGCGCGAAGTTGGAATGAGCGTCCAGCCGAGCAGCGAGCAGTTTCGCCTGCTGCCAATTTTATCTGCGACTGTCATCATCTCGCGTCCCCGTCGTCGTTGGAGGGATCGATGCTCGCTGCTCGCCTCTCTTCCACCCGTCTGCAGACTGCCCGTTCCCTGTACTGTTGTAGATCCTGTATTTACCATTTCCGAATCAATGCTATCATGTATTCGCTGTGTCTATGCAGAACCCGTTAGCCAGCAGTGTGCGCTTAAGCGATGTTTAATTGGACTTATATACCTCCTAAAATGAACTTGGGTGGGGCTTATAGATCGCTTTGGCATGCTTGATTAAGCAGACCCGACTTGAAATAAGCAACTGGACCTTCTTACTTAAGCCGCCTCGGCTTACTGGCTTCGCTGGCTTAATGGCTTAATTAAGCCGCTTAAGCCGCCGTAAAGCCACATGTACTTTTCCTGATGATGTCACTTGTCTGCTGGAACCTATCGGACTGTCTCGTACGCAAGTGAGGCTTCACATCAGGACCCAGTCCGACTCATCAGGGCACAGGTCAGGCTCCTAGCTTGAAGCCGGGAGGCTCATCAGTATGTCCGTCACTATGTAAGCACGGAGGTATCGTGACTGTAAGTGCATCGACTGACAGCTTCAAGTTGACTCGACGACGTACTAATGACGGACTACTAGTAGTAGACAGGCAGCGGCATATTGGGCCAGGTATCCTCGAGTATTCACAGCCCAGGCGAGCCACCTCCGCTGCCCGCATCTACACAAATGCGTGGACAGATGCACCGACATGTCATCATGGATCTGCGATCATTTGAATAGATGGTCTGGAAGGTACGTTGTAGTCGCATTGGATGAATTATCTACAAATCATTGACTGGTTGCGGCTAGATGGGCATGCGCCGTGTGAAATTAGGATGCTCGCGGTTTGACTGTGCTTTCCCGAAGACACGGTCGTATTGTAGGTAGCATGCGATGGTCTTGATTTCGAGTGTACTGATCTTCTGCCCTTAGTTACATTTACTTGACCGATGAACGTGCATCATCAATGGCATTGTATGTAATAACATAAACCAAAGGTGCACCCCAGTCGCGAAGCTTGCCTGATCCCGGTGCCACGAGCGCGCCCAGGTATCTGGTTGGGATATGGCGAGTTTGCCATCTGGGGCATTCATTTATCTTGCCGCCCTGACCCCGTCCGAGCTGTGGCCGACGCAGATGTAAGTACTATGCGACTCACACTAACTTGAATGCTGCATGAGTGCAGTCGCGGCGTGATCCGTAGAAGATGAGGTACGGCAGCACATCAGGAAAACCCTCTTTGAGCAATAACAACGAATGTTGTATTATTACCGCGAAAGACGAGTAATTGTAGCCATTCGTATGTTCGCTGTAGTAGCAGTATATTCGCTATGGTCGAGAACTCAAATACGAATAACACGATATTGCGAAGAATGCAGCGGTGTTCGGGCCAGGGTTCTACACTATTATATGGATCATTCCCTTTATTCCCTTATTGTTCGCAGTACATTCAGCACACAGACACATAGGTATCAGAAAACGTGGAATGCATTACAATGTACTGTTGGCAATCCAAGACAATACAGCCAGTACTACTACTACTACTACTCGTCGGCGAGCTACTTCTAATGTATAATACCTGTGAACCACTCGGGATCGGTACCTATCCATCGTATGACTCCAGCCAACACTTGATGTATGGGCAAGAGAAAGCACGGGCGTGTGAGCTAGCGGATGGCCGAGCAGAAGCACGAGCGAGCGCGAGCGGGTGAGTGTACAACTCAATCAGGTAGACAAGTGGGCGGGCGAGAGAGAGCGTGGGCGAGAGATGGGTGGGCGAAAGGGAGCAGAGGTCAAATTGGGCATGGGCAAGAGGCGGCGCAGGCGGGAGGCAGTGCAGGCGAAAGGCTCAACTCGCCGCGAGGCCTTGCCCATCCAGCTCAGTGTACCGCTTCGACCAGTGAGTCCCGTACGCAAAGTCTTCCTCCTCGAAGTCTTGCTGGTGAATGTGTTTGACCGACCTATGCAAGCCAGGCTGAGACGCCTAAGGAGCGTCGTCTGAGCCCGCGTGCGCATCGGCCGAGTCGTCCGGGAAGGCCCGTTGACCCTGAACACCGCTAGGGTGACCCCGGTCATCTTCATCTTCATCTTCGTCGAGAGACAGATGAGAGGAAACGCGCGGACGAGCATGGCCGTGCTCGCTATTGTTCGAGCCCAGTGAGCGGAGGTTGTTGTATCTGTCGCTGTTCGCAGAGTGCGATTCCAGGACGTTGCCGCCGCCAGCAGCGCCGGATGTAACTGTATGCGCGTGGTTCACGTTCAGGTCGTCTCCAGAGCCCGTGGTCTGCAGTTAAGACGGGACAGGCAGCATCAGTGGGCGAGATCTGTTCACAGACAAGAACTCGGACCCGTACCAGTACCAGAGAGGGTGCCTCCGAGGAAGAACGGCGAAGACGGACGAGGGCCCGACAGACGGTGAGCCTGACTCGGAGGCAGGAAGGGCTTGGTCAAGCGAGCGTCAGCTTCAGAGCTATCAAAGGACTTGCGGTTCGCACCCAGTCCGGAGACACATTTAGCTGAGAGACGGGTTTGCGCTTTGCGAGGCCGGATACTACATTGAACAGCTTGTTTGTCGCGGCTTTCAGAGCAGCTTCGACACTGTGATGGGTGGGTATACGCGCGTCTTTCGGGGCGAACGTGTCACTGTATGAGTGCGGAAGGGCTGAGTGCTTCCGGAGAGCAGCCCGTTCGGGCGCAACGAAGGAGTCGAGGTTTCGGGGCGAGCACTGGCGGGCAGGCAGGCGAGCAGGCAGGCAGACGAGAGCGGGCACGGAGGCGAGAGAGGGCGGGCGGGCGAGAACTCGAAGCCGCCAGAGGACGCATGCGCAAGAACAACAGGTCGGCAGAGGACGCATGCGCAAGAACGACAGGTCGGCAGAGGAACGAGCTGGCAGGAGGATGAGCGTGCGGGCGAGCAAGGCGCCGACGTGGCGATGTGAACATGTGACTCGATGCAGATCTCATTCAGGGCAGACATACCTGCCCTTACGCCGCATCTGAATTTGCCGTCTCTTGACTGTCCGTCGCTCCCAGTAAGTTACCGCCCTCCTACCACCCGCCCGACACCCTTCTGCAATAGTGCGCGGAATTGGGCGTGCACACCACGAGCACATCGACAGCTCGAATCACAACACGGACCGTGGTCAACAACTGAGCGACAGCGATGACGACGAGCGTGCAGGGCCCATACTCTGCGTGCAGACATCGCCGATGGAGTCGGATGGACGGACGGTGGACACACGAGTAAAGGGCAGACAATGTCTCGGGCTTAGGTGAGTGCATATGCAGGCGGATGGGTACGCTAACAGTGAACGCAGTATGCAGTGAGGTGTAGCAGTCTGCTGCACGACGCGTACGGCGACCGCGAGCACGCGGGGCCAATGCCCTGCATGCAAACGCGGCCGACGAACGAGCTGCCGGGCGGACAAGTGAGCTGACTACCCGGGCGGACGAGCAAGCAGCTGGTGCCAGTACACACGCGCCGACCACGAGGACGCCGGGCGAATGCCCAGTACACCAATATGGCTGATGAACACCCAGCCAAACAGGCGGGCGAGCGGGCACACAGGCGGGCGATGACGTGCGCGGCGACCGCGAGCAGTGTGCAGGACTACTGCCCAGCACACAAGCTCAGCCTACGAACGACCCGCGCGTGCTTGAGCAAGGGACGGCAGATGGCGGCGACGTTGAGCAGGGCCGTGGCGTGCGCCAGCGCAACTCGCAGACTCGGACCGCGAGCGCGCAGGGCCAGTGCCCGGCTTGCACACGAAGCCGACGAGCGCGCCGTAGGTACGGGCGCAGTAGCGAGTAGTTGGGAGGGCGTACGGATGCGTGCATGGAGAGCGGGGATGCGCGAGCATGAGCGGGGAGGATGGGGAGGATGACAGGTGCAGGTCATAGACCCAAACTCGCGTCCACTCACTCGCTCTCTGCTCATCTGCCCTTAGTGCTCGTCTGCTTGCTCACTGTGAGATGTCAGGTAGCCCGAAGTATATAGTAGTCTGGATTCACGGTACATAGCATCACTTGTTATTATGATATTGGTTTGACAACTCGGAAGCAACCTGAATTACTACCGTGTGCATAATCAAAGTAGGACATTGTCCGATATTACTTGTAATGGACCAAACACGACGCGGAAGTCTCACAATTCGTGACGTTCTCTGTATTAGTGGGATTTTCAATGTGTTATCACGAATTCCGGAAAGAGGGTTTTCCTGATGCAACTGCCTCTGCACGTCACAGCGTCACGGAGATTTTCAAGATGACAGGTCGAAGGGCCATGAGTACATCATCCCTTCCTATGTTCTTCTGCGCTTTGCGAGCACGATAGCTCCCTGCCGCCGGGTATCACGACGAGACATGAGGTGAGCAATGACAATATATGCTCACCTTCCTCATTCTGATCTGCGACGGCAGACACTCCGGTCGATGCAATGTATATCGACTGCTCGTACGTCTCCGCTGCTGCTGCACGCCCAGATCCGGCCTGGCTCGGCCGTGCGAGGCAATGTATGTATAGATCGTCTTCCCGCGAGCGGGGTGTCTGCAACGGTGCGTAGACAGCCAGTTGCACATGTGCCGACGCCTACTGACACCGCACTGAGCAGGAGGGTCGCTGCCCACATCCGCGAATCTGTCTGCCGGTCAACAGGGAGCAGCGTGTCAGCACTGCTCAGGCTATGTGATCGATACTGCTAACCTTCTCGGATTTCACAGGCACTCGTGAGTGCCGCTGACCGCCTGGCCTGTCAGGCAATGTATATACCGACCAACTCCCAGCGAACGGCGCGTACGTGCTCCTCGTGCTCATGATTGAACACATGAGCAACTTACCTTGACGGATTCGCCATCGGCGTGAAGCGCGTTCAGTAGCATGCGTCGGTGTCTACAAAGTTCGTGAGTGTAGGTCAGGGCAACAAGTCCTTCGTACCTTTGCAGCCTTTGGTCCATCAATGGTAGGGTATGCGTACTCGCCTATACTGTTCGTGAGACCCGGAACGGCAAAGTAGGTATGTATCGGCGACCGGCTTCTCGGGCCATGTGCCAGGTGCGCTGTCGATCCGACACTGGTATTGTCCGTATGGCTGACGTGACGTGCCTGTGCTCAATAGGTCCGTGTCTATCAATGTCAGGGCAACAGGTACCTTGTACCTTGGAAGGCTCGAGCTCTCACCTAGGCCCGGAACATCAAAGTGTGTATGTATCGACGTCCGGCGAGCAGTGTCTTGAACCATGTGCAAGGTACGTCTTCAGTTGCTGCCGTCCATATGGCTGACGTGACGTGCGCAACAGGCCATACGTGTCCTTGTCTGCGTATGTACGAGCCCGGGCACGCAGCGCGCGAGCGCTGCTCCGTAGGCTCGTTGGGTGGATCAAGTGAAGTCATGGGCATGAACGTTGATGTATATATAGATCGACTCCCGGCGACCGACGTCCCGCGCCATGTCCGGGTCCTAGGTGCGTCAGTGATCTACCGGCACGCATGCTTACTTTGTACCCGGAACAGCAATATCTATATGTATCGACGTCCGGCGAGCGACTTCTCGCGCGATGTCCTAGGTGCGTCGCTGTCATTGATCTAGTCATCCACATGCTTACCTTGGATGCAGAAGAACAATGTATGGATATATCGACGTCCCGCGAGCAACCCCGGGCCCCTGGGCCGTGTCCGAGGTACGTCGATGATCCACTGATACTCTGTCTTGGAGACTGACCCGATGCCATAATCGATAGGCCCGCCCATCCGGCTTGCTCGTCGGAGTGCGCAGCGCGTCGGCGCTGCATCCTGGCTATCGTCGCGACCACCGAGTTCCTCGCCTAAGATCGCATGCTGCGCGATGTCGATGTATCGACGTCCGGCGAGCAACTTCCTGGGCCGTACACGAGGTATGTCATCCAGTCAGCCCTGAGGCTTCAAGCTTCGTGGCTGATGTGAGACTGTGTTGCACGGGCCCTCGTACACAGTCTTCCGCGCAAGCGCAGCCACTCTGCTGTTGCTGTTAACGACGGTCCAAGTCGGCGGCCCGTCTCGTCACGAACGACGATGTGTATATGGATCTCCGTCCGGCGAGTCAATGACCTCCTAGACGTAAGCTCATCTCCTGGATCACTCACACTGCATCACTCACACTGACTACACGGGGGCGACATCTCATACTCAGGTCTTCCTCGGCACAGGGAGTCCATTCCGCACGACAGCGTTGACTCTGGCCCTCGTTCGCGACCCACATTCGCGTGCTCATACGTGGTGAGTTGTGTCGTCTGTGCATTCGCATTGCGTGTTCGCTGATGACTTGCGCCGATGGAGTGTCGCAAGCATGCGGTGCCGACTTGCTGGCCATAAGACGTGTCTCGCCGTCGCGTGAGTCTTCCCCACCTTGAGTACGTTGTTTGTGTTCGCTGACTATCTGCGAGGGCGAGCTCGTCGCAGACTCTGGGCACGACGTCACCATGTACTCGGGGTAAGTGATTGTATTGACTCTGTATGTACACGCGGCGACGGACGTTCGACGAGGGACAGACGCACCTGTGTAGGGGGAGGGGCCATGCGTTGCAGCGCGCGAGGCAGAGAGAGGGGGCTTCTTTTTTTTTGTTCGTCAACATGTACATACCGGGCCCCGTTTTGCGCGATGGACGAAAAGTTTTGACCACCCATAACACGCGAGCTCCCTGCGGGGAGGCGAATCCATGCCCGAAAAAAGTACGTTTTTGGACTTGGGAAAATCGTCGTGTTTTGCCCTCCAGCCAATCCCTGCGCCCACACGTAAAACACCCACGCCCGCCGTGCGACGATCCCCGCCCCGCCCCCACGCCGCACTCGCACGCCCGCTTACAGGCTGGCGTCTTCGCCTCGCCGGCCACGTCCTCGCCGACATCCCACCCCCTCCATGCCTCTGCCGTCCACGCCTCCGCGCCTTCCCACTCGAGCTTGTCGACCCACATCCGGTTCGCGACCCAGTTGCACTGCCAGTCATACGTGCCCGCATAGATCAGCATCCGTACACCGCGCGCGAGTAGGCCCGCGACGTGGTACTGAGACGGTACAGCCCACTTGTCCAGATGCGCGCGGAAGCCCGCCCCGACCGCGCTGCTACATGCGGTGAAGTTATATGCAGAGGAGACGCCAAGGAGGGCGCGAATGGAGGGATCATCAAGGAAGGACTTGATGACGGCATTTTCGGCATAACAAAGGCTTGTGCCTTCGCAGGGCTACGAGGGGTGACATGCGTGAGAAGTGTGATGAGTTCATATGGATGACACGCACCTTCGAGATGTCGTACGGGTTGCGTCCTGCATGTGAAGACCAATATCACTTCCCTGCCAGATTTCTCGCGTGTCAGACTCACCACTAGCCCAGTAACCCGTACTCAGCTCGGAGTCGCAGAAGTTCACAGCGGCGTTGCAGTCAATAGCGTCGAATTGGTCGATACAATTGGCGTACATCGCTTTCTGGCAACGCGGTAGCTAGCGCGATACAATAGATAATCATTGCTACAGCTTCTACATGCTGTAGAAAGGACGTACCGCCATCTTCATCCGCACGCAGGTGCTGATCTTCTGGAAGGGTGCAGCTAGGGCTGCTGTGCCGCACTCTATTTCATATCGTCCAGGATATAATCTTGGATGTGTCCTTCACCACATACTCTGCATTAGTTCGTATAGGGAGTGCGTACGTTGAGATATCCGTGATGCCATTGCCAATGATCACGCTCTGTAGATTGATTGTCTCGCGTCCCTCTGCCTGCGCGATACGGTTCTGGTCATAGATGTAACTCGCAAACGCGGGGAGATATCGTCCACCGTATGACTCGCCAGCGAGATGCAGAGGGCGTCCAGCAAACTCGGTGAACGTCTGGAAGAAGATGGTGATGAAGGCATGCACGTTCCGAGCGGTGTCCTCAGTGGTCTCGATCGTCTCGCCGTAATCTGCGTACGAGAAGCCGACGCCGACCCTAAGCGATTAACCTCGTCAGCATGTGTGCAAGATTGCAATATAAACGGCCTACGGTTGGTCGAGGAAGAATATGTTAGCTTCCGCGTTCCACGAGTACGGGTTCCAAATCGTTCGATTATGGGAGGTGCCTGTCATATCGATTTTGCAAGGCCCTATATCCCGGTCATAACCAGTTGCATATTCCTCGCCGCAGAATGAACTGACCTAGCTCCATGAGGAGGCCCATGGACGAAGAACAGCCCGGTCCACCGTTAATCCACATCATGACATCGTCTGGTCGCGATTCTGTATCAGTGAGAGTTCAACAGCCATCGAGATTACTTGGACCTGTTTCTGGCTCCCTCCTGCTCTCAAAGAAGTAAAAGAACAGGTGCTTCGCGCCATGATCGACGTCCAAATAGCCGGTGTATACGCTGCCACCATTGGTTAGCCTCATGCTCAACCAGCGGTCAAACAAATCGGATGTCGTACTTCACAGTAGGGTCGCAAAATTCGGTTTTCTTGACGCGCACTGCGTAGCCCGGCAAGCTTGCATGGGCGAGCTCTTTGAACGTATCCTTTGATCCGAGGGCTGACAGTCGCAAGCTTGATTCAAAGTCACTAATCCCGACCGTTATCTGCTCCTTGACCTGAGCGTGAACACCAGCCAGAAAGACACTGGCAGCACAGAAAGCTGTTGTCCATAGCTGCAACAACATGTTGTTCGAGAGCGGCGTATCTCGGTGTACAGTTCGCCAGGCCTAGGGGGATTCAAGGTCGCTCACACGCGAACTTCTTTCAAGTTGTCGCGGGACGCGGGCGCGACGGCGCGCCGCTTATCACGTGGGTCGCGTTGTGCCCGAGCGGAGATTCAAACGACGACTTCCAGCCACAGGCGCGTCGCGAGCGGTGCGCGGCGATGTCACTCGACGCCGGACAACGCACACTCAGGAATACCTACATAAAGTGAATTCGCCATCTACTCTGCTGCAATGTCGACGGCCCTCGCTCGCTGTTCTATTTCTCCGATGCTTGATAATGGTCGTGATCGTCGTATCATAGAGTATAGTAACCTGAGGTATACACGTATTGTTCTTTATGACCGAGTCGTCGTCAGCTAACGTTCGCTATCCTACACATCATAGACATTTTGTTGAAGGGAAAGGAATCGGTGGCGCAAAACCAATACGCCCGTGTGGCCCATCCCGCCTTCAGTCTTCCTCGACAAGCGACACTGCCAGCGCAATCTTGTCTGCCAGCATCTGATGCACCTTGTCGGAGACAGACACCGGCACATGGCGATCAGTCGTCCAAATCTTTCCGTTTGTCTCCATTGCGTCCTCGTCCTCGAAGCCCCACTCCTCTGGGTCGTCCAACAGATCTGAGAACACCTTGTGGGACGAGACAACGAACAGAGACACGTCAGGGTAGTCCTTGGCGAACTCTCGTGCGGCGGCACGTAGGTGTTCGTTCCAGACCTGGATAAACCACCTGGCGTCGTCTGAGCATCCTTGCGTCATCATCCTCGGCGCGCGGTCCGCAGGGGGTACGTCGATGATGAGGAAGTTGCGTGCGCGCGCCTTGTTACTCATACATTGAACGCTGTCGAACAGGATTGAAACCACATCTTGCAAATCAGGGTTTTGTGCGGGGTCGCGCTGTGCCGCACGCTCACGCACGCGGCGCGGTATAAGTGCGTTATGGGTTACTCGATACGCAGCTTCAAATTCATCACCAGTCGCGTCCTCGGGCTCGTGATCGAGGTCTGCCGGGTTTTCGGGTCTGTCGTCGGTTGAGTGCTCGGAGTCCTCATCAGTTTGATTATCAAGTTCATCGAGCGTTGAATCTCCAGGCTCGTCGTTGGCTTGGTCTTTACATTCGCCTTCGGTGCCCCCACATTCGCCTTCGGTTCGACCGCCACATTCGTCTTCGATTCGACCGCCACATTCGTCATCTGGTTGACCTTTTGACCCTTCGTCAGTTTTGTCTTCTTCAGTTCCGTCGTCGGAGAGGTTTTCAGAGTGGTTCTCGACGGGTACGGGTTCCACCTCAATCTCTTCGTAACTGCCATTTGCAAGGTAATTAGGTGTCCAAGCGCGAGATATGTGCGAAAAATCTCACCAACTATCGAAGAAGCCCAGCCAGATGACTGGTTGATGCAGGTGAGTCGTTAGATTGCAAACTCATCGTCTCTTTATGCTCACCGTATAAGGTCGTCTCGGGGTCAAGAGTGTCTTCTCTCGTCGGAGGTTGCTCTCCGCAATAATCGTCGGCTTGAACCGGGAGGTCGCTCAACACGGATGCAATCTTGGTCGCATGGTTCTTGACCTCGGCAGCCGCCCTTCCCTCGGCGTGGAACTTGTCCCTCAGGTAGTCGTGCTAGACCATGCAGTGAGTGTAAGTAACATAGGCACCGGACAAACGCACACATACCCAGACTTTCTCTTGATTATCCGCACCGATACTAAAGATGTCGCCGCTGGGCGGGTGCGCATAGTCAGCACGTCGTCTAACATGGAGAACGGAATGGTTGATCCTACGCACAGATGCACCCACGTCTTGAAACCAGCCAGGCCCGGCCAGTTGTCGCGTTTGACTGCCACAGGCAGTATAGTGTCTATGGCGGGCCATAGAGGATGTCAAGGCGAGTCACAACCACGAGGGGCTGTATCAACCTACCGTCGTATTGTGCATCCCGGATGTGCCTCTTAGGCGTGGACAATGCAGGCTCGATGGCCTTTTCTTCTGGTGCCGCACCCGGTCGGACCGGGCTTCCCGTCATCCTTGCTTTCTTCTTGAGGGGGCTGACTTTGGGAGCTGCAGGTACCCCGACGGTCTCACCATCGCGTGGGCGTTTTGTCCTGGACATCGTCATGTGAGGGACAGGGTGGGGGGGGGGGGGGGGACAGTATGGGGTGGTGGTGGTGGGAGGACAAGATGTGTTGAGGGCGAACGCGTCCCGGCCCTGGCCATTTAACGCGTCCAGCATCGCGTTTTGAACGCGTCACGAGGGCGTGGCTTCATGTTGGCCACGGTTCATCAAGCCACAGCTCGATGCTCATTGGATTGGATTGGCCGGGCGGTGTCTTAGAACGGAAGTTCGGTTGTGCACGATAACGGTCGGTTTGACTCAGGAAGTCTGATTTTCGGTGTCACACAGCGGTGACGCTGGATTGATGTCGCCAGAGCTGAATATTGTCATACTGACCGCGCAGAACTCCGCTTGCAGAGAACAATGCACCGTATCGGTTTTGAATAGGTACAAGTATTCCAGCAACGCCTTGCGTGACGCGACGTCACTGGGTTCAGCCAGCGGCACCACAGGCGCGACAGAAGATTCCATAAGCCTCGAGATCACCATGAGGCTGCAGGCTTGTTCTGGGGGAATGGTAAGCAGTGCCATGCACTTCCGCATCACAGCTGATGTTCTCAAGTAGGTCATAGCCTCGGGTTCTCTCTGTGGGCACCTTGTCCGAAGTATAAGAGCAGCTCTTTCAGGACAGAACATCTCATGCAGAGACGCATCGGGTATCCTATGATGCCACTATCTTCGCGCGGGTGGCGGGGTTATACGTAGGTGTCCTGATCGAAGAGGGTACCGGAGGGTCGAGCACGTACGTTCCTTCAAGCTATATGCTTCAGAGCATGCTTAGAGTGTACTATAATTCTAGAGAGACAACTCACTGCACGTCACGCAAGACGGCCTTGGGGCTTCGATCAAGTTACGCCCGCTGCTCTCACATAACAGTTGGTGTCTCGCGCAGATTTGAGCCGAGTCGATGAAAGCAACGAGCGCATGAAGAGAGACGGAGACAACCCTAGCTCCTAGCTCACCGGTGCTCGAAATCACCGAGTCTCAATCCGAGTGAACGAGGTTTACATGGTTCCACAAGGCGAACCAGTGGCGATCCCACAGCCACAGCCATCTCCCTGCTTCGGGGCACCCAATAGGTAGAGTAAGTACTCGGCTCTCCGTTCCAGGCTTCCCTTGTGCTTCCAAATCTTCTCTTCTATGCAGATTAATAGCTACTAGTGCTACGCCTGCGGAGTGATCGCATCTTCGTCGCCACCGACCCCGAGTCTTTGGCTGTCGTTGAGGTAATACTCGTCGCCTCACCCAGTTTCAACCTCTACAGACCAGCCCCGGAGAGCTTCCAAAGGCATGTGCACACCGTCTCATGTGCATTTTCTGCCTAGTAGCCTGGCTCGAGAATCCTGAACATAGCCACTGTGCGCGGTTTGTGACGCAATCTCGCGCTTTGCCTGCCAAGCGCGCATCCAGGCTGAGGCTCAGGTATGTATGAGTCATCGATGTATCACGATCTGCCCTTCGGCATTCCGCGTTGTCTCGGATTGCCATCTCAAAGATAAGTTATGCGTTTCGCTCCCTACTGGGGCCTCATATATATAGACACAGTCGCTCACCTCGGTGTATCGTCGCTCGTACTGTGAAGCCACTCGCGCTGGTACATCGATGGCCGATATCGCAACGACCCCTTTCCTCAATGCCCTCAAGTCAATTTATCCCTCCCAGGGTCTCACGACGCCCGATGGCGTCCTAGAGCAGCCCTGGTACATCGTCGCCGCCGTATCCTTCAGCGCGAGCCGGAAGCCTGCCGCCGTCCCAATCGTCTTTCAGTTCGTGCTCCATGAGCTGGAGGCCGCCCAGCTTGTGACTGGCGTGCGCGCGGACTCCGAGGAGTGGCGCGCCCAGCGGCTCAAGCTGGCAAACAAGATCCGTGAGGCACTCCTGCATTCAGGTTTGCTGAGTGGGGTGCCGAGGGTGAGCAGCAGCGATGCGCACCGCGTTATGGACCTAACATCGTGGCTCGGCAGATCATAGAGAGCCTAATCGCTCTGCACGGTGCTACACCAGAGGAACTGCAGACCAAGGAAGTTCTCCGGTGAGCATGATTGAATATTTCTTGTCTCTCACTAACCGTCTTGCGCAGAGATCGCACCAAGACTATCGCAGACTACGAACAGAGCGGCGAGCGGCTCTTCCGCTCTATGTATCGCGAGACCGCGGACACCGTGCAGGGCCTGCTCGACCGTGCGTACCCGGACCTGGGCTGGTTCTGCAACACGGTCGGGTACGGTATCACCTATGGTGGGACGAACGTGCTCACGCAGGTGGAGATATCCTACGCCATCGTCGCGGCGCTCATCGCGGTCGACGCGCCGCGGCAGATCACGTGGCACCTCGCGAACGCGCAGCATGGCGGGGCGACGTTCGAGGAGGCGAGAGCGGTGAGGGAGATCGCGGTGACGGTCGCGCAGGCGGCGGGCGTAACATGGTCGGATGGCGTACCAGAGGTGGCTGCCGGTGACAAGCCTTGAAAGAGCTTGAGTAAACGCCGTGACACTCTGTACTCGCCTATGTATGCTCAAGCTGTATTCAATGCCCGTATATCACAATTCGCGGTGCACACATAATCGATCATTGTGATAATGTCACGGTGCGGACTCCAAACAGTGTGCAGGCATCGCTCTCATTCTGTCAAAAGGGGAAGCACGCTCATCCAAAAGCAGAGCAAAATAAACATAAAAAAGCGACGCCAGCACTACCCCCCTGATCATTGCATGCTGACACGGAACACTGCGCAGTTATTCCACCAGCAATCACAACTTCAGCAAGTATAGTACCAGGCCCTGGACGAGAGAGTAAATAGACCTTATAACAATATTAAATACTGTGCCATCGCGAACTTCGAACACGGTCGTGTATTCTGTTTTCTGGGCGGCGTGTCACGTGCTTCATCCATGCCGAGCATATAGCGAAAAAGTAGTTCTGTCGAGAGCTAAAGAATTCGGCAAGGTGGACTTCCGGGATGCTGGAACGAACATGCGAGTTCCATCATGCATGCACGTACAGGTTGCTCGCTTGCTGAACAACTTGAAACGAGGAACTTCAATTATTGCTGATTATCGAAGTTGATCTTTCGCTGTCATTCTCAAATGAAGCTGTTCCAGATGGCCCGTCTGTCAGTGTGCGCAAATGCAATCCCATAGAATAGAAATGGACTGCATGCGACTGGACAGTCATAGATGATCCGAGAAAGGTACATGTTCTCCTCTAAACCTATGTGTGCGGAGATTGATGACAGCATAAGCTTTCCAAGCCTTGCGATACCGATAAAAGCTGCCAGCTGCAATCCAACGGATGGACCATCGGAAGTGACCCCACCATGCAGCCCAGGTGCGCTCGGAGAGCCAGGGTGTCTCAGGCGACCGAACCTCCATCCCAAAGTACTCCATGAACGAAGGATAGAAGCCGGCATGCCCACAGTCCACGAGCCAAAGGTCTCCCTGAGCATCCAATATCATGTTGCGCGGGGCAAGGTCTTGGTGAACGAGGACATGCTGCTTAGCCGGTTGGAGCACGAGGTCGTAGCGTGGTTTCAATACCGTGGGGCGACAATTCACAAGCCACCAGTTGAGATAGCTGGTGAATACTGCAGGAGAGGCGTGGCGCGCGGGGCCGCGTAGAGCGTATAACCATATGCAGCGGGTCCGACCGCTGTGGGCGCCACCAGTCGTTTGCGACGTGACAGCATGAAGTGGCAGTCGAAGATTTTTTCGTAGTTGCCATGCTGCACGTACAGTCCCCCACAAGCCGAGGTTCCACCACGCTTGTGCGAGAGTGGGACCACTGATCCGTTCCATGACGATGTAGTAGATCCCATCATCTCCAGCAGGAACTAGACGACGAAAAGCTGGGACCCTCACACCGGCGGCACGCGCATGTTGGAGGGCACCAACCTCGTCTGGCAGGGGCTCTTCATCGAAGTCATGCCCGCTTCGCTTGGCGAGGAGGGTGGGGAATAATAGCCGGATCGGCTGTTGTAAATAGGGTAGTACTGAGGCTAGACGTGGAGAGCGGGTGATGTGTTCGAGGAGCTCGATGTCTGAGTAGCTATCAAGTAGCTCGTCTACGAACGCTCTTGTGGCGGCAGTGGCGACTGTAGCATCCGCGAGCTATCATATTCCAATGCTTCAATATACGTATGTCTGAGACCGTTGAATACGAGAGCGCACAACATACCTCAGATGTGGTTCCCGCCGCTGCGGCGACTCGGCCGTCTTTGTCTGACCCGTGCTGAGCGATGGCTATTCCACGTACTTGAGAGTTACTGAGTGGAGTTTGCGGCGGTCAAGTGGCACTCACCATATTCAACTCTGTCTCCTACAGTCCCATCCGCGAGGCTCATACTTAGCGCAGTGAGAAAAATCGACGCCAACACTACCCCACCTGAGTATGCTTGCCGACATGGAATACTGCGCAGGTAATCCACCAGCAATCACAATTTCAGTAAGTGTAGTGTATACCCTGCTCGCTGAATCATATGTAAGCAAACGTTTGAACTCCCATAATCAAAGGCAACGGTGTGCTAACGCCAACTATAGACACGGCTAAGTAAGTGATTCACTGGGCGGACGGTATGTCACGTGCATCATTATTGTACTAAAGACACTGGCCCGACACCTCCTCGAGGAGGGCTGCGCCGCTGCAGAGTCGACAGAACCTGATAAGTACCGTCTTACATTTATGAGCAGATGGCTGCCTGTTCCACGCCGCTCAGCACATCGACCTAAGTTAGATGCATCATGAGCGCGTAGCCGCTGCTTTGTATCATGTGCCATACCCAGATGCAGCGGTCGATAGTCTTAAGCTTGAATTGAAACAACCATCTTGCGATCACCATCTTTACTTTGCTGTCCTTCTTCCAAGCCTGGTGCACAAGCAACGACTGTCAGCGGAAGCCTATACGAGACGACTGGAGACTTGCCGGTCCGACGAGCGGCCGAGGAGACCAAGACCCATCCAGACGTCACGCGCAACGCACCGCCCGTGACTGCTCCTCCATCCTGCCTCATCTCTGCGAAGGGTCGCACAGCTGCGCGAGCTCGAGTCCCTCGACAACGCCGACCCGACCTGGACGTGTTAAACGACGGCGGGCGTCCCAGAAGCATCAGCGCACGGCCGTGGAGTCAGGCGGCTGTATCCGGTGAAGGCCGAACCGTGACGAAGCGCAACACCCTTGCCCACCGGCTCCCGCTACATCCTCACCGTCCTCAGCGATGGGCAACAGCACCTCCTCGGGTCGCGGCCACCATGAGGAGACCGTCGACTTTGGCCACCTCACACCGCAGGGGGTCTACACCGGCTCGCGCGACTGGAACCAGTCCGTAGTCGCACAACTCATATGCGAGCGCAGGCTCGCCCCGTTCTACCGACCGCTCGAGGATTACGACGAGTCGTGGGATGAAGAGCAGATCCTGGCGCATAGGAAGGAGCCGCCTCAGGACTCGGATTCACCCGCGGAGGCATCGTCCTCCCGCGGCGACACAGGCAGCATATCCTCCAGCCGGTCGCACAAACGCGGACATGTAAGCACGAACTCGAAGGAGGTGATTCGATATCCAGAGGCAGCAATATACCGCGGTGCGGTCGAGTGTCCGATCTGCTTCTTGGTGCGCTCTTTGTCTTCCCGTTAGCCCACCGCACGACGCTCAACCCTGTCGCGCGACTGACTATGCAGTACTACCCACCGAACATTAACCATTCGCGCTGTTGTGATCAAGCCATATGCACCGAGTGCTTCGTGCAGATCAAGCGCGCCGAGCCAAATCCAACGCATCTCGTCTCCGAGCCTGCGGCCTGTCCGTACTGCGTGCGAGAGAGCTTTGGCGTTGTCTACACACCGCCATCCTGGCGCGCCGGGCTGGGTAGCGAGGGAGCGGTGAGGACTTCTTGCTGCGCTGATTGATAGCCCCCCGGTGTTGACAGGCGTTTGCAGACACCACCCTCATGGCCGGAGTCGCCCAAGCAGCCCGAAGCAAGTCCGACCGCCGCGATGAAGCGGCCGCGCAAGAGCTTCGGTGCAGACAGCCCAGAGGTCGTCACGATCGGTGCGTCTCCTCTGTTTGCGATCTATGCTGTCATACCAAGCCCTTGCAGATCAAATTCGCCCGGACTGGGAGGCGAAGCTCGCGGCTGTACGTGCCGCGGTCGCGCGGCGTGCGAACCGGCGCATCATCATGCGCCAGGTGGGCGATCGGCTTGTTCCTGTCGGGATCAGCAGTGGGCGCGTGCATGCGCTCGCGCCGGAGGAGGGAGGACAAGCGGAGAATGCTGAGGGTGCAGTAGAGCCAGGAGGTGGTCGCAGCCGGCGCTCGCGGAGAAGACAACAGAATCAGGATCTTAATCAGTTGCTGGGTACGATGGGCATTGCGGGGCAGGATCTCGAGGAGGTGCGTCGTCTCGGATACCTTACCCGCAATCTCTATTCCTAATGCTGTGGGTGAAGCTCATGATAATGGAAGCAATGCGGCTGTCGCTAGTCGAGCACGAGGAGCAGCAGCGGAAGCAGCGGGAGGAAGAAGAGAAGAAGAAACGCGAGCAAGGCGGTGAGGGTGCGCAGAGCCAGGCTGCTGGCTCTGCCTCTTCGCTGGCACCGCTCGACACGACCTCTGCCGCAGGACCATCATCCGCGCCTACCCTGGAGTCGGTCCCGTCGCAGACCAGCATGCTTGCCTCGTCAACACCAATAACTCCTGTTAGCGAGTCACCTACCACGCAGAGTCTACTTGCACCGGCCGCCGCCTCTGCCTCTGCTTCTGTCTCCGCTCCCACCTCCGTTCCTATTGCACACAGCCCCGCCTCGTCGACCACTCCCGACGCTTCGCTGTCGCCTTCAACTCCTCCAGCCGCAGACGGTGACTCCTCGCGGCCGCACACGCCTCCATCCGTGTCCGAACCATCGGGCAACAACAGTTTCAGTCGCCCAACTGAGTTCGACCGGACGGACTCGATGGCGTCGTCAATGGCACCGGGAGCGAGCAGAGAGAACTGGGACGTGCTATCTTCCTCGCCGGAATCGGCGGTGTCGCACAAGCCGCTCTTACAGTCGAGGCCGCCAAGCCCCCCGGTCACTCCAGCTGTTGCTGACGCCGCATGAGTGGGCGCAATTCGTTTACGGACGTGACGTGCCGAGGGGGTACGGAGAGACCGAGAGTAGGAGAGCTGGAGACACTATAATGATGCACCAGCGCGGTTGAGATCGAGAATGGACAGGCGTCGTCGTGGTTTCCACTGTCGTTGCTGCTCGATGGAAAGAGAATGGGAATGATGTCCTTGCGCTGTAGTTTACTAGATTACCGTCATCCTCTGTGAATCTGTTCGTCTTGTTGTTTGACATATACATTTTTTTGTTATATATCCGGTGATTGGCCATGCGGTGTGCGCGCCTTGGGACGTCTGCGTCCTAGGATTCAATACATGTGAGGCGTGATTATCAAGTTTGCGTATGATACAGGGATACAATAGGACGAAGGGGACATGTCGAAGAGGTGAAATTGGGATAGGGTAGAGCGGCGCGGAGCGTCGTGGGGGCTATGACGGACGGTCTGCCCACACTGGTTTCTGCGAGTCTGGGTCTCTGAGCTACTCAACAGTAATGAGTGATTGTATCGCGTTAAGCTCGTGGACGAATCGCACCTGTGCGTCCACCTGTTTCCGCGTCTCACTTTCCATGGCTAGACGCGCTGCCCGGTTCTGGTCGACCCTCCGTCGTATGTCGGGTGCCATAGCCTGCAGATACATACTCGTTGGTACGGTTGTGGTGCAGCATACCGCAAACACAACTAGAGGGAGAACTTGAACACTCACGGCGTAGGTTTGTTCTGGCGTTGGTGTGGTCGCTGTACCCCACGTTCGACGTCATCACCGGTCGAGTCGTATGGCATAGCATATGCACGCACCTTTCATGATGACATAACCAATGCTCATGACTTCGCAGAGGGGTTGACAGCAGAGTAAGGGCCACAAGCAGACGTGAGCGGATACGGAACAGCTGAGGCAGCGGAGAGCGTACGCGCTACGGAGGCGATGGACATCCTGAACCAAGGAAACTTGGGCTCAGACATCGTATGAGCTCTGCTGCTATGCTTCTGTATGCGATTGTTGGTCTGTTCTTTCTGTGTGGCCTAGTTCGAAAGTCGAAATGTAGTGTCTTGCACTTGTCCTGCACTGTGGCTGCACAAAGCGAAGGCCCGAGAGACGCGCGGAGCCGTTGTCAGTGCGCGCTCCCATTCATGTCGCAGCTGTTCTCGGTTGCACTCGGTGTAAACGGTACGGTGGTGGGGTGCGACCGTATTTGCACGTATGGGTACGAGGCAATTGCAGCAAGGAGCTCAGACTCGACCGGAAACACACTAGCAGCTAGCTGTACAGGCATGTGTCTCGACGATGCAAATGTCTATGTCTCATTGCCCCGAGTCCTGCGTCGGTGCAGCTCCCTGTTCTTACACTGGATGCCTTTTGCCATCGTCGTAACAATAAAAGAAACGATGGCGTCCATGCTCGTGCCGAGCCGCCTCGTCGACCCAAACAGCTGTATCGAAGTACAGTCAGACATCTGCAAACGTGACAGTAAAATCCAGCGGGTTGCTGGCGTGGATGTCCTCGAAGTAAACACGCCACTGGGTATCTAGAGTCGCCCCTTGAATTTGCGCGTCCTCTGCCTGAGCATTTGTTGTAATCTTGGGGCCACCTGCAGCCCGGGGGAGGTGATCTTCGTCGATCAGGTTCGCTTCACTACTCTGCTGTACACATGATGATTACACGAAGGAATCAGCAGCAGATGCACGGGCAGCGTACCTTGATGACATGTTCGAGGACTGGGAATGTCTGGCCACCAGTCGCATCCTGAGTGGTGGACTAGCGTTACACTCCAGTCCATGCAGTCAAGAGGTGAATATCAGATTACTGAACGCTGATTGTTGTATTTCGCGAATGAGCTCATCCTTCCCTTCATCGCCGGGGTCATCGGCAATCGACCAGGCAAAGTCAATGATGTTCCATTTATGGACACGTTTGTGTACTTTGCATTTTCGCGTGTCCACCGGGGCAAGTACGATATTGGCCGGGCGCACATCACGGTGCATCATGTAGTTGAGGGATAAGTCGTCGAGAATTTGTAGAACATCACGCCTATGAGAGATGGATCAGGAATCATACACATACGCAAGAATAGGATGCGTACTGGTTAGATTCAACCCAATTATCGTCGGCCGAGCTGTATTTCCGCCCTGCGCGCGCCATCACCAGAACCGACAGAAGCGGCGCGTCAGGATTGGGGCGCCAGTCTACCCACGGCGAGAGCTCCCTAGCACCAGGAGGAGAGTCGATGCAGTCTCCACCATGATCTCTGTCGTCAAATAGGGAATCGTCGCGGGTGGGATCGTCAGACTCCCAATATCCAGGCGATGCGTCGCGATAGTAGTCGTCACTTGTCCAAAGAGGGAACACTGCACTTCAGCACGAAATTTCCACGTAGGATAACGAGGGGGAAGACGGCGTATCCTGTACCTTACCTATTTATATCACGCCTGACCGATCTCCAGCCTCTTTCCTCGATTGGGCTACCATGACGCGAGCTCGTGACGTATTACCACGACGCGTCGCGGGCGTCGTGGCTTTCGCGCGCATACATCCACCTCGTCGACAACCTTTATCCGTAACTTTCACCTCCATCCAGAACCTCAGGCCTCAACGTTCGACTGTCGAGTCGCGTGCCCAAGTCCAAGCCCAAGCCATACCACATTGAGGTATCCTGCCCCTTTACGGTATGCGGTGCAAGGCGTACTAAGCCAGGCAAATAATGCAGGCATGACTCGAGATCGAAAGGCTAACGGTGTGGCATTGCCGCGTACGCGCAGAAGACTTACTGACAGGTGGCTAGTACGGCTTGGATTGAATGACGCGCATTGCGATGCCCGCAGCGACGGATTGGCTCGACCCGAGGTAATCACTGAGCGGCCGACGGCGGATGATGGCGTCTGCGCTGGTCTGATTTGGGCAGTCGCACGCTCGCCTCTGAGAAGTTCTCGCCGCTATGCGAGCACGTCTGCGATCTTGGGTGGGAGGGTCTTGCTCGATGTAGGCATACGCCCGCCACGGCACCGTCTAGCAAATGGTGATCATCCAGAGTCTGGCTCACGACAACTGGCAAACTCAGCAACAAATGTCCCGTCTGCTCGTAAGTACTACTTCGGCTTCAATTGCCATCGTTTGCAAGCTCAAGTCACCATTCTACGGCATGCATGCGATACTCTGTGTCATGCAGCTGCTCCTCGCGCAGGCCGGTAGGAGTGGGATGCAAATTCGCGAGCAAGCTTCGCAGATAAGGTACGACTCCCAGGTCCGGAACAAGTATTGACTCCGTTGTCCTGCTTAGTATCCCTACTAATACACTGTTGTTCTCAAGGAGCACACTGTGACAGCCGAAACTACCTCTCAGAGATCCAAGGCGACATCCACAAGGTGATCCAACGAGCACGGCGAGTACATTCTTGCAGTGCTGTCCATCGCTGACCATGATGCGGAAAGCAATCCTCCGACCAACAGCTCATTCCCGATACGTAAGTTTCGCTCCAGCGGCTCCGAGTCTGTCGACACTTGGTGCCGCTGTTCTAACAAATGTGAAGTCAGCGATACTAGAGTAGGCGGGAGGAGTCCCGGAAACGAGCTTTGTGCGTACCCGACATGACAACTATGGGTCTAGCAGTGAGCCAGGTACGAGGCTGTGATATCGTCCTCTTGCTGGGCCTAGCTTGCTTGCTCACACACTCGCACACCTGTTTCCCTGTTCGCGTCGTCCTTCTCGCCCTCGGCCGCCTTGCCCGCTGGCCCTCTTGCTACCTCTTGCCAACGAACTCGTCAGCCTGCTTGCTTTCCCACTCGGCTTATCGCCCTCTCACTCGCTCTCGCCGTCTCTTGCCCGCTCGCTGTCTCTTGCTCATCTGTTCTTGCCCACTCGCCCTCTGTTCTTGCCTGCTTGTGCTCCCCCTCTAGCCAGCTCGCCCACCTTCTCGCCTGTTTGCCCTCGCGGCTCACCTTCTCGTTCCTACACTCGTTTTCCCGCTTGTACACCCGCCTTCCCACTCGTACACCCGCCTTCCCGCTAGCCAGCCCGCTTGTCTGCGTTCTCCCACCCTGTTTATGACGACTCGCATGACCCGCGCAACCTGTGCCGAACTGCGTAGCACCTGTACTCGAACAGGTACGAGTCTGGGTCGAGCATGGGATACTCATGGGTAAACCCGTGCTTGGCCCTATCTAAGTAGTGTTAGGCCGCCTGGTACGAGCACTAATATTGGTCAAGACTCGTTCGCTCCGTCGTACCAGTACTGCCGCTGCCCGGCTGCTCGCTAACGTATCGATAATTGGGCCTGTTCAATGTGTACATATCATGACATTATTGCATTCACATGGTCTATTGCTCGATATAACAAAGCTGAGCGAGGAGACAAGTGGCGAGCTATTAGGGATGCAAGCGAGAATACCTGGCGGATTGAGTGGGGAAAGTGCCCGGAAATCATTCGGAAATCTTGTTTTACCTGCACCTTTTCGCTCCATATCCTCCGAGGAAATACGGCGGGAAAGCGCAGGAAATCTTGCCTTTCCCGCACATATCCTGTCAGAAAATTTCGCTTGACGCGCAGTGGAAGGGAAGCTGCTCTGGAGCTAGCTCGGCGGCAAAAAGCCCGTAGCAACGCGGAGTGATGACGCCTTGCACTATATTTTCGGTGAGCTGCTCGTACATCCATGCCTCCCGAGCGAGCGAGCGACAGCGGTTCGGTCGTGCCACCTTGACGCAGAACTCCTGCTTCGAAGGGTCCGTGGTCCGACTCGAAGAGCCACAGTCTATAGCAGGCACGGCGGTGACAACCTTCGCTGAATAGACCACAGCAGATCTGCCGCCGCCTATGCGTTCTCCGAGCTCAAGAGCAAGATGTCCACTGTGGTCCGGCAATTCTGCGGCGATCCAGCCCGGTATGTTTCGAAGCTTGCTGTGTTGGAAATCATATTGTCGAGCTGGGAACGTTCCCCGCCTGGAAAGGGTGACGGATTCCGGCATGTGGGCACCCGTGAGGGTTAGAGTCGAAAACATGCACATCGACTTATTCTGGGGACCAGCCGCGTCAACTGCTGGCATACTACTAGTATAGTGCAGCATTTCAGCTTACTAGTTTCACCCATACTTTACCTGCGTCGGCGAGTGTGACCATCCTGATCCACCGCGGAAGCCGGAACACAGTGGCGGACTTGTGGTTGGTGGCGGCAATTGATAGTGGATAATATCAATTTGACAGCTAATTCCATAACGCTAGGCCCCAGGCCCCCAAAACGCGCATAGGCGGACATTCAATTGGCCGCGAATCCTGCACTTACCTACAGAAATAGAGGGAAATTTCGAAACCAAGGCAAAATGAAGTGCGTTATTCGCGCGGGTGAGTCGGCGAACAGCACGACATCTGCATCAAGTATGATATATGATCAAGAGTACGAGCAGTGCTTGAGTCCAAGGAAATGCTTTGATTTATATTGAATAACAGTATCTACAGTCTCTATGTGACAACTCCGAGCATCTGTTGACTCTATGCTCGCGTGTCTCGAGCGGGTCTTGATGCTCGACATGGAAGGGTGTAACATGACTGGAAACGGCACAAGCAGCATGTTCGATACTTAAAGTGTCCGTGCCGTACATCGGTATTGGTCACGCCGACGTGCTCTCGCGCCAAATGCAGCCTACGCAAAGCAACAGCTCAGCTGATTGAAGACTCTTCGCGGCAAAGACGAGTTGCCAAGGCTCGGAAGTGCTCACCGATGAGCATCTCATATGTCGCGCGATCGTCCTCGTTGTGCCCATTAGCTGGTCGCGTCACCTACAACAACACGAATGACCCGAAGCTGCAGTTAAAGAGTGATACGTACCTGTTTGCGCGTGAAACCCCGTCTGCGCAACATCCTTGTTACGGTTTGGTATGACGCGTGCACGTTCAATGTGACAATGTCTCGACTACGGCCAATCGAAGCTCGACAAGACTCATGTCTGGCTGCCGTCCCAATTCTTCGGGGAGCTCTCTCCATCCAAGTCAGAAATGATGGTACTCACATTGACTTGACAACACTCACACTTGCATTCGGCTCGTCAACAGTTTCGCCCGGCCTTGCGAACAACCTCTCCGGTGTCGTACAGCTTGCACATCCTCTTGAGTGTCCAACAACGCTGGTGCAATTGTGACCCACTCGTCCAACGATGATCGATGATGCGTGACTCCTGGCTTCATGATAAGTTTAGCAGCTCACGAGTGAATAGGAATTAGTGCAGAGTGCGCCAGCGGACTGCTCAAGCGGAGACACCACGACAGCGAGGGTGGGATATTGTTTGCACTTAGCAGAAAGATTACAGCGAGTTCCATATCGCAAGGCCCCGTCCTCTCGGACGCGTACAGGGCGGGGTTGAGCGGACCTCCGAAATAGCCCCCTTATCCATTAGTAATACGTCTGTTAAGTGTAAGCGAGATCTGCGTGGCGGCCGCTCGACGACCTGGCCTGCACCTCTCAACTTGTTCTCAACGTCTCAATGTCAACGGCGACGCACACCGCCCCAGGCTTTGTGTGCCTCGAGCGTGGGAGAAGGAGATGACAGCAGTGTCGGACGATGTGCAGGACAGGTGTGGCGAGGGCGAGAAGGCTTGGAAGTCGAAGGTACGTATAGTACGTCCCTGGAGTTGTCCGACTAATGCTCGCCTTCGTTGCCAGTACTTGCTCACGCGAGCTAACACGACGAGCCAACACATCCACTCACCTCAGAGCACACAGACGTAGCGCTATCAACCTTCCGCCTACTTGCCCGCTCACTGACTCATCCACCGGCCTCCCGAACACCCGCCCGTTCGATCGCTTGCTCAACCGTCCCCTCATTCACCAGTTTTCTCACTCGCCGTCGCGCATGCACGCTCACTTGTTCGCTCGTTGCTTTTCCTGGCCACTCGGCCGGTCGCCTGCGTGCCCGTCACGTCATGCATTTATGCATTGCGAATGAATAGAAGGGTGTGTGAGCTGTTCAGTATGTAACTATCTCGTCCACGTCTCGTCCATGCGCAGCCCACACGCAACTTTGGCCGGTGCATGTCTTCGCTGTGAGCTCTTTGTCGCAGCCTAGTCACTATTTTAATACATAAACTCAGCCAATATTCGTGTAGCCTCGAATAAAGCTGGTGCTCAGGGTGCATTGTATTCCATATGATAGGGAGACTACAGTAGTGTACGGTACAATGACGGTGCTAGCTTTAGTCCGCATGTGGGGAATACATTCATATTTTGCCTCGGTTTCGTTTTCCTTCAATTTCGTGCAGGTAAGTCAGGGAATTCGCAGCCCGCCTGTGCGCGATTTTTGACCCTGGGGCCTTGCGTTATGGAACTCGCTGTAGTAAGGGATAAGGGGGTTATCTCGGAGATCCGCTCAACTCCGTCCTGTACGTGTTCGAGAAGGTGGGGCCTAGCGTTATGGAATTAGCTGGAATGTGGCGAGGCAACACGAACATAGCGCACGTGATCGCTGGGTAACAAGTAAGTTCTTGATGTAGCCAGCATTGGCTCGTCGATCAACTCACATAAGGGATCATCACGATACAAAGGGCTCCAGTCACCATAAGTATCTGATTACTGGGCCGCGATTCAGGGTGTAAATGACTCAACCAAGTATGATCGCCTTCACTGCGTACACGACAGCAGATCTAGTGCCGCCAATGGATTCCCCAAGATCGATAGTAAGATGCCATTTGCCACTCTTCAGTGGTCCTACGGCGACCCAGTCTCGTCTATTTCGATGCTTGTCACAGTCGAAGTCGAATTGACGTCCTGGAAACATTTTGTGCCTGGAAAGTATGATGGTCTCTGGAATACCCTTTAATACCAGATTCGAGAACATGAACAACGATTTATTCTATAAGTGAGCCACGTAAGCCATTGCCGTCTATCTGTTCCGAGGAACAGATGGTGGAGTCCCCTTCTACATGCATTATCCAGTATCCAAGGGTAGATCTAGTCGAAGAGTGACAATGAGCGACTGGTACGATATGTTCGATAGAACATACTTGTTGAGCTCAAGCGCGGAGCGTGTGTACACATGATGCATCGTGTTTGCTCATCCCTTTGGGTGTCTGGCAGTATAGAAATACGAACTGCGATAATTTTCCTGCTGCAACTTCCGAACGAAATCTTCCGTTGTTTTCTTATGACCGATGGGCACATCAACAACCGACCAGGCAAAGTCGATGAGGTTCCACTCGTGCACGCAATCGTGTCTGTCGCACTTCCGTGTGTCTGTCGCAGCACGTACGATGTTGGCTGGACGGAGATCACGATGGATAATAAAGCCGGCGGACAAATCGTCGAGAATCTGCACGACCTCTTGTCTACGGGAAGCCGATCAGATCCGAGAAAATGAGCAGAAGCAATACACATACCGAACAGACTGATCCCATTCATCCTCATTCACGCTGTATTTTGCCCCTCCGCGAGCCATCACGAGGGCGGACACACACGGTGAGTCGGGGTCGGGGCGCCAATCGACCCACGGCGAAAGCTCCCTGCCACCTGGAGGATAGCCTGTGCACTCGTCCCTATCCCAAGTGACGTCGTCACAGAGGCTATCGTCGCGGGTAGGATCATCATTTTCTTTGTCCCGGGGGCGCGCGTCGACGCCGGAGTCTTCATTGGACCAGAGGGGAAAAGGTAGCTGTTCAGGAGCCAATGTGGTGGTGAAGAACCCATAGCAATTGGGCGTAATGACGCCTTGAAGTGCGCGCTCGGCGAGCTGCTCATAAACCCAGGCCTCCCGAGCGAGCGAGCGACAGCGGTTCGGTCGGGCTACCTTGACACAGAGCTCCGAACTGAGAGGACTTTCAGCGCCAGGAGCACCGTCGTCCCGAAGGATGGCAGTGACAACTTTCGCCACGTACACATCAGCAGACCTGCCACTACCGATGCGTTCCCCGAGCTCAAGGGTGAGGTGACCACGGTTCTTCGGCACCTGCGCAGCGACCCAGTCTGGTCTGTTTCGCTGTTTGCTGACCCCGTGGTCAAGCTGGCGTGCTGGAAAGGTCTCGTGTCTGGACAGTGTTGTGGATCCCAAACCGCGCGGGCTGGTGAGTGTTAAGACTGAGAACATGCTCAATGACCTATTCTGCGGATCGACTACGTCAATTGCGCACGGGCAAGACACTACCGTATCTAACCTACCAGATCGGTAGTTGAGTCGGTATCTTGCATTTCAAACGGCCATCAGCAGAGCGCAAGGACAAGCATAAGGAAAGCGGCACACAAATGCGCTCGCCAAAGGGAAATGGAAATGAGTGGGAGCAAAGTGGTAGGGTACTTTGTCGCAGCGTTGTCACGGTGGGCCGTCGCAGTCAACATGAACACGAGGCACGTGTTGCACTCATAATCGCCGATCGTCGCCGATCGTTGTCAATCGAGATAAGATCTCCTCAGATTTGTCTTGGGATTGTCTTTCCGATCTTGCGCACCAACCGGACTGGCCGCACACGTCTGGCATACGTGAGAGACACAATGTTGATTTCGCAACCTCGCAAAACGCATTCCAAGGTTTAACGCTGGTCAATGCATGTCGCGAAACGTTAACAGTCCAAGCCTGCTGCAACATGCAATGGCTAGTACTGTGGGGTACACAAACGAGCTAACGTCAGGCTCCAACGTTGCACATCAAGAAGTGAAGTGCAGATTCCTGAACGATGCTCGTTGCATATCGCTAATCAGTTCATACTTCCCTGGACTGCTGGGGTCATCGACAACCGACCAGGCAAAGTCGATGATGTTCCATTTATGGACACGTTTGTGTACTTTGCACTTTCGCGTGTCCGCCGGCGCAAGTACGATGTTGTCCGGGCGGAAATCGCGATGCATTATGTAGTTGAGGGATAAGTCGTCGAGAATCTGCACGACATCCCGCCTATGAGATGGGTCAGAGACTATATACATACGCAAGAATAGGATGCGTACTGGTTAGACTTGACCCAATCATCGTCGGCCAGGCTGTATTTTCGCCCTGCGCGCGCCATCACGAGAACCGATAGAAGCGGCACGTCAGGGTTGGGACGCCAGTCTACCCAAGATGAGAGCTCCCTAGCACCGGGAGGAGAGTCGATGCAGTCTCCGCCCTTATCTTTGTCGTCAAATAAGGCATCGTCGCGGGTGGGATCGTCAGACTCCCAATGTCCAGGCGATGCGTCGCGGTAGTAGTCGTCACTTGTCCAAAGAGGGAAGGGAAGCTGCTCTGGAGGTAGGACGGCGGCGAAAAGCCCGTAGCAACGCGGAGTGATGACGCCTTGCACTATATTTTCGGTGAGCTGCTCGTACATCCATGCCTCCCGAGCGAGCGAGCGACAGCGGTTCGGTCGCGCCACCTTGACGCAGAACTCCTGCTTCGAAGGGTCCGTGGTCCGACTCGAAGAGCCGCAGTCCACACCAGGCACGGCGGTGACAACCTTCGCTGAATAGACAACAGCAGACCTGCCGCCGCCTATGCGTTCTCCGAGCTCAAGAGCAAGGTGACCACTGTGCTTCGGCAGCTCTGCGGCGATCCAACCCGGTCTGTTTCGAAGCTTGCTGTGATGGAAATCATATTGTCGAGCTGGGAACGTTTCCCGCCTGGAAAGGGTGACGGAGTCCGGTATGTGGGCACCCGTGAGGGTTATAGTCGAAAACATGCACATCGACTTATTCTGGAGGGCCGTGAACAGCCACGTCAACTGCTGGCGAACCACAGTGCATATCTGAGCCTACCAGTTTCATCCATACATCATCGGCCGCGGTCAGAGTGACCATCCTGACCCGCGGAAAGCCAGGACACAACAACGTCAGACGTGGTTGAGGTTGGTGGCAGTCGACACTGTCAGTTCACGGTCAATGTGGCGACGATTCAGATTCCCAGGCAACGTGAACATTACGCACGTGATTGCTGGACTCACAACTATTTCACTGTGATATGTATTGGAGCGTGCCCTCGGTGAGCTGTTCGTATAGGCGGTGTATGTACACGCTTCCCGAGCGAGCGGCGGTGTTTCGACCGCACTACCTTAGTATACGGTTTCAGAAATCAGGGATCCGTGACTGTCTTCCCTACGTAGACAATGGTAGATCTACCGTCGCCAGTCATGCGTGCCCCAGGTTCCAGGGAGATGTCCTCAGTTCCTCGGCGCATCTGTAGTGATCCGGCCTGCTTTGAAGCTTGTTGTAATCGAAGTCAAATTGACGTGCTGGGAAATTCTAGAAACCGTGACGGCGTCCGCTATGCATGCAACTGCGAGGGATCATGTCCATAAGGTGCACAATGACTCCTCTGCAGATCGAGAACGTCAGCAGTTCGCCTTCCATTATTACTGCTATTTCAACAATCACCGGTTTCTTCCATTATTCAGTACGCTCGTCAATTCATCCTGAACTGAGCAGCAGAGGGGGGTAGCACAATTCCGATCACGAAGGAGTGGTCAAGGACATTACAATCTGAGACTTCAATGACAGTGAAGTGCGGTATGAGCCTGCGGCAGTGTTATGTGTAGGCTACGACGCGAATAGTGGTCTCACGCACCCCCTTTACTTCCATGACAGTGCGATGGATCTGGTCTTAGCTTCAGCGTCTACCAGTATAGAAGTACGGACAACGGTATTTGTTTCTCTGTAGTTCGCGAAGGAACCCTGCCTTGTTTCGAGTCTTGGGGTCATCGACGATTGACCAGGCAAAATCAACGAGATTCCACTTGTGCACGCATTTATGTCGGCCGCACTTCCGCGTATCATGCGGAGCATGTATAATGTTTGGCGGGCGGAGGTCGTTAATGACGATGTAGCTTAAGGCCAAGTCGTCGAGGACTTGCAATATATCCTGCCTAGGCACATCAAGGGGTCAGAACCAGACGAATGACTCACGGCAAAATACATACTGTGCTTCTTCATCCCATTCATCCTCGTCTACACTGTACTTCGACCCACCACGAGCCATCACGAGGACCGACAAGAGCGGCGCGTCTGGTCTGGGGCGCCAGTCGAGCCATGGTGAGAGCTCCCTACCTCCGGGAGTAGAGTTGGCGTCGTCGGCATCATCCTCTTCGTCATCGTCAAGGAGGGGATCGTCGCAGGTAGGATCGTCGGATTTACGATCGCCGGGAGTTCTGTCGAGGTCAAAATCGTCACTCGACCAGAGAGGGAACTGCGCCCGTTCGCGTGCGAGCTCGGCGGTGAAGAATCCGTAGCAGCGAGGAGTGATCACGCCTTGGAGTGCGTTCTCGGTCAACTGCTCGTACATCCATCCCTCCCGGGCGAGCGAGCGACAGCGGTTCGGTCGTGCCACCTTGACACAGAGCTCCAGCTTGAACGGGTCTTTGGTCCAAGGAGCACCGTCTTCCCGGGGTGTAGCAGTGACGACTGTCGCGGCGTACACGACAGCGGATCTACCGCCGCCAATGCGTTCCCCGAGTTCGATAGTAAGATGTCCGCCACTCTTCAGCGGCTCTATATACGGCGATCCAGTCTGGTCTATTTGAATTTCGATGTTTATCGCAGTCGAAGTCAAATTGACGTCCTGGGAAAGTTTTGTGCCTGGAAAGTGTGATGGTCTCCGGAATATGTGTACCCTTCAAAGTCAGAGTCGAGAACATGCACAACGACTTGTTCAATGAGTGAAACACGTAAATCGTTGAGCAGACACTGGTATAGCATAGCACCGAGCCTACTAGTTTCGTCCAGGTCCACAGGTTCGTTGGCCTCCTTCATTGTCGATACAATAGGATAATAACATAAGAACGCAGTGAATGCACAGAGGAATAGGTAAATCAAGTCAAGTTGGTTTGACTGACGAGGTATACTGCATTATCGCGCAGCCCGAAGAGCGAGAGACGCGCACAGGCGCGCCTCCAACCTGCTTCAACCTGAACCATGTCCCTCCCACACACCAAACGCGTCTGTCAGATTATCAAGGTCCATTGAACACGCTCGCGCTCTACACCACTTCTGACTGTACTTATGCGCCATTAGCTCAAGCCTGAGGCAGAGGCAGAGTACAAGGCACTGCACGCCAACGCTTGGCCGGGGGTGCTCGCCGCGCTTGCGCGCGCCCACATCGCCGACTACTCGATCCACTTCTTCCCACCGCTACATCTGCTTGTCGCGACGTTCAAGTATACTGGGAATGACTTCGATGGGGACATGAAGAAGATTGGGGAGGACGAGGAGACGCGGAGGTGGTGGGCGCTGACGGACAAAATGCAGGAGAGCTTCGTGGACGGTGCGACGGGCAGCGGCGGCGAGAAGCCTTGGTGGTTGGTGAGTGCTCACGTTCAAGTACATTGGGTCAAATGTGGATATATATGCGCGCCGCAGGGCCTCGAGGAGGTGTTTAGGTTCGAGGGAAGCTAAGTCGGCCTCAGTCGAACGCAGTGTACGATGACCGGAGTGTATGCTATCGCGGTATGTATGGTATGGTATGGGAATGGACACAGCTTCACGACGACGACGAAGTTCCGAGAAAACGAACACAGCTCGCCCTGACGACTGAGGCCGATGTGCGCTGTGCTGCGCACACCGACCACCAATCCTTGGCGTGGCACTGTCCGAGACCATGTACGGCCTTATCCGCGAGTATGACGACGCTCTTATACGGTCGCCGGGATGACGACGCCCAACAACATCCATTTCCTAACACTCCAGCATGTCTGAAACCTCCCTGTCTGCGAACGTCTTGCTCTCCCTTCCAGAGGCTACTCTCCGGACACAATCCACACCCACCACAGGGACCGTCTATCTTCAATACATCAACGTCGCCCCGCCATCTGGGTCTGCATCCGCCACATCCGGGCGCTCCGTCTACCTCGTTGTGCGCCTCAACGCCATCGAGTTCCCGATCGATCCCAGCCGCCCCGTCGCGCGGCACATCACACCCGATGGTACGCACGTCTACACCTTCGTCCTCGATGGGCAGGCCGCGCGGACCCTCGACCTCAAAGGGGAGTCTGTCCCCGTGTCGCTCTCGCTCAGAGGCCTGCCCGACCCCGCGCGCATAGATGCGATCGAGACTTTCGACCAGATCCTCGGACAGTATGCTGGATGGGAAGGCGCGAGCGGCGGCGTGCAGCAGTCGGCGGGGGTTAACCTGCACGAGGGCGGTGGCAATCCGGAGACCCTACGCGGGCGGCTCGTGCTCATGGACGAGGCGACGGGAGAGATGGTCGGCGAGGTTCCCCATCAGCTGCCTATCCACGAAGACCCTGCGCTGGTACGCGTAGATGAAGTGGAGGGTGCTAAGGGCACAGCGCATACCGCGCCAGTCGTTCTCGAGCTCCCTCCGAATGTGTACGACGCATATACGGGTCAGGGAACTGCAGAGGGTGCTGCTGCATCGGAGCTATCTGAGGCGCAGGAGATCTTCGTCCGCGCGATTCCGCCTGATCAGCAAGACTGGATGACGAAGTCTGCCTCGTTGATAAGGTACGCATACATGCTGTTGGTAGTCAGGGAAAGCCGACTGATACTGTTCACAGTCGGGGTATAGACTCTTCAACATCGCTGCTCGTCAAAGGGATGTCTTCTGCCTCGCAGAGTTACATCAAGCGTGCTGCTCCCCATTCACCGAGTCAGACGGACGGCAAAGCGTCTGGGGCGAGCGGGCCTCCCTCACGTATGGCGACCGTCCTCACGCATCCTACCACGCACACCGCGCTGGGGTACGCGCATACAGCCACCGGGCATGCCGCCCGCGTCAGTTCCAAGACAGTCGAGCTCGTGGAGGGCATGATCCGGCGCGCAGTCAGTGGGCGGCAGCCAAGTGGGTCTTCGGCAGTGCAACAACACACGCCCTCATCACCTACGCCGGTGGCCAGCCCAGGGAGCTTGTTGGTGCCACCAGCATATAACGCTTACGCTCCGCCTCAGCCTCCATCCGAGAAGCCTCCGCTCCCTCCTCGCCGCGACGGATCGAAGTCACCCGCTCCGCCTCTCCCTCTTCGACCCGACGGATCAAAGTCTCCTGTACCCTCCCCTAAACCAGCCCTCACAGGCGCAGACTCCAATGCTCCCCGCCTACCTCTCCGCACGCGCGACCGCCTCGCGCTCTCCGCGAACCTCGTGCTCGCGTCCGTCGACGAGTCTACTACGCGCCTCCTGGACGCGGGCACCGCGCAGCTCGGCGCGGTCGTCGGGCACAAGTACGGGCCGGATGCGGCGCGCTCGACGGGGCTGGCCGCGGGCACGGCGCGGAACGTCGTGCTCGTGTATGTGGATGTGCGCGGGTTTGCGCGCCGGGCGTTGATCAAGAAGGCGGGGAAGGAGTTCGTGAAGGGAAGGGTGGCGGCGAGGCGGGGGTAGCCACCTTATGCTGCGTGTGCGCGTGTGCGTACCATGATCCTTGCGTTAACTAACATAGCCGATCGAGGCTGTAGGAAACGGCGGGCGGGTGATATGTCACACATAAATCGGAAATAAATGGCATTATATTCGCATGAGCGTGGATTGTGCGACTCTGCGAGAACAAGGACGTTTTCTGTACAATGACAGCAACCGATCGCAATATACAGTAATAGGTAGTTAATAGACGTAAATACTCACGTGAATCGAGGAGAATGTACAGACTATCTATTAAGGGGCAATATGGCAATCGGCGATCGGCGATCGGCGATCGTGAGTGTGAGCACGTGTGTCGTGTTCATGTTGAGTCTTGACCGCCGCGGCGCCGCCACACAGTACTCTTCCACTCACTTCAACTACACTTTGGCGAGCGCATCCGTGTGCCGGCCTGATTTTACTTGCTGTCGCCCTTCGCTCGGATGCAAGACGTCAGCTCAATTACTGATCTGGTAGGTTAGATACAGTACAATGTTGCCTGTGCGCAGTTGACGTAGTCGATCCGCAGAATAGGTCATTGAGCATGTTCTCAGTCTTAACACTCACCGGCCCGCGCGGGTTGGGATCCACAACATTGTCCAGACACGAGACCTTTCCAGCACGCCAGCTTGACCACGGGGTCAGCAAACAGCGAAACAGACCAGACTGGGTCGCTGCGCAGGTGCCGAAGAACCGTGGTCACCTCACTCTTGAGCTCGGGGAACGCATCGGTAGTGGCAGGTCTGCTGATGTGTACGCGGTGAAAGTTGTCACTGCCGTCCTTCGGGACGACGGTGTTCCTTGCACTGAAAGTCCTCTCAGTTCGGAGCTCTGTGTCAAGGTAGCCCGACCGAACCGCTGTCGCTCGCTCGCTCGGGAGGCCTGGGTTTATGAGCAGCTCGCCGAGCGCGCACTCCAAGGCGTCATTACGCCCAATTACTATGGGTTCTTCACCACCACATTGGCTCCTGAACAGCTACCTTTTCCCCTCTGGTCCAATGAAGACTCCGGCGTCGACGCGCGCCCCCGGGGCAAAGAAAATGATGATCCTACCCGCGACGATAGCCTCTGTGACGACGTCACTTGGGAAAGGGACGAGTGCACAGGCTATCCTCCAGGTGGCAGGGAACTTTCGCCGTGGGTCGATTGGCGCCCCGACCCCGACTCACCGTGTGTGTCCGCCCTCGTGATGGCTCGCGGAGGGGCAAAATACAGCGTGAATGAGGATGAATGGGATCAATCTGTCCGGTATGTGTATTGCTTCTGCTCATTTTCTCGGATCTGATCGGCTTCCCGTAGACAAGACGTCGTGCAGATTCTCGACGACTTGTCCGCTGGCTTTATTATCCATCGTGATCTCCGTCCAGCCAACATCGTACGTGCTGTGACAGACACACGGAAGTGCGACAGACACGATTGTGTGCACGAGTGGAACCTCATCGACTTTGCCTGGTCGGTTGTTGATGAACCCATCGGTCATAAGAAAACAACGGAAGATTTCGTTCGGAAGTTGCAGCAGCGGAATTATCGCAGTTCGTATTTCTATACTGCCAGACACCCAAGGGGGTGAACGAACGTGATGCCTGTGCATCGTGTGCGGGCGCGCTCCGTGTTTGAGCCCAATAGGTATGTTCTATCTATCGAACATATTGTGCCAGTCGCTGATTTTCGCTCTTCGACTAAAATTTACCCCTCGACAGTGCACGTAAAAGGGGACTATACAGTCCACCCTTCAGGATGACTTCGGCATCTGTACTGGTATACCACATCTAACGGTTGCGCTTCTCGCCAGCGCAGAGGGTCAAGACATCCAGGTCCACATGTATATTGTCCTTTCGCACATGGCTCTGTGTGCCATGTCGCTCAACATGAATTGCTCCAGTAGGACTCTGCAGTTCAAGATCGTCGACATTGGCACGAACAGATTTTACAGACTTGCATATACCCGTGAGCATGAAGGAAGCACGCGCTTCAGCTGTACTGAGGTATCAAGTCGCTCATGCACAAGGGACGATGCTAATACAACCTAGACGTGCGTTGGCGCTCTTGAGAATTTCACAAGCCACACACGCCCCGGACGCGAAGCTCGCACACAATCATGTATGTATGTGCGCAATGTTGAGATTGATACTTTGGATAGTAATGTACAGATTAAGTACTTGTGCAGGCAATGTACAATTGCAACTTCTTGATAGCGATGCATGGCTAGAGCGGCTGGACAGGGACGGTCAGTAAGTAGCAACAGTGTAGAAACATTTTAACTCACGGGCGCGACGGGGACAGGAGCCATTTGGTTGGGGCTTCACGCCAATTGCAGGTCAGAGATAATGCACTGTGCCTCTGTGATTGTACCCACAATCAATTCCGGTAGTCGAATAGAAACAGGGCGAACATACCAAACTGAGATGCCAGTGTATTGGCAATGCCGCCACCTTGTTCGGAGACAGGGCGGCCGGAGATATTAGCCTCGTCATAAGTTAGCTCTCGTGATGACCCGACTAAATATATGTGCGCAACGTTCGTCGACAACATGCTCCGAGTCCCTCTCCGGCAACACGACACTTTCGCCGGCGCAAGGGTCGATATCCTGTTCGTCCTCGTCCTGGGCCTCACCATTTTCTTCAGATTCGTAGTCGTGCTCGTCTTCGTCTTCGTCCACAGAGACGTAGTCGACGAGGTCGTCATCCTCGCCCTCGTACGTGCCAGACCACCGCTCTCCTTCCCACGGCGTGTAAGTGCAATCCTCGGCGCGGTACCACTCGGGCTGGTCCTCAATCGGCATGCATTCTGCGAGCTTGAACCATCGCTCGACCGGAACCATCCTTGACTTCAGTACGCGTTTCGGGGGATGCTTCCTAAACCTCTCGTCGACGTAGGCACCGTACACGAGTTGGCTCTCTCCTTTCACCCAGCAGCTTCGTACATGCTTCCATCGTGCATCGGCCGCGATCTGTCTGGCTGCAGCGACGAAGTAGTCGCCTTCACGCGGGTTCGGGTAACGGACGAGATTGCATTCCTTTCCTATCCGAATGGCCTATATTGAGTCGAGAGGCCAGCCAAACACCCAAGGCATTGCTGTGTTGCGTGTGATCGGGCGAGACGTGTCTCGAGGGATGGGACTAAGGTTGATCGTTGCGGTTGGGGAGGTCCCTCCGAGTCGCGTCCCCATTGCGCGGTCACGTGCACGGACGGTAATAGTGGGATGTCGACGCAGTGGATACACCGCGTTGCCCTTAAGATATAACTTAGAAATATAGGATGCACTGTCTCAGCTCCGGTCGGCACGGAAGAACTTGACTCCCTGGGACATCGCCAGACCTCATTGATCTCCCATAGGCCGACCAAGTTGAGTAATGCGACATCTTTGACGTGGAGTAGAACGGTCGTCTGAAGCAGACCTCCTCGTGATACGCCCGCTCACTGCTCCGCAAGCATCGGTCCCAGCGTCCCATACGCGATGAACGTTCACCTCCGGGAATGTCTGCTGCGTACCTCTGAGCTTAAGACGCGCGCCGCTCGGGACGTCCGGGGGGATTTGTGGCACCTCTGGTGGGAATGCCGTGCTCGTGTACTGTGGGGGTGGACAGCTTCGCGGAGAGAGAGTTGTAGCACAGAGCGGGACAGATGTTTGTGAACGATGATGGGGGAGAAAGGAATGCCAGTAGGTAGCGGTCTGCAGCTTGCGATGTAGTAAAGGCGAACATGTCCGTCTGTGTGCTTGCCTCAGATAATTGCCCGGGTGCTACTCAAATTCACTCGTCAGCGTCGCCTTCAGATCACTGCAAGCATGTTTCATAGTGTCAGTCACTGCTTTCCCAATAGACCGTTGTATGGATTCGCACACCATATACGCATTGGGTTAGCAGAGATCGTCGCTACCAAGGCGAAAGTACGGATTTTCATAGTTGAATCTATGCAGCTTCTTGATAACGTCTCCCTCGACATCGTTCCCGTCATGCTCGTCGACGCTCGACCAGCCAAAATCAATGATATTCCACTTATGCACGCGCTTGTGCGTCGGACATTTCTGCGTGGCCGCCGGAGCGCGTATGAGATTGGCTGGTCGAAGATCTTGGTGCATGATGTACGCAGAAGACAAGTCATCGAGAATCTGGTTTACTTCGGCCCTGAGAGGTTCGGGTCAGCCAAGCAGGATAAATTCATGAAAACGCGATGCGCACTCGGTTCTTGGGTCAAAGTCATCTTCATCGAGGGTGTATTTCCGCCCTCCGCGTGCCATCACGAGTACGGCCAGGAGCGGCGCTTCAGGGTCGGGACGCCAATCGCACCACGAAGAGAGCTCCCTTCCGCCGGGAGGAGAGTCGTCGCATCCACGCATGTCGTCACGCAAGGGGTCGTCGCGACTAGTATCGTCGGATCTCCGGCGTTCAGAAGACGCATCGAGGATATCATCTTGACACGCAAAGGGGGCGAGGGACAGCATTTAGTGAGGCAGGCCCGCGGTGAAGAAGCCGTAGCATCGCGGAGTGATCACGCCCTGGAATGTACCCTCGGGGAGCCGTTCGTAGATCCATGCCTCTCGTGCCAGTGTACGACAACGGTTCGGTCGTGCGATCTTGACACAGATTGAGCAGTTTCCCACTGGAACCGCGGGTTTCCTCGGGCGCGGCGGTAACAACCTCGGCTGCATAGACAACCGCACCTCTGCCACCGCCAATGCGTTCCCTGAGCTGAAGAGACAGATGACCCCCGTTCTTCGGCACCTCTGCAGCACACCAATCTGGTCTGTTCAGAATCTTGTTGGAGTAGAAGTCGGACTGAGGGGCTGGGAAAGCCTCCTCTCTAGAGAGGGCTACGGCTTCCGGGATGTGTGTCCCTACGGTGAGGGTTAAAGTCGAGAACATGGACAACGAATCGGACTCGTCCTGCAGGTCGAACTCAGTCCGTCAGCCACAGATCAAGCATGAGGTAGCTTCGGAATTTACCAGCTTCTTGGTCGCTCTCTTGTTATTCATCTAGCTTATATGGAGTGGGTCAGGAACTTGGGATGTGCGATGCTACGGCAGCGCACTAGCTGCCATAGCGGTTAAACTGAGGTCCGAGTCCAGGGCTTGCTTCTGAGTATCAGATAAGTTGCAGATAAGATTAGATGGACGCTGGACTACTCAACGTCAACGCTCAGAGTCAAGCGCCCATCAGGTTGAGCTCCTCGACGTGAATGCATCCGCGGATATTCAAAGCTGGGCTTCCTCCGACTTTTACGACTCAAAGAATAGTACAGATAAATAAACACTGAGCTGAGCAGCGAATCTGTGGCAAAGAAGCGTGGACGAAGAGGCTGTCGAGGTTAACGTCGAATGGCCCAGTCACCGGAAGGGAAACTTGGAAGCTCACTAGACTGAGTATTATTCCTCCTCGCCCCTCAGCATCCTAAATCAACCGAAGTCAGTTAATCGCGGCCCGGTCTTGAACAGGTCTCTCGTGATAGCGAAACGCGATAATACCTCCTATGAGCGTTCGCAACACTGAAGCTCGCCCAAGTCGGGAAGATGATAAAATGTGAGCCTTTGGTGATCATCGTCTCGCGTAATTTGCACGGTTTTGACCGTGGCTGGACTATATGAAAATACGTCATGCTGTATGGTTTCGTGAACACTGTCACCCACACAAACAATGACGTAGATCTGAAGGAGGTAAAGATTTGTCCAGGACATATAAGCACAACTACTCAATGCATCCCGGACAGAGGAGCCTCTTCAGGTTCCCAACATCTGTATCTGTACGGGGATACCCTCGTAAGTAGAATGCAACACAGCATTAAGTCGGATGAGTTCATCGAAACATACCTACCGGGTCCCAGTTTGTGATCGACTGAGAAGCAATACATAAATGGAGTGCAGTTGCATTATACCATAGCCTAAACAGAGTGTCAACCAGTGAACTCCAGCCCACGGAATGCGCCTCTCTGTAAGTCATCTAGATACTCATATTTCATTTAGGGGGTCATCAGCGATCGACCAAGCAAATTCGACCAGATTCCACTTATGCACTCGGCACATCTTCGTGTCCGCCGGCCCACGTATAATGTTGGCCGGCCGAAGATCATTATGGATGATAAACCCAGAGGTCAAGTCGTCGAGAACCCTCAGGACATCTCTCCTGTACGAGATCCGTGTAAGGCCCGAGAAGGTGTGCGACAGTGGTTCGGTCGCGCCACCTTGACACAAAGATCAAGAGTATACGGATCTTTTGACCATGGGGCACCCTGTTCCCCAGGCGTGGCTGCGACCCTTCGCTGCGTAGACTACAGCAGATCTGCCTCCGCCAACACGTTCCCCGAGTTCGATGGAAAGGTGGCCACAATTGTCCGGAATGTCTTCAGCGGGCCAGTCCAGTCTATTTCGAAACTTGCTGCGATTGAAGTCGAATTGATGAGCTGGGAACGCCTTATGCCTGGGGAGCGTGATGGCGAACGGGACGTGTGGCCCTGTAACGGTCAAGGACGAGAACGTGCTCAATGACTTGTTCTGCGGAACAATTGCGTCAGCTACTAGCCGGACGTATCATTGCAGCATCTGACTTTACTACTTTCATCCACACATGATCATCGGCGATAACCTCAGTCATCCTAGAACGAGCCAGCCAATAGAGCCAACGACTCGGACACGCAAGCAAACCAGATTGACACGGGCGCGCGCAGACACTAGTTCAGGCCCTGCAGTTGAGCCCAGGACCACGGCATAGGCGAGTCTATCAAACACGCACGTAGAGAGACATAGAGTTCATAGCTTTGGGTGAGAGTAGGTAAAGAGTAGGTGAGAAGATGCAGGCGCACCTTGAAAGCGCGCCTTCTCGCTTGTCGGAATCCGAAACGAACGCAACATGTACTGTATACTTACGTCGGTTACTGTAGTATGTGCTTAGCACGAATGTAACATATGCACTGTTTCTGGGTCTCGACGTCGGACTAGGCCCAGCTTGATACAGACGAATCACGTATCGGCCGTATAGTTCAAGTTCATGTAGTTCCGAGTCGTGCATGCTGTACTAGTAGTCTGTAGCTGCTCGGAACCTCGTACAGGGTAGAGAGTGCCTGAGAGTGCATCAGGAGGGCACCATGATCGTTGACATACTCAGGCACGTCAAATGTAACATCGTAGGAGACGAACGCGGACCAAAGTACTAGCCTTGTGAATACGAAAGCGACGTACCACACTATTACATCAGTGGTCGGGCAAATGGTGAAGTTGCAAGAATCCTCTCGGCCGGGTAGAGAGTATGCCGCCGACGCCCTACCACCGAAGCATAGTTTGATGATACACTTACGATAGGGTAGGGTTGCATGCCAGCGGCCGCAGACATACGAGATCCGGCAAGGCTTCGGATAATGGGCTATCATCGAATGCACTAGGATGTGGCACAACTTCTAGATGCATCAGCGGCAGACGGACGACAGACAGACCTGCCTTACCACTCGACAGCATCCTACCAGCCGGGACCCTGAATCGATACCGCACAAGGGCAATCTATGCAGGACTATCGTCACTGATACATTTTTAGCCGTTCAATGGACTCAATACAGTCCGGAACATCAAATTGACAAAGGAATTACAGGCCTTTTGACATCTGCAACGACGCTGCAGATTACACAGCACCCGAGCACTTCGCCCCAGACCGACGATCTGAACCAACCTCCTAACCCATATACGACTGTTGTTGCGGCATGCCCGGTGGTGGTGGAGGCATCATAGGCGCCATACCTTGTGGCATGAACCCTGGCGGAGGTGGTGGCATCCCTTGAGGCACGAACCCTGGCGGAGGCGGTGGTGGCATACCCGGCATGCCCATACCCATCGGCATACCCTGCGGCGGGGGCATGCCCATCGACATTCCGCCAGGTACCATCGTCTGCTGAGGAGCGAACCCAGGTGGCGGGGGTGGGGCAGGTGCCGCGGCGAGTGCGCCAGCGAACTGGCCTTGGTACGGACCCTGCGGATAGCCAGGCATAGGAGGATGGGCGCCAAATGCGCCCATAGCAGTCATAGGAGCAGGCGGTGGACGCGCGGCGACGGGGAGGGCGTTGTTCTTGCGTGCTTGCGCAGCGAGGAGTCGCTCGGCGGGCGTACCGTGGCGCTCGCCTTTGCCATCTTTTTTGAAGGCATATTGGACTGTGATGGCTTTGTTCATGAGAAATTGACCATTCATAGACTCGACTGCCGCGTCGGATGACTCAAAGTCGGTGAAGGAGACGAAACCGTAGCCTTTCGACTTTCCGCTGCTCGGATCGCGCGCAATCTGTGTGGGAAGGGAGATGAAACATGAGGGAATTGGAGGACCCGAAGGAGTGGGACGTGAGACGGGCGTACCTTTGCTGTTGTAGCCATTACGCCGAAAGCGCTGAACGTGTCGTAGAGTAACCGCTCGTCGACATTCTCGTCCAGGTTTCCGATGAAGAGGTTTGCGCCTACGTCAAGCTGCTTCTTGTCCGAGGACGCCTGAGTGGGAATAGCAGAGCGTCAGGTGAGAACGAACCTTCTTCATTCGAGGAGGTATAGCACGGAATGAGGGCGCGAGGCGATAATGAGGCAGAACGTGCGCTTCCCACATGACGGGTATTCTGAACATGATGAACGGCATGAAGTGTTTGACTTCGGATAGGATGGTGCTGAGGCCTAATAAGCAATATAGCATCACTGAGACATGCTCAGCACATAGCGACCGTGTCGCCCAACGCATTCAACAATTCACCACGCTCCATGAGCACAGTTCTGAAGATTGTGCAAGGCGACAGGACGATGCAGCCGCTCCACCAACAAGTTCGAGCACAGCAGCGCATGGCAGACATTGTCGGCATCCACACTGCATGTGATGTCCAAACCGCCTCACTGAAAACGTCAGACGGCACCAGTCATCGCCCCCAGCATCGCGCCCATTCCGAGCATACTTTGACAAACGATACGATGACACACCTTGTTAACCCGTATTGGCTTTCCCCACAGCTTGATTTGATTCATAATCTTACAAGCGTATTCCGCATCCTCCTCGGTCAAGAACTCACAGAAACCGTATCCCTGATGCGTCATAGATATCCGGTCCTTCGGAAGGTGCACGTTCACTGAGAGCGTGACGCATGTCAGACTAAACGAGGCGCATATAGGGACACGGACGAGTGCTTACCGACTGGACCCGCTTGCAACATGAGTTCCCAGACAAGCGCGTCTGAACACCGCTCATCCAGGTTCCCCTACGCGTGGCCCTGTAGTCAGCGCTGTATCGAGAAACACGAGTATAACATGCGCACAAGGTATACGGTTGCTTCTTGATTCCTGTCGTCCTGCGGCCGAGACATGGTGGTAGCGGTTCAATGAAAAGAGCGCCTATTTGCAGACGCCGTCTCCCGTAGCGGCGCTACCATAAAAGTCGGGTCCGCCACTGGCAGGAGGAGGCGCTCTTATTCAATTCTCCGTGCATGGTTGATGAGACAACTCGGATTTCTCCATTGAACATTGTTACTGCGAGAGTAGGCTGGTGCGTTGGCTAAGCCGCATGTCGACTGTTATCCTGCGCAATAGTTGACAGCGTTGGTTTCTTCACGGCAATGGTGAGCTACGATCCCACAGTACGTTGAACACGGGATTGACGGAGTGGACTTGCAGAACGAACAGCTATACATGTTCTCAAATTTGAACTGTGCATCGCGGACTTGACTCTGTCCAGACATGAAACCTTTTCCGGTACGCCAGCCTGACCATGACCGTGACAGGCTACGAAACCGACAGCCTCGGTAATGCACGTGTGCACAAGTGCTGAAGAACCGTGCCAGGGGGGCGCGTCGGTCATTGGCGGCAGGTCTGCTGGTGCTTACGCAGCGAATGGCGTGCTATGCACTGCGCATGGAGAAGATAGTGTCCCTGGGCCTGAAGACTCCTGCCAAGTTGGAGCTCTGCGTCAAGGTAGCCCAACCGAACTGGTGTTGCTCGCTTGACCCGGACGCCTGCATCTACAAAAGCTCGGTGCGTGAGCGGCATCACGCAGCATTACTACGGGTTCTTCGACGCTCGCTGAATTGGCTTCCGAACAGCTTGCTCTTCGTCTCTGCAGCTGGTTGAACGATGACTCTTACATCGGTGCACACCCGGCAAACCGGAAGTCCGGTGATCCAACCTGCAACAATCGCCTTTTTGACAATGTCGTCTACGATGAGAATGAGAACGCAGGGTAGATTGGCCCTTCAACACCGTCGCACCACTCCCATCGGTTCTCGTAGGTTCTCGTGTTAGCTTGCGGTGGACTGAAATATAGCTTGAGTGAGGATTATTGGGATGTGCCTACCCAGTACGCATCATAGCCCTCCCCATCTGTCTAGCTCAAAACCGCTTTCGGTACTTAGACGAGATGTCCTGCAGATCCTCGATGATTTGTCCGCCAGGTATATTGTCCGGCGTGACCTTCGCCCTGCCAACACCGTACCGCCTCGGCAGACACGCGAGAATGCCTTAGACACCAGTGCGTGCACGAGTGGAACTCCATCGACTTTGCCTGGTCGATCAGTCAAACCAAGGAAATGGAAGACTGAGGCGTTCGCGAGCACATGCGTACTTCTAAACTGGTGGACACCCAGTGGGAAACCAGTGCGTTATTTTATGTGTGAATCCTTCTGGTCCCTACAACGTCTGTATCTTCCACTTTCGAGCAATCAATAAGTACTGGCTTGCTGATCGTTCGCCTTGTTGCCTATTAGTACGTTGAACGTTGACGTTGAGTACTGAGTACCTGAGTCATGACTCCGATGTATTAGGCTGTAAGTTAGGTATGATGTATGATCATACAATGTCTGAATGCAAACTGAGCTCAACTTGCGATAGCATAGCTAAAATATATACATGCATGCGTTAGATGTACAGCTACCCTAGCGTATCTTCGGAGGCCCAGATATCGCAGTCTTATAACCTGTCAAAAAGTGTATCGTCACCACTTGCCTCTTTAGGATAGTGCGAACGCTATACTTTTTGACAGGTATAAGACTATGATTGGGTCTCTAAGGTAGCTGTACATCGAGTCGGCCTTATATACATAAAAGAGACGAAGTTTTCGGGTCACGGGAGTTATTAGCAAAGATAACGTGCTCGTCTACTAACAAAGTATAGGATGCAACAAATAAGGAAATTGGTCAAATCAGGAAACCGTGGCTGTCCCCCGAACCGGGCCGCTACAGAACTCAAGTTACTCAATATGGCTGATTTGTGGCGTATGCGCTCAGGCGCTTGTGCCACTTGTCACCTACTTCACTCATCTTCGGCCTTCTTTGTAGCTACGGGACTGACTAGGCAGCATTAGAGTTAAGCTAGGCCTATAGGACGTCAAATTGTGGTCGTACGTTTCGCTCACTGTTCTGGTCGCTGATTCAATGGGTTCGCAGTTGGTAATTCTGCTACTGCGCGCGCCTGTAGTCTCCGATCCGGCTCGAGGCTCGAGTCTCGAGAGGGCCGTTCACCAAGCTCAAGTCATCCATCGTCTTTCTCAGGCCTGTCAGGGTCAACATCACTGAACAAAGTTCAGCAGCATCCAGCAAACGCTGTCTCGCTGTCGATGGGCTCTCTGCTCTCGGCTGGCCGGCACGGCGGCCATATGCTGGAGGACACGCGGAGCTAGGCTACAGATGATCAAGTCTGATTCAGCTCATCGTCACCGTCGATGTGCGTAACAGCGCCTCCTATGACGGGATGGCCAACAACCTACCCCACCGGGGTCCCATGCTCCGGCCAGAGTTCCCCGCTTGCGGCCAAAGGGCAGCGTTAGCCCTGCCCAGCGCACCGGCGTCGGAGGGACTACGTTGACAGGGGACCGTGCGGGCGGGGCGCGCTGAGCTGCGTACAGTAGGGTTCGGTCTCCGCGTGTGTTCACAGCGGACGCGCGGGAGCGCAAGTGCGAGCTGGGCGGTACGCTACGCTGGCTAGCCTGCTCTGGCTGACGTCCGAGTCCCACATGCTGAGCATGGCTCCGCGCTTCCCATTATAGATGGCACATGAACATCTACGGGCCCGCCGATGGGTCGCTATAAAACCTGCCCCGCGTGTGCGGTAGACCCGGTCCCCTCTCCGAGCCCGCTATACGACGCCCCGTTCACGTCCACGCATCGCGCACTGTGCAGCGACCGCTATGAAGGGCCCGTCGTTCCTCCTCGTCCTGGTCGTCCTGCTGGGCGCGCTCCTGATGGCCGCGGCCCGGCCGATCCCTGTGGAGGGTGTGCGGCAGAAGAAGGCGTTGAGGCAGTTCCAGATGAAGCGCGGGCAGCCCGGCGGCGCCATCCGACGTCTGTACGCTAGGGCTTCGCCTTCGCCATCTCCGCGACCTTCTCCGTCACCGTCTAGGTGAGCTTAATTCCCGATCGTGGCACAAATGACATTCAGTTGATGTCCGTGGCAAATGACAGAAAGTATGTGGCTCCAGCCATCCGCACGGAAGCACCGCGCGCAGCCAATCCTGACCTGCTTGGAGTCTGGTATAAGTCCCGTGTCGTTTATCGGGAAGCTGTGGTACTCATTTCTGCGACAGGTCCTAGACAGGCGGGCTACTATCTCCCCTTCCGAATAACGTCAACCCCCTGGACTATCCTCTTTACGATCGCGAAGAGTTGTCTGCGCGTAGCGGGTGCTTTTCATGACCGGACCCTTTCACGAACTCTCGAACCAGTGTAGCCACCACGTTCTGCTTATGCCTCGATAACGCGACCAAACCGGCCCTCGATGACAGCCATGCTCCGTGTACTACCAGAGTTTATAGTACCCGACGACTCGGATACTATGACGGACGTTTTCTCGTACACCGTAATGCCTACCTTGTAGCACCAATGGACTTATCCGTGTCTCCAAACCTGCTACAAGTCAACGGGGTATGCAGGGGCCCGACATGATCGTGTCCTCCTCGGCGGTGGTGAGTCGCTCTCACCATTACATCGCCGTCCATAGTACGGCCTCATTCGCCCGATCAACAGTACCGATCGCACAGGATTGTCATTGCCCAGAGGCTAGACTAGGCTAGGCCAAACGCGGGGTCAGGGGCTCTCTATTAGGCATTCGCTCTACATTGGTTAACGCGGTTCAGCATGTCAAATTCTGCGGATGACCCGCGGGCGTCTCCCTGGCCTCATCATATCGCCCACATCCACCCACTCGGGCAGCACTCGGGCCTCCCAAACCGCACCTGCAGTCAGGCCTCTCGCAATCACCCTCAGGGTTGTGCGTCGTGGGCGGGCGCGCTGTACTAGCTTGCGATAAGTACTAGTGGAAACCCATACATTCGGGAATCGGCACGCCTCCCAAGCGCACGTATGTCGAGCGCGACAAATGTAACTCGGATGCGAAACGTATATGCGGGGAATGCACTCCGTCTTAGGTTCATCCAGTCCACCGTGCAGTGTCCTCTTTCTTGGCCAGTGCCCCGAAATCGAGCTTGACAGACAGGGGCGCACAACGCCCCCGCGCGGTCGGCAGAGCCACTGTATGATGTCTGCATCGATGCCGAGCTACAGCATGCTGCGCGGGAGAGCCGATTACACGGCCTTGAGCTGGGCGGAACGGTGGCCGTCGCCTGGAGCAGCACCAGCGCCCTCATCTGCATCGGCCAACAATCTGTATTCCAAGCCTGGCGCCACTTCTTGGCGTCCCCGGTGCGTCATGGCCGCTGCGTCTTCTCTTCGGGGGTCTTATCGCCCGGCGCGCACGGGCCACGTTTGTCTTTTTTTCTGCGGTGGCTGGGGCGCAGTGCCCCGAACAGACTGCCGCGCGCCCCGGTGGCTGCCAACCGAGCGATCGATATATAATCTGCCCCGCCCCGCTCGCCCTTCCTCCACGGAACAACGTGTCCCCCGTTCGCCCGTCACTGTCGCCCGTTCCCCAAGTCTGCCCCCTCAGACTGAACGTCCGCCGACCAACGACCGCCCTCAACCGAGAAGATGCAGACTCGCCTGTTGTTCGTCCTCCTCGCGCTCTTCTGCGCGCTCCTCATTGACGTCGCCGGCGCTACCCCCGTGCGCGTCGTCAATGAACGCCAGGCCGCGAAACGCTCCCTCAAGCAGTTCGAGATGAAGCGTCGCGACGGCTCGACCCCGGCCAGGTTCGCGAAGCGTGGCGAGCCCTCCGGCGTGTGGAAGCGTGGCGAGCCGTCGCAGGTTGCGAAGCGTGGAGAGCCCTCTGCGGTGTGGAAGCGGGGTGAACCCTCTGCTGTTTGGAAGCGCGGAGAGCCCTCTGCTGCTTGGAAGCGTAGCCCGTGAGTATCGCACCCTTGCACGAAAGTCCCGCGGGGTAACTGATGCGAATTGTCGATGTAGGTCGTTCGCTGCTCCTACCCCGGCGTAAACCCTCCATGTCGCAGTTCCTACCATCTAACGACGATATCTTTTTGGCTTGCATTCAATGGTGAGTAGTACGCGTCTGGAAACCCAGAACCATTGCTCACTTGCACCGGCTTTCCTTGCCATCGCCCTCAGCTTTCTGCCCGCTTCGGCGAATGATCAATGATGCTGCAATATCGCTACGCCATAGACTTTTAGACCCTATCATAGACTCTAGACCCTTACCACCCGTCCCATCCGCTGCTCGGCTTCGACCTATAATCCGTAGTCTGTTCCCTTACGCGAGTAGGACGTTCAGCCTCGGTTCCGAGCTGGTATAGCTCTCACGACGAACCTTTTGGCTACTTTACTGTATCCGAGGAATGTTCTGGCATCGCGTCGCTTCCATGCTTGTTCCGTTGTGGGACCGATGTACGACAACTTACATGACCTCAGCCTATTCGGACACTTTGCTTATCGAAATGGACCATAATGTTTACGACATTGCGCTCTGCGAACCTTGTGGCCTGCTGCTTAAAGTTGGAGCCCTCGAATTCCGAGTGCATTCGTCTGAATGCATGGTATGATCCGCATTGGTAGGTTACAGTTATGGGGGCGACGCCGCAAGATCAAGAGGCTAGGATAGATCACATCAGGACGATTTCTGGGGGCTGTAGTCACATCATGTCAACGGGCTAACGGTCTCGAGATGAGAAGACAACATACCTGTCCTCTCGTCTCAAACGCGAGCCAGTCTCCGGTGCCCGTGGGAAGGAGGCCCATTGAACGGCATTTCCACAGCCCCAGTGCCAGCGTCAGGATGCTGCACAGGACATACACGACCTTCTGGAGCGCGAGCGTCGAGAACGCCTTTGGGGGCGCTGAGCTCGGCGCGAAGGGGGCAAACGCTACGGACCCTCGTTAATCCTGGCATAAGGGGAACGAGAACGGTAACGAGGAACGTACCCGTGTTCATGGTGGCGATGTTCTTGAAGGGGCTGCTGAGGAGCATGAAGACGATGCCCATGCTGAAGATCTGCACGCCGCCGCCGGACATGTAGAGCATGAACGCCTGCATGGGCAGCGACTTCGCTGGGGCGATGGCGAAGTCCCATGCGCGTTTCGTCTTCAGGCTTTCATACGACTGCTTCGACGCGGCTTGCGAAGATTTGGGTTGCGACTTGTGCTGTTCATACGAACCCCGCTCTATGAGTACGTGTGGGACCGCGTAGGATTGGTTACGCACCGATGAATGCAGCGCACTGAAGCTTGGCGGCGGAGGCAGGTTCTTCCACCTGCGTTACTCTGCATGAGTACTCGCTACGCTCGCACTCAGCTTGGCTGAATTCTGCACTGACTTGGACGGGTCCATCACGGTTGTCGTGTTCGCCATAGCGGTCGTAGGTTACGGTATCGCAGCGACTCCTGTCTTGCTCAACTGAATCAGTCTCAGCCCCTGCTGTTCGTAGCACAGCGCTCTTGTTCGAGGCCACAATGCTGTGAGCGCAGTTGCCAGTAAGGCACAGTATGGGTGGCACTCGTCCTGGGCGGGGTAGCACGCTTTCCCAAGACAGCCCGATAACCCCCGATAACCCGGCGCGGGGTGTGATAAGTGGGGGATAAGGTCCATAAGCGGACGGTTAATCCCGGAAAAGGAATACAGCGAGGCCGTTCAGGGCAGGCGTTGTGTGCGGGCAGTGAAGCGATGGGCTGGTTGTTGTCAGGACTCCGCAAGGCAGCCTGGCCATCACTTTCGCCCGTCCTGCTCGTCGTCGGCCGCCGTCGTCCAAGCGCAGTCTCCAGTCCTCCTTACTCGCTTTTCAACAGGTGCGTCCGCCCTCGCGGCCGCTTTTCCCCCGCACGAGTAACTCCCCGCACAGGTTGGTCTGAGACCGCGCCCTGGTTCGTTTCGCAGATAGAATATCCTCGACGGGCTATCCTTGATTCTTGAAGGCTTCCGCTTCGCCGCTCAGCAGCACCCGCGCTGCGTACAGCAAGGTAAGCTGATGTTCATTTCGTAGTCTGCCACGCGACCGCACGCAGAGAAACTCCTATGCATGACAACGCGTTCCGAGTCCAAACACGCAACCCCTGGGAACCGCGCTCGGCCGATTTGGAACTGGTCTGGACCGCTGCGAGATACTGACCACGGGTTCCGTCTGTAGAACAACCTCGTACAGCGATAGATACCTAGGAGAGACATGCAGACGATCAAGTGCGTAGTGGTGGGAGATGGTGCGGTCGGCAAGGTGTGCCCCCTCTCTTTCTGGGTATGACTGACTGACTGGCTAAACGCACTGCGCCCCGCCAGACCTGCCTGTTGATCTCGTACACGACGAACAAGTTCCCCAGCGAGTACGTGCCCACTGTGAGTCCCCCCGCGCCACCACGTCAGAGCATGCTTGATTGAGAAGCTCGCAAGGTGTTCGACAACTATGCCGTCACCGTCATGATCGGCGATGACCCGTATACGCTGGGCTTGTTTGACACGGCTGGTACGCCCGCTTTCTCCCCTGCTCTGCAGCCGGCCCCCTCTGAACTCGGCGCCTTCCTCCCTTTCGCGTGTCTCCCACCCGTCCGCAGGCCAAGAGGATTACGACCGTCTCCGACCATTATCATACCCCCAGACGGACGTGTTCCTGGTGTGCTTCAGTGTGACGTCGCCACCGTCGTTCGAGAACGTGAAGGAGAAATGGTTCCCTGAGGTGCACCACCACTGTCCCGGCGTGCCCTGCCTCATCGTCGGCACGCAGGTCGATCTGCGGGACGACCCCCAGGTACTGGAGAAACTGGCGAGGCAGAAGCAGCGCCCCATCACCCCAGACCAGGGCGAGCGGCTTGCGCGGGAACTGGGCGCCGTCAAGTATGTAGAGTGCTCGGCATTGACGCAGAAGGGACTGAAGAACGTGTTCGACGAGGTGAGCCTATATCGCCCTTCGGCGTTCCCTCGCCGCTGACCCGCGCTCCAGGCAATTGTCGCTGCGCTTGAACCACCCGTGGTCAAGAAGAAACGGCATTGCATTATCGTCTAAGAGACGATCACGCCTTACGCAATCCTGCAACTCACGAGCACTCACTTCCCTTCATGCCACGGTCGCGATATAGTTCAGTTCCTCTCACTGCTATTTTTTCTCCACACTCAAATACACACATCTTGCCCAAAGCCCCCATAACCCGTACGCACCCCACGCGGTTCCGCCCCTCTGACCCTTCTCTGTTGTCCCTACGTCGACGTCTCTGGCCCCTTTCGACCATTTGTCCTTCTCGCGCGGGACGGCTCGCCGCCGGGCACAGGATGGACGAATGTTTCGTCGCGTGCTCGCCGAGCGGGGTGGTCCCGTATGTTGATTTTGCCCTTGTGTATTTCATATAGCTTTCAATTGGGTTCAGGGGGTTCTAATACCCATGAGTTGGACGACGTGTCGTGTGCGAGAAAGTCCGAGATGCATGTGGGCTGGCCTGGCATGATTGGGAGAAGGTGATCGAGTGGATGGATGTCTCGGATGCATGGTGCTTGACCACATCTTGTGCATTCCTTCCCGCACTACTCGGTGTCTACGTATTTCTGGCTGTTGAACCATGCCTGCACGGTCATGTCTCAACCAAGATGCTCTGTACATAGCTGATATCGCGCGGGGGCTGTAGTTTACTCAAAGACAGCAGGGAGGAACTTAAGCTAGGTAGGCGTACGTATACGCTGGACTGCACTCAATGTCGTTGGTAGTATCTAACAAGTACTGCCAATAATCCTGGTCAGTCACCGAGTACATACACTTCATGCGTGTCCCAAGTACACTGTGTTACGATACTTACCTATTGCTGTGACTTATATAGGGGCCTTGTGCGTGGCGTGAATATGGATAAATTACAGCTTCTACTAAATAAGTAATTTGCACATACTAAGTACTTACATGCACTCATTCCATCTTCGGCGTGAGCTTGCGCCACAATGGCGGACGTTTGCATTAATCCGATCCTTTGCTACTTACTCAAGCCACTAGTCTGGCTCCCACCCTACTCTGCCCACTCGGATTCAGGTCGCATCTTCGTTTGCGCCCTGGACGTAACGTAACAAACTTGTACCATAGATGTACGCGTAAAGCATCCTCAATGTGGACTTCTATTTGGCGAACTCACCGCTGTTTAGTGTCTCAGGCATACCCAGGAACTGAGCAAGGTTCTGCTGTAAGAACTCCGTCAAGGACAATTGTATGGGCCAGCGTTGCTTGCGGCGCGAGAATCGTTGACTCACCAGGATACTATGGTCCGTCCTCGTGTAGCACAGAAGATGTGCAGTCGGCTCTGCGGAACAATTAGCATCGGCAACAACGTAGCTTGGCTATCTACGCTTCACTAAGATCGCAAGCAGGTGCGTCAACATACCCAACACCGGCCCAGCCTTCTCCACTATGACATCCGGACACGGTGCTGATGATGGATTATGCTTGCTAGGTGGCATCTTCGATTCGCAATGCCGGGCTCCACGAATGGTGCGCTGCTCATGCTACCGGAGGAAGACCGCATGCAGTTACAGGACCGCACCGCTGAGCAAGTTCGTGACTGGATAACCTCCAAGACGCTCGCTGTGCGGCGCTACTTGCTGAACCTGCAATCTGCATTCAACTCGACTCTCCCCGTGAACACGCTGCCGAACGAGGTTCTGGTCGAAATCCTGCGCCTTGCTTCCGCGTCAGATGATAGCGGCGCCTGGATGACGGCGGCCACCGGTGTATGCCAGTATTGGAGGGACGTCACTTTGAATACACCTGTTCTATGGACCAACATCGATCTGTCGGCGAGCCCACGCTTTATAACACTCTGCCTTGATCGCTCGCGCGGTGCAGGCCTCAGTATGCATCTACCACGACCGGAGCCACAATTGGAGTACCTCGAGCGGGCCAAGATCGACTTCTCTGCCATCACCCCCCTTCTAGATTCGCATCATTCACGAATCACGAACATCGATCTCTATATTGACATTCACCACGACAGTGAGACGAGCTCACTCTGGCAAGTACTCGACGGCTCAATACCCGCGCTGTGTTCGTTGGACGTAGAGGTGGCAGAGTCTCCTCTGCCGTGGACCCCTGGCCCTCTTCCGTATCTCCGGAGCCTGTCCTTGACTCGGGTCACACCCGACTGGACTAAATTGCCACTCTCGCAGTTAACGTCCTTGAAGCTTTGCCTCGTAGAATTACCTGAAGATGGACCCTTCGCATCTCTTCTGAACGTCCTGAAAGCATGCGCCTCCTTGGAGGCATTTAACTGCGACTTCGCCCATGAGGGACTCGGCCGACTGGACAGACGGAATCAGCACGAAGTGGATCGCATTATGTCACTACCTCGGATGCGACACATCCAATTATCAGGAAACGGGAGGGGTATCAAGAACTTGCTTGCGAGAATCTCACTGCCACGCTGCGCTCGTGCATCGCTCCAGCCGAGCTCATCAGCCTACTCCGACTCGCCCTCAGAAGATCGGCCGGTCCTCAAGGCTTTCCTTCCAACGGACACGAGAAATCTGCCCGCTCTCGGTGAGGCACGCCACGTAATGGTGTGGCATAAGCTCGAGGAGCGTCGTGACTCTGAAACCAGCCTTATCATTTACGCCGACATGGAACGCACGGAGTTCTGGGACCTGACGCACCGGAGGTCTTCGCACCACACAGTGCCCTTGGACTTCCCATTCAGATCCCCCTCAGCACCATCCCTCTTCTTGAAGCATCGTTTAACTGGCCAATGGCATATGAAGTATCGGGACGACACTGAGAAACGTATTATCGCTGAGCTTGGCAACGTGTTCTCAGCATCCGTGGAGACCCTCGTCATTCGTGGTATGGCGAATCAGGTCGGCCTCGAGACCTGGGTTCGCATGCTGGCTGCGTTCCCAAACGTCAAGTCGCTCGAGATCATGGGAGGAACGCCATGCGACTTCCCTCCTGCATTCGAGCCAACACAGACGGGGACCCCCTGCGCATGCCTGCGCGAGCTTGATCTGCGGTATAGGCTGTATCGGCCGCGGGACATACATGACGTCGAGGATATGCTCCAGGAGCTCCGTGCGGCACTACAGAAGCGCATCGAGGTTGATGGTGGGTTACGTCTGGAATCCCTCAGTCTTCTACTGGAGCGCACGGACAACGCCAAACCATTCCCGTCTACGTCTGTCATTGACAAACTGCCAGCCGGCTTCAGGGACACACTAAGAGGGTTGGAAACCGTGGTAGGGGTGTTAGTATTTAGGTGCGTTGCGGTTGAACGCGAAGAGAGCCTATGGCAGAGAAGGAGAAGAAAGTGAGGAAGACGAGGAGGAGGAAAAGACCCGAGGGGGCTACGTAGCCTGATAGCGCAGAATTCACAATGTATTAGTATGCAGTCGTAGTTGAAGAGCAGTCGTCGAGGATCTCTACAATGTCTCGTCTACAATAAACCGGTCGAAGTACAATCGCATACACAGTGATAGAGATATTTGGGAAAGCGAGGAGTGGATCACCTCCGCATGCATCACTCGACGTGGATTGGACGAGCATGATGCCTAACCCTCCTTGTGGGCGTCCCCACTCAGGCTGTGAATTCCCTCAATAGTGAACTCGAATGGGTGGCTTATGCTCCTACGGTTTGTGTGACGGTCCTGCGCCTCAGCTATTCCTCATGCATCTCGGAATTACTCCGAGTCGGTTCGGTCCGGTCACATCACATTCAATGTTGCCGTACCTTCTGACGACGACAACAGGACTGCATGTACAGGAAGAACCAGACAATTTATGATGAGATTCGATACACTCTAGATAATACATTGCTCGCAGGAAGCGACAGAAGCAAACTCAACGGCGTAGTGTGACCCGGTTATTAGCCTTCTTGCTGCGTGACCTTGCAGTAGTCCTAGAGATCTTTGGTCAGAAATGCGCATCATAATAGAGCGATTGACCGTATCTCACCGCGTTTCCAACGGGGTTCAGGGCCCAGCTAGTAAACCTGTGTGAGCGTCACTACCCAGGAGGTATCACCCAGCCACTTACTTCGGGAACGCAACCGTGACACCACCCGCACCTGCCAACGCAAACTTCATAGAAGTCGTCAGCTGCATTTTCATTAGCTTTTGTAGCCAGACTTACCGAGAATATGAAGACGAAAATTTGTGAGCCCTGTGAGTAGTTTGTGGTCAGTGAGAACCATCTCGCTCATGACAATGGCACGCACTCCGTCTACAGCGGCGCCGAACAGATACTAGTGAAGTGAGGGATGAACAAGTCATTCAAATGGACTGATACGGAGTGCAACGTACATTGTACTTCCTAAACCAACCAGCGCGGTACTTCCGGATGTAGAAGTGAGACGTTAGCCCGATCAACATCCAAGTGTTGATGTATCCGTTGGTTCCACCGGCTAGGTCACCGATGCATGCTGAAGAACATATGGGGTTAATCATGACACGTTGAAATATTGCACACAGCGCGTACCTGCTAGTACTGCCGTGTTGACGTGCTTGAGCCATGCCCAGCCGAAGCGCCTATAGATATACCAAGGAAGAATAGGCAACACGAGACCGATAACAAGACCGAGGGGAACGATGAAGTATGGGCCTCCTGGTCCGTCTAGAGCAGATTGAGTACTGCTCAGTGGGGCACAATAACCATACGTACAAATCTCCTTGCCCAAGGCACCCCAGAGGATGGCTTGACAGCGATATCAGTATGAATTCTAGCTGCCGTGATAAGCACTGATTACCATTCGCGTTGTACGACTGGATCTGTTGTCCACTCCATACTCGGGTACCCTCATTGCTCAGCTGTGCATCTTCGCGTCAATTGACAAGTCATGCATCAGAATGACTGACAGACCAGAATAGTTCGCTCATTCTGAACAACCGTCTGCATGATGACGTCTGGAAGAGATGATTAGCAATCGATAACGAGCGCAAGTCAAGAGACAGCTCACAGTTGAGCAATGCACCGATGATCGTTCCTGCCATCTGCACCGAGAATGTTACCTGCATACAACATTCAGCTACAACCCCTTCACTAGGTTCGACCGTGGAACAAATAACTGACCCGAGGAGGCACTGATACAGGGGATCTCATTAATCGCGCTTACAGTGAACCCATGGGGAGACTCACATTTTGTATACTGGCCGAGCTTAAGGTCGCTCAGCATACTGGCAGCTTGGATGAGTGATTGACTCGAGTAGAGTTCGAAGTACTGCAAACAACACTGTGAATACAACACGTGAGTGGAAATGCTCTCTTACCATGTTCCCCTGAGAGGAACCCGGGATTAAAGCCGAACCAAGGATTTGGAATAGATTCGTGATACCAGTCGACCAGCTGTTTGGCACCATTCAGTAATCCTGCTTGCTAGAACTAGCTATTGGACCTCGGTACTTACGCAGCGACAGCAGACATAGCGCCGTAAAAGGGCAGGATCATGGCAGCGAACAGGAGAGCGACAATCAACGCCCACCAAGGCAAGCTAAAATAAGAGCCGCCGTGAGCAGCGCTCATGTACTACCCAATGCCAGAGGAAACGTACCCCGAGTGCTCAGTGTAAGCGCAGACCACTAATGTACGGGATCAGAGCTCCACCCTTCTTTACCGATTTGTTTCTACTCACTAGCAGTTATGAACGCTGGTCGCGAGCGCCGTGAGCAATGACAGGAAGTATAGGCAATGTCCAGAGGAGAGGACTTTACCTCCGAGAGTGACAGCGCCGTACCACCACAGCGGAACTACGCACGACCATGCATGAGGCTTGCTCGGGTTCACCAAATATGCATCGTAACGTACCTTCCTTGTAGATCTGCACTCACATTGAATCACTGAGACACAATCAGCAATCAGGGCATGTACGCACCTGCATTTTCTGATAGTGCAGATCAGTGACGGGCTTGTTCCTCAAGCTGTCCGACAATTTTAAGTTACTAGCCGTCCGACCAAATCAGCATTGTGGAGACGTACTAGTCATAGAACGCTGTCCAGAGCTAGACATCCACTCGCGTAAGCCTCTCCCCCAGAGAAATTGTGCATGGACATACCTCCTTTCCATGCCAGAGCCCAATGTGCACGAACATCGCTCCGATGGAAAGGTTGATACCAAAGTTGTAAATCTGTCAAGCAACCTTCCGTCAATGTTCACTGACACCTCCTACGGCTTGTACACACGACAGTAGATCCACTCTGCCATGGCTGTCCAACAATCTCGTAGGCCGTCTTGTTCAGGCTTTGGTCGCTACAGAGGCATTTCCATACGTGAGTAATCGGCGCGCAGCGCAAGATCTTTTGGTACTGACGCTGTCAGGATAAGGTTCTGGTCGTAGATCGTGCCATTCTCAACTGCGTGGAGTATATTTAGAAAACGAAGTGACACAATATGGCGCCAGCGTACTCACAGAACCTGTAAGGCGGTGAGCCCCGGCGTCAATATACCACGATAACCGATGTCCTCCGAAGACTCACAAGTTCTGCGAGCGGTGTCCCCTCAATGTCAGACAACCGAGATTCCACCGATGTCAGGAACACATACCTGAGAGATGAATGGGAAGTTCTGCGAGTGCCTGATTCATGCGTGAGAATAGTCTGACGCAAGACGGGCGATTGTCCCAGCTCACCATGCGTTCGACGCGAAGATAGCGGGAAGGAGCACGTAGTTGATTGCCCACCCGACGTATGCTGGACGCAGTCAGTTCACATGCCTGGCGCCCGTGCAGTCAGGCGGCGCCAATCTACTCACTGGAGATCTGTGTCGCCAGAGGCTGGTAGAACGGCGCACTCGTGATATCTGTGAAGTCGTCGGAAACTGCGACCAGCGAGCAAATATGATGGAGACGTACTGGCCCAGTCAAGACCGAAACCCATCAAGCCCATGCCTTCGTTTCCCTCTGCGCCTCCGAAGATGTACGACACCCAATCCGAGTTGCGCGCGCAAAGACAGACGATGTTGAACGAGCCGAGCAGGGGCGCGATCCACTATATGGGTACTCTTGTTCAGCCATCCTCCGTTCGTATGCGCAGCAGCAGATATGCACACACCTCAGGGAACCACTATAGTTTGAATTTGTATGATGAGCCGCGATCAAGTACAATTGCGCGCTAATGGCACGCTGCATGAGTCACTCACCTCGTACACGAAGCTGGTCGGGCCCGCAAAGTTGAGAGTCATATCGAAGCCAAGAATTGGAGCGACTCACATCAAGAATGTGACGATCCAGAAGAAACGGAACCTGTGTGCATGCCGAGCCATCTGTCAAACGGTGACCCACAGAGTACGCTGGACCCACAAACCGTTTGCCCTGAAGCAAATCGCCTTTGCCTCGGTGCAGGACGTCGAAGAGGTTGACATAGATCAGCGTCTGCGGGTAGAGCATGGTCGTGGGGTACACCAAGAATGCGCCTAAGGAGATCTCAGTCAAGCTTCATGTGTGGAGACATCGTAGTGAAGACTACGCACGGAACATCCCCGCAAATCCGTAGCCAATAAGCTGGGAGGCGAGTAGCGTGAAGATTGCATTGCCAGGCTGATACATGTGGCGTTAGCAAGGCGAGCAGTGTGCAGGCATGTCTGTGTTAACCCACGTTGACAGTGATGCCGTAGAAGAGATCGTCGGATGCAAAGACAAAGACAGCCTGCGCTGCTGTTCTGTGTAGACCTATGAGCACTCATAAAAAGTCATCGCTTGCAATACATCATACGTACGCGGCCGTGTTGGCAAGGATCTGAGCAGCGACGTGTTCCTTGATGTCTGGAAGTGAACTTGCGTCAAAACAAGGAAGGAATCAATGTCACCGTGCGCTTACTGAACGGTCCTGGGTTCAGGAATTTCCAGAGGCGATTGCCGTTGTTCCATCGACTCCCAGGGCCTGGAATCACAGCTTCAAAGAACCGACCGATCATGTAGGCGAGTAGTTGAAGAAACAGCGCAGAGACCGAAATGACTTGCGGCCGGAATTGCTTCGCAACAAGTCAGCCATCGACTTCACGAACCGTGGTGCTCTGCATGACACTCACAAAGAGCATCCCGAGTACGGCTCCGAACACAGCCAGCCCAACGCCGGTGAACCACATGCGGAACGTATGTATCATCAGATCCGGGTCATCGTCGCCGCTGACCAGGGCCCGACTGAAGTCCTCGGCGGTCTCGAGGACCTTCTCACGGCCGCGTTCGTCATACAGCTGGGCCTTGTCGCCAACCTCTACCTCATCGACGGTCGCGCCGCTTGACAGCGACCCTGCCTTCTCGTTCGTCTCGTGCTTCTCGTCGCCGTGGTTCTCGTTGGATTCGTAATCCGGGACCTTCTCGTCAGCACGATGGTCGATGTGCGGGAGCTGCTCGACGACCTCGGCGGCGTCTTGTGCCTCCATCGGAGCGAGCTCAGGATCTAAGAGGGCCATGGCGGACTCAAGGCTGGGGTGAGCCGCGGAGTCTGTGGTCCGTCAGCAGGAGAGCAGGGAGGGCTCAGGTAAGACATGCCGTGCCACGGGGGGCTTCATATGGGCACCGGTGTGCTCGTGTGCCTGGAGTCAGCCTAACCCAACTAAAATAGGATCCTTACGCGCGAGGATGTCTCTGGAGCGCGGCGGTGGGAATGAAACCGGCAGCAGTGAGTAAGGCCCGGGTCGCGTCCCGCTCCCGCACGTGAGACACGGTGGTTGAGAAGGACGTTATCGCGAAGGATGGTGCGGAGTATGGCAGGGACGCGTGCTAGCCGGAGCATTCCTGAAGTTGATCTGCTTCTGGTGTGTTCCCGTCGGACAGTATCGCCTGGTACCAAATGGGACGAATGTCAGCAGTGACATGTTAGTCTCCCGTGGACGGCCTACTGAGATAGTAAGAAAACACGGCTTACAGTTATCTGTCTTTGTGTTTCATGTGCATTGAGATAGAGTTATTATTGGCCAGCGGCTTGAATCCTCAGGCCTCAGGTCCGGACATTGCCAACGCGTGGAGATACAATCAGACGGGTTCTTCGTGCGCCAGGAGAATATCAAGCCCCGAGAACCAGTAGACTGTATGTCGTCCCTTCGTGAGACCATTTAGCACAATTGAACACGAAGGTCCCTGGCACTCGGGCTCGGAGCCTTGAAGGTTGCGGACTTAAGCGGCCTGACTATCGGGGACTCGGACGTGAAGTGAAGAGGATTGCTCACCCAGTGCGGACGACTTGCGAGGAAAGTTGTGGGCTACTAGTATGTTGGGCAAGCGGAATACCTGCGACGACCCGAACGATAATCAGAGTTGTTGCCAGCAGTGTTTCCAAGTCGACAACCCCACCGTGACGTATGGGCTTGCACACTAGACGGAGTGTCAATCTTTTCCCAGATCGTGATGTAGGAGGCAAGCTAGACTCAGATCACTTCGAACAAGACTAGAAGTCTGCATGAAGATTATGTCGCGGAGGCAACCTACCCGTTCAACGATTCAAATTGAAGTTTGAAAACGCCTGAGCAGTGCCAGTTGAGCGCTTGAGCGCCTATGTATGGCAGCGCGCCCGATCATGATCGAAAACGCCACAAACCCGGTTAGTTATTAGCTGCGCTCAGGCTGCGCTTGTGCCGAACGCTGCGAACTCCTTCAGGACCGTCCTGCAGACCATTCAATTCCTATCCTCCCCTCTCACCTATCTGCTGATCTACTCCAATCAGTCTATCTGCCTAACCATGGCCGTGAACCCAAATGAAGACACGGAGTTGTAAGACCCCTAATAGCCTTCAAACCTTGCACCTGCTCACTCCTTCAGTCACGCAGCAATGATGCTCTCCGGAAACATGGCATCCTACCACCGCGCCCGCCGACACCACCTTCGCCTTCGCCGCCGCCCTCACCTTCACTTTCTGAGAAGCTCGAGGATTTCAGTGACGACGAGCTGCGTGATCTCGCGGAGGACGTGAACAATGACGAGACCGAGCGGATGATTGAGATGATTCGGCGGCAGCGGCTCGAGGAGGAGCGTAAGAGGACGAAGGCACGATTTGGAAGGATTTACCCGATTGGGAGGGATGACTACACGAGGGAGGTGACGGAGGCGAGCAAGGTCGTGCAGGAAGGCAAACCGGAGGGCCATGGTACGGGCGTGGTCTGTTTCTTGTATAAAGACGGGTAAGCGGGCCCTTCTCCGTCTCCTGCCTCTTCTCACCTGTGCCGCAGTATACCTCGGAGCGACCGCACCTTTGAGCACATGCGTGTCCTTGCGCAGAGGTACCCGGACACGAAGTTCGTCTCTATCGTCGGAGACAAGTGCATCCCCAACCTTCCTGACACGCGCACACCCATGATCATCATCTACCGCAACGGCGACGTGATCAACCAGATCGTCGCATGGGGCGCCGACCGAGAACGGAGGATAGAAGGTATGCAGCTCCCGTTACCCCGTCTCTCAAATCCGACTCTTCTAACGTTCGGCCATCTGCCAACCCAGAGCTAGAGGCAGTCCTCCTTCTCGCAGGTGCCATCACACCGCAGGAAATCCCCAGGCGCGAGCGCGACCGCCGAGGGGAGAGCTCTGATGAAGACGAGGACAGCGACGGCGAACCCTCTTCCAAAATGCGTTCCGCCGGTACGCGGACCAACAAAACCACAGGCAAGAACATACGAAAGAAAGAGGAAGACTCGGACTCGGACTTCGATCTCTGATTCTCTACGGTGATGTACGTACTTACGGTGAAAATAAAATGTACTATCTAGGCGAAGACCTTGCAAGGACAGTTGACGGAATGCTGCCCTTACCAGTGACAGAGTCACAGAACGGGGTCGACGGTCCAAGTCATTTGTTTGGCTCTCTCAAGGGAATGATCCGCATGAACCTTTGCGCAGCGGTGTATCTCCCCAGGAAGGTCTACGCTGTGAGTCGAGGTTCTAATACACTGTATGTGCAGTTGTGGCTTGGCGAGACGTCAACGTTGGCAGATATCTACAACTAGACGGGACCTCGGCTAGTCTGCGTCGTTGAACACCGAGAATCTCCAGCTCAGCACTTCACCAACCTTTCCAAACAATTGCACTTTCCTTACCCGCGCGAACACGACTCGGACGTCCATGTCCGCGTACTTATCTTGCTCGCATAGTGAGTACTAATTGGGCATGTGACGGCTCTTCCGCTGAACATTATGCAGACCCATAGTGGAAGTCGCGCCTTTATATCTACAACGTGGTAGTGGTAACGCGTAGCCAAACGGAAACTTCGGGACTATCCATGTGTGCTTGTGACTGATGGAGTAACTGCAGGTATTCCATGGCAGCAGCAATGTGCATAGCGAGTTAGTTGCCAAATGGTGTCACTTTTGAGCCGTACTGATGCACTCCTCTTTTAAGTAGAAGGTTATAGCCGAATAGCACATCGCGTTTCTCTGTGTTGATATCACTTACGTTGGAGGTGTGGCTTTCGAAACGGGGACAGGTAGGAAACAGAAGCATCGAGCGTCTCGGTATCTCACAGACTCCGGGGTTTTCCAGTTCACTACCTGCACAATGACTGGTTCAGTCAGGTTGGTGCGAGTTATCTCCGAGCCGAGGGTCGATGCGACGTCGAAGACTCGAGTGAGGCCCTCAAGCTCCACCGGTCAACGATCTAATTTTCAACGTTTCAATGTTCAGCATTGCAACTTGCGGTTCCTCCGAGGAGCCACTGACAATCGCATCCGACGAACAGTAATCGGCGCAACTCACTGCTTCGACTCCCGACAATTGCGTCCATCATATCCCTCACAAACAGGACGTGCCCTACGTTTCTTGGACTGCTGAGATACTAGAACGTGTGTCCGTGCTCATGTAGTACCACACCTGCGAACGGCCGCGACGCAACGGATCTGGCACGTGATGCGCCCTCCGCTGAACGAAATGCAGACCCGTAGCAGAAGTTGCGCGTTTTCACACTAAAACATTGTTCAGTAGCATGCAACTATGCAGGGCTCGGGGCTATCCATGTGTGCTTGTGACTGGTGGAGTAACTGCAGGTATTCCATGGCAGAGCAACGTGCACAGTTCGGGTAGTTGCTGGCGTCTCTTTTTGTCACAATCATGATGACTTACATCCTTCTCACTATTTCTCCTGCCTCCGCAACGGCGTGTGATGCGAAAAACAGCACTAACAGTAGCCATGTCGGGGTTTAGACTTTTTGGGGGTGCATCGTATGTGCGGCTCGAAACTCCGCTTGCTACGTAAATCCAGTCACATTGCGTAATTTCGCTCTGAGGTCTTGATCGGGCCTCAGCTGCCTAGTACTCGACAAGCTCAGGCTTGCCAATGCTCGGAAACATTTATTCAGTCAATCCATCCATTCTCGTTTCATTCCTTCAGCATGACAAACAGCGTAGGTATACTATTGATTGTGCTTGATACTACTTTTTGCGCAGAGGTTGTCGACAGTAGGAATATTGGTGGCTGGATCCCGGCCAGATTCAGCATCGCGATGCGACAGCGCACGTGACAGGTACCCGATCAGTTGAGTTCGTCGTTCAAACCATGTTCAGTCTGTCTCCTCCACCTCGACCATAACAATATTTAATACCCGCACAGGTGCGGTTCATCGTCCCAACTACTCTATTACTTTACAGTCTGCGTTTTGGATTTAATCTGGCCATGGATATGATACCTGTATCTGTTCGTCCTGTCGTTCCTTCTTCTGGGACGTTGCTCGTAATGCTCGCCTACATGCTCAACGACAACGACTCCAAGACCCGCTCCTTCACCACAAATAAGGCGAGCGCTAAGGAGCTCGTTAGCTGTTATGTCCTACCAGACCTGAAGGCACTCAAACTCCCACTTCCCGCTGAGGTGAACCTCTACAATCGGCATAGAGGTCAGCTCCTCTGTCAGTGGAATGCAACAGCAGTGAGAACATGTCTCGGGCTCTGGTCTCGCCAATTGCATGTTTTACTGACTTTATGCTACCTGTATCAGGATCACTCGATCGCGCAAGTGCAAGAGAAACTGAATCTTGTTGTCAAAGAAGGGTCTCATCGACTTCTACGCATGTAAGTGTGGTCCAACAGGATTTCTCAACCGACTCTCACAATACCCATTACCCATAACAGCCGGGAACTCGCAGTACTTCCTTGGTGAGTCGTCTCAAGAATCGTGACTAGATGTAACTGACAAATCGGTACAAGGGTTCACACTTCGAGCCTCTCAGCCGCCTCGCGTGGTGACGTGCAGGCTGCGGAACCGTCAAAGACGGAGTCATCCAAACGACTCCGATCACCTTACCCTGATGGCGAGACTGAGGCTCAGGCAAAGCGCTTCTGTCGCGGCGGCAGGACTGACGATAACGCGCTGACACAGGTCTGGCCAGAGCCTCAACAGTCTCCTGTTCCTGGTCCTGTAGAAGTCTCTGCATCCCACTTGGCAACCGCCTCTGAAGGTTCTAAACTGGCCAACGACGACTCTTGGCAGATTCTACCTGGCTCTGCGTCTCTTTCGGATAGTACGTTTCCTGAGGTCAAACCGTCTGTGCACCATCAAGCTGGGACAAACAATTCGAGCCACACAAGTACCAGTGGTGCGAATGCCATACGCGATGGAACTACTATCCCCGCTGGGACTGAGGCTCAGGCTCAGGCTCACTCAAGCAGCACTCAAGTGGCTGGCGATACGACTGCGACCTCTCTGACTAGCGGATCATGTGGTGTATCTTCTGGCCTTGCCACGAACTCGACGGCTAGCTCCGTTGCATCAGGCTCTGGGAACACTCATCTTCTGCCGCGACACACAACATCTATGCAGTACTGGGTGTTCCATGTGAACACGAGCCCTGCCACCACCTCGCATCGATGGCTAAGGGGTGGAACAACCGGCTGATCGACCTGCTCGCACAATTAGGCGCGAAGGAGGAGGAGTGTACACGACCATCGCGAGCGCTGACCGACTTGGAGACGAAATTGGGTGGTAAGCAACGTTGGCCCTTTGTCATATGCGTCAAATGTCGCTGAGACGGTGGCCAGTGATGGACGGAAAGTTCAAGCTGAGCAATATAATAAACGAAAACAAGAAGAAAGCGATTGCTGGCACGTTTTCCCGGATTGTGAACGATACATCGCATGCTGACATTCGTCATCGAAGACCTCAGCAACAAGATTCAGCAAGCCCATGTGGGAAGCCAAGAATTGACGACGGCTAACACAAGTCGGTACACTCTTCGCTTACTGGTTACATACGACTCGCGCTGACACCTAGAAGCCCTACGTCAATGGATCGACCACTTGCTCCTCGAGTTCTGCAGTATCGCGCCCGCAGATTACGGTGAGTGGGGTGCCGCTTGCGTTGGTGCTTAAGAAAGGCCGCTGATAATATCCAGATTACGATCGCCTCCGCATGCCAGAGAACTAAGTAGGGTTGGCCTTTGAAGATGCGGGCCATCTTCTGCGATATTACGAAGACGATCTATCCTAAGAGATTCACGCACATACTATCCCACGAAGCCAGACACGAACATTCTATCCCATGTTGGCCGTTCATTTTGTCCAATGTAGAATCATAGTCTGATCATGAGATGATCCAACGTCCTGCTAGCCTCTGTACATGAGTCGGTCGTTGGTGACGGAAATGGGATTTCCTCGACTACTCGGTTTTTTTGTGTTGCGGTCATGCTGCAGCGCGGTAGCACAGCATGGCTTCCGCGTGGCTGGTGAGAAGTTGCAGATATCTGTCGTTTGTCACATTCTTATTTAGCAAGACACTCTACTCGATACAGTGAGACACGAATATCATGGCAACTCGGGGCGCGATGGACACACCTATGATACATATGCAGGAGGCGGGTCTACAGGCCTGACAACTCCCTGCCTCTCCGCCTTCAACCTCGTCATCTCCGCGCGTAACGACTCTAGCTCCCTCCTCAGATCCGCATCGATGGGTCCGTTTGCCGCGTTGGATGACGCAGACACACACGTCGTGCTGGGCAGTGCGGACTGTCCTTTAGCGTCGGATGCCGCAGCGCTTCCGATGACTGATTGGTGTCCACGCAGAGTCGCGACCTGCTGCCTGAGGCTCTCGGCTTCGCGCATCAGGATTATGCGGTCCGAGGAGGGTATGCCCCGGCTACGCTCTCCTCTGAGTCGACCAGTGCTACCAGAGCTGGGCGTGAATCCGGGGGAGGTCGTAGTGGGCGGTGTCATATTGTTCGGCACGGATGATACCATCGATGCGTTTGGATGCTGAGCACGAAGCACGGATGCTGCACTTGGCGGGGTGGACATTGGCGGAGAGACGAACGGCTGGATTGTGTTATGATCAACCGCCGTGACACGGTAAGTCCTATGTCGTCGCCGACAATAAATGGCGAGGAGAATACAGATCACAAGAAAGACAACTCCGCCGACTACGCCACCGGCGACGGCTCCCGCGACTGAACCTTGTCAGATCGTGAGAAGCATGCACGAGAGAACTCAAAAACACCAGCGGACCTTGGCGACGGTGAGTTTGATCTACGACTGCATCTGTGCTACTCGGGCTCCCTGTGCTTGACGTCGCTGTGCTTGACTGCGTCGCAGATGAGGTACTGGACAGGCTTGTCTCGCCGTCATCAAAGCTTTACGAGTGTCAATTGTCGGCTTGCAGGGAAACAGTAGGCCAGTGTGGACTCACGTGTATATGGCCCGGTCGAACAGTAGGAGGGACGGCTGAGACCCCTGCACCGCCGTCATCACCAGCGTATGCGAGTTGTTGCTGAGCCCCGTCTGGCCAAAGACGGTGACATTGTAGACGTATTGAGCAGCGGTCGGATCCGGAACATGGGTGTAGGTACCAGCTTCGCGACTGTCCAACTCGATGCTAACGTTGGTGAAGATGGTTATGCCTGTTGTAGCATTGTTGACCAGGATACAGCTCATCCATATCGCGGTTCCTAGATGCAATGAAACTCGATATCGCGAGGGCGGAAGATGGTGTAGACCACGCACCTGTGAACTGTATTGTTACATAGTGGCCAGAAGTACTATTCGGATTGTTCGAAGTCGTGTCGTGCCATGTCCCTGCATAGGCCTCGCTCTTGCTTGGTTGAACTGCACAGCCAGAGCATCCCTGACCAGGGTTCCAGTTGCTGGTGTAAGTTGGTAATAAACCGGTCACCAGATCCCCGTAGGTGTCGTCAATTGTCCTGTTGACCTGACCAGCGGAGACAAGCAGAGAAAAGAGTACAATGGCGAGCAAGATACGTTGCGCCCGTAGGCTGAGAGGGAAACGTGGCGGAAGCATCTAGCTCTCCAGGATTGAGAGGAGAATCCGGAACGGGAGGCGCGCCCTAGACTGTATCGCGTTGCCAACTGACTATGATGTTCTGCGCGCGAAGATGCATTGGCACAGAAATATCGACTGTCCTCCGGCGCGGACCCTTTCAAACATGTCAGTGTGACGCCTATTACAAACAGCTTCAAATATACGTACCAAGCTACCTATGCCTTCTGACAGATTAGTTGACTTCGACGCTTTATAGATGCGTTGGAAGAACATTAAGAGCATCAAACCCATTGCCTCGGGGAAAACCGCACAGAACGCCCATGATGCAGTGCGGCAACCCGAAGACCCATCCATCTTCCCTGCCGAACGTCTGCGCATTTTTAGCCTGTGGATGTGCAGATGAGAACTGGCGTGTCACGATTTCCATGCCTAGTATAGCCTTACCACCGAGCACAGCCGCCCCTGTCATATGTCTGGGAAACCCAGTCCTCTTAAGGGTATCTGACTCATGCGCTGTAGACAGATCGTGATCCGGGGCCAGCAAAACACTCTGTCAATGTCATGAGCAATAAGTACTAGAGTTCAGCGACAACTTTGAAGCGTCACCTTCACCTCTCTTCGGTACAATCGTAGCTGCCCGACTCATGGCGTCTGCAGTGTAGCTCCATCTGTGCTGCAAGGAGCCGAAAGTGGTACCGGAAAGCCATCGTTTAGCTGTACTAGTTGAAAAGCGATCGGAACCGGGGACCCAGAGACATAGATGCTGGATAAAGCTAGCGCGCCGCAGTACTTGACCCCCTATCCCTTCATGGGAAGTCCTCACGATGCGTACAGAGACGTACCAAATGAGCAGGTCATAGACAGAAGATACAGCAAGCGGGGTGAGATGGCTGTGTAACACTGTTGGCGTTTCCTCCTCCATATGTAAACTATACGTTTACAACTTCTTTAGGCAGGAGCTGGTCAATAAGCGCTAGTGTCTCGGCGTACCTTACTTGCGGCAGCTTGCTCGGGCACTCAAGCTTCAAAGTTCCTTATCAAATAATACGTCTTCATGGACGTCTTTGGGAGGCTTGATATGAGTATCAATGGGGGCGGCGGCATTGGTACCCAAGTAGACCCAAGTACGCGGAGGAGCGCGGGGGGCGAAATTGTGGCGTGGGTAACAGGCTCGATCCGGCGTGGCCGGTAAAGTCAAGGGTAGGAGCGCCAAGGTCCTCAGAAATTAACCACCACCTATGCTGAACGCTGTCTGATATCCACCCTATGGCTGTCGCACTGCAAGACGTCAGCGACACCCTACTACCGCGCAAATACCAGGAGGAAATATTTGCGCGGGCGCAGCGCAGCAATGTCATCGCTGCGCTCGACACAGGGAGTGGCAAGACGTACATCAGTACGCTGCTCATCAAGTGGATATCAGCACGGGATGCCGGGTTGGGGAAAATCATCGTTTTCCTCGTTCCGAAGGTGGCTTTGGTAGAGCAGCAGGGGGACTTCATCGCCAGGCAGACCCCGCTGCGGGTCACGAAGTGTTGCGGGGCGACCGCAATCGACCTGGCGGACCGTGTGGGTTGGAAGAAAGAGCTGGGGGACACGGATGTGCTTGTCATGACCGGTATGTGTGCACTTCTGATCGCGTCTGCGAGGTCATGAGAGCCCTGGATTGGTTGGGCCACGCTCCGCTTCCCTGCCGCACTGGCGGCAGGGCTACGGAGCGTTGCACGTCGTTCTGCGCCGTTCCATTTTGGTTAATCCACGGAGTTCATGCTTGTTTGTTGCTGGATGGTGCTCACTATCAGATAGCTCAGATATTTCTTAATATTCTGACTCACTCGCACTGGAGCCTGGATAAGGTCAGCGGGTCCGAGACTTCTTTGGAATTCTCCTAATATCTTTTCAGGTGTCCCTCATGGTCTTCGACGAATGTCATCACACGCGGAAGAATCATGCCTATAACGGTATCATGCGCGAATATTTCCAGTTCTCGATCGAACAGCGTCCCAAGATTTTCGGTATGACTGCGTCGCCAATTTGGAATCCCCGTGACGCCGTCGAGTCGCTGGCGACCTTGGAGAGAAACCTCGACGCCAAAGTCATCGCGGTCCGCGAGCACGTCGATGAATTGATGGGTCATTCGCCGAGACCTGAAGAGGCAAGTAAATCCGAGGTAGTCTAACATACACAATCTGACAGTCCATACGCAGGTGCTACATGAGTATCCAGCGCCCCTGGATATGTATTCAGCCTACCCGACGTACTCCCTCTGGAACCGTCTGCACTTAGAATCGCTCCCTTCTCACATCGACATTCCCGTGGACAAGATCCGCTCGAGATACGACATCACCTACGCGAGCCTCGGTCCCTATGGCGCGGAGCTCTTTCTTTACAACGATATGAAACAACGCATCGCACAAATGCTGCTGCAAGCCAGTGGAGCCGAACGTGATTTCCTGTCATTCGCATACCCCGGGTACGGCCTCGATGACCTTCCGACATCTGGCACAATGAATACCGAGCTCCCGCCTGAGGTGGAGGATTTACAGGACGCCCTGATCGAGTTTCGCTCGTTCTTCGAGGAGACGAACGATCCGGAGGCCGAGCCGCTGACCGTTCATCTCAAATGGTGCTCGCCGAAAGTCCGAGAGCTCATCGACATCCTCTTCGAGCACTACACAGGGTCATTCCAAGGCATTGTCTTCGTTGAACAGCGTCATGTCGCGGCCTGCTTGGCGACTATGCTCCCCCGTGTGCCGCAGCTCAGCCACCTCATCAAGGCCGGACAGCTCATCGGACACGGGGCGGCTAATCTAGCCAAGTCGCAAGTTAGGGGCATGGCGCTCAGGACGCAGCAAGACATCGTCAAGATGTTCCGAGACAAACAAATCAACCTGCGTAAATGCTAATTTTTTGCATGGCGGATCATGCTAACTGATGTCTTGTAGTCGTCGCGACATCTGTCGCAGAAGAGGGTCTCGACTTCCCGGTGAGTGTACCACTGTTTGACAGGATTGACGTGGCGGCTGATCGAAGCACAGGCTTGCGATCTTGTCATTCGATTTGATCCTCTGCAACACATGGTTGGGTACTTGCAATCCCGCGGGCGCGCACGCCACAGAACCTCGAAGTTCATCATCATGGTCCAAGAGGGCCATCTCACCCACGCCGCGCGCTACAAAGCGTTCTCAGAGAGCGAACCTCAATTACGCCTCGTGTACCAGAACCGCGATTTACGTGACCACAGCCCAGAACCCGGAGAGATCGAGGAAGAGGAGGAGCGAGACGACCCAGAGGACATCGCCGAACGAGAACGCTATATCGTGCCCCACACTGGGGCTGTCTTGACCTACAATAATGCCATCGGTCTGTTGAACCATCTCTGTTCGCTGATACCTCACGACAGATTCACTCCCGTCCATCTCCCGAAGTACACCGGTGACTTCAATTCCACCCTGCAGCTACCGTCAAGCCTGCCACTGCCGCAAGAACACCTAACCTACCATGGGCCAGAGAAGCGCTCCAAGAAGGAAGCAAAACGAGCTGTTGCCTTCTTGGCCGTGAAGCAGCTGCACGCACTGAACGTCTTCGACGACTTCCTGTTGCCTGCCCAGAGCGGTTCTGCAGGTGATCACGAAGACGCCGACGGGCATACTATACAGGACGTCAGCCGTGTTCCATTCATGCTTGCTGACGTGCCGGTGCGAGACCCTTGGACGCGAGGCGCTGTGCAATACGTGCACGCAGTATACCTCGACGGTGTCCCGACAGCCGGTCTTGTCACCGGGACACTTCTGCCGCAAGTGGAACTGGTCTGCCAAGGCACGTATGTATCCAGCGGAGACAGCCAGCGAGTGGAATTCGATTCCAACAACGAATGGGAGCAGCGCAGGATGATGGAAGACTTCATGAGAATGGGACTATGGTGGTGCATCACTGGGAGAGGAATCACTCTACCACTGACGTGCTACCTGGTTCCGATCACTCACGATCTACAGGTCGACTGGGCCACCATCGAGAAGGCGGTCGCAAACCCTTACGGCAACCCTGATTGGTCAATTGTGGGTGAAGAGCAATACTTCCACACGCTCGTTATGAACAAGATGGAGCACGGCAGGCCAATGCTGCTTCGCAAAATACGCCCTGACATCACCCCTATGTCTGTCCCTCCACATGGCTCGCGCGAATCGGGTTTCACGACGTACAGAGACTACTGGATCCAGAAGTTCACGAGAAGAGGCGTTGTACCCGAGGTCCCTGAAGATGGCCCGTGTGTCGAGGGTCAGCCGTATCCGCGCCATGCTGCGTGCGCGTATGCACTTGACAACTCCGGTGAGGGCCTAGCCGCCCCAATGATTGTTCCACTATCCATCCTCTACCCCATGGGCATGTGTAGATGGGCAGAGATGCCCGAGGATGTCTTCCGCACTTTCCACGTCTTACCCGAACTATGTCATCGCATTACGGACGTCTACCGCGCGCGAACCGCTCGAGCAGAGCTAGGCTTGCCCCCAATCACCGACGACCTGCTGATCCAGGCACTCACCGTACCGAGTGCAAACGCCGGTTTTAATAACCAGCGCCTCGAAACTCTCGGTGACGCCGTGCTCAAGCTTTCCACCGTCGTCCATCTGTTCAATCGCTTCCCACATCGCCATGAGGGTCAACTGGATGCTCTACGCCGGACCTGCGTCTCGAATCGCACGCTCATGTCTCGAGCGCTCGAACACCGCTTAGAACGGTACCTCACGAGCGAGGGTCAGAGCATGCGTCTCTGGAGATACACCCTGCCGCAGGACGCGGATCCATCGGAGATGGCACCTCGGAGACACGTGCCACGTACATATCCGCGTAGAAGTTTGCAGGACTGCATGGAGGCCACACTAGGAGCTGCCTTCGTCACTGGTGGGATACAGATGGCTTTGCGCGCTGGCACAGCTCTTGGACTTAGTTTCGGCGGACCCTGCCCGTGGAACATGCGCTACAGCGGGCGCATCGCTGCAAGTCCGGTGGCGAGCCTCTTCAGCGATTTACAGGCAGCACTAGGATATCAGTTTCGCAGCGGGAAGCTTTTGCTAGAGGCAGTGACACATCCTTCGTTCGGGTCACTCGAAACGTCTTCGTATCAGCGACTGGAGTTTATGGGAGACGGTGAGTTCCTCCCACCTAATTGCAAATTATTACTAATAATCCTTTAGCACTCATTGACGTCGTCGTCATGAAGTACATGTACGACAAGTACCCAAAGGCCAACTCCGGGCAGCTCTCCTGGGCCCGATCTCGCGCCGTGTGCGCGCCAGCTCTGGCGTCTGTCGCCGTCAAGCGCCTCGGCCTCCACAGACTTCTCCTCGTGAATAACGTTGAATTGAGCATAACCATCAGCAAATACGTGCCCATTATGGAGGAGCTCACGGATGAAGAGATCATCCACAATGCATGGAAGCACGACCCGCCGAAGGCGGTCAGCGACGTGCTAGAAAGCGTGCTCGGCGCGGTTCTCGTTGATTCCGAATATGATTTTGAGAGGGCGATAAGTGTTGCGGAGTTTTGCATGCAGGGCCTGTTGTCGGTGCTGTCCCCGAACTTGCCAAAGGATCCCATCTCAGAGTTGATGATATGGGTTGCGAAGTCGGGGTGTAGGAAGGTCTCTTTCCAGTACGTGATTGTCGACTGAATTTCAACGAACTAAGCGCTGAACACAACTATCACACAGAAAGAGCATGAGTCGCCCGGAGATCAAACGCAACGACGGCATGTCTGTCGTCGTACACGACCAGATCATCGTCGGGCCTGTCATCGCCCCGAATCTCTCCCTCGCAAAGGGCCTCGCAGCCGAGCGCGCCAGAGCCCTCCTCTCGGATCAAAGTACCCCGCAGTGTCTGGCATGCCTATGTACCTGCGCGAAGGATGCCGCGGAAGTGGAAGGACGACAGGTCGCCGACGAGGAGCTGCCAGAAATCAAAGAGATCGACGACGAAACAGTGGAGGGCTTTGCGACCCTCGCCCGAATAATGGATGACGAGTTCAGCGGGCGCGTCGTAGAGACGCCCGAGTTGGTGAAGCATGAAGAACAACCGGAGGACGAGGACGACTGGGCCGAGCTTGAAGAGGTCGAGGCCGCGCTGGACACCGACACCGCAATGGCCGTCGACTCCGACAACGCGAGGTCCACGGCCACGCCGCCCGCGCCCGTCGTCGAGGTCACGAAGGCGGAGGCGGAGAATGACGCGAAGGATATGGACATGGATATCGAAATGAACATGGACCCCCGGAGTCGGTCCTGACTACGCGTGCCATGCATGCACGTCGCACCACCATCAAGTCTCCGCCCCGCTACCGCACGGCCGTCGCGCTCCCCGCGGTCCTCGACCCGAACGTTAGGAAAGTGTTCGGGTCGAGGACCGCGGGGGGCGCGACGGCCGCGCGGTAGCGGGGCGGGCACTGGGTATGTGGCTTGTACGTATCGCAGGCGAGCTCATGACTACTCGTAACGGGACAATCATCTTGAACACGCATCACACTCATGCACTTAAACTTTTCAACGGGTCGGCGCCCTCCCACGGGTCACCGTCCTCATCGGGGATATTCTGACCGATGTGTCGTTTCTTCCTCCAAATACCTTCGATGAGGACGGTGACCTGTTGGAGGGCGCCGACCCATTGAAAATTTCAAGTGCGTAGGGTGCTGGTGTTTCCCAATTGGTACTGTCTGCAGAATTGTGCTCTCGTCGTTCCTGTGTAACAACAGATTGTCTCGCCTCGCGCGATCGATACGGTTTCTTGATACCTGTGAATTGTAGCCTCCCCATGTATGCCTACCACCGATCTCTGATGTCTTGTACTGAAACCTATGTTCTACAATGTTATGTATCGTATCACACGTCGCGCCGGATGACAAGTCTATCAAAATGGATGATTGCTCCGCACCCTATTTACGGTGTGCCTGATGCGCGGGTGACTACCAGTACTATGGCCGGGCGGCACAGATAAATGAGAGGTGCAGTAGCGGTGTAAGGTTCAACAACTAAAGGGCGCTTGATTAGTGACAAGTCTGTCGTGCAAAGCGGAAAAGCGTATGCTGGGAGAGAAGCCAGGGGGAGATTCAGAACAACCGGGGGTATACTAGTCTGTGTCCTTTCGCCTCGAAACATGCTCGCACAACGTCCACGTCCACGTCTACACGCGCGTAAGACCCGCATGGCTGCCTTCCACCCGCAGCCCGCAGGCATCTAGGGAATGCGGAGAGGAGTGCACACGGCTCACTGCCCGCCCACCTCCGCACCGGCGACCACGAGGCCGCCATGCCTACGACGGCCCGGTTGAGGAGCTCGATCTGGTTGCCCGTCGCGTTGGCGCTCGAGGACGGCGCGCACTGCTCGAGCTCCAGCGCTGGAGCTCGACCACGCACTGCTGCTGCTCCAGCTCGACGAGCTGCTCCAGGAGCTGCTCGACCACGTGCTGCTCGAAGTGCTCGGGGGCGGCGTCCAGGGCGTCGAGGACGTCGTGGGGGTCCATGCGTCGGAAGTCGTGGTGGGCGTCCAGGAAGTGGAAGTCGTGGGGGGCGTCCAGGGAATGGAGGGGGTCGGGGGCGTCCATTGGGAGGACGAGGACGGGCGGCGCCGGAGCCGTACGACCACTCGCCGTAGATCACGCCCGCGCCTTCGTCGGCGAAGTACGTGAAGAGGCCTTCGGAGAGGTCGAGGCCGCCCTCGGGGCAGCCTGGGCACTATGGAACGGGAGATATGCGTGCGTGTCGGGCTGAAGACGAATGCGGGAACTTACCCTGTCCGTGATCTGTGCCTGAGCCGTCTTGCCGTTGTAAGAGAGGGTGATCATCTGGTAACATTCGTTGCTCGCGTCGTAAAGCTGGAAACGATGGCCGTGGTCACTTTTTGTCCAGGAAGTGCGGTAACGGGCAACATACAGCAGAGTCCAGCGCCACGATCTAACAGCATAGAGTGAGTCCCGACGTACAGAGGCTCTATGTCGGTGCACTTACGAAGTCATTGGGCACATTTGTGGTTCCACACGCACCCCTTCACAGACGTGTCAGTGCCCATGTCCGGATATCACATCGGCGGTGCTCACAATCCGACGGCGTAATAAGTGAAGCGCGCATTCGAAACGATTGCTGGCGCTTCTCCAACGCGACCGATGTGTTTGACGAGCTGAGCTCGACCGATGCATTTGACGCGCTGTGCGCGAGCTCATCGTGGCGACGATGCATGTCCATGCGTTTGAAATGGCCAGCGGACACGAAGGGTGCCAGGGCCGAAAGCAGGGTGATGCCGAAAAGGGTCGAGCCGAACATGATGATTATATGAATGGATGAGTGGCTCGCTACTTGTAGGTCGGTGGGCGTTGTAGTTTTGTGGCTTTTGGGTTAAGGAGTGTGGGGGAAGCGAGCGGAACGACGCAGGGGAAGGGCGTCGGGGGAGGGGATGAGGAGAGGAAAATGAGAGCTCGGGTAGGGGCGAGTCGAGGCGCTCTCCAAAGGGCCCGTCGCCTAACGACCCGCCAAGCCCGACCGCCACAACGCCCTGCCTGATCCGGTAACTCTCGTGGTTCATCGCGCCCTCGTCGGTGCGCCCGTAGTCGTCGTGCTCGAATGTGCGGGACTATCGTGCACGTCTTTCGGTTCTATCGAATTCATTTGGTTCGGCCTTGCAGTATCGGAAGGGTGGCCCGAAAATTGGAAGCAATCAAGGTCGCGTAGAAGCGGCGTACCGACTGGAGGAGTCCAACTGTGAGGATATCCGTAGTACTACTATCTGACGAATGCGGTCTCACAATCATAAGTTAGGGCGACCAGCCTGGCTAGATACGCCAATTTTATCGTCGCCTGTGACGGCGTCAGGCGATATTGGCTGCCGCGACTGAAAGGACAAGGATGTGAGGGAAGATCGATCCGTGACAACATTCGAGTGGTTCAGAATGCCATGTTTCTTGCGTTTGTTTCGCTCCTACTGGGTTCAAGATAAACCCTGGAGACATCTGTCTAGCGTTGTAGTGCATGATGTAGACGGTCTTTCGAACTCCGATAACAGTCGTCATATTCATGAAACACTACATTGTACAAGCTGCACCTTGAGAAACCCTAATGAACACCATAGACCACGTCGCGGAGATAGTCGTCTCGAGTCTTCGTAGCTTCAGACCCAGTTAGCAGCCTCGGCGAGGCCGCTGAGCCCGACAATAGCGAGATTGACCCGGTTCAGAGTGCCCTGGTCAAACGCCACAGTCGAAGCCGGAGTCGCCGTCGCAGAGGATGTCGCCGAGGTCGTGACGCCAGCCAAGGTACCAGAGACAGAAGCATACGGGCTGAAAGTCATAGTCGCCGTGCTGAAGCTTGAGTAGGCCGCATAAGACTCGGGGGCGCGGTAGGTGGTCGTGACCGTGTGTGTCGGGGTCCATTGGGTAGTGCTGGGCGCGTGTGTGGTGCTGTGTGCGGCATACGGGGTGTAGGCTGCTTGGAGGTCGGCCGCTAGCTGCGGCTTGCTGCCATCATCGAAGTCCCAGGAAGCGGAGAGGACACCTAGGCCGAGGTCTGCCAGGAAGCTGAATAGTCCGCGGGAGAGGTCGAGTCCGCCCCAAGGGCAGCCGGGGCACTGCAACGCGATTATCAGGTCTGAGATGAGTAGTACACGTATTAGACGCACCATGTCGGTGACCTTGGCCTGAGTACTTTTGCCGGCGTACCAGATTGTGATGGTCTTGTAGCAGTGCGCGCCGTTGTCCCATTGCTTGATTGTTTATGAGCGCTCGGACCTGGTTCAAGTACCTGAAAAAGGTAGACTTACAGGAGCATTCAACGCGACGACCTGCACGGTTTCAGCGACTTCCAGACACCAACAGAATGACCGCCAGACATACGAAGTCATTGTCCGAATCATATCCACCACACGCGTTCTGTCCGGCGTCGTAGTAGGTCAACCTCGCTCCGTCGACACGTCTCTCAAGACTCGTAGTATTTTGTAAGCTCATAGACCTCTCCATATGCCGCCTCCATGATGCGCCATGCTTCGACCTGGGTGTCCCCGAATCCAAGTGCCCAAGCCCGAGACCCAGAAGAGAGAAGAAAACGAGTGTGCCGAGTATGGAACGATAGTGCATCCTTGATCAGTGTTGTAGGTAAAGACAGGAGGTCGGCGAGGGACTGGTCGACGTTGAAGCCAGGACACGAAGAGGCTCGTGAGGAGAGGGTGAGTCGAGACTGTTCAGTGTTCGCGCATGGCCGTCTCAAACCAAACCGCCAGTGGCCATGCACCACAGGCCGAGACTGGGCCGAGACCACCGTCGGCGATGTTAGCCAGGCTTATGTAAGCTTCACAGCGCTCTATTCCGTGAAGTCCTGAGTTATTGAAGTAGCCAACATACTTACTTGGTGGAATGATCAGACCCGGTATGCATCCTCAACCTACCCAGTGCGACAAGAAAAGGCCATGTCTCGGATAGTGTTGTACGACAAGTACTAAGTAGCAGCATATTGACGTTACGCATACGCAGGGGGTGGGCCAACGAGTCTGATCATCCCCTCATTCTCCTCCTTCAGTCGTGCCATTTCCGCCCGCAACCATACCAGTTCCCTCTGCAACCCATCATCAGCATCTGTGTCCGTCGACTTTGGTAGCGTGGGCGCCTCAAAAACTGGTAGCACGCCCTCGAAGATCGACCGTTCGGCACGCAGGTTCGCAACCTGCTGTCTGAGATCCTGAGCCTCGTCCCTTGGGCCCTCGTGGCTGGAGGGGGGCGAACTCTGCGTGGCTTCTCGCCGAACGGCTGGGTTTCACTTCTTTCGTGAGACTGGCGCGGGCGATATGAGAGGAGCCCGGGGACCTGCGCTCGCCACGGTCGCTCGAGCCGCCGAGTTACTGAGTATGGACGTCGCTCCGAGCGAGTTGCGGGCTGGGCACGTAGCTTGTAGCGCGGACGGTGCGACTGGTACTTCTGGGCTTGGAGAAATGGAGATTGGATAGACGGCTTTGTACTCGGTCTCCGGGGCAGGGTGCACTTTCCGTCGTCGCCGGTAACAGATCGCGAGGCAGACACAGATCGCGACAAGCGCGACACCGCCGATCACTGCGCCAACAATGACACTAGCGAGCGAAACTTGACAAATGGTGAGAGACATCGCAGGCAGTGGTAAACTACAGTAGCTCACCATGGTGGCCAGATGTAATCGCTATTCCTATGCTAGTCGGACTGTTTGTAGCAGTCGACGATGCAGTGCTCGGTGATGAGGATCCTGTGGTCCTCCGCGCAGAAGAGGTATCCGACGAACTGCTCCGGCCACTTTCAGGATTCGACGAAGTTGGCTGGCTTTTCCCAGCCTGAGCATCCACAGCGCTCGACGAAGTTGTTTGACTGGTCGGAGGGCTTTGTGACGACGACACTGTGGTCCTCCCGGGTAATGATGGAGACGTGTCCGGTGTAGCTGGCGCAGTGGTACTCGGCGAGGTTGTTGGGGAGTCGGCATCCTCAAAACTTTCAGCATATGTTGAGTGTGTGGTCGCAAGGCGATCATAGGGTAGAACAGGCTCACGTGTACATGGCCCAATCAAACAACACAAGTGACGCTTGAGATCCCTGCGTCGCGTTCATCAGCAGCGTGTGCGACGCGTTGCTGAGACCCGTCTGACTGAAAACAGTGGCATTATACACATATTGCGCGGCACCAGCACTTGTATCCGGGTTATGGGTATATGTACCAGCTGGGTCGCCGTCCATCTCGAAGCTGATGTACGACGCGATAGTGACATATGGACTGCCGGAGTTAACAAGGATGCAATACACCGAGATTGCCGTTCCTATGCACAAAGTCATCTCATGTTCCTTCCAAGTAATGAGAGGGCGGATGACGCACCCGTGAATTCCAGCGTTACAGCGTGACCCGTAGTCGAGTTCGGGTTGTCCGAAGTTGTGTCGTGCCAAGTGCCTCTGTATGTCCCGCTCGGACTCGGTTGGACTGCACACCCAGAGCACGTTTGCCCAGCATTCCAATTGGCACCATAAGTAGGGAGGACGCCGGTCACCGAGTCCCCGTAGGTATCGTCGATTGTCCTCATAGTCGACCCGGCGAAAACGAGAGACGTGGGAAGAGCGACGAGTAAGATGCATGCACGTACTAGCCATGTACAGAGACATGGCAAGGACATTGTCCTGGAAGATATGCAACGGGGGTACGAAGTGAAAGGGCGTATCCTGCGCTGCACCGCATTGCAGAAGGCCCCCGACCGCAACATCCTGGGCGCACAGATACACTGACAACAAGATATCAACTATCCTGAGGCATGGTAGCTGATAAACGCATCTTCATCTGATTCTTGGAACGATGAACAATCCGACTGGCACGTACCCTGCTACGTCGGCGCTCCGCCAACAAAGGTCCACTGGTTGTAACTTACTGTAGAAAACGCCAGCGGCAGCAGTCTATGCCTCTATTGAGCAGTGCGAAGGCATCAGCCTGTGCGTCTGTGTGTCCGTGCGAATCTATCCTGAGGCTACTGCGGGATGTTGCAGTCAGCGTCAGTAGACATGAGTGACAAGTACAGCCCCGCCTGTCAACGTGCGACGGACAGGCATGGGAGTTCTGGGAAACCGCAACAAGATTATGTACGGCGGGAGGCCCGATTCCTCCCAGCCGCTACTGGGGTCTGGGTGATCTGCATCCACAAGACCTGTCGCATTTGCGCCTAGGACTCCAGTTGGCCGTACGTACTTGAGGTGAGACGATAGCTGAACTTGGAGGTTCGGATCGACGAGGTGCAAAGCCTTGAAGCCCGTTCACGACTCGGATCTCAGATGTCAAATTTAACAACGTTCGATTTGCGAGGACGAGGAGGGGTCCATAGCCTTGAAACTTGAAGCTTTACTCTTGAGCTTGACTCAAGCGGCCTCGCGGCGACGCGAGTCGTCGTAAGAGGTTCAACTGAAAGTACATGGTACTGGTAGTGGTACAAGCGCGCACCCGGGCTTGCGAAACTCGCGTGAGTACTTATCTACTGACGCTGAACCGGTAATGCAATCACGTTTGCATTACTGTCCTGCACCCGCAACACAAAGGGTTTTCCCATTTTAACCTGCTAGACTTAGTTTCATACATCTTGAGCACACCCTTAAATATTTCAAGGCCAGAAGGAGGGCGGGAACATGTCGTCTGCACGTCTGCAAATGAGCGACTGTGTTCGCCCGCCAAAACTGGCGCTGCAGAATAGGCGCTGAAATCGCACCTTTCGATTTTTCCTGAGGTGCACAGAGCAGGTAGCTCTTAATGCGTACGAGAGAATAGTAAGACAGCATGTGGCGACATGATGCACATTTTTTGGTGCGCACACGGAGGAAAAAACCCGCCAGTTTGCATTATTGTACCGTTTGCATTACCGGTTCAGCGTCAGTACAGCAGATTCGGAAAACCTTGTCCGACGCGCCCCCGCGCGTGAGAAAATTCAAATAAATCAAGAAAATCACGAAAATGCGGAAAAGTCTAGGAATCGCGATACACGTACCGTAGCCACTGCAGAACACCGTGTACACCCTGTTACAGGTTCGGGGCGCATGCGGCATGTCTGTCGAAGGCAAGTCGAGGGTATTTTTGAAGGTTGTGCAATGGTCGACGTGGCGGGCGCTAAAGCCGACTCCCCAGGGAGCATCCACTGCAAAATGCAGCTGTGGGTGTCATCGGGTGCTCGATATGGATGCGTACGGAGTACAGCTGTACTGATGTAGTTCTCAATGTAACAGAGGCAGTAGCTTGTGGGACAATGATAACCAGGAGGACTCGCCGCCTGGCGCTCAGCCTCAGTTACTAACGGTACAGTGCCTGGCAATTTTCAACTTCAAGTCGAAGTTGGGCCCGACATCGGCATGGGCACAGTATCGGATTGTAAGTAGGCACCGTATGGATATCGGAGCGATATTCGAAGAAGCCGAGACCTTATTCAGCCCTGTCTCAGTCAGTGACGAAATTCCTGTAGCCTTGAAGCTTCATGGCCAGCCGGAAATGCAAACTTGAAGTCGCGGCCTCGGGACTTCTGGTGAAATAACACAGACTCTCCCTTATTGAAGAGAACAAGACTTGAAGATATAACCTGAGTAGGCCATCTCAGGGCGGCACTGGCAATGCGAGCACTTCGGAGGCAAGTCTTTGACCTGGCTGCCCGTCAAATGCACGAATGTCTTCCTCTCAGGTTGTGTCTATCTAGTAACCATGTCTCCCTGTCATCACGCATACTCTCCGGGTCATATCGAGTACCCACAGCGGTGTTCTGCAGTGGATGCTCCCTGGGGAGTCAACTTTAGCGCCCGCCATGTCGACGCATCGCACAACCTTCGAAATCACCCTCAACTTGCCTTCGATAGACATGCCGCATACGCCGCGAACCTGTAACAAGGCGTACACGGTGTTCTATAATGGCTACGGTGCGTGTATCGCGATTCCTAGACTTTTCCGCATTTTCGTCATTTTCTTGATTTATTTGAATTTTCGCACGCGCGGGGACGCGTCGGACAAGGTTTTCCGAATCTGCTGTACAAGATCGTAGCAAACCGAGGCGCCCACCGTGACGCCACAGACACGCCCTTCATACTTGCAATTGACGATCAACCCGGTCAAAATCTCATACGAAGACCCTCCACGAGCTCAAAGTGATTGAAGGCTCTTGTCGAACCGAAATATCGGCATACAGCTGACTCCTCTGGGCTGCACCACCGTGACAGCTAGCTTCGTGAAATACCATGGGAAACCTACCCGACGGTCACAGTCGTACCGTCTCAGCCTCCACACAAGGTGACTTCTCTATCCCTCACTACCAGGGCATCGATTACTCAGGCTCGTCATGATGTTGACACTGAATTTTCCTGGGCTTCTGTTTTAGACCTCGAACTTGTGCGCGACGAAGAGCTCTGGTTTCCGGACGGAAGTATCGTTCTCGTCGCCGAGAGGCGCGCATTTCGTGTATATCATGGTATCCTGTTGCGCGATTCTTCGGTCTTCAGCGACCTGCTGTCTCTACCTCAGCCAGAAGACGTAAATGGGATAGATGGATGTCCTCTGGTCAAGCTGTCGGACTCTGCGGAGGACCTCCGACATTTGCTACGATTTCTGTTCAATAGGAGGTGAGCGCTCAGATCCAGCCTTACATGCTTGGGCTGTTCTTCAATGTGGACTTTGCGCCTCAGATTTTTATGCCCGCGGGAGAACCCATCGCATTCTCCGCTGTCGCAGCCCTCGTTCAACTGGGGCATAAATATCAACTCGACATCGCGGAAGCTGAAGGCCTTCGACTGCTGAAGACGGTTTTCACAACGAGCTTCCGCGACCAACCGGATATCATATATCGGGGCCTCGATTCAAGTGACCGGCCGCAAACCGTTCAGTCCGTCGTTCGGTACCGATATCGAGACGCAATCACGGCCGTCAACCTCGCTCGACTGACTGGTGAATGGAGTATCCTGCCTACCGCGTTCTATATATGCTGTCAGCTCAAAGCCGAGACACTTGTGCTGGGAAACCCTCGAGCCGACGGCTCGAAGGATTGCCTGAGTCCGAGTGACCTAGCAATATGTATCGATGGAAAGAAGGGCTTGATGTATGCGCATGCTGCGGGAGCGCACGAGGTCCTCTACCGAACTGTAGGGTTCATTGGACCCAACGGCTGGTACGCCGATTGCGAGAGCGGAGACTGCAGAGATCTCCGGGATGAAGTCTTTCCCAACATCATTGATGCATCAAGGTTTGGGGAGAACGCACTCTGGAGCTGGGAGGAGGATATCATTGAAGAAGATTTCTGCGGCGTTTGCCAAGCATGTCTAGTCGCGGAAGCTAGGGAGCAAGTGCGTAGGGTTTGGTTGCAGCTTCCCGAATATTTCGGACTCGATGCTGTTTCTTGGAAACAATTAGCAGACCTTGATGCAGAATGATGAATCCAGGCAGGTCGTCTTGCTTCTCGTGCAGCTGCATCTATTGGTCACTGAATGCCGCAAAGGATAGTCGGTATTCGCAGTTTCCATCATGATCGCAATGCTTCCACGGACTACAAGCACCATCGTGATCGCTCAAGGGATGGCTTAAGTGTGTATTGGTTATGCTCGGTCGCCAGTGGCTCACAGCGTGAGTTCCATAGTGATTGACGTCAATTTGTCCTCAAGGAATCATGTCAATGGAAGATCGGTGTCGTAGTATCACTCCTTGGGTACTAGCGAAGCGGTGCTACGGCACTGTACATGCTATACGCTGTGTTCGGCCCTATAGGCCTATTCGTCCTGGGAACCTGATCACTTAGACCGCGAACTCAAAAAACAACACATACGGACCGACTCCCGGCAGCGATGTGAACGCATTCTTGTTAGCTGACAGGGTTGTCAACTTCAGGTCGCAGACGGCCAGGGAAGTTCGTTCGGAGCTCGGAGCACGCACCATCATAATCTCACCGCGCTTCGCGGACAGCTAACACTTTGGACCTTTGTACTCGCCGCCGTTGCACACTGTATTCACTTGGCAGCTACCCGCAACGCATACTCATATAACCGGTACCGGGCCCTTCTTCTCGCCCGTCCTATCATCTCTTCATTCTTACACCCATGCTCGCTGGGCACCGTCCACGCTTTTGCGGTGGCCGTAGCGTCCAGCGTCACACTTTCAATGCAAGTACGGGGTATTGGATAATGCCCTGGCTCTTCTCAGCGCCGCTTTTGTGTGTATCGCCTTGATCTAGCCTCCAGTCTCGCCCACCTTCCTGACGCAGAGGGAGACCTTTCCACATTTTCTGCACTCTCCGTCAGACCGTTGATCGTGCGCCGATCGCTGTTGGCCGTCGCCTCACCCGCGCGTCGCATCTGTCCGCAGATGACTCGGGTTCTACCACCTCCTGCGTACCATGCTACGCTGTTGTTGAACCTTGCAGTCGCCATCATGATCACAGCTTACCTCGCAATATGTTCTGCGACTCTTGTATATACAAGCGTGTCAGTGATGCTGATTCCTGACTCGGACAGTACTCGGCCTTCTGTGAGGAACAGTGTATCCGGATCGGCGAGACATAGTAGACTCCTGATGGCATGGGGCTCAGTTCGGCACGTCGCGACCGAGCACATGCGTCTGAGAACCAGAGGAACTGGAATAGCCTGGTTAGAAATGCAATAGTGAGTCTCGGCTAGTCATCATTGGTATCGTCCAAGACTGGTGACATAACGTGGATCTCCAAATGAGTAGATCCCGGCATAGCTAAGAAAACCTCCTCCGGTAGGCCAGAGTATGTCTGTTTCATTCCGAGCGTGAGTAGTAGGAACAAGACAAGCTGGGGCGAATTGAACCACTTTACCAGTAGTATGCAGGAGGTACGTCCCTGTGCCTATCTTCTGTCTCCGCCTGCAACCGTGCCACCTCTGCCCTCAATGTGGCTATTTCTGTCCTCAACTCTTCTTCAACGCCGGCCTCCATCGGTCGGGATAATGTAGCCGTTGAGCGTCGCAAGTTGCCTGCCGATGGTGCTAGGACAACATCGACATTTGGGCGATCGGCGCGTAAAGTTTTGAGTTGTGTCTTGAGCCCTTGTATCTCGCGCACAAGCCCATCGTAGTTTGAACGGGAGTCGGTCATGATAGGTGGTGTCACGCTATCTGGCATGGTTGTAGGGAAGAGCGTGTTTGTAACCGGAGTAGGGAGCAAAGTGGGGGCGCCTGGTTGTTTGGGTTTGGGATCCTGCAGCGACACGAATGGTGTGATTGCTGTCTGATTCATCTCTTGTACATTCTGCGTTCTCCGGCGCCGCCGAGAGTAAATCGCGAGGCCAAAGCAAAGCACGATGAAGGCGATTGCGCCGAGCACGCCCCCAATGACACCCGCAGATGTACCTTCAATCTCCGTAATGAGCAATAGTGCCGGATCAACCAATGAACAGTCACTAGTTATCACTTACCTCGGTGGGTCGAAATCAAATTGTTCCCAGAGCCTGTCGCGCTGGCAGTGCTCACGATCGCATCCGTAGATGAAGAGCCGCCGCCACTGGCATCGCCTGAGCTGCTCGTAGCGCTGTGTGTATTTGAGCTTGTTTTGACGGTACTAGTCGACGATGAGATGCTTGGCGCAGTGGAGCTTCCGAGTCCGGGGAGATGCGTGGACCATGATATGTTGAGTGCACTCGACTCGGAGGATGGTTTCGCATCGTTCTCATCGTCTTCATAACTTCAAAAGCAGGTACGTCAGCTCTTCTTCACTCGAGAAACTGTGTGAATAGACCTCACTCATAGGTTGCGTAGTCAAATAGCAGAAGCGATACTGATGTCCCTTGTACAGCTGACATCACGAAGCTGTGCTGCGTATTGTTCAAAAATGTTCTGCTGTAGACAGGTACGTTGTATTGATATTCGTAGTTGGTTCCGCTGATGCTCGGGTTGAACAAAGATGCGCTAGTTTCACCATCGAGATCGAAGGTCAGGTTGGTGATCTTGATCTCCGGCCCTTTGGATACGAAGATGCAATACACTGAAAGAGATGTCCCTGTTCCATTCGAGGTACCAGTGGTGGCGAAAGAGTGATTGCATTAGCATCAGTAGTATCCGAACTCAGGTATCGCTGGCGTACCGGTGAATGCGAACGAGACAGTGTGAACTGTGGGAGAGTTGATGAACACGTTGTTACATGTACTCGATTGTGTGTCGTGCCAGGTCCCGTTGTGCGCCTGTGATGGGTCTGGTTGGGCAACGCAAACCGAGCAACCCGGCCCTTTGTTCCAGCAGTTCGTATCGAGGTACGTCGGTGTCGCTCCGGTCACTGAGTCACCATACGTGTCGTCGATCGTCCGTAGTTCCCCCAAGACAACCACAATGCATTGAAGAACAACGAGTAACGCAGGTATGAACGCGACGCAGCCCAAGATTGGCATCATTCACGATGAGGGTGGAAGAAAGTGAGAAGGGAATCGATACCGTGCTGCGCCTCGCTATATAGCATTACATTTCTTGGATTGATAGATGCTAGTCACCCTAGTATGATGAATAGCATGGCGAACACTTGCCTTAAAGCGGCGGCTATGCCCGAAGCAGGACTTGTGGTGCCTTCCAGGACACCGTCTTTTGACAAATTGCCAGATCATTACGGCAGTGCATCGATCGCGAGCGCCGCCTTCGAAGTGACTACACATGTACATGGAGGCTGAGATTTCCGTACGTGTTCATTGTTTGTTCGTCGTTGACAGGTGAGGCGCGCCGGGAACTCGAGAGGCTATGTAACACTATAAGTAATCATGTAAGTATGGGCCACAATTTGAGGGAGTTGTGCGCACATTCAAGCATTCTGCATATGCTCAACCACGAATATGTAGCTTCAGCCCTAAGTTCGGTAATGACCGTGACTGTGATTAGACGATACCTGCGATACTGAAAATCAACTCCACCTTGGGTTGGTCGAAGAAGCTTGAGAGAGTTGGCTCCTGGTCCTGAAGCTCGCAGTCGAGTCATTTCGAAGATTTGAGACAGCAGGTCGCGAGTCTGTGCGCAGAGCGTGCGGTTTTCCACTCAGGCGTGACAGCAGGGATCACGTCTGCATTATCCGGGTCCCCCGATGCACGGGTCGAAGAGGGGAGTGGCATTGTTGTGAGTCGACATTCCACGATTTAAGAAAGAGGGGATCATGAAAAGAATCGCTCGCTGGCTTGTCGACGCGTCTCCTTCTTAAGCCGCATAACATCATGTTACTCACTGGCGAATCACGGGGTAGTACTACCAGCCTGTGCAGTGGTCTGTTATCGTTGCTTAGCCTGCTACGTCGGCGCTCCGCCAACAAAAGTCCACTGGTCGTACTGTAGAAAACGCCAGCTGAAGCAGTCCGTGCCTCTATTGAGCAGTGCGAATAATCAGACTATGCGTCTGTGAGTCCGTGCGAAGCTATCCTGAGGCTACTGGGATACTGCAGTCAGCGTCAGCAGACATGAGTAACAAGTACAGCCCCACCTGTCAACGTCGCGACGGACACGCATGGTAGTCCTGGGTGGCGTGTCGGTGGCGTCGGCGCCTCGGTCTCGGTCTGCTAACTTACGACTCTGAGGTTTCGCAACCGCCGGTGCGCACTCGTACCGCTACCAGTACCATGTACTTTCGGTTGAACCTCTTACGATGACTCACATCGCCGCGAGGCCGCGTGAGTCGAGTTCAAGATTCAAATTTCAAGACTATGGACCCCTCTTCGTCCTCCTTAGTACGGCCACTGGAATCCTGGCGCAGATGTGACAGGTCTTGTGGATGCAGATCACCCAGGCTCCAGTAGCGGCTGGGAGGAAGTTGTGCCTCCCGCCGCAATCTTGTTGCGAGTCCCTTGTGGCAATGGCAAATTGGCAATTGACTCGGACGACCATCGCGGTCAAAGACACATACTTGCGTAGTCTCATACGAAGGCCCTTCACGAGCTCAGAGCGAAAGGCTTGTGTCGAACCGACGCATCAGCATACGACCGACTCCTCTGGGCTGCACTGGCAGGTATCTTGTCATGGGGGAACTCAACATACGGAAGGAGTGGATGGATTCACTAGTGCTCTTTGACGGACCATACTGACTGGTTTAACATGGACCCATTGATAATTACTAGCCGTCCTTCAGGCCTCCATATCTATAGTGAACCGAAGACATGCCATTCACAACCATCGTACATTCAATCTACACACGTACGTGGAACACATCTACAACAAGTACATGCACATGGACGTCACCAATCGTATTGTCTGACCGTCCGACATCCGACAGGGCGGCCAGGCAAGTGATAACGAGAGAGACGACACTGTACAAAATTAGGACCATCAAGTACAACGGCGACACGATTACGAAAGACTGTCATGATTATTGGTGATACCAGCCTGATGATCTCGATATACGCAGACAGTCCGCAGAACACAACCGAAAGGCACCTTTAATGCCAAGTTCAAAGGCGCTGTCGTCATATACGATATGCAGGAGGTGGGCCCTTGGTGCTGTCGAGGTCGCCAGTCTCCTGCGCCGCGTCTTGCGGCAAAGTTCGGAGCTGACTTGCGTGCCGTATGTCACCGTGTGGCACGGGAGCGGCGCCAGAGTCGTTGGTGATCGTAGAATGAATGAAGGGAGCCGCAGGGATGCTAGTCATCTCAGTTATACGACGTGTTCTTCGCCGTCTTCGCCAACATATTGTGAGGCAGACGCAGATCACCACAAAGGCGATGAAACCAGCTACGCCGCCAGCAATGGCACCGACCGGTACACCTTGTCTAGAATGAGGGTATGTGGATGGAAGACTGAGGAGACAGTCGCTTACCATGCCAGTGGTGTGAGGCTACGTTCGACGCAGTCCGAGTCGGCGCCTGACTCGAGGCACTTTGAGACGAGGATGGTTTCGCATCGCTCTCGTCGTCTTCATAACTTCACAAAGCAGGTATCTCAGCTCTCCTTCACTCGAGAAACTGTTTTGAATAGAACTCACTCATAGGTTGCGTAGTCAAATAGCAGAAGCGATACTGATGTCCCTTGTACAGCTGACATCACGAAGTTGTGCTGTGTATTGTTCAAAAACGATCTGCTGTAGACAGGTACGTTGTATTGATATTCATAGGTGGTTGCGTTGATGCTCGGGTTGAACAAAGATGCGCTGGTTTCACCATCGAGATCGAAGGCCAGGTTTGTGATCTTGATCTCCGGCCCTTGGGATGTAAGGATGCAATACACCGAAAGAGAAGTGCCTGTTCCATTCGAGGTACCAGGGGTGACGGAAGAGCAATTGCATCAGCACCAATAGTATCTGAACACGGGTATCGTTGGCGTACCGGTGAATGCGAACGAGACGGTATGAACTGTGGGGGAGTTGATCAACACGTTGTTGCATGTATCTGATTGTGTGTCGTGCCAGGTCCCGTTGTGCGCCTGTAATGGGTCTGGTTGGGAAACGCAAACTGAGCAATTCGGGCCTTGGTTCCAGCAGTTCGTATCGAGGTACGTCGGTGTCGCTCCGGTCACCGAGTCACCATATGTGTCGTCGATCGTCCGTAGCTCCCCCAAAACAACCGCGGCACATTGAAGAATGATGAATAACGCAGCTATGAACGAACTGCGGCCCGAGGTTGGCATCGTCCACGACGAGGGTGGAAGGAAGTGAGAAGGGAATTGCGAGTGTGCTGCGTGTCTCCCCTAACGTTGTATTTCTTGGTTTAACGGTGGATGTCAACCCCCTAGTATAGCATGGTGAACACTTGCCTTGAAGCGGCGGCTAGGCCCGAATTCGAGTAGGACCCGTGTGCCTTTCAGTACACCGTCCTTTGACGGGTTGCCAAATTGATACGGCAGTGCATCGAGTCTATACACCGCCTTCAAAACCTTGCTACACATGAAGACTGAGAATTCTGTACGTGTGTTTGTTCGACGTTGACAGATGGGGCCCTGGGGGCGCGCCCGGAACTCGAGAGCCTACGAAACATTAGTATGTGAGTATGGCGTTTACGGTGAGTCTGAGGCTGGGCCTGGGTGTTTCGCACGACACAGTGGACGCAAAGTGGACGACCCTGTCCTGTACCTAATGAGCGCTGTCAGGGTCGCACACACTGAGCTCTCCCTTTGATAACATGTTATGGTAGCTGTTCAAAACAAGAGGTCACGACGAATGCAACAGGTCCGGCGTCCGTATGGACCACAACACAGATCATCGAAACTGTCTCAGTTGAGGAAGTGATACCGACGGACAATTGGCCTCGACTGCCAGGACCACTGCAGGACCGAAATAGCCTTTCAGAAATAGCCTTTCAGAAATAGCCTTTCAGAAAGCCATCCTTTGACCGGTCGCTCAGTTAAGTACCATGGTGGTGCATCGAGGCCACTGACTCGGAAGCTGCGCGTAGTGGCAGTTTAGCAAAGATACGATCAAGCGCAGGTAGAACATACCGAGGTCGCGCACGGTCTTCCTCCTCATGGAGTGGAGGCCCGAAAGCCAGCCCGAGCCTGCACACGTCGAGTTCATCCAAGTCCATCATACTACGAGTCTAATTGCTCTCCATCGAACAGACACATTACAATACTTGCCATGGGAGTTTTGTGCATACGCAAGAGTCTGGTGTGAATCATGGCTGATGTCATGATTGTCAAGTTTAATCCAATGGAGAGCTTCTGTTATGGTTCCAATCGTGAGTGGTAATCCGAGCTAGATGAGCGAAGTGACTACTTCACCAAAAATACGTTGGGGGCGGCTCTCTCGGTATGACCTCCGTTTCAACCTGTAGTCGTGCCATTTCAGCTCTTAGCGATGCCATTTCCGTCCTCAGCTCTGCTTCGACACTAGTGTCCACAGGTCGGGGTGACGCAAGCGCCGTCGCAATCTCTGGTGTTGGAACGAGCTCCGAGTCGAGGGTAAATTGCTCTGTGCGCGAAGCTTTGACTTGTTGCTTGAAGTCTCGTACTTCACTCGTAGGGTTGTTGTGGGACGAGGAAGGTTCGGTCGCGGCAAGTGCTGTCGTGTTGTTGAGCGGAAGTGCCGCCGAAGGCATGCTTGTCTGCAGGCCATGGAGTGAAGCAGCTACTGCTGGATCGGTGGGATTTGGGCGAGTGATGAATGGATCGACACTCGTTTGGTCCATCATCTCTGTAGCGTGACGCATGTTCCGTCGTCGCCGCTGATAGACCACGGCGAGACATGCACAGAGCACAATCAAGATGACCCCGCCGATTACCCCCCGGCGATGGCGCCAGCGGGCGCATCTGCTCGCCAAATAGAAATGTCCTCCAAATCACAAAATCGCAGGTGTATGCCACTTACTGTGGTGACTCAAATTTAAGCTTGAAGTACCTGTACCGGTTGCGCTGGTGGAAGACGAGGTGCTCAAACTCTCGCTCGTAGTGCTCGTTTGATCCGAGCCGGTTTTCGAGGAAGTGCTCTGCTCGCTGTCAAAGCTGGGAATCATTAGTATTAGCTCTTCCGGCCTAGTCGACAGCGGATTGGAATTGTACAGGATACGCACTTGTACGTAGCATAGTCGAATAGCAGAGTTGATCCCGAGGTTCCTTGCTGCGCCGCCATGGTGAATGTGTGCAACGAGTTATTCAACAAGGAGTTGTCAAAGACGGGTACATGGTAGTCAAACTCGTATGAGTCTCCGTTGAGGTTTATGGGAAAAGCCGCGTAGCTTGTTTCGCCGTCAAGACTGAAGCTCAGGTTGGTCGGCCACGTTGTCGGTCCTTGCGACACCATGATAACGAACACGGCAAGCGAGGTCCCTAGACGCATAGAGTTACTACAGAGCTACGACTGTTATCATCTGGTCATCATCGTACCAACGAAGGTGAATGTGACACCGTGGCCTGCCTTGAAAGGATCATTGGCATCATTGCCACTGCACGTATTCGAGGATGTATCGTGCCAAGTCCCATTGTAGGCTTTTGATGCGTCAGGCTGGAGGAAACACCCTGAGCAGTCTGGCCCCTGGCTCCAACAGTCAGAGCTGCTGTAATTTGGTATCTCTCCTGTCACAGAGTCGCCGAATGTATCGTCAATTGTCCGCGTCTCTGCGAAGACAAATACCGAATGAAGCAGAATGAGAAAGAGATGGTGGATGCAAAAGCGCGGCGGCATGCTCTTCAATGCAGACAATAGAAAAGAACAGGGAGTACGGGGTGGTGTATCGCGTACTGTGCCCCCTTATGACAGTACGATAGTCAATCAGTGACACAGGCTCACAGCCTCAGAGGACACGTACTTGACATCTTCAAAACCGCGCGTGCGACTTTTTATGCGCGGCTGATCGAGGCTGTCTCTTCGAAGGTCGGCAGCACGTCTACATCCAGAAGAACATATCTGACCTCACGCGCATCGACAGGCACTTTCCTTGGGACAAAAAAGCGCCAGAGAGTCTAGGGGCGATGCATGTCGCCTCTCGGCTCCTGGTTTGGTAGACGTTCCTACTGAAGATGTCTCATCAGATCTGTCAAATACAATGTCACAGCCTTCGATGAGGGAATGAGAGTCATAATTGTTTCAAAGAGAAACGTAGACGTACGTGATATAGCTCGTTACCACTGACACATCCATCAACGGATGTCAGCGAAGGCGTGTTTGAACATCAACGATAGTCGCTATGCGTTCAAGAAGTCTGTAGCTTCAGCCTTTCGGTAACGACCGTGACTGTGTTCAGACCGATACCTGCGATACTGGATATCAACTCCGCCTTGGTTGGTCGAGGAAGGTAGCAAGCTTGAGGGAGTTGGCTCCGGGTCCTGAAGCTCGCGGTTGAGTGATTTCGAAGATTTGAGGCAGCAGGTCGCGAGCCTGTGCGCAGAGCGAGCGATCTTCCACTCAGGCGTGACAGGAGGGATCACGTCTGCATTATCCGGGTCCCCCGGTGCATGTGCTGATGACGGGACGAAGAGGGAAGTGGCACTGTTGCGAGTCGAAAGGTCACGGGAATGAAAGGAATCGCTAGGCTTGTCGACGCGCCTCCTTCGCATGCCGTACAATGTCATGCCACTGTACGGATGCTTGTCACTGGCGAATCGGGGGATAGTACATACTATACAGCGATCTGTGTTAAGATGGCTTAGCTATGAGTTCCCGAGCCAGCGCCATGCGGCCATCTGGTGGATCTGCCTATGTGAGTCCGAACATTGTCCGAAAGGATCGCAGGTAGACCCATCTTGAGATGCAGGACGTCCACCAGCGTCGAGCCCGACTGAGAAGATGCGTCGATCTGAAATTAGAGCTGTCACCGTCTCGAACTGTCATGCACACTCGGCGATTGGTGCGACTGGGTTATCCGACTGGATATCCTTTCCTCCTCACGGAGCGAAGGCGATGACCTAGGCAAACAAAGTCAGATTGAGATAAGTTACAACAATGGCAATATCTGAATACCGCACACGCTATGTAACTCACCGTCGCCAATGCTCAGGCTCTCCACTGAACAGGTATGTTACAGTACTTGTCATGGGAGAACTCAACACACGGAAGGAGTGGATGGGGTCACTGATGCTCTTTGACGGACCATACTGACTGGTGTGATATGGACTCATTACTAGCTACGAATGAAATATTTTAGTGCCCCGACTACACAAAATCCACTCACTCAAAGTCAACGAAGGCTGAAACTGAAGTCCGAGTCCAAAACGCGTACCGTGTGCCACGACGACAAACGAGTACGGCTGCTACACATACGCAGGAGGCGGCACCATCGTAATCGCCTCCGTCTGCTCGCGAAGCCTCGCGATCTCCTGCGCCATCTCCTGGCGCAGCGTTGCAATTTGAGTTTGCAAAACCGCCCCGCCCTGCCCCCCGCCCCGCCTCTTCGTAGACGACGACGCGACGCCACCCTCAATCGACTGCACGCCCGACTCCGGGTGCGCCTGTCCTTCCGACGACGAGGGTAACGCAGGAACATCGTGGTCTTGTCCATGCCCAGGCCATTCCCCGCCCGTCCGCAAGTAGCTGCCCGAGCTCCGGCGCTTGACCGACCGTGCGTCGACCTCGGCAGAAAGGGAACCAGCCGCGGAGAGCGTACCCAGGAGGCCCACGCTGCTGACATCGCTGTTCCTGTTTAACATGCGCGGGGTGCCAAGCATGGAGCTGCGTGAAGCGCGAAGGTCGGTCAAGACCATGAGCGGCTGACTCCGACGCGGCGCCCTTCCCAGCCGGATGCCCGTCTGACCCGTGCCCTCTCGCCTCTTGCCTTTGTCCAGAGGTTGCGTGTACGGGTCGTCGCCGTCGCCTTCTCCGTCGTCGAGGGTGGTGTCGTAACGGCTTTTACGGAGGAGGTTAGGCGTGGGCACAACCCGGGCCAGCTTTTTGCGGCGCATATAGACGACGAGCCCGACGACGAGAATAGCGAGTGTGGCGACGGACGCGCCAGCGGCAGCGCCGGCTACGATTGGTATGTTGATGTGTGAAGCTGGAGAGTGTGGTTAGTGCGGTCTATAAGGTTGAAAGCTATGACAACATACCGCCGTCCGACCCCAGTGCCGAAGTCACTGTGGTTGTCGCCGGCTGAGTGCTATCAGGCGTAGACATGTTCGACGCCGTTGCTGAATTATAGTGAGTGGATCTGCTGTTAGTACAATAACACAGTACTGACTACTGATATGGGTCGCATGGGATGACGAGGATGGCGAGGATGGCTCGGTCTGGCTGCTCGATGATCCACTGCTCCGCGATTCCGAGGATGAAGTCGTGCTCGCTGGCGAAGGAGAATCCGTGGAGGTTGCACTGGTCGACGACGAAGTGCTCGACGGGCTCAAACTCGTTGAGGTTGTGCTCGTCGGAGACGGAATTGCCGGCATCGGATCCTCGTAGCTTCAAAATCGCAAGACTTCAGCAACCCAGCATACAGGGAGTGACTGATAATGAGACGTACGTGTACTCAGCATAGTCAAAGAGCAAGACCGATGCGGACGATCCTGCTATAGCTGACATCGCGAACGTGTGCTGTTCGTTGCTCAATGCCGATTTGCTGAATACGTTGACGTTGTACTGGAAGCCATATGTGCTCGCTACCGGACTTGGTGAGAACGCCGTGTTGCTGATCTCGCCATCGAGAGTGAAGCTCAGGTTGGTCAACCACGCTACCGGGCCTTGAGAGACCATGATACAGTATACTGTAAGAGCAGTCCCTAGATAAGAGTGGCTGTGTCAGGACCTCTGCCAGAAGCAGTGATAGATATCGTACCGGTGAAGCTGAAGTTGACGCTATGGGTCGAGGGGCTGCTGACATCCTGGTTGTTGCATACATTTGACGTCGTGTCGTGCCAAGTGCCGTTATGCGCCTCCGACGTATTCGGCTGGAACGTGCACGCCGAACAACCTGGGCCTTCGTTCCAGCAGTCCTCGTTCGAGTACACTGGTGTCGCTCCTGTCACGGAGTCGCCGTACGTGTCGTCGATCGTCCGTATTCCCCCGCAGACGGATAGTATGCACTGTAGAACGATAGACAGAAGGAGAACTAAGGAGTGGAATCGGGGGCACGGTGGCGACATCGTCCTCGGCGGAGGTGGGGAAAGCAAGAGGAGGAAGAGAATGTATCCCCCCTGTGTCGCAGTAGGGTACTCGTCGACCCAACAGATGTGAACCCATGCGACGGGTCGATTGGATCATCCAAATGCCCTCATCGAGTTACAGGCCTGATACGAACAGCCGCATCCGCATCTCAGAGTATCAGTGTGCCTACGACGTGGACTGGCTAGAGGACTTCAACGCCGCTGCTGCACGATACACAGTGCGCTGACTCACATACATTGACGGATGCTCGGCCATGCATCTCACGCGACTGCAAAGAGCCCATGTACGGCGCAGGTGCTCAAGCACTCAGAATTTCCTGGCCCGGTCAGGGCGACTGATCCAAACTGCCACCCCACGATGGCAAAGTCATTTCCCAGTCGTCTTCTCATCTACGGAGAGGTAATTTAAGCACTTAAGAAGCCTGTCAACCGTCAGATAGAGACTCGCACCTCCAGAGGATATGCACTCGCAACGCATGACCAGTGGTCGAAGCAAGCATGGGACCCGCGTCGGTCGCGCATATACACAGATTTCCTCCACCGTTTGAGGGCGATGTTCATTCGCAGTATGTCAGAGGCTCTTTCAGCGAGCAGAGATCTGTTCCAAGCGGACAGAGACGAGTGGTTCATCATGATAGTTCAGACAGTTGAACAAGATATCACTGACCAGTGGACGCAGGACCCCGCCACCACCTGTTCGAGGCACTCCGTGTTGCATCGCCTCCTGCATATAAGCTGTTCCTGTACCCCCAGTCGAGCCCAAACTTCCATCACATCCTAGGATCATTGTCCCATTTGCAAATGGTCTTGGTTTTTGGGAACGCGATAGCTGCGCCTGCGCATACTGCCTAGCGGCCCACACACGACCAGCGAAGACTCGTCTGTCATTGCTGCAGCCTGTAGATTTCCGGCGGATAACAGGCTCAGTGCGAAAGACCAGTAAGCGGCGGTAGTGGTACAGGTGCGAACGCCGTCCACGAGCCCGCCACTCAACCAGAGTCGGGACTTCCCTTTTCGGGATGTGCGCACGCTCAGTTGATCATGACCGCATATATTACTGACGCGGAACCGGTAATGCAAACGGGCACAGTAATGCAAACAGCCGCATTTCTCCCCTCATACCGAGCCGTTTACTGGGCCAAAAAATCGTATACGACTGCTACATGCTACCTTAATATCATATATGAAGCAGAAGTAGCTGGGTGTATTGTACGCCGCGGGAGAAAATCAAAGATCTGTTTTCGGGTGGCTGAATACAGGTGTAACGAGAAGTTGCTGCACCGGGTACTACAATCCTTCCTTCGGAACACAAATTTGAGACTTCAGGCACATAAAATACCTTCCAGATATGCTTCCTAAAATTTTCTGAGGTGTGTGTACGAGTGGAAGATGCTCGTTTGCACTGCACATTGCACTGGAGTTGGGAAGTGCAATGTGACCGGCGGCGTCTCCCCATGCCGAAACAATCTCCGCTTGGGAAGCAGTGGCGGGTGGCAACTCCCTTTGAAGCCAGTGTCGGCCTTTCGTTAGCAGCCAATATCACACCGTAGTATCCGACTAATACTGTCTACTCGGTAGCTAATAGTCACATTTATAGTATGTTGTATGCTCTTCTAGTTGCTGTTGCACTGTACCGTAATACACACTTTGCACTCGCACTCGATGCAGCCGCCGGCGCCGGTTTTGCATTACTGGTTCAGCATCTGCAGTAGACGCGTCCCGACCTCAGACCACACCAATAGACCCCGTCTCACAACCCAATTAGATTGCCTGCCCATTACTATACAAACATCACGTCGATAGACTACTATACCACCTCGAACGGGACGCAGGTCTGGGTGGCGCGTTTTAACGCCCACATTTGTACAGGCCGGCGTCCGCCGCGTCTTAGCACATTGTTTGCTTGTTGCGGTTAATAAATGCTGAATTCATCATCATCATCATCTGCAGTAGACGCGCATTCGGCATAACGGCAAGCAGGCGGACTCCTAATCTCGAGTGGGCGCCAAATGCTGCACCTCGATGCTTTGGCGGGCAAATGGGTCTCTTGTTTGCAGAACTGCCGAAAGCACTTTCCCCTACCGCGGAACGTCCAGAAATATTCATGTGTGCTCTCAAGATGTATAAATATGATTCTATAACAAAAGATTGACATGATCATTCTGTTTGAGCAGTCGGGACAGTAATGCAAACGCGTTTGCATTACCGGTTCAGCGTCAGTAATGGTCGGTTCGTAGTTCTAAATGACTCCCAAGCCACTGGCCGTGCATCATCGTCACCAAGCTGTCCCGCAAATCAGTTGAGTTGAGTTGCAAAGCACATTGCAGTCACACACGCCCCCATTTCACACCGACACCGCCGTAACCACTGGCCACACAGAAAAGAAGGAAAACATTTTGCACATTTCGTTCACGACTATCGTACATTTAACAGACTCAAGGCGGGGAGGCATCTACAACAGGATAACATACACGTACACATACACATTACCAATCGTATTGTCCGACGTCCGACATCCGCCACCCTACAGGGCGGCCAGGCGGGGTGGAAAACGAGAGGGGGTCCGACGAGCTCGGAAGGTCACTGCACAGAGCGCGCAGCCCGTAGGCTGACAGGACAAGATGTCACGACACACGGAGAGGAGAAACGGAGGTGGGGCGGGAGAAATGGGAAAGCGGTGTCAGCAGTGACGGAGATCAAGTCGACTAGTTTACAGGGTTCGAATTGGTGGTGGGAAGGCAAGGACGAAGGCGGGATGGTGCTTTCGGGGGGGCGACGATCTAGATGGTGCAGAAAATGAGAGACGGCGCGGGGATGCCCACAACGAAGACGCGGGAGTAACGTCCGACGAGATGTTGCAGTGCGTGCGGCGAGCACGCAGTCGGCAAGAGTGGGGTGTGCACCAGCTCAATGACAAGTGATGAGGAGTACATTCAACCCCGCGTTCTTGACCGCCTTCACCGGCATCTTCTTCCCCGCACGTATCTCGCGCATCAGCGAACTGCGGTCGTTGTGCATAACGCGGCGGAGGGCATCCAAGCCCTGGCTGCGCACAGCGAGGTAGTCGCGCACGTTGAGGAAGACCTGCGACTTGAGGAGAGCCTTCGCCGCGCGCATAGAGTGCGGGAGCGAGGGCAGCGATGGGAACGAGAGGGGCGATGAGGGACTGAACGCCGAGGGGCAGAGCCCGAGCTCGACGATGAGGGCTTGGAGAAGCCGCAGGTGGGCGGCACCCGACTTCGTAGTAGGGTTAGAGAGGAAACTGGGGAGTAAGGATCGCTCGATTAGGTGACAGTTTGTCGAGAGATATGCATGACTGACCTGTTGATGAAGCTGACGGCGTCCTGGTACGCCCCTGTCACCGCGAGGTCGCCTGCCTCGGAGACGTCGTCAACGATCGGACGCTCGCCCAGGCCGGCTTCGGCGGCCTCGGTGCTCTGCGCAGGAGCGGAGGCAGCCGCCCTGTCGGCCTGCCTCTGCGCCTTCCTGCGCTCCTTCCTCCTCTTCACCCTATCCTTCTTATCCGAGTACGTTGCGTTCATAGACGAGTCTGCGGATGATGCTTGCTCGCGCTGGGCGGCTGCTATCTTCTTCGCCTTCGACTGCCTGAACTTCCTCGGTTGGACGGTCGGTCCAGCAGAGTGAACCGGATGCATGCCTAGGGCGCGATGAAGGTTGAAGCGGGTCGCTGTTGGCGCAGTGAGGGGGGTATGGTTGGGGACCCGGGAGATGCTGAGCGACGAGATCGCGGCGGAGAGCTCGGCCTCGATCCCTCCACGGGAGTCAGAAGACGTAGCATCAGAGCTGGCAGGGGAGCGAGCCCTGCTCATGACGATGTAGTCGCTGTTGTCCGAGAAGACGGCGGGCGACCTGGCGCGGCTGGGCATTCCGCGCTGGGAGACCATGCCCGAGACGATAGAAGACGATAGGCTTGAGACTCTGTACAGGATCTCGTCCTCGTCCGAGTAGAAGTCGGAGACGGTGCCGAAGGAATCTGCCCAGGTGCTCGACGCGGCGGACCTGGCCGATATATAATCGTAAGAAGACATTGAGTTTGGGGAAAGCATCCCTGGGCTAGCGATCCGGGACGACATGGCGTGTCGATTATTGGCAGGGCTGTTGACTTAATGAAAGTGCTAGAAGTAGAGGGACCGCTTGGGCCGGAGATGGAGATATGGGATCGGGCGACTGCGGCCAGGACGTCGCGACGGATCCCTGTGAGACGGTCAGCGTCAGGTCAGCGTCGATGTAGTGTTGACAGAGGAGAGAAGACGGACGGGTTTAGTATACAAGGAGACGGGGAGAGCTGCGAGGCCCACACGCGGTGGAGGTGAGGAAGAGAGGAGGCGAGATGGTCTGTGGGCGGAACGCACGCACGCAATGCCCTGCCCAGATCCGGAAAGCCGCCAGGCGATAATGCCCGACGCGTGCCCGATCCTCTGCCTGCGCACTGCTCCCCTTGCCAATCTTCCCCAGCGTGCATCCAGCTTCTCCAACTGAGGCTTCACTCGAGGGCGTGGCCTTCGTATTATGACGGATATTCTTGTCCAGAGGATATGCTCGAGGCCAAGCGAGGCAGTGAGCGTGGGCTGAATCGTCATCCGCATGATATGTTCCAAGTCCAGATACGTGAATCCCTGCCTCGAGTTGTGCATCGACAGCACTTTGACGCTTCTCACAAGTCCTCATGGCAGATACGACTGCGTTCCATGATGCGAACCAGATAATGTAATGAACACGCGATCTTGACAATCGAGACCGCAGAAACTTAAAGGGCTATGAACGTTGCATAAATCTTCGGTCACTGCAACGGGCAATGTTCAGAGCGTCGAGTCGCGACGCCCGGTGCGATGCACCACGTACTTAAGGTAGCATTAGAAGCGTATAACACTTGACTTCAGGAGAGACGCGATCACTGATACCAATCCAGTACTTCCTATCATCCATACTTGGATACACTTGCAAGACAATCTGATCATATATACGCAATGCTGTGTGCAGCTGCCATCCGTTCCGGCACAGTACTTGGCGCAGCGAAGTATTGCGCTGGAAAGGATGGCAGAGACCGTCAGTGCAAGACAACCATACGAATGGAGGAGTTCATCGATATCGTGCACAGGCCTCTATGAACAAATCCTCCAATACACGACGCTATTCCCCCAGCCAGCCAGCGCCGTCTGCTCAACTTCGACGCCCCTCTTCCACACGTTACCTTGCAAGTCCCGCACCTCATCCGCCTTCCTCCTCCCCAGCATGAACCGCGCGCCCTCTCCGCCCTGCAACGCTGTCGGCGAAGCGCTGCTTCCGCGCTTCCCGTTCCCGAGTTGGTACTCGTAGTTCGCGCCCCATGAGAGCAAGTCCCGCCCCGCCGCCCCTGGCCCGCCGTGCGCGAGCGTATCCAGCGTGAGCAGGACATGCCCCGTCGGCGAGACCGATATGTCGTGGGGCATGATCGGCTGCAGGTTGTTATGCTTCTCGCTGTCTGCGTCTCGCTTAGCCTCCCCTTCTGATAGAACGACCAGGACCCACATTCGAGCAGCCCGCTCACGTTGCGCGTGCGGACTGGGGTGCCCTGCGCGTTACTGAACTGCGCGTTGCCCAGCCCACCGTACTGGCCATTCCCGCACGCCAGTACGTCGATGTACGGCGGAGCACTGCCGTCCACCCGCTCGACCTTGAAGAACGTTAGGTCCCCAGCCGCGTACACGTCTAGGCACGTCGTGCGCATGCCCGCGGGTGTGGAGCGCCACAGGATCACCTCCGTCGGCACCGTGATGGTGTCGAGCGTCACCTCCCTGCCCAGACCGATCTGCCTGCACGTTGTCGGAGGATCAGGGTACCCACTAGCCACACGCAGAACACGATGCGCACCCAAATTCGTTAGCGCCCCATCCGAGCACCCGTCCAGCCGTCGTCTTCGCGAAGCTGCTCCGCGCGCCCGCTGCGATCGCGTCGACGTCGATGCCCCGCAGCGCGGGCACCTCGAACAGCTTGTCTGCGAATCGGATGCTCCTGTCGTCGAGGCTCGTGAGCAGTTCCGCGCTCGCGCCGTTCACATCGACAGGCCGAACGGCAGGCGTCGCCTTCGCGTACGGATCTGTGATGGACTTGGGGGTCAGCTCAATCGGGAGACGCGCGTGGCCGAATGCGTGCTCCGCAGAGGCAGGCGCAGGGATGTCGAACTTCCGGAAGCCAAGCTGTCCGTGCGTGTTCGCCTTGAGTGTCACTGGGTGGGCGAACGTGCGCCCAGTGGACGTCAGCGCGAGTAGATGGTCAGACCCAGCCGCGATGGCGACGAATCTGTGGAGTGTCAGTCGTTTAGTGGGCTATATGCGCGTAGAAGGCACCCTACTTTTCTCTTCGGCCAAGCTTGACGTCCGGGACGATCTGCGCAAAGTCTCTGTCCTCCTCCTCACCCCATAGCCAGCCAGTACCCCACCACGGAGAGCTTGCGGGCGTTGGCTCACCAGGTCGAAGGGCTTGCTGCGCTGATGCTGAGGAAAGCACGTATATATGCCCCGACGCAGAAAGCGCATATACCCGCGTCGACGTCAGTTGCAGTCGAATGATGTTCTGCGCAGAGTAAAGACGTGCCGACCGTGCGACAAACGGGAGCGCACCTTTCCTCGTAACGTCCGTGTGGGCTGTCCTGACGAAGAGCCGGATTTGCCCTCAAAGCCGTCACCCCACTGGTACACGTCCCCCCGTGCGTCGACGCAGGCCGCGTGCCTTTCGTGTAGCCCTAGCTCGCGTAGCGCAACGTTCTCTAACCAAGCTGCGATGGCCGGTGTGCGTATAGACTCAGCTCCGCTCTCGTCAATTGAGAGGACATGATTCCTGCACAGTTCGCGCATCTCATCAGCATGTGTACAGTCGCTCTCGACGCGTATTTGGCTACGCACCTGTTGGAACCCCACACGAGTGTCTCAAGCTTGTCCTCGTTCTGCGAGAATTGCACAGAGGTCGGCGTAGAGGACTTTTTCTGACTCTCGGATACGGGTGTGGGCGCGTCGTTGTGGACAGTTCCTCGGGTTGAATACCAAAGTGCCCCGGCCGTCGCAGCGGCCGTCGAGGCTACTAGCAGAGTTCGTCCCGCGGGCCTGACCTTGGTCGGCGCCGACACCGGATTGCCCGAGTGTACGGCGCGAGCTGCTCGAGAAGTTTTCAGTGCTCTGCTGGATCGAATCATGATGAAATGTAATGTAGCGTCGATGAGAGGAGAGTATGATGAGGAGAATTGACGATTGAACGTCGTTGAACGTTGAACAAACTACAATGAATATTCCGAGTCTACGTGACTCTGAGTGCCAGTGCGTCGACGACCACGTGATCGTTGACGCGTCTGTGGCTCCGACAGAAAGTCCGATCCACGGGGACGGGCGTTTCCGAAACGCGCAACGCGCAACGCGAAACGTCACGAAGTGTTACCGACTGTGACCCGTTACGCACCTTTTGTGGCCCGAGTACCAAGAATAGCAAGCTGAGTAAGCCGCTTCATTACATCCATTTGGCTTATATGCTGCTTCAAAGCCTCAGTAAGTATCTTGGCTTTGCTACTAGCAGTAGTTGAGTCTGTATCAGTGGGTGGTTGATTTCTCACTGTGTCTTCGAGCGCGCGGGCGCCCTGCAACCCGATTTGGAAAGTTCTTCCAAATCAGGCAATAAGCGCCTCACTTCGCGCGCCCCTCGCTACATCCGAATGAGTTAATACTTAAATCCAAAATTTCCTCCACCACTTGCTTGCTGCTTGGGAAAATCACTGTAATGAGAGATTTAAAAGGGTTACTCGCAATATACTTGTATATTCTAGGAGCAACCCTTGGCTGACCGAGCGACACAAGTGGCCCGATGGCCCCCTGTAGGTGCTTTGTCAGTTACCGTATTCAGTAAGTAACACTGTGACGGACGTTTCGCAGAGGCGTTTCGCAGGGGCGTTTCGCAAACGCGTTGCGCAACGCCTCTCCCAGTTGATCGGACGTTCTCGGCTCCGAAGGCTCGCCGTCCGACGTCCGAGTCAGTCAAGACGACTTCCCTCTCCCACTCTGCCCACTGTAGCATGGTCTCCGACTGCAGCGAAAACGCGCAATGCGGTGTATAATTATGAAGGCACTCTGCGTAAGGTCTGGAAGTCGTAGGCAAGTACATACATGACATAGGGCAATTAACCCCGCGCATGTGAATACTTAATTGCAGGTGTTGTGGATGTGTTCCATCTACGTGAAAGTTAGAGTGTACAATAGCCGTGAATATTAATGACATGCCTTCGGCTCGCTATAGATGTGAGGGCGTGAACGGTGTTGTCTTGTATGCCAATGGTCGTGCTGACGATGGGCTGGGTGTGCGTACTACAGGAAGTGGCAAGTCTGGGGGCTAGTGAAACCCGAAGGCCTGATGGCTGAGGTTCGCGACGTCACGCCGGGTAGGTCAAGGCGGCACCATCATCACTGAGACGAAATGTATCATATCATAGTACATACAGTCAGTCCGACAGATGAAAGCACTTGGTACTGAGCCTGCATAGACAACGAGGGACAGAGACATTCTTACGCTACATAGCAGACAAGGCGGAGCTTGATGCGGGCCCCGGGCTACTCGGTTTCACTCGATGCCTCCAAATTCCAAGGAGAGATATCAAGTGAGAAGTAACTTGGAAGGTGGTCCCAAGCCCTCTGCACCTCTTCACTGGCTCTTTCGGACAAGTGCGAATCACAGACATCGCAAAACCCGTTTGACTCAATTATATCCTGCCAGCCCATGAGGATATTCCGCCGGAGCAGAAGTGAGCCAATAAGGTCATCATCAGAGAAGATCGAGTCGCGGGCAGCCCTGCATGCTTCCCTCCGATTGCAGGCGTGGAACCACTTGCTCCTAGGTGGTGGTTCGAATATGCGGCACGTTGCCTCTGCATTTGCACAGGACAGGGCGTCCCGACCGTTGAGACAAGTGATCAGATCGCTTTGACCGAGCGAATCCGTCCCGTTGCCTTGCAGAAGGGTTCCGATGTCCAGCTGACAACAAACGTAGAACGCCGTGGGGAGAATCTCCAGAACATCGGTGAGCCTCGCTAATTTAGCGGCGGTGATAGCATCACGTTGTTTGTACTGGATAGTAGGCTTCGATGTCGACTGCGGCCGGGGTCCAGGAATCATTTCCGCCCAGTCACAGTCGATGTGCCCATCGACTATGCTCGGTTTGTCGTGAAATTCTGTCACGAAAATCGTCTGGAGAAGGCGAAGTCCTTCTTTCTCAGCAATGTCAACCTGGTATTTATGACCAAGCCTGATGATTGCTGCGACAGCAGAGAACGGGATCGGATCCTCCAGAGGCACGAAGTGTCTAGAATGCGCAAACCCACAAATTCAACTCCTAAATCACAACGGCATAGAACATGTCATATCAGCACTAACCTCCTGCATAACAAAAACCGTAGGAAATGACGCAGATCCTCCGCGGAGTCCTCCAGTTGCAACAACGGACATCGATCTATCTCTGGGGTGCCTTCGGGTTGAGGCAAGCCTGACGATAGGAGATCGCGAAAGACGACGGATTCCTGCACCAGGATTCCGCGATAAACGCGAAACGCGCGCCGCTCGGCGATGAGGACGATGCTTCCGTCCGGGTACCAAAATTCATCGTCATGGACCACGTTGGGTTCTGAAGTACGGAGTCAGCGACCGAGGTAATGATTCGCTTCAGCGGCCATGATTCGAACGCACTCGGAACTCCTACCTTGTACGTGGAACCGGTCAGAGTCGGTAGCCTCAGCACTGGCAGTGTTTCCGGATGCTGCCAGTGAGGTAGCTACTATGGCGTCGCTCGTCGAGCTGCGTTGCATCGCTATAGGTAATACTCTGCAGAGTCCGCAGGCAACGATGTTTTGGGAGCAACGAGCAGTGCGTCAATCTGGTAGCTAAGTTACTACTACTCCGAGTCAATCGGATGGAGTGGGCGTGTCCAGTTCGTGGTAAGTGTACGGGTGAGAGCAGCGGGCGCTCACAAGGACGAAGAACCGTGATCGTGTCGAGGTTAGAGCGCCTTGAACCTTGTTCGCCTCCCAAGGTAGAAATGCACTCCGGCTTGAGTTAAGCATGATGCAAACTGTAGGCGATCATCATTAGGTACTCCAATCAATAAATATCGTATGTCCCGCTATGAACGATACATGGACACCAGCTTCACCAGAAACGCTCCCAAGAGTCGGCATCCGCTACGTCGAACACGTCCACGAGGCCCTTGACCCTTTCCACAAGGTGAGCAGCAGATCTGAGGTGGTGGATGTTCGTGCCCATAAGGCGCAACTCCTTCAACCGTAAAGCTTTCTGCACATTCCGACTGAGGATAGCATCCAGAACCGCAGTTAAAGCCTCGAGGACACTATACGTCGCGTAGAGGTTGAGAACCTTGAGTTCCTTGCACACTAGGGGCTTGCTGTTTGTCATTGGATCGGCTGGCTGGCAGAGGGCGTCGAGCATATTGGCGATGGTCTCTGAACCGGATAGTCGGAGCTCTTCTAGCCCAGGAAATTGTCGAAGGACTCGTAGGCATAGTAGATCGTCCAAGAGCATCCAGGCATCGATGCATAGGAATGTCAACGGCGAGGACGAGAACGTATCAAGTACCTCGCGCATGATCAAAGGCCCTGTGTCCTTTGATCGTTGAGAACACAGCGCGATACGCAGGAGACGTCTGCGTGACACGTCTGCACGGGGTGTAGGCCAGGCAGAAACGTGTAGATACCCGCCCAGTATGATACTGAGAGAGCGAGTCGACGAGATAAGGGAGTCGTGGGTGGGCATTCGCCTCAACGCTGCTAACATAGACAGCGCCGAAGGCTCCGGTTGTTGTATCGAACGTCGAACGACATGTGTGTCATCTGAGGGAAAGCGAACCTTTGCAGAATGAAGATGACGAGGTCGAAGTGCAACTCGAGCTTGAGTGTGCGCAAGTCTTGCATGACTCTGGGGGCAGGGGCTTCCTCCCAGTTGGAGATGCCTTCAGCTAGGAGGTCGGCGGCAGAGCGGGGTCCCCCGTTCATTATTCGGCACGATTCCTCGTCTGGATGTTTCAGCCACAGGAGGTCGAGCTTCGGACAGCCTTTGATCAAGCAGATCCAGGCTGCGTAATCTGGGTTGTAGCTCGATAGCTCGAGGTGCGTGAGATTGGCGAGGGGAGCAGCTAGCTCTAGAGAGACGCTTTGAAGATTGAGCTTCCGAAGTCGAGCAGCATGCATGGCGGGTATATGCAGTGTTCCGTCCCCCGTCGGACGTTGGAATAGGGTTGACAATGCGAGACTCTCGAGGTTGGTCATCGTGACTAGGCCACGCGCGATAGCCGGCAGGTCATGCCTGACCGACACGTCGAAGACGCGCACACCAGCTACGCGGTGCTCTTGTGCGGCCAAAGATTCCATGGCTTCATTGAAACACCTCGATGCAATGCAGACCTCCACCGATGCGGGGCTGGAACGCTGTAGGCACAATTGGGCCGTATCGAGCTTCCCTTTGATGTGCTGTCCATTAAAGTAGATCGGATGCCAGAGGGTTGTAGCATTCAGAGCAGTTGCACGCCAACGATGGCAAACGTGCGTCATCCTGATCCAAGTACGGCCGAAGCGTAACCTGTGCGCGTGCGCGTGATGTTTCATGTGGAGGATGATATCAATGAGCAGTTCGTCGGGGAGGCGATTGACAGGAGCTGAGGAGTTGAGGATGACGTAGAGATCTCTCCGTCGTCGCTGGGAACGCTCGAGGACGCGACGTGCCTCCTCGACTTCACGAAAGGCATCGTCGAGCTGGGCAACTGCCCACGCATGCGTCTCGCTCCTCGACATGCAGGCGATAGCAAGTGCACTATCTTGGTCCAAAATACCGGAGTTGGGGCATTCCATTGGTGCGGTTCACGATTCGGAGCCTACTACTTAGCCGCGCTTGGGTGATGTGGCATCGGGTAGGAAACTGACAATGACTTACTGCGTTATGTTGCACCTCAACTCTCCAATATACTATTGACACAATCGCGGGTTTCTTGTGAACGGAGTCCCGAAAGAGTGTCAAAGAGCATGAGTAAATGTGGGCATCTTTATACATATTTGACGCCTACAAACGTACCAAGAAATGTAGTCGGTTGGTCGCCGACGTCACTCGGCCGAAATTACTTACGGCAGTCGAGTGGCGACTCCAGCTGCAAAAGGCATGGCATCAGCATCAGGTAAGTGGCCACCAGAGCTCGAGCGTACAGTTCAAATGATTAGAAGGTCGTCGTTGGCTGCAAGTGTAAGGCCACGTCGGCGCTAATATCTGAGGCCTGCGATCGGCTACTTACTGCAATTGGGACAGGCGCCTATCGGTAGTCAATCTGTGGCCTATGGGCGAGTCGAGTCGGACAGAGCGTGCATGAACACGAATGAATCGGCTGTAGTTTGCTTGCTCACTGTCTTTCAGGTCGTCCTCTTATAATTCAAAGCCCCGCGGCTCGGAACATGTGTGTTGATATGCCATGACCTGCTAAAGTCAATTAAGAAGAGTCGGATTAGGCCCACGTCTGGGGCAGCGAACATGGCCAATGCGAGCAATGAGGTGCATCCGTCAAACTACGCCATAATACCGTTGAGGCTATCCCTTGAGCGATCACGATGGCACTTCCAATCCGTGGAAGCAGTGTGATGGAAACTGTATATACCGACGATCTTTTGCGGAATTCAGTGATCAGTAAATACATATTACAGCTACGAGAAGCGAGACGACCTACCTCGACTCATCGCCATGTATCAGGGTCTGCTAATTGTTTCCAAGAAGCAGCATTGAGCCAGAAATGCTCGGGAAGCTGCAACCACGCTCTACGCACTTGCTCCCTGGCTCCCGCGACCAGACATCAGCAAATGTGCACGTTGCTTATTCTGGGCTTAAACACCTTAATAAGTTGATCAAGGGCATTCAGTGAATAAGTGATCGTGCTTAATTAACGAGGTACCATTTCTTATTAAGGGGCGTGCTACTTGAACCGTCTTAATCAAGCTCGACTAAGTTGTGTGCTAAGCTGACATTAAGACTTGTAATCGTGGATCAAGTGGCCTTCAAGAACATCGATCTATTCATTCAAATCGTTCCATGGGACACAAATATATTCCGGAAATATGCCAATTCATTCTACAGTGTACGTATGGATTTACAATATACTACTGTATTCGCTGGCGTACACGAGCTGGGCATGGGCACCATACACAGAGCCGATCCGCGAGCAAGTAGGTAGGTCCATGGGCAATCACGTGGGCAGTCGCGTGCGCGAGTGGGCGGCTGGCTGGCCGAACGGGTGCACGGGAGCGCGGGCGAGAGGCGGTGCATGCTAAAGGGGTTGTGGGCGAGAGTGAGTGCAAGTATGTGGACAGGCAAACGGGCGGGTAGGCAGGCGGAAAAGCGGGCAGGCGGGTAAGAGGGCGATGACGAGAGCATGAGGGAGAGCGGGCGAGAAGGCGACGGCAGTGGACCATTGAGTGCGTGGGCGAGCGAGCTAAGCAAACGAGAAAGCAAGGGTGAGTTGCGGCGCGGGCGACATAGCAAGGAGGGCGAGGGCGAGTGGAGGGCAAGCGAGTGAGCTGTCGACCCTGCAGGACGCCGAGAAAGTGGACAAGCGGACGGACAAAGAGAAGCAGGCGAGCGCGGATGTCGACGTCTCCCCCGTCGACACTGCGAACCCGGATGCGGTGGGCGTCGTGACGAGCAGCGTGGACGTCGCGGTGAACCAGCCGGTGACGATGGCGGTCGTGAAGGAGACGACGCTCAGCCCGCTGACGTGGCTCCCGAGCCTCGCGTACTTGACGACGTTCGGGTTCGAGCTCGCGGTGGACGCGAACCTCTCGAACGTGCTCTAGCAATTGAGCGAAGGTGGGCAGGCAAGGCAGGCGGGCGGGTGCGAGCTAGTGAGAGAGCGAGCTGACGAGAAGGCGAGGGCAGAGAGCTATCGAGAAGGCGAGCGCGGCGAGCTAGTGAGAAGGCGAGCGTGAGCGCGCGAATAGGCAAGAATGGGCAGATGTACAAGAGGGCGAACGGGTAGGCAAGCACAGGCTCCTCCGAGTCAGGCGTTGTGCGTGCGCGCTGTATCATCTAGTGTTCGGTGTTCTCTAGTGACAGGCTCGGCAGGAGACTTGAAGCTTGAAGCTTGAAGCTTTGAAGGGCCATACTCACCTTTGCATCCGTGCAATGACTCGAGCCTGCGGCGCCGCTGCACGCCATGCCGCTCCGTATCTGTGCATTTCACCCTTCTTGCAAGGAGAAATCATGACGTGGTATGCATATGCCGTGCACCAGAATGTTGGACGTTGCGATTGGACTTGCGCGTTGGACGGTCAAACGTTGGGTTGGAGAACGTTGAGCGCTTGAGCATTGCGGGCGACGTGTCATGTCGGAGTCCGATTGGATTTCCGTTTAGGGCAAGCAGCTGTGGCACTTGGGACGGAAACAACTGCGCCATTTTTTAAATTTCATCATCAAGCGTCGTTCAGCTTTGTCCATGAACTGCTCGGAAACATAACTACGAGGCCACCAAGTACTAGACCTCGCTCCTGCCCAGACTCTTGGCGCTCTCACCCGTTACGCCGCACACCCACTCGCGACTTCTCACCTCTTCTCACATCTCGCGGCTGTGGCGACCCGCACTCTGGCCGCGCCGACTCGCACGACGGGGAACAAAGGAGAGGACTGACAAGTAAGGGTGTAGCGAGCACAGAGAGCGAGCAGAAGGCTGGAGATTTGCAGGTATGTATTGAAATGCTCATCTCGTCTCCGAGTCTGCTTCCAGACCCCAGATTCCAGTACCCGAGCTGCCAGCGACGTAACGAATGAGAAAAATGCTGTGCACGCTGCTGGCAGTGAACATGGGGCATCCATTCTACGGCCAAGACGATACGTGCGATACAGCCGTGTAGCTGCGCGTACGACACTCATCTACAGCCGCATGTCACGCAGCGGATACGCTAAGCTGGTTTCCAGGTGAGCATGTTGCCGACGAGTGTCCCTAGTGCGTCTAACATCGTCACAACTTGCGGATGATGAGACCGCGATGCGGTCTACGGGGCACAAGGCAGCACAACGAGCCGAGTCATTGTGCTCGTCATGCGCTCTTCGAACAGTTATAGCGGGGCATCGCGCCTAGGTCGCGGCACACCTTTTCTACCTGCGACTGCTACCCTGCGTGACGAAATATACAGCGCGCGCCATGAACTGAATTAGATCAGTACCTGCTTGCTCGCCGTTCGCTCACACTCGCCCGCCCACCTGCTCGCTCATTCACGCAAGATCGCCCGTGTACTTGTCCCATACGTTCGCGAATCGCACGTTCAGTGGCTCGCCCATCATCTCGCTCGCTCTCCTCGGGTGAAGATGACTCTACAACAATCAGTACTGGCAGAGAATGCGTGCGCGCTCACAAGATGGGCTTCTCATATTATATGACGTCGACGAGAGACAATGGTAGCATACTACATAGCATAGGGAGTGGCCAGATGTAATGTACCCTCCTTGATGATTCTATATACTATCCGCGGAACTTCGGTGGTCTGTCTCAGCTGCGTCAATAATCATTATCACGGTATGCAGACTTCAAGGATTGCATTTGCCAGAATGTACTTACATACTTAATTGTACGTTGTTCCTTACTCGTGCTTGATATCTGCTTATGTCTATCCTCACTGTTTCGCGCTTGTTTGATCAAGTACGCAAGGAGAGTAAGTGATTATCAAGCAGGAATCTAAGACATGAAGACTCGTAAGGTCCGTCAAGACGTGCTAAGTAACGTGCACATTTGCTGATGGACGTGCATGGCAAATGTCGCAAAAGTCTTCTGCGATGATTTCTTCCGAGTCCCAGCCCCACAGCGTGTTCTCTCCAAACTTTGGTATTTTAACGATGTCCGGGAAGAGTCCGTCCCGTATATCTTTGCAGTCTCCGCTCTCGCAATCGGCGAACCAGCTGTCGGGTCCAGTGATCACTCCAGTTGGGTAGAGGATGGCGCGCGCTGCCGCAGCATGCGCGTACATCAACTCCTTCTTTCCGTCGATACATATTGCTAGGTCACTCGGACTGAGGCAATCCTGCGAGCCGTCGGTCGGCCCGAGGGTTTCCCAGCACAAGTGTCTCGGCTTTGAGCTGACAGCACAGATAGAACGCGGTAGGCAGGATACTCCATTCGCCGGTCAGTCGAGCGAGGTTGACGGCGGTGATTGCGTCTCGATCTTGATACCGAACAACGGACTGGACGGTTTGCTGCCGGCCACTTGAGTCGAAGCTTCGATATATGATATCAGGTTGGTCGCGGAAGCTCGTTGTGAAAACCGTCTTCAGCAGTCGAAGGCCTTCGGCTTCAGCGATGTCAAGTTGATATTTATGCCCTAGTTGAACGAGGGCTGCTGCAGCGGAGAATGCTATGGGTTCTCCAGCGGGCATCAAATATCTGAAGCGCAGTATAAACAAATAAGCACAACCGAAGGAAGCAAAAAATTCCGGATCTGAGCACTCGCCTCCTATTAAATAAAAATCGCAGCAGATGTCGGAGATCATCCGCGGAGTCCGACAGCTTGACCAAAGGGCAGCCATCTATCCCATTTACGTCATCTGGCTGAGGTAGAGACAGCAGGCCGCTGAAGACTGTGGACTCGCGCAACAGGATACCATGATATACACGAAATGCGCGCCTCTCGGCGACGAGGACGATACTTCCGTCCAGAAACCAGAGCTCTTCGTCGCGCACAAGTTCGAGGTCTATGACGAGATACCGAGACAGTCAGTTTTCCACATTTCGACCATCCTGAGTGGCCAATGCCCTGGTAATGAGGGATAGAGAAGTCACCTTGTGTAGAGGCTGAGACCGTACGACTGTGACCGTCGGATAGGTTTGCCATTGCGTTTCACAAACCCAGCTGTGGTGCGGTTTTGTCTGCCGATGTGTGGGTTCGACACAATCCCTTCGCTGTAAGCTTGTGGAGTGTCTTTGTCTGAGACTACGCAGGTATGTTTTTGACCGCGATGATCGTCAATTGCAAGTTTGCCGTGGGCGCCGTGTGTGGCCACCCCCTAGCAACCCCCTAGTACATACTTTCCGGATTTGGAACAGCACTGTGGACTTACCAAGTGGACTCAGGGCATGCGGGCTACGCGTCGCGTATACTGTGGCTGACCCAGCTTTGCAAAACGGACCAGATATGCAAAATGACGATTGTGCCCTCATACAGGGCCAAAACTCTTCGGAAAAAAAGGTTTTGAATTGCTTTGTATGCTACCATTATTGTATCAGATGCTCGGAGGGCGGGACGCGATATGCGTGGAAAGAAAAATGCAATGCTCTGTTTTCGGCGGGAGGGCGAGTCTCGTTTGCACGGCTGCCGACTGCATGTTCCTGCCTTCGTAAACATACAGAAATATTCATGCATGCAATCAATAAGTATAAGAATGGTACTATGAGAAAGAATCCCGCGGACCCTCCGATTTGAAGTGTGCGGGACAGCTTTGCAAACGTGTTTGCAAAGCTGGGTCAGCCACAGTAGATGTCTCAAGGAGTCAAGCTTCAAGGACGTAAGCGCAAGCCTGCTTGTGACATCGGTAAAGATACACACGGGTTTTGCAACTGCTGGAACGCACTCCCCGGCTTGCGCGACCGGCGATGGTCTACAGCTTACGCACAAGAGCACGAGTACAGCCTACGGTTTGGAAAAATATCGACATAGCGAGCCGGGCGATGGATAGGATAGTAAGTACACAAAGTGGTGGAGTCCAGGAGCGCTCAGCGACAAATCACTCAGGACGTTTGTTTCCTACGCACTGGAGTCAGACATCAGCGTATGTTACAGAATCATGGCCGATAGGCGTACCTGGGCTTCAGTCGCCGATTGTCCTGGGACTGTACGAAATTTTGACCACATCCACAAGATGTTTGAGCTGGTTCATGACCGAAGGATCTACACCCGACTCGTCGTCCTGGAAAGTTATCAAATGCAGTTCCTTCAGTCGCGATCCCTGTGCATTCCTGTAGCGTAGGACATCCAAAACCAGGTTGACGGTCTCAGAAAGGTCCGGCACGTAGATCCCGACAACTTCGAGCCCCGAGCATACCACCGCGTGCACAGCAGATGTGGCAGGCTGACGTAGAGCAGCCAGAACGGGGGAGGCGCCATAGATGCCTGCCACTCGCAGTTTCGCCAGAAGAGGGTATCGACAGAGCAATTCAAGGCAAAGTGATTCGTCCAACGTACGAGTCCAGGTGGTTTGAAGGTTTAAGAACGTCAGGGGCGAGAGCGAGAACGCGCTCATCATCTCACGTATCAACAAGGCGGCGGTTTCCTCCCTCCGCTGTGAGGGTATCACGAACCGCAGCAAAGGGTCGTGCTCCTCGTCCTGAATCGGCCAGGCGAGCAGGTTGAAATGATCACTCAGCACGACGCGGATATATTGTATTGACGAGACAACGGCCACATTAGCCATTTGCCTGAGCATCGCTACGGCGGACAACGTCGGCGGCTCGGCGAACTCGGGGAGGACAACCAACGATATGTGTGTCGCTTGAGGGAAGGCAAATTGGTCGAGGATGGCGAACATGTGGTCGGGGGGTAGCTCGAGTTTGAGGGTGCCCAGTTCTCGCATTGTAAGTCGCTGAGGGAATCCCTCCCCCTCCGAGCTATCTTCTTGCCTGGAAGCAGCGAGGTCCACGCCGCCGATTGCGAATTGCGAGTATGTTGATTGTTGCGTATGCATCAGGCAGAGGGACACGAGCCTCGGACAGCGCCTCAGTAGAGAGGGCCAAGCCGCGCGATTGGGCGCGCAGGTCGACATGTCGAGATACGTCAGGTTGCTGAGAGGAGCGACCACCCGCAGAAATATGTTCCTGACCCAAATCGTGCGAAGTCGGGCAGCGCACTCGGCAGGCAGCTGTAGCGTATCCTCCGTGTATGGACTTCTGTATATGCCGTACGACAACTCCAGAGTTTGCAGATTCACCATTAGACTCAGGTTACGTGCGAGTCTCCACAGGCCACGGTCCACTGATAAGTCGGCGATTTTCAAGGAAGCTATGCGGTGCTCCTCTCGGGCCAGAACTTGCATTGCAAACTCAGAGTAGCCCATATCCGCGTGAATCTGCAAAGAGGCATTTTTGGAACGCCTTAGACATAGTTGGGCTATGTCCAGTTCGCGTATGTGACGGCTGTCGAAGTGGATCACGTCCCACAAAAGCGGGGCGTTCAAAGCAGCTACGCGCCAGCGGTGGCAAACATGCGTTGTCCCGATCCACTGCTTCAACGACTGAGAGACGTCATGTTTGATGTTGCGGATGATCTCGACAAGCAACTCGTCAGGGAGCTGATTGACAGGAGCCGAATAGTTCAGGATGGCGTGGAGATTCTCAAGACGACGGTGAGAATTGGCGAGAATGCGGTGGACTTCCTCGACTTGGTTCTCTGCCCACACGCGCATTTCAGATCTGGACATGCCAGCCACGGCAGCCATGTCATCGTTGACAATTGTATGAGCGTGTATATCATGCGCCATCGCGAACCTCTTGAGACCGAGACTGGTGATACATATATATCAGCACCTATGAATGCCCTGAGATGACATATCGAGAGACATACGTAGTCTGGTGAAGGATTGATTCTCTCCACCGCGCCTTCACTGTGCTAGTAGTGTGCACCCTACATTGACAGCAAACGTTAAGCCTGAACACGCCGGAGGCACAGCGCGCTCAATGGTACTATAAGAGCAGCGTGAGGAGGCGCACCTGAGACTTTATGGCATTAGTTTACCAGAGACTCTGAGTCGCAGTCAACGTTCTATCACCGTGACAGCAACTGAGCAAGCCAAGTCTTGGACACTGGCAGCGGCCGCGTCAACTTCTGGTGCGTGGGAGTCGCGATGAATGAGCCGGGTGGAGCTGAACCGATTCCAGCCTGCCTCGATCGAGATCTTGGAAGTGATCTGACATTCCCTCCTCCTCCTCCTCCTCCTCCTCCTCCTCCTCCTCCTCCTCCTCCTCCTCCTCCTCCTCCTCCTTTGCCCCCTCTTCCTCTTCAGCACTTGAGCCTCTCCGCCTGAGTTCTGACGTTTATCATCCAATATATCTACAATGGCGGACGAGGACACTGCCCGCCTGTGCGAGCAGATCATCCGCTCGCATTTCGGACCACTGACTGCAGTAAGTCATACCCGTAGGTCGACCGAGTGTCTCGAATAATCATCCCACCAGAAAGTAGCATCTGTACTACTTTGTCGCGGACGCATGCCTCTCCCGAACATCATCCGCTTCTCCGGGCTGAAGCCGCGTACCGTGCGCGCCGCCGTCCTCGTCCTCGTGCAGCACAACGTCTTGTGGCACGCGCAGTCCGAGGAGGAAGGCGAGGTCCTTGAGATCAACACCGACGAGTGCCTTACGCGCCTGCGCTTCGGGCGATTCGTCTGGCAGGCTGAGCAGCTGCTCGGGAAAGCGGTGCGATGTTTCGCGTCGACATTCGTGCAGAGTAATTTACGCCCCCTTCACAGGCCGCGGAAATCGTCCAGCTGATCTTGGACCACGGCAAGCTGCGCCCTCCAGACATCATCTCACATCTGTCCATATACGACCCGGTGAAAGGTACCTCGCTTACAGGTCCTCTCATGTCTTTGAATTGACGCGCCGTCCAGCACCGGCGAAGTACTCACAAGCCCTACACAAACTTGTCGATGGCCACTACCTACGACCGTCCACCGCGCTTTCGCACCTGTCCCCTCGCGACAAGCGCATCCGCTACGTGGCCGAGGAGAAGGCAAAAGTCTCAGGTTTCCCCACCGCGAAGGAGCTGAAGCAGGCGAAGGAGACGGCAGAGGCTCGGATCAGGCGGGAAGAGGAAGAGGCAGAGCAGATTGGCATGGTATGTCGATGCAGCCCCTGTGACTCGGACACGCAACATAATGCGTATAGCCTCGCAGAAACGGAAAGCGAAGGACCAGTCGGGGCGATCGTCGAAGGTACGCTTCTGCGCTATCGGCCTGTATCGCGGGCTTATGCATGGGAGACAATAGCGGAAGGCCGTGGAAGAGGACGAAGTTGACGTATGTCCTACCGAGTTCTATCATCCTATCGCAGACTGAATCGATCTTCGACCCAGGATGCTGTCTACTTCCGCGTCAACTCCGAGAAGTTCAACATTTATATCCGCAATAAGGTATTGACATTGTAAAGGCTTCTCGCACTGATGTCTGACGCTCCACCTAACAGCTCATAGAGTCTGCGGCGACAGAACGCTTCAATGAATGTGCAGGGATCGTCATGCGCGCCACGCTCCAGGCGACAGAGGCAAAACAAAGACGGCTCACAGACATCCGTACAGGTATCCTCTTGTCTATCGCTATTTCCTTCTGTTATTGATCACCATGACCTCAGATCCGACGTCCATTGCAAACATCGCCATGCAATTGACCGATGACGACGATCTATCTACTGGCCTGGTGCTCCCTTCGTCCAAAAAGCCGAACACCATCACCCTCCTCAAAGACTACCTGGGCATATTGGCATCCGCAGATAACCCGACGCCCGCCGGCCGAGCAGCATCGTTCGTGTCGGTGAGCGGGTCCAAGGTCCAGGTGGAGTTCGAGATCGTCGGGCGGCGTCTCAGGCGACGCATCCTGGAAGCTGCCGCGAGAGAGCGGCACGGAGACGATGGTGTCAGGGTTGTCCGGCTCCTCCTGGACACGGGGAAGATGGACGAGAAGCAGGTGGGTACGCTGACGAAGGACGGGGGCGGAGGCTGATGACGAGGGTGCAGATCTCCAAGATAGGCATGATGGCGAACAAGGACGTGCGCCCGCTGCTGGCGGCGATGTCGGCGAACTCGATTATCAGTCTGCAGGAGGTGCCAAAAAGCGCGGATCGAAATCCGACGCGCATGTTCTACCTATGGTACGGTCGTTGGGTATACATGGTTGGTATGTAGACTCATGAACGCGCAGGTATGTCGATCTCCAAAAAGCATACGCGACCATCTTGGACAACCTCTACAAGACGCTGTACAACATCAGCATGCGGCGACAAGCAGAGGAGGAGGAGCCCCTCGTGAAGGCGGTGTTGGAGAAGCGGCAGCGGAGCGACGTGAGTCAGGACGAGGAGCGGCTGCTGACGCGGAACGAGCGGGAGACGATCGCGCAGTGGGAGAAGAAGAGGGAGAAGCTGGCGGTGTTGGAGATGCGGGTGGAGGAGGCTGTGTTTGTCCTGAGAGACCTCGCGCCGTTAGGCAGCAATGAAGAATAATAGACACAATTTGGACTCGAAGTGCCGCCAACGGTGGCGGTCCTAACCTTGCTCGCGTCGCGCAACTAGCGAGAACTTGGAACGGAACTCAAGCTTGAGAGCTTGAGCGCTGAGCATCGGAGGCATCAGTCGATAGAACATTGATCAATCATAAGTTGGTACATGGATGAATTCGAACAACTGCATACTGACTGCACAAAGAAGTCAGTGTTATTTGGGCTCCTCAGTGATGGGAGCAGTATCGCACGTCAGCCGTCGACCATGTTCTGGCAGCTGGCTGGGTCGCTACAGGTGGAACCGATGCACCCTCTGTTGAAGGAATAGCCAGGGGTTAGCTGGCCGGTCGAGCACAATGAACAGGCAACATGGCCCGTCTTCGCTAAGTACGTGAAGTTGTCGGATAGCCTAGTTGCGTCTGCCGTGGCAACCATGCCTTTCTCTGGCATCTAAGGGCCCGAACAGGTGTCAAGCTTGGCCTGACCACTCAACTAACCCGCAGCCCTGTCATATATGTCTCTTTTCGCAGAGACATGACGAACACCACAGGAGACGGGGTTCGCGCAGGCATCGAGGGTGGCACAACACTTACACGAGACAGAGTGTCCTGCGAGCCTGAAATTAATTTGGTCACCGACTGGACAAATGCAGAGACGCACCATTCGCTACGATCAATCATCACTGCCTTGGATCCATGAGGACTTGTTTTGGTTCGTCTGTCCAGAGCTCTGGGGGTCTGCTTATGCCTAGAACAGCCATACCGTGATGTAGTCTAAGAGAACGGCGAGCGTGAGCCTAAAGCCGAAAAATCTCGCTGCGGGACCTGAGCCTGAGCACCGAGGGCTGAGCAGTGAGCAAACAGTGAGTACATACATTGAAGGTTGGAAGGCGAGCATGGGGGCGTGAGCACAGAGCAAGCCCCAGAGCCGCCTTGTGACTTCGCAAAGCAGACACATGTAGATTAGCATACACCGTCACAAATAACAGAAACCAAGTGTGAACAGAGGGCCAACGTTTTGGAGGAGAGGGCCTTGCTCTGGCGAGCAAGAGACCTGGAGAGCGCGTTGCTCGTACTCGTGGATTGTTGAATGTTTCTTGTCTGCAAGCACGCGGTACATACCCTCGTGAGACGTTGCACGAGCGCAATATGCGTGAAGGTGAAACTATCTGAGCGAGCGATGGCTGGCCACCGCCCCGACGACTGGCAGGGCGAGGAGACGGAGAGCGGGGGGGCAGGGGAGGTGGATGCCAGAGCACAGGCCGCACCCCGAAACGCACGGGCCAGGCGAGGTGGCTCGCGCCCAAGCGCGTGCGCGCAAAATAAGGTTCGCATTCAACAAGACGCGTCTCGACGCGCACGTGACCCGCGACGCGTCCCGCGTATATATAGCCCGGGTCGCGCGCATCCCCACCCACATCTCCCCTAACCGCAGCTCCGGTTCCCCCCTCGCTCCACACCTGCCTAACCTTAAACCGACTACATACCTTTGCAATGGCTGTCACTAAAGCTACTACGAGGTCGACTACCACTAAGCCCAGGGCTGCCAAGTCCAAGGAGGTCAAGCCGAAGGAGACTAAGGCGAAGGCACCTAAGGCGGCTGCCGGCAAGGAGAAGGTTGTCGCCGGTGCCCCTCACCCATCGTTCAAGGACATGATCAAGGTACGTTACTTCGTGTGTGCATACTGCCAGGTCATTGACGGTCGCTGTGCAGGAATGCATTGTCGATCACAAGGAGGAGGCTCGTACAGGTGTATCGCGTGCCACTATCAAGAAGGTATGTGACTATGCTGTCATATACTATGTGCTGTTCTCAACATTGATCTCGATGCAGTACATCAGCGAGAAGTACAAGCTTGACCTCGAGAACAATGCTTCGAACGCGTCCCACCTGAACCGGGCCATCGCGTCTGGTGAGAAGGAGGGTATCTTCGCCCTCCCCAAGGGACCTTCTGGCAAGGTCAAGCTCGCCCCCAAGAACAAGCCCGCTGCCAACGAGGTGAGTATTGCATATACATCGCCGGGCATATCTTAACTCAGTATTATCGTAGAACGCGCATCCTGCCGGGGAGAAGCCACACAGAGAGAAGGCCGACAAGGTCACCAAGCCTGTCGCTGCGGCCAAACCTCTCAAGAAGCCTACTGCAAAGGCTGATGCCCCCGCAAAGAAGACCAAGGCTGCTGCAGCACCCGCGAAGAAGACTCTCAAGGCCGCCGACGCTCCCAAGAAGTCAACAACAAAGGCTGCTACCGCACCCTCGAAGCGAATGAAGAAGGATGCGCCCGCGAAGAAGACGACCAGCGCGAAGGCGAATGCTAAGAAGGTACGTTTCCCTCATGTCCATTGTGTATGCGTCGTTGATGATTGTTCGTTCGCGTGATAGCCCGTTGCGAAGGCGGCAGCAAAGACGGCGGCGGATAAGCCTAAGTCAACCGCGAGCGCTAAGCCCCGGTCGAGAGCCAAGAAGGTCGGTCCCCATTGTCCACCCTTTTCGGAAACGTGCTGACTTCTGTTCATAGCCCGAGTCTAACGTCGTGTAAGCGGCGGATGGTCTTCGTGTGTCTCTTGTCTTTGGGCTACATTATTAGTTTCTGTTATTCCTTATCTCTACCATCGGTCCCGTCGCCTAGTGTCACTGGTCTGTACGAGTATGTGCACCTGTATGAAGAAGCATCTAGTCTTTGTCATGCTCCGTTAGTTCTATCTATGTTACTATGGATTTATGACCTACTCAAGTGTTGTGCTGCCATGCCAAGTGCACAGTGACTGACGACGACGGTATGTCTTTAAACTCAAGTGACAAGTGTCCGGACAGGGACCGCGGTAGTGTGGTTGCGTGTCACCTGAAACCTATGTATGTAGTTCCATGTTTTTGCCACATACTGTAGATCCCTTCCCGAAGATGCGTACACAAGCTTTGTTCAGTCTTGTCCTCAGGTGACCTACATGCTATGTCTGTCGACCTCAGCTTCATACTTGGGTTTAGTTCGCCCTCAAGACTGATCGTTGTTGTAGAAAGTTGATCGGGATGCAGCGGCGATACCAACATCGACGAACCACACTGCGACGAGGAGTCGAGCAATAAAGAATCGGCTGCGATAAGTCATTCAACATGAACACCGCGAGGGAGTGATAGTACATACATTGTGAAGAACGATGTTGGCTGCGGAGAATGGCCGACACGATCCCTAGGGCAGGGACTTCTGTCTAGTGAGCTAGTGCTTCGTATTCATGCTTTGTGACATACCTGTAGGCTGTAGAAAGCCCCGTCCGCGCGCGACACACCATCTTTCTACGCCGTCGCTCCTCCTCCGACTGTTCTGAAGGGAAGACCGCCATCCATTCTCATAGTGCGCTGCTCAGTCATGTTCATGCACGCTACATCAAGGTACATAGGTTGATTGACTTACTGCATGGCATACCAACCCTGCATCCCTTGCGATAAGCTGCTCTCCTGATTCCACTCTCATAGTGTCGGGAGATTATAATTCAAAACAAACGTCCTATGCCTTTATGCGAAGAACAAAGACGGCGCCTCATATCGAGTTGCTGTGGATTTCTCGATACCAACCAGGCCTCCTTGACCAAGTCGCTCTGTGACAATCACTAGGGCTGCATCCTTGGAGAAGAATCGCAGCACGGCGGAAAAGAAACAAATATGAGGTGCCAACGTACCGGTGCATCCCTCAGAAGGACAGAACGAGCGCAAACTTACTTTATCTGACCACATCGCCAGACGAGCTGCCAGACTTTACCTGCACAATGTACCTCTGGTTAGAATTCAGAATATCGTACTCGCGGTTGCATAAAGCTTGCATACCTGCGACCCTCTGCGCCAAGTCGAAACCACATCGCCAGGATCCATGACTTCTGACTGCGAGGCTCCTCGTCAGTTTCCATCTACATACAGTATACGGCCGTTCATCCAGTTATGACGGAGTACGGAATGAGTCCGCGGCGTCGAGATACTTATCGACGCGTCCACAGTCGCCCGCGGAACCGGGATGAGCGCGACCACGTCACACGAGCGCGTCGCGCTCACGGTATGCAACCAAGGGCCAGCGTGGAAAGTACGCGCCGTCGGTCGCACAAACATTGTGATCATGCGTACCTTGGTTTTGATCATGCGTACCTATAACCAAGGCCCGGGCTCTTTATCACCAGAGTCACGGCGGAAGATGCAACCCGTCAATCTCGAATGACAACAAACAAGGCTCTTCAAAACCATGCACGTCTAAGAATTCTGCGGGATTCCGATGCCCATTCGCATGCGCGAATCGTCCCGTACGGATCCACCCAACGCTGCAACTGAGTACTACGTGATCTTGCATGGTACGCGTCAGTGTCCAGTCCCAATGCATGCTATCCTCTTACAGACTTACCGCTACTGATGACCTCAGCTTCCTATCAATGCAACATACACGCAGCACTACTTACGTATGGTGGATGACGATTCGAGGAGCAGGTTCGAGAGGTCCGAGTGCAGGATAGTCTCCGTAGCTGACCAAAAAGAGATACTCTCGTTTTTGAGTGCAGGACGAAGAAAGTAGAGTTACACGTGCGTATCTTTCCTTTTTTGGCGGTAGTGCACAGCACTTCAGTATGCAAGTCAGTATCCGAGTCGAAGTATATCTTCACCTGGAGCTCGCTGTGTTCACAGGCTTTCTTAAGCCGATTCCCGCTGGGGCTGAGCGACCGTGGACACAGTAGACGACAGAGGCGTTGATATGGGATGAGGCGTGGCGGCCTTCGCGCGGACCTCTTTCGTACTGACCCACTAGTACTTACTCTACGCAGCAGCAGAACTCTCCAATTCACCGACTAGGAACGAGAGGCGGGGAACAGTGTTGGATCGAATGATTGACTAAACAGGTCCGCCTCCACAACCACATACCTCGGGATACCAGGGGAGGGTGTCTTGGACTATACCGGCCAGAAGATGACGGCTCTCACCGACAAGGCCCATTTCCGCCCTAGCCATTGCTGCCCCATCGACGTTGCAACATCGTCGCTCACGAGCCTCGTAGAGCTCGACGAGGAAGCAGGCGAATGATCGAACCTAGCGAAGTGAGACTGCACACTTGCATGTGCAACGCGACGTACCGGTTGTGTGTCGCATGGACGGCTGGGGGACTACTGGTCGACACCCTCCTTGAGAGCGCTGCCCGCTCCAATAAACATTGGCATAAGTATGCGAAAAGGGTTGCCTGCAGATCGTAAGGTAGTTCATGCATGATGAGTACGAGTGTGCCGCCATTGGTCAGTGCTCGAGGGTGAGCGTGAGCGCAGCGTTGACCAAGCGCCTGCATATATGGACCTCGTCGCGTACCTGGGCAGCGACCACCCACACACGCCAGGAGGCACGGCCAGAGCACCGAGTAAGTACCAGAGCATCGGACAGAGCGACAACGACCCCAGAGAGCGAAGACTACCAGCACCAACGAGGAAACCATCATTCCAGTATCGAGATGCCAGTGATCAGTCAACTGCGTCCGTTCCGCTTCATCGATAACGCAACGAAGCGATATGCAAGGGCCTACAAGCAGGCACTGGCCCAGTTCGAGGGTGCATCGTTCGTCGAGAAGGGGGTGATCTGGCGCAAGCTTGTCCAGAAGTTGGACAGAGAGTGGATGATCTTCATGAGGATTGCGGGCGCATGCGCAACGTGAGTGTTCGTACGGTGCCTGAGCTAACTTGGACCCTGACGTAGCCTTGTAGGTCAGTCATAGGGCTGCTATCGACGTCGAGCATCCCATCGGGTCCACTCACCTTCGCTTTCGGGATGGTGTGCGTCGAAGCATCTGCCTTCTGTTTCGCATACTGTGTGGTGTATCGCATTTACATGCCGCGTATGAATGAACACCTGCGAGGCTTCGACTGGTTGGCGGTGAGTCGCTTCGTAACGGGAGATGGTGCACAAGTGCTGATCCTCACCTAGGAATCGAAGGCGGTCCCCGACTCCTCATGGAAGTCGGCCCCGCGACTACTCACGGTGCCCGCGGGGTGGATGGCATGGTAAGAGGACCAGCACATGCCTGGATGCGGATGTTGCCCTGACATACGGCCAGTGCTACAGTGACCTTCGTGGCGTTCCTTCTGACCGAGCTGTGGGTGGGCATAGGAGGAGATTCGGTGGCCCAGTCTCGCAAAGGGAGTGTCGTGCTGTCTGCGATAGCGACGATCGAACTCGTTGGGGGCTTGATCCAGGCAGCCTTCGTCATGCCCGCCTTCATGAGGTTGTACAAGCCCGTCGACAGTCTTGTCTAGCAGACGATATCCCCCTTTTCTGTCGTTCTGCAGGACGGCTTGCGTTTCGTTTCCTCCTGTTAGCTAGAGTTAGCCATGGCAATCTATTGTCAACTAGCAGATGTCATATTTTTCCTGCAACGGACAATCGCCTGTTGAGAGAAAAGCGTAGGATAGAGGAGATGGTAGGCGACATGGTGGAGCATGGCGGAAGTTCACTCGACTGCATGTGGACCCCGTCCACCACCAATTACTTAGCGATCCACCGATTAGGCGCCGTGGTCCGGTCCACCCCACCTTGATCCCACCTGCAGGTGCTCCTTGTCGAAAGATACGCCGGGCGCCTTCACACTTGTTTGTCGCTGTTGATGATCTCGCCCAACTTGGGAAGCATGGGTCAAGGCGCCTTCGTCGATGCGTTTTTTTTTCAGCGACATGCCCGGCACGGTGCTAGGTTCAATGACACAAACCCTCTTCGACGAGTCTTGACTGGAATCAAGACTATGTTTAGGCATGGTGCAGATCATCAACAGCGACAAACAAGTGTGAAGGCGCCCGGCGTATCTTTCGACAAGGAGCACCTGCAGGTGGGATCAAGGTGGGGTGGACCGGACCACGGCGCCTAATCGGTGGATCGCTAAGTAATTGGTGGTGGACGGGGTCCACATGCAGTCGAGTGAACTTCCGCCATGCTCCACCATGTCGCCTACCATCTCCTCTATCCTACGCTTTTCTCTCAACAGGCGATTGTCCGTTGCAGGAAAAATATGACATCTGCTAGTTGACAATAGATTGCCATGGCTAACTCTAGCTAACAGGAGGAAACGAAACGCAAGCCGTCCTGCAGAACGACAGAAAAGGGGGATATCGTCTGCTAGACAAGACTGTCGACGGGCTTGTACAACCTCATGAAGGCGGGCATGACGAAGGCTGCCTGGATCAAGCCCCCAACGAGTTCGATCGTCGCTATCGCAGACAGCACGACACTCCCTTTGCGAGACTGGGCCACCGAATCTCCTCCTATGCCCACCCACAGCTCGGTCAGAAGGAACGCCACGAAGGTCACTGTAGCACTGGCCGTATGTCAGGGCAACATCCGCATCCAGGCATGTGCTGGTCCTCTTACCATGCCATCCACCCCGCGGGCACCGTGAGTAGTCGCGGGGCCGACTTCCATGAGGAGTCGGGGACCGCCTTCGATTCCTAGGTGAGGATCAGCACTTGTGCACCATCTCCCGTTACGAAGCGACTCACCGCCAACCAGTCGAAGCCTCGCAGGTGTTCATTCATACGCGGCATGTAAATGCGATACACCACACAGTATGCGAAACAGAAGGCAGATGCTTCGACGCACACCATCCCGAAAGCGAAGGTGAGTGGACCCGATGGGATGCTCGACGTCGATAGCAGCCCTATGACTGACCTACAAGGCTACGTCAGGGTCCAAGTTAGCTCAGGCACCGTACGAACACTCACGTTGCGCATGCGCCCGCAATCCTCATGAAGATCATCCACTCTCTGTCCAACTTCTGGACAAGCTTGCGCCAGATCACCCCCTTCTCGACGAACGATGCACCCTCGAACTGGGCCAGTGCCTGCTTGTAGGCCCTTGCATATCGCTTCGTTGCGTTATCGATGAAGCGGAACGGACGCAGTTGACTGATCACTGGCATCTCGATACTGGAATGATGGTTTCCTCGTTGGTGCTGGTAGTCTTCGCTCTCTGGGGTCGTTGTCGCTCTGTCCGATGCTCTGGTGCTTCTCCTTGGTGCTCTGGTCGTGCTTCCTGGCTTGTGCCGGTAGTCTTGCTTGCTACTCAGCGAGTTGTAACGCAAGCGGCGCCTGGTCTCGGGTTGCCTTTTGCTGTGTCCGCGCTTATGACTCTCGACTGCTTGAAGTGTCCTTCACCCTCTGTCCTTGGGCAACGCACCATCGGAGCACCCCGGAGGCTCGGTCTTGCTGCGAAACTCACTCGTATCCACCCATGCTGGCTCGACTACCTTGCGATCTCTAGGCAACATGTTCGATGTGCATATCATACACGACCAGTTTTTCTGCTTTGCGCTGCACACGCACTCTCACTTCACTGGCTTCGATCATCCGCCCAGTTCTTCGTCTTCAAGCTCAGTCAGGGTGGTGAACGATGATCGATGATGTTGGAAGGTTTGTGATTATCGAGGCGATGGGTCCTGTCTAGGTGAGAGTCCTCGGCTCGTAGACTTGAGCCTCGCCTTCTTCCTGGTAGTCTTGATTCCTTTCCGTGTCGGTATGGACGTCATTTTGGATGTGGATGTGTTGTTAAAAGTGAACCATTCGACCGAACCTTACTCCCGCCTGTCCTTCTCGGTGGTTGAGCTCGAGAGATCTGTCGCTGTGTAGAATAGTGGGTTAGTACGAATACAATGCAGACAGCAACGCCTCATTCCCATCTCAACGCCTTCGTTGTCCACCGTGCCCACAAATACCCAGGCTGAACAAGAACCGGAACCGGAACGCCTCTGAGCGAGAGCACCGGCATACATAGTACTCTTGATATCTACACTAGGAGTTGCGCGCTTAATGTGACCAGAAAGGAAATCGCACAGTGGACGCACGTGCCACGACGATTGCTTTCACTGTCGAGCACAATCTCTTCGTCGTCCACGACGCCGACTACCATTTCCGACTTTTGCACTGCGCGTATTCTCTCCGCTGTGAATTGGAGCTGTGGGTAACTGTGAGTTTTTGTAGATGGCAAGCGTATAGAGCGGATCTGACGCGTACTGCGCAGGGCGCATCGCGTATGCCGCGTCCGAGTCGCAGGCCAGGATGATTGCATCCAAGGCGATTCGCGCATGCAAATGGACATTGACACCTTGCAGATACACTGGGGCGTGCCTACGTGTATATCTCTGAAGAGTACGCTGTTTTTCTCCGGATCGACAAGATGTCGTGTTCTTCTGGCGCGTCTTGGTGACAAAGAGCACGGGCCACAGCTAACGGTACGCAGAACGTCCTGCCCACACGATTCTGACGATCTTGCAACTGACTGCGCGTACTTTTAAAGCTGATTCTTGGTCGCGTACCTTGCGATGCGGTCGGATGACGTGTGGTCGCACTCGTCCTGTTCGACGACGGTGTGCGCGTCGACCGCGGAGTTGGCTTCCACTTCGTCAAGTTTGAAGAATAGACGGCCGTATTTCTGGGTTAAGATTAACGAGGAGCCGTACATTCAGAGGTCATGGATGCTGGCGAGACTAGTCTACATGGTATCGCCTCGGCGCGAAGGTATGCGAGCTTTGTGCAAGTGCGGTTCCGATGATCGTCGTACTCACGACAAGTGGCTTTGCACAGTGAAGCCTTGATTGTCCGTCTCACGATCTGGCCAGCTGAAATGAGGCTGTTCTCTGGTCTGTCCACCCGTGGAAGGAGGCATCGGTGAGCTGACACCACAGATGGTCCAATCTACGCCGTCCGACTGTCGACTCAACCATGTTCTCATTTTTCTTCTGCAGGATGTAGCCATACATGGAGACTTGATCAAGCTGGCCTCGGAGTATGGATTTCTTGTCGACCTGCTCCTGCACACGAGACATGAATCTCATGCTTCTCTCGTATCGTCGAAGCGGATTCAAAAAAGCGGCTTTGCGCGAGAAATTAGAGGTTGGCGTGAGTCTATTCACATATATCGATGTGGCATGCGTGAACATATAATCGTTAGCAGAGCATGAGATAGATCTCTACTGCTGCCTTGCCTCAAGAGTGGTGTCGGATGAGCTGTGCAGTAGAAGCGTCGTGTCGACCGTGGTGTGTGCATATGAGGACGGGGATTCTGCCGGTATGTCTCAGGCCATGACATACGAAGCACTAGCTTACTCGGCAGGGGCTCCTGCCGTAGGGATGTCGTGCCGGGCGCTCTCAGCACAGGCTACATATTCGCAAATCCTGGCGAGCGCGCCCACTCTGGGGCGATTGCGCTCAATTGATGGGGGAGCCAAGACCGCGCATTCCACGTCATGCTGCACTGGTCTCGGACGGGCCTGCGGATGCTTGGGAGGGTTTCCTGGGTCGCCATACTGCAACAGCCACAGCCGGTCACGGTGGCGACTATTGTGCTGGGAGCCCCTGTTGTTGCACCCCTCGCAGGATGCGCACAGGCAAAGGCCGCCCGCAGAGACAATGGGACGCCTGAGTCGGGATTAGCCCTGACACGCGTCAGGTCATCGGGGGTTGAATTCACGTGACGTATACGTACGCGCGCCGCGTCATGATCGGGAGAATTTGTCGGTCCTTGCCCGTCACGGTGGCGCAGGCGCGCGGTCTGGGCGAGTCGTTATCGTGAGTCGCAGGCCCATGCCCTCGCTGACATTTCCTAGGGACAGGCCGCAATGGCGGGCTCTGGGCACCCGGGGCGCCTGCGTGTGCGCTGCGCCCGCGGTTGATGCTGCGCGATGCGGTGGGCGCAGGGCGGGGACGCGTCGGGCGGGGCGGGGAGAAGCGGAGGCTAGGGGCGTGACGCGTGACGTGGATCTCGATGGGAGCCGCGGCCATCAAGCGCGACTATTTTGGTAAGCGTGGCACGGTTACCGCCAGGGTCCTGCCGCGTCCGTACAACCTCACAAAGCGCGTGCTCTGCTCGCTCGCCTTCCTTTCTCCCCGACTACCAACTCCTCGCTCCTCAAGCCTCCGCCTGCCACTCGCTCGTCCGTCCCTCCTACCCACTTCCGCCTCCCTCTCCTCGCTGGACGACCCTTCTTGCACCCTACCCACGATTAATGGTCTGCACCACATGGTCGCGCCCGCCACAGTCTCAACCCCGCAGCGTCAGGCATCCGCCAACCACCAGTATGGCACGCGCATCCGCTCCAACTCGATCATCAAGCCCTCCATCCGTCTGCGCCACTCGGCTGCCTCTGCTGCATCCACTCCGAGGCGCATCAAGCCCGCGCCGACGCCCAAGTCTAAGAACGGACCCATAACTTTCGGCGTGCCACAGCCGGACTACCCACCTTTCCCACCGGACCATGTTATGTTACATCACGACGACGCAGACAGCAAGGTCTTCATGGCCATAGGACGTTCCTTCATGTCCGTCGTACGTCCCCTCATTGCGTGTAATCGCCGTGACCCTGTACCTGAGCGTTGTCGTTGCATACAGGATAATCGCGCTATGACCATCAAAGACCTCGCAGAAATGACTATGCAATACGGTATAATGTGCCAAAAGTGCGTCACTCGTCCGTCTCGTGTCATGCCTTCATTAATAAATAACGTGTGGCGGCAGCGTGTCCGCAGCGGGCCAGGCTATCACCACCTATATCCGGAACCACCTTCAACGCTGCGAAGTGCAACAGGACCACCCATTACTTCTCCGACACGTTCTCTCTGGTACAGCATCCGATGATGATCTCCTCCCAGCCTTGCACTCTCGCATGGGTGGCGCACATTGTGCGCTCAATCCGTCAGAGAGCAGAATCACCAACTTTAGGCGCGGAACCATGGTTTGGTACCTGAGCAGGGCCGCCGGTGCGCCATGCCCGTTCGCTAGGTGCGGGATCCGCCTGTGCGAGTACACAGAGAACGGGAAGGTCGGCGACGTTCCCACTTACGGCCGCGAGAAGAAACGCGAGAGAGATCGTCTCCGCCGTGCAGAGCACTGTGGCCAGAAGCGGAAGCGCTTGTTACGCAGCGCGTATGCTGATAAAGGATCAGACTCGGACTCAATGAGCGAAGAAGAGAAGCGTCCCCCCAAGGTGAAACTCACGTTGCGTCTTCGACCTCTCAACGCGTCTAGCTCTGGGGCCTCGCTGTCGGCATCCCCCGCGCCGCAAGATGAAGTGCATGTGTGTCAATCGCAGCCGCACTCGCCCCCGGAGATCATCGACCTTTCCAAGGACGACTCTGATTGTGAGTCGTCGGGCTCCGAGGAGGACTCAGACGACGATGACTCCATGTCAGTGGACTCTTCATTGTCCTCTGACGCCGACGAAGACGTGCCACCTGCATCTGCATTTGGCGGCGATTCGCTATCGCCTTCTACTTATGGCGCACACTCAACTTTCTCCTCAGCGTCTCCTGATGTTTATCGACGCTCGACTTCTGCATCGCCTCCCCCAGATACTGAGGACGAAGAGGACGACTATCACCACAGCATGACGAACTCCCGTCGGTACTCGCTGGATCGTTACTCATCATGGGACGACGAGGACGAGGACGAGATGAACCTCGATGACAATTTCTGGGACATGGACAACGACGCGGAGACGCAGTGGGAGAGCCCTGGACCGCGATCACCTTCTGCTCAATTCGAGGATGTCATCTTTGTCAAGCAAGAGCCGAGCGACGTCGGTGGTATGCTCGATGCATGGGATGACCTCGACGCCAGGGGCGACCCCAAGGTTGTCGACGTCGTACTCCGAGCAGCAGCCGGCCTCGACACGGACTTCGTTAAGCCGAAGCTCGAGGAGATAGACTCCTGGGAGCTACCGCACTTCGCCGGCACCAGCTCGGATAGCTTCGTTACGAACCCGATAGACGACGCCACCAGCCATATCAAAGAGGAAGAGGTCGAGAGCGGCGTCCCGTTCCTGACCCGTGGATTGCATACCCCTTCCCCTGAACGTGCCTCACTGTCTCCGTCACCTATTTCGCCCATCTCACCATCGGCTCTTCCGCCGTCGTTCGTCGCGGAGCGCCGCGATAGTCACCTCATCTGGCGGGATGCAGAGCTCCTTGGTCCGGACAGTCTCAAGCCGCATGACCTTGCTGAGGGCGATTGGCGAGAGGGCCGTAGGAGCAGCGATATACCGTCCCCTGCGGCCGAACAGCCTCAGCCATCGAGTGTGGCTTCTACGAGCGCGTCGGGCGGTGACGCTCTACAGGGTCAGCAGGCACGCGTGGGGCCGCCGCCACCGCGTTTGGACTTGGCTTCGTCTGGGACGCGGGAACAAGGTTATCTTGTCCCGGATCTGTCTTCCCCGTCCCTGCTCTCGTCTTTGACTTCGCTGACGATCCACACTCCCACGTCCCCCGAGGCGCTCAAGGGTACGTCCCCGACGTCCCCTCCGCCTCACGGTCCTGGGCTCGCTGCGCAGCACGCCTCGTTGCGGCCTGCTCAGGATGAGGAGCCTCAAATCATTCAAACAAGCCAACCCTGCGATCCGCCCATCGCTGCTACGCAGCTGGAAGGTGTGTAATCGTAACATGTGTGTTGGAATGGAAGCTTACCGCGTGTGACCAGGCGTTAGTGTATATCAGATGACACTTCAGTCATCTCTAATCCTCCGGAGGCTCGACACCGGCTTTGTCTTGGTCGATCCTCTCCTGAAAGAGCTTGGGCTCCCATCGTCGTCCTCGCCGTTCCCCAATGCGATCTGTATAGCCAAAGGCTCTGCACAGGTGTGCGGTACATGGCTTCCGCTGACCGCAGCGCGCGACCTGTGCAAGGATCATCCCGTGGTGGCACTCTTCCTCTCTGATCAACTGCCAGATCGCTTCCCCGCCACTCTCCAGGAGCTTACCCGACATGCGCACCCGTTCAGCAGATGGCCGGGCTCGTTCGGACAGCATTTCAAGTCGACCATCGAGGCGAAGCGCCAGTCGCTCTCGTCACACCGTCTCGTCTTCCCGGCTGAGGATCAGGACATGTCGCAGTGGGCGAGCGAGGAGAACTTCCTCTCCATGCAATCTGCCCTCGCGCTCTCACATGCGATACTCCCGACACTCACCACGTCCCCAGAAGAGCACATGGCCCCTGAGCTGCCGCTCAGTCCGGCCGAGGAGAAGATGTTCAGAGAGCTGTGCTCTGATCCAGAGTGGGAAGCATCCACGCCCCCCTCGGAGAGTGCCGCTCTGGAGCGCTCGGAGGCGGCGGTCGAGGCTCCTCCTGCCGAGGCGTCTGCGACCGCGAAGGGGAAGGAACCACCGTGCCAGGACCGACCTCTGCGTCGGTCGAAGCGTGTCGCGGATGCCATTGCCATGGCGAACCGATCGAGGACCCGCTCGAGCAAGAGGGGTTCGCGGAGCTCGCTCTCGTGAAACGTGCGGTGATGCACACATTGCAGGCGACTGTTCAGGATGGTCGTGCTGCCTTCTCTCAGGTTTTGTTGTCTCCTTTTGTCGCGCGTTGCTTTTTGCGTTACTTATTGTCTTCGATTCTTCGACTCGACTGTGCCTGCGGTTTTTGTTCTCCAGTGTGTCATTGTGTTAGAAGTGTATCCCTACCGTCTGTTTTCCGCCGTCTGCGTCTCCCTCTTCGTGTTCCGCTGCTCGCACCCTTTCGGCGTGCGTGTGCGGCCGGTGCTGCTTCGTGATTCTGCAGCGAACCGACATCATTCATTCGGGCTGCTTCTGATTGACGGGCGTGCGGACGCCGGGCGATACCCTGCTCGCTGCGCTGGACATTGACCGAGTACGATAGACCCCCACTCCGTATAGTGCTAAGGTAGTGTAGTACATATGTTGGTATGAATATGACGAGTATGCGTGTACCGCCCCTGTCTGATGCGGCCGTGCCAGCGATCTGTCCGCAGGCCTGCTTCCGGGCGCGTGACTGGGCGGACAAGAGCCGCGCGGCTATAGAAGAGCGGAGTTTGGCGCAGTCGCAGGCTCTGCTGAGTGCTCGTCGAGTCCCTCGCTCCCAACGACCTCCACCCTACTTAGTCCCCTCCTATTTACCGGAGTCTACCCTACTCTAGTAGTCCTGGGCAGTCCTTGTCTTGCTCGCCCGCAAAATTCCCCAAAATTCACCCTATAACGACCTATAACCCCTGCTCATAGTTACCCACGTCGACCGGCCGACCGGGCATTTGCTCTCGCCCCTTTCGCTCTTGCTTACCTGCATAGCTGCACCAGCACCCCAACATTCAGTAATTCCTAATACCCACCTCTTCCTGCGGCCACCATGTCCCTCTCCGCCAACGACAACGGCTTTTCCTCCAGGGTCAACTCGGGCAAGACGCCGCCCCCGGCGCCCTCAGCTGCGTTCGCTAAAAGGTGTGTCGCGGTGCATATTCTGGCCTTCGCCGCCGTCTGACAATATTTTTCCAGAGCGAGGGAGCTCGAGGCGGAACAGGGGATAGGTGCTAGATACAGGCCCCCCGCGCTGCGCGCCTTGGCTTCCGGCGGCTCTCCTCCTAATAACGACCTATCTTCGTCTACGAACTCCCCAGGCGACAACGGTGACCTGCCGCCGACCAACTACCCCGCGGGCTTCCGGAGGGCGAGGGCGGGGACCTTGCCCTCCAACGTCCAGCTCGCAGCTCAGCGCTTCGCCGCGGCATCGAGCACGCTGAGCAGCTCGACAGCAGCGGCTGCTGCCACTGCGTCGACGGACTCGTTTCAGGAGCAGCTCCAGCGACAGAGCTTCGCACCGCCCGCGTCGACGGCACCCGTGCGACCTGGTCTACGTCACTCGGCCTCGGTCGCTTCTTCAGCTGCTTCCTCTGCATTGACTGAGCGGAACAGCCGCCTCCGCTCTGGCTCGCTCACCCTCCCCTCGGGCGGCCTCTCCAACGCGTTCGGCTCGTCCCTCTTTTCGTCGACCTGGATGCCCAGCCGCAACGGTGGTATGCCCGTGCTGGACGATCTGCGCTCAGTGACGTCCATGGACTCCGGCGCAGACGATTTCGATGTCCACACGCTGGACTACCTGGGTCTTGACGAGACCCTCCGCCACCCGCCCGCTGCTACCATCTCGGAGCTGCGCAACCAGGCCCAAGCCGCGATCGCAGGCAATCTCGCTGCGAACCCCTCTAGGCTTCGGGCTACCACAGTGTCCAACCCGTACCGGCCTTCTGCAGGCGCTTCTCTGCTCGCCACTCCCAGTGCAGAGGAAGAAGAGGAGCTTTACGATGAGCGTATGTACGGCAGGCAGAGTCTCAACGCTTACCAGGACACGGAAAGCGACTATCTCTCGGCTGCGTACATGGCGAAGGGCTTCAAGCAGAGCGACCACCTCTCCGTCGGTCTTGGCTCACGTCCCCGTGCTATCTCCGTTGGAAACCTCGACGACACGACGCGAGCGCTGCAGGCCCGTCGTCAGGCTGCGGCTGAAGCACAGGCGTACAACGATCTGTCCATCCAGACGAGCCTGGGCGGTATCCCTCGTGCTGACAAGGCCAATGCCCGAGGTGGTGGTTCCCCTTCGGTCCATTTCTACAATGGCGAACTCTCCAGAAGCAACTCGTACCTCGCCGCTCCGTCGACGAACCAGAACCGCGCGACGTCACCGAAGTCGGAGGGGTCTTCCCAGATGCAAACGCCGACCCGCTCCCTCTGGATCGGGAACCTCGATAGCTCCGTCACCAGCGAGCAGCTCATCCACGTGTTCGCCCCGTACGGTGCCATCGAGTCGCTCAGGTTGCTGCCTGAGAAGGTCCGTGTCCTGTCCATTCATTTCCCGTTCCCACCGCGCTAACATTAACGCAATAGGAATGCGGCTTCGTGAACTTTGTCGACCAGGCGGACGCGATCCGCGCTAAGGAGGACGTCCTGAACCGCCTGGGCGGAGACATTGGCATGCCGAACGGGCAGACCGTCCGCATTGGCTTCGGAAAGGCTGATAGCGCGCCGGTCGCTCCCGCGAAGGGCACGAACATGAACAGCCCGTCGGCGACCTCGCCTGGTGGCGGGCTCGGTAAAGCGACGGGTAACAACGTTGGGCTGGCGGGCATGGATGCGCAGCTGCAGTCTACCCCAACGAGAGCGCTTTGGATTGGGTCGATTCCATCGACGACTACGCCCGCGACCATTCTTAGCGTGTTCAGCCCGTACGGCCCCATCGAGTCTGCGAGGGTTCTCACGCACAAGAACTGTGGCTTCAGTAAGTTTTGTCTGTGCGCATGACGATGTTTCGGAGGCTGATGTTCGTGCCCCAGTCAACTTCGAGCGTCTTGACGATGCAGTTCGCGCTCGCAAGGCTCTCAACGGCCGCGACGTCCTGGGCAGCGACGTCGGCGCCATCCGCATCGGCTTCGCCAAGGTGCCCGTCAAGAACGGTTCTGAGGGTACTGGCGGACAAGACGAGGGCAATGGCCTCAACGTCCAGGGCGTCGGCGACCTGAGCGTCGGCGCGACCATCCACGCGCTGCGCAACATCAAGGGCGCGACCACCATACCCGTCGACCAGCAGGTCCTCAGTGGCGCGGTGGAGAACTACCGCTCGAACCTGTTGCTGAGCATGATCGCCTCTGGGGCGCATGCGGGCATGTTCGACTCGGCTGGCAAGCCTGCTGGCTGGACAACGGCGGTTACGGAGCAGCAGATGGTCATGAAGGAGCTCAGTGGTGGAAGTCCCGACGCAGAGGCTGACATTCAGGCCCTTGCAGGTCAGTCCTCCTAGGGTTAGTTCGGTGGGGCAATACTGACGTACTGGCAGAGTTCCGCCCCCCGATGATGTACTACACGACGATCCCGCTGGTATCTGAGAGGCCTCACAACAGACGGTGGGATGCGTCGAAGCTGCGTGAGCTCCGCAAGAGGCTCGACACGAGCACTATCTCTACCGAAGAAATCGACAATACCGCGGCCGACTTCCTCGACGGGGAGATTGTTGACCTCGCGTCCGACTGGCTCGGTAACACGGTATGTTTCCCATTTCGGATGTCCGTAATCGGTCCTGACAGCTGTCTCTAGGTTGTGCAAAAGCTGTTTGAGAAGTGCTCTCCAACGCCTCGCCTCGCCATGCTCGAGCGCCTGAGCCCGCACCTCGCTATGATCGGTATCCACAAGAATGGCACGTGGGCTGCGCAGAAGATCATCGAGTGCGTGCAGACTCCAGACGAAGTGGCTCTCGTCACGCAGAACTTGAGGCCCTACGTCCCGCCGCTCTTGTTGGACCAGTTCGGTAACTACGTCGTGCAGTAAGTGTGAGAGTGCGTGTGTATGGGGACTGCATACTGATAGCCGGGTAGATGCTGCCTGCGCTTCGGTGCACCCGCCACCGATTTCTTGTTCGACGCGATGGCCGACCGTCTCTGGGAGATCGCTCAAGGCCGCTTCGGAGCTCGTAGTATGCGTGCCTGCCTCGAGAGCAGCAACATCACCGTCAGCCAGCAGCGCCGCATTGCTACTGCGATCATCCTCAACTCGATTCCGTTGGCGACGAACCCGAACGGCGCGCTGCTTCTGACGTGGCTGCTGGACACGTCGAACTTCCCGTCTAGGTACAACTTGCTTGCGCCTCGATTCACGCCGCACCTCTCGCACCTGTGCACCCACAAGCTCGCATCGCTCACGGTGCTCAGGATTGTCAACCAGAAGGTCGAGCCCGAGGCGTCTACGCAGATCGTCGAGGCCCTCTTCTCGTCGCCGGGCGATCACGTCCTTACCGACGTGCTGGGCGATCAGGTTAACGGTGTTGCCGTTGTCCACAAGATCTTGACGAGCCCCTTCGTTGACCCTACCCAGCGCCCGAGCTACGTAGAGGCCACCAAGAGGGTGTTGATTGAGTTGAAGGTTATCGCCACCCAGGCCTACCGTCGTCTCATAGAGGAAGTTGGGCTGCCTGTTCCTAATCTCCAGCCGACCTATACCACGAACGCTCCGCAACCTAACAGCAAGAACAAGTACACTGCGCAGAGCAACTACTCTATGCCTGGCCTGCCCGCAGGCTATCCTTCCAACGACCAGAGCCTCGCGTCGATGATGGCCGCACTCCAGATGGGTGGACAAAATGCCGCTTCAGGCCCGCCGCGCCTGCAGATCGACCCCGGCTACAGCCAAGCTCCTACTGGAGGACGTGGCCGTGCCTCCAACCCTGCGTCGGCCTTCTCGCCGTCGACCGATCCCTTCAACCCGTTCGCTATGCGCTCGCCCGACATCGCAAGCCCCAGGGGTAACGTTCCCCGCCGCAACGGCGGCATGCAGTCCGCTACCACGCCGTCCGCTGTTCCGTATGGCTCGCAGTCTCCGAGCCTGACTCCTAACATGATGGGCATGAGCCAGCCCTCCTACAATGGCATGACTTCCCCGCCGATTCCTCCGCATCTCTATCAAGCGTACATGTATCAGATGTATCAACAGCAAAACCCGCCCTTCCACGCTTAGAGCACCAGCTATCCGCACCGCTATCGTTTTTGACGACTACATGACGAACTGTACCCGGGCCAGTAGGTTCGAGGCATGAGGATACTCGTTTGCTTCTTCCGTTTCGCGTGCTGCCTCTCTTCGTATATTTACAGATCATACGACGGGCTTGTTGCCAGTTGTCTCCGGACTCTATACCCTCCCTGACATCGCAGTCGGTATGCTCTCACGCTCGTTGCTCATTTACAAACGGTCACAAAAGTCGGACATGGTCCTGCTCGAGCAGTGTCGCTACTGGCACTGCGAGAGGGGCGCATGGTTGGTTGTTCTCTCATTCTCTCGGTTCTCACTCAATGTACAAGTACGGGAAGGCTGTAAAGTATGGCCGCATATCAATATCACATAGATTCAGCTGCATACCCGATGAGTGGCATTTCGACGATCGCGACATGTACAACTGATGTTACAGAGATATCAGGGAGAGAATCGCGGAGTGACAACCATTTACGACAGAACATTCGACACTAGACAAGACACAGTACTGCTGGTCAACGAGTTTAACAGAGCGTTCACAAAGAACCTGGAGCAGTGGCACTCACCCATGGACTGAATTGTCCCTTCTTGACTGACCACCGTCCTTTTCAGTGCACCGTCCGCGGAGCCTCCCCCTACGAACGCGACGTGTCTTCGTGCCGACTACGCGCTTGATAGGTCGTATGATCAAGAGCCGGACGCCGGCGAGTGCACCTTGAAGGGAAAGCGACCCGACGGTGCCTGCGAAGGCTGCTTGTATAACGTCGAGACGACCACCCGCTGCAGCTCTGCCGTCTATGTGTTCGACCATGGCAGCTCCTGCCAACCCCTGGACTATGCAGAAGCAATGAGCGATGGTGAATCCCTTCCCGGTGATCAGCTTTCGACGAGTGGCCTTGATGGTGGGACGGGGAACATTGCCAGGTCGAATATGCTTCTTGAAAACGCGACAACGGACGATCGACCGGCACAGCGCGACGATCAACATCACGCCCGCGACGATGGCTGAACCCAGCCAGCCGATTCGAACGATTTGCTGCGTATCGGCGGTGGCATATATTTCTCCGTAAGGGCTCGGTAGGAGGCTGAGGACGTACTGCCCTGTAGCGAGGGGTACGCTGAGGATAGGAGCAACGACTGCGTAGCTGATGCGGAGGGTGGCTACCAGCGCATTCTCTCCCGGGACTTGCGACATCCTGGAGAAAGCGTATAGGAAAGGCGGCGGTCCTACTGCGTCCGCTAACGCAACTCTTAAGTACTCCAGCGTTGCATTGTCTACAGGCGCAGCCGCGCTATGATCCCTTGTCGCCACTCGCTTCTTTGTACTTGACAATGCATGTCCGAGTCAGACTCGGCAGAACGTCCATCAAAGGAGACCGCCACGTTATGCGGATCTGTTCACTTTCGATGTCTAATTGTTCTCTTTGACGGGTATCAGTTGTATACTGCTCTAGGGTGATTGACTCAGACGATCTCCGAGTCGGGACGCCTCCGTCAACTACGGTGTGCCCCTTCTCGTCAACTATCCTCACTTAAGTCATCCCCATAGCATTCAGACGAAGCAAGAAGCCAAAGCGCGATGAAGAAGGCCCGGTTGCATTCAACAGACCATGGAATTGGTATCCGCGAAACGTATGAGCGCTAAGTGAGTCTACAGTCAATTCGGAGTCCTTCCGCGGGCCCGGGTGCTGGTCGGCTACTTCGGAATTGTTTGTACTAGTACTACTGTACTAGGCGTGCGGTCGTCCTCTTGAGTGACAACTCCTCTTCTCTCTTAACCACTCGATACTTACCAGGACCACGTTCGATTTCTGCAACACAGGCGAGTTTTGAGGTTCATGCGTGACCGCAGTGATATGGTTCCCCGAATCCAGGGCCATGTATATCCGGTACACCCGTCCTGGCGGTGCAACTGATCAATGGGTACTGAGGCCTGAGGGCCAGGGCATACAGTAACCGTATCCAAGAGGCGGTACCGGTGCAGACGTGGATTTGTAGCTTGGAACTGACCTTGCCACTTTGAAAACCAAGACCATTTGCAAATGGGACAATGATCCTAGGATGTGACGGAAGTCTGGGCTCGACTGAGGGTACAGGAACAGCTTATATGCAGGAGGCGATGCAACACGGGGCCGAGAACAGGAGGCGGCGGGGTTCTGCGTCCGAGTCCACTGGTCAGTGACATCTTGTTCAACTGTCTGAACTATCATGATGAACCACTCGTCTCTGTCCACTTGGAACAGATCGCTGCTCGCTAAAGAGCCTCTGACATACTGCGAATGTCCATCGCCCTCAAATTGGGAAGGAATCTGTGTATATGTACGACCGACGCGGGTCCTGTGTTTGCCTCGACCACTGGTCATGCGTTGCGGGTGGACATACTCTGGAGGTGCGAGTCTCCATCTGACGGTTGCCAGGCTTCTCAAGTGCTTAAATTACCTCTCCGTAGAAGAGAAGATGACTTGGAAATGACTTTGCCATCGGGGTGGTGGTTGGAATCAATCGCACTGGCCGGGCTCGAAAACTCTGAGTGTTTGTGTACTTGTGCCGTACATGGGCTCTTTGCAGTCGCATGAGCTGCATGGCTGAGCATCCGTCAACGTATGTGAGTTGGCGCACTTTGTATCATGCAGCGGAGGCGTTGAAATTCTCTAGCCAGTCCACATCGTAGGCACACTGATACTCTGAAATGCGGATGCGGCTGTTCGTATCAAGCCTTTAGCTTCTCGATGTGGGCATTTGGATGATCCAATCGACCCGTCGCATGTCCACACATCTGTTAGGTCGAAGAACACCCTACTGCGACGCAGGGGGGATACATTCTCTTCCTCCTCTTGCTTTCCTCACTTCTGCCGAGGACGATGTCGCCGCCGTGCCCCCGTTTCCACTCCTTAGTTCTCCTTCTATCTATCGTTCTACAGTGCATACTATCCGTCTGCGGGGAAATACGGACGATCGACGACACGTACGGCGACTCTGTGACAGGAGCGACACCAGTGTACCCGAACGAGGACTGCTGGAACGAAGGCCCAGGGTGTTCGGCGTGCGTTCTCCAGCCGGATCCGTCGGAGGCGCATAACGGCACTTGGCACGACACGACGTCCAATATATGCACCACCCAGTACCCCCCGACCCATAGCGTCACCTTCAGCTTCAACGGTACGATATCTATCACTGCTTCTGGTAGAGGTCCTGACACAGTCACTCTTATCTAGGGACTGCTCTTTCGGTATACTGTATCATAGTCTCCCAAGGCCCGGCAACGTGGTTCACCAACCTGAGCTTCACTCTCGATGGCGAGATCAGCAACACGCAGTTCTCACCAAGTGTGGTAGCGAGCACATATGGCTTCCAGTACAACTCCCGCGTATTCATCATATCATCATTGAGCAACGAACAACACACGTTCACGATGTCGGCTATGACAGGATCGTCCGCATCGGTCTTGCTCTTTGACTATGCTGAGTACACGTACGTCTGGTTATCAGTCACTCCCTGTATGCTGGGTTGCTGAAGTCTTGCGATATTGAAGCTACGAGGATCCGACGCCGGCAACTCCGTCTCCGACGAGCACAACCTCAACGAGTTCGAGCACATCGAGTACGTCGAGCACTTCGTCGTCGACCAGTGCAACCTCCACGGATTCTCCTTCGCCAGCGAGCACGACTTCATTCTCGGAATCGCGGAGCAGTGGATCACGGAGCAGCCAGACCACGGCATCCTCGTCATCCAGTGCGACCCAGAGCGGTAGTCAGTACTGTGCCATTCTTTGCAACAGCAGATACACTGACCCGTCCTTAAGCCTCAGAGGCAAGTGTGTCGACGTTCGGTAGCACTAATCCGGCGACAACCTCAGTACCCTCAGCACTAGGGTCGCACAGTGGTATGTAGTTGCAGTCCTCACCTTGTAGACCACATTAGTGATGCTCTCCAGCTTCGCACACAACTATCGTAGCCGGCGCCGCCGCAGGCGGGTCCGTCGCCATATTCCTTGTTATCGTCGTCGGAGTCCTCATCTATATCCGCCGCAAGAAGCGCGCTCAGTTCGTGCCCACAACCAACATCCTCGACGACGGTGATGGCGACGGAGACGACTCATCCGCGCAGCCTCTGGACGAAGGCAATACTAGTCCGGAGAGCACGGGTCAGACGGGCGGATGGCCGCCGCGACGGAGTCGACCGCTCATGACCTTGGCCAACCCCTGCGATTCAGGCAGCACAGTGCTGAGCATCCCGCTAATGCTCAACAAGAAGAATGAGCTCGGCAGCGCGGAATGCCTTTCTGCCAAGGTCGACGCGCGGTCTGGGTATAGACACGAACACGATGTTCCTGCGTTGCCTTCGTCGTCGGACGGAGATACGTTACTAGACACGGCCGTGCAGTCGCTTGACGGTGGAAACGTGTCGTCTGCAGACAGGCGGGACGGGGCGGTTTGGCAGGTTGAGATGACAGTGCTGCGCCAGGAGATGGCACAGGAAATGGCAAGGCTCCGCGAGCAAACCGCGGTGTATGCGACAGTGCCGCCGCCGCCGCCCCCATACGTGTGACTGACCGTGCTCAGGCTCTCGTCGTTAACGTGATACGTTCTTGGTACTCCAACCACTGCACTTCAACGCAGAGTATCCACGTAGGACGACGGGGGCCCGGGGAGAGACGGCATATCCTGCACTTGTTTGTTTGTTTGTGATCCCTTTATTGTCACTGAGGGCGAAGCCCTATGTTGACAGTACGTGCTAATTCTAATCAATCGAGTCTTGTCTCCGTTTGTCGCTTAGCATCGCCGTCCGCCGAAGCTTCAGGCATGTGTGTATAGTAAGGTAGGATGTGTACAGTCGAGTGGGGTGAGATGGGAATGGAAATGTCGTGGTGTCTGTTCCCGGCGCCGCTTTGCGCTATCCTCTCGTCATCGCGTCTGTTTGCCCGTCGGCTTCGCGGCCTTGTCCAAGTGACCCTTCAGCTCAGCTCCAGGTCTCATCCTGCACTTTACCCATGTATCAGTCACCGCGTTTCGGACCCGTATCTTCGGGTACCGTAGACACGGGTATAGCTAAGTTCCAAGGGTTTGAGCACGGGGAAACAGAGGTCGTTGTTAGAGGGTGTCGACCAACGCTGTATACGTAGGAAAGATCTGAAGAAAAACGGGTAACCTCAGGGTAGATAGATCAGCTAATCACGCCTTGAGTTCAGTCCGAATTCGCACATATAATCAATTGTATACGAGGTCTGTGTAGACCAGCAGCGCAAAGCTGTGGATTGCTGCGTCCCGGGTATGTATACCAAGATAACCCGAGCTCTGTATCCTACTGTTCTGCTGGTCTAATTCCAATCTGGCTACGACAGTGTACAGCACTTGGCCGCTCGCCGTCCGCAGCCACTGGATATTGCTGCGTAGTACATCATCACGATCACGTGGTACGACGCGCGCATAGCAGTACCGCGCATCATTATAGCCTGCTTTCTGCTCCCTATCCGTGCTGTTCTTGTCAGCGCCGCTATGGCGTCCTGGAACCTCAACGCAGGCGTCCAGCCGCTGCCACAGAACCCTGCAATGCTCGCTCTCCAGCAATATCAGCTATTCCTCGCTGACTGGAAGAGAGAAAGCCCTAAGGCAGTATGTACATGCGCAGTTATCCCGTTCCCAAAGACCAAGACCACCTGCAAATGGGACAATGATCCTAGGATGTGACGGAAGTCTGGGCTCGACTGAGGGTACAGGAACAGCTTGTATGCAGGAGGCGATGCAACAGGGGTCCTGCGTCCACTGGCCAGTGACATCTTGTTCAACTGTCTAAACTATCATAATGAACTCCTCGTCTCTGTCCGCTTGGAACAGATATCTGCTCGCTGAAAGAGCCTCTGACATACTGCGAATGACCATCACCCTCAAATGGCGAAGGAAATCTATGTATATGCGCGATCTACGCGGGTCCTGTACTTGCCTCGACCACTGGTCATGCGTTGCGAGTGCACATACTCTGGAGGTGCGGATCTTCATCTGACGGTTGACACGCTTCTCAAGTGCTTGAATTACCTATCCGTAGATGAGAAGACGACTTGGAAATGACTTTGCCATCGTGGGGTGGCAGTTTGGATCAGTCGCACTGGCCGGTCAGGAAATTCTGAGTACTGAGTGCTTGTGCACCTGGGCCAGGCTCTACATGGGCTCTTTGCAAACACATGAGATGCATGGCCGAGCATCCGTCGACGTATGTGAGTCAGCGCACTGTGTATCATACAGCGGCGGCGTTGAAGTCCCCGAGCCAGTCCACCCGTAGGCACACTGATACGCTGAGATGAGGATGCGTTTGTTCGTATCAAGCCTTTAACTTCTCGATGAGGGCATTTGGATGATCCAATCGACCCGTTGCATGGGTAAGAGTACCCTGCTGCGACGCAGGGGGGATACGTTCTCTTCCTCCTCTTGCTTTCCCCACTTCTCCCAGGACGATGTCGCCGCCGTGCCCCCGTTTCCACTCCTTAGTTCTCCTTCTATTATCGTTCTACAGTGCATACTATCCGTCTGCGGGGAAATACGGACGATCGACGACACGTACGGCGACTCCGTGACAGGAGCGACACCAGTGTACTCCATGAGGACTGCTGGAACAAGGCCCAGGTTGTTCGCGTGCCGTTCCAGCCGATCCGTCGGAGGCGCATAACGGCACTTGGCACGACACGGCGTCCATGTATGCAACGGCCCCTCGACCCATAGCGTCACCTTCAGCTTCACCGGTACGATATCTATCACTGCTTCTGGCAGAGGTCCTGACACGGCACTCTTATCTAGGGACTGCTCTTACGTATACTGTATCATGGTCTCCAAGGCCCGGCAACGTGGATCACCAACCTGAGCTTCACTCTCGATGGCGAGATCAGCAACACGCAGTTCTCACCAAGTGCGGTAGCGAGCACATATGGCTTCCAGTACAACGTCAACGTATTCAACAAATGGCATTGAGCAACGAACAGCACACGTTCGCGATGTCAGCTGTAACAGGATCGAACGTATCGGTCTTGCTCTTTGACTATGCTGAGTACACGTACGTCTGTTATTGTCACTCCCTGTATGCTGGGTTGCTGAAGTCTTGCGATTTTGAAGCTACGAGGATCCGACGCCGGACATTTGTCGTTGACCAGTGCAACCTCCACGGATTCTCCTTCGCCAGCGAGCACGACTTCATCTTCGGAATCGCGGAGCAGTCGTTCACCGAGCAGCCAGACCACGGCATCCTCGTCATCCAGTACGACCCAGAGCGGAAGTCAGTACTGTGCCATTCTTTGCAACAGCAGATACACTAACCCGTCCTTAAGCCTCAAAGGCGGTGTGTCGACGTCCGGCAGCACTAATCCGGCGACAACCTCTGTGACCTCAGCACTAGGGTCGCACAGTGGTATGTAGCAGCAGTTTTCACCTTGTAGACCACATTAGTGATGCTCTCCAGCTTCGCACACAACTATCGTAGCCGGCGCCGCCGCAGGCGGGTCCGTCGCCGTATTCCTTGTTCTCGTCGGAGTCCTCATCTATATCCGCCGCAAGAAGCGCGCTCAGCCCGTGCCCACAACCAACATCCTTCGCAAAAGCCGCTACGACAACACCGTCGACGACGGTGATGGTGACGGTGACGACTCGTCCGCGCAACCTCTGGGCCAAGACAATAGTCCGGAGGGCCCGGGGCAGACGGGCGGAAGGCCGCCGCGACAGAGTCGACCGCTCATGTTCACAAGAACAACGAGGTGGCAGCACGGAATCCCTTTCTGCCGAGGTCGACGCGCGGTGTGGGTATAGACACGAACACGATGTTCCTGCGTTGCCTTCGTCGTCGGACGGAGATACGCTACTAGACACGGCCGTGCAGTCGCTTGACGGTGGAAACGTGTCGTCTGCAGACAGGCGGGACGGGGCGGTTTGGCGGATTGAGATGGCAGCGCTGCGTCAGGAGATGCACAGGAAATGGCAAGGCTCCGCGAGCAGACGGCGGTGTATGCGATGGTGCCGCCGCCCCCATACGTGTGACTGACCGTGCTCAGGCTCCCGTCGTTGAGGTGTTACTTTCTTGGTACTCCAACCACTGCACTTCAACGCAGAATATCCACGTCGGACGACGGGGGCCCGGGGAGAGACGGCATATCCTGCACTTTACCCATGTATCAGTATCACGCCTGGCGGATCTCCGGCCTCTTTCCTCGATTGAAATCCCATGACGCGAGCTCGCGACGTACCGTCGCGCCTCAGTCTGCGCATACATCCACCTCGTCCACGGCCTTGACCATATCATATACATTCAACCACTGGCACCAAGTCGCGCGATATGGCCCGAACCATATCAACTAGCGTCAGAGTCGGGCCATCGTACCTGTCCTTGTACAACTTGACATGCATGGCGAACCCGGATCCCAACGCCGGCGCCTGCAAACAGCGACTCCGTCGATCAGCAGACATGTGAAGAATGGTAGGAGTGAATGGCACAGTCGCTGGAGGTGCGCAGACAGAAGCTTAAGGACAGTACTATTACTGAGTGTTGCGGACTCACCCAGACTGCCGTCAACTGTGGTGCCCTCTCCTCGTATACTGCTCGCACTGGAGTCTGTCATAGCAGCCAACCAAAGCAAAAAGCCTGAGTGAACAACACGCGGGTGCAATTAACTCAGCATGAATTGCATACGGTAAATGCTACGCAAAAACAGGTGCGGCGTGCGTAAGAAATAGTCCAAATGAAGACGAAGGAGATAATAATGATACAGATCTCCGAAGGGACGAAGCACAACCTGCCACGTCCATATTCGCGCCGTCCGCGACCCCCTCTCGCTCCATGGTCGGCCGCTGTAAACATCAGTAATGGTTACATATGAGACAAGAAACGACCTGAAGTGGTATCTGCGAAACGTCAGCATGAGGCCACTTAGCCTTGACAATCTATTCGACGAGCCCATCTTGATCTTGAGGCAAACTTGATTCGCGCAGCCTTCGTACGTGCAGGGACCTGCCGCGCTTGGCTTCCGGCCGCGAAAGCTTGTATGCCACCCGAACATCAGTACGGGTGGCTGTGCGCGACAAAAGTGTCGGCCAGAGGGCAGCGCGGATGAGCCTTCCGGCGGAGAGCTGCGTATCGCGCAGGTCGTGCATGACGCCAACGCGCGCGACAAGCATGCCTCAAGATCATTGTATGCGCGCCTTTTTTGAGCCTGCGAGACGAGATGAGCGGACGCCGACGCTACAACTGTGGTGCGACATACCCGGCGAGCTTACAGGGAAGTTACCCCCATCCTCCTCCCCATCGAACTCAACTTCATCGTGTCCTCTCTTCGATGATCTACTCGAGGAAGACATAGTGGACGGCTTCCTCGACAGGTCATGCTCAGTACTGGGAGAGGTGGTAGTATCTTCCTCCAGAGATTCGAATGTCCACTCCTCGTCTCCAGCGTTTGCATGCGAGACTAAATCTAGAAGGTGTGATGAGCACGTATACTCCCGAAGAACGAACGCGGACTTACCATTGTCTTTGACTGGTGCAGATGTCAGCTCACCGTCGTCGTACTCTTCAAAGTCGTCGTCAATATTCTCAACAGTGGGATTCCCGGTATCTATCCTCGATGAAGTCAGCTTAACGCCAACGACAGGCGATGACTTGCACGGACCGTCATCTTCTTGGGCCGAGCCAGATATGTCAGTACGAAGGGTCTCACCCGCATCGGTAAACCCATCCTCATCTCGGTTTTCTGCGTAACTGTGATCAGGAAACAAGCGTGACGTCTACAAGTGAGTAAACTTACCGGCGTCATACTGGTCCGCAGGTAAGGTGGTGAAGTCGCTCAGGAAGGCGGGTGTCTCGAGTACGTCGATGCCCTCGGACGACGCAGGGTTCGCGTCGTCGAAGTCGGTAGCCGTCTCGTCCTTGAAGGCCTGACGTTCCTCAAGATCTCCCTCCGCTTCGCCTCCGAAGTCCTCGGGCAGGCCTTCACCGAACTGCTGCTCGACATCCTCGGGCGCGACATCCTTCTCATCGACGTAGTCGCCGCCCTCCTCCGCGTCCGCATATCGATGTACCTCGTCCGCATCGAGGACGTCACCGCCTGCGTTCAGCGCATTCTCGTTGACGTATTCCTGGACGTCTCCGCTTTCGTACAGGGCATCCTCCTCTTCTTGGGGTTCGTCGTGGGCACCTTCGTACTCGTCCTGTTGTAGTTCTTGTACTCCTTCCGTGTCTTCTTGTGGTTCTTCTTGGACGCTCTTGGGAACCGGGGCATCATCGGTTTGATTCTCACCATAGCTTCCGTCGTCGTGTGACGTAGCCTCTTGTTCACCACCGTTTTCAACTTGCGTGTACTCCTGTACGTGTTGCTCCTGTCCGTGCTCGTCATCATATGAACACCATTAGGTTCGGATGCGTGCGTGGAAACGGGCGCTGCTGTGAGGTCTATGGATCATCACTCAGATGAGGATAACTAGAAGTATATCAGGATATCTTACCTTCGACGTGGTGCTCGTGCGTAGGTTCAGCCGCATAAGCTTGCTCGTCTTCGACAGCAAGGTCTAACCGCGCGATCTGATCGCGAAGGGCATTATAGCGAGCTATGAAGCGAGGCATGACCCGTAGCTCAAGTCGTAGGGGCCCAGTCAGATCAGCACCATCGTGCAATACGTTGAGATCATGTAGAGTCACTTCGTGCACGTGAACGTTATCCTACAAGGAGGAATGAGTATCCAAAATGATATCTGGGGGTGATCCGGCTACGTACCTCTGATACGATTAATTGCAGATCATATGCATCGATCACCAGCTCGTCGCGTTCGAGATCGTAAATGTTGTATATGTGCTCCTCCTGACGGAGCGCATCGAAGACAACGGAGAGCGGCTCGTAGTAGAGAGTCGGCCGATAATGTAGTAGCAAAGCGCGGATTCGACCGCGCTACTAGTGGAGGGACTCTGCGAGCCCGGGCTATGCACGGGCTGGTTAAAGAGACAGCATTGCAGAGGCTGCGAAGCCGAAGAGACGGTAAGGAGGACCGCGGGGGCGGGTCGATGTACACGCCTTCAGATATTTCATGAGGATCAGCACTGGGGACGCCGTTCTCGACGACTGCGGCCTCTTGTTCATGTACAGCATCTTCGAAACGATCTGAAGGCGGATCCTCAACCTCGTGCGAATCCACCGTCGGCTCTTCAACTTGCTCCGTCAGCAACGACGAAACCGGTTGTGGTGATGGGAAGCGGTCAACTTGCTGAGGGATCGGAGAGCTATCACCTCTGTCCTTGTCTTCAGCAGCGGCAGGTTGTTCCTCGGCAGCATCGTCATGAGAAGGGTCGTCGACATTCGCGATCACCGACTGTGTCTCTGCCTCCCGCTCGACGGCCGCATGTTCTGTCGCCACTGACACTTCCCCGGGTAAGTGTGCGTCGGCCTCGATCATAAGCGCGATTTGCGTGACGGCGCTTTCCGACACCTGCTCGAAGGCCTGGGAGGTGGACGCTACAGGCTCGTCAGACGTCCTTGCGTCCGGTTCTGGTGATGTCGGGTAGCCTCGTCATGGGCGGCCAGAGGTGCCATCGGGTGCTCGACGACCTCGCCGAGGTTGACATCGTGGCCCGAATCTACAGAGGCTCCAAACGAGACAAGAGACAATGCTCGTTCGTAGCTCGGTCCGGTGTCGGAGTGAAAGTGCGGAACAGAGAGTGCAGACACACCAGGAGGTGGTGAGGCCTGTCGTGAGACATCCACGAGGTCAACATCGACCACTTCCGGATCGTTGTCCCTTCCGTACTCCCGCTCGTCCGCCATCTCATACTCGATAATCTCGTCATCGTGGTCCGCCATCTCAATCTCGACGCTCTGACCAGTGTGGAAAGGCTGATTGTCCGTGTTGGTGCCTTCGTCGGTCATGGTCGCCTCGACAGAGAACCAGGGTTCTGAGGACCCTGCGCCTGTGTACATCGGTATATCGCCGTCGCCAGAATCGAACATATGCGTGTCAAAAGTCTCCATGAATGCTGTTGTCAACATAGAGTGCAGTGGAATAGTGAGGAAGTTGAGGCCAACAGGGCAACGGGAGTCGAGTGAGGTTCTTGGGCAACGAGAGCAAAGCGCGGCGCGACGCACAATATGTATGTTTAGGGCAGGTTACTGAATGCGCCACAACGGGCTACTTATGCGCCTCACTTATCCGTTACTTACTGCAATTACTGCGATACAAATTTACTAATGCCCCGATCAATAGATGCTTGTTGTGCAAGCCGACAACTACAAAAATTTGAATACCAGGTCATTGCATGACAGACATTGTCACTGGCACTGATTATGAGGTTTCAAGTCGATGTGAACACTGTACGATCATGTTCATGCAGCAGCAACACCGCCGACTCCTAGATTCACGCAAGATCCACGCAACAAAACACCCTGAGATTTCGATGCTCAGGCCTCAGGCCGAGGCTCAGGACGCAGCCTTAAATGAGTCCCACAATGGCCGCCGGCAGCTGTACTACTGCTTCACAAGATGCTCATAATTCCTTTTCTCCCTGCGTCGAAAGACGACGTCGACCGCTCGCAAGTGAGGATATACGCCGGGAAGCTCTTTGACTCCGTCAATCTCCAGCTGCTAGAGAATCAGGTCATAACCATCTCGCCGGATTCTGGACTCATACTGGATGTCAGCTCCTACTCGCCAAAGGACCGTATTACCTGGGATGACCCGCAAGTGATTGATCTGAGACATGCGACGGTCCTCCCTGGACTTGTCGACGTTCACGTACACTGTAAGTAGGAATGTGTCTCCTCGAACAAAGCATGAGCTGAGAATGGACGTCGTTCTTTTGCCCAGTCTTCTTGCATACATACTCAGAGACGAGGTGGGATGATCAAGTCAGCAAGGAAAGCGTGGTCGAACGCACCATACGTGCAACTGTCCATGCTAAGCGCACTCTGATGGCTGGCTATACCGCCGTGCGGTAGCCTCCTAGTATTTCGCATTGCTCCTAGCTACTGACATGGTATGCTCTTCGTACGGCGTAGTGACTTGGGTACGGAGGGTGCAGGCGACGCGGACATCCATCTGCGCAAGAGCATGGCAGGCCCGAGCCCTATTATCCCCGGCCCGCGCTACTTCACTGCCAACCGAGCTATCGTGGCCACAGGCAGTTACGGTGCGTCCCAGCTCCGATTCAGGCTGGCCCTCTCACAACTGCCTTTCGACTGACTGGCTCTGCTTCAGGCCCGAAGAGCGCTATTCACTTGAACCAGGAAGGCATCGAAGGCATTACTGGCGGTGAGGTGGTTGACGGGGAGGTTGAATGCATGAAGGCCGTGCGCCGACAAATCGGCGCAGGGGCCGACTGGATTAAAGTGAATCATTATCACCTATGTCTCCTTACAACCGATGCTGACGAAGTCATAGGTCTATGCAGGTCAGTGTGAACCGCCTTCCGTTGTTCCTTCACTATTTGACATCAAGAACAGAGTATCGACCCCGCACCCGCATCGGCGACGTCTCGTATGCCACACCGTCCGTCTCGATCTCCACATTCAACGAAAAGGAGCTGGACGCACTAGTCACCACCGCCAACCGGCTCGGTGTCAAAGTCGCCGCGCACTCCTCGCACTGGCGCACGCGCCTAGCCGACAAGCCAAACCTGCCCAGCGGGCCAGGCTTCCACTCCATCGAGCACGGCGCAGAAATTGACTTCGATGAAGGCACCGTCGCCGCTCTCTGCACCGAATCAACAGACCACCGTAACACGTTCTGGGTGCCCACCCTCTCTGTGTTTTATACTCAGTACGGGAACGGCCAGGGCGAGGTGTGGAAGATGGCCGAGCGGAATTTCGCGAAGGCGCTGCAGTATGGTATTAGCAACATTGCCTGCGGAGGGGACACGGGCCCATTCCCTCATGGCGACAACTCGTTGGAGATGAAGCTCATGGTGCGCCTCGGTGCCGATTGGCGCAAGGTGCTGGGTTGGTGTACCTACGGCGGCTGGAAGTGCATCCGTAGCATGCGTTGGGAGGGCAAAGAGGGTGCCGCCCGTTTGGCCCGGGTCGGCAGCTTACAGGAAGACCAGAGGCTAGTCGGCGACAACGAGGTCCCCTTCGGAGTGATCAAGCGTGGTTTCGCCGCCGACATCATAGCCACGACCGGAGATCTAGCGGGGAATTTCGAGAGTGCTGTAGACAAATCCGCCATATCCTTCGTCATGAAAGCTGGGAAGGTTTTCAAGCGAGAGGGAAAAGAAGTGATGTAATGCTGGTTCTTGGCCTTGTGTGGTCGGCGGCGAGTCGCTAAATATCATGAACATTCATTGAAGCTATGCCCAAAGTACTGAACTGAAGCTGAAGTTTGCCAGTTGGCGTACGAATGATCCTTTATGATACTATCCTGTTAGGCTGTCGTGGACTGTACACGTGGTGCTCAAGTACGACTTGAACCCACTGCAATGCCATACAATGCGCGAGAATATCTACGACCAGTATAGCGCAAGTTACTCGTTTCCTACCGGTAACTATCCCAGAGCGGTCGAGGCCATGTTGAAGTCGCCGCAGTGGCTGAGCCGATCGACCACTCCGTCAAAACGTGAGGCATGCTCCTCCCAGTGTATGGACCGTACTGGTGTGACGATTCGCAACTCTGCGAGTCTCGCCCCTCCAATTCGCAAGCGTTCTTCCACGCAATCATACAAGCTGAGCAGCATCTGCTCGATGTCCCCCTCTACCGCTTGTTCAGATCCTAACAAGAGGTTCTTCAGCTTGGGCCAAGGGGGCGCACCCCCAGATAGTCGCAAAACCTGAAAGAGCTCCTCAAAGAACGGGAACTTCGATAGCAACCGCACATTGCGCAGGTGCGGAAACGATGCGCACAGCTGCGCCCACTGTTCTTGACGAACGACACGGATGCCGCCACTCGTTACGGTGAGCGAGGTCAAAGAGCGGTGAAACATGCGGGGCAGCTCGGCGAGCGCATTTGGTAGGAAGTGGTCGTAAGGGTCCTCCGTAGATTCGAACGTTATCCGGACAGTGGGGTTCCTGTTTTTGTAATCTGACCGCTTTGGATCTGCCCAAAGGGCGAACCACTCCCCCCCTACCTGCAGCCAGACGGAGCGGACTGCCTGCAAGGGGCCGACGAGCTGGGTGTCTTCCGGGAGCATTGATGTCAACGTCCTCATACCGACGGGGACGACAGGAGACTGGTCCGGCGTGTAGAGGGCCCCACCCAGGAGCAGGACGCGAGCACTGGACGGGATGGATAGCCGCGAGAGAAAAGCATTACACTGGGCGGATTGGCCGGTGAAATGTAGTGTTCTCAGGCAATTGAGCGCCACTGGGCGACGCGGCAATGGGAGACCTGTGGAAGGTAGCACAGGGCCGGAATGTAGGACAGCTACCTCCCGTATGTACGGTGCTGCCTCTAGGAGATCGACCACGGCGTCCACCGTTGGTAGTCGGCGTCTCGGTATAGAAGTGAGATTGAGGTGGTTAGATTGGGTAGCACTAACCCATCCCAGTGAATGGATACGCTGTCCAAGGATAGTGTTCGGAGCTGAGGGAAATGGGCACTGTTGAAGCGAAGATGTAGAGGGCTGTTGAAGTCGAACATACATGATAGCTTGAGCACTGTAAGCCGATGCATCGGCCCCTCCAGCATCGACAAAAGAGAGGCTTCATAAAGCGAGAGCAAGGAATACGGCTGCAAGTCCAGCCACGCATACGGTGGAAGTGCGGCGCGAGTATGTTGTTGACTGGGCGCGCATGGATGGCAGATGGTCGAACGGAGCGGGACGTCGCATCGTGAAGGAGACATGAAGGTCTGCATCTCTCGAGCGCAAGAGACAGAGTTGTATGAAGGGGACGCTATCACTGAGGTCAATGGCAGACCATGCTAGCGGAGAGGAGACCAGAGTCGCCCGCCAATATCGGCATACGCCCATCGGTTGGATCGCCCACTTCGAACCCGGGCCACGTTGTCTGAGGGACTCAAGAACTTGCAAGAGGAGTTCGGATGGTAACCGGCTCACAGGCAAGGTCGAGTTGTGAAGCTCGCGAAGGCGGCAAGCATACAGTCTCGATGCAGACGACGCCGCTTTGGAAAGGGCCCATTCACGAGTATCCGACGGCGGCATGCCCTCGATCTGTCGTATGTCATCCTCAGTGAGTGCAGGATAGGTCTGTGCAAAGAAGTCGTCTTCCGAGTTGGACTGCGAGGGGGTTTCGTGAATGCGATTCATGGTCGCGCAAGGACCAAGGTTACTATGTAGGCTACGGCTTTCCGTCCTAATGCCCGTCACGGTCAGCCCGCTTCCGCCATGACTCGTATCTGACACGACACTTACTGTAAGTCGTCAACCTTGCCAATGAAGCTGCAGTTCGAGAGCAGCGCTGTATGTACGCAAGGAAACGAGTAACGAGTTGAGTTCGGATGAGACTTGGGATGAAACAGAGTCGGCGCCGGGCGCTCAGAGTCAGGCTCAGACTTGGCTCGGACTCTGACTGTCGACATCCAGTCCACTCCCTACTGCTGCTGCACACCGGTCGTCTCTAGCCTGGCTTGGTGAATATACTTGCCTGACTGCACAGCCTGTTTTGCCTATTGCGTTACCTACAGCGCGGGTCGCGCTCATCACCACAACCTAAACGGGAACTCGAAGATGCTCGCTGCAGCGACCTCCTTCTTTGCGCGCACGAATATCTCTCAGTCGTATAATATCGGCGGTCCATCCTTGACTGGAAGCCGCTCATCGACACCAGGTCCATCGGGTCCCTCGACGTCTGCGATACCGACTGCGACTGCACATGCACCTCCGTTCAATGTCGGGCCATGGCGAGTGCAGTCGGCCACCCACAAGACGACGGCGAAGCGTGTCTCTGTCTGGAGTGCGGACAAGCGTAGTCAGGAGATGGACCGGATGGGTCCCGCGTCAAGGGAGAGGACAATCGAAGTGTTGAAGACAGAGGTACGTCGCTATGCCGCTGGTCAGAAGGCCATAACGTCTGACGAGCTGACGGCGTGGTGGTACAAGGCTTCTGCCTGTCTAGGCTGCGGCATCCGTGTATTCTGGGTTAGTGGCTGGTGTGATGTCTATGTTTCCTGATGCTCAGTCGCCCCCATGCGCAGAGGTGGTTGAACCACTGGAGGAGACCAGAAGCGAACTCATATTTGCAACTGAGCCAGTGCTCTCGTCCCTCCATCTATCCGTGCCGGGCTCCTTCCAATATACCCCTTTGGTCGAATTGGACGAGGTTGAGGTCCGTTCATCCCGTTTGGCTCAACCGATCCCTCGTGTGCCAACCCATATTTAGATCCAGAAGGGGATCCTGCAAGTCTGCAAGGGGCTCTCGTTCTTGCACACGTCTGCTCGTACGATTCACACGAATCTGACTCCGGAGAGTATCCTCATCAACAGCGCTGTGGGTCTGGTAGTTGAGTGTTCCATGACATGCACCCTGAATCGTTTTCCAGGGTGACTGGAAGATTTCTGGGCTCGGGCTGACGATCCCGCTCTCTGCGCCCGGGGGAGGCCCCACGCGTTGGGAGTTTCCGACCTTCGATGGGAGAGTGTCTCCATACACACAGCGCTCCTTTGACTACATGGGTGCGCATCCTAGCTTCGCCTGCCGATTCGCGTCATTGAACAATTTGTAGCACCCGAGTACGCGTTGGACGAGGTCCTGGACCCAGCGTCAGATCTGTATTCGCTAGGCTGCCTGATGTATGCGGTGCACTGCAAAGGTAACCCACCGTTCAAAAACCATGGCAGCATAGCTCTCTCCGCGAGAACGCTGGCAAGCCCTTGTCTGGCATGGAGCGTCTCGACCCAGATCTGCGAAGTGCGCATTCTCCAACTCACAGTGCGTTGATCAGATCGCTCACGTCCCGAGGCTAGCCCTTCTCGGCGCCCTCATCGCACGACATCCGCAGAGCAGACCATCGCCTGGTTCCCTCCCTCCATGCGTTCTTCTCCTCATGCCATCTCGACGCTTAACTTCCTGGACCGATCGAACTTCGCAGCGAAGACCCTAGAGGAGAAGATATCATTCATGAAGGTCTCACAGGCGTCCTTGCAAATTCTCGAGGGCCTACGGACACGCAAAATTCTACCATCGCTCCTTGAGGAGGTTCGTTTGTCGCTGTCTTTGGAGTTGAATGCCGACTGAAGTATGCCATAGATGAAAGACACACAGCTGCTCCATATATATTGCCTAATATATTCGCCATCTCGCAGATCCTATCGTCAGCCAGTTTGCTACGCTTGTACTTCCGGGTTTGAAGCCACTGTTCGCACTGAAGGAACCACCAGCGAACATGCTGACGCTATTGGAAACCTCCAAATGCTCCAAGAGAAGACGGAGAAGCCTGTCTTCCGCGAGCGTAAGTAGCGTCCTAGTACTAGTCTCGTGTATAGGACTGAAACTGAGTTGTCCTTCAGACGTTCTGCCGCTTGTCTATAATGCGTTGGAGTCGGAGCATGCTGTCGTAAGTAAATGTCATACAGTTAGAAGACGAAGCTGATCTGTAGCAGGTGCAAGAACGGGCATTGAGATGCGTGCCAGACTTGTGCGAATCGATAGATTACGCAGAGGTCCAGGGTGTCCTATTCCCTCGTGTCGCTGTACGTGTTTGCATCATCGCCTAGGGTCCTTATCCTGAGAAGCTCTTGTAGCTTGTCTTCACCAAAACACGGATCTTATCCGTCAAGGTCGCTACGTTGCAGACGTTCCTCGCAATGGTGAAGACATTAGATCAGGTGAGCTACAAGCGGTCTAGCCAATAAGCGCGCAGATCCTGACGTACATCCAGACGAGTCTTACGCAGAAACTCGTGCCTCTGCTGTCGAAGATCAGGACCAAGGAACCCGCTGTCACTGTGAGTTCTTGGTTTGACGAATGTATGCACCTCGGTACTGAACGACATCCAGATGGCCACGCTGGCTGTTCAAGAGGCTACGGGCATGAAAGTGGACCGCGAAGCTGTCGCAACGTTGGTGTTGCCACAATTGTGGGGATGTCCATGGGTCCTGTAAGCGCTGCTGTACTAACAATGCGAGACACTGGCTCACTGTGCTGTGTGCTGTGCAGTGTTGACCGTCTCGCAGTTCAAGCGGTTCATGGAGGTCATTCGTAAACTCGGTGATCGTGTCGAACGGGAACATGACCAGTACTTGCGCGACTCTCAGAGGACTGAAGATAGGTCTCCACAGCTGCCAACGGAACGGGAACACCATCGCTAGGCGGTGCTGTCGACTTCGAGAGCCTAGTGAGCAATGGAACAGCTGTCAGCAACGGCTCTCTGGCCACAGTGAAGGCCGATACCGTCATCGACTCGTCGAAGAACTGGGAGGATGACGTTTGGGGAAGCATATTCACGACAACCCTGCTGTGAGCCCGCCTCCTGTCTATCGTGCGATCTTTGCTCACCGTCGGCTCTGTCATTCCAGACACCAACCATGCAGAGTCCCGGATTTTCGCCTGCAATATCACCACCACCTGCAGTGATGCAGCCCTCACAACCCTCCCAGCCCCAAACGCAGTCCTTACCTTCGTCTCCGAGACTGTCGACGACGCGTATTAACTCTGCCGCGAAGGGAACTCTCAATCGGCAGAGCCGTGGTCTTGGTGCTAAGCCCATACCGCCTACTTCATTCACCCTGTATCCTTCGACTCGGCGCCCGCGTCAGCTCCAGCACAACACAGGCCATCCCTATCATCAGGGACTATGCAGGCGGCGACGCCGTCGTTTATGTCTAGCCAGGCGCCAGCTCCGAATTACAACATCTCGCTCACGGCGACGCCACCACTGACCTCCATGTCGTCACCGCCTCTGACCTCGATGGGTGCGCCAGCCATGACTATGTCTACGCCACCCCTGTTCGCATCATCACCAAGTATGAGTGCCCCGCTTGTACCGTCCAAGCCTGCGCAGCCATCTTGGTCAATGCCGAAACAACTCACGAAGGATGATTGGGGCGATTTCGATCCATTAGCGTAGGCTTTATGCGCCACTCGATACTCTCATTGAATATGATACCATGCATGCTGTAACGACGAGCTACGCCTTCTCCACCTCGATCCCTTCAGCGGCTCGTACAGCCGTCGCTGGAATGATTGTGTCCTGGGTGGCAGCAATGGGTTCGGGATACTCCGGTATGAGATCTACGTCAATAGGACGTCCAAGGATGGCCTTGAGGACGACCAGGGCCCCAGTCTTGGATGACACTAGATTGCCTTCTTTGCATGTAGGACTGTCGATGCCTGTTGACAATTGGGATGAGGTCGTGCAATCTAAGGAAGAGGAACTGTTCCTCACATGCTGCGCAGCCTTCCTGACAAGGACAGGATTCGACGGTGTCAAGAGCCCTCTGCAAGAGGTCGGATACTATGCCAATGTAAGAACGCTTCCCTGTGTGACGGGATCGATGTGCCTACCATGGTCGAACGTTTTGACGGCGACGCCGCCGTTTGTTCCAGTAGGGTCATAGAAAATCAAGCTACGATACTGGGTCAGTTGGGCAGCGATTGAGTAGTATGCCTCATTTACCGCGCCGGTCGCTTCCTCTGAGAAGTAGTTGCCTTGTACTCCTTTTCAGCCACCTTGCACTCTGTTTTCAGGTCTGCTGCTAGCGCAAATTGATTCATGAATGCGTGTTCTGCTGCATGAATGGCTTCTGCAGCATTGATGCCGCAGTTCTTCATGAGATCGAGAGTCGGTCTCGGCACGTCCATCCACATTCCCGTACTTGTGCGCTCCCAAGGCGGGGTGTCGAGGTCGACGGCATCAATTATAGCCTTGTTCCTACTATGGAGTCAGGGAAGTTGACGAGAATCTGCGAATGCAAGGCCAACCTGATCTTGAAGTAACCTATCGCAGAGGAGTATAAGCAATAGATAACGTGGAAATATGACGGTGCCTTACCAAAGACGACGGTCTTTAACTCGACACCTACAGGGGGGGCATAAGAGGCGTACAGGGCTGGAAGAGACTTACGTACGGCCATAGTATGCGCGCCACGGCGATCCTTGATCTCTCGGATGCGATACGTCTGGGCCGCGTCAATATTGTGAAGTCCCTTCACGAATGTAACATATGAGTTGTGCAATGTCTGTAGTAATACTAACCTCGGTTCGGTGATCCAATTTACATCCGAGCGCAAAAGTCTGGCGGTCTTTGAGTCATGGCTAATCTCTTTCACCTAAGACTTGTGAGTGTGCAAGAAGCATCGATGTCAATGCTACGCACGATGAACGTCAATCCTTGGTGTATGAACTAGAGGCCATATGAGATTCACATCGCAATACAAGCAGGGAGACTCACCACTCCGCCTTCATACAGCTCGAAGAGAGCTCTTGAAACCTCGACCTCTTCGAGGATATGAGGATGGCCTCCGGGTTTGCCCATTCTGGTCACGTCTATGACACTATACTTCTCTTCTTCTCCACCTCGAAGGGAGATATGCTTAGCTGGGAACGGCAGGAACTTCGGATGTGTATGGTACCTTTGCGGGCAGACCTCCATCAATAGAATAACTATCCGGACGCACAAGATAACCCACCATCCATCCTTGTCCCTGGTTAACCGTGTTTCGCAGATCTCTCTCATACTCGGGCCGAAGTAGACTTCGTCATCATCCATGAGAGGCATTTCATGCGCCGCACACTGTAAGTGTGCCTCTAGTATGACATTACTATCCAGGTCAATAACGAGCTCATTCATGGGCTTGTCAAATAGCTCTGAAGGATTCTTGACGTAGTGCTGGTCGATAGGAAACTGATCTGCGACGAAGACGGCCAACGCATCTCGGGCTCGCCGACCCGCTCTACCGGCCTGCTGACGCTGGAAACGGCGTGAGTCCAAATACATTCAGCGATGTATGATACCTACAAAGCTAGCTAGGCCCCCTATTGGAAACCCAAGCATGATGACGGCGTCCAGGACACCGATGTCGACACCCAGTTCCAAGGCATTCGTGGCGACAATGCCTAGTAGATTTCCGGAGAATGCTTCCTTCTCGATCTTGCGTCGATCCTACGGTAAAGGTGAGAACGATCGGGCTGATTAAGCTCCTCTGATACGCACGTATTGTGAGTAGCCTGTAATGCAACCCCCTTGAGCAGCAGTATTGACAGACCTCCAGAGACGCACCTCCGCGATATGCCATGACGCGTTCCAGAATGTCTTGCCGACCGTCAGCCGCGAGTTCAGTGTGCAGAGCTTTCATGGCCTGCAGACCGGGTCGAGCATGAGTGTGAGCAGTCACAGTGCTATGCATACTCCTTCTCACCAATTCACAAGTCTTCCGGATCTGCCCAGGACGCGTTTAGTACTAGCGTGCCGTGACTGTATCGCACTTACCTTACAGAACAGGATGACACGAATGCCGCGGGCCATCAAGAGTCTCATCAACCGCGTAGCTTCTGTCAACGAACCACGACGACCAGACGTCTCGTCCATAGGGTCTATGAGTGGAGGGTTCCACACCAAGTAGTCTTTACGACCAGATGGGGCACCGTCTTCCGTGACCTCCTCGACATCCTGCTGGGAATGTGAGGATGATTGCACTGCATCGGCCACATCACATACCTCAATGCCGAAGATATTCTGCATGTGCTGCTTAGGTTTTGCGATGGTCGCACTGCAAGATACGAAGCGAGTCCTCCTATCTGCAATGTTTCCCATGCTGAGCATTGCACGTTTCGCATGCAGACGTGAGCTACTTACTACCAACGGCAGCACACACTCTGCGAAATCTACGCATGACCTGGGCGACATGACTACGGAGTGATCGTCAGCATGCAACGCAGATAAGTTACATGTCAGCATACCTGCCGAAGATGTTGGTGTAGTAATGTAATTCATCGACAGCGACGAGTTTCAGGTTCTTCAGAAACCTATTGCGCTGAGTAAGACATGCGATGTAAGGCTATACGGGCTCGCGCACCTTCGCCACAGATCTTCATGCGGGAGGATCGAAGCATGCAGCATATCCTGGGACATCATATTCAGAATTATTGTGCGTGGTCACCGTTGTTACCCTCACGAAGTTGGTAAAAATCACGGAAGCGGACTCGCGTATGCCTGTAGACAAAATGAACAGCCTCTCGGGACACGTTGTCAAATTACTGACCTGCTCGAGCCTCTTGCGGTGTGTCACCATCGTAATTGTACACTTGAATATGTTCTAGGCCTGGACATGAATATAGTAGCTGCTCGAGCGCGAGTCTTTGATCTTGGGCGAGAGCCTAAAGATTACCGTCAGTCTTTGACAACTACACCAAGATTTTGCAATCCTGACCTTGGTTGGGTATATGAACATAGCTGTTGATGTCGGGTCCTCTTCAAGAAACCGTAAGACAGGGACCTTGCCCGAATTAGTCGGCGGTCTATCGGTTCACTCTGGCACGCACCTGGTATATGACGCTCTTCCCAGACGCAGTGCTGGTAGAGACTATGACATGTTTGCTTTCAGACAAGGCCCTGATTGCAGCGACTTGATGCGTATACAAGGAGGTTATCTTCCGCGAGTCCCGCAAGGCTTGCGCAATAGTCTCCGATAGGGGATGGTCGAGCTCGTCTGCCACTTGTGAATAAATCCTCACTATGCTCGAAGTGAAGGCAGTGAGGCGTACCAATATCACCGTCTTTGGCGTCCACGATCCGCCTATCAACGACCTGGTCTTGGTACCACTCCTGCTCTTGGATCTCTTCGATAACTGCATTGATAGTTGGCCGGTCAGCAGGGTCTGGCACGATACGTTGGTCTCCTGTTGAACCAGATTGCGATAGCTGGTTGAATGACCTTGAGGAGGGGTCAATAGGAATGTGATCCCGGGCGGCAGCCTGAAGTAGTACCACCGGGTCATCGTGCTTAGATGTTGCTTCAAGCAGTCTGGATACAGGGATGTTAAACAATGGACCAATGATTACATTCTTACTCGTTCACGGCTGTATGAAACGGTCGTTTCTCTTCTCGATGAGTTTCTTCATGGCCCCTGGTGTCAGAGCCGGCGGGAGTGCATAGACGAATCTACACAATGCTCAGCCGGGTACTTCTCAGAAGAAGTACAACTTGCAGACCCTGGATTGGAACTTTTCTTCCCTCTGGAGTTCTCTTGTAGATCCAGTACGAGAACATGTTCCTCTTCATCTACTGTGGCGCCCAGATTGGAAGTGGAGCCCCCTTGAGAGCTGAACGCGGCGTAGTCCGGAGAATTGTCACGTCCTTAGACTGCCCTGAGACTCGGCATGGATGCGAAGTTCTGCTTGGGGATGTAGCAAACATGACTGTGTCAGGCAGAAGAGCTCTGTGCCATGTTAGGGCCCCAAGCACTCCTCGGGATTATTTACTTACTTAGTTCAGCGACTTTCGCAAGATTAGTGGTCTGGAATGGTGTAGCGCTTCAACTGAAACAGACGTTGCGCGACGCACTGCTTTAACAGCCCTTCAACCGACTGACGGACGACCGGGAAGTGATCGCGAAGTTCTTTCGCGACGAGCAAAACGCAAGAACAGTATTCAATGCCTATGCAGTGACCGGTTCAGTGCTATGAGAATAAACGAGGACTAATGTACCTTGAAAATCTACGTTCGTGTCTCTCGGGGTAGCATATTCAGGTCGTTAGACTCAGGACCCAAGGCGCACAGACCTTGAAGAGCTACATGACCATGATTGTTAGCGAATCTCATCGTATGATTGGAGGGCAGCTGCTTTACCGAGTCAAAGTATTCTGGCCAATTGAGAGGCTCTGTTTGTTTTGTTGCCCTTCCCCTTATTCGATGTATTAATATCCGCGGCTTCTTGGTGGTACCCGTCGCGTTCTTGCTAGCTTCTGGGATTTCGCGTCGTCAGTAGTTGTTTTCTCTTTCTTCCACTACTTCCTGCTTGGTTCGCAGATGTCTCGGAGGCATGGTGCTGTTGCCGGTGGACTGGATGTCAGTGAGACCAGTGAGAGAGGCGCCCACGGCGCGTCGCCGCGACGCGTGACAACGCGGTGTGACAGTCAATGAGCGATCTTGCGCGTGTCGTCACATTGCGTTGTAACAACGTTCTCCTCGCTGTCCTGACCGTCACCTCCTCGCGGTGCGGACCTCCCTAACAGTGAGCGGAGTCTGACTCTCGTTTCATCCTTGTCGGGCTGATTCGCTATCGTGTTACCTTCCACCAGCGATGCGTCCCTCATTACCCCGCCTAGTGAAGGTCGTCCCCAAGAGCCAGCTCGTGCAGCAGGGCATCCCGCTCAAGCGGGCGATACCAGAGCCAGTGCGCTCGGACATCAAGCAGCCATCGCTCATCGAGGTGCTCTTGAAGCGGAAGGCGGACGCAGGCGAAAACTACCCATCGAACATCCGGATAGAGCCCGAGCTGAAGATGGCACACTTCAGGCGCTTCCCGAAGGAAGTTGGGATGGAGTTGAAGGAGATGGCTCGGGAAAAGTGATGCTGTGGGGGTCGATAGTTTGATCGGTGCGTATGGTTATTCACTGCTCGTGAATTGTACTGACATGCTCAGCTAGGTGGAACAGACCACGGCTCACGTTGGCCAGGTCGGTCAATCTGGCCCTATCAAGCGATCAAGCTCAAGTCGCAGCCGTAGACTTGTTAGATTGGGCGGTCATACTGCAGCACGATACGGGCGGGTTTCGTAATGAGGATGTCTAGATTGCATATGCACACACTTCGCTGGTACATACGTGGGTTACGGCCCAGACTTGGCCGCCAATCTGTCCCGTCCCTCCTTCACGACCTGCTCCAGCAATGCGTTGAATCTATTCTTACATTGCACCTGTATCCCATGGCCGACATCTTCCCACTCGACCAGCTCAGCCTCTGGCATGTGCTCCTTGATGTACCGACTGCTGCTCGGTGGAACGAGATTGTCCTGGTCACCCGTGATAATCAACACCTTCGGTATCGACTCAGAAATGTTGCGTAGTCGCTCGGGTGAGACATTGTGCGAGATGGCTGCTGCCATCTGAGAAAGAGCACCGAGCGGCTTCTGCGGACGGGTGACCTCGATCCTCCGGCGGTACTCCTGAACATAAGTAGACGCTATCAGAGTGGGGGGGAGGCGGCGGCTCGATAAGAATCACTCACTTCAGCTTGTAGCTCAAGATTCGTGCGGCCTTGAGGGTCATCCTCTGCTTTGGCGTTCAGCCAGTGCTGCGGGAATAGCATGCCGAGGATCATCGGGATCTTCGCTTCAGGGTCAGAGATCACAAGGAGCCTGTAGAATACGCCACACTCAGCCTTCGGCTCGAGGATAGCCAGTAGCGACTTACCTCGCCAAGGTGGTGACGCCTTTCACCTAGTCTGCTTCAGCTCAACCAAGTACGAGAAACGTCTCACAACGAGCTTACCGATGGAAAGGCGGAACGAATGGTGCGCTGTGCTCGAGTCACCGCGAGCGCAAGAGAAACGATGCGCTCTGGAATCTTAGTGGCCAGTTCTAAAATTCGCGTTGAATGATGATATTCGCTTGCGCTGGAGCGGAGCGTGACATACCGAGCGCAATCATTCCTCCTAAGGATATGCCAACGACATGCAGATCCCGTTCTGCCGTCCATCCGACGTAGTCTAGCAGGGTGACGACATCGTCTGCCATGGCACTTGTCCTGAAGGAAGTGTTCACTAAACCATCTACATGCTCTCGCATGATACGGACGTACGTGTACGGTCCCATAGGCGCACCACTGTTCCCAACACCTCTGTTGTCGAAGACGAGCACCGAATACTCCGGCTTCTTGCTGAAGTAGTCCACCTGTGGGAACCACGCGAAGGACGTGCTGTTCAACCTGCATCACATCTCAGACATTGCTTCACAGATCACAGAAAGTGCACGTCCACTCACCCCATGATGAGCACTATCTTCTCCGGGCCCGTGCCATGTTGCTCGAAGTATAGCGAATGGCTCTCGAGCGGGTCGTTCCCGTTCCTGATGCGAGATACGGGGCAAAGCCTTTGCGCGTGCAGGTCTTCGCGTCAAAGATGGTTGGGATAGCCTGCACATCTGCTTCTGTCTGCACAGGAACCGTGTCTGAGCTCATTCTGAGAGGTGTGTTGAGACAATGTGGTCACCGTGACGAAGGTTAGACATAGCCTCGAGACAGGTCACAGTCCGGGTCGCGGGGACGTTAAGTACCGCGGGGTCGCTTAGTGGCAGCATACATAAGCACATATGGCAGTATGCGCAGTGCATGCCCGACTTCATCTGTTATTAGCACTTTAGATCATGAACGTTGAACGTTGGAACATGAATCTTTGGTGTTGAATAAGTATGCCGACACGGAGGTCTTCTCATGCATAGTGCCCGTCGCTGGACTATCTCAGCTGCACACGGACTGTCACCAACCGGTTCGAGCAACACTTCTTCTAGATACTCCAGTGCTGTAGTACATACAAGAGACAACGATACGAGGTACGTCATATCGTCAAAATCACTACTGCAAGGCAGTCGCGACTACCTTGAACGTACCATTGGGCAGCACGCTCGCCCTCTGGCCGATCGACACCCATCCATCGCCTTCCTCGATCTCTGCGTCTTGGCGGTGCACCGGCTTCCCTACGCTAGGGCCGTGGATGTGCAACGCGCCAACAGGGTCTCCGCCGCTCTCGATGTCCGCGTCGTTGACCCCGCGCAGCTTCGCCTCGACGTTCACGGAGGGCGGGCCGACAGCGGCGAGGTAGGTCAACGCGAAGGAGTCGACGGCAGAGATTTGTCTCTGCTTCCTGCTCGGGAAGGTTTGCAATCGAGCGGGTGCGACGCAAAGACGGGACCGGCGACAAGCGGGTGAATGTGCGCGTTGACGATCGGGACGGAGAGCGCGATGCGCATCGGCACGAGCAATTGCGACTCGATAGGGCCTTTGTCTGACGTCAGGAATTGAGATCGGTGTGCTGCACTGATCACGTACCTCCAGCACTGACCGCAGCACGATGGTACCAGCAGCCTTCCCAGGACTTTACGCGAGCCGCATCGAACACAAGGCGATCCCAGAGGCTTGGCGTGTCAAGAACCCCTCGGACAGCGACGCGTACTTGTGGCGCCACGCGAAAGAGTAGAGGACGACGACTTGCGAGCCTCCTCACCACGGCCGTGAGAGGGCGTTCAGGTGGGCGGGCGTCACGAACAAGACCGTGGGCGACGGGATCGGATATTTGGTCACAGAGCGCAGGTCAGCCAGCAGACTTGCAGGTGAGTACGGCGCATCAGGGGTGTGGTGGCTGGGCGAAGCCGTCAGCATCTAGCGCACTATAATAGCCTCAAACGTACGTGGACCGGTGATGAGCTTTGTGCTGTCCAACGTGGCGAAACTGGTGCCCTCGTAGATCGCAGTATATGCGACGGCGCGCCCGTACGGCGTAGAGAGGGAGGATGCGGAGACGATCGTGTCGAGCGACGAAATTGCGCTGGACAGAGGCAGGAGATTGCGTGTCGCAGCCACTCCAGCAGTTAGGTTTTCGTGTGTGAGTTGAGTGCCTTCTAGCCTCCGGCGGCGTTAGTGTGGAATGCACCGTCACGACATCCTGTGGGCCTAGAAGATCATTCAATTGGTTTCAAATATAATAAGCTTGCCACGTACTGGGGGTCGAGAACGGGAGCCTGCTTCTTGCGACCACGGGTGTAGACATCCTCCCACTTCAGCAGCTGGACATGCTGAGCAGAGCGCAGGTGCTTGCTATCCACATCGCCGACCACAACGACGGTGGGGTAAGTACTGTCGTGGGAGTCATAGAGGTCTCCAACAAGTGCGGCAAGAGGGTAGTGTCCGTCACAATCACGGACGGCGGGTGATTCTCTAGGACAGGCGACAGCAGCGCCAAAGAGGACACCACAAATGAGGGAATGGAATATGAGGCCAGTGCCAGGTCGGTAATAAGGAACTCGATGCCGTCGTTCAGCAGCAAGAGGACATTTGACTCTTGCGGGACCACTTTGGCAGTCATTATGAGCCCGGCACCGAAAGCCGCAGCTCGGTCTCTCAGCTCGGGATTCGTGATCTAACGCCGCGCAGTCCGTCAGACAGACGTGCAGATAAGTGACGGTGCGCGTCACGCACTTTGGTTGACCAGAGCGTTCGAGGGGCATCCGAGGCAGGCTTCACGAGGTCCAGGAGCACTTGTTCGTCTTTGCCAGGCCTCACAGGGAACTGCGACATTGTCAGGCACTTCTCACGCATGCGGACGCGCACTTACACGACCGAGCATTCCAGTGCTGTAGTTTCGATAGACCGCGCTCTCTCCAGGGTGCCTGACGCGCGCGACATCGCTCTGGCGACCGAGGAGAATGGGATGCACGAGAGACTGGGGCTTGTACAGGTTATGGAGGAGGAACAGACAGGCCGCTACCAGACCCAAGATGATAGTGAGGTCGTCTGTGAGGAGATAGTCTGAGACGCCATGGCTTAGGTCGCTCAAAGAGCTTGTCGTCGTTGTCGTCGTTGTCGACGCTGCCGAGGTCGCAGCTGGCGTGGCCGAATAGCAGGATGTTGGCGCTCATAGTTGCGGGCAAGGGCAATGTCACGGAGTCGTCACACTTGTCGCGCGCTTGGTCACACAGCCACGGCATGTGTGACGTTTTGCGCGTGTGACATTCGACGCGCTATTCAAGCTCCGCCGCGACCGTGTCTCCTGGTGGCCACAGGACGCGTTCTCCTGCCTTCAACCGTCACCTCTCTCGTCCTGCACACTCATATCCTACTGTATTCTAGCCGGACGAGTCATGTCTGTGCAACTGAATGCATCTCTCTTCAATCGACGTCTCCAAATCATCCTCGACGCGTGGAATGTGTGTGCGCAGACTACCTCCAAATTGACGATGATGGCTTACTTATCAGCGTTAGAATGCAAGCAATGAGAGCGACTATAGCTCAATAGCTGATGTGGATGCTATGTTTCTACCGGCAGGCGACCCGGCAGGAGAAGACGAGCCTATCCGGAAGGGTGTTGCGCTCCAGGTAAGTGCTTGCTGAGAGTCCATTGGGATTTCGTTGAGCCCAGAGTCGCGTAGACATGGCTTCTGGGCTATGAATTCCCCTCTACCTTTATGCTGTTCCTCAAGGACCGAATCTGCATCCTTTGTTCGGCGTCCAAAGGTACGTCGATAAATGGTTTGATCGAGATACGTTGTCATTGTGCTCATAATGCTACAGCTAAGATTCTCTCCCAAATCAAAAATTCTGGCGCTCCGGTGGCCATAGATATCTTCGTTCAAGCAAAAGCCAAGGACCCCCCGACGGACGCCCTGCCGCGCTTCTTGGAGGCCTACACTGCTAACAAGCGCGTCGGCACATTGACAAAAGAGGCGCGGTCCGGGAAGTTGATTGACGAGTGGGCGAAAACATTGGATGCAGTGGATAAGAAACCGGCGCTTGTTGACATTGTGCCCGCCGTGTCTTCTTTTATGGCGGCGAAGGACGACGAGGAGCTGGTGCGTCTTGTCTGCGACTGTTAGCGATGCACGGTCTGATGTGCCGAGCAGAAATCCGTCCGGACAGCGGCCAGCCTCACGTCAACTCTCTTGACACACTACACGGTCACAAAACTGGAGACTATTCTGGACAGGGAGTCGAAGATCAGCCATGAGACATTCGCCCAACAGATCGAGGCGCGGTTGGGTTATGGCGAGGGTGACAACGCCAAAGGGCCCGACATGAAAGTGTGGAGCAAGGGCAAGGGGCTCACCGACGTGGACTGGGCATCGACAGAGTTCTGCTACACCCCTATCATTCAGTCACAGACGACGAGCAGTGGGTACGACCTAAGCCCAGCTGCGGAATCATCGTCGGACGACATAGCGCACAAAGGTGTGTTCCTAGTGAGCCTCGGCATGCGCTACAAGGGTTACTGCGCCAACCTTGGCCGAAGCTTCATCGTAGACCCATCGAAGGTGAGTGAATACTCAGTTTTATGACCGTTGTACTGACCGGCCCCATAGGAACAGGAAGCGATCTACGCACTATTACTTTCGCTACAGTCCGAGATGCTCAGCCAGCTCAAGGACGGTGCCGTCGGGCGGGAGGTGTATCAGCACGCATTGCAGTATGTCCGAGACAAGAAGCCTGAGCTGGAGAAGAACTTCGTGAAGAACGTGGGACATGGGGTATATCAACATGCTTGTTGTCGATCGTGACCAGCTTGCTCATTCCATGTGTCAATAGATGGGCATGGAGTTCCGTGACTCGCAATATCTGCTCTCGGCCAAGAACGTGCGCAAACTGCACTCTGGAATGATTTTCAACCTTGCGCTGGGCTTCACTGGCCTTGAGCACGACGGCAAAAAGTATGTATTGAAACTTATTGTGCGGGAGCATGAAGCTAACCTCTCGCCTAGGTACTCCTTGCAGCTCGTTGACGCGGTTCAAGTATCGAACGAGAAGGCTGTCTGCCTTACGTCTGGCGTCAAGTCCATCAAAGATACGATGTTCTTCCTAAACCAAGACGATGATGGCGATGCTAAGGCTGCGCCTCCGAAGAAGCCTTCAACTACGAAAGCGAACGGGAACGCGTCACCTGTCAAGAACAAGATGGCCGGCGGAAAGGTGCTCCGTAACAAGACCCGAGGCGCCGCACAGGAGGAGGCCATTCATACGGCGACTGCGAGGATTGCGGAGCATCAGAAAGAGTTACACCAACGGTTGCAGGACGAGGGATTGACAAAGTACTCGGAAGGTGGCGGAGGAACTGGGCGTAATGAGGGTAAAGGGTGGAAGCGTTTCCAAAGCTACAAGGGTGAGGCAGCTCTGCCGAAGGAGGCAGAGAGTCTGCGGGTATGTTTCCTTAGCTGTGTAGATGAACTACGCTGATGTCTGGTCAGATCTTTGTTGACCGGAAAGCGCAAACCATCATTCTTCCTATTCATGGGTACGCTGTGCCATTTCATATCAACACGATCAAGAACGTCAGCAAGAATGAGGAAGGCGACTTCACTTATCTGCGGGTCAACTTCCAGACGCCAGGTCAACTTGCGGGAAAGAAGGAGGATACAGTAAGTGTGGCGCTCCATTAACCCGAGCGAGGCAAACTGACTTCCTGCAGCCGTTTGAGGACCCGGATGCCACCTTCATCCGTTCTGTGACATATCGGTCTGCGGATGGACACCGTTTCGATACGCTCTCGAAGCAGATCACAGACCTCAAGAAAGAGGTGAACAAGCGCGAGGCGCAGAAGAAAGAGATGGCCGACGTGATCGAGCAAGACACTCTCGTCGAGATCAAAGGCCGCAGACCTGCGAAGTTGCCCGAGGTGTTCATTCGGCCTGCATTAGATGGCAAACGTTTACCGGGTGAAGTCGAGATCCACCAGAACGGTCTGAGATACCAGTCGCCGATGGGATCTCAGAAAGTTGGTACGTGTGCTATCGCCGCATTACACCTAGCTATCTGCTGATGGTGACTTTCAGATATCCTATTCAGCAATGTCAAGCACCTCTTCTTCCAGCCTTGTGATCACGAACTGCTTGTGATCATTCATATTCATCTCAAGGCTCCTATCATCATCGGTAAAAAGAAAGCACACGACGTGCAGTTCTTCCGCGAGGCGTCCGATGTGCAATTCGACGAGACCGGGAACCGGAAGCGGAAGTACAGGTACGGCGATGAGGACGAGCTGGAACTTGAGCAGCAAGAGCGGAAGCGGAGACAGATCCTGAACAAGGAGTTCCGCTCGTTCTCAGAGAAGATCGCAGAGGCGGCAACAGCATCGGTACGTCACAGTTCTCGTTGCTCTGTGAGAGATGCGCTGACGAGCGGGTTAGACCGGCGACACACTCGAACCTGACATTCCCTTCCGCGAGCTCTCATTCGAAGGTGTACCGTTCCGTACCAACGTCCGGCTGCAGCCAACAACCGAGTGCCTCGTCCACCTCTCGGATCCTCCATTCCTTGTCGTCACACTGTCTGACATTGAGATCGCCTCTTTGGAGCGTGTCCAGTTCGGTCTCAAGCAGTTCGATATGGTGCTCATCTTCAAAGACTTTACGAAAACACCGCTCCACATTAACTCCATCCCAAGCTCACAACTCGATGATGTGAAGCAGTGGCTTGAGTATGTATCTCGGCTTCTGCATGGTGTTGCACCGTCCTGATTGCCTTCTCCTAGCTCTGTTGACATCCCGCTAAGCGAAGGTCCGGTCAACCTGAATTGGGGACCCATCATGAAGACCATCAACGAGGATCCTTACGAGTTTTTCCAGCACGGTGGCTGGACCTTCTTGGGTGGCTCAGCAGGTGGAGAGGAGAGCGATGCGGACGACGTCTCGGACTCCGAGTCAGAGTTCGAGGCTGAAGAGGAGCAGTCGGAGAGCTCCCAAGCTAGCGAGAGTGACTTCTCCGATGATGGCTCCGATGCTAGCGCCGACGAGGGCAGTGGCTCGGACTTCGGTTCGGACGATAGTGACGGTGATGATTGGGATGAGTTGGAGAGGAAGGCGGCCAAAGGTTCGTTCGATGCTTTGGATTGGGGTGCAGCACAGAGCTGACTTTCACTGTAGCTGACAAGAAGCAAGTTGAGACAACCAGAGCCGATTCTGATGAAGATGTTCGTCCAAAAACGAAATCCAAGCCGAAGCCGAAGGCAAAGGCCAATGGAAATGCGAAGAGCAAGAAGCGATGAGCGATGGCGTTTTGGTTGTATCCTGTCTTCGCTAACCGTTCTGAATCATGACCTCGCATCTATCTCATATGTATACTTAGTACTGTACGTCCGCTGAGGTGCTCGTTGATGGCTTCATATCTGACATTGCGTCGAGTGGGCATGTTCCGTTTTCCTCCCAATGCCTCAACCGAGCCTGCGTACGAACAATCTTCAATTCTGTGAGGCTTGCCCCTCCTCGTGAGCGATCCTCTATGCGCAGCCGTACACGCCGTGCACACCTCGAAAAGAGGGTCCGACCAAGCAGCACAGTGTACACCACCCGAGGGTCGTAAGGCCTGGACAAACGCCTCCGAGAAGGAAATACCACTATAGTGATTGCGCACTGTGCTAGTGGTCACATCCGTCGACTCGAACGTGACCCAGTGGAGTGAGATCGAGCGCGGGCTTTACAAGTGCTTAAGTTATATATGTCAGGCTCCACGAAGCACAACTTGAGAACTTCGCTCTTCCCATACCTGGAGCCAAAAGAAGAGGATCGCATGCAAAGAGCGGAAGAGCAGTGTGTCTTCCAGGACAACAGACATCTGCATCAGTAGTGGCTTCATGCCGACGGGGACGACAGAAGTTAAAGAACCAGATGTCTTCAAGTTGTCCGCAACGAACGCACGGTTGTAACTTCACGGCTAGTCTTGGTCTGTTCGAGGTGTGTACTTTCATGATGACGTGGTACACTGTGATAGCATTCAAGTTGACCGAATGCTGTCTGACAGGACCCAGTAGCTCTTCGGATGGCCGAAACGTGGAGCCTGTCTGACAGCGCATTGCTTGCCCTGCCAGACGACCTTGAAGATCGCATATTAGAACCGCAGGATCACTCTAGACAAGAAATCCGTGACTGGACTTCTGACAAAGAGTCGCAGGCCTTACAACACCATCTATCGAACATCCGAGCTCTACACAACTCAACCCTCACGGTGAATTTGTTGCCTAGCGAGATTCTAGTCGAAATCTTCCACATCGCCACTGCGACCCGCGACAGCGTAGCATGGACGGCCAAGACCATGGGTGTATGTCGCTATTGGCAAGACATAATCGCACGGACGCCTCTCCTATGGAACGAGATTGACTTATCGAAGCAGCCAGAGTTCGTAGATCTCTGTCTGGCACGCTCCGACGACACAGGCATCAGGCTTCATCTACGCATGCAATTTTCCCGCCATGGAGTGCCCACTGCAATTGACTATCCTGCCATTGCTTCCCTCCTCGCGCCACATCATCCACGAATCTCGTACGTAGACCTCTATGTGAACCGGTCCCATCCAAATCACCGCAGCGAGGATCCCCAGGCTTTACTGAGGACGCTGGAAGCTTCCCTACCAGGGCTGAGGTCGATGGCCCTAGCGACGGGGCCCGAGTTTTCGCTGAAGTTGACGCAGAATCACCTGCCTAACCTTCGGAACCTCTCGCTTTCTGGCCTCACGATAGCTTGGACTAGTTTACCATTGCCGAGCCTAACATCCTTGAGACTGAGCGACGTTGTACATCCCGACGATCGCCATCATGGCTGCTTAGCCTCCCTCCTGGATGTACTTGAAGCATGTGATGGCCTGGAGAGGTTCACTTACGAACAATGGGAGGCCGTCGCTGGGATCCCGCCAGTCGCAATAGATCGCGTTGTGCCATTGCCTTGCATGCAGCATTTCTTCGTTTCCGGGCTACCGAAAGACATATCGGAGATCCTCGCACACCTCTCTCTACCACGGGGTGCTCACCTGTCAGTCGAGCTGCTCGACCTTCAAGCTGACGGGATCACGGACTTCGAACATCTACCGGTCCTCGACGCTGTCTTGCCGCGCGACGCGACGCGCTTGCCCACTCTCAGGGATGTGCGGCACGTCATGGTGCGGTTTGAGCATCTAAAGCTCACCGTCCATGCGGACGAAGACCGTTCGAAGTTCTGGGAATCACAGGCCTGGAAAGCTTCTGGCTGCAATCCACCGCCCGGGCCTGATGCGGCCGAGGACGTCCCTATCATACCGCCTCTCTGCATGGTATACCATCTGCCAGGCTCGGAGTTCGATGATTACCTCCTTCCCAGCGTTATGTGTGAGCTCAGCAAGTTTTTCCCATCGACCTTGGAGACGCTCCTCATCCGTGGGGTCATGGACGTCGTCAACACGGAGACCTGGATCCAGCTGCTCACGGCCTTCCCGGATCTCGAGCACCTGGAGATCATGTCGGAAGAGTGCGACATGAAGTCCTTTCCACAGGCCCTGGAGCCGACGCCAGCCGTGACTCCATGCCCGCGTCTGCGCAAACTGGCGCTGCGATATGAGCCGAACGAAGAGGACGGTGGTCGGAAGCTGCTCACCAGTCTGTACAGCGTGCTGCAGAAGCGCGACGCGGCTCAGACTCCCCTGGAGTCGCTCAGTCTTCAGGTTAAGCCTGTGGCCGACGAGACAGTCTTCACGCCTTCCGGAGTCATCGGCCGCTTGCCGTCAGATTTTGATGACATACAGGCGAGTTTGGAGTGCATGGTCGACTCGCTGGAGGTCATGTTGTTAATTGATGGTGACTGAACTACGGGTGTCGTGGGCTGAAACGGGTGAGTGCTTCAATCATTGCATGCGAGGACTGCTGAATGATGACACCCAGTTCGCGAAGGGGCTTGTTCAAGAATGTTATACACGTAACGCATTGAATGCAAGTCAAGTATGTATGCTGCACCAACAGGTTGAGCGACCAGCTTCGGACGATATAACATAGTCGCAGTTAGCCTGTAGCGACCGATCTCGGAGTCCGAGTCGGTGATTTCGACAACAGCATTCCAAAATCTCGGCGCACCCAAAACAAGTGGAGCTGTAATTTGTACAGCTAGGACTCAGCAGTGGATGAGACCGTTCGGAAGGTCGACGGACGAGAAGGGAGAGCTCGTCGGTGACAGCATTCTGCTGAGCCTTTTAAGGCAGGATCCGACTCCGTACATGGTCTAGGTCATACCTCCGCAAGATATAAATGTCAATGAGACGACTTCGCGACCAGGCGAGGTATTCGCGGACTCTTGCGAGCGATGTGGGCTCCTCGCCGACCGAGATGACTAAGCGTGCCCGGAAGATGGACTCGCTTGACATGACCTCTCGCTATAACGCATGTAGAGTTCTGGGAAGAGACCTAATTGGATGTCACCCCAACCTACCGGGTCCATAGTTCGGAGCAACTTGAATGTGCAGCGCCGAACACGTAGTGCAAGACAATGGGATCATCTGGTGAGAGATGCGACGGCCTCGGGGGAGATCATGGCTACGGAGCTAGATACATTAAGTAGCCAGGGTAAAGTTCCTGTCAAACCGCAAGATATCGGCGATGTTACTAGGTCGCATCCATTGATGACAGCGAAGCATTGATAGACGTACGTGAGTTCTATGGCTCTACTTGCTCGACAATGCCGAGTCCAACTTTGCAACCGGTGACAATGAAGTATCCCAAGAACAAGGCTAGCCCGTACGCTGCGTCACGAGACAATGATGGGTTGCGAATTCAGAAAGAGCATACTCCCGAGCAATAGCACAAAGATTCCACCGTGCATCTGGGATGTCCACGCCTCGGACCTGTGGACGGGGTTTACCGATTCAAGATGGGTTGTTGTATCCTCCCCTCCAGTCGTCCCAACGAACCGTGGCCACGTAGCGATGAAACCACTCCTTGTCTTCCGGCGCAAGCTCGCAGCAATCGCGCACGTGCAGGAAGTTCACTGTCGACACCAGGTGTCCAGGCTCGTCATCCTCCACGAAGCCGGTTGCTGCGTGTGCGTCGCGGCGCGCCTCGAAGAGGGACCGCAGGTCCGAGCTGCGAAACTGCGTGCATCCGACGATCGTGAGCCCCTTGAGGTACCGGCAGACCCAGAACTCTCCCAGGGGTGTCGGTATTGGCATGGCAAGCGCACGTATGATCTCCGAGCACAAGCCGTCGCATGAAATGAACCAGGCCCGGCGGCACGACTCCTGGCCCTGCGCACCCGCGAGGAGGCTGAACAGTGCCATCGCATTTACAATTCCTTCCATGCTGATTACGTACGAGTCTCCAAGTTGAGCGGGTGTATCCATCGAGCACCGCGTGTACGACGCCATCTCGGCGTACGAATAATCGAGGAGTCGGTTGTACTCCGAGATGATGTTGCCCGTCATATCGATGAAGTCGATGACATCCCAAGTCATAGTCGATTCCAAAATGGGTGGTCCGGTATATGAGCAGTCCAGTTTCAGATTGGCGAGCTGGACTTTATAGAGACCGTTGCAGCTGGCGAGACAGCTCAAGAGGTCGACGAGCGGGAAAGGCGGGTGATGCGAGTCGTACTCCAGCAGATAAACACCGTCGAGGCGAGGTGGCAGTGGTAACCGAGGAAACGGCTTCACGTACACCTCGCGGAAGGGGAAACCGCCCATGTAGAGCCACAAGAGCTTAGGGGCGTGGAACTCGCCATCCAGGGATGGCGCCGCTTCAATGCTTGCGACGGTGTCGTCGATCACGGAGCTGAGCCTGAGCAATATCAGCTCGTCCGCGCACCCAACAAGGTCGACGCGAGGGAGTGGAAGTGAGCTGGAATGGAGAAGCCGCACGCGAAGAGTTTGCCATCTCTTCATATGAGGGGAAAGCACGTCCATGACGGCCTTTACATGAGCTTTCTCTGTAGGATCCCCCTTTGTATGCGGTCGCAGGGCATCTCTTCGTAGGATGTAAATGTCGATGAGGCGGTCTCGCGACCAGGTAACATAGTCACGGATTCTTGCAAGCTGTGGAGGTTCCTCGTCGATCCAAATAACGAGGCATGTCCAGAAGGTGGAAACGCTTGCCATCAGCTCTCGCCAAAGACAACAGACGGAGGTAAGCGACTCCTGGAACGGCCACCTGAAGTTTGGGTCGCTACGAGGTAGACAGGGATCTGGTTCGTCCCAATCCGCTGCGAATGAGGCCATTATTGTCGAGTCCGACTCAACATCGAGGACGGCACGGAAGATCATCAGGAGGACATCTGGTGGGAGGACGCTGATGGGGGCGGAGGACTTGCGGATAGATGAAGAGGGTTCGATATAATAGCTCGTGCACTGCGCGGGCATATTCAATGGCCTGTGCCGTCCGCTAGTAGTATCAGTACCAAAAACGTGGCGACAAGCTGACAGATATACTGACGAGCGAGTTTGTTCGATGCTGGATTCAGCTCTTCCTGAGGCCACCATGAGCTTGGTAGATCTTGTGCAATGAATGATGATTATGGAGGCCGCGGCCCCTGATTTTCGTCACTTGAAGCCTGTGTTTGCATTCCCAGTCGAGCAGGAATTGGTCTCCCCTGATAGGTACTAGGCCCTAAGCCGCAGACCCTTTTCACCGCAGATAATACGTACGCGGACGTAAGTAGAATATTTGTGCACATGGAAAAAAGCAGAGTGTCTTCGGAGGATGTTTGAAATCCGAGCCGAAAGTAACTTAGGAAGGAAAGTCATCAAAAATAAGCGGTAATTACCAAATATGCAAGCAGTTTTGGTCAAAACCTTGAAAACCTTGCTGGCAGTGACAGGAACATGCGGCGAAGCGGTTCTCCTTAAACTTACTTGGCTCCTCCTCCGCACTTGCTCATACTCGTTGGCAGGCCAGTCAGCCAGCCTGTCAGCGCTTCAGCATTGACAGCAGTGTAACCTTGTATGACCAGATTCAGTAGTAACCGGGCAAGCGTTCTGATTCGGACTGCAGGTGTCCAGCTTCTACACAGGTGACAGAGTGCACAATACTGTCGACGTGCTGCGATAGTTCAGGATCAGCCAAGGTGTGTCGCATGCGACATGATCAGTTCGCGGAATTGGATACTGACAGCAAATTCCTGGTTGCGTTTCACAGCCTTTCGTAACAATCAGGTTCGGTCGCTGATGGCCAGGCATTATTTGCTTCAAGATGCGCCGCTTACATTACAAGATGTCGATCGCACACGCCTACAAAGCTGCTCCAGGCAAGAAATGCGCGAATGGCTCGCCGCTAGGGCGCATCAGCTCGAAACGGAACTACTGAGCGTCAAGAATCTGCATAACTCAACGCTCACCATCACGCAAATCCCCAACGAGCTGTTCCTCGAGATCCTCCGCCTCGCTTCTCCGCCAAATTACGACGTGTCATGGATAGCCACAGCGATGGGTGTGTGCAGACACTGGCGAGACATCATTGCGGCGACGCCTCTCCTCTGGTGCTCATTCACATTGTTGCAAAACGTGCGGTATATGGAGCTGTGTCTGGCACGCTCGAAAAACACGTCTATCTCTATGGACTTTCGGACGGACGAACGGTTTCTTCGAGGACTCGGAAGACCCGGCAATGATCTTAGCCGAGTCGTTGAGCTGATGGGCTCGCATCTTTCACGGCTCATACATGTGGACCTCCACATTGACCGCTGGGATTCGCCGAGAGAACCAGCCGTTAGTCGTCTGGTGCGATTACTACTGGAGTCCTGTTTACCTCGACTCACGTTCGTGAGCCTGGTGGTTAACCCTGGCTTCCGCATCACCCGGTCCAGCAAACCCATCAACTTCCGCTCGGAGTCACTCTTGGCCATCCGTACAATCATCCTCTCTGGCGTTCACATATCCTTAAACAGATTGTATATCCCTCACTTAACAAAATTGGTCCTTTGGGATATCAAGCATACCGGCCGTGAGGACGGGTTCCTGTCCTCACTACTAGACCTTTTCGAGAGATGCGTCCGGCTACGCGAATTCAAGTTCACATACGAGCAGGGGAGAAGGTTGGTTCCGCAAGTGGTCGATGCAAGTCGCATGGTGTCGCTACCGCAGATGAACCTGTTCTCAATATCGGGATTATGTTTGGATATCGCATCCGTGATGATGCACCTATCGCTACCGCACCGCACCGCGCTTTCGTTGGACGGTACGGACCACATCGCTAGTAATGCTGGCTCCGGCTCTCGTACCCCATTAATCGGGGCCGTGTTACCACTGCATTCCACGCACTCGGCGGCCCTCGAGAAGGTGCACTTCGCAATGATTTGGGAGCACCGAGATAGCTTTCAGATCTCCGCGAAGGCAGTTGGCACGTTCGGCGGAGAACCAACTCTACGAGCCACGTTTCCGCTGGGTTGGCGATTTTCGCTCTTGCGCGACGCCATGCTAGAGCTCAGTTCCTTCTTCCCGTCATCCTTGCAGGCTCTCACTCTCAACGGCGCCATTGCGCTCATAACCTCGGAGGACTGGTCCCTCTCATTGTCAGCTTTCCCACAACTCAAGTATCTGGGAATTTATGACAGAAGGTTGGCAGTCTCGGACGAATTTCATTTTGCTCCCGCGCTCGAGCCAGCGCCCACTGTAGTCCCATGCCAACGCCTGCGAAGAATTGTCCTGAAGTACGCGCCGAAGACGGCAGACAGCAGTCTGTCCATGTTCATAGAGTTTCAGGAGGCACTGCGAAAGCGTGCCGAAGCTGGCTCGCGCTTGCCGGAGCTACGCGTCGAATTCAACCGGGCGCATAACAGAGCTCAATTGTCGGTGAACGACGCGCTACGGTCATCAGAGGTGTTCAACGAGCTACAGAGGAGTCTTGCATCCATAATAGACACGGTGACTATCATCTGGCATGGCTTAGCCCAAAGGTACGCAGCCATTGTACATAGAAGGTCCAGTCGAGTGACTGACAATATTACACAGCGCATGACAGCACTCCGAGGACTACATAATAGCGATCATGGATTCTGCTGTGATACGCACCAACCATGACGATTTCACTTGCTGGTTTCCTGTCTCCGTACTCGCTGTTTACGCGTCTCCCCCGCCCGAGTCCATGCGAGTGATTGATATGGCGGTAAATGTCTCCCTCTTGGCATGAAGACGACTTGTGACGTGCACGTTTGCTGCTTTGCTTTTTCCAGTCCGAACTACGTATCATACGAAGTTCCATGTCATGGCGTTGCAGTCAACCTCACCCTTGTACGTGTAACAAGTCGCACCGCCCGCGGACATATATTACAGTTGTGGTACAAGTATCTTCCAGCTACTAGAAGAAACTCATTTTGGACAATCTTGCAATACATTTCAGTACCGGAGACTTGAGCGATCGTGACGACATACCTCACTCGCACGTATACAGCAACCAGAAGCACCAGCGGCGCTACGCCAAACAACACGATGCGCACAGGGAGCACCGTGTTCCCGGTAGAGAAGTGTGACCAGAGGCCTCCCAGAAATGCTGTGAACAGCAGCAAGGGGTAGAGTAGGTATCCGGAAAGTCTGCACATTATAAAGACCGGTAAGTATATGCACGACAGGGGTACAGAGCCTAGCACGTACCGATGATACTTCCATACAAGCCTGGCTTTGGGGGTGCCCCCGAAGAGACGTCCGTTGAACCAGACGCTGCCAACGCCGATGAAGACCTGGACGACTACCCAGAACACACTGATGTAGCCTAGAATCTGTTCGCGCAGTCAGCGGTGAACATCACTTTGGTCAAACACAACACTGACGCCGTGCCATGTCGTCGCATGACGCGACCCGTGCAGAGTCTTGTTCCACCAGATGGCCAGCGTGCCGAGTAATAGTGCAGGGTAGCTGCCACAGAGTATGGCATATTGATGGCGAGTAAGGCCTGCCGCCTTTGTTCTTGGCTGCGAAGTCGGCTGAAGTGTTACGATGCCTAAAACCCATCCCATCAACCACCATCCGCGTCAAACGCGACTCGGGAAAAGATGATTCGAATCGGCATTCACACCACACAGAGTATAGTGGCATCGTGCCGGCACTCACACGCACAAATCCTATCATGTCGTTCGGAGGCGGGAGACCAGCCAGACACTGGCACGTTCCGAGGAAACGATGCGTTTCCGCCGCCGTGAGTCCATCACCGACTTTGGCCTGGCGCGCTCTCACCATCGCTGGCGATGATATGGTCATTCTGGGCCATGTCCGACCCAGCAAGACCGACAGACTAGTGACGACTGTGGGTGAGACCAGGTGCGAAGACCTGACAATATGGAAATAGCTGTCAAGATAATCGGGCGCCGATTCGAGTGGTGTATACCGTATCCCCGATGTGATTAGACGCTAATGCGATGTTACTCACCATACGCCAACAGGCAGATGGATAGACTTTGGAGTATGGGATGCCAAAAGAACCACCCGAGCTTGACGGGGTTGCTCACGAAGACGATCAACCAAGTTCCCAGAAGGAAGGCCTATGACTGCCTGGGTAAATCGACCTCCTCATGTGAGAGCGCGATCTCTCACCCCTGCAGCGACCTTCCCCGGATCAGAGTGTGAGCTACGCTTCTCGTTGGACTAAGTTTAGCACTCACGTATGCAGCGATTTGTGCGAAATTGTCCCCCATGCGATCTTCAGGTCGAATGTTGTCGGAATCTAGCACAACGTATTGGGAATCTTCAGCGACATCTTCTACGATCAAAGGGTCGTTTTCTTCGCCCTCGTTTGGCTCGTCGTGTGGGAAGGTTTCCGTTTTCGGCGTTGGTGCGAGGGCAATTGCACCGCTCATGCTTGTGTAACTATGGGAGACTCTGCAGAGATGCACGGTGATAGATAGAGGCTAGCAAAGTCATTGCAGCGCTGGGTTGAGTAAATTACTGCATGCGCTGCGCAAGGCCGCAATAAGTCAGCGTCCGGCCATTGAGCATAGGGACCGGCATTCTCCGCACCTCGGCATGCTCCGGAGCCTTCCGGGGACCCGGCACGTTCGATGTCGATCTAGATCGGCTTGTTCAGACGCTGGATCGGGGGCGCCTATTCCCGTGGGGAAGGCCCGGAGCCTAAGCAAGGCGTCCGTGCCGTCTGGTCCGCTGACCGCGACCATGAACGCGAAGTCGAGGTCGGGCAGACTGGGAGACTCCGACTCAGAGACCCATTACCCTCATCACTGCCGGCGCCGTCGACGAGCGCCTTGACCTCGACCACCACCTTCTCATCATGAGGCCCTCCGCTCGCTGTCTTGCCCAGGCATTGGCCTCCACACGCTCGCACTCAGTCAGTTTCATCGGACTAGGACGGATGGGCTCTCCCATGGCCTACAACCTCTTCTCGAAAACCCTGGTAGAGAACGAAGGCAGCGCACGCTTTGTGGTCTGCGATGCGCGGACGGCTGTATCTGAGGCGTTCGCGGCGGACTTCGCGAAGCAGTTCCCCGGTACGCAGGTCGATATCGCGAACTCGCCCGAAGAGTAAGCCTTGCATCCCTCCTCACAACTAGACCCACCAGCTGGACGATCATCGGTTGACAGAGCCCTGATGGCCTCGCAGACCATCATCACCATGCTCCCTTCGACCCCCCATGTGAGAGCCGTCTACGTCGAGTCCGGCGGTATCCTCCCCGCGCTGCACAAGCTACCAAAGGAGGCCGTCCACGCGACGCTCTGCATCGACTCGACGACGCTCGACGTAGAGACAGCGCGGGTCGTCTCATCCGACATCAGCAAGATCGGCGCGCGACTGGTCGACGCACCCGTGTCCGGCGGCGTCGCCGGTGCCAAAGCGGGCACGCTCAGCTTCCTCGTCGGCGGCACGAAGACCGCGTTCGAGCTCGCGACGCCGACGCTCGAGCGGATGGGGAAGAACATCATATACTGCGGGGGCTCGGGCGCGGGGCTCGCGGCGAAGATATGCAACAACCTTGTGCTCGGGGTGCAGCAGATCGTCGTGTCCGAGGCGATGCTGCTCGGCCAGAAGCTTGGCTTGGAGCCGAAGGTGCTCGCGTCGGTGATCAATAGCTCGACGGGTGCGTGTTGGGCGAGCTCTGTGAACAATCCGGTTCCTGGTGCTGTCCCGGACAAGTCCCCACCTTGTGAACGAGACTACGAGGGTGGATTCGCAACGCGGTTGATGCTCAAGGTGCGTCCAGGGCTCATGGTTGGAATTATAGAAGTCGCTCTAATCCGGTTGCAGGATATGGGCCTAGCAATTAACATCGCGGAGACGACGAAGACGCCGCTGCCGTTGGGTACCGCTGCGAACGAGATCTACGCAGAAGTCATCGAGGACGACCCTGATGCTGCCGAGAAGGACTTCTCAGCTGTGCACAGGTATCTACGACTCCTCAAGAATAAGGATGCATAAGTGATTGGGTAGAGAAGCTGTAACGTGTACTATCGGATGCACGTGCAACCTGTATAGTATGTCGTGCTCTATTTCACTTGGTAGAGGCTGTCAGACCGTGGATATGATTGTAAGTCAGCTTATACTGAGCACGTAGGCTGCTGGACACAGACAACGGTACATCTTCTCATACCTTATGCATTGGATAGGCATGAAACGTTGAACGCATAGGGGCGAGATATCCGGGAATGGCCGACGAACTCGGACGTGGTGCGATTTGATGTGACTCGTGTGAGACCAGTCTTTCCTCCCCGCTCAATTCAACTAACACTTACACTCTCCATTAGTCTGCGCATGGTGGTTGTAGCGAACGGGCGAAGATTAACAAAGGTGAATTGGCTACTCTAAGGGGTGTCTGAGATATACTGACTAGTACTTGCCCTCAGTACGTGCTCGAGCGAAGGGAATGAGACTGAGCGTGGCGGCAACGCGGTACAAACTACAAGAGAGGAATGTGACGAGACAGATGGGGCGGCCATGATAGCTCACTGGAAGTCGCAAGTGAGCTGGACTGGTGCGCCGTTCCTCACGACTCTAGGACACGGTACACCTTCAAGCAGAGAAGGGTCCGAAATTCCACTCGAAATCCCGCTTGCAAGAGTCGACGCACGCTGCCAACCTCCATCTTTTCTTCCTCCTTCTTAACCCTCCGCAGTTCCTCCTTCGTCTTCTTTAGCTCCTCTCTGAGTTTCGTGACCTCCGCCCTGTTCGCGTTTTTCATCTCACTCGCAAGGTCTTGCAGTTGTCGCTGGTACCTCTCCTCCTGTTCTCTGAGTAGCTGGCGCAAGTCAACGCCCGCAGCGGTTTCGGGTACTTGCTTCCGCTGTTCCACGAGCTCCCACTGCATCTGGAGCTTCTGGGCCGAATTTCCCATAAGCGTCGACACCACCATGCGGGCGGATTCTGCGTGGTTGTAGTGGCGGATCATCTGCGCTCCTGCCTCGATCGCCGGCTGGTAAAAGATGGGTTTGGAGGCCAGCTCCTGCTCTCGTGCGCTTCCGACCTCCTCCGGGACGTCCTCCCACATCGAGGTGACGATGAGGACGTTCTTCATCGCGTTCGGCCCACATATCTTCCCAAAAAGCCGGAAATTCTCTACAGCGATTCCTCCGACGCGCCGGTCGGAGATGCGGTGCATGTAGATGACTCCGGACAGCAACATGTCTCGTTCGTATCTGTACGCGTGGAACTCGACTCAGCCACGAAGGATGCGCACCAATGGCAGATCGGTCACTCACGTCCTCTTTAGAAACCCGCCTATGTCTTCTAGAACGTCCGCCTGCGACTTTGTCGTGTCGTCGAAGCCGGGCGTGTCAATAAGCACGACTTTGGTGTCGCCCATCATGTAGGAAGCGACATCGATGTTGGTCGTACACGATCGGAGGCCCGTTCCTACTTTCAGGTCTGAACCGCATAGGCGATTGATGAACTGGAGAGTATGTCATATCCTCTACGATCAAGCCCCGCATGTGAAGTTATGCTCACTGTCGACTTCCCTGCCCCTGTAGGGCCAGTGACCCTAGAGCCAGAAGCGAGTAAGCGCGGGTGCGGCAGTGATCAATAGGAGGGACTCACGCAATCAGCTTCAGGTTCCCGTTGTACAGCGCCATTGTGTTCCCGAAAGGTGACAATGGTCAAGAATATGCGCAAGCAGTAGTGCTGTGGTATGAAGAAGACGCATCCTGGTCCGTGAGCATCATATATTTTTGCTCGCTGCTCAGATAGCAAGTATGGAAGTGGCTTCGCGTCGCACCTGTAACACGCACTGGCGGTCGCACATTGCGTTCCGTCACACGTGTATCTTGCGGCCCCCATGTTCGATGATCCGCGAGATACAGACCTTACGACGGCGCTTCAGTGTGGCTCGTTCTGCATGTCCGCCGCGTTGACTGGAATACCGAAGTTCATTCAGCGATAGGTGGCACACGGACCAGTAGGCTCTGTGACTGCCAAGCGACTTCTAATTGTAGCTATAAGCTACGCTGACTTGCCTGACCCCCAGTCACGGTGTCCGATCTCAGCCAGCAGAATCTCCAATGGTTTTAGTGTCACGGGGATAAGTCATGAACGTTGTAATCATCTGTTGACGGGTGCAATACGCCGCGAAAGATAATGAAATCAGGTTGAAGCTTCACTGAAGGGGTGTCGGCCATCAAAGATATCAGTACTTCAGTAAGTACTCAATACGCACTCACATTGATACCGTTTGTGGAGTAGTGACTGGCGTACGGGGTGCCCCTGAAACACTGTATGGTATCAAATGTATTATGGGAGTGTTAAACTTTCCCTACAGTGTACGAATCAATGGGCGCAGATCGACATCTTGTCCCGGAACTTTCCGCACCTTTCGTCAGCGGTCAGTAGCTGCACATTGCTCCTCGTTAAGGTAGCGATGTTGTCCACGACGGCGCTGTCCCAACGCAGCTCAGTAAAGCGGGACTCGACAGGATTGGGCCACACCTAGAATAGGATCGTGTGGTGCACAGAGCAACGTGTAGGTCCTCAGGCCTCAGCAGTGAGCGCCTCCGGGCAAATCTTGGTGGCTGTATCCGAAAGGCTTCTCACGTCTCTAGTGAACAGCCGTCAAGAATCAGAGGGTAGCAATCGGTCTCGATAGATATGGAAATGAGGCATTCCGGTCTGCACGTCATGACACGCCGCCAGCCTCCCAACTGCGTGAGGCGGTCAACCGTAGACACGATCGAGGCGATGGCGGTTGCCGATCCTCCGTCGCCGGTGCGGTTCCAAGAATGGCAGAGCACCTGGGACATGTCGTTGGGCATTCTTTGAGGTGACCCGAACGGACGTGTGTGCTCATTCAGACTAGGTACGGTAGCGGATCGACACTGCCAGAATAGGTGCTTCATCGTGCCATGGAATGGATACCAACAGATATTGACAGCTACAATTGAGGAGCCAGGCGGAACCCGAGCGATATCTTAAGGTGGTTTGGACTGGGTCAGTCTAGTTCCGAGGACAGTAGAGTGCGGCGCTCACCATCTCGCTGACGCGTCGTGCTCTACGGCCAACATCCTACTTTGACTCATGTAGAAGCGCTTTTGCCGCGCACTGGCCTCCCAAGCCCCGCAAAGTATCTTTGCTGCATCCTCTGCAGTAGGTTACTCGACGACGACCTCTGTCCTATGTCAGATATGCCTATCCCCGATTCTTCGGCCGCCTGATCTGTATCAGTACGGAGACCGCATGGAAATTGCATGTACCACTCCGCTTCCAGACGAATTCGTACTTCCCAAATGGGTGGCCTCTTGCGATAGTCTTGCTTCCAACAATCTTCCATGATAGACCAGATAGCGTCGGATACTTCCACTGGGCGCTGGGGTCTTTCACCGCTCATAACCTTGCGAATGACAGCCCCGTCGTAGTTGACATCTTCATACGGCACCTTCCCGGTGAATATCTAAAAGTCCCTGGAATCAATCGATTCGCCAGAAAAAGGTCTTGTCACGTACCTCCCACATAACCATGGCGTAGGAATATATATCGCTCGCCTTAGATGGAGTTGCACTATTCAGCCTAAACATTTCCGGGTCATGCAACTCTGGGGGCATCCAACGGATTGTTGAGCGAAAACCCGTGTGCTGACTGACAGTATTCAGCGTGTCGCAATTATAGAGCGTAGTCGATAGCCCGAAATCTGAAAGACAAGCCCGCCCCTGTTCGTCAACAAGGACATTCGCCTGAAACATCATGAGCGCCCCGCATCCAACTATGATATGTATGATACCGCTCACTCACTCCTTTGAGGTCTCCGTGGACAATGCCAACGAGATCTGAATGGAGAAATTCAAGTCCACAAGCAACATCCGCGATCTGGCGGGGATCGGTATTCCATTGTCAAGCTTTACAAGCAGAGGTACTTCAGAGTTGTGGACTCACCAACGGCGGACGACTTGCGTTCGGATTGTTGCCCAAGAATTTGATGATATGTCCATTGGGCATCCATTTACATATCATGCTTAGCTCGAATTGTTCACGATCAATTCCGTAGAAGGGAGCGACATTCGGATGGGCGAGACACCTCCAAAGTGCAGCTTCTCTAGCAATCCTCTGAAGAACGTGAAGATGCTATCAGGAACATTCTCTTTGTAAGTGCCAATAATGCCTGGTGAGCGGACCTTCAATAAAACCTCCACAGAGTCACGTTCAGACGTCCTGATGGCTTTGACACCAACAAGCTGTCCATTCCATCGTCCTAGGTAGATGTCTGCGCATCCTCCACTCTCTTGCGGTCGGGTCCGATCAGTTTCCAATGTGATGGAGTGGTGTTGCAGAATCAAAGACGTCGGGATAACGCCATACTCTACGCACAGCTTGCGAAGCATGTGAAACACTGTCGTGTACAGAGGTGATTGCCAAGGTATAATGCTCTCCAATACCTGTATGTGCAGAATTTTGGGTCAGTGGTCGTGCCCACTGGACATAAAGGATGTTCGACACTGACAGCATCTAGAAGATTCACGACCAAGTCATGGTACCCCGTTTGTGCGAATTTCTTCATTATCTTGATACCCTGTTTCGACGACATTGCTGCTCGGCAGAGCTCCAAGATGTTCTTGTCCTGGTCGATCGTGCAGCTCGAGCTCAGAGCTGCGAGCGACTGAACGAGGAGACCAAGCGCCTCCGCGTGGCTGTCGAGGTACACTCGAAGTGATTGTTGTGCCAGTATTTCATCGTCTGCAACGGGCTCATACTGAGCAACCGAGGAACGATCAATAAATCGAAATCGAAAGTCTACTGGCACGCCGCCCGGATCCTTGTCCAAAAGGTGGTTCCCCTCCTCCTGTTCTCTGAGTAATTGGAGCAAGTCAACGCCAGCAGCGGTTTCGGGTACTTGCTTCTTCTGCTCCACGAGCTCGTACTGCATCTGGAGCATCTGGGCTGAATTGCCCAGAAGTATCGAAACTGCTATACGGGCAGATTCTGCGTGGTTGTAGTGGCGGATCATCTGCGCTCCTGCCTCGATCGCCGGCTGGTAAAAGATGGGTTTGGAGGCCAGCTCCTGCTCTCGTGCGCTTCCGACCTCCTCCGGGACGTCCTCCCACATCGAGGTGACGATGAGGACGTTCTTCATCGCGCTCGGCCCACATATCTTCCCAAAAAGCCGGAAATTCTCTACAGCGATTCCTCCGACGCGCCGGTCGGAGATGCGGTGCATGTAGATGACTCCGGACAGCAACATGTCTCGTTCGTATCTGTACGCGTGGAACTCGACTCAGCCACGAAGGATGCGCACCAATGGCAGATCAGTCACTCACGTCCTCTTTAGAAACCCGCCTATGTCTTCTAGAACGTCCGCCTGCGACTTTGTCGTGTCGTCGAAGCCGGGCGTGTCAATAAGCACGACTTTGGTGTCGCCCATCATGCAGGATGCGACATCGATGTTGGTCGTACACGATCGGAGGCTCGTTCCTACTTTCAGGTCTGAACCGCATAAGCGATTGATGAACTGGGTAGTGTGTCATATCTCCTCTACGATCAAGCCCGGCATGTGAAACTATGCTCACTGTCGACTTCCCTGCCCCTGTAGGGCCGGTGACTCTAGAACCAGACGCGAATAAGCGCGGGCGCGGCAGTGATCAATACGAGGGACTCACACAATCAGCTTCAGGTTCCCGTTGTACAGCGCCATTGTGTTCCCGAAAGGTGACAATGGTCAAGAATATGCGCAAGCAGTAGTGCTGTGGTATGATGAAGGCGCATCCTGGTCCGTTAGCATCATATATTTTTGCTCGCTGCTCAGATAGCAAGTATGGAAGTGGCTTCGCGCCGCACCTGTAACACGCACTGGCGGCCGCACGCGAAGGTGCATTGTGTCCCGTCGCACGTGTATCTTGCAACCCCCATGTTCGATGATCCGCGAGCCACAAAAGGCGCAGCAGGACAATGAAACGCACGCATCCGTGACTTTCTGCCAGCAACAGCTAAGTCTTGACATAATGATCACCTTGCATGTATGCGTGGAACGCCGCATAGGAGGGCCAGTCTTGATCGATGATCTATGGTCGCTTTGGGCAGATTGTTCAGTGCTAGCGGAAACATTGCATGCAGAGCATGAACAGTGTCACTGTCTAGATCTATCAGTGGCGCGAGAGGCCAACCAGGACAGTGCCCAGAGGCTTCTAATAGCCTGAACTCGCTGGCCTCATGGTCGCCGCGTTCACTACCTCGGACGCTCGTCTGACGCTTGACGCAAGTTACGCAGTGAAGGACGATATCTACTGCGTGTGAGTGAAGGTTCATTATCCACGTTGAAATCGCCACACACCGTCGGGTAGCTGCACGCACCCTGAATGTGTGTTGGGTCTCCGAAGCTTCATCACGTACCGGTCTCAGGCTGTACCGGCGCGGCGACTGGCCACAAATCACAACCTTGCCCATTGCCGCAGATTGCTGCAAGACTCATTGATGTCGGCTGCCTTTGGCGTGTAGCCTAGATACAAAGTTGACATGTGTACGAGACGCATTTCACCTGCATGTCTTCGCGCGACGTCGAAATGCCTCCTAAGCCATACCCACGTAGGGCGCATTCGCTACTTGCTGCTATACACAACTTTCCGATTGTCGTCAACGATATCGTATGGTTAGCGAAAGGCTCACCGTCCTCGATTATTATGTAAGAGCATTCTTCGCACAACTCACCGATATATCAACTGAGTTCATCGTAGTGTCATGGGCCCAACGGGAACGGGCAAATCCACGGTCAGTTTCGACCCCGAAGTGAAGTGTTGGTGTCTCATCGGAAGTAGTTCCTCAACCTGGCCAGTGGCTCCAAATTCGGAGTAGGAACGAGCCTCCAGTCCGAGACAGCTGTCATACAGCCAACCGAGCCTTTCAAAGTCGGATCACAGCGTGTCGTCCTGGTCGATACACCGGGGTTCGACGACACGTTGAAGTCTGACAGAGAAATACTCAGTATGATCGCCGAATACTTGGCTGACCTGTGCGTGTATCTCGTTGCGCCGCGGGACCGCCTGCAGTGACTAACGTTAGATATCAGGCATTCTAAGAATATAAAGATCAAGGGCGTTATGTACCTGCATCGCATCACCGACAACAGGATGGGCGGCACTGCATTGAGGAACTTCAGGATGTTTGAGGCCCTCTGCGGGAAAGACTCGATGCCGAACGCCGTCATCGTCCTAAACATGTGGAATCAAGTTGGGAAAGACATTCGCGAAGCACGCGAGAAGGAGCTGCGCGAAAGTGACGACTTCTTCAAGCAGGCTGTAGACGCGGGTGCCTCCGTCATGCCCCACGACGGCCAACGATCATCCGCGGACGCCATACTGGCGTATCTCCTGAAGCAGAAGCCTGTGTCTCTTCAGATACAAAATGAGACGATGAACGAGGACAAGAAGATATCACAAACGGCCGCTGGCATGATCCTTTTGGGGGAGCTTGCGAAGAGGGAAGTCAAACAAAGCGAGGAGCTGCAGCGCCTACGCAGACAGCTCGACGAGTTGTTGGAAGAGGGGGAGAGGAAAGACTTAAAGGAGGCGCAGATGGACCTGGAAAGAGCCAGAGAGAAGCTGCAGGATGAGAAGGGAAGGCTACAGGACGCGGGCGCCCTTGTCAGACGGAATCCTGACTCGGACGGGGCCCAATCCTTCGGACAGAAGTGGTGGGATCGGGCACGAAGAGCGGCACGTAGAAGACAAACGGCATGACCCGTACGGTCGCGATGCAAACCATTGGGCACTGCAGCGCAGGCCCGGGGGATCGAAGCGGCGGGGATGCGTACTTGCCGTGTTGACGAGCATCGCAAATCACACACTGCGACGACGATCCTAATATATGTACCTTAGTTTATGTATGTCGCTTCACGAATCGACCACGCACCATGAACTACATCCACATATGCACACCCGTCTGAGCTTGTCCGAGTCGCTGTCAAAGGCGCGCCCACGTCGATGACAGGAACGTATACAGCCCAGGCGATACCGGTTTACAAATTCTTCATTCTTCGTACGTCTTGATATGTGCTGGTCAAAATAGCCCGTAGTTTCGGAGTTACAGATAGGCTCACGCGCTCTAGTATATCTTTCCGGTGACAGTATGTAATGAGGCAGTTGTTGTGGGCAAGCTGTGGTCGGCCCTGAGCGTTGAGTGGCGCCGGGCCGCCCACCCGCCACTGGCAATTAATGTATACCGTCAGTTATTGAAACCACCGCTGACGAGGATCAGAAATACTGTAGTACCGTCACCCGGGCCCATCGATGTGCCCCTCTCTCGTGAAGCCTTTCAACGAATACGCCGGATACTGCTACAGTGTCAGTGGTACATACTAGCCTAACGTCCCTGCCCAGGATCTCACTACTGTGGCCCCAGGATATGGTAAACCTTCCAGCAAAACAGAACTCGGTACTCGACGCGATATCCCACTCGTAGGAAACGAAAGAGGCCGTTGCCCCCGCGCAGCTTCTCCTCTTCTCTCTTGACCCGCCGGAGATCATCCTTCACTCTGTTCAGCTCTGCTTTAAGCCGGGCGATCTCCGCCTTTTCTGCGTCCTTGATCTCCTCTTTGAGTTCCCGCATCTCTCGCTGGTGTCTCTCCTCTTGTTCTACGAGGATTGACTTGAGGTCGCAGCCCGCTGCGGTTTCCGGCACTTGCTTCCTTTCCTCCACGAGTTCGCGTTGCATCTGAAGACTCCTCGCGGCGTTCACAATGAGCGAAGACACGATCGACTGGGCGGACTGTGCTGTCTTCTGGTGCCGGACTATCCTCGCCCCCTGCGCGATGACTGGCTGGAAGAAGATCGGCTTGGACACTAGCTCTTGCTCTCGCGCCTGTCCAACCTCCTCCGAAACATCCTCCCACATCGTGGTCACGATGAACACGTTCTTCATTGCCTCCGGGCCGCATATCTTCCTGAAGAGCCTGAAATTCTCTCGCGCGATGCCCCCAACGCGGCGGTCGGAGATGCGGTGCATGTATATGACGCCGGTCAGCTTGATGTCTTCCTCATATCTACGTGGGTGCACGGCCAGCTGAGCCATGAGGCATCCACATTGTCACAGTCAAGTGTATTACTTACGTCTTTTTCAGAAATTGGCCTATGTCCTCGAGGACGTCCGCCTGCGACTTCGTCGTGTCATCGAAGCCCGGCGTGTCGATGAGCACGACCTTGGAATTGCCCATCATGCAATGTGCGACGTCGATATCCTTCGTACACGACCGAAGGGTTGTTCCTACTGCCAAGTTTGAACCACACACATGATTGATGAACTGCAACGTCTTTCAGCTCTCAATTCCTGTGGCAGCGCATATGATGACTCTGCCCACCGTCGATTTTCCCGCCCCTGTAGGGCCAGTGACCCTAGAGTTAGATGCGAGTAAATGTGAGTGTGTCTGAGATCAACGGGTGGAAAGCTACACACGCAATTAACTTCAACTTCTCGTTATACAGCGCCATTCTGCGCCCGAAGGTTTTTGTGGAACTACGAGGAAAGCGCTAGTCGATGTTCCAGTATGAAGGTGCGCCTTGATGAGTATGATATATTTGCGGCTGGTCTGCAGCAGGCCATGTGTCCCACACCAGCTCTGCATCGTACCTTCAACACGCGCTGTCCTTAGTAGGCGGGCGTGCCCGGGGGTGCACGGCGACCCAGGGCACATGTACAACATTCGTCATCGTATCCAGTGATCCGCGATGCAAAGCTAGGGGATACTGTGGCTCGTATGGCGTGTCCACAGCACCGACGCTGTTCGGTGGTCCGAGGATATCGACAGGCAGTTACAGCTGGCTACAGACTCCGATTCCGTAAGTTGGCTAGGGATCTTGATGTTATGTAGCTCCTCACTCGTAGAGTTTACTGGCGCCGTTCACTGGCACTGGACTCGCCGCCGCAGGGGCATCGTGTACTCACAACGGTACCGAGTTCTAACACTGCGTAGCAGTGATCGGCACGGCCCGTACCCTGATGCTGCTCACGGTCGATTTTTGCTGTCCCGTAATTGAAGGCCGGTGACTTTAGAGTCAGACGTGCGTAACCACAAGTGCGTCTGATATCAATAATGAGCGACAGGGCACTCACTCACTCAGCTTCAGGTTCCCACTAGATAGAGACATGTTGTCCCCGAAGTCTGTTGTGAGGAGATGATTCGGCCGCCGTTGTGGTCACGACCTCGCCTGTATCGTTTGTTTGCGCCTCACCATCTTGCAATAGTGGTGGGTAACTTCCCTCCGCTCCTGCATTGAATCTGTGATCCCTTTGTGCACGTGAGCGTCACTACATCGTGGCGTTGGATGATCTACGATGCGACTGAGATGCGGTGGCGTTGTCTTTGCGTAGTATCGCTTCGAACTGAACAAGCCCAGGGTCCGACAGCTTTGGTCTCATGAATGGCAAGCTGGCTCACAAGATCCGTGACTTCCACTTCTCAAATGCCATCAAGTTACGCTATCAATGAAATCACCTATTTCCGAGGGCGCTCCTTTCTACCCCAGAGTTCAATTCTTACGCACATAAAGTAAGCAGAGATCCTTGCATGCGTCTGGTATTCTCGTTGATGTTTGGAATGTCAGAGAGGAATCTGTATGGCTAATGTGACGGCACGCAGCTCAGATGGTTCAATGCGCCGCATCCTGCGGCACGAGCATGAAGTGATGCCAGCCGCTCTAACCATCACACCGAGTCTGATAGTGTATCGTTGCAGCCGCTCACGACGGGAACTGTGTCGTCGTTGGCTTCGAGTTCCCTGAACGCGATCAGCTCGGCAGTATGAGTCACCTCATGATGTATAGAAGTCTCACACAGCGAACTGTAAGGCATCTAATACGGTGGCAATTTGCTTCGATGCGTCTCGGTCTTCATTGAACGTCAAGCTCCGTGAGTTGCTCCAATCACCTGTGAATGAGAAGGTGAGCTCATTGCCGCATGTGAATCTCGCTATTGAAATCAAACGATGACCCAATCTGTTCCAGTAAACTTCTAGCACCTCAAGACGTTCTCGAGGGAGACTCCTAGCGTGTGTTCTTCCTTCTCCCGGAACACGCCTAGGCTCGACACCTACATAGTGCCAGTGCCTGATACTTATGGCTCTGGATTATCCAAATATGGTTGTCGAACAGGACGCCGGTGTCCCCTTCAACCGAATGATCTCTCAGCATGGATAATCGACTGCCAGTGTAAAGTTTGCATATGCTCCTCAGAGTCACAGACATTTTACTCTGACATACTGTATCTTCAGCAGTGCTCGGGTGTACGCGCCCTCCACCAAGTTCATGAAGACGTTCCACGGAGCATCATATTATGGTGTGCATAAGTAATACTTATTCGATGCGTCTAGCCAGGTCGCATCGGCGCCTCAGCGAGTTACCGCGACAGTCAACGCGTGCTACTAGACGATGACAGCAAACTATCCAGACATGTAATGTCACACGTTAGTTGACGCATTGCTCTTACTCACGGTGCAAACATTTCCGCTACATCCATTGTACCATTAATCCACACCTTCAGTTGCATTTGCAAGATCTCGAGTGCATTCAACAAGAATGCGCTTGTTGCTGAATTTGCCTACCGATATTACATGGAATCCATATGGGGCCGGGCCGCCACGCACACCAATAAGTACCGCTCACTCAAGATTGGGACATTGCCCAGCCGCCTCGCCAAATGCCACGTCCGAAGACCGTGAAATCGCCGGCCCCCACTCCTCAGCCCTCCACTCCATCTGACCAGAGGAAGGGGCATGTGTCAAAATCGTCGCGGACGCTTGATGACACTGCAACAACATCATACATACTGTGAGCTTACGTTGTTGCTGGACTCTCCGTCCGAACACCACTGACAATTATACCAGGGTTATGGGCTCCACCGGGACAGGCAAATCTACGGTCGGTATTGTTCTGCATGGGGACCGTGACTCCTGATATCTGAGTGGGCTGTAGTTCATCAACTTGGTAAGTGGCTCCAATTTGAGTGGGGACCAGACTCCGCTCCCAGACGGCCACTGTCGAGTTATCCAAAACGTTCGAACACAAATCTCAGCGAATCGTCATGGTGGACACGCCTGGATTCGACGATACCATCAAGTCCGACGTAGACGTGCTCACTACAATTGCGAATTATCTCGCACACTTGTGAGTCAACGCGTCTACTACTTACGGACTGAGAGTCAGCGATGTCTTACACGAGTCACCCAAGGTATCGCGAAGGCATCCAGATACGCGGCATAGTGTACATGCACCGCATCACGGACAACAGAATGGGCGGAACAGCACTCAGGAATTTCCGGATGTTTGAAGCCATCTGCGGGCAATCCGCCAGGCGGAATGCGATCATAGTCCTCAACATGTGGGACCAGGTGAAGAAGGACGTTGCCGAAGCACGCGAGAAAGAGTTGCGCGAAAGTGACCTCTTTTTCAAAGCTGCGGTGACCGCTGGTGCACGTACAATGCGTCACTGGGGCAGCAGGGAGTCTGCCATACCGATTCTGGACAATCTCATCAATCAACCTCCAGTGGCTTTGGCAATTCAGCGAGAGATCGTTGAGGAGCGCAAAGCAATCCACCTGACGGCAGCCGGGCTGACGCTCCTTGGGGACCTCGCTGCAAAGGAAGCCAAGCATGACGAGGAATTGGGTCGTATACGTGAAGAGAGAGAGGAAGCGAGGTCAAGGAGAGACGTGGACGAGGAAAGAGATTTAGAAGAGGCGCAGAAGAGGCTAGAAGATCTGCGACAAAAGCTGGCGGATGAGCAACGGAAACTGCGAGACGCGACGACGACAGGTCGGAGGGTGTCTCGACGCGCACAGACGTCGACTCAGAGTAGTAGTAGCTGCTGTTGTTGTTCTTGAATGTTGGACGCAACATCGAGTTCCTTGTTTTGAAGAAGTCTTTCATCACTTATGGCGAAACTTACGCCACCCTCCTTTATCACGGGCCATAACTTAAGGAGAGTGTCAAGTGATGTACTGTCGCTCAGTGCACAAGAGTTGCCCTGCTTGATGGGGCTACAAGCGTGCGCCGTTCCTTCATCGTCTCCCACCTATAATTACCGTTCTTGCAATCGACCTTTCGAGATCGTATTATACTACTCATGATACAGGTCGTACGCGCAGGATATGGGAATTACAGTATCCTTCCTATCTGGCAACTTGAAGAGGATCACATGTCTTTATTTGAGCGAAGAACAGAACATGTAGACTCGTGCCCAGTGAAACGGATAGTACATACGTAGTCATGCTGAAAGCCAATGTCATCAACGCACGAGGGAGACTTAAGGAACTGAAGGGGGAGCTCGTGGACTGCCTCAGCATATGATGCAACACGATGCCAAACAGCACTTTCGCTCGACTGCTTCCACTGGCTTGAGCGGAGCAGGGGTCGTTTGGGACGGAGCAGGGGCCGGGTTGAACGGAGCAGGGGTTGGCTCGAGAAGAGGAGGAGTCGACTCGTTCCAAGGCCCTGCCAGTCGAAAAGGGGGTTCGAGGTCATGCCACGGACTTGCCAGCTGAACCACGACTGGTTCATTCGTCTTGAAGAGACCGGAGGCTTGCACTTCCTGGGGTACGGACGCGCGTGAGTGGGCACCGTCAGAGGGGACATCGAGGTCGAGGAGAGTTGGCTGGGGTAGAGGAAGGGTTGGCTCGGGAGGAGAGGTTGGCTCGGGAGGAGGGGCTGGCTCGGGAGGAGGGGCTGGCTCGGGAGGAGGGGCTGGCTCGGGAGGAGGGGTTGGTTCGGGAGGAGGGGTTGGTTCGGGAGGAGGGTTGGTTCGGGAGGAGGGGTTGGTTCGGGAGGAGGGGTTGGTTCGGGAAGGGGTGGCTCGGGCGGAGCAGTGGGTGTACGCAGAGGCCTCTCACTAGGTGCGCTTTTAGGGTCTGATTGCGGAGCGTCGGGAGCAGATGTACTCCGCGAACGCGAATGCGTCGGTGTGTCTGAGGGGTTGGCATGTATGAAACGCCTGAGCGGGACTGGAAATTCGGTAAGCGACGTTAGGAGAAGATTAGTATGGCAACTCACTAAGTCCTGAGACGGCAAGGTAGGTGAATGCAAATTGCGACCCAGCTGCGACAGGATCTCCTGGAGACGCGTAATGAAGCAATCTCCCAGGACCGTTTGTAGCTTGTCTCTCTCGGTTTCAGTCTTCTGTAGCTTCTCGCTGAGGTTTTTGAGATCGTTCCTCAGTTGCTGCAGCTCCTCTTCCCGACGCCTCCTAGCCTCCCCCACCTCAGCTAAGCCCCCAGTCTGGTCACGGTCCCCTTCAAGTCTTGACAATTCATCAGTCAGGTCTCCGGTGAGAACGTTCACTCTGCCTCGCTGTTGCTGACACACTGCTTCCAACTGTGAAGCTAGCTCACGTCCCGCACCAGTGTCTGGAAATTCCTTGTGCTCCTTGACCAACTCGCGCTGGATCGACAGATCGACGGCAGGTTTCCCCAACAGCGTCGAGAGAATATCGACCGCAGACTTGTATGTGTTGTTGTGGGGCACGATGCGAGCTCCATGATCGCAGGCGTCCTTAAAATGGTCGACGCGATACTGCCGAAGCCTGTCCTCGGCGGTTTGTCGCTCCCGCACGTCTTCCCACATTGTAGTGACGATGACAACGTTCTTCATAGCGTCATCCCCGCAGAGCTTGCGAAACAACTGGTAATTCTGCGAGCTGATACCGGATATCCGATTGTCCGAGATTCGATGCAGGTACAGAATCCCAGTGAGCCGTGTGCCGCTAGAAAACCTTCAGGGACATTAAGTATCAGTAGTGCATCACAGCCGAGAACAAGCCCCCTCACGTCTCCCGTAGGAAAGTAGCAATCAACTTCAGTATGTCGGCTTGTGGTATCTCGGTATCGTCAAATCCTGGCGTGTCGATCAACGTGATGCGGTCGCCTGCGAGTTGCATTGTCGCCATTTGTATTTCGCTTGTGCATGATCGGAGTCCGTGGCCAACTACCAAATTCGAACCAGCAGCGCGGTTAATGAACTGATAGAAAACTTCTCAGCATACTCAGATAAGTATATGGACGTATCGCGTCCTTACCGAGGACTTTCCACTTCCTGTGCAGCCCATAAGTCTGTTTTGTGCCATACGAATTGACCGAATCATTAGGACCCCATATGATCGATCGTAGCAACAGCAGGACGTACGCGATTAGCTTCGGTGCGGGTTCTGCCATGACGGTACAACCAGTGGTCAGAGCAGCAGCGGATCGCAGTGTCGATATCGCTCAGCCGTCCAAGATATATGTACGCTGTGTGGACAGTGGTTCAACGTAGCATACAGTCGAATAGTGTCCGGATTAGAACCATCTGTGAAGAGACAAAACACACCTCTCGTCACGTACGCCGCTCGACTGCGCAAGCGAAAGCATTGCCTCCGCGCGTGGTCGAGCATGGTATGGACCACTGTGACATAGCAGGAAGGGAGGCGCATGGCCTTCTTGGCATGCCTTCGCAACGTTCGTCTCGTTGGCCATGCGCGCGGTTCGGGATCTCTTGGGTTTGAATAAGACATAGAAGTCCAATTGTAGCTTGTTACCAGGACACCAGAAAGATGAAGCCTCTCACCAGGCACCGCAGTGGCCCAAGCTCTGTGGTGGCCGACGGACCGGGAACTGGCCGAATCCCGTTTGCTCGGGCGTTTCTGACACACAAGTCCACAGGGCATGTGCGCGCATTGGTATGTTATGGAAGCCATGCTGTTCAAAGACCACACACCGCCAGTATTCCACATTGTTCGGCTGCTTCTCTGGACACTGTGCCTTCGCCCTAAGCGGCTAAGCCCATCGTGAGTTGTAAGTGCGCGCCTGATCTGTCCTCCGCGAAATCAGGCCCATGCGAAGTTTCGGGCAGTAGGGCCACTGCAGAGCCTTGCGGTGCGGTGATCGTGGTAGTGAATAGAAAAAGGCGGTAGCGAATACACGGCTAGTAGGTGCTGTATTAGTGGCTGGGCGGTGTGGTGCACGTGAGGCGCTGTCGGACTCAAAGGCGGTCGGGACGATGGCGACGAGGGCAAACACGACTCTCATCTCGCTCGCAGCTCTCGTTCCCCCTCCCACTCGTTCACCACCCCGGCCCATTCTGCTCGCGCGCACATCCTACCAGAACCCCGACAAAACTTGCCTTTTGCGGCATAGCACGCCGCCTCGCCTCATCGCTCGCTGTTGCCCAGATATTATCAGTCCCAGATCAAATCTCCTCTGTCCTCGCTGTATCCGCACCAGCCATCTGTGCCATCCCACACGTCGTCATACCCTCCTTCAGACGCTGCTGAGAGCTTCTGGTCCCGCACGAACTGCTCCCGAGGCTATCCCGCTCTAGTTGATTGTATACCACCCGCAACACCACCCGATCGTCAGTCCCAGCAGCGCCGATGGCTAAACACAACGCGATCATTTTCGGTGCGTAGCCCCGTAAACCTACTGAGGTCGCCGACTGACCGATCTGCCACGTTCTGTGTCGTGTCGTTTCCTGTGAACAGGCGGTGTGAATACTTGCGCTCGCGCTCTGGCTGCCTACCTCGTACCATCTGATGGAGAGTCTCTTGTAGAGGTACGTCGACTTGCTTCATTCACGTCCACTTTCTCGGTGTCGTGCGAGCCGTGGGGGAGTAGACGAACCTTCTTGCCATGTCGGACAGCGCACCGATGACTGTCGATCCTCCACGCTGTGGGTGCGTGCTCGCGTGTTCCTCGGAGCCTAGCCACGCTTTCTGCCCGTGGATTTGGCGATCGACATGTGGACTCGTGGTGCTTCTGCCATGCGACGTGCGCGTTGCGAATGCCAGGATGGAAGAGTCGCGCGCACCTTGCACTCGCCCGTAGGCACTGAGAGCGAGGTCGTATCTACCTGTATGTGCCAAACTGACCTTGCTTCTGGCAGAACCTCCGGATAGTTGACAAGTACTCGGTCTCACCACCGACTACGTATGTATAGTCTGAGTCCAATCTTCGTCGCTGCACGTCCTCAATCGCTCTCTAGATATCTTGGCGCGGAGTTCAAGCAAGTGCTGGAAAAACCCAATGTAACTTACCGCCAGGCGAATTTGACCGTAGCCTGTGAGCATATTGTACTCCTGTACTGGCGCACGCTTCCTGACCCATCGTCCTCGCAGCCACCGTTGCGACATGTTTCGATCCTCCGGAGGGCCAGGAGCCTTACTCGTACGTGTTCGACTTGACAGGCGAGGTACAGTGGGATCGGCCGGAGGCGGTGCAGATCAACAATACGCTTCGGATGGCGCGACACGTCGGCCTGGAGGCGGCAAAACGCGGCGTGACGGCGTACGTGCGCATCATGCCCCCGTTCTACGAGTGCAAGGACAAGGGCGCGCACGACGAGAAGGATGACCCGAAGCCGGACGGTGTGATCGGTACGTGGTGGCATGAGACGATGAGGACGCTGGGGGCAATTGAGGGGTGCGTGATGCAAGCTATGTTGCTGGCGTATGCTAACGCGCTACAGGCTGAACCTCGTCATTCTGAGGAAGGCGCTGGTGTACGGACCGTACATTGATTATGGACGTGAGTAGCTGCTTGCTTGGGTCGGGGCTGGTTCTCATTGCGCGTCTTTCTCTCTAGCCATCATGTCTTCAATCTCTATGGCGGCGGTATACGGCTATCTGAAGCAGCCTGTCAAGGGCCTGTACGTGTCTTCGCTCGCTCGTCAGTCATGTACACTGTGCTTATACCCCGCACAGGTGGTCGCCGGGCAAGCACCCGATGCACACAGTCCATGTCGAGGACGTTGCGGGTGCGTTCTGGGCGTGCGCAGAGTGGATCGCAAGCGTTGGCGGGCGCGCGAAGGCCGACGAGCTCGCAGGCGAGGAGATCCCCTTCCACAATGACAAGAGCAAGGTGTCGGAGATCAGTGAGATGGTTCCGCCGGACCGCAAGGTCGTCGCTCCGTTCTTCAACGTGGAGGATGACGGGCAGCTCGCGATGGTCGACATTGCGACGCGCGTTGCGAAGGCGTTCGGGACCTCGTTTGAGTTCTTTAACTTCATGGTGAACACGATGGCTAAGGTTCGTCCCACTTCCTTGTCGTTGATATCTGATATCTAAGTCTGACGGATGTATGCAGTTCAAGCTGGAGGACGTGGTAGAGGACATCAACGAAGCGCATGTATCCGCGTGGACGACGATGATCACGGAGGCCAACCCACCCGTGCCCAATACCCACTTCAGCGCGTACACGGACATTTACAACCTGAAGAAGCACGTCATCGCGTTCAAGGCGGATAAGCTGAAGCGCCTGACGGGCTGGAAACCCAAGCACCCGGAGCTCACGGAGGACGAAGTCCGCGACCTCATCGCAAAGCTCAAGGCGGAAGGCAGCTGGCCGAACAACGACTCATGATCGCGCTCCCCATGGCACGGATTCCGGAACTCTGCTCTCTCGCTCTCCTTACAAACTCGAGCTTCGACGCGCATCGTTATTATGGGCTCTCTGTGTGCTGGCGCGGGTGTTGATGACAACGACGATAATGATGTGGCATGAATTCATCTGGATGTGCTGTTTGGTTGATTCTACCGTTCTTCGACTATTTTGTGCTGACTCTCCCCCCTATCTCTTTATCTCCCCGTCTCTTCGCAGTTCTCACATATACATATTTCTGTCAAAGGTATCTTACAGTCCGCGTCGATTTGTCCCGCTTTCGCTATCCACGCGTCTTAATGTAGTTGCTGTCGGCCATTAGGGCTGTAATACTAGCGTCGCTATTTGTATCGAAGCTAGATTTGGAATTGCAACTCGTACTTCAAAGCCGTTCATGCTTGTCGATACGGGCTAGCGAGACGGGTGTCTGACTGTAAGTGTCGCTCACCTTGCTGCGTTCATACTTGCTGACACGAGGATTCAGGCTTACATTATGAGGATATATTCTGGTCATACCGCAACCAATGTGCAAATTCACTGACCGTACTGCGACGAGTGGACTGTCGTGTAGGACTTGTACTGCCAAATTATGTGAACGAACAAGATGTACTCGGACCCGAGATTGAATCAGGGCAAAAAGAAACATTCGATGATATCCGAACGTATGGTCGTTGTTATATTGTTTGCCCATCGTGAACGTAAGTCATCCGTCTCCTGCATGACTCGTCGTCATCGTACTAAAGATATCTGCCAAGCTTCGTGAATTCGTGTGGAGGGTCGTAAAGAATTCGTGGGGGACCCGCCCCCATAGGAGCGTGTAGCGTCATGCAGCCGTCTCGTGTCTGCAAGCCAAATCAAAGCCCTTCCCGTGCGTCGGGTCCTTATGCCACTCACCGTAAGAATGTCATTTCGAGGAACTTCTTGATTGCTTTAGTCACTCGTCGCATTCGTGGCCGGCAGCCTCGCCTGGCTGAACTTGGACTGGGAAGCCCGCTCTGAGCCAGTGGCCGATGTTTCTTCTCATCGTCAAATGGGAGCTCTAGCGGAGATATGACAGGACCGTCCTTGTCGTCGATGTCCGTGCGGGACGCCGCGTTCAGAGCAACCCTGATGACAGGCGCTTCCGATTGCCACGAGCACTGCGATGCTCGTGCAACTGACGTTCGCATTGAAGGTTTGATATCATATTCTGCTTGCTTGCGGATGTCTGGACTGAACTGTAGTGGCTGTGGCGCATTCGCGACGAGGTGTCTGACAATCTCGCGCGCGGACTTCGCCGTCCTGTCGTGGTGGAAGATGACGGCACCGGCGTCCATGATGGGCCTGAAATATGCCTTGCGAGTGCAAAGTGCGTACTTCCGCGTTTCTCGCACGCTGTGATTGACGTCTTCCCACATGCTGAGCACGATGGCGACGTTGGCCAGCGCCTCCTGGGCGCACAGGTCTCGAAAGGCAATGAGGCTCTCCAGCGCTACGTGGCCCATGCGACTGTCAGAGATCCTGTGGAGATAAATTGTGCCATGCAAGACAGAGCCCTTCCTGCGCCTGTCATGACTGTCAGCTAACGCTATTACAGTGGAGATCTACGAATTCACTGACATCTTTGTCAAAAACGCACCCACTAATTGCACGACCTCCTCAGTGGACTTGGTAGTCATGTCCAACCCGGGTGTGTCAATCAGAATTACACGCTTCGAGTCGATCTTGACTGGTCTTGACAGCTGGATGGAACGTGTCTGGGACGACAGCGAGGAACCAACGGCTAGGTGCGAACCAGTCGCGGTATTGACAAACTGGCACAGCTGAGCGATAACAATATTGTCCGCGTCAGGCATGGCTTACTGTAGTTTTCCCGGTTCCTGTGCGGCCCATGACACTGGCAATCAACCATGTCAGCGTCACTTGTACAACGGGCATGACAACGAGCTCTGGGACTTACAGGATATACACGTAGTCTCCTTTGCGGAACAGCGATTTCATGGTTGCGAAAATGCCGGCCAATGAGGGGATTTGCAACATAGTGGTGTGCTGGTGGTATAGCAGTGTGCTGCAATGGTTCGCCCAAGGTTTTGAGTGTGCTCGCTCTACACTAACACGTGCCCGGCTTACGCGTGTATTGCAGCAGTGTGTCTGGCTCGGACTACCTTTGCCGCTTCCAGTGCGTCCTTGGAACCTACTTAGTGTTCAAGCTGGGCGCCGCCCTGACATTTTTGCACCGCTCTCTGATCCACTGGCAGTCGCGCTGCACTGCCATTGGGGCGACAGACTGCCTGCGCACTCGTAGCTTCCGTGCTACATGTAACTTACAATGTCTACCAGCATGCCAGCGCCTCGAAGACGTCCGCCATACGAGGCTCGCAGTTACCGAATACAACATTGCGGTGGCGCCCGTAGTGGATGAGGATCTGCGGAACGACGCCCAGCCACATTTCCCACATCCACACGAATACCGCCCGACACATTTTATGAAGCGCAACATGAGGGGTCGAACGGACATACCGCCCTCGCCCACAAGCATTATTCCAATCTACGACTCGGCATGACAAGTCTTACATTCGACAAACCGAGGACCACAGTCAACGCACCTAGGAGTCCTACGGTCGTTGAGCCCACTCTTGTAGTCAATGGAGCATCAGGCAACGAAGGCACGCCTTCGGCGAGCCGATCGAATCACCTCGCGGATGAAGCAAGTCCTGCCACTGATGGAAGCGCTCCGAGAGGTGCTGGGGTTCTATCTTCCGACGACCCTTCAAGATCCCCAGTTAATGAGACGCAGCTTGCCATTGAAGAAGGGAAGGTGCACATACTGTGAGTCGCGACCAGTACATGTAGAGAGTCGGTTCCTGATAACGGCCTGTAGTGTGATTGGCAAGACAGGATGCGGCAAAACGACGGTCAGTTGTACGACTGAATTGCGGAACCCACGTTAACACGCAGACTCCACGTTTTGCAGTTCATTAATCTCGCGGCGGATAAGGATCTTCCTGTTGGAGAAGAAAGCGCGCTGTCACCATGTACCACGACGATACAGCGAGCTGAGTTCGGGCTGGAGGGTTACCCCAGACAGGTGGTGTTGTACGACATCCCCGATGTCGTGGAGTCTGGGAGCCAACTTGCGAAGGCCAAGGTCGTCCCAAAAGATAGGAGCCAGCAGCGGTACGTGTTCACCGGATACGGAGAGCTGTCGACAGGCACTTTAACGGGCTTGAGTAGTGCATGGACTGCTGTCATCTATGTCATCGACATCACAGTCAACCGCGCCAACCTCAACCATGACGAGAACTATCAGATCCTCAACGAGCTCGATAAGCGGGACCAGTTGCAGGAGTTGCTTTTTCTTGTCTCCAGATGGCCGTCGCAAGAGGACGAGGCTGGCCTGACAAGGGCATCATCGAGGCTGCGTGAATACAGGCGAGACTACCTCGAACCGTATGTCGGAAGGGGCGCAATTGTGCACGAATTCAACAAGGACATGGGTAACGAGAAAGCGCGCGCCATAGTTCTAGCCCTTGTGGGGAGCACATTGGCCGCCAAGGGTCTGAGCAGCCCAGCGGCTGCCGAGGATATGAGCAGCCCGGCGGCTGCCGAGGGTATGAGCAGCCCAGATTTCCTCCATTTGAGTGTGAGACTGATTTTCCAGCATAGGCAGCAACACGGAGATTCGCAAACGCTGCAGCTGCATTCACCGTCTCCGGAGTAAACTATCAAGATCATGTGTTATATGTTAGCGACAGAACAGTACATAGGAAGATAACATGATACCAAGTACCTAGCTTCCTCAATGCGGACTGGCACCGTTGCGTTGGCACGGTAGACTTGATGAGTACCATTCTCCGAGACGAGCGTGCCTGTAGTCTCAGGATTGAGTACTCGAGTGAACATGCACACAGTCAAAACTTTCAGCGCGGACGAGCAATGTAATGACGGATGTTAAGTCTGTGGGTCTGTTGCAACTGAATAACACGAATGGATAAATACAATAACAATGCAAAAGTGTCCATCCGCATGGCAGATGGCGCTTACGACGGCACCGGTGTCGATGGTACAGACAGCGGCTGCACCGAGGGTTTCGGCCGCGCCATATGCGCTGGCATGGGCTCGGGAAGAACCTCCCTAAGAAATCCTGGCAGGAATCGTTGGATACGCTCGAAGGTAGCGTCCCACAGTTGCTTCTGACGCTCGTCGCGCGTGTCTGGGATCATAGGTTGGACCAATAATCCTGTGGCATTCATCACCAGGACGACGTTCTTGAGTGACTCTGGGATGGCCTCATACTGTGATAGTCGTCCCAAACACGATCAGTTCGTTTGCAATAGTACTCAAGCAGTCGAGGAGGGAAACTCCAACGTACCAACTGGTCCCGCCGATCGACGTGCATCAGTAGATCAAGTAGATCCAAGACTTGCATCCACAGCGTCTTCACATCTGCCGTCTGACCCTCCCTTGCCTCGAGATGCATGAACGCTTTACATAACAGCGCACTTGCCCTCAGCCGCGTCTCAGGAAGGCTCATAGGGTCACGCATCAGCACTTGAGGCTTGAGTAGCTCTTCCAGTAGTGGGAACACTACCCTGTGGAAGAGTTCCTCCACCTGCGAGTGGTCTGATGCGTCCAAGGGAAGGAATGGTCCGAGTACGACACGTTGTAAGTGTACCAAGGCTGCATGGCGGATCTCGCGGGAGACATTGATGGAGTGCCGACCCAGGCAGGCAACCAACGGCATCGCGTGCTGATTCCAGACTGAAAGGGAGTTTGTAAATAAAATACGGCCGACAAACAGTAAAATAACACCGACGACTTACTCTGGTCCTGTGGTATGCCCGTCTCCGCGAATCGAGCCCAGAATTTCTTCATCTCAGCCAGTATGTCAATGGCTTTCCGGCCTCGCTCGACCATCGGCGAGCTACAGTGTTCGACTGTCAAAAAGCGACTCGTCACCAGAACTGTGCGAGCCACCTACTTAGATGCATTAAGCGCTTGATTACGCCGGCCCTGCTGCTGTGCCTCGACTGTCATGCTCGCTGCTGTCATGAACTCGTCGAGCACCGCAACTAGACCAGGGAAGTTGTCGCTTGTAACGAACTGTTTTGGCCCATCACCGGCCAATGCACTGATTAGCTCAAACGCCTGGCGTGCAGCTTCATGATTGCCCAGAGTAGAGCGCAGAAGTGCAAAGACGAGGTTCCATTCGGTCGAGGATCGAACAATGTCCTGGTGCGCACGAACGATGCGGATGAGACCCATAATGACTTGTTCCGCGACGGACGTCGATATCTGCGCAGGCAGACCAGCGAGGAGATCGAAGGACACGAAGACTTGGTCACGTAAGGATGGCTGCCGATATCATCAGTACGTCGTTCTTCAAGTGGGCGCAGTCTTACCTTAGCGGCCAGTATGAAACAAAGCCTGAGCAATCCGACTACGGCGCGTTCGATGAGCAAAATGCTGTACTGCAACGGTGTGGACAACAACGCGGATAGGTGCTCGAATATGACCGGCCTACAGCGCTTCAGAACGTAAACGAGCACGGGAATCGTATCTGACTCACCATAGCTCCTCAATATGTTGCGAGGTTTGACACGCGATGCTGACCATTGTCTCCAAAAGGAACACAGACGCAGGATCATACGGAAGCGCATATGGATCTTCCTGGTACGTGCCGCCTGCTGGTACTTCATCTGCTTCTTGTTTCAAACGAGCCACAGTACGCTCGTGCGCGAGCGCTTCCAGGGCACGTACCGCGGCGACCAGTGCGTCAACGTCCAGTTGTCTGCAGCGCTCAATCAGCGAGGAAGATGCCGTGCAGTTTCAGAGGCGCTCACAGAATCTGGCTGTAAAGCTCATCCACTCGGCAACTCGTGATGCAGTCAATGGTGGACAACGTGTTCTCCACATCGGCGTCATTCGCGTCAGGGACGAGGGCCTCCGCGCTCGAGCTGTAAGGTGTCATCAGGTATGAAGACAACGCAGAAAGCAGGCCGTCAGAGCGTGCGGGCTGGCGTGCGGGCTGTGAGCGCCGCAGGGGAATGATGGACACGCCTCCGAGGAAGTCTTCCATCTGCAGCATACGCGTTGGCAGAAGGGAATGAATAAAGAGTGTCTGGAACATCTCAAATATCTGCCACATGTCCAATGTCAGTGTGGTCCATGACTGCAAGCGTGCGGACAGACCTGTGTCCACCCTTCTCGCAGAGCATTCCCATTTCCGTTGACGATGTTGAACAGAACGACTGCAGCAAGCTGGCCTTTGAGATTCGTTCCGAATTTCACCGACAGCGACGACACCGTCACGCTTTGTCCATCGATCTCGACCACCGGCCAATTCGGCACCTGTGACGATGGCAAATCTGCAACGAGACCAGTCGCCTGAGACAGCTGCACGACGACATAGTCGAAGACGTCTGCCATGCCGAAATGCCTAGCCAGTGTTGCGCATTGCCGGAAACCAGTGATAGCACGCTCGATGATGTAGTCGTCATTGAATGTGATGAATGCGTATGCGATGGCCGATACGACAGGCTTCCAAACAGTCTTGAACATGTCGACGTCGAAGATGAAGGCATTGCACATCATGAGTTCGCCTGACATTGGATGTATTAGTGTCAGCGTCCGTACGGTAAGTGTTACAGCGCTCGCCTGTTTGCCGCGAACGAGTCAAGAGCTCTTTCCACGCATACTCGAAGCCTGCTTGACCAGTATGCTCTTCGGGCATGATGATCTCGCGTTTGCGAATGGAATCATAGATATTTTGCTTCCCTGGTCGTCAGCGGTGGCCAAGGGTACGGTCAAAACGGATGTCGAGCGTACCAAGTACTCTGCCGAGAAATCTGACCCATCATTGACGCCCTTCAGGTTGCGCTTGTAATCATCGATCGTCATCCTTTTCTACAGCTATGTGAGCTTCAAGCTTGTGAAAAACTCGAAGCTCTTACCCTAATTTGAGGGCTGTGTTGATCCGTGTTCAACATGATGATCGAGTATGCAAGGACGTATACTGCATCCTGGGACTTTACCTCCGCTACTACGGTGTCAATATCACTACATTCTGCGTTCTGCGACGAACGCACCAGGTTCAGTAGCGATGTACACCTCTGCGAAGGTCTCCGTGATCCGATTGATCTGCTGAGACTCGCCCGGTAATCGGAACGTCTCAAGCAGCTCACGCATGGCATCCGCTACAGATTTCTGCGCGCAGTAATTAGCTCACAATCGAGCGTGCTATTGAATGACTGACATCCTTGAAGTCGAACAAGCCCATGAACGCTTTCAGTACGTCAATGTTCTCTGGCCTGCTGAGGAAGTCGCCCAGAAGCCGCTTGTCCATCCTCGCAGAGTTTTTCAGGAACTTGGCAAGGCTCAGTGGTCGTGGCTCGTTCGGATCCGTGTATATCAGCTTGTGTTCTTCCAAGAACGATATACCTGTCTTCGGCTTCGTGTTGAAGCGTGCCGTGCCTGTGAGGACCAATTTTTTCCGCGACTTGGTATGCTGGAGATCTTCAGGCAAGACGAAGTGCTACAAGGAAACGCGGTCAGTAAGTCTATCTCATCATATATCATGTGCTATCATCTCACCGATGGCCACGGCTCGCTTTGCTAGAAGCATGGATGAGATTAGTTATGCGGCCCACGGACGAACGGATAAGAGTACCGACACCTTCAGCTCGAGAAGCCATGTGGTTAACGAACCCAAGAACAATGTCTAGGCATAAGTCTTGCACGTTTTGTTGATTGACTTCACGACCACCCAGCGCCTCTACGGGGTAGATGCCCTACAGATTGTGAATATATGATAAAATGCAGTTCAGATCCTTCACCAACCTTCGTTGCGAACTCGATGATACGTTCGAACATATTCTCACAGTTCATGTCGCAGTCGTAGTTCACATACAGGTCGACCATGAAACTCGGATGCCGCGAAATCAAGCACACCGTTTCCAGGAGAAGCTCGCGAGTGTCGCCCTTGGCTGGCGCGACGAGTAACCTGGGTGTTTGCGGGGGCTTCTCCGTGTCGGCTTCTAGATTCGGCGGGATAGGTGTCGCTGGCCTAGGGGAGGACTTCCCAAGCGTCGACTGGCCCTTAGCCGGTGGTGGTGGTGCTAGTCTGTCTATCGAGAATGCCAAAAACAACTCTTGCTGCAACTTCAACTTTGTACGCGTGATCTCGAACATAGTGGCAATCGACCGCAAAGCGACTTGCAAGACGCCGAAGTTGTCCGAACGCGCGAGCTGAAATAGGAATTTGCACCCTTGGTCGACGATGAGCGCAGACAATGAAGGGAACGCGCAGAGATGTGTGCCAGAGGCTTCGAAGGCAACGTTGAGGATACGGAGGGCAGTCAAGCGGATGGAGTCTGTATGCAAGGGATCGTTGGGGTCAAGGACGTTGATGACTACTCGGAGGAGCTCCACAATTGAGGCCAGTCCGTCTGTGGGGCGTTGTTGATGAATGGCACATGTGAAGACTAGTGTCGTACATACATCTTGGTCGACCATCTGTAGGACGTGGTGTCCGTAGGATCTCCGAGTCTCCACCGGGTTCCGCATCTGAGGGTATGTCTTCGGTGGATGCCTTCAGGCTCATCTTGCCCTCTTGCTCGTCCGCGTCATAGCCAATATCCGCGAGCCTTGCTTCCTCAACGACCGGGTCCAGGATGTGCAACTTTGAGCATACGGTCTGTACAAGCGCATGCATCGTCGACTCGGCTGACCGACGCAGGATCTCTTGGCACGAGGTTGAACACCAGACACGATATACAGGCGCTGCCACGTACCACTCAACCGCACTTGACAGCACGTTGTCAATACTGTCTCCAGCATCTCGCATACTTCCACGTCTCCCAGTAGGTCTCCGACCGGCCCGCAGAACGCATCATGAATGACAGTCATGATCTTGAGTAGCACAACTTCGTCCCCGGATGAGTCGCTTGTCTCAAACTTGCAGCGCGAGATGGCATTGCTGAGTTCCGACAACGCGGCGGATAGGGATTGGGCGTTTGGGTGGATGAGGCCGCAGACGAAGAGATTGTGCAGGGATGTGAGCGCCGTGGAGGTAATGGGGCCTGTCGACAACGGCGAGCGGATGATAGCACAGAAGGGCGAGAGGATAGTTGAGAGAGGTAGGCCCGCAACATCTGTAGCATCAATCCTCAGCAGGCCTGCGCAAAATCAACAAAGTCAGGGCAGACCTTCTACGTCCTTCAGGAGCCGTTTCAGATCCTGGAATCCGGCCATGAGCTCCTGCTCGGTGCCTCCGCGCTTCGTCGACTGGCTTGCCGAGTCCTGTCTGACGCGCCTGAGTCCGAGGCTGCTTGCAAGTGCGGACTCGCGGGTGGTGAACGAGCGAGTAGACAATGCCCATCGCGAGTTCTTGCGCATGACCGATGTCACGGCGAGGATCTCCGAGAGGACGACGTGTTTCGTCGAGACAGCATGGTTGTCTGCGCCGGAGCTTGCGAGGTTCATGGCACGGCGGTCGAAGTCCTCCCAAGCGAAGATTTGGTGTTACTTAGGTACTAAAGTAGGGCGAAGTAGAGCGGGTCGTCTGCATAACGTGTCGGTGCCAGAAAAGGCAACTGATGAGGTGGATGTTTGGATCAGAGGCTCTTGCCAAACAAACCATTACCATTTATGGAACGAGGAACGCCAACCAGCATCGCAAAATTGGCATCAGACCGACGGCGACCTGACATGGCCAAAGCATCGATTAACAGAACTAACAGAACTAACAGACTGATGATGTGGCCGGAATAGGTGGGTTTTCGCCAGTAGATATTCGGTCATACTACAACAGGCTGTTAGACAATCAAAAGGCCGAGAGTCGCTGATCAACTTCCGTCAGAAGTACAATGCCCGACCATCGTTCGTTAGGATATGCAAGGCTAGTAAGTAATAAAACAGGGTTATTATAACTTGAGCAGTCTAGTGTTAGCCCAATAGTCTGCTGTTGATGCGACATTGCACTCCTCATTTGGCCGCACTTGGCGCTCGTATCGCCCGGAATAGATGAGGATCGAATCGCAATGTATTCGGCTAGTGACGACTACATATCCTAACTTACTAGTACTAGTATACAACACGAACTCGGACGATCACACCCTATGCCTGGCCCGCCAGTGGATAAGGAGCCGCCAGCATCGGTATTGCTGAGCCAAGGCCCAAGTGCAGCCATGGGTGCCGTCACGGTGCTTGAAGTCGCCAGCGACTCGGAGGCTGTTTCCGCCGAATAGGTGGGCAGCCGAGCGGGCGAGTGGGTGCGAGCGCCGCCGAGCGCGAGAGAAAGCGCGAGCGAGAGACAGCCTCTGAAGTACATGGAAGGATGTGCGCACCGGCAGGTGTCACCGGCTGGCGGACAGCTGGGCGCGAGCGAGTGGGTGGGTGGATGACGTAAGCAGGCGAACGGGGCGAGCAGCTGAGCGAGCGAGAGTGCGGGCAGGGAGCGAGAGTGCTGGCGATGGCGACTGGGCGAGCAAATGAGCGCGACACGCTGATCGAGGGCGAATCCGGGGCGAGGTTCGCAAGTGGTTGCCTAGCGTCGGCATCGCGCTGGGCAATGTGAGTGAGCGAATGTAAACGAATGAGAATATGTGACCCATGTGTAGAACGTTGAAGCAGAGACGACGTTGGCTATCCAGCACACGACGGTGTCTGCATGCAGGAGACGTCGTTGCCGTCCAGCGAGGGCCGACGGGTTTTGCGAGAGATGTGGACCAGCCAACAACTCGTGTGACGCGCACTAGCGTGGACGCAGCGCATTGCGACACGCCGTCCACGTTGGGCTGCTGCCGCGAGCACTGCAGGCCACCGGTCAAGTGACCGGGGAGCGACAGGCTCGGTAGCATCAGAGAGGGTGGACGGCGCGTCGGAGGTCGAGGATGGCGGGGAATAATAGTGAAGTGCTTACGCGCCTTGTAGGTATGCGGTTCTGCCTGCGACGCAGGACGTCGAGGGCCATGCACGTTGCTCGCGGCCGTCGAGGGAATGAGCTGTGCAGGGCGGCGGACGTGCAGGACACGAGGGTGGGGACGGAGTGCTGTACATAGTAGACACGGACGGCCAATGAATATGCATGTCAGTGCGGGAAACGGCGTGTGCAGAGCAGAGGTGAGTGCCAGCGAGTCAACTTACCGTGACTTAAAACACCCACTGTCGGAGTTGGGACTGCGTTTAGGGTAGACTGTCAGCAGTCTTGCGCAAAATCCCCGCTGTCTTTCTTCCTGGCATGACAAGCTCGGCATGTCCATTGCAGGTTGAGTCACCGTCACCATAGGTCTGTCAAAGTCCCGGCAGCCGTTTCACAACCTGATGGCAAAGTACTTACTAGCGAAACCTACTGGCAGAAAACGGACAATCTGTGGTCCAGTATAGCACAGCCAGACAAAGAACGAGCCAGCAGAGGTCAAGTTGTTGATCGCGCACCCGGGAACTAACAGACTGTCGTGAGGCGGGGCAGGGGCGACCGTAGTGATAGTAAACTAGCATTGCCTAATCAGGGCTTATGATCGTCGATTGGGCTTCCGCTCGTCGATAAGATGTACCTGGGAGTAACACCGCCGTGCAGATTCCGCGATTGGCAGTCTCGACCACTGCAATCACATCAGATCACGTGCCTGAGTGCGGGAAAGGTAGCATTAACCACATTGGACTGCTGATCAGTGAACACCTCGTCCTTGATCATTTGTCGGCAAAGTTACAACGACATGTACAGTAAATGGATTGAAGGGGCTGACAAGCGACATAGTACGAAGGTATCCATTTTCGTAGCAATGGCAGCTAACATATTATCAAGGTACGGGGCGAAGAACAAAACCGGTGCCCATGAGTTTGGTGATGCATCACGGAAATTATTGCTGGCATTGATCTGATTCCAAATGTTACTTTCCCGATGACAATGTCCTTGTCATTACCAAACTCCGCACGCCATTCACGATGTGCCTCGTTCGGACTGATGGTATATGCCATGTATATGCATCTTCTGGCTTGCAATTTTGTTCTGGGGCGCCCAAGCGTGTCACGTATCACGGATTGCAATGTCTCAACTCGTTCGAAGTTGTTACGCGGGACTGGGATACAAATATGCTCATCAGCGCTAGCCACCTGACATTTTCGCTTCGACCGAGCATTAGCTGATAGGACTACGTACCAAATGGCTCACAGCGTTGAGACGCGGACAACATGTGAATACATCCTATCACGGCTCGACGCCCCGAAGCGGCCAGTCTACAATAGTCTGAGACTCACGTCAGGAAGGCCATGTCTCTAGCACTGCCATCTCTACATCTCCACTGGCACCCTCTTCATCTTTCCCCGAGGCCAACGCTGGGCTCGAGTCCGAGTTCGACGTCCCGTCATAGTCGGCGAAATCTCTCGGCATCCCAGCATTCTTCTCCTTCGTTGTCGTCGAGGCCGCTTGCTCCTCGTCCGTGAAGGCCAGCGAGCCTCCCAGCGAACCGAACGCCGTCGAATATGACCAAAACTGCAGCGCCGATGGGCCCTGGGAGACACCCGCACGCTCAGCGGGCTCCCAGGATAGAGTATGCATATCAGCGTCCCCGGAAGCTTGGTCCGCGCGGAGGGTGCTCTGCAGGAGAGAGACTTCGCGGAGATTGAAGAAGAGTCGCGAGAGAAGGAGTGTGGTGAACCTGCATGATGGGTCAACAACGATCAGACGGTGTCGCCTGATAGCAGGAAATGCATACGAGTATATAAAATTGTCAAAATCTTGGATTGCCTGTGGAATCGGTAGGTCAGATTGAACACTGGGATGTCGGAATGGATGTAGAAGGAAGGGACTCACGGGTATCTTCGCCCAACACACCGCGCTGAAGATGTTTAGGACGAGCAAAGAGCTTATGAACACAGAAGGGGAAGAGTTGAGTCACTAGGTTATCATGGCATGATCGGCAATCTCCTCGCTTGCGATCGACACTCACCCAAAGTAAAGTGTTCCTGATATGCAACCGACAATGATATATCGTCAGACAACGACGAGCCACAGCGACGCATCACGCAGAATGCTCACCATCTCGCAGGAGGAGCAGCGTGAGAGGAATGTCTGACTTGGTGAGGTGCGACATCCGCTTGACGCCGTACGTGACGCGCCAAGTTGCGAGCAGCACGAGCGCATCGCCGACGACAGTACTGACGCGCGTCGCGATCTCGACTGGCAGCAAGATATCCAAGTGAGGTTAGTAGACAAGACGATGGGACGAAGGTGACCGTCTGGCGTACATCTACGGGCGTGCGAGGTCAGTAACCGCGGACGAGAGGGCAAAACCCCGAGCATTGAGATGATACTGACATGCTTTGGACTCGCGCAGGGACATTGTTCGTGATTGTGCATGTGTAGGAAGGCGGAAGAACCTCCCAGATCATGAGAATGTTCCGGTGCTGGGAAGTATCATCAATGTCCACTTGCACGATCGGCAGACTCGAGTCTGATAAATTGTGCGCACCAGGTTCGTAGCCACTGGAACGAGGGACAGGGCGAAGACCATGATGGGTACTGACCAGTCTCGTGGATTGATCGCGTATACGCGCAGGGCGGAGATTGCTGAATGTCTCGAATGCGTTCTCAGTGATTGACATGAGGACGCACATAGTCTCACCTCCCCATGTCAAGTACATGACACAAGTGTCAGCACCGTAGGCTAGGTTCAGCGCATACACACTGCAATATGCACCGGTCAGATTTCCGGAAGCGGCGACTATATCGGCCGGTAAGTTCCACGAACCTCTGCAAATGTTGAGCGTTAGCAGCCATGTACGGCATACAGTACGTGCCATAGCGAAGGAGGACTTGCCTTACAATCGAGGTCCCACCAGGTAGCGATGTTAATCACGAAATACAGTGGAGTGGATACGTGCATCAGCACGTAGAGAATAGGCACGATGGGTATCCTTCGCTGGCTCGGACGTCCCCATATGAGATCCACCTCGCGATCAAACGTGATCAGCCGGTCATATGCGTAGAGCGCTGGTGCGCAGAGGGGTGTCACTTCGAAGGAGCACCAGGAATAGAGCATCGTAGTGCTTACCAAACGGAGCAGCGAGCAAGAAGTTCTGGATTAAACTGTACGTAAACACGTCAGACAATGTACGAGAGCGTGTAAGAAGAGACATCGCGTACGCGGAGTCCAGCTGGTATATCAATTGCGGGTTGCTCGACATGGCGGACGAAGGGCCTTTGGGGCCTCAAGAAAGGGGTTTCGCGGCACTGGCAGCGCATGCGTTGGCTTCGACGCGCCGAATTATGCTCGCACCAATAAGGTTTGACTGACAGTGAAGCAGAATCCGATGAGTGGTCGAGGGTAGGGATCCATATACAAGGTGTTGGGTGCATGGGGCAGTGGCCCGCCGCAGCTTCTCGGGAATCGAAGCACAACTCAACAAGAGATATCAGTTCACGCACATGCGAAAAGCGAGCGATAAGACGCACAGTAGGTGACCACTTTGCTACTTTGTAAGGGTCGCAGCCGCTTCCCTTCGCAGCGCCATGCGATTGTCCACACGAAGTAGATGGATGTCAATGTAGCCATAGTTCCCGTGTCATGGACGCCAGCGCGCAGTCAGAAGAAGTGTGGATATCTGGTGCATGTGTCCAAGGAATCATCGCCACGAGCGATATTGACCACTGGTGGCGCTGGTGACTGGACCTCGCTTGGCGATGTGATGTGAGGTAAGTAGAAGGAGAGGAACGTCCGACTTGAGCGCAGAACGTGCTCTGTGGCATTCTGAACAGTGGCGGTAGCTACCGCTTTGTTCTCTGAAACATGTATATTGCAGAGATGGTTAATGCAGAAAAAGCTTACACGACGCGCCCTGCAACGATGGCTAGTGCTACTGTACTTGCCAGTGGTTGGTCCATCGAGGCCACAATTCGGTAACCTGGAGACAGCAGGATGAGCACTGGCATGACACCTACGCGATGCATTCGGACCAACCTGATATGTACTGACACAGAACGTCAGGCTACGCCGCACCTGGTGATCGCACCTTGCACCATCCGCTGCGCTGCTAGTACTAAGAGCCCACGGAGGTATCAATGCCGTCGTGCTTCGAGAAGTCCACCAATGGTGCACCAAAACAGCGTCTTCCGAGTACGCGCCTCTTCACACCTCCGATATTGACTTTGATTGTTGTGCTACCTGCACTGGGCTGCCAGAAGACTGGTGACGTGGTAAATGATGCCTGCGAAACTGTGGGCCGTGGCAGTCCAGGTATGAGGCTGATGAATTGCCCCGTGTGCGCACAGTACTGCGTGCCGAAGAATTGCTGTTGACCTGACAGAGGACTCGGACGCCTGAAGTCAACTCGTGCTGCCGCTGGTCGCGGAGACGGTTATATCCCAGATCTGATTCCGATTGACCTGTGCACATTTGCCTAAATGGGACGTTTTGTGGCGTCGCCGCTGCGCCCCGCGCCGGGCCAGCGTCACGGTATTGAACGTTGTCACGGTAATGTTAATCGTTGTCTCAGGCTTTCATAAAACCGCGCCGCTCAACTTCTATGCTGAGGATGGCTAGTGCGGCCAGATTGCACGTCTCCGAATTGATGAATGAGGGAGTCGTGACTCGGTGTAAGTATGTCGTGTCCGTTGACTCCTTACATTGATTCCGCCGCTTATAAGGGTCTTGTATGGCCTTATAGGCCAGGTTAGCTTTTGGCGATGCGTTTTCTTGCTCTGAAGCTCAATGAAGCTGCATGTCAGAGTACTAGGGAAATGATGATTTCAAATCACCCGTTCTGAACCCCGAAGCCCATTTAGCCTTGCTCACAAGCATTCACGAACGACGCGGGATTTATTGGTGAGGGATCGAGGGCTGGGGTGAGTCACTCGTACCGGTCCATGGCATGTCTAACCCTCGTCCCCAGGTCATATGTGGTGCTCGACCGACCGCCGTCACCGCCCCTCCGTGCGAGACGCACGAGCTCTTCCTCAAACTACGCAGCATCTTGGCGATTCCAGCGTTGACTTATTCAACCAGTTTGCCATACGTACCGCGCTTCCCCTCAATGCCGTGCTTTATTTTGCTGACTTCAGAGCGTGGATGCCCCTCTGATGAGCAGCAGCATCAGCTTGGATTCAGATCCAGACGCGGAGGAAGGTGGAGATCGACTGACGATGCGCACTGAACCCATGCCGGCTTTCATCGGACACGCAAGGCGCACCCGTGAACGCAGACAGGAGCCTCTGGCGGATGCAGCACGAAGAAGGCATTTAAGATTCTAGCGATCGTGGCGGACAGGGTCCGCTGCGTGACGAGTACGCACAAAAGATCGGCAAGCCATATGGTGGAGAGAACAGCTGGGCGGTTCGTTCACTATGTGGACTCATAGCTCTGAGCGGAAGACTCGGACTACCCATCATTACTCGGTGCGAAGATTCAACGTCAGTTCTCTTTCCGGTTGATAGGCCCCGTCGATCTTGCAACTCGCTGCATTCGAGCTCGTCCGCGCTCGGCTTGCCCATGAAGTGGGTCCATATGCTTGCAATTGGTTGTGGTCTACCTGTCTGGGCGCGCGGCTCCGCATGGTCCGTCTTGCCTGAAATGCCTGGACGTCGTCGCTACTTGGTTCCGGTGCGAGTTGGACTCGTCAATAAAGGAGTCATTGACCTCGCGCCCAATAACGCAGAACAGTCACGATGCATCCCAGCCAGTCTCTGTTGCCTTACTGCGGAGCATAATCCATGCGTCGATCTTACGGTGGCCCTCAGGCTGGTTCTAAGAAAGCCAACAGGAAGGTTTGAGGAAGGTGCGCAATTCATCATTGACCTGCGTTCCTTCCGGGCGTCCGGGCGACCCGCCTGCAGAATTGCCTATCATGGCTGGCCTGTGGTGTGGAGTCGACATCTTGACCCAATTTTGAGCTTCAATGATGGAAGCGCTGGGCCTGAGTTGCAACACTTTGCTATCTACTCTCACAATACTCTCACAAGCTCCCCTTCGATGTCACTTCAGAGTTCCACAGATAATCAACGGCGGCCTCGCAGTGAGAATCGCTGCTGCGGCAGACGCCGCTGGGACACGGTTCAATATCCGTGGTCGTTTGAACATCTGAGGTAAGAGCTCTCCCGGACGGTCGCTGTGTATGGACTAACTGTTGAATGTATCTGCAGCATGAGCCCGCCAAGTAAATGTAGCCCGCCATCACCATAGCCACGTTCGTTGAGCCGCGAAGGACATACGGAAGCAATCTCAGGGACGCGATACGAGACGAGCGCCTTTCCGGCTCGTTACGGCGCTCCCGGAAGGTTTGCACGATTACCTTTAAGCCTGACCCGAGTCCGCAAAATCTTGCACTGACCGAGACAGCACCTCGATAACGGACCCAGCGATGGCGGATTTCAAAGAGGACCTGGACGCCACCGACATCGAGGTCCAGAGCGCGGACGCCAAGGTGGTGGTGAAGCGTGAGCCTATTCATGTCATGTCGATCTCGCGATCGCTCATAATGAATCAATGAATGGCAGCGAAATGGTACCGCTCGACGATGTACAACGCCGTCATCCTCGGAGTCTGCAACCTGCTGGCTCCGGGCCTCTGGGGCGCTATGAACTCCCTCGGAGCGGGAGGGGCGCAGAAACCGTACCTGGTCAACGCGAGCAACGCGCTCACATCCTGTCTTATGGTCGTCACCTGCATGCTCTCAAGTATCGTGGTCAAAGCGATCGGGATCAAGTGGACGCTCATCATAGGCACGATGGGATACGTACCGTACGCCGCCGGGCTGTACACGAACAACAGGTATGGCACCGAGTGGTTTGTCCTCTTTGGTGCCGCCCTCTGTGGCTTGTCGGCAGGCGTCTTCTGGATGTCGGAGGCAGCGATCGCGTTGGCGTACCCCGAGCCATACAATCAGGGCCGCTTCTTGGGGCTTTGGCTCAGCTTCCAGGTCGGCGGACAGATCCTCGGGGGCGCCATCAACCTCGGAATCAACTCAAAAAGAAACGAGGCCGGCAGCATCTCGTACAAGGTGTACCTCATAATCATCGCGCTGCAAGCTCTGGGGCCGTTCGCGGGTCTCTTGCTGAGCAAGCCAGAGCAGGTGCAGCGGAAGGACGGCGTCCCCGTCCGGCTGAAGATCACGAACGGCAGCATCGCGGAACTGAAGGACACGACAAAGCTCTTCTTCAGCAAGAACTTCCTGCTCATCGCCCCCCTCATCGCGCAAACCGTCTACTCCGAGGCCGTCACATACACCTACCAGTCCCTCTGGTTCACCGTGCGCGTGCGCGCCCTCGGCTCGTTCGTCTCCGGCATCGTCGCCATGATCGCGGGCAATCTGCTGGGCGCCTTCCTCGACCACACGAAGCTCAGGCTGCACACGCGCGCCCGCTGGGCCTTCTTCACCGTCTTCGGCCTGCAGGGCGTGTGGTGGATCTGGGCGACGATCCTCGTCACCGAGTTCCGGAGAACGCAACCGACGTACGACTGGGTCGACGCGGGCTTTGGCAAAGGCTTCGGGCTCTTCCTGTTCCTCGTCATCGGCTATCAGGTCCAGTATTTGTATCTGTAAGCGAACGTCTCACAGAATTGGAGACGGGACTGATGCCAGCGCAGGTACTTCGTCGTCGGCACCCTCGCCGACAGCGAGGCCGAGGTCGTACGCATCGCCGGGTTGCTTCGAGGCACCGAGTCGGCCGCACAAGCTGTTAGCGTAAGTCATGCCCACACCCACACCCGCCCCCGCCATAAGACACCGTGCTGACGCGATTCATTCGCAGTACGGACTGAATAGTGTGCCCATCTTTGCCTCGGTCGGCGGGGTGTACTTGAACTTTGGCATGTGGGCCATCTCCTTGTTCCCCGCCTGGCTGGTCGTCCGACAGATCGGGTATGGACTGGGGGATGGCAAGGCCCGTCGCGAGGCGGATCTAGCGCGCGAACAGCAGGAAGGAAGAGGGGAAAAAGACTGACAGCTTGACCGGAGAGTCAGCGAACGCATAAGCAACGTAGCAACAGACATCTGTATGACCGATAGACAACGCGTAGACCTTTTCTAAACGGCAGCGTACATAGTGAGCGGGAAACCGCCATCATGATGTAGGTACAGATAGATTGCTCTGAAAAGTATTCGTGGACGATGCCTTACTGGGCAGCGCCACCTCACCGTAGGAGCGACTGGAGGAGGACTCGTCTGTAAGACCTTGCGTGATGCTACGTACGTATACGATTTGACAGAGACTCAAACACATGGCTACACAATAAAGGTAACACTCAACCTTGAAACAATACAATACATCAGGGTATTCGTGTATCCCTGGCAAACGTAGGTATCAACAAGCATGCATACCGGGTATCTCTCTCTGCAGGCAGGTGTTCGAAGTGAACGTTCATGCGTTCAAGTCCAGGTTTGAGGCTGATGAGATCGATTGCCCGTGTGCACAGTACTGCGTGCCGAATGATTGCTGTTGACCTGACAGAGGACTCGGACGCCTGAAGTCAACTCGTGCTGCCGCTGGTGGCGGAGATGGTTATGTACCAGATCTCATTCCGATTGACCTGTGCACACTTGCCTAAATGGGACGTTTTGTGGCGCCGCTGCTGCGCCCCGGGCCAGCGTCAATGCTTCAACTTGAACGTTGTCACGGGAATGTTAACCGTTGTCTCAGGCTTCCATAAAAGCCGCAACGCTCATCTACTATGCTGAAGATGGTAAGTGCGGCCAGATTGCACGTCTCCGAATTGATGGATGAGGTCGTGGCTCGGTGTATGTCGTGTCCGTTGACTCCGCTCGCACTGACAACCTGCAGATTCAATAGCAAACCGGTACAATACTACTCTACCGGAAGTGCGTGTCTTTACCTTTGATTGCTCCTAGTATGATGCAGACGATTGTCCCATCTGAACATCAAGTGTGCGAAGGTCGTGCTTAGGTGGGTCGTCAAGCTATTGCGATGATACCGGTTTAACGAGTTGTACATAGTACCACCTTTTCCGAGCGAATGCGTCATAACCAGCTGCGTGATGAACACGAATTCAGGCGTACAACCATTACCTCGTCAAACATTGCGCTGTTAGTTCAATGGTCCCTCTTCCCTGAATTGGGTTCCCGAGTGAAAGGCGGTCGATAGCGGGGATGCACGCACTACAACCGACTTTCAGGAGCCGGTCTGTCTATGTCTATGTTTCCTTTGAGTGTCTTTGATCAGCTTGCTGAAGAACGTGCGTACAGTTTCAGGTGACCCATGGCAGCCCATTTGTAAAAGCAGGATCGACGCGCGTTTGAAAGATTCAAACAATTAAGCTCAACTGTCGTCATCGGGCTTGACAAATAGGTTCTGTGACCTTCGAATGGTATAAGGATGAAACCCTCGGGCGGGAGCCCGCCGGGGGCGCGCAATGTCAGGCTAGCAGGTGAACAATGATAGGCACGTCAAAGTTCAAAACGTTGTTGGAGTTGAGTCATCTAACGCAACAGACGGCATGTTCTAGCACCCCCCGGACGTCGGCGCGGGGTTGGAGGGCTGCAACATTTTGCGAGTTAGGTATCTCGTTGAGTGGTTCACTTCGTGTGATGAGTGCGCTGACAGACCTTCGACGACCGCGCTGGTACCCGCGGTACAGGCACAGACACCCCAACTGCGTGTCTTACGACCTACCGGGTTCCGGCCACATACATGCCAAATTATGTGACCCGGGTCCGGAACATTGTTGTTCGACTACTATTCGGCTGTCGGTCTCTGGTCGGTCTCGTTTGTACGGTGGACGCGACACGCCGGCGCTTCCGGGCGCGCACTTGACCATGCAACCCCGTGCTCGAAGCAAAGGTGCCTATCGCTAAGAAGACGAGCGCCCGACGGGGTCGCAGGTGGGTGAAATGCGCTGACCAGCTGGTCCCGCACGTTCTAGTCGTTTGGTCATGCATCCGCCCAGCGTCCGCGCTACCCGACCGCGGGAGGCCTGTGGCTGACGTCAAGGGCCCCCCGATGCGGATCTGCGGATCGCGCCGGAGGGCGAAGCATCCGATCGCGTCTTCGCATCGGCCGATGCATCGGCGATCGCGTACGCTAGCCACGTGCGCCCGACGCTGCGCCCATCCGGTGTGTGCGGCCTCCACTGCGCGTGGTCGGTGTGCGGGTCCCATCCCCACCACGCTCGAACACAGACCATACTCGAATGGGTTAACCAGCGAGCAAGGAAGCGAGGCCGCGAAGGACGCAGGTGAGATGCAGAAGGTCATGGGGACTAGAACGTTCTCGTGCTCACCCGGGTCCGACTAAGCCAGCGCGCTCGGGCGTGTTCGACGGATCTCGAGACCGTTCGAAGACACACTTCGACGCCAGCGCTCTGGAGGCCGATGCTGACTCGGTGGACCCGGACCATGCTGGCCTCTCCTTCGAGCATGTTTCTGCTTCTAGCCTCCCGCCGCCGGGTATGTGTCAGCCGTAGACGTCAGTCCGCTCTCGGGCGAACTCGTTACCTCACCTCGGCGGTCGGCTGCCTGGGACGGACTCAGGTGCGTATATAATCTGCGGCCAGAGGGCGTCGAAGAGCATCAGTTGTCCCGAACTCAACTGTCTAACGACCAAACGCCTCCCTCCTCCCTCTCCCGCACCCTCGCCCGCACACCCCTTTTCTGTACTCGCTTCGACAACTATAAGCGATGGCAGGCGGTAACCAGGCAGTGAACCTCAACCCTCCCGACGCCCAGGAGCACCTCTCTACCAATGGCTCTGACTGGCTATGGACGGTGTTCTCAATCATGGCTCTGGGTACTCTTCTCGCTGCGGTTGCGACGATCTTGGTTAGTGCTTCCGCGTCTAAACTCAGTAGGATCCGCAACTCACTGACAACTTCGTCATACAGAGGCCTCGTGGAACGCGTCTCTTCCACCAGCTCGCTATCATTGTCCTCACGACTTCGAGTATCGCGTACTTCTCCATGGCTTCTGACCTCGGTGCTACGCCCATCACTGCTGAGTTCCGTGGCGGCGAGACCCGTCAAATCTGGGTGAGCACTAGGCCGCACAAGTGCAATATATCTCGATTAATTAACGTGACCGTCTTCTAGTATGTGCGCTACATCCAGTGGTTCATCAACTTCCCCACTATCATCCTCGGCCTACTGCTCGCGACTGGGCTCCCACTTTCCGACATCGTGACGACGCTCTTCATGTCCGTCGTCGTCGTCATCACTGGATTGGTCGGTGCTCTCGTACATAGCACCTACAAGTGGGGTTACTACACCTTCGGCTGTGTTGCGCTCATCTACCTCTGGTAAGCAACACCCTCCCACCTATCTTAAACGCAATGCCCACGACACCCGCCAGGTACGTGCTCCTCTGGCACGCGCCAGCCTCGAGCTTCGCTGCAGGTGGAGTCGTTCGCCGGGGCTACTACCTCGCTGCGGGCTACTTCTCCTTCATGCTGATCACCTACCCGATCGCCTGGGCGTGCGCGGAGGGCGGCAACGTCATCAGCGTCACGTCCGAGATGATCTGGTACGGCATCCTCGACATCTTCGCCGGCCCCGTCTTCCTCGCCGTCTTCCTCTGGGAGCTCCGCGGCATCGACTACAACTCGCTCGGCCTCCACTCCGGCAAGTACGTCGACCACGGCGCGGCGGGCTCCGCCGTTCGGGGCGAGAAGGCGGCTCCCGCACCCGCCGCGGCGCCTGCGCCCGCTGTCCCCGCTGGCGAACAGGCGGTATAAGCGAGTCGGCTTGACGAGCGCTGCCGTTGCCCTTCTTTCCCTTCTGCATGAAGCGCAACCCCTCTTTCCATTCACGCATGCCTCCGACACCACCATTGATGAAACGTACGAACTCAACGACCACTCGAAGCGAGTCCGAATTCCTCTTAACCTAGTAACCCTCCCCCCTTTCACTGTCTTCGATGGCGTTACGACTCGCTAGTGTACAAAAATACTACTTGTAATCCTTTGTAATGGCTTACGTTGCGTTCGCAAATGTACTGTAACATTTCTTGGCTTACCCTTCGCACGTGCTATGGGGTTTTGTGATCGTGTACTTAAGGTAGAGTTGCAATGTGCATTGCTTTGCCTGTATTCTGTCACATTCATCTGGGTACCCGACTCCTCGTGGTTCAGACTCACGAAGACAACGTCAATTACTGTAAAGGTGATGCGAGTTCTTACCTATACAGGGAACTGCGAGTAAACGATTTCATTCATGGTTATGAGTACTTAGTAAGTATCAGTCGAAGGCTAGTTTCACCAGACTTCGACAGACCGCAGCTTCCAATGGCTGCGCAATCCAGAATGTCAAGTGTCGTCCGTCAGTACCTAGCTCAAATATTCCAAGTCTCTTTCATCTCCTTTGTTTACTCGCTATCGCCTTCCTATTCATCTTCTTCATCCCCGTTCTCATCTTCCTCTTCTTTGTCCTCGTCTTCATCTTCGGCATCTTCATCCTCCTCTCTTTTCGCTCCTTCGCCGATACACCTAAATACAAACAACGTTACCACGGATCGTAACCCCTCCAATATCTCCTTGAAGGCTGCCGGCAGTTGTTCGACGACAAACGTAGGCGGAAAGAGTGTGCAATCCTTCCAGGGCTCCATTAGAAGACTAAGAGATTCCAAGCGTGATCCGCCGTCAACCTCGGCGCGCTGCCGGAGCGCCGCATGTAGCCTCCGGAGCATCCTCAAGCTCCCGCCTTTCTTCCTCGGTCGATATTGCAGAACAAGCTCGCGCAAGTGCGGAGCGGGAATTCCCGTTGGCGTAGGTGCCAGGGCGGAAGGGAAGGCAGGCATATCGCTGATTTGCCCTATGATCTCGAGCTGCTTGAGGTTCGGGAAGGCACCCAGCATACGAGCCCAGCTTCGCGGACCGACGGGACTCGTGGTGCCACGTAAGACCAGGGTCTCCAAAGACTCCGGGAAGGTGCCACTCAGCTGACGAATGAGAGGCCGGAAGGCTGTCTCGAGCTCGTACGGCCAACATTCCGTCACATAAGTAATGAGGAGGGACGGCATCGCTGCGTGCCCGAGTGGGAAATGAGAGGGCGGATAGAAGCGAGAAACCCTCCAGGGCTTCGAGTCCCAGAACTCTGTGCGTTCCACGTCGGCATATATGGTGAATTCGGCGCGAGGGTCATCCTCGTACAAGTTGAGCCACACCATCAGGTGCCGTACCTCGCAAATAGCGGGCAGGTATCTCGAGTCCTTTGGCAGGAAAGGGTCCAAGACGCGCATGCGTTCATCATACTCATGGTCGTAGCGGTTTATTGTTTCCAGCGATAGATGAGCGTGCCGTGCGAGTGAGATCTGAGCAAGCAAGTTTGAGATGCCCGCCGACTCATCCCCTGCGAGGTGGACGTGACGCATCCTAGGCAGCGACAAAATGTGACATGTTGTGCTCTGTTCCCGTCGTCGTTCCCAACAAGTGTATTTGAAGATCTCCAGGGAAACACATGCTTCCAGGAGATCCAGGATAGATGCGAAGGGGCCCTCCTCAAACAGAACATCGTAAAGCGTCAGTGATGTCAGTTGTGACAACGGCAGTTGAGTCCAATCCGGTGTGATGGCTATCAACGACAGGTCTCGGAGACTTGGGAGAGGTTTTGGTGTCCATTGTAATGACTTCGGTAGTGCCAGTGTCCATTGTGATGACTTCGGACTGCCTACGTCTAGGGCCAAACACGCTAGCGCGGGTAATGGGGCGTCCAGCACTTGCCAGAGGAAGTCGGTCTGAGCGACATCGTTATGCTCGACATGAAGGTTCATACTTGTTATTCGCGAATGGTGTGGTGCCAGAGTGAGCGCGACCATGGGAAAATCAATCTTGCCTCTAAGTTTGCGTGAGCCCCGGATCCCCACTTGCGATGGTAAGGATACGCCGATGCTCGTGCCGCTCGAGCGAGAGAGACAAAGCTTCAGCGAGGGGAGTCTCGCTGATAGATCGATGTTGGTCCATAAGAGAGGTGTGTCCATGATGAGGTCTCGCCACTGGCGGCACACGCCCATGGTCTTCGTAATCCATGTGTTGCGGGCGTCCGATGCGGACGCAAGACACAGAATCTCGATGAGAATCTCGTTCGGCTGCGTGTTGACGGAGAGAGTCGAATTGTATACACTTTGCAGATTTGACAAGTAGAGTTGCAGGGCGAGTACCTTGGATGTTATCCAGTCACGAACGTGCTCAGAAGCGCAGCCCCGCAATTGTATGCGGTCGTCTTCCGGCAACAGGCACAAGGCACCGTCAGAGACGGTCTTGTTTCCTCGCATCGCAGGTATACTACTAACAAGATGTACCGTCAGTGATCCCGCTGGCTCTTGTGATGGAGAAGGCTGGGACGATGTCTGAGATGAAGGTTAACATACCTTGAAACAACCTGGGTGTGACGCGTAGAATTCAAGTGCACCGATGGCTAACGCTGGCGTAGATATAATCGATGATCGCTCCAGGTCTGTGCTGAAGGGCGGTACTTGAACTGAGGGCTGCCCGTACAGCTGAGTCTCAGCCTGGTCGATCTATCATCTACGGCCATACTAGTAAACTGCGATGAGCCACTCACTGTAGATTTTATTATGAGCTTGCTATGAGCCCGCAAATAAGTCGTTGCAAGCGAGTACGGTTACAAGAAGGTAAGTATCTGAGGTAACCACGCTTCTGTACGTTGAACGTTGAGGATTGGTGGAGGAGCTGTTCAACTCGAAAGCCTAAGTCACAGTGCGCCACAACCTGAGGCTGAAGCCACGGCAGCCACGCGGCGTCTATCAGCCATCCTCAGACGCGTCGGTGGCGCTAGGCGCCTAGGCATTAACGAGCTTAGCATCGTCACGGTCTCAGTACACGGTCGCGACATTGTTGAGCGCAACGATGTTTAGTAGACATTAACCGTATAGTCTACTCAGAAACCGGCTCAAAGGCGCCCTGTCACTTAAGTTACTTGTGTCCGCACCGCTGGCTCGAGGGCGAGCGCCGCGTATGCCTCGGGGATAGCCTCGGGGACGAAAATGGCCAGCCGTTCAACATATGGTGGGCTATCGATATGTGGGAGCCCGGGCGGTACAGACTGACGAAGGCAACATCAATGTGATGTGAGTTCTTATTATTGATGCAAGTCAATGTGGTTGTGGTTGTAAACACCACGCGATACAAACGATGTGATCACAGTTACTCTGATAGTATAACATGTACAGTAAGTATCAGTCGAAGACCGGATTCACCAGACTTCGACAGTTCGCAGATGACAAAGGATATGGCCGCGCAATCCAGAATGTCGACGTCAACCGTCGTCCATCAGTGATTAGCAAAGAATGCTCCTAGTCTCTTCGTCTTCCTTGTTTATTCGCCATCGCCTTCCTCTTCATCTTCTTCATCCCCGTTCTCATCTTCCTCTTCTTTGTCCTCGTCTTCATCCTGGGTATCTTCATCCCTTTCATCTTCAGCCATCTCTTTTTTCTCTCCATTGCCGATACGCCTGAACACAAACAACGTTACCACGGATCGCATCCCCTCCAGTATCTCCTTGAAATTTGCCGGTAATTGTTCGACGACAAACGTAGGCGGAAAGAGTGTGTCATCCTTCCAGGGCTCCAGTAGAAGATTAAGAGATTCCAAGCGCGATCCGCCATCAACCTCGGTGCGCCGCAGCAGCGCCGCATGTAGCCTCAGGAGCATCTTCAAGCTCCCACCGTTCTTCCTCGGTCGATACTGTAGAACAAGCTCGCGTAAGTGCGGAGCGGGAATCCCTGTCGATGTGGGTGTCAGGGCGGAAGGGAAGGTAGGCATATCGCAGATTTGCCCTATGATCTCGAGCTGTTTTAGGTTCGGGAAGGCAGCCAGCATACGAGCCCAGCTTTGCGGACCAACGGGACTCGTGCTTCCACGTAAGATGAGAGTCTCCAAAGACTCCGGGAAGGTGCCACTCAGCTGACGAATGAGAGGCCGGAAGGCTGTCTCGAACTCGTATGGCCAGATCTCCGTCTTATGAGTAATGAGGAGGGACGGCATCGGTGCGTGCCCGAGTGGGAAATGAGAGGGTGCTTTGAAGCGAGAAACCCTCCAGGGCTTCAAGTCCCAGAACTCTGTGCGTTCCACGTCGGCGTATATGGTGAGTTCGGCGGCAGGGTCATCCTCGTACAAGTTGAGCCACACCATCATGTGCCGTGCCTCGCAAAGAGCGGGCAGGTATTTCAAGTCCTTTGGCAGGAAGGTGTTCAAGACGCGTACGTGCTCTGGAAATTCAACGTAGCGGCCTGTTGTTTCCAGCGATAGATGAGCGTGCCGCGCGAGTGTGATCTGAGCAAGCAAGTTTGAGATGCCCGCCGAATACCCTGTCATGTGGACGTGCCGCATCCTGGGCAGCGACAGAATGCGACGTATTGTGCTCTGATCCCGTCGTCGTTTCCCCTCCCAATCAGCGTATTCGAAGGTCTCCAGGGAAATGCATACTTCCAGGAGGTCCAGGATAGATGCGAAGGGGCCCCCATCAAACAGGACATCGTGGAGCGTCAATGATGTCAGTTGTGACAACGGCAGTTGAGTCCAATCCGGTGTGATGGACACCAGGGACAGGTTCCGGAGACTTGGGAGAGGTTTTGGTGTCCATCGCAATGACTTCCCACCGTTTGAGTACAGGTCTAATGACGCTAGCGCAGGTAATGGGACGTTCAGCACTTGCCAGAGGAAGCTGGTCTGAGCGACCTCATTATGGTCGACATCAAGGGCCATACTCGTTATTCGCGACTGGTGTGGTGCCAGAGTGAGCGCGACCATGGGAAAATCGACCTTGGCTTTTAGTTTGCGTGAGCCCCGGATCACCATTTGCGATGGTAAGGATACGCTGATGCTCGTGCCGCTCGAGCGAGAGAGACAAAGCTCCAGCGAGGGGAGTCTCGCTGATAGATCGATGTTGGTCCACAAGAGAGGTGTATCCTGGATGAGGTCTCGCCACTGGCGGCACACGCCCATGGTCTTCGTAATCCATGCATTGCGATCATCCGATGCGGACGCAAGACTCAGAATCTCGACGAGAATCTCGTTCGGCTGCGTGTTGACGGAGAGAGTCGAATTGTACACAGTTTGCAGGTTTGACAAATAGAGTTGCACGGCGAGCACCTTGGATGTTATCCAGTCACGAACTTGCTCAGAAGCGCAGCCCCGCAATTGTATGCGGTCGTCTTCCGGCAACAGGCGCAGGGCACCGTCAGAGATGATCTTGTTTCCTCGCATCGCAGGTATACCACTAGTATGATGTAGGGTCAGTGATCCCGCTGGCTCTTGTGATGGAGAAGGCTGGGACGGTGTCTGAGATGAAGTTAACATACCTTGAAACAACCTGAGTGTGACGCGTAGAATTCAGGTGTGCTAATGGCTAACGCCGGCGTAAACAGGACCGATGACCATTCGAAGTCGTTGCAAGTGAGCACGGTTTCAAGAAAGTAAGTGGCTGAAGAAGACGGTTTAAGTTGAAGCCACAGCGGCGGGCCACACGCACCGGCGTCTATCAGCTATCGGACGCGTCGGTGGCGTCGCGCGAGCGTTGGCGCTGGGCATTGAGCTTATACTTACTTAATCGTCTCAGACTCTCTCAGTACATGGTCGCGACGCCGATTGCTGAGCGTGATGATAATAAACATTGACCATATAGTCTATCCAGCATTGGAGACTCCGTATGTCTATGGGTCCACATATCTTTGCGATATAGTAGTAGTATCGCATCGCGAATAACCAGTGTGAACCTCACGCACTCGAGTCCGTCACTACCTCTTTCTTCGCCAACCCGCCACCGAAGACATCCCGCACGACGCCGCGTGAGATCTCCACCATCGCCTGGCGACTCTCGTAGAGGGGTAGTACAGACGTAATGAACGCTGCGACAAACACCCAGATGACGCAGATGATGACCCATGCCTTGAAGAATGCGAGAGAGAAGACGTAATGCGACAAGAACATCGGGATCGGGATGAGCTGCAACACATCGAGATTAGTCACTTTACAGAGATTGAAGGTGCACAGGAAACACGTACGAAGACGATAATGAAACTCATGATAACTGACGCCCACGTCGCGGCCCGTAGCGACTTTTTCAATGTCTCGTAGTCCTCCGGCCGTCTCTCTTCAGGCACCGCAAGAGAAGTGTCCTCGTCTTCATCGTCCACCGAGTTGGTCACGACCATCGCATCTGTCTTTTCTCCCTTCTCTGAACCCGCCGTTGTGGCAGTCTCACTGTTCGTGTTCTCTTTCGACATGCTGTCCTTGGTTGGGTTGAGCCCTCGCTTGAGCTGCTCGTCTATAGCCCGCCCGCGCGGGTTGATATTCTTGGTCGCGGACCAATCAAACTCGTTGTCGGGCTTGATGAGAGTAACGATGATGGAGATGAGTGCACCTGAGCAGCACGAGCCCATGTTTCCAGCGAGGTTAGGATACATATTCCCTGCAGGAAGCATCAGAGGCTGTAGCACGTATCAAGAGGCATCATGACATACCGGTGGTCTCGACCGTCAGAGCGCCATAGTATGTCTTCGCTACCACAAGCCAGCAAGTCACGCCGACGCAGAGACCACCAAGTGCGCCGCAGATCACCGCCAGGCGCGTCTGCTTTCGCCAGAGCACGCTCATGACAATGGGACCGACAGCGGAAGTGTACAACGTGCCGGAGAACAGGAAGAGCCAGTTGAGCGAGATGCCAATGCCGTTCCAGAGACAGGCGACGCAGGACATGACAATGGCCCACACGGCGACCATGATGTGGGACACGCGAATGAGAACTTCCGGAGATGCCTGTGAGGACGTGTCAGTCGATGGTCAATGATACATCGGAGACGGGAAGCCGCACATCCGGCTTGAAGTGAATCTGGTACAGATCGAAGGTGAGAATAGACGATGTCGCAATCATTTCAGATGATGCTGCCGATGTCACAGCCATGAAGAGGAGGATCAGCTAACAGAGTCCTTTAGTGTAGTCCTGCAAACGAACGAGAGAACGATGCGTACCATTGCCACAGCACCACCCTTTCCTAGCAATGCTACGACACCAGCGGGTGCAGCCAGACCAGCATCAATTTCACCGCTGGATAAGCCCCCAGTGTAAGGGAAGGCTGGATCTGAGCACTTGTCAGTCAAATGCGGAATGTCAGGCGGAGAAATCAGGCATACTGTTTGCGAGTGCGACAGCTGCGAGACCCATGATTGAAGAGAACGTCAACGGCACGGCGAACCACGCTACACCGCCCAACAAGTATGCGCGAACAGCTGTCTTTGCTTTAGAGGCGATTGCGCGCTGCCAGTAACCCTACCGTGCAGAACTCAGAATTCATCCCGGCAAGTCAACGGACTAAAGACTCACCTGGTCCAGCATGACGGTACCGAGACCGCCGAATATCTGGATGATCATGAACACCAGTCCATCTGAATAGCTCGGCATCAGAGGGTATAACATGCGCGGAGTGAATGCAGAACCACATACAGTTTGATTTCAAGGTCATATAAGAGCCTTCTGCGTTACCCGCAACGGGCCGCTCGATCGCCGCCTGCTGCAGCTTCTGGTACATGCCTTCGAAGCCGCCGATCAACTCGGCCTCGGTGTAGGTATAGAAATAGAAGTACAGTATGATAATCATAAGGATTAGGGTATGGGTGTAGTCGCCTACGCCGGGTCGTGTGAGCAACGGACAGTGGGTGCCAGTGGACCGTCCGAAACACTCACAGAGGAAAGTCGCACGAAGCCCACCGAGGATCACATAGACCATGACGCCGATGGGGATGAGGAAATTGGCGGCGTAAATGTTCATGCCGGTGAACGCGTTCACGACGGCACTGCCTCCGAGCAGAAGCATGCTCGACACGATGAGGTTCGTCACCAGACCATACGTGACGAAGATGAGATGCGGCGTGTTGCCATAGCGGGCTTGCACGATCTCGAGGTACGTGTGGCAGTACGGCGCGATCATCTTGACGCGGACGGCCAGAATCGCCATGAGGAAGATCTGCAGCGTCGCGCCGGCGGCGTAGTAGTACCCTCCGCACAGCCCATACTCGTACGTCACCGTCGAGCTCTGCAGCAACGTCGCGGCCCACGTCCACGCAGAGACGATGCCAGACGCGATCAGCCCGGGCTTGATCGACCGCGACGCGGTGTTGAACTCCTCGGACGTGCCGATCTTGAACGTCGTGTATCTGTTCTGGAGGGTCGACAGGCCCATCATGAGGACAGCGAAGACGAAGCCAATTCCGAGAACCACGCCATATCCGACGCCTTGCGACAGTACTTGCGCGCCTTCAGTGGTGGACATTGTGGCGGCTTGAATGGGGACGTGTATCTCGAGAGAGCTCGCTCGCTTCGAGAAGAGGTAGCTTATGACCTTTCTGCGGAGCTCGATAGGTAAGCAGTAGGATTCTTATCGCCTTTGGTACACTGATAGGGAGATACAGTCCCGAGAAGCATTGGAGGGCTGGAGCACCGAGGTGCAGGCGCCCTCCCGCTGTCATACCTGCAAGAGAACGGCAATGACACTGGTCAATTCTTAGCTTCCACACTTCAGCGCGGACACTCACCGGCACTGCGATGGGCCACAATCGCATCATTGTTCAAGCGTTTCACTTCCTTCCGCGCAGGCTACCAACGTACGGGACGCGCTATACGCTACTCTATTTTCCGCGACGAGCAAGTCCATGCTTCGCTGCCTTTGTCCTGGGAAGTCTGATTGCTCCCCGCGCTCCACGGAAGAGGATTGGCTGAACCAGGGCAACGATACGTACCCGTGAGACAAGTGGATCGTATATAAGGAAGGCGTCCCTCTCTGAAGGAAGCCCGTTCCGTCGAAGCAGATAAAAGCCTATCGAGTCCTGGGTGATACGGTGAGGACCGTTTGAGTACCATCGGACCGATGTGCGCACATACCTCAAGCTGTCTTTATTTGTTGGACCCACGACTCGCGTCCGGCTCGATGATCGGCCTCATGTATCCAAGTATCTTCCACCGTGTCCGACTGGTATCAGCATTTGAAAGCCACAACTCGACTCAAGGCTCACCGATTAGCTCATTGCTCGGATAACACCCTCAAGCGCCACCAGTGCCGTGAGCCAATGCCAGTGCGAGCAGCCCTGTGCTACATGGGTATGCGAAGACGGGTGCAGTGACGGTCAGCGCAGCAGCCAGGTCAATATCGACGCTTCCATCTGTCAAGAGCCTCTCAAGAGTGAGCCATCTCACCCAGAATGGACCCTTAGTCCTGCGAAGACACCCTCGTGCTCAGCCTCACCGTCTCAGCAGTCATGACAAGAACGCTCACAGATCGCTCCTGGTGCGTGCAATGACAGACCGTCCCTCCATATTACGAAGACTCATAAATGACCACGCTCGTTACTTACATGCGAACAGATGATGATGAGAAGAGGAGGAAACCGTAACCTAAGGTCGTTGAGAGGGCAACAGGATCGGATGACAGCAGCCGCGGGGCGAACAGTGTGACCGAGAACCAATGTAATACGCGGAAAGATGAGGTGTATGACAGTCATTGCAGAAGATAGTAGTAGTCATGAACGGCACGAGGGGTATGAAGAGTGACAAGCTCGCTCAGCTCGAACTCGACCAGCCCGGAGCAAGCGGTAGGTGAAGTGTCCGCACGCGGTTTAGAGGACGACACAGTGGTGCTTCTTGCTGCCCTTGGGCCGGCTGAGAAGCGCAGCACGGGTGGCGTACTGGAACACCTCGCGGACACCCTCGCCAGACTTCGCTGAGCACTCGAGATAGTGCTTCGCACCAATCTTCTGTTGCACCGCCATACCCTAAAAAGTTATGTCGTTAGCGTTAGACACATGAAACGAATACAGAACGTCATCCCATCCCGGAGCGCTACTGCGCAGGCACGTGGATGGCAACTCTGAGCCACCGGCGACGCGTAGCCCGGGCGGGGAATCGAAGACAATGAACGGGCAACGCACCTCCTCGGGAGTAACAGGCCGCTGATTCGTCTTCCTGAGCTCCTCAATGACTCGCGGGTCACGTCGCAGATCCTTCTTGCAGCCGACGAGAATAATGGGGAGACCAGCACAGAAATGCATGACCTCAGAAATCCACTACAGGGTTGACGCAGATCAGTCAAAATGTCTTGGTGCATTCAGAGAGACACGCACCTTCTCCTGCACGTTGTCCAGAGAGTCGGGTGAGTCTACGGCGAAGCAGATGAGGATGACGTGGGAGTCAGGATAGCTGAGCGGCCGAAGACGGTCGTAATCCTCCTGGCCCGCCGTATCCCACAACGCGAGCTCAACATGTTTTCCGTCGACCTCCACATCGGCAACGTAGTTCTCGAACACGGTGGGCACGTAGACCTGATACAGCGGTAAGCGCTGACATTAGCACACGAGCAACAGGCATGGTACGACTCGGCATCGCGAGCAGTCCCCACGGGGAACGCGGTACGCACCTCTGGGAACGTTCCTTTCGAGAAGACAATCAACAAACAGGTCTGGAAAGGACGGTTGCGTAGTCAGCACAGGGGTGGTACGACTACGCATAGCGCGCGACGAGAACGACACAGACCTTGCCGCAGGCACCATCACCTACGATGACGAGCTTCCTACGAATTTCGGACATGACTGAACAAAGGACTGACGAGCGAGGATGGAGGGACGGCTGAGGTGGACGACGCGGACGGCGGTTGCGGTAGCTGGAGCGGCGAGGAGACGTTGCAGCGCGATGATAGCAAGCGGGCTTTCCAGCGGTCTTTGAAGTTTCGCGGCCAACCACACTGCCATACACAGCAACCCTCACTTTTACCTAAGCACTGGGTCTGTGCGTGGGAACTCGCCACTTAATTCTGAAGGCTGCCATACTTATCTGTGCTAGTCCCGCAACCGCTGCATTGCTTGCACAGCTCGCTGCACAGGCGACCGGGGTTGTTTGGGGAAACCTGGGGCCCGCAGCAAGGCAGTACATGATATTACTTTCACGCTACCGTACCTGGAGCCCACCAGTTTGTACATATGCGTATGTCATCGGATTACACTAGGTCTGTCGTTTCCTGCACGAGAAGTACGCGCGGTCGCGGTGAGTGGATGGGCTTCTCGAAGCAAGAGCACTACCTCCTCCGAAGCAGAGTATCATGCGACGGAAAGGAAACAAACCGTCAGAGTCGTTCTTGGCATCGCCGTGTACTGTAATTTCGCCCCGGAGAAAACAGATCCCAGCGGTGAACCTTGGGTGAACCAGTCCCTCCGCGTCAGAAAATGCACCACGCTGCGAGCATTGGCAAGAACTCACCCACTCAGTTCTAGACCGGTCGGCTAGGATGTAAGTGATACACGTTGAGAACGCATGTCACATTGCCAATACTTGCTTGCGTATATACGATGCTGTCCTGTAAGTTTAACGCTCAGGCAGTGCTCACTGAGCGGCACTGACTTTGGTTCGTGACATATGTCATTGACGGTCGACAACCTGAATCCTGCGGCTGCGTAGATCAGTCAGTACTCTTGCAACCAGCAGTTGAGTGTGGCCATATGGCTGCAATCATGAACGGGAGGCGCTGCGCATCTCCGCTTGAATTCGTCAATGGACGCGTGTCGATGTTTGAACACAACCTGCAGCTATAACTTTGTTGTCCTTGGGACCGTCCATGGAGTACGCTGAGCGATGGCATGACGCTGACGTTGAGGTCTTGCCAATGGCGGGTGGCAGCCCCGAGGCAAGTTGTGGTGTGAGCAAAGGTCGAAGACGCCTAGAGCGTGACAAGGCCGCGTGACAGCCCATACAAAAGAAACAATCAAAAGCGGCCTCGAGTGTAGTGCTACTAACTAAGTATAGTAGCGACCTTCACAAGGGCATTATTGTGGGCTAAAGCGACGCGCTGTACTATTGTCACGCTCGCGCCTCTTCATCGCGCCGCTGCAGCTTCGAGCAGGCCACACCCTCCCCTTCTCCCCTTCTCCCCCTCCATGCTGCCTGGAACGCCCTCGAGGACTCCGAACCGTCGCGATCTGCGCCGCAGGGGCAGGAGGAGCCCCGTCGCCCGCTCCTCCTCCATTCTCGGCTCCCTCAAAAGTTTTATCACAACCCCACTGTCGTGGTTCACGTCCCAAGAGGACCTACAAGAGGACTTTGAAGACACACCCGGAAAGCGGCGGAGAAACCCCGAGGCCGCCGAGCGCGACGACCGGGAGCACGAGGAAGGGGAAGGACGGGCGAAGCGGCAGCGTGTGCACAGTCCAGAGCCAGAGCCAGAGCCCCCTCAGCAGCGGCGCCGGCTGCTGAGCGAACAGCCCGTCGCAGGCTACCTCGATGTTCCGGAGGGTCTGATACCCCAGCATGATGCTCTGCCTCGTCTCTCGATGGGCCATGCGCGGTCCTCGTCGCTGGCCACAGCGCCCCCGCGCTCATCCGCGGTCCGCCTCGACCGCCACTCCCTCTCCCCACTCGCCGGCCCGTCGTACGTGCAGCCGCTCAGCATCGCGCGCACGATGTCCATGGATCCGCCGACGGGATACCGCCCCCGGGCTTTGTCGCGGGACGTCTCGATGGGCGTGGCCTCCGCACGCGAGGCGACAATGACGCCGTCCCGTACACCGTTCCAAGTGCGCCCGCGCACGTCCATGACACCCCAGCCGTGCGGCCAAGGGTTCGGTCCCGCCGTCCCGCGCCTCCACCGCGACACGTCCGAACCGCCACCGCTCGAGACTCTCGTGTCGACCCCCCAATTCGTCAAGGCCCCGCTGCAGACGCAGCCACAGAGACAGATGCCCGCGATAGAACCGAAGTTAACACTTGGATCGCTGGCGGAATCGCAGCCGAGGACACGGCGCATGTCGCCCTTCGGCGATGTTCCCCAGAGTCGCCCGTCGCTAGGGCAGAGCAGCGCGGTGCTCATGGCCCGCTCGGGCTCCCTTGACGGTGGTCAGTTGCTGCCTGCGCAACCCTGTTCTATTGATGTCTCATTCACTCAGCAGGCCGCAAGCGTCCTGAGAACTCCGCAGAGAAGGTGTTGCAGGACCTTGACGTGTACAAGACACCGCTCCTGCCGACGCGCCTGCGTGGCGCACCCAGCACCCCCGACATGTTCAAGACCAAGAAGATGCCCATACCCGTGCTCATGGCCGGCGAACACGACAAGAAGACCCGTCTCGGCTCAGCCGACAAGGAAGAGCCGGGCGCCAAGCCGTACGCTGGGAAGGGCGGCATGAAGAAGCTGCTGATGCGGAGGAAGCAGGAGGAAGAGGAGGATCGCGAGAAGGATAGGGAGTCCGCCATGGACGATGACCAGGACGATGGTCCGAGCGAGGTTGCTCAGCAGAAGGCACCGGGGCCGCGCGATGTGCCCCCTCTTCCCCGCCTTATTGTACCCGAGTTCCCGCCTGCACCTGCGGCGGGCAGACCCTCTTCACTGCGCGTCGGCCGCAACAAGATTTCACGATCTCATGCGCCATCTGTGCAGCGTGGCAAGAACCGATTCTCTGCCGTGGATGAGGACGAGGATGCTGACGATGCGATGCTCACGTCTGAGGATGCTCAGGCGGAGGCTCCCAAGCCACCATCTCTCTTCCAAGCCCCGGCTGGGTTCAGCTTCGCCCAAGAGGTAAGTACCGTTTGTCCCTGCAAACATCCTGACAACTGGAATTCTTGGTAGACCGCACCGATCAAAGCAGACTCGAGCACGTCCAAAGAACCACCGATCGCCTCGCTGCCATTTTCCTTCAATAAGCCCAGCTCAGAACCCCCCAAGGCAAGCACCGAGGGTGCGCCCTCGGTTCCAGCGGTTCCCAAAGAGGTCACCCAGCACGCTGCTCTCCCACAAAGCGGCCCCGCTGCTACGAACCAGGAATATGCAGCGAAGGTACCGACTGTTGCTGCTGGCTCCGCCCCACCCACGACTGCTGCCGCTCCAGCGACGCCCGTGCTGCAGATGATGCCCAGTATCGCGCTGACGCCCCCGACACCAGCGGCGCCTTCGACGTCCGCGGAGACAACAGGGAAGGACGCAACGGCGGAGAAGGCGCCGTCCGCGATACCCAACTTCTTTGCCACCTCTGCCATCTTGTCCAAACCAACAGCCCCCATCACGCTGCCGACGGGCACGTCGCTGTTCGGTGGTCCTGCAGCTACGATGTCTTCTGCGCCTGCGAGTACCGTGGGTGGTTCTACCACGACGGCATCCACGGCTACAAGCGAAGTGAAGGGTGCTGAACAGAGGGAGGCCGCAAAGCAGTCCGCGTTTAGCTTCGGCGGTGCGGCTTCGGACTCGACCGCACGCCCTGCGGGGTCAGCGGCTGGCTTATTCTCATCGCCGGCTTCATCAGCGTCGAAGACTCCCTCGGAGACAAGTGCCGCATCTGGAGCAGCCGTTCCTACGTCGATCTTTGGGGGCGCACCCGCCAAGGAGCCGTCTTCCTCTGGAACGCCTTTCAGCTTCGGCGCGCCGGCGAAGCCTGCAGAGCAGCCCCCTGCAGGGTCGTCTCTGTTCGGCTCTGCACCGCCTAAGCCAGCGGAGCCCACCCCTAAGGCTGCTGCGAATGCTACTACGACCCCGCAGCCGTTCAGTTTCGGTCCCCCAGCGAAGCCAGTAGAGACTGCGACGACATCCAGTGCGTTCAGCTTCGGTGCCCCGTCGAAGGCTGCAGAGGCACCCGCACCTTCGTTGTTGGGTCCTCCGGCGAATATCGAGAAGCGGGCGAGTCCTGCACCGGCGTCCGGATTCACCTTCGGACCGCCAAAGGACCAGCAGGCGAAGACGCCCGAACCGACTTCGACTCCGGCCGCCGAACCTTCGAAACCCTCGCTCTTTGGCGCGTCGTCGACGCCGTTCGGCGGGTTTGGTACTGCAACTGGCAACACCGAGCCTGCGAAGGCGCCCTTCACGTTCGGTCAGCCCGCCGCGCCTGCTGCAAGCACCCCAGCTGTGCAGGCCCCCAAACCCCTCTTTGGTGGTCCGTCTAGCAGCTTCCCATTCGGTGGTGGAGCCCAAACAAGCACCGCACCGGCGGAGCCCGTTGTCCCTGCGAAGTCGCCGTTCTCATTTGGTGCGTCGCCGGCGACGCCTCCTACGACATCCACAGACAAGCCAGCATTCTCCTTTGGGTCGGCAAGCGAGACGACCTCGGCTCCGCAGGCACCGATGATGTTTGGCGGACCGACTGGTGGCAGTCATGGCACGGACGTCTCGAGCAAGCCATTCGCGTTTGGCGCCGCTGCCGCACCGGCGCGGCCGGCGACGCCGCCTCGCCATGACCAAGAAGTGAGCATGGACGAAAGCCCGACGCGGGGTGCTGGGATGTACATGAATGGACATGGTGATGCCAAGGAGCCTCTAAAGCTCACAACTGGGTTCTCGTTCGGAGCGCCGGGAACGAGTGCAGCGTCGCCCTTTGGTCAGAACACGCAAGCCTCGTCATCCACTCCCTTCGGGTTCGGCGGCTCGTCGAGTGCATCAAGTATCTTCGGAGGCGCCAAGACGGAGAACAAGCAGGAGACGAAGACTTCGTCTGGCTTTGGCTTTGGTCAGCAGAGTGGATCCGGGTTCGGTTTTGGGCAGAAGCCTGCTGACGCTCCGGCTCCTTCGTCGTCTCCCGCCCCATTCGGGGGCTCGGCTGGGTTTGGACAAAGTTCTGCGACACCCAGTGCAGCTGCACCGTTCGGCTTTGGTCCATCGACATCCTCCGGGAGTACTGGTGGGTTTGGGCAAGCGGCGGCGACGTCGACCACTCCCAGCCCTTCCACATTTGGCTCAACACCGTTCTCGTTCGGTGTAACCCCCACTTCAGCAACGGCACCATCAAATCCCTTCTCATTCGGTAGCCAACCGGCATCTCCAGCGACGGCGAACCCTGGTCTACCGTCTGCATCGGGGACTACCAATCCACCATTCCAGTTCGGTCAGCCTGGGCAAGCATCAGCGCCTTCAAGTGCCGCGCCGTTTGGTGCCTCGGCAGCTCCGCCACCTGGTGGCGCGATCTTTAACATTGGGGCCGCGTCAGCCCCTGCCCCGACAGCGGGAGGAGCAAGACCTGTGAAGAAACTGCCCACTCGTAGGGCTGGAAAACGCTAAACATCTTGATTCTTGTCTTGGACCCTCGTTTCTTTCCGTCTTGTCTCACAATTGTCATCGGCTTCCTCTCCGTGCTACCTCCTCTCATAAAGTCATCGTCGCATCATGTTTTTCTCGCTTTTCCGTGCCCTGGATCGTTTCTCGCTCGTCAGTTGCTCTGTCGGATCCGATTGTCACAGGCTGAAGGCCATACGTACACATCATCGCATCGCATTATCCGCATTCATAGGTAGGTAGAACGTACACATCACTCACATCTCAATAGGGCTGAAGGCTCGCACATCCAACTTGTTCAGAACCATAGGTAGATAGGTAGGGCACATCCGCAGGGCTGACGGCCTATGCATTGCGTATTATATTTCACACTGTTAGTATATTGGCGTTGGCGTATGTTGAACGATAGCAATACCATCCATGTTGTCTTAAGGGAATAGAGTGGTGGGGTGTCAGGGTACGAAGTGACATGACGCTACAACAACACAACACGGGTACAGGCAGGACGAAGGCTCATTTGGATAACGCCTTTCTGAGGTTGGCGTTTTGCTTCTCCAGCATCTCGATCTTGTCTCCTGCTAACCTCATCTTCTTCAGCAGGTAATTCATCCGATCTCTCACAGCTGTCCGCGAGCCCATCCAGTCCGCTGTGCCAGCATCGACATCTTTCAGCGTGAGCAGCTCTTGCTCGCACGACTTTACGGTACCCTCCGAGGCAGCGATGATCCGCTCATTGAAGGCGATGTCTTGCGTGGCACGGAAGACGGGGTCTAGACAGACGCTTTTTCAGTACCAAAGGCGTTGGGCAGAATAGTATATGACTCACCCTGGACAAGCCGCTCGAAGACATATCTATACACTGGCTTTCCAGGCTTAATGGTGGACGGCCGACCTAAAGAATTCCTGTGAGAGGGAGACTAACGCACTAGTAGGTAGGACTGACCATTCTCGGTGCCAATGGCGATGAGCTCGGCATGCTCCATATGCCTGAGAGCAGTTTCGTCGTTCTTGAAAGGGAAGTCCATCAACACGTCGTGGTACGATATCTATGTACGCCCCGTTAGCGAACTGGTGGTAGATTCAGTATGCGTCCACGAGTCTTGTCTCACCTCCGGCTTCTGCGACAGCTTCTTCATCATCGCCCACGCCTGCTCGCGTGACCACGGCAGGTTCTTTGCATCCTCGAGGTCCTCGCCGTATGCGTTCTTGCGGATTTCACTGACACCGCGGGTGACGATGTCTTCGATGGCGTCCTGTACGCTTTGGCCGTTATGGACTTTGTGGATAAGCTGCACTCCATCTCAGTATCATGTGAGATCGACGAGACATGGACGCTTACACTTTCGAGGTCACTGGCCCGCCCGCCTAACCGCTGGATGTACGAAACCTGCTCTTTGCTGAACCTCGCGTCCACACCACTGTCTTGCAGCTTCTGCTTGACGAAGGACAGTGCACTCGAGTTGTCAGCATCAGACAGGGTAATAACGTTCAGTGGTTGGGATGGAAGAGCTAGCCGTAGAATCCAATGAGCTGAGTCGAAACGCTTGTCTGGACCGTTCAACGTACCCTTGGTCAGCCTCTTCGCATTCTCCCGGTTCTCGCTCACGATAATCACGTGTGCAACCTAAAGAATACGAGAGTTGAGAAGGACGCAACATGACGACAGGACTTCATACTTACCTGATTTTGAGCCAAGCTGGCTGCCCAGCGCGACAGCACGTCCAGCATCTCCTCTTTGCTAGCCCCTCCACCCTTGCTCTCAAAGCCCTTCACAATCACGATAGGCATCGCCTCGATCGCCTCCACATCCCCCGCGCTCCGTTCCTTCCTCTGCGCTTCCTTCCTCTCCCTCCCCTCCCCCCTTTTCTCCTCCACCTTCTCCGCCTTCTCTCCATCCCCCCTCTGCAGCGCACTTACGACGTGCAGCCCCTCGTCATTCCGGTCAAACACCTCGTCACCCACGCCAAGTTCACTCATCACGCCGTTCCCTGCAATGCAGTCCACACGCCCGTCGTGCCACGCCCCCTCGCGGATCCGCTCACGCACGCGGGCCTCCTCTTCCCGACGTAGCTCAGCCAGATGCGCATTCTGGACAGCGCGGTCGTGCTCTTTCCGGTGAGTGGTGTTGACGCGCCCGAGCCCAGTGCCCACGACCTCGAGGATCTGTTTCAGCTGGTCGGTGAGGGTGGTACTGAAGCCGGCTGATTGAGCGGAGCCGTCAGCTCGTACGTGATGAGCATTCAGATACAGAATACAAGCTGCGCACCCTTCTGGCCGATCAACCCGACGCTGGCGAGGTCGATGAGGTTGTTGAGCGAGTTGAACACGGAGAAGACGGGCCAGTAGCCTGTCTGCCGGGCGAGCGACGAGAGCAGCGCAGCATCGGACGTCGCTTTCGACAGCTCGGAGACATCAATTACCAGTGCCCTCCTGTCCGTCGTCGGGGTCAATCCCGTGGAGAAAAAGTATGAGTGGCATAACACATGTACTGACCTTCCCGACTGCTTGAGCAGGCCCGAGATCATACTCGTTTTCCCGCTCCCTTGAGGACCGTAGACGAACGCTACAGTGTCTATATGCAGACAGTGAGACAGAAGTTCGCCAAAGACGGGGCTGCTCGCGTACTTGGCATGTCTTTGAGGTAGCTCTCCAGCGCGCTCTCCGCGTCCTTGCGCTCCTTCCATGCCTCTTGCGCGTGAGCTCGTGTGGCCTCGCCTTCCGAAGCAGCCGTAACTGAAAGAGAGAACTTCGGCAAAGCAGTGTTGCGAAGCCACTGGTACGCCTGGAATTCTGGGGTAGGACAATGAGTCCTGGATAGCAAGGGCGCTGAGCTCCAACGTACGTTTGATATCGAACCAACCCTCGAGCGTGCCCTCAACCATGAGTACGCGGATTGGGTCGAATATCTATTTCCCAATCAATCAATCAATCAATCATCACACTCAACATCGAACCACGCACCGTATACGTCAACGTCCCCAGTAAGAAAAACAGTACCGGCAGAAATATCCTCGGGTGGCTCGTCACATAATCTCGAACGACATGCGCCTGCACCGGTGCCTGGTACGTCGTCCTTAGGATCGTCTTCGCCGCCGAAGCCGAGGACGACGGCTGCACCGCGAGGCCGTGGATGGCGTTGTGTGCGATCGCGGCGGATCGCAGGCGACTGAAGGTCACTGTGGAGTAACGGAGACCGCCTGCGACGGTTGGAGGAGAGGGCTGGGAAAGGTCTTGTATGCGACCGTAGGGCTGGATGGAAGTGTGGTGTTAGGTGGAAGGGGGGATGTGAGATGGATGGACGTACGCGGAGGAGGTCATAGAGGGTCTCTTCGGTGACGTCCGGGCCTTCGAAGGAGACACGGAGGATGGGCGATGGAAAGCGATTCATGTCCTGGCATAGATTTGCATTGAGTGTGCATTTCAGAAACCAAATACTAAACGCGTCACTGCAACCCAAATGTTACGGGTCGGGGCCTGACACCAGCCAACCCGGGAGGGCGTCGCAGGTCACAGCCACATCCGAGCATCAACCAAAGATGCAGAAGTCAAAGACCACAGCCGACTTTAGCCCTTGATAATAGAGCTCGTCTGCGCCAGGAACAGCCATTTTCAAACAAGGACGTCTGACCCTGTGTCCACGATCTCGGCTTGGTGCTCGCGTGAAGGTGGTCAAATTTCCAGTTGTCAATTCGAACTATCCAGACC